CGTTGATCTGGAACTTTTCCTCCAATGCAAATAGATAAGCAAATAGATAAGATTCCGTCAACGCGACCGTCTTTATATAAGTACTATCTCCTCAACACTGTGTCCAGCCCACTCCCCCCGAACAATACTGGAATCAAAGCCAATGCGTCTAGGCGAATTCTATAGCTTTGCATGAAATCCTGACGGCCGTACAATAGATGGGCGAATCAAGAACTGCAGTCATTCTTGCTGGATTGTGTCGGCCTCGCTTGCATAGCGTTTGGACATCGTAATTCAAAGGGAATGTTATTGGTTTTTGAAGTTGCCCCCCGCGTGTCAGTTGATTAATCTCCTATATGAAGGGATGCGTCTGTTTGTACATGTATTATGATGTAGTGATATTGTATAATTTATACAACCCGAATCTACGCTGAAGTTATGCGTGTGTAACTATTTTGTAACTATTTAAGGTGACTATATATGGCGAATACAATGAGTTGTGACTGCATGACAAAACTCTGAATGTTCTCGCTTCAGATCTTTTATATACGTTATATTTCACAAAGAAACGGCCGGCTTTTTTTTCTTTTGACATTTTGACACACGCAATCATAAAGACACTCGCGCCTGGTCAAGAGTTTGAAAGCATTACTGCCTTCATGCATGACGATAATTCTTTCAAACTGAAGTATATCAAAAGATCATACTTACTGTATGCAAATTGAGTTTTGTTTAAACTGAAACCGTGCACGAATTTAAGCTTTGCGTTGGTTTTTGTCTTCACAATTTTAGATGGAATCATTTCTCGCGGCTCTGATTTTGTTCCAATCATATTTACTGCGAACATATTGATGATGGTATATAATTGTTGTTATCGAAAGATAAATCAGAATTTGTTCATGATCATATATGTCAATTAATATAATAATGTTGAATGTCTAATCTGTTTTTAAATGGTTCTGCTAGGCACTGATCTGCAATAGCACAGGATGGATAGAGTCGCTATTATATTGACTCAATCGTCTCAATGACAAAGATTTTGAAATCACTCAGGATATTTTCTCATATCTGCGTGTCAGTGCTTTCTTAAGTAAAAAGATTAACATCATGTATAGTTTTCTGGCGGTAACAGTTTCGCGCCATCCAGCTCTAATATTCATATCAATGGTCGTTAACACTTAGTGCAGCTTAAGTCTTCGATGTGATAATTTGAAAGATAATTGCATAGGCATTACAGACGCGCTTAAAACTAACGCCTCAATAGAGAGAGACATGTAGACGATCTCAAAGTAGACATTCGTCTAAGAAGGAAATCAGCTTGGAGGGATTACGTGCGCGATCATGGATGCTAAACTTATCAAGCCTAAACCAAAAGTAAACATGGTGATTACGTTTTCAATTCGCATCTAATTGCAACCCAATCATAGATTAGAACATGTCGATTTTTAACGTTAAGTAGCAACCCATTAGCACGAAAATTAAGGTCCATAATCTCATTGAAACTATACTCTATATCGTATATACTTAAGTAGCCGAAGACCAAAGTCTCCATGCATGTTAATGAATATTTTGAATTTGAAATACTACAAGTCATTAAAGCTATAAAGACCAGCGTGGATGCCTAGAATTAAAAACCCGAATTCTAAGACTGTTTTCCTTGCAATTGGAAGTTTGTAAGGTATTATCTCTATTATATAGGTTTGCAGACCTGCATGGTTCTCACAGTCAAATGGCTTGCATGGTCTTAAAATATATTTCCTTTTTCTCTATTTTTAGTCGATACTTTCTATGTCTGTAGTCGTAGAGCGCATTTCCTTCGGAGGTGTGAACTCTATTTTCTCATTGGTAATTGTCAGATCCTAATTGGCTCTCTTTAAAAAAAGATCCTAAAACATTTATTATTGTTTCCTAAAATACACATTTACCGCATTCTGCTAACGCCGAGCAAATGCATGCCCCTAAATGGCTACAGTTCAGTGTGTAAACACAAATATATGATAACCTCTTGAAAATGAACATCATGCATGTATTCACGAGATTTCGACATAAAAAACAACAACTCTTGCGCAAGGCAATGTCGATGGTATACCAATGGAAGAGAGTTGACAATGACAAGAAAGAGTTTGCATGCTCGGAATTTTGTAAACTTTTCTGTCCTGTATTTTGTCAAATACTTGATGTTTTTATGGTGCAACTTTGAGTTACCAACATATAGTAAGCTGAAAAATTAGCTTGACCACCGTGGTCATATGCTATATTCACATAAGCAAATATTTTTATGACATAAAAAATACTCTAATCCTATCCGGTAATTTCTTAATTCCAATCGTAAACTGCGACTTGAAGGTTGTTGAGGTGTGTGTTTACATGAGTTTGTATCGTTGCTAACCACGTTCCACCTGGGCTTCAACTTTTTCCATCAATGCAATATCTGATAAGCCCACGCGTGTTTTAAAAATGTAAAGATATTTAAGACTTTGTTTATCCTGGTTTCAGAAGACTCAGCCCTGACGGCGTGCAGTCTGGACAACTAGGAAACCACGGGATTAGAATATTCCATGGTCGAATTTATAAATATATGTGGATTTTTTTAAAACCGTTGGAAAACATGAGTGGTGCCGATGGTATGGTTGCATTGTGTTGGTTATTTTCTCAGGATTATCCGATCTAAATGCCTATAATCTTTTATGTCAATAACGAAATGTGTTTAACCCGCAGGTTTTTCGTTAGCTGATTAACTCTTGCGGTGAAAGCAACTTTTGTCCATACGAGACATTTATGCTGCATTGTATTATAGAAAGTAAACGTTTTAAGCATATTTAGTGGGAAAATCAGAAATTTAACTTCCTCAAAATGTGGTTCAGAGCCTCATGCAACTTGCCCCAGGTGACAACCATGCGAGGTTATCTTTTTATCATCTGTTAGGGAGATTAGGGAATATAATACCTCAATTCAATCTGATGTTGTACTCAGTTTATTTCAACGAAAGCATGATTAAATAACTAGAGGTAGTATACATCGCCTTAAAGTTTCAGATGACCACTTTAAAAGTGATATTCCAATGGTGTGGATATAATGGTGTTGCTTTTAAGTATGAATGGTCAGGTGGATACCTCGTGCTCAGAGGTGGTGGCAAGGTTTATCGTCTAAAATGTGAGCTACCTTAAGGTGATCTGATGTAGACTACATGCAGAATTTATTTTTTAGTTAAGCAGTGTTAGATCACGTCAAGATGATATATATAGCGCGCAAATTCTTTGATGTTGATCAATAAACGTGATCTATGTTGGATCACTAAATATAGATTCCTTTCATTAATGTCATGGTACTTTAGGTGATCATTGACATTGATTCGAAACGGTTGTCTTCGTTAAAATGATCATGCAAAGATGGTGTATATATACATATTCTCTCTCACACACTTAGAGAGTTCAAAGTTTACAGTTACGAAAGCCCGGTATAGTCTTTATTAATTTAGCTTTTATGTAAAACTGATTTCCTAATTTTCGTGTATACCACGGTTCAGTGTTGGATAGAAGTTCATGGCCAAGTCAAGCAAATTATTGCTAGATCGTTTATAGATAGACAAGTAGTACTGATATATTGAATACAAAACTATACATTATAATGATGTCTGTCTAATGTCTGTTCTCCATATTAAAAGCAATTAGAATACCTTATATGAAGTTTTAATAGAAATCTTTCTGCTTTCTGCGAGTTTGAATCAACCGAAGCCAGCCATAACGTAAGCTTTTTCCCTTCCCTCACCTTCAAATCGAATCCGTATGATACACACTGTCGGCTTTTGTTTAGTTTGACAGTCTCTGAATAATGTTTGTGACAATTAAGTATGTGGTTTCTATCGTTTTCCGGCACTTTTCGAGTTGTGTTTGCTCTAAAAATACTTTGTTAGCTCTGCTGTTAATTTCTGTGTACGTAGCAATGTTTTGAAATCCATTTGTGGTAAGGTTTGTCAACTTCTCTTTCGACAACTCACTATTGTTTTGAGCCGGTTTAAGACCTTTGTTCTTCAGCTACTTTTTTTACAAAAATGAGATGCGAATTTGAAAAGTCTCGAAAGAAATTAGCCCCGCAGTCAATTAATTAACGATCCAGTATGTGGGGATAAATACATACGTCGATCCATATGAAAGTAATCCAAAGTAATTTGACAAAACAGAAAGACTATACATCACAAACCTCCCTCAGCACGAGTGTTAATTCCGGTTGAATTATATATAGATCTCCGGGCTATAGTGTCGTGTTATTCCATCTTCCTTTACAACGTTGTAGAAAACAATGCATGTCAGACTGCCTGATTTGATATACTATATTGCTAATTCAATTTAGTTTTGTCTTCTTCAGTTCTTCAGTTTAAATTCGAGATCATATTGGCACGAAAGATTCGACCGAAAACGCCACTGCTTGATATATAAGTGATACAACAACCACATGGCGTGTGTTTTTTTAAAACTTCCCAAACCAAAAAGTATGGGGAGATTTAGGTATGAGTCTGCTCGAAATCAGTTTCACTTAATTCATTTATTCCACTTAGTGGTCGAGGTTTTTCGGTTATTTGAGTGTTGATAAGCTTGACTTTCAATGGACGACTTTAATTGAATTAACTCATTGATGAGCCTTCTTTTGATGTACGGTTTATTTATGCGAAATTGTCATCGTGCTAATTTTGCCAGCCCATCCTCAAAAAATTTGAGGTAAACGCGACTAACTACTACTATACAGGCGTCCAACTGACCCGAGCCCCCCTTCCCCTGTCGACAAATTTTTCTGCGCTTTTCGCGGATTAGATTTCAAGGTCGAATTTTTTTAGGTTGTCGACCCCCTGGTTATCGCGACACCCCCCCCCACCCTAAGCGCTTCGATTGAAATTTTGATAACGAAAAGCAGGCTTTAGATATAGAGGTTTATGTAAGATGAGGAGAAGAGTTTTACGCCGAACGTATAAAACACCGTGTAGAACTTAGTTACATGAAAAATAATCGATTCGTATAGATTCTTACCGTGATTTTCAACCTCAGTCTCCCTCTCTAGATTAGATCACGATTTCTTTCGATTTCTTTTGTAAACAAAATTCACTCTTTATCGTTAATCAATTGTCCATTTAATACGCCTTTTTGGCCAGACAAGCAATAAGCGAGCCTCTCTCTACGGCAAACCGGAGTTGTGTTGTATATAAGCGGCGATAGGGACGAAATATTACCGAAACAGCCAGTTCTGAGCAACAGTTTGGTATGCCCTATCTTCTTGAGTGCTTTTACTCAACTCATATGACAAGAATGATTCGAATACGTCAGGTTATCTATCATGATCAATTTTGATCTTATCGCGAGTGTATAGTAATTCCGGAACTGCATAGCTGGCGCTTGCCAGATGTGTTTTGAAAAATTGTTTAAGAAAACGTTTGTCCGCAAATCATGTAGTTCGTATGGTATATATGGACATATATATATGCAGGGAAGCTCAGTTATGCCGGCGTGGAATTTTGTACGTATACTACTATAGTTTGCTGATATTCTAAATTCTGGGTTGTACAACGGCTGGATAGCGTTAAGCACTCATGATGATATTTTCAATAGCTGTAAAATGCTTGAAAGCAATGAAATTACAGATATGACGTCAGTAGTTCTTTAAAAGGAGGTGCAATCTAAACTATGAGAGCAATGAAAGAGCAATTTCAGAGCGATCAAAATAACGCTATCCATCATCCATACAGCTCTCGTTCAACCGGCCCCTGCATGATTCGGTTTTTTCTCAGTGAAACAGTTGTGCTCAGTTATAAACTCGGTTATTCCTGTAGGAAAGGACCATGCACAGTGATGGTAATATAACATCACACTGATTCACACAAAAGCCAAATCATGTTTACACTACCGTTGGGGTTGTACGATTGCGCAATCCACCGGATGGATAGTGTTGTTATTCCACTGCTGATCTACCGTTAACGTTATACTTCGGTTCTTAAAATAGGACAGCGATTGGCGGCAGGCTTCCTTACCATGTGGTAATTGTACGTGATGCGAATGTCTTTCACACAAATGTAAGCGACGAAAAGTTATTGAACATTCGTTCGTGTCATTTTAACATCATTTTAAAATTCACTCCATAGAGGTATTTAAGGGTACGAAAATAAGGAATGATCTCATTGGATCTGACGCCAATCTACCATTAGTCAACAGCCTATTAAAACGCTGTCTACTGATTTAAAAAAAAAACGATCTACAGGGACGTATATACCGATCAGGGGGGGCGGCATTCGTGCAGTTCTCTGTCAAAATGGTCAGTAATTTCATTTTGATACAGAATCTGTAGTTGTCAGCTTTTTTTGGCTGTTGATCTGGACTTCATGGTTTGAATTAACTTAATTTTCTTGCTTTCATTTGTTTCATAAGAAAATTGATCCAAAAAACTTAAGTATCAAGTTAATGAACTGTCAATCGTGATCTGGAAACGGATACTCTACATTTGACTCGTCAGCTTTGTTTTCAGAGAAGGCCAGTGCGTGCAGTATGGGAAGACTTGAAATCTTCTTTTGTGGTTGTTAATTAGTACTTTTTGTCTGACTAAATTGAATGATAATTTATCAAGATACGCCGCAAATTGTCCGCTATAGTAATTGCCTTCAATGAGTTAATGCATCAATTTTGATATTGACACATACAAGATACTAATGGCCTTTATCAATGGATTTATCAGACGAGCGATCAGATAGATTTATGCGTCCATGTTCTGAAATTACTAATACGAAGGTCATGTGAATGTGACCCCCGCGTCTCCTGGCATCATTCCATGCTCTATTCTTTCCAAATACCCCTGCGATTGTCAAGTCCTAGCTACTGAATAACTTTCCTATCAATTGGCAAATCTTATGCCCAGTTTCCATTCAGTCGTTAGCTGTCGTTACATGTCTTTCCGAGTCTTTAGAATAATCGTGAAAGACCGATAACGAATTATGGGAAGAATCATGTCGTTTCCTGTCTTTTTATGTCGTTGAGATAGGAGCAACACTATCCGAGCGACACGTTCGTTTTCTGTTTCTCTCAGTCGTTATCGGTCTTTCACGATTATTCCAAAGACACGGAAAGACATGTAACGACAGCTAACGACTGAATGGAAACTAGGCATAATCCGCATTATAGCACAAAGTGTACGATGAATTATAGTTACTAGTTAAATTTTGATTGTTCTTTCTTTGCATGCGTTAATGAACAGGGTGCATGATGACTGGCCTTTTCTGGCCTTTCTTTAAGGAAGCTAAGGAGGTTATATTTAGATGACAGCAAACAGTTCTGCAAGAGCTCATAGAAAATCAGCAAATATTGAAAAGATCATGCAATAATCTATTTTCTACCTCATGCACAAAGCATAAGTCTTTTTACAAAGAAATATAGAAATTCAAGGTGCTGAATATTGAAAATCAAAATCAAATATACTTGTGACGTTGGGGGAGGGCGTGGCACCCCCTTCTTTCCTCAGACCCTCTCCCCCCCCCGAAAATTTTCAATAGTTCTACAGCGAGTTATTCACGCAGCTTATAGCTCGGCTTATAGATCACACACATTCCTGGATGTTTTGCAGTCACAATATTTGTTGAACATATCTATAAATCTATCTTCGAGTCTAATCTTATCTCTTCACATTTTAGCCCGACAGACCAGTACATATGATAAATGGTTGAATACAGTAGAATGGAATCTGCATGTACACCAATCAGATCTGACCTTAATCTAACGCAAATCCTGCTAACTTTGGGAGTTTGAGTTGATTTAGCCGTATGAACGCATGCCTTTCTCGGTATAACTGGAGGAGGGAAGCCGCTGAGACAAATTGAATGCTTTTATCAGTAGAACCGCTTTGATAAATCTGCGCTGAAAGCCTTATTACCAAGCCAGAATATGTGACTTAACCATTAATCATGCTGAGCTAATTGCCTATCAACCAAGAGAAGATTCTATATACTGTGTGAAAAATTTTTCGACGTTTGTGCTGGATTGTAATTACGAGTTCAAACGGGCCGTTTTTTGTCTTCATTGTAGTGAACCGCAATAGACATTACCCTGGCCGACATCCTTAGTTACAGGCCACCTGCCAGCATCAGTACTTCATGTATTAGGCCATTTAGAAAAAACGCTACTCGCCCTTTCTAATGGTTTTTAAGCACATTACGATCCTAATGAATGATAATAAAAGATTAACCAGAAAAAATTAAGTAAACTCTGCCGAACTAAATATTTTTATTCACCATTAATCAAAGTGTTAAAAATGTCAAATTGCTGAGCGAAAATTATTTTTGCAAGATTGACTTTATTATAGTTACCATCATTCGAAAATCGAAAGACTGAAATGTGCATTTATAATTCTGAACTTGCTCATCAGTAACAAGCCGGAAATATCTTGGATGATTAGTTTTATAGTTCAGTTGAATGAAACAAGCAGAAGGTGAAAGGATTGAGATACCACCTTGTTGAAAACCGAATTCGAGAAATTACGATGTTGTCATTTGCATTCGGTTTTTTGTATAACGTCATCGATAACCCATTAAAAAGAGCCCCGAAGCCATAGGAAGTCCATATTTGTGTGATCATTTAAAAGCGAGAAATTTTTCTATAATTTGAAATCATAATGTCTCTCACGTTCAACTGACCACAAACCACCGACAGTACTTTGTAGAGTACCACCTACTGCATACATTATTATCCCCTATTCTGGTAGTTCAGATACATGCAAGGCCGTACAACAGCCGATTTATTTTCCATTACTTTCACATTCTACATTTCCGGCTAAATGAAATTTATGTATTTATTACAGGCAGTCGGATATCAACTTTTGATATATACGTTTTTCATGGACACACGCTACTCCAGGTATACTTTCTGAATACTGCATGTGACTGAGTGCTACGGTTTGACATGCAATAGGGAAAGTTACAACAGTAACTGTTGTGCAAAATTATACACATGAGAGCAATACGGAATCCCCCAAATTTATACTCATTATACTGTATAAATAAATATAAATTATAGTTATATATGTTGCGAAATTAAACTGACAGCTTACCTTAATTCAAACTGCATGTGTCAATTCGCCTGTGAGGATCGCGACTTTCGGTTTTAGGCTGTCGGTGGTAAGGACATTATCGAGGATTATTTTCAGTCTTGCCTGTCGGAAGGCGAAGCTTGTTGAAACTGTATAATTATGTACACTTAGACACATGCATGCATATGCAATCTAAGACCCGCTGTCTCCTTTGCACAATCAGACAAAGTATTTGTCAAACACGCGGAACTAAGGCTAAGCGATTTCATCGGTTAAGCACAAAGACCCGAACGTGAGGTTAGTGAAGCGAACCTACATGTCTAGATCTGAAGGACATCAAATATTAGGCTGGCGTGTTACATAAGACGCTTTTTAAAAGTATCGTCAGTAAATCCCCGGCTAGAAATTAAATTGAACAAATTTGCTGAAATCCAGGACCAGGTTCAGAAAAGCTGTAATTTTACACAAAATGTATCAGATCTATTCACCTCCACAGGCGGTCTTTGCTATACAATAGTGTTTTTGTGCCTACGGACCTTTGTGCAAGTCTTCGGTGATGATTTGATAACTGTATATTCTTGTTCGGCTTTTGAAAACCTGGCGCCCGAAAGAACACGAGCCTAGCCACAAGGTCTGATAATCAGATTGTAGATTTTTGTGATAGCCATATTTTCCCAAGCGATTATGTTTTGTCAAAGCGCCGCGATTTTAGAGTAACCGAAAAAAAGACCCTTTTTTGCAGATCAGCTACAGACATACTTTAAACCGAAATATATATATATAGCAGGATGCATGAGGTTCCTATGAAAATTGAAACGAAACTATTACTGCATGAGCTTGGAGAGTATCGATTGATCGCTGCACCGGTAATAGCGGTATAACATCGTGGCATATTCTTGGCCCTCTCTTGTTTATCCTGTACATAAACGATCTTCCAACATCCTTGAGTAACTGTGATGTGATGATATATGCTGATGACACTGTAATTTATTATAGTGGAAATTCCGTGAAAGAGATCCAAGATAAGGTTAATGAAGATCTTATCAAGTTAGCATGTTGGTTCAATTCTAACCTCTTAACTCTAAATGTCGCGAAATCTAAATTTATGATGTTTGGAAGTAACCGTTCCAGTAAGTTCCGGGATGTTCACAAAATTACAGTTTATGTCGGAGAAAATCAACTGGAAAGGGTTGAGTCATTCAAATATCTTGGCATTACAATTCACCAACATATGAAGTGGGCTGATCATATTGATGAAATTAGTAAAAAGATAAATCAAAGAATCGGTTTAATACGAAGAATAAAGACCCTTTTACCCGTCTATGCGAGGAGAACCTTGTATATGAGTTTGATAGCTCCGTTATTCGATTATGCTGATACTGTCTGGGGAGACAAAAACAATGACACTCTAATGAAAGCCCTACAAATTCTACAGAACAGAGCAGCAAAGATAATCTTGGATAAGCCAAAGTATAGTTCAGCAACCGAGGCACTTACTCTCCTTAATCTACAACCCTTATTAGAACGTAGAAAGTCCCACCGTCTTACTGCGATGTTTAAGTGTTTAAAGAGTGAGAGTAACTTTCCTGTTGACTTTGTAATGAACAATAATATTCATAGTCATTTTACCAGATCTAGAAATAATATATATTTATCGAAGGTAAAAACTAATTGGGGTAAACAAAGGTTTGTCTACCAGGCTGCATGTGAGTGGAACACTTTACCTGAGAGCATAAGAGACTGTCAGAGTTTACAACTTTTCAAATCTAGGTTATGAACGTTTTACTATTCGCACTTTTTAACTTTTTAACTAGTTTTAATAGATGTAATATAATAATTGTATTTTAGCAGGGCCCTACTGAAAACCGCTTTGGCGATGTAGGCTCACTGGGTAAATACTGTTATAATAATAATAATAATAATAATGATATAATTCCACAGAGGATGATATTATGCGTGATTGTTGTTTCTGAAACGACGATGAACTAAAAGGAGACTCCAGTTTTATGATAGCATTGAAAATCATCATATTGTTATCTTCACAGCCTGTCAGAGTTGACTTCGTGTTTTGCGTATGTGACTAAAAATGACGTCAAAACAATGTTTTTGAAAATTAAAAAAAAACTTTTAAAATGTTGAATTAGAGAAAAACGATATTTTTGAGAAAACATTCTGATTAGAAAAGAATCATTTGTAGAGCTAGAAGGGAGGCAGAGTCCTTCTATACAATGCCAAAGGGTTTAGAACATTCAACTCAGACTACTGGCCACCTTTGAGTTAATAGAAACAATTTAAACAAAACCGAAAAAACTCCTGTAGGAATGTCAATGAAAATATATTTATTTTGAAAGACTCGGAATTAATATTTTAGAAATGCATTCGCAGTTTTCCGCGTCCATCGGCATCGTCACATGCGCCATTTTTATGCTCTTTCTTCGACATCACAGTTGTCTGTATCCCGAACGGTTTTTTGTTTGTTCATTTGTAATTTTCATTTAGTATTATTGTCAAATTTCAGCACCCTTCGCCATGAAATAAAGTTCAGCCACGGCAACAGCACATGCTAGAATGAGGCCAAACATGACTCTCTACATAAAAGAAAGGGAATTTACAATGATTTATACAAACTATGGGTAGGTCAATACAGTCTAGCCACGCACAAAAACGGTTATAAATCTCATTAATAAACCTCTGGCTCTGAGGAAGTTACTGGATTTATATATCCAATATATCATGCAATTCTACAGTGGGTTTTTTTTTCTTAAAAAGCAGTTCAGGTCAAGGAAAGCCCGACTAAACTAAGCTTGCGCTATACTTATTACTTATAACAAACATAACAATTCCAAGTTGGACTCGTTTGTCTTACCAGGCCAACATGCGTGAATGCATATTGCGAACACATATAACCAAACACAAATGTCCCACCAACGGACAAAACAAAATTTACCACAGAGGTTAATTGTCGACTTGTCGAACGAACTATGAAAACAAAAAGCAATGTCTGGCTTGTGATTATGGTCAAGAAGTATAGTTGTCAAAGTTTTTATATCACTTATTTTAACATGCAATACTGCTGGCTGATAACTATGAAAGGACCTACTCTCTAATCCAACAGCTTTTTTCTCTTTGTGCAAAAGCTTTAAATAAAAGTATTAATCATTAGTTGGCAATGAACCTGTGGAAGTGCCTGATTTGAGCAGTTTACTTTGTCAATCCATTTTATTCTGTCTAACACCTTGCAATTTTACTGGTCAGTTGAAGGATTTTTTATGGTGATTCTCAGGTGACTGTTTAGACATGGTCATTTCAATTTTAATTGTAATTTTAATCTGATTGGGGGAGTTGTGATCTGAACTGCACCTATTAGGAAAGAGGGCATGGTCATATCTTGCAGCTCATTCCCCCTACATTGCAAAACATAATTCCTTGTACAGCCAGTTAAAAGGTTTCATTACCATTGGTTTTAATACCAAGTTCTTAACCTTCACACATAAAAATCTACCTCTTTGTCAACATTTTTCACCATGGCCCGATATCTTAGTTCATTTTGCTTTGCCTGTAGTTTCTCTAGTCGAGCAACTAATTCTGGACTCTGGAATAAATATGAATCAACATTGTGTCATAAGGTGTGTTATTGGGTAATATTGGTAAAGTGCTTATTGTGGTGTGACGATCACTACCAATGGTGATGAACATTGGTGGAACAAGTGGTGATTATTGTGTGATGGTGATGTTGGTGGTGGTAAGTTTGATGGTGTATCTATATGACCAGTGATGGTGATTACCATGCTGTGACAGTTATAACAATATGGATAGCTGTAGTCATTGTAACCTGATACAATATTGTAATAATATGGTAGTATATACCATATAATGCTACCTTTTTTGCTTCATGGATTGGTTCAATGTACAATCCACTGCCTTCCATGAGTTCATTCAAATATATAACTTTCCCAGCTGCAAAAAAAGGCTGTCTCTCAATTACGCACGAAATGCGCTAGGTGTATTCTGATTTTCTGATGTAGTAACATTGAATCATAGACATAGAATGGCACTTTCCAATTATACCATTATTAGCAAAAAGTTGGCTGGAATGTAAATCTGTCAATTTATTTCAGTGCGTATACCTTTCTTTAGCGTTTCAAATACTTTTTTCACGCTCTTAAACGGAATAGTGTTACAATTTCTAGTTTTAACTTCATCAACATGATTGTTGCTATAAACTGATGTGTTCGAACTATCTCCACTCCTTCGCCACATTTGAAGCTCATTTTTCAACTCGTTTGTTGTTGAATCCAACCCAAAGACCTCTTCGATTGCATCTCGTAAACGGTCTGTTAATATTACCTCGATTGGCATCGAAATGAATGCGCAGAAATCTATATTTTTACTATTTTGAGATCTTATTGTGTTCCATATGTTTCGATCATTCTATTTCAGAATTTTAATGAGTGAGAATTACGAGTAGTGGCGACAATCTCCGACACATTTAAGGCGCCTGGGAACGAGGCTGGGGTAATGATAATCCTGTAAAAATAAAGGTAAGTTTAGAATTAGATAACTCAAATAAAGGAAACATTATTAAGACAAAGGAGATGACTCAAAAGAGAAAATTGTTGCATTATTCTTAACAAGGTTATTGTATTGGATTTCATTATTTTTCATACACACATGCAGTAATCATATTGTGCCTATATATACCATAATGATACAGCACGGTTAAACAAGTCTACAAGTAATCTTATTATTCTTTCATAGTACATGATTGTTGTATAATTGTAAATTTTCGTATTATTTATTTAACGTCGGTTAAATATAAGCTAAAATATCTCTAAGGAATAGCAAGGTAGATAAGTGAAAGTAGAAATAGAAAGTCGAATCACATGTAAACATGTTCCACGAACACGTTCAAATTACTTAAATTAAACTTCCTTTATTCGGGAACTTCAAAACATTAGGACTTCAAAACTATTTATAATTATAGTTTAAATCAGTCGGAATTCAAGAAATTCAAAGCAAATTACGAGGGATCATGACACAACTGGCAGGGGTTGATCGACAAGTTTTCTCCATGTTTCCGCTGCGTGTGGAGGGTCGTGCATCTCTTTTTGAAGCTTTGGTATTGTCGTATTGATGTATTCCGTACGATTGGCATTCGCACGATTTTCAAGTTCTTGGCGGTTACCATTCGACCAAATTCCAATACCAAAGAAAACACCAACCCAGATGGTACTAACTGGGAACGTCTCTCCTGTTAACTCGTCTGTCCATTTGCTCCATACCACCGTTACTCGTATTAGCCAGATTTCGTCTCTTTTCACCTCAGTGATCAGTGCTTTCCTCGAAGTCTTCACACTTTGCCAGGTTTTATCTGCGTGATCAGCGTAATCAAGAGCATACTTCTGGATGGTTTTAATGTAGGATGATTGATGGGGATCATCAACATTTGGATCAACATACGCCAACTCTTGCAAAAGCGACAAGTGAACTCCAGCGCCGACTATGAATACTGCCAACGCGGATTCGGCAAACAAATTCTGCTGAAGCACAGCGATCATGTTGATTGCTAAATTACTGACTTTTGGTTCTAAAAGACGATGCAAATCATCTTTAGATGCACCAGAAGCTTTTCGGGGGTTGTAATCAAATTTGATCCACGTCGTAGTTCCGTTTATCTCCCCGTCAATTTCGCTGATGGTGTTCGCTGTTATTTCTTGATGCATTATTTTTTCGATCTCTTCGTAAACTTTGGTGAAGTAGCTGGGGACATCCTGAGCGAAGATACTGTCGAACATTTCTGCTCCCACTTTATACCCAATACCACTTAAAACTCCTTTGAGCAAATTCGCAGCAATTTCTCCAACTATAACGCTGGCCATGTTGATGCACTTAACTTGGTGATACAACTACCTGTGGAAGGGAAAACGAGATGAATAAAAAAGCTCAACACAGTAGAAACCATTTCTACATGCAGCAACGGATAATAGATAAGATTCTCTATTTATACCTGAAAGTGTTTTATCTCTTTCGTTAAGACGGCCGAGTCTAACTTATACTCCGTACGTGGTTCCCGCAAAAATACTGTGGTTTCAGGAAAATGCTGTTCTTGTAAGTAAATCTGAGCTGATAAAACCAGTTAAGCCAGAAACAAATCCTGTTTCACGGAAGTGCCTGCTTGGGACTAAGTAAAACGTCCGGCCACATTTTTTGGATCATACAAAGAATATATGGAAAAACCTTAGAAAACTCGATATAAACATCCGATTACACATCAGACCATTATTGATTATGAAATCAGGTGGTCATATGGTGAAATCAAGTCCCATGTGCTAATCTAAGCGGATGATTATTAACAGCTATTTCTATATTAACTTCGCATCCTAATGATCTTGAACAATTCCTTGTATTGATGCCTAAATAGGTAAAAACACTTAACAAACACTTAATATTATTTTCGGCACGAGGTCCTGTCGCGTCAGTAAAGCTTTTGGGCAGCGGTTTTTCCACGACTTCACTTTTCCTTGTCAGCAGTTGCTCTAAATCCGCTGTACTTTCGGATATATTAATGGATATATGTATACTTCGCGTGTATTTTTGTCGCTTCCCTTTCCTGGTTGATTTATAGCTTCGGTTTCTGACTTGTTGGATAGTTTGGCCCAACTTTGGGCTTGATGGGTTGTCCCTGGGATTGACTGCCCGCTTTCGGTTTCATTTAGGGTTTTATGGGTTGAATTAGGGATTGTACAGGATTTGTGTTCAGTTTGGGGCTTGATAGGCCATTTACTTACTTTTCCCGCCACGGCTTGCGGGAAATTGACGCCATCAATGTAATTCCGTGCAACCAACATTTTTTCAGGAGTTTGCAATTGGTTGTTAAAAGCAATGTTATTTCGTCTGTTGTTAGGGTATTTTGACTTTGGCTTCGTTGTTGGAGTTGGTTTACGCGGGAAAATAGCAGGGGGGTTGGTATAAAAAAGGCTGTCTCTCAATTTACGCACGAAATGCGCTAGGTGTATTTTGATTTTCTGGTGTAGTAACATTGAATCATAGACATAGAATGGAACTTATTATTAGTAAAAAGTTGGACTAGTATCTGTCAATTTCATTTCTGTAATTCTGTGCGTATATATACGCTCTTCAACGGAATAGTGGAGCAATTTATAGTTTGAACTCCATCAACATGATTGTTGCTCGAACTATCTCCAGTCCTTCGCCAAATTTGAAGCTCATTTTTGAAATCGTTTGTTGTTGAATCCAACCCGAAGACCTCTTCGATTGCATCTCGTAAACGGTCTGTTAATATTACCTCGATTAGCATCGAAATGAATGCGGAGAAATCTATATTTTTACTATTTTGAGATCTTATTGTGTTCCATATGTTTCGATCATTCTATTTCAGAATTTTAATGAGTGAGAATTTAAGAGTCACGAGTAGTGGCGACGATATCCGACACCTTCCGGTAGGAAAAGGGGTGTGAACTGGACCAATTGGTGTAATATTAGCAGCAATAATAATCCTAGGAGTTCACATGTTCACACTTGACACAGTAGTAAAGATAATTCACATGAAGGTTGTCTTTCCAAGACAACTCTGAGCTCCACAGGAACCATAAGACAAAGAAAATTCCGAACAGGGTATATTTCATTAATTTCATACACACACGCAGTAATGATATTGTGTCTGTATCTCCGTGATGATGCAGCACGGTTAAACGAGTCTACAAGTAATCTTGTCATATACTTCATAGTAAATTTTCGTGTAATTTTTTGAACATCGGTTAAATATAAGCTAAAACATCTCTAAGGAATACCAAGGTAGATGAGTGAAGGGAAAGTAGAATCACATGTAAACGACCTCTCCTTGTGCCAATATTTAATGTCCATAAACACGTTCAAATTACGTAAATTAGTCCTTTATTTGGCGAACTTCAAAACATTATTTATTATTTTCAATTTTCAAAATAATTCAAGAAATTCAAAGCAAATTACGAGGGATCATGACACAACTGGCAGGGGTTGATCGACTAGTTTTCTCCATGTTTCCGCTGCGTGTGGAGGGTCGTGCATCTCTTTTTGAAGCTCTGCTATTGTCGTATTGATGTATTCCGTACGTTTGGCATTTGCACGATTTTCAAGATCACCGTAGCTACCATTCGTCCAAACTCCGCCGATGAAATCAGTAGCATCTGTAAACTTCTCTCCTGTAAACTCGTCGGTCCATTCGGAAGTATAATGGTAGTCAGTTGGAGGTCGGCCGGGTGGTGGTGGTATGAGTTGGCTTTTTATTTTCACCTCAGTGAACAATGCCTCCCTCGACGTCTTCACACTTTTCCAGGTTTTATCTGCGTGATCAGCGTAATCAGGGCCATACCCCTGGATGGTTTTAATGTAGGATGATTGATGGGGATCATCAACAATGGGATCAACATACGCCAACTCTTGCAAAAGCGACAAGTGAACTCCAGCGCCGACTATGAATACTGCCAACGCGGATTCGGCAAACGATTTCTGCTGAAGCACGGCTACCATGTTGATTGCTAAATCACTGACTTTTGGTTCTAAAAGACTATGCAAATCATCTTTAGATGCACCAGAAGCTTTTCGGGGATTGTAATCAAATTTGACCCACGTCGAAGTTCCGTTTATCTCCCCGTCAATTTCGTTGATTGTGTTCTCTGTTATTTCTTGATGCATTATTTTTTCGATCTCTTTGTAAACTTCGGTGAAGTAGCTGGGGACATCCTGAGCGAAGATACTGTCGAACATTTCTGCTCCCACTTTACTTCCAATACCACTTATGACTCCTTTGAGCAAGTTCGCAGCGATTTCTTCAACTACAACGCTGGCCATGTTGATGTACTTAACTTGGCGATACAACTAACTCTGAACTCTGAAAGGGAAAACGAGGTGAATAACAAAGCTCTATACACAATAGAAATCATTCCTACTGCGATGGATAATGGATATGACTCTCTGTTACCTCAAAATGTTCAAAATCTCTTTCTGCAAAGACGGCCAAGCCTAACTCTGTACGTGGTTCGGGGAAAAATATTGTGAATTCAGGAAATACTGTTGTTGTAAATAAATCTGAGCTGATAAAACCAGTTTAGCCAGAAACAAATCCTGTTTCACTGAAGTGCCTGCTTGTCACTAAGTAAAACTTCCGGCCATATGTAAGCGAGCGCTTTTTTTGATTATACAAAGAATATATGGAAAAACCTTAGAAAACTCGTAAGAAATCTGAATCCACATTATCTAATGAGTTGGACCCTTCAAATGAAACATACTATTCATAAATACTCTAGCTACAACAATTTTTCTATGTCTTGTTCATGAAAGTGAAAACCCGAACTACAGGACTGCAAATGAATCGTCTTACCTGTGCTTGGGAATATATTCGATGCCAAACAGGTGCATAACGCCGTGGTTGCACAGAGGTATACGTCCTTGTGTGGGCAGGATAGTAGGGCTTCTGCGGACGAGGAGAGTAAAATTGGCCTCGCGGCACTGCAGGCTGATTGTTACGGCGCTGTGGGGGCCCATACGTGACCAGAGCTTCCGGGTAGTGTGGCTTTACTTGATTCACCCCACCTATTATGAATTTACAGTGTTCGTTTTACCAGTTGATCAAATTAACGTGTGCTCCTCTACTATACCGGCTACAGACGATATTATCTATTTATTTTTTAAGACGAATAGCTCAGAACCACGCCTAAACACGTATCTCTCGACGAAAACCTGTAAACAGCAACGCAGGCTATCTCAAAAAGCTATCGCAGGCTTCCTCTTCCAATTTCAATTTTTTGGAAAATGCATATAAGCTTTGAGACTGGGTTAATGTAAATTCTAGTCTGATTTTTTATTTGATCTTATGTACGTAACTGCACCTCCATGCATGGCTTCATCTGGAACGGTTCACTGGCACTAGATCGATTAGAAATTGTCTCACTGGTCAAGAAAAAATAGTTTAAATTAGGTTTATCTCGGGTGAATACTGAAATTATAAGCGATGAGCTTTTGTCAGACACACGGGAATAGCATTGTAGCAGACGATACAAATGTAGACAATCAACCTTCCTTCTGTCTTAAGTTCCCTTTTGTTCTTTCACAGGATCAAAAATACTTTCTATGGTGTACATCTGTATGAAGCACAGGGGACCGTTGGAATGTAGTTTACAAAAACTATAGCTAGCTATTTCAATCTTTCTTACCAATTTTTCTTGTCAATCTCACAAACACTATAGCTGGCTATTTCAATCTTACTGTAAGGATTATAGAGAGATCCATACGTCACGGTTCCTTGAGCAACTGAAATTAAAGTGGCAACACTACTAAGCATGAAGAGTAAAAGAATATTCATTTTGCCTGCCTGACTTTCTTAATCCGAACTCTTCACCGGCATAGCCAGACTTTAACGCCCCTCTTCATAGAGTCGAATGCGAGTTTCCACAGGAGCCATAAGACAAAGGAGATGACTCCGAACAGGGTATATCTCTATAATTTCATACACACATGCAGTAATGATATTGTATCTATATCTCCGTGATGATGTAGCATGGTTAAACTAGTCTACAAGTAATCTTATCATGCTTCATAGTAAATTTTCGTGTAAATTTTTGAACATCGGTTAAATATAAGCTAAAATATCTCTAAGGAATACCAAGGTAGATGAGTGAAGGGAAAGTAGAATCACATGTAAACAACCTCTCTTTGTGCTAATATTTAATGTCCATAAACACCTTCAAATTACGTAAATTTGACAACCTTTGTTTGGCGAACTTCAAAACATTATTTATTGTTTTCAATTTTCAATATAATTCAAGAAATTCAAAGCAAATTACAAGGGGAACATGACACAACTGGCAGGGGTTGATCGACTAGTTTTCTCCATGTTTCCGCTGCGTGTGGAGGGTCGTGCATCTGTTTTTGAAGCTCTGCTATTGTCGTATTGATGTATTCCGTACGTTTGGCATTCGCACGATTTTCAAGATCAGCGTAGTTACCATTCGTCCAAACTCCGCCGATGAAATCAGTAGCATCTTTAAACTTTTCTCCCGTCAACTCGTCGGTCCATTCGGAAGTATAATGGAAGTCAGTTGGAGGTCGACCGGGTGATGGTATGGGTTGGCTCTTTATAGTCACCTCAGTGAACAATGCCTCCCTCGACGTCTTCACACTTTTCCAGGTTTTATCTGCGTGATCAGCGTAATCAGGAGCATACTTCTGGATGGTTTTAATGTAGGATGATTGATGGGGATCATCAACATTTGGATCAACATACGCCAACTCTTGCAAAAGCGACAAGTGAACTCCAGCGCCGACTATGAATACTGCCAACGCGGATTCGGCAAACGATTTCTGCTGAAGCACAGCGATCATGTTGATTGCTAAATCACTGACTTTTGGTTCTAAAAGACTATGCAAATCATCTTTAGATGCACCAGAAGCTTTTCGGGGGTTGTAATCAAATTTGACCCACGTCGAAGTTCCGTTTATCTCCCCGTCAATTTCGTTGATTGTGTTCTCTGTTATTTCTTGATGCATTATTTTTTCGATCTCTTTGTAAACTTCGGTAAAGTAGCTGGGGACACTCTGAGCGAAGATACTGTTGAACATTGCTGCTCCCACTTTACTTCCAATACCACTTATGACTCCTTTGAGCAAGTTCGCAGCGATTTCTTCAACTACAACGCTGGCCATGTTGATGTACTTAACTTGGCGACACAACTACGTCTGAACTCTGAAAGGAAAAACGAGGTGAATAACAAAGCTCTATGCACAATAGAAATCATTCCTTCTGCGATGGATAATGGATACGACTCTCTCAGTATTACCTGAAAATGTTTGATTTATCTCTTTCTGTAAAGACGGCCGAGCCTTACTCTGTACGCCCGGGAAAAATACTTCCCATGACTTCAAAAATGACTTCAGGAAATACTGTTGTTGAAAATAAATCTGAGCTGATAAAACCAGTTTAGGCCAGAAACAAATCCTGTTTCACTGAAGTACCTGCTTGTGACTAAGTAAAACTTCCGACCATTTTAAGCACGTCCTTTGGATTATACAAAGAATATATGGAAAAACTGAAAAACCTTACAAAACTCGTCCAAACAAAATTCCTTGTATTGATGCCTAAATATAGATAAAAACACTTCCGGAGGCGGTTGTATAAAACTCTTAACAATATTTGGCATAGTTAAGTCGTAGTTAACTCTGATTGGCCAATTCTGTCGTTAACTACAGTTGAAAGTTTACTTAACTGGACAGGCCTCTATCGACAGAGACGCTGCCACGCTGCTCCTTGGTTATATATTTCAATTATTCTAATCATACATAATCAGTAAAGCTAGGTATGGTTTGGAAACACTTGTTCTATCCTTTTAGAAGAAAATGGACTTTGAATTGCTCAACAGTACTGTTGAAATTAAAAAGCTTTCTGGACATCGAATCTTAGCTCATTATAGACGCTTTAAAATTCCACTAGGTTGGCAGACAATGCCTCTTTTAACTCAGGCGGTTTTGCGAGATTGCTACTACTACAGCTTTGTTCTAATCAATCGTATTTCCTCGTTGAAGTCCATATTTTAGTTTCTCCACATTAAACAAAGGTTTCCCAACATTCCTTTCTGTCTCAATTTTTTCCTTTTTGCTGGCGTTCTCGTCTTTCACGATCTTCTCCGCTTTTGATTTCAAGGTTAGATTCATCAGATCTGAAGCCTTATCTTCGCCCTCGGCTGGTTTTTTCGAACTATCTTTCATCGGGACAGAACTATGCCCATGAGATACCGCTTCCTGATTTATCTCGCTCACCAATGAAGACTTTAGATTTGGTTTCGAGGCACTGTTGAGCAAATCAAACATTTTCACGGCAGTTTTCGTTGAATTCAGAGCATTAGAAAGGTCTGTTCCCGCCACACTTTCCGAAATTGTATTGTTAATTTTACTTATATCTTTATTTTTCCCCGTCTGCTCTTCGTTTGGCATTTCGCCTTTGTTATTATGCGCAATTGAGAAGTTCAGGACATTCCTCGTATCATTTTTTCCCGCTATACTGGTTTTCATAAGTTTTGTATACTTTCGTAAAACATGCAAAACTCGTTTCAAAAATTGCGAATTGTTGCTGTGTAGAACTTTCTGTTTAAGGAGCCCAAGGTCTACCTGGGCAGCGGCAAAATTAGCAGTTTTTCCTGGAAACTCGGGGCTCATTGGCTGTTTTTGACCTGTGTTATTCTCGGTACGAGGTCCTGTCGCTTCAGTAGAGCTTTCGGACAGCGGTTTTTCAGCGACTTCACTTTTCTTTGTCAGCGGTTGCTCTATATCCGTCGTACTTTCGGACTGCGTATTTTTGTCGCTTTCCTTATTCTTCGCGACAGTTTTTTCGGCCTGGGTAATTGTAACACGTTCACTTCCTGGTCGATTTACAGCTTTTGTCTCGGGTATGATCGCTGGATGTACTGTGGGCTCTTCGTTGAAGGTTACCCGGCTTCCACCGGGAGATCCCATCGAACCCAGTTTCCTTGTAGGCGGCGCAAAATTTGTCGGTCTGTGCTGTGATTTGTTGCTGACGTCATCGTCATAGTAAATAAGACCTTGTTTCATGGTATTCCCTTTCAAGGTATCTTGAAGTTTATTTACTTTTTTGAGAAAGGTAGATAATTTCTGGCCTGTCGGAGAGTTTGGCCCAACTTGGGCTCTGATAGGTTGACCCTGGAATTGACTGCCTGCTTTCAGATTCATTTGGGGTTTTATGGGTTGAATTGGGGATCGCACAGGATTTGTGTTCATTTGGGGCTTCATAGGCCATTTACTTACTTTTCCCGCCACGGCTTGCGGTATATCGACGCCATCAATGTAATTCCGTGCAGCCAACGTTCTTTCAGTAGTTTGCAATTGCTTGTTAAAAGCGATGTTATTCCGTCTGTTGCTTGGGTATCGTGATGTTGGCTTCCCTGGTGGAATTGGTTTACGCGGGAAAATTGCAGGGTTTTTTGGTATATGATTTCTACTGTAGGTACCAGGGGCTATAGGCTGCGCACTAAGTCTCTGGGGAAATCGTGAGTTGATTGATGGACGATATAAGATCGGTTGTTTTAGCGCCATGGTTCTAGTGAGTGGTGTTTGAGGGATTCCGATCGGCTGTCTAATAAGTGGCTGTGTAACGAGAGGCTTTATTGGTTGACCTATTAGACTAGCGCTCATTGGCCTAATCGGCTGAATTTGCTGTCGAACGGCAGAGTTCATTGGTTGTCTTACAACTGGTCTAACAGCGGCTTGACTGGTAGGCATGAAGTATCTTTGGGCCGCTGCAGGACGGGTGTAGCTCCTAATTTGACCAAGAGCATTTACTGGCTGGGGATGATTTTGAGCGTAAACCTGCGGATGGGTAAGTACGTAGGGCTGCGACTGGGCAGGCGGGTTACTTCGCGGTTGTGCTGGTCTGTACACTAGACGTGGTTGACCATAGGTGTAGGCCCTTGTCTATAGGAATGTAGAAACAGATAAATTGGGCATGAATATGTTGGCAGAAATATTATAAATCTTTTCAACGGAACTAATCGAGACGATCCAATCGAGACGATACAATCAACGAAAAGATAGTGGTGGATAGGGCTCATCCAATTCTCAAAATAAATTTGAATTTCGTCAAATCTTTACCGGCTCAAAAATTTAGCTAATATAAAACTAAAGTATTATTGCTAGTGATGATGAACCAAGTTAGGATAGCGTAAGAAATCTGAATCCATATTTATCTAATGAGTTGGACCCCTCATATGAACCGTACTATTCATAAATACTCTACAACAATTTTTCTATGTCTTTGTCTTATTCATTGGAGTTAAAACCGGAATTACAGGACTGCAAATGAATCGTCTTACCTGTGCTTGGGAATACATTCGATGCCGAACAGGTGCATAACGCCGTGGTTGCACAGGGGTATACGTCCTTGTCTGGGCAGGATAGTAGGGCTTCTGCGGACGAGGAGAGTAAAATTGGCCTCGCTGCACTGCAGGCTGATTGTTACGGCGCTGTGGGGGCCCATACGTGACCAGAGCTTCCGGGTAGTGTGGCTTTACTTGATTCACCCCACCTATTATGAATTTACAGTGTTCGTTTTACCAGATGATCGATATCAAATTAACGTGTGCTCCTCCACTATACCGGCTACAGACGATATTATCTATTTATCTTGTTGTTTATTAAGACGAATAGCTGAGAGCCACGCCTAAACACGTATCTCTCAACGAAAACCTCTAAACAGCAACGCAGGCTATCTCAAGAAACTATCGCTGGCTTCTTCTCCTAATTTGAATTTGGACAATGCATATAAGCTTTGAGACTGGGTTAATGTAAACTTTTTCTGGTCTGATTTTTTATTTGATCTTATGTACGTAACTACACCTCCATGCATGGCCAAGAAAAAAAAGTTTAAATTAGGTTTATCTCGGGTGAATACTGAAATTATATGCGATGAGCTTTGGTCAGACACACGGCAATAATATTGTAGCAGACGATACAAATGTAAACAATCAAGCTTCCTTCTGTCTTCATTTTCCTTTTGTTCTTTCACAGAATCAAAAATACTTCCTATGGTGTACATCTGTATGTAGCACAGAGGACCGCTGAAACGTAGTGTACAAACACTATAGCTGGCTATTTCATTTTTTCTTACCGTAAGGATTATAGAGAGATCCATACGTCACGGTTCCTTGAGCAACTGAAATTAAAGTGGCAACACTACTAAGCATGAAGAGTAAAAGAATATTCATTTTGCCTGCCTGACTTTCTTAATCCGAACTCTTCACATAGCTAACGCCCCTCTTCATAGAGTCAAATACGAGTCTTTGCATGCGAACTTAGCCAATTTAAAACTGTTATTGTCTATATCGTCTATATGACGACATTCAGTAATAAGTCAACTCTCATATATAGCGATAAGACAGCTTGAACAAACTAGAACAACATTAACAACAGGTTTTTGTGGCGGAAGAAAATGTAAGGATAAAAACATTGGTAAAAATAAGTTCTGAACTTGTTGTCTCGTTCTTCAATAACTTGATTTATTGAGGAAACGAAATTTAGGGAGGAATAATTTGTTTTTACTACCTGCAGGAACAACAGGTCTCTGAATAAGGTGTGGCAATGTGACTGCCAAGTCAGCCGTTTCATCACAAGTTGCTAAAGGAATTAATCTGATTAGCAGGTGTTTATATCTAATTAAACTAGACTAAAACTAATTTGCTGCTCTGGATACTACGTTAGATTTAAGTAAGTTGTTGTCTTGTCGAGCCGTAACAGATCCAGGCTGTTCTATCATTGGACTGCTGAACATGTTCAGGGAAGGGGTGCTCGAATTTTATCCTTTCTCAATGTGTCAGAACGGATACCCAGACGGGCAATCAGTATACGCTTGGTCCCATCATGTGAACACAGTGTATAGATTATCCAAAAAATGTGTCTGAAATAAACTTATAACTAGTTATAGTCTTATAGATCAAAACTATGAGCCATCTTTTTCTGCGTTGAGTGATTTTTCGTATCACTAGATTAAAGCGTATCCCGCTGGCTAAATCCATGCAGACACTACTTTGATCTATAAGAGAAACTGGACTGTAAACCAGAGCCTTTTACCCATGCTTACATGAATATTCGACATTTTTATGCAATACTTCCAAGCCATGCAGAATGTTGGTTTTTAAATTTGAAATGTTTACATAAAATCTACGAGATTGAAACAAGAATCTCCTGTTGAAAGCAAGAAAATGGCTTATTGTCTCTTAAATGCAACGAGGAGAAGATGTTTCGGTAATCGCTGGTTGCCGAGATCAGTCAGATCACCAGTTGAAGTGCAGAATATCAATTTTAGATTGTGTCGTTCTGGTAGTTTTGTTTACAGGTTCGTTTCAATCGTTTGTCTATCGAGCGTTTATAATTTATAATCCTTAGGCTTGTCGTTGTAAGTTTCTTTGTTAGGATTATAGTAAGGACTATGGTTTAAATAGATCAGTGGATCAAGTGCCTCAGTCCTAATTAAGGGACTATTCCCCTTATATTTTGCAGATGGGTCATAACAGGCCCACCCCTTTTGTGCCAATCATACATCAACAGCTGTTGCACCAAAACATTGATTCTGTATCCTGTCAAATTTGACATGATCTGTGAAATCCTACGCCCCAGGCCAATTATACCTGGTGTAACATACAAACTTTCCACTGCAGGGGATTATTTCCATGTAGAAGTGCAGGTATAAGGTTTATGCATGTCTTGAAATTTGTCATATGTAGATGAAGATTGATCCTAAAGAACCATGAAATGTAATTCATATATAATAGTAGTGTCAAATATATACTGTTGACAAGGAAATAGATTACCTATTTGGACGGATTGTTCATCTTTCACAATTAAGATGAGCATTATCTTCCCCATTTCAAATGCCTTATATGAATGTAATGAAGTTATAAGACAGGCTCAAGTCTTGTGCTATAGTTCTGTGCACAGGTTAATTATTAGCCTGGGTTTTGTTTTAAAGTGAAAATGGAATCTTGTTGGAATTGTTTCTAGATCTTTACGAAGTCTTCCAAATCTTGTCCAGCCGGGTCTACTTAAAGCGACAAAAAATAATGCTCGAACTTTCCTTACATTATCTGGTTTCGTCAATGTTCTTTGTAGAAAAGGACCCAAACTCTTTTCTTCAAAATATTTATGGCTGACTTGCACTGGTGCAGTATGTCTTAAAGCGAAACTAACAACTGCCTATTGTTCTATGAAACTGAGTCATAAAACCACTCCGAAGATAAGAACAGACATAAAACATGATGTTGAAGCCAAAAAGAAGAAACCTAAAATAGCATTTACAGAGTTTTTAAAGTTTTTATGGCCGGATTTGTGGCTGCTCGTACTTGCAAGTTTTTGTGCTTTTGGAGTTGCGTTGGTTAACGTGAAGCTACCATTGCTACTGGGCGAGCTGGTTAATGCTGTGTCTTCTTTATCAGAAGGAAGTATTTCCGACTGCGCGACACTTCTAAAAGCCCCAGCGAAGAAGTTGGTTTTTATTTACGTGACACAAGGGACACTGACGTTCGTTTATATCAGTTTGCTGTCGTCGTTTGGTGAAAGGCTGGCCGCTCGCCTGAGAAACAGCTTGTTTACCTCCCTGGTAAAGCAAGATGTGCAGTTCTTTGACGCCCATAAAACTGGTGAACTCATCAGCAGGTAAGTAAGTTGGAGTTTATAAGACAGGAAATACAAAAAGGACTTCACCAGCAACCCCTGAAACTAAACTTTCAAACCTTACCTTTCAACAATTTTGAATGAAATGAAAACCGAAGTTGATTTTATTCGAGCGACTTAGTTCGGCCGGTCAAATTCGGGTCGCGTGTGCTTGTCTTTAGTTCACTCCAGATGTTCACTCCAGATGTTTTGAAGTCAGTTAAGTGAGATTTTAGGACGAAAATGAAATATAAAGAGTTGGTATAAAGTAATGTGTGATATTTTCTCCAGATGTCCCCCCCCCCTCAATCTTTATATTTTAGTGTGGGAAACTCTACCTCGCTCAGTACACCAATATGGTAATACTCACAATTCAAAATGATTTACAGGCTAAGTTCTGACGTGCAAGACTTCAAAAGTGCGTTTAAACAGATCGTGTCCCAGGGTCTACGCAGTGTCACTCAAACTGTCGGCTGTGTAGTGACGCTCTTCATGATCTCGCCAAAACTCACCCTGTTGATAGGAAGCCTGGTGCCTAGTGTTATTATATGCGGAACATTACTCGGGTCTGTCTTAAGGAAGATGTCTCGCGAGGCGCAGGAACAATTGGCTACTGCTTTGGCCGTTGCGGATGAGTCTTTGGGCAACGTACGAACTGTGAAGGCTTTCGCTATGGAGAAGAAGGAAATAGGGTAAGAGCCTTTGAGTTTCTAGAGTGTAGTGGAAGGACGCAGTTTCAAAAACGCATTCGTGCTTTGTTTCAAAACTATGTAGGAAGAATGAAAAAGTGCAATACTCTCAACGCCCCTCCTTCACCCTCCTCTTTCCTTCTTTCTTGTAACCTTCTTTCACCCTCCCTTCCCTCTATAGTCTCTTCCCTTCTTCACTTTCCCTCGTTTACCCTCCCTACTTTACCTACCCCCTCATTAACCCTTCCTCCTCACTCTCCCTGCCTCCTCACTCACCCTTCCTCCTCATTCACCCATTCTCATTCTTCACACTTCTCCTTTACCCTCCTAAATATCATAATGTGTTCATGCAGGTTATACACCGACGAAGTGGAGCAGTCACGAAGACTGAACGAAAGACTGGGGATAGGTATTGGTGCATTTCAAGGTCTGACTAACGTAACCATCAATGCACTGACCTTAGTCGTGTTATACGCTGGCGCTTCTCAGTTGGCAAGCAGCGAGCTTTCTCCTGGAAATCTGATGAGTTTTCTTGCTTCAACGCAACTCATACAAAGGTCTGTGCTTTTCATGGATGTTGTTTTTTTCCCATCTCTAACAACGACGTACAACTGAATTTAATATACATGTGGGGTCCTTCGGCAATCACGACTAATATCACTTATAAAATTTGCACGTCAAAACAAATAGGATCTTCGTCCCTTGGATAGACCTTTAGAGACCTAGAATTTTTATTCCGCTATATCTGCTTTGTGAAAAAGTGGTCCAGATTTGTTTAATAATGTTGATAAATTACCATTTTTCTGAAGTAAAAGAGGGACTTAACCCTCCACGTGGTTATTTTTGCGGTAAGGGTCTCGGCCCTCAAGCGCCTCCCCCCCGTCCCTCATACTTCAGAATATCAATGAACCCTATAGTATAATAACTAAGACAGTATCGTTCTACAAGTTTTACGGATACCTCATACCTTTCGCGATGCGTGTATAGTATATTACATATATAAGTTCCAATATAACCAAGGAGCAGCGTGGCAGCGTCTTCAAACAACTTAGCATCAAATGTGGTATAATAACTGCCTATAAATAGACAAAACAGGAGGCCCTCAGGTCGAAACGTCGAGAAGTAACTCTCCTGACGAAGGCCCTAAGGTCGAAACGTCGAGAAGTGTTTTGTCTATTTAGGCAGTTGTTATACCACATTTGATGCTAAGTTATTACATATATAGCGCAAGGAGCAATTGCAACGTAGTTTCGACGCAAGCGCAATGGAGTTTCGACCGCAAAGCATTGTGGGAATATTTGACGTCACTTTAAAACTGTGGGAAACCCCAAATTCCTAAATTCCTGGTGCCACAACTTGTTCATACCTGTGTCTCGCTAGAGTTACTTCATTGCTTCAAAACCGCGTCGTATATAGAGCTAGCACATCGAATTTCGTCACAACTGAACTTCCACCCATATTCTACTACACTTTTTTTGGAAAATTTATTTGTGTGAACCTCGAGGTAAGTGTCCCTTCAAGCATAATAATATAAGCTTGTGAACGTATACCTGATTTCGAAAGTAATCCGACAGATACCTAAATAAGGCTGTTGCACATTAACCACATTTAACTTTTAAGCCTTTAAAAGTCAGCTCACTTCCGTAAAAGGCAAAGGCGAAGTATATATCAAACGCTGTTCTTTTTAACATGAATAACTCTATTACCGAATAAAGTGTAAAAGTTTGTTGTTTTGATTAAACTTTTAATTTATTCATATTCAGTTTAAGAATATAAAAAATGACGAAGTATATAATTGATTATTGTATATGATGATGCTATTTTCAACGATTCAAGATTCATAGTTTCGATATTTTTTACTCGTTATTGTATAAATAAATAATGTATAATGAAATACACGCCAGTTACCGATGCGAGTGTTTCATGTGCTGGTGTCGTGTGAAATCTATACAGTGCTTTGTCTGTTCGATGCGGTAGACTACTCCCTCACAACCCAATTATTTAAATTAGCTGTGTGACGTCTGTTGAGACTGAAAATACCATTTATCACTGCACATTTCTCATTTTATCACTGCACGTTCTACTTTCATCATTGCTTGTAATTGTTTATATAATGTAATTGTTTTTATCGCTCTAGAATATTTCAAGGGAATGTCAGGCAAAAGAGAAGAAAAAAATGTCAAACCTGGTGCTAAAGCAATGACATTTTTCAAAGAAGGAAATTATAAAGAAGCGATAAACGAGTATGCCAAGATCCTGAAGACGATGCCAGATGACGAACGTAATAAGAAAGTGGCCCTCTACAATCGTGGGATGTCGTACAACAAACTGGGGAAACACGACTTGGCTTTCGAAGATGGAGAAAGTTGTCTGAAGATTGATCCATTATGGGTTAAGGGATACAAATGTAAGGGGTTGGCTCTTGAAGGCCTGGGAAGACTTAAAGATGCTATTAATACTTTTCTGGAAGGTCAAAAGACGTGTAGTGGCACAGACGAAAATACTGAAGCAATTTTGAATCCCCTTATTGAAAGTTTAAACCAAGTAAGTTGGTCAATGTTCTAACCTGGTCCCCTAATAGATATGTCATGTGAGTATGTATCTGTATATTGTAAACATTTAATCAAACCGTAGCTTTTTTTTTCAGAAATTTCGTCCAGTAATATGATAATCGAACCATATAGACATAGACGTTCATAATGTTGTTGCTTGTTATTTACTGTTCAATCCAGGTTTAATAAACAATTATTGGATGAGGTTTTTGTGATATGCAGAGTTATCAAGGTCGAGGTAAGCGTTATCAGCCGAGCCGAATCACAAAAACCGAATTCAATAATTGTTTTATTATACATTTGAAGAATAGTAAACATAGTATTAAGGAATGAAAAACCTTATTTAATAGCAACATCCAAAAATACATCAATTATTAATACATAAATACATTCAAATGAATACCGCTTGTTAACCACCGCAGGTTCATTTGCAGATAACTCAGTTATCTGCTAGCCGATGACTGAATTTTGCGTGATTGCGCGATTTATCTGTCAACTATTAGCCCATCAAATTGCTTTTACTACTATAATGTATAATAGTACTTTTTAGTTATCCTAGATATACCTTTATTTTGCCAGAAATATATATGCAATTTTCTCCTTTATGCAACTTTATGATTGCTTGGATGACAGCGATCATTCGTTGTTGAATTGTGCATTTGTTGGTGGTTCTTATCATTATTTGTTTACTTTCAGAAGTTAGCTGAGGACAACATAAAAAATACCAAAAAGGTGAAGGGTAAAAAACCAGGAGCCAAAGCAATGGAGTTGTTCAAGGAAGGAAAATTTAAAGAGGCGATAACCCTGTTCACCGCGTATTTAACGACAGAGCCAGATGATTCGAATAAGAAAGTTGCCCACTACAACCGAGGCATGGCATACTACAACCTGGGTGAACATAAAAATGCCTTAGAAGATGGAGAGGAATGCCTGAGAATTGATCCGTTCTGGGCAAAGGGATACAAGTGCAAGGGTTTGGCCTTTTGGAAGGAATGGGAAGGCTTAGAGCAGCTGCGGAGACGTTTATAGATGGTCGAAAAATGTGTGCTCGGTGGGACCAAAATACAGATTCAGTTCTTGGTGAATTAATGAAAAGAATTAACAGAGTGACTGGATTTCTCGAGGATGACCTTGATCTGTCCGATAGAATGAAAAAAGAGACGTACTGCGTGACTTGTAAAAAGTTTGAGAAGGACATGGGTGATGGAAAGAAATTCATAAGCTGTGATAGATGCAAGATGGTTAATTATTGTTGCCAGCGACATAAAGAAGAGAACAGCCATATTCACGATGAGGTTTGTGATGAATTGTTGGCGATGTCAAAAAATTCCTTCAGCGACTTTCACGTTCAAATTTTTCTAAAGGAAGATGCTCTAGCCTTGTTAGCTTTGAAACCCAAGGGACCCAAAGGGCAGCAAGAGATTGACATTTTGAAAAATTTTGAACTTCCACCGGAATACAGAAGTGTCATGGATTATCTGAGAGGCATTGGTGACGGAAATTTTTTGCCGCTGTACCAACTGGACATGTTCAAACCAATAACTCCGTTGCAGCGAAAAGAATTGAACACTTGGACTGATTTGTTTACAATAATTTATAAGAAGGCACGCAAACCGAGAATGACAACCGATTTTGACAGAGTCGTATGCACCAAATGCATCCAAGCAGAAGTTGAAGAACGAGACAAAGATACTATGAGTGAACTCACGCTTCTTCTAACTGATCCCATGACTGTGTTCCATGCGATGAAACAAGTTGGCTTGTTAAACGACCGAGAGAAGGATAAAATACTCAAACTTCACGTTGTAGGTGCTGAACCAATGCATGAAATTCCTAACATCAGAGTTTTTTTTTACGTCCTGTCAAATCTTATTGGATGTGAACTTCGTATTGTTTATGTTGGGCCACTACTTACATCCCCACCAGGACAAGTACAAATCGTTAGTCCAGTGATTACTTTATTTCGAGGGACCTACCAAGAATACATTCTTACCAGTGACTACAAGAAACCGGACTGCATTGTGGCTTTTTTTCCTGGTCTTTACGATGGTACTTATAACTGGCTCCCAGTCGTAGTCTATGCTATTGCAAAGAGGGTTCCGTTTCTATTCACTTGCCACAGTAAAAATGACTACCAGAGAACGAAGGATTGGTTGATGAATGGATGTCAAATGAAACCAGAAATTGTTCAGGATTGCCTTAACCCATTTGGCTCGCGAGAAGCCTGCCAAGAAATTCCCGGTTCTAACTTAATCATGAAAAGGAATATGTTCAGCGTTCTTTTCACGGGAGGAGACTTGGGTGCTTTGGAACGTCTCCTGCGGAATGAAGATAATGAAGTTAATCTTTTCCATTTCTTACTCAGAACCGGAAACATAAAATCATTAGGTGATCTGTTGAAATTAAAGATGAGTAGTAAGGTGTAAGCCACTTTACTACAGCGAGGAAAAGCAGAATTCGACCAGAATTTCAGGAAAATTGTTTGTCGTCCGGACAGTTTTCACAGCAAGCCAAAAACTGTGGTATAAACCCCCAAGTTATATTTTTTACTCATGCAGTTTATTTAACTATCTTTAACATTTACCTTAATCTTTAAAATATCGTACTATACATTGTTGTTGGTTCGCTAAAATACATATAGTTAGCTAACTTTGGTTTGTAGGCCTACGACAACAATGTGTTACACTGCAACAACCATATGTCCAGTGAAGCTCCTTGGCAAGTGATGTCTTGAAACTGTACAAGTGTAGTAGAATATAGGCACAAACTATAGTCTAACCGCAACATAAAGTTTCAAAGAAACCTAGAACTTAGGTCGTACATGTAAAATGTTTTATGATAATCAATGATATTGTAAACAGTTTGAAAACGTAATCGTGTAGCTGAAGACAAATAAACGCATTTCTTCTTTGTACCATAGCGTTGCTTCTGGTATTCTTATATCCACCAAATAAGTGCAAGCATTTCTGGTGTTCACAGCTATATCAGCTGCATGAAGTAACATTCCTTATTAAATTCTATATAGATCAATGGGCAACATTTCTATCCTATTCGGTCAAGTGATCCGTGGACTAAGCGCAGGATCTCGTGTTTTTGAATATATGATGTTGGAGCCTAAGATAAACAACCAGGATGGTTTGTGTCCTCGCCTCAACGAGATCCAAGGAGAGATTTTTTTCAATAATGTTCGCTTTGAGTATCCCACTAGACCTGGTCAGAAAGTACTTAGAGGTTAGAATGATATTTTTTTCGTATTACTGGATTATAGCAATTCATCTTGCGCTTATATTTTAGCAAATTTTTGAAGATACATTGCGACCGACATTTTCTCCTCAATGTTGTATAATCATCATTATATCCATCATTATTCCAATCATCAGCATCAATCATCATCACAATTGTCATTATTACAATCATCATTATTACAATCATCATTATTACAATCATCATTATAGCCATGATTATTCAAATCATCAGATTCAATCATGATCACAATTGTCATTATTACAATCATCAAAATCATCATCTTTCTAATTATTACAACATTATTTCAATTATGATTATCACAATCATTGTTACAATCCTCATCATTCGAATCATTATCACAATCATTATTATCACAATCATCATTGTTACAAACGTCATTATTACAATAATCATTATTAAAATCGTTATTATCACAATCATCATTTCTACAAACGTCATTATAATGATTGTAATAATGATGATTGTGAAAGTGATTATTATAATATCACGATTAATGCTTGCATCATCATTACAATGAACACCACGACCATCGTCCTAGTCATTCACACTATATTTTTATCCGACCTTAGGTCTAAATTTAGTGGTCCGCGCCGGTGAAATGGTGGCATTATGTGGACTTAGTGGATCAGGAAAGTCAACAGTGGCGTCACTTATCGAGAGATTTTATGATGTAGATGGCGGTTCCATCACCATTGATGGACATAATATAGATAAGTTAAGTCCTGCGTGGATACGTGGGGAACTTGTTGGATATATAAACCAGGTGAGATATTCGCAGGGAAAATAGTACGTAGTTACCACAAGATGTGGTGGTGCTTTAACAGACGCTTGTGCATACTTAGGTGGTAGTAGGTGGACCATTTCAATATTTTTCTAAGCTCATGTTACTTGGACTTTTGCTCCAGAGGCAAGCAAATACCACCATGCAATGAAATACTATTAAATTCCTCGATATAGGAGCCAGTGCTGTTCGCAACTTCAGTGTTAGAGAACATTCGATATGGTAAACCAAGTGCAACAGACGAGGAGGTATGCTATACAGGGGTTAGAAGGTGAACGAACAGGTACACTCTAAATAAACAAAAGCGCAAGCAGGTACAATATAGAGGATACTATAAGGTGGACCAGATAGTATGTACACTATACAGGGATTAAAAGTGATCGAGCGGGAGTAAAAGATGGACGAGCATGTGTACATACTATACTGCATAGGGTATAACGCAGGACAAACAGGTACATCATACAGGGGTTAAAGGTGGACGAGGAGATGCAGCATTAATATAAGCGGTAGCAGTTGGATGAGCAGGTACACTATACAGGATAAAAGGTGTTAGGTTAGCTAGACTGTATGTAGGTGGAATTGGACGAACAGGTACATTGGAATGGATTTCTTGTGATATATGTGTATCTTCCTATTCAGGTGCATCTGGCAGCGAGACAAGCAAATGCTCATGACTTTATAACGAAATTCCCGGAGGTAATGCACTGACCACCACTAGTCAGTATCCTTTTGCTGAGGAGTTGAGTTGTCTGGCTTTAAACGACGTTTATCATTCAAAACCGATTTATCTTTGCTTTAAGGGATATGAGACTGTATTAGGCGAACGTGGCGTCACAGTTTCCGGGGGACAGCGACAAAGGTATAAAGGATATTATTCGATAAATTAGATAAATTCGACCGAAGGACGTTAACCTTATAAATTGCACAACGTTTTTTGAAGTATGTATTGTCTTGTCATTTATACAGGATTGCAATAGCAAGAGCCTTATTAAAGGATCCGAAAATACTGATTCTTGATGAAGCCACGAGGTATGACACAATTTGCTGTTATATATAAGCTTTCTACGACTATCATGAATATCAGTTAGAGCTATCAAGTCTTAGTAAAAGTTACTGTGTAGGGGTCGCTTGTTGAAACATTCCAAAGCGTTTGTGTAATAAATTCTGAATCATTTTTCTGCTGAAATCATTTCTGAATCAATTAAAATTTCTTGTGTTTTAAAGTTTCTAAAACGAAACGAATTACCCAAAACGTTGGATTGATTAAAAAGTACAATACAATATCACTAATTCATATAATAAAGACGTTCCCTAATTATTTATATCCATCATAAATACAGTAGAAACAGAATACATGCATTTTGACTTTTTATTCAAGCGCTCTCGACGCTGAGTCGGAAAGGGTCGTTCAAGAAGCACTGGATCAGCTGACCGAAGGAAGAACTGTATTGGTGATTGCGCATCGTCTTAGCACGATACAAGAAGCTGGTATGTTAAGGCAGTTGTATTGATCTGAAAACATAGTCTGGATGGCGAATCGAGTACCAATATTTAATCCAAAAAGCCATTTTTAAAGCCGGAATATCCAATAAGATAATTTTTTATCTGAAAAAGCAATAGAGAAACAGACAAATATACTTTCTGATGTATCAGCGTCAGAAATAACATCCGTCGTCTCTTTTAATAGCATTTAGTGAGGATAATCCGTGTTGTACTCGTGTGATCCCGTCGGCAAGTTAGAAACACATTGATTTGAAATATTTTTATTTTAGACGCAATAGCTGTATTGTCAGACGGAAAAATAAAAGAGGTAGGGAAAACTTTATTATTTCTTAGTTATTATGATCGCTGAGATGGATATAGTGGAAGTTACATTGTTGATTATGATCATATCGGTCATGATACTGGTGTTGGACGTTGGTAGAATATCATGATTCTGCTGTTGGTAGTTGTTAAGGTTGGTAATGTACTGGTTTTGGTTGTTTTGATAATTGTGCTGAAATTGATGATTGTGGTGTTTATAGTTGCGATGGTAACGATGCTGTTTATGGTAGTTGTAATAGTTGTGCTGAATGTAATGATCCAGGAGTGGTAGTTATGCTGATTGGTTGGAATGTGTTGGATGGTAACGATGTATCTTATGATAGTCTGTGCTGAATTACTTGTGATGGTAGTTACGATAACGATACAAGTATTGCTGCTATAGTTGTGATGGTAACATTACTTGTTGTGCTAAATGTGATGATACTGGTGTGTGGTTTTGATGGGGATGTTTGTGGTGGTACTGGTGATGGCAATGTCATCGTGATGTTCCTGACAGTGATAGTTATGATGGTGGTAATACGTATGATGCTAGTTATGTTTATAATGGTGGTAAATAGGAAGAGTACAAATGTTGGCAGCCATGGCGACGATTGTCCTCATGCGATGTGTCTTCATTTTAGCTTGGAACTCATACAGAACTGATTAAAAAGAACGGTCTTTACGCTGAACTTGTGAGAAGACAGACTATCCTATTACATCATCATCACTATCAATAGAGTTCTCCTTCAGTTGATAACAACAAAATTCAGGTCAGTTAGTGCATGTTAGCTTCGAAATATTGACAAATATTGTCTCATGCATGTTAAATTTAGCGACGCCTTAATTTCATGAACATGGATTCAAGACTTGCAATGAAACAAAATTCTTCGAAGTATTGTTTAACAAAATAGTTTTATTCACTTTAAACATAACGTGATGTATTTGATACAGTCATATAATCATGATTATAAGATAACTATGTATAGTACTTTATGTTATAATGATCTGGCAATACACACGACAACATATACAAACCAATCACTGCAAATTTTAGTTGCGGTCTCCTAAACTAAGTGGGTTTTTCTCGAGCGCCTAAGACACAAACAATTGTTCACCAAATTAAAGTTACAATACAAGATCTACACACAAACATAAAAATCCCATTTTTGTGTTAAAATAAACAAAAGGGAAACTGGTCTTTAAAATACAAATCCATTATCGTCTAAAACTAATCTTATATTAATGTGGATATATTTACAACTGGGGTTTGCTATAGTGAAGCTCCAAACGCCTTTCAAACAACATTATGTTTCCATTTTCATCTTAACCATTATTTTTTCTTCTAAATTTATAAAAGGAGATTAGGTTAGGTTTCATATATCATTAAACCACAGGAGAACATTCATGCATATATAAAGAAATTTTTGTATTCTTCATGATGAATTTTGGAATCACCTATAGATCGATACTTTTCTGAGACTTACTTCTTTGAGGAGCATGTGTGTCTTTTTATTGCCTTATTCATGTCGTTTTTGCTCAGTCTAACCATTAGCTTCTCGATTGTCATGTGCTTTTTTCCCTTACAAGATAAAGCAAAAAAATATTTCAGGAGAATTCCAGAGAAGAGGACTCTGTTAGGGCCTTTCTTGGAATGGACTTGCTCTAGGGTACTGTTTCATACAACTATATGTGTATACAACTGATACAGACTGGCCCTTAAATATCTCGAATAGATTCTCGGGGGAAATACAAATGGGGCGGAGTTTCATGTGTCCCTTAGTATCTCTTTTTGTAATTACCTTCTTTGCTAAAATCAGAACTTCTCCATTGACTCTTCTGAATTTCTTTCTACATGACACTTTCAACTGTATCTGGTGTGAGGCGATGTTTGTGCAGGATGATCGAGCGAGGATTGCAACGTTACCTTGACGTCGTCCTATTCTCGCATGGAAAACTGTAAGAAGAATTTACGAACGTTCATTCAGAATATCACACGGTGAACAGAGTTTGATGTGTGATCTTGTTTGTGACTTGTTTGCATGTGTAAGTTTTTAATTACGTCAGCAGAATACACAGGAATAAGCACTAGCAACTAGTTAACTATAGGCGTTTGGGCGTTGAGAAATGACTTGAGGTTATGAAATGAGTCTTTTGTCCAGAATTTGAAAAAAACTCTTATGTGAAGACTTTGTGAAATTTTTCAAATTCCACTTGCAACCATGAATATATATAAACATGACACTTATTGCAAAAGAAGGCAGGACAACATACCGTAATCATATTTCCTTAAAAAGGCTTGATTGATACTTTTTCGACGCGAGGACACTTGAGAACGTTTGGGACAATGAACTGTGTGAAAAAAAATTGTGGTGAACATTGATGATCGCGGGTTTGATTTCTGCCAGTGTGCCTGAGTGGCGTTCAGCCTAAAATGTGGGCTTTTCGCCAACGAAGATATTGACCGTAATTCATACTGTATTGTACCTTATCGCAATTTATACTTATAGTCTTGTAAAAATACCGCTTAACCTTATCTGATTTATCCTAACGATGACTGAATGGTTAGCGAGATGTAGATAAATACATAAAGTCAGGTGTACTTTGCAGTTTGCCCAAAGATTGGACATATATTTTCCTTTTATGTTTCCATATTTAAAAACCTGATATTAATATTCCGGAATGAAGTAGTGGAAAATATCGCATTAATTCCATGGTATTCCGCCGGTATTAATTCCATGCCCAGAATTCACGAGTTTAATCCTTAATCCAATCCTTTAGAGTAAGTAGTTTAGGATTAAAATTAAGATTATATTCGTACATTCTGGACACGAAATTACTACCATATCGTCACCACGCTTCCACTTCCAACACTTTTCCACTGAGCGCGCGCGAATACAAAAATACATTTTTTGGAATATTACAAACAAGTATTTTTCATGTAAACAAATTAACAGATTGTTTTAAATATGATTCAATATGCGTATTGTACAATTAGCAGTTTCATCTCTTACATCAATACGCGGAAATCCTGAATAACACAATATGTCCAGATTTATCTCTCGCACGGAAAACAAAATCTCCGCCTACAGTATTTAGTCAAGTGTTTTTCAAATTTCCGCTGGGCGGGATTTTCGATGGGAATTGAATCGTTGCGAGTGAAACCCACAGGCTTACAGCTACCTAAATAAACTTGTTATACTGAGTAACACCTCTGGTTCCATGCTGTTCTTCCTAAAGATCCAGGGGGCTCTATTAATCCAGTCAGTGTTAATATACTTATTCCGGATGTGAAACAAGGACCTCAGGATACAGGCGCTGTGTCATTTCCAAAACTGTTCTTGCAAAGTCGAGAAAGGACTATATCATTTTTATGTCTATCTTATACAAACAGTAGTCTTCTTTTACTGGTCAGTAGCCCAGCAGATGGAAAACTCGTCTGTCTTTCTTATCAAAACTTCAATTAACATATGTTTGCTAATGCCTTTTACAACTCAGCGTGAGACTCTGCGAGATGGGCAGGTGAAAGCCCTGTACACATTCTCGCCTAGAAGCATATGGCTTTTAGGCTAGGCTCCAGAAAGAATGTATACATCATTCTTTCGCTAAAAGCCATGTGTTTGCATGCGAGAACAGTCGTTACCATTAATACGTCTCCCAGCAGTCCGTAATGGGAAAGCGATAAAGAGTTAAATGACAGCCTAATGGCTTCAATACATTCAGTTTGTGACGAACGTGATCCTAGAATCCATATCTGAAATACCAGAATGTTTTTGTTGAAAGTGATTGTTTTTCCACAGACTAGGCATGCAGGCGTTGCTAAACATTGAGTTGAAGGTGTAAACTAGTTAATTAGTTTTGGCTTTCCCACTAAAGTCTTCCCATGGTCTGATTAGTAGAGGTCGTGACAGCGTCTAATTTCATAACCGTACATTATATGAATTTCAAAGTTCCATGAGAGTACTTAATAGGTAGCTTGCTTTGCTTCCTTGCTTTGACAAAAACATGAAAACGATTGTCTTCAGTGCCTATTTCAATCGAAGCGAATGGATGAAGCAAACGTTAATGTACATTAGGCAACAGTGAAGAAATACAAATAAAAAAAACCCAACTTATCTAGAAAAAAAAAGAAGATGACGCAAGTGGGAATTCATGTGAAGATTAAGATTTTCGAGTTCTCCCTCCAGCAATTTCCTGATCTTATGTATATCATTCACATAATTCCTTAAAAAAAAAGGCGAACCGCTTTGATCAAGAGTGCTTGCTGCAAGTGCTATCATCCCGTTTCCCGAGCGGTAGACTTCTCGATCTTTTGTTGTCTTTTATGAGATATAACTAATGAGCAACTGCTACTTTGATGTTGTATTCGAAAGCCAATTTACGCCTTATCAAGTTGAGGAATTTTCCGCTAGAGCAAAACTAAAATATGCGATGATGGGATTACCACGCAGTCTTATACCTCAGGTCTCTCACGCAAAGTATTGTAAATTATGATGATCAGTATAGGTGATCCAAATTCGAGGCGCAGAGCGATGCTTAGAGTATCATGATCATGTAGAATACCACGTTAATGCCAGCTCGAGTGCGCCACTTTGCGCAAGCTGTATAATTAAGTGCAAAGCATGCAAGCTGCGATAATGCGCAATTTATGAGCTCGCATTAAACGTTAATTTAGAAGGTTCCCCGCAAATGTTTGCATCACCTCCCTTGTTCACAGCGCGCTTTTTCGACCACCAAGAAGGTGTACCTCGCGTATACGTGCGATCTCGCGACGTTGTTTAGCATGGAATACGCGTGTTCTAAAATGCTTATTTCAGTCGCTTATATTGTGCTTAAACAACGTTCCAATTTAACCAAGGCGAAGTGTCTTCTAACAACTTCGCATTAAATTTCGTAGCCATATATATATAACAACTGCTTAAAGAAAGAGTGTTTACCAAATTTGATGCTTTCGTAACAAATTCAACTTTCATGTGTAACTTCTTCAGCTTTCGCATGACATGGAAAGCATGAAGTGCAAAATATGGGCAATCTACTCTGTTGTCAAACTTAACGAAAATTCCAGCTCTAATAAGAGCTAATTAGCTACAACTGGATATTAGGGGATGTTGTAATGCTATTTTGCCGGTATAATTCAACTAGAGAGGAGGATGGTTATACATAGCATGTCAATTTATCTCTAGGTGTACAAAAGCATGATTGCTTGTCCGCCGACTATTTTCACCAAATGAAACATTGGCTAATGGTGCGACCGACTACACCGACTTTGGTTGTAATCTTTTGATGTATATCCGTTTTGTTTTTGCATTTATCCTTAACGTTGCGCCGCGTTTAATTTATCTAGTTAATCTCCCCAAAATACACATCATAATAATTATATAGAATACGGCAGCGAATTTTTTGAACAATTGAAATGCACTTACACTTCAGTTGTTGTGGAGCCGGCGTTGTTGGCATCGGTGTTGTCGTACCGACGAAGGCATTCGGAGCGATGCAGATTCCTTCGTTGTGATCAGGCAATCCGCTACAGTTCAGATTACCTGGCCAAGTAAAGTTCAACCTCGTAATGCTTTGTATACAATCTCTGTAGACGTTCTCGCAAAGACTTCGACACGGTGGCACCATCGTGGATGACGATTCAGAAATACAGATAGGCAGGAGCACAGAGCACAAGAAGAACACGAGATCCTCTGAACATTTAGTTTTGACCAGTTCCTGTATTTTGGGCTTTTCGGTGAAGAGTTGTACGTTGAATTGATCAGGGATGGCGAAGAAATTTGGCAGTCGAGTTTGGTCGTATTTCGATTCGTTTGTTCTGCACAAAGGCACTACGATTTTTTCGCATTTTGCCCTTCTGTCGTAGGGGTAGGACGTTTGCCAGGCGAGTGCGGTTGTGAAGAGAGAAAGAAAGAACCAAGGAATTGCCATTTTGAAACAGGATCGCCAACAGAATTAACGTCAAAGTATCGATTCTCGAATTTAGTCGAAAAGCTAACACTTGCTGAGAGTTTTTGGTATTGACAACCCAGATGAACTTTTCGGTCTATGTTATGAATTCCACTAAAATATTTAGGTTGGGATCGAGTTCGTTGTTGAGAAATTCTAAAATCTTCTTAACAGCTTTTGGAGGCTTCCTCAGTTTCGACAGCCAAGCACTGTGAGTTTTCTTCAACTTCAAAAGCTTACCTTCAAACGACTGAACTTAAACCTCTGTGGCTGTAATACAGAGCTTGTTTCTTGCACTGTAACACTAGTCACTGAAAATGACAAACACTACGTTAGGAAGAGAATTGATATCCGAATTACCAATCACATCGAATTTTCAACCCAGCCTTCGAGGACACGGGCTCGCACTTGTGTGCTGAGTATTCTGCCAATTTTCAAGACGACTGTTTTCGTCGCTCGTGCGAGTATGTTTACAAACAACGAAGTATAGCAAGCATCTATTGTTGGCCAAAGTTTTATATCGAGCTTGTCTGTTACCAGTTCTGTCTTAGCCAATGAGAGACCGTGTTTAAACGAGATTTATGCCGTTTGAATGCCATTTTAAAGAGGCTACGAAAGAGCAGAGGTTAAGACCTTTAATAGTCTTATACTGTGCATGAAATAACATTGATAGGTGATGGTATTTACCTCTCTACACGTGAGCGAAAACCATTCATGGGGTATCACAAGTGCTGACATTTGAAACGCAGATGGTATTTCTGATTCTGGTCGTGTTTCGAGGGCCAAAACTCGTGCGTCGTGACTATCGCAGTATGCATACACTGAAAATTAACTTTTGCTTTGCAAATATCTCTCCTCAGTCACTTCAGGATCGGCATCTTCTGAGCCAACTGAACCATTTGGCCTTAGATTAATAGCCTCAAAAAATATGGACTGTGCAAGAAGAAAACGTTAGCCACGACCCACGGCTTTCTAACACGACATACGAATCAAAAGCTTAACCAGATGTGCTTTGAAATATGTGATTGACGTCAACACGGAAAGAAAACGTGTCGCCAGACCAAATTTCGGGACCTCCCTTCTAATAAAAACAGCACGAACATTTAAAAAAACGTAGCAGTTTTCATGAGATGCTGTCACAAGCACACGTACCAAAGATTAGAGGTACTTCAACTAAGGCCTCTTCCCGCAGCTGCTAACGATTCGCATGTTTCATCCACGAATTTGCTTGACATTTATCTCGCACACAAAACTGACAAAAGCAATAATTTTCTCGACTGTAATGACACAAAAACGAGACTACAAACTATTGGGTCAAAAGTAAAAAAGGAGTAAGGTCTATTCTATGCAATTTGCCCTATAGAAACATTGTGACTGTCTGGGATGTTCGCTTTCAGTCACGCTGATGGACCCAGCTTTATTTGAAGCCATATCAAATACTCTTGGTTCAAACTTCAAAGCTCATGCCATTTTTTTTATTGACTATATATGCCTATGCACTTACTAGTCTGCAACTTCACCTCTGGTTTCAGTGTGTTTGGAATCCACAAAGTAGCGGATTTTCCTGAGAATTCAATTTACTTTTCAGTAAATGGTAGACACTCTACAAGACTCTAACATACACTATCAATTAAATGAACGAAGTGCAGACTAGCTCCTAATCGCACCTCCGGAGAATACTCGAAATCAATCTGGTATAGACGTATATCTAATTATAGTCGGTAAAGAGATGAAAGTGTGTGAAAAGTTCAAATGAATTGTTTATGTTTTCTCCTGAAATAATTCTCGTGATTTCTGGGCAAATGATTCAGTGCGGAATGTTAGTTTAGTCTAGATTTCTATTGTATATTGGGCTTTATGGGCCGGATACATCTGGAGGAGTCGTTACATAGTTTGTTTATCCTTAACACCCATCACACGCCCTTGTCTCTAAACACTGTCCACGGCTTATTCATTCTAAGAATATACAATATGAGTAAAAATATATTTCGCACCAAACTTGGTATCAATTAGCAGGCCAGTTTTTCACCTTTAATTTTATACATCATTCATATCTGTGATATATATAACCTAGTGACGGCTGGCAAAGACAACTGTGTAAAACAGAAGCTTGTGCTATGTTGATATCATCTCAACTAACCTGACATGATGGGAAAAATATTCTGAGTTTCTGAGTTGGCTGAACTTTGGACGACCTTTTACATTGTTTTCGTGCACAATTATTTGACCCGTCACTCTAACGTCTTGTAGAATAGTTGAAAATTGAAATGACTAGCTATTTGATTTGCGGCTGAACTTGACTTTGATAAAAAAAAGTTTATGGGTCAGGGCGCCAGACAGGGAGAAGAAGGAACCTCCTGATTAGTTTTTAGGGAAATTTGAATGTTGTCATCATGCTTCGCTTCTGTTCACTAATTTTAGCAGTTTCCCCCCCCCCCCGAGTTTTATCAGAAGAGAAAAAGTGATCTTGATCCAATAATTTTTACAATAATTCAAATTCATTAACTGAATCAATCTTAATAAAAACTGCGTAAATAAAAATTGATATAAGACGACACTACTACATTCATGTCTATCAATTCCACGTTCTACATCGATAATGCGTCCTATATATGGGAATGCACAATCACGTCCAAGATCGTGAGCACGGCAACATGGAATGTCGATCGATAGGAGAAACCAAACTCTGCCGCATAGTTAACTCCAATGTTATATATAACACGTCTTTTACAATCGGTCTGGTTAATAAAGCAAGTAATAAACTGTAGACTGTTGTCAGCTTTATTACACACAGTTAATACATTGTTGATAATGACGCACTTGCATCCGAATGTGTTAAAAACAACCTGCGTATAATGGTACTGATTATGGGGCGTTTATCATCTGGTAAGTTTATCTGTCTTGTTCTGTCAAATCACAGTCGCTGTTAAATTATCAATACTGTCAGACAGTTGACAATTTTGTTACATTTTTAAAATCAATCTTAGGTTCCTCATTCATGTCCACTTTTTTTACTGGCACTCCTGCCACGTGAGGCACACGGTCACGCACCATCGTAATGTACGTTGACTGCGCATGTCCGTCAATCAGTTTGCGAGTATAGGACTTGCTCTCTCGTGCTGACGCCAGATATGGTCTAATAGGTATGATACCAATAGATTTTTTAAGCCGGTTTTCCACTAGCGATATTTTTCGCGCGAAGTGACATTTTACTTTTGTTTCCGAGCTCTCAACTGCAACCATCTGGAACTAATTGCTCAAATACAAAGGAATAAAGTCGCTTCGCGCGAAAAATATCGCTCGTGGAAAACCGGCTTTACACCAATTCCTTGATAAAACCTTGCAGCTCCAACTCCTTTTATTCAAGAATTCCTGGTTCCACAACTATATTATCCTTACACTGTGATTATGTACTTCATGTAATACACAATGAAATGAACTGTGCCTTTCCTGTATTTAGGTGCTGGTTTCTTATTTTTGTTTCTTCTAAGTTTTGAACTTAAAAATGAAAGTACATCGTCACTATGAATAGACTGTAGTTGGAAAGGTTTATGACGAATATAAAGGATTTTTTGAATACAGAAATTTAATACGTTTTGCCGTTTTTGGGATGTCTTTTAAAAGAGCTGGCGATGATCATTGTGCATTGAGATTACAAAAAGTTAGTAAAATCCTATCAAAATATGTTTTACATGTATTTCAACTTGTATCATAATAATCATTATATTATATAAAGCGATTTGGATAATTTGTTAGTCAGTTTGTAATAGTATTAAACTTAGTGAGAGTGTGAGGCAGCTGCTTTATGGGCTGACTCATGATTAATGAGGTCTAAAGTTTTATGTTTCCTGAATTAAAACGTGTGTTTTGTAGAAACAGCGCGTTGCTGGATTGTTTGCAGAAGATATACCTGCTGATGAAGTCAGCCAGACCAGAAGTGGGAAGTATGTAAAGTTCTGTTAATAATAAATCCGATACCGTCAATCTGTCATCACATATAAAGAACAATTTTGTATGTAGATAAGTAGATTTATGTGGGAAGGGTGAATGAGCAATAGATATGTGCACCACAGCCAGAAAATTCAACTCTATAGCAATATTGGACATTTCTTAAAATTTTTAGGTATGTGTGCCTGGTTTGTCCCCACAATCCAGTCCTGGATACCATGCCAATGTTATCAATGCATAGACAGGGAAGAAAACATTTAGCAAGTAAGTTTAACATTCTGCAGGTAATCTGCAAGACACCCCCTTTCTTTTCATTATTGTGCTGAATGTGTGACCATTCATGCACCCAGATACTTTGGGAAAAAGATTGCGATAGAGCAGGTGTGTGTTATAGAATTTGAGGCTCCTTTCAAAGTATTAGCTAATGGAAGTATTTCAGTAGCAGTGGCATTGCTTATGTATCAACTATTTTTTTTCTTTTATTTATGTTCGTGATTTGCCCCTTTTGTTTTAACATTATTCAAAATTCAAAAACATTCTATGTTTACATGCCTGCCATGCATTGCATGGTGGGTATTTTTGTTTGGCGTAGCAACCACCAAAGATATGTTGTTTATGACTAGACAAATTTGTATGATTGAAACAAGGTGTACACTTTATTCATTGCTAGATATGTCCATAAAGATAGAAAAAGAACACAACCTTAACGAACTTCTGCAAAAACAGAAGCATGAATTATATTTAAAAGAAGCAAGTGTTATTAATGTCGCATCAGATGTTGGAAACATGACTTCACATCTCAATGATGCATCACAAACTGCCCCGTTGCTTGCCAAAACAAATGAATTGAAGGAAAGCATTGTTAGAAGACATTCGAAATTTGATGATGAAAAAGGCATAAGAGAATCTCAAGTTAATGAGATTAGGAATAAGGAGTTAGAACTTGGCAAGACCAATACAGCAAAGTTTGGGAGATTTTTGGATGAGCAGCCACATAGCCTCTTCAAGAAGAATAAACCATTCTTTCAATCAAGGATTGAATTTAAATTATCCAGTAATGTTTTTAAGAACAAAATTTGGAATGCAAAGGATTTGCCTTCTTTCTCTGACACTGCAGATACTACTGCTAACAAACAAGTGAGGTGTGGAGAAGATGAAGCCTGTGAAAGATTTCAAAAATCAAATACAACAAACAATCCTGCAAACGTAGATGGCACTCAGCAGATACATTTTTGCCATGGAAAATCACCGAAAGTGTTGAAATCTAGACCTGACAAGGTCACACACATGGATGAAAAAATGAAAAGTGGCAAAAATCAAATGAGCACAGAAGAACAAAAGAAATATTTAGAGCTCAAAATGTCTGGTTGGATTTTGGATTCGAACGGAAAATGGATCAAAGATGAGAATGTTGAATTTGATTCCGATGAGGAAGAACCACCTTAGACAAAATGAACAAGAACATTGAAGACGAAGGCATGTAAATGCAGTGCACAACATGAACAGGTATGATAGTTCTTTAAACAATTTAGGCATATGTACTTGAACACATTAAACAAGTAATCATAGTCAAAAGTTATGTGGTATGTGATAATCCATGACTATTATATTGGAATCCCATCAAAAATGAATTGAAGTAACATTTATTCACTATTTACAATCATTTTGCTATATTAAGCCTATATACACACAGAAGGAAGTTTTATTTCTCCTAAACTGTTAAGTTTATGGTTTCCATGTTATCACTTTCACTGCAATTTGGGCTGCTTTTCTCACAGCTGGACTTTCAACATCATGTATAAGTTTTTGCACCTAAAATATAATAAGTTGTATATATATATATATATAGATAATATATATATCACATAACAAAAGTTTCTAATACAAAACCATTCAGTTCAGATACCTTATTAACATTTTCCAATAATGTTTCTCTTCCTTTGGGAGCCTCTGCTAAGGTTGTGATTGCCTGTTAACAGAAATTTTAACAAAAGTCATCTTTCAATTGCAAAAATGCCTGAACATTTGTAATCTTATGAAACACAGCAGTGCTTCATATAGATATAGTTTATATTTATTGGTGGACTTTTATAAATGAACTTGCTACTAATTACCTTCAATGCATTTAATCTAACTTCACTCGACGTATCTGTGAGAAGGTTTACTAGACATGACAGCACACCTGCATTAATTGCGGCATATTTTCCTTGAGTTGTTATTGTGATACTGTGAAAAGTAAAGACCATCTGAGACGTTAATGACTGAGTGCCAATATTACCTGAACTCACATAGCTTTACTTCTATAAGATGAAAATGGATCAGACCCTTCCTTTATTGCGCAAATTACTATAGAAAGAGAATCTTCTTTGCCATACATGACTATATGCAAATTATCAATGTTCTAAATGGTGATTCACAGATAATGCCAAAGGGTTATCTTCAAAAGTAATGATCATGCAGCCTAGTAGGTTGAGGACAGATACTGAGAGACTTGGTGTTGGTTTAATGAGTAAGCAAATTGAGCTTGTCTAAGGTCTACAGGTTATAAAACAATGCATGACATACACCATGATAGCACCAGCAGCATTAGCCCTGACATCTGTGTCTCCATCCCGAAGTAGGGGAACCAAAGACACTACAGCTCCAACTTCCACTGCTTTATTCTTTCCATCCAATGGGAAACTAAATGAAAAGATAGTTTTGGCTTTAAGTAACTTATACATATACCATTGCCTTTTTTTAAATACTTTATTTATCATAAGTGAAAGAAGTAATCAATAATTTCTTGATAAATCATGCAGCTTATACAGAAGGGGAAACTAGGTACCACCATTAATTTGGTTATTTATGCTTGATGGTATCCGAGATCTTGTAAAGTGTCTTCTTACCTCAAATCCATTATGTCTCTGGAAGCTTTACTTCGAATTGCAGGCAACTCGTGTGATAACAGTCCAACAAAAACCTCCATTCCCTTACTTTTTAGTGCATCCTCTGTATTCACTCTCATACAGCCATGCAATGTGTCTAATACCACACACTGGAAATAAAAGTAACATTTTATATAACATTGTATTTTCTTACAAAAGAAAGGGGCATTTTTTGAAATAGGAAGATGTTTAATTTCTACATTTGAATTAAAAGTTATCACCTTTATCTCATCATTTTCTTCCAACAACTTTTCCACCAAGACTGGGACCAAACCAGCCTCAACAATGCCATTCTGTCCATTGCTTGTGTGTGAGAGCATCTCAATTGCTTTGTGTGAATTACTTCTAGATTCATATACCGTATCATCGAACTGAAAAATAGGATTAAATGTGAGTGCATCTTGTGCCAAACGTTATTACCTCATCATAAATTTAATCAGCAATCATTATTGCCCAGTATGATTTACAAATGCTTATTGTCTAATATGCTATGTTCCTGAACAATTCCTGATTTGAAACATTGACCTACCAACTTTGATAAAGGTGGTATGATTTGTTGGTCAAGAAAGGCATCTCTTCCGGATGCATGACCTGCTATGATGAATAACGCTTCGGTTGTTTTGTGCCGAACAGTTGAATCGACGTCTGCTAACAGGTCTTTTAAACTTGATACAACACCTGTTGTCGTTTGAAAAAGATATGCTTTGATATAGTGTGGATGGATTAGTGTAGGGGTTTTCCCAGACATAATGCAGGACAAAGAAACCTGGACTTAATCTACTCTACCTACCAAAAAAAATTCTAATAAATAGAGCTAAGTAGACTATCAAGGCAACAAGGCCAACTAGAGTAAAGTAAGGCACACTAGCTATTCACAGAATAAAGAACAAAACTCGAAAGATCATCTGATCTGGCCGATTTGGATCTAGACCATCTGGTTGTATTACTTGTATATTTAGGAAATTCTTACCAACTCGCAGAGCTTGAGAAATGTTTTCTGGATCATGCAGTATATCACATAGAGACATCAACGCCCTGTGCTTTGTCAAAATGTCATTTCCGTTCAGTTCTCGATTCTAAACACACAACAAACGATCACGAACAATATTTTTCTAAACGTGAATTGTCAATTGTATTCGTCGTTATTTGTGGAAACTCACCAATTTCGGCAGTGCCCGTTGTCCATACGCTAAGGGTGCCTTTGTTATATCAATATTCGGCGGTAGTCTGTTAGATATAACTGTTCCAGCCATGATTTTTGAACCAAAATCAAATTGTATTTTCTAAATTTGTCAATTATTTTCATTGATACAATTGCTTCCGTAAGGTTGCTAAGCAACGAATACGCGATCGGGCAGTAGACTCTTGCGGGTAACCCCCCGATTTGTGTTATTTGCAAGTTGCAAAATTGCAACAATGAAAATATTGCATGTGAAAATATTTAATAGGCACTTATAGTTTACTTTCAGTCTTTCATATCTATCACTTGTTTGGTAATCTCTAATTACTCTTCTCTTTCAAGATTTAAAACTATAGAGTCATGAATAAAATTTAACTTGGTATAAAATGACCACATTGCAACACACCAAATATGAATTTAATTGACCTAATACAGCCTTGGCAAACTACACAGTACACACGTTTGTTCACTCAAAACTAATGCCTTTAGCTCTTTTTGCTTTTTTACTGCTCGGATTTACAAGACTACTGCCTTGTGGTTTTCGTCTCAAGTTCATACCCTGCCTGCTTTTTCTGGCAGGTTCATAACCAAACTCTTGATTGTCTGAGCTGTTTCTTTCTTTTTCTCTTCCCATTTCTAATGCCTCATTTGCTTCTGTTAGAGTCTTTCTCAACTCTTTCACTTTATCAGTTAAATTGAACATTATGTAGTGCAGCTCTGATTTTTTATCATTTATTTTTGCTTCATACAAGTCAAAATTTAATGAATTCTTTTCTCCAGGACAATGTAAGATAACTTTATTCCCAACTTTGACCAAGGACAATGTTGAACTCTCAAACGCATACTTTATAACATCCAAAAATTTCTCCAAATTGTCCACTTCGCTTGATTCGTATTGAGTAACTAAATCATACTTCTCAAAGCTCACTCTCCAAATATCAAATCCATTGCTAGCTGCTATAATATATGAAGCACCGTCGTTACTTAATCTTGCCCAACAAACAGCTCTGTCCCCATCTAAATTTCCGTCATGAAAAAATTCCTTTGCGCCACAATTTGCAATGATTTCGCGTAAAGGCAAATCCATAATATTGGCAGTCATTTTGTTTTGCTTTTGTTAATTTCAGTTTTACGTTGATATTGAAAATTAGCAATGTGTATATATTACAAAATAATATTATGTATATATGGTATAAATGAACTAATATAGGTCGCACCCTAGGGGCCACGTTACCCCCGGAAACCTTGAAATTAAAATTAGTTTCCGGGGGGTATTCATGACTATTCATGACCGTTTTAGGAGCATCTTGAATATTTATGAATACCTGCTTGTTCATTTGAATTTTACAACCCCGTGTTACGAACGACTTTTCGTACGGATTTTCACAGAAGGGTTGACAAGAATTCCTAAAATATGGTGGTATGATAAACGTTTTTCATTTAAGTATATCACGTTCAAACATTTATACCCTATTGATTTTCGTATTAGTGTCCGAAACCGCGAACATTTGAACACCCTAGCAATCTTACTATTTTAACGTAACATATTTCAAATTTCAATGTGCAATCAAACGATTTAGAGTAGATTAGCTTGGTCTTACAAGTTGATTTTTTGTATGCTTAGCGCTATTTTTCAGTGAAACATGTAGTATGGCAAAGCATCGTACACTTTGTACTTTGTACTTAATTGTACACAATCTGTACTTTTTTTGAAAAAATTGTCAAGCAGTTGTCAACGAACGTGTACATAAATTAAAAGTTGACATCAGATACAGGAAATATTACAATTAAGAGGTGCTTATTAGAGGTACTTATATATGATTTGGATGTCCAGTTGCCACTTGCAACTAAATTTACACCATTACATGTACCTGCCTATCTTGAAATTTTACACCTGGCAGTCACTTGTAAACATGAACAATTTCCTTACTGCATGCAGCCCTAGTAACATTTAGAAGAATGCAGAGCAATTAAGACCCTGCCAACCCAATGTAATTCATGCATTAGGTGTTAACAGTGAATTAACATTGAATGCCATATAGTCTTATAGATAAATGTACGTTGTTTTATGTTTCTTAATGCATGAATTAGACTTCAAGAGAACAAGGATAAACACCATTTTTAAAGAACGCAGCAATTTTATACTCTAAAATTGATCCTGTAACAGATTTTAAAGATATGCGCTATAGGCAGGGTATTCTATAATTGTACTGAATGCACATTTTATAGGGAAATTGAAAATTAAAGGCGTTACACTATGCAACTTTCCTTGCAACTTGCAATGCAATTCCACTCCTGAGGCATCTAAAGTTGACAAATATGAAATTCTCTTATACAATGTTCAATCTGGTATTATATCAAAAAAATACCTAAAAAAGTGCACAGTTGATGTGGGTCGAAAATGCATAATACGAACAGGTGATTTGTTACTCTTGTATAGCACAAGAGGATACTGATCAAGGGTGGAACAGTTGTTAATCATGATCGTATGTTTGAAGCTGATGTTTTTATTGAAGATGGTCTAATCAAGTATGTTCTTGAAAAATATTCTATTTTTTGTATCTCCTCCTGTACCCATATCTAAAATTACACTGGCTTAACCATAAATACAAAGAATAAACAGTTTCTTCATTGTTTCTTTCTTCTTTAGTTGGTTTACTAAATTATCTTCCATTAGATTTTCCATATTATAAATTAGATTAACGTGATAAATAAGATTTTACTAAATATTTAAATAATTTAATAGGGACGTTGGTGAATCGCTTGTAGTTCCCGGTGGTGCTAAGATCATTGATGCTCATAAAAAATATGTTATGCCTGGTAATAATTATTGATTATTATACAATGTGGCAACTGATATCAACTCTCACATGGACCAATGTATTTGGTACATATTAGGTAAAGCATATATAAGGAAAAGGCTTAAACTATACATCTTATGCAATCTGTATTTTTTATAGGTGGTATTGACACTCATACACACATGCAGCTCCCATTCATGGGTACTGTAGCTGTAGATGACTTCTATCATGGCACCAGGGCAGCTGTTGCTGGAGGAACTACAATGATAAGTGAGTTTGTTTTATTGTTTAATGTTTCTTATCATATAGCCTTTCTCACTCTCCTTCTTTGCATCTTCCTTTTCCCCTCCTCTATCTTCTTTTTCCCCACCCCTATCTTCTTTCATCCTTTTTCTTCTTTCTTGTGCTGTACCAGAATCTCATCTCTTCCCTCTACTATCTCCTTTTCTAGCCTTCATGCCCTATCTTTCATCCTTACTATTCTTCTTCCATCACCCAAGTCATCATCTTTATTAATTGAATTGCCTTTTTTGTAAATTTTCAGTCGATTTTGTTATTCCTGCGAAAGGAGAATCCTTGCTTGCCGCATACGACAAATGGCGTAAATGGGCAGATGAAAAAGGTACATGTTCAACAATGCAAGAATCTGTCTGATTGAAACTGAATTCATGGACTTACCATAACATTTTTCCATAAAATTCAAGACATTAGAACATAAGTTTGTTGCTAACTTTTAATTGCTCCATCTTTTTTACCAGTTGTCTGTGATTACTCATTTCATGTTGCTGTTACATGGTGGGGTGAGAATGTTGGTAAAGAGATGGAGGTTCTTTGTAAAGAAAGAGGTATTTACTTTGCCTTCGCTGCTGTAGCTATGACCATATCATTTCTGCAAATCCTCTTATTAAGGCTTATTTAGACCTTGAAATCATCTGGAAGATATTCGTCTTGCTGTCTCTTGTCTTGTCTTGTTTTAATTGTCTTGTTGTCTATACCTCATATCTTGAGTTGTCATTTTGTTAGAGTTTTTTCTTGTATTTCTTGTTTGTTTTTTCTTGTATTTCTTGTACATGAAGTAATCCATAATAAGTCTGTTCCTCTGTTAGCTGTAGCCTTTCCTCAGCTGTATTCATTCCCAAAATACACTTCCATAGATCAGTGTAAATTTGTTAATGTCATATAGGAGTCAATTCCTTCAAAACGTTTATGGCTTACAAAGGGGTGATGATGACTACCGATGAGGAGGTACTGCCATATTTATTTTCTATTTGAAATTCTCGCTGGATGACTTTGTCAATTGAATTGACAAATCTTAAATTGACATAGTTGAAACATGTGTTACATAAAATGATGTTAGCAATACAGTACAAAGTAAGCATATTTTGTTTCCTTTAGATGTACCATATCTACTCAAAGTGCAAGGATATTGGAGCCTTGGCAATGGTGCATGCAGAAAATGGTGACTTGATCCATGAGGTATGAATGTGGCATGGTTGGTTGACAGTGATGGGCTCTGGGTGGGTTTGTGTAAAAAATACTAAAAGTCGGTATGCTCTATGCAGGAAAATACTCGGCTTTTGGCCTAGATAGAAAATTGCTTTGTGTTGCATATATTTAGTATTGTACATTTCACTTTCAATCTATTTCAATGTTCTAGGGTTCTAAGAAAATGGTGGCGCTTGGTATCACAGGACCTGAGGGTCATGAAATGTGTCGACCTGAGTGGGTAAGGATAATATGTTGTTTACAAAATGTGTATTAGAATCTTGGATTCAACTACCATAGTATGTCTCCTCAAGGTAGTAATGTTTGTTTACTAATTTCCACCCCATGTTTTTCCGTTTAGGTTGAAGCAGAAGCCACCCTTCGTGCTATCACAATTGCCAGTCAGGTGAGGTAGACTTGTGTTGCAACCCTAGTTGCTTCTTTAATGCTGTCCCATTTCCTTTCCACCAAAGTCAAGATTCAAACCTTACAAGCCAGGCTTTTTACCACAATCCAGTGTGGTTTTGTAGAGTGGAGTGCAGGTCTGACCAGGGGTGGGAAACAAGCACCAGTTGTATTACTAAGGAATGTTTGTTGGAAATTTCAATGATTCAATCCTTCTGAGTGCAAAAACCGAATTATAATTCATACTAATTTCCCGGAATAATTCCCAAAATTTAAACTGATGCCCAAATTTGTATCCCTCCTGCCCCCACCTGCTGTACAAGGAAGGGCTCCCCTCGCCACCCCACCCCCTTCCATAAATCCATTCCTGGCTTGTCAACTGTTCTCGTTGAATCCATTCAGGTCAACTGTCCATTATACGTCGTTCACGTGATGAGCAAGAGCAGCGCTGAGGTGATCGCCGACGCTCGCAGACGAGGCTGCGTGACATTCGGTGAACCAATAGCAGCGTGCCTCGGCACGGATGGCACAAACTACTGGCACAAGTGTTGGAGACACGCTGCCGGCCACGTGATGGGTCCTCCGTTACGACCCGATCCGACAACGCCCGCATATCTCATGGATCTCCTTGCTAAGTATGTTCGTACCATTGAACTGCAGTTGTTGGAGAACTTAGGACTGTTTTCCACTCCAAGCATATCGTAGCGACACGCAGCATATCTCATTCTTTCCTGGGCACTCAGATAGAACTAATGACTTTGAAACAAAGGAATACGTTACGGTTCGCTACGGTTGAAGTGAAAAACAGGCCTAACTGAAACTAGACAATCCCATCCTTACCAACGTTGATTTGGCAAATCTTGAGTTAGGCAAACCTTTAAACTTATACACTTCATTAACTGTCTAATAAATATACACTAGGATGTATTAACTTCTGTCATCCTCGCCCCTGGCGCTAACCATGATTTTCAGAAGTGACAACGAATTTTGCGTTTCAGCGGTGACCTTCAGTGCACAGGAACTGACAACTGCACGTTTAGCGCAAACCAGAAAGCTTTAGGCAAAGATGACTTTAGAAGAATTCCCAATGGCGTAAACGGTAAGGTTCATCTTTAAATATTTAACTAAGATCAACTCGATTATAAGATGGGTTTAGATTTCGTTCCCACATTAACGAGACTCTCTTTTTTGTTTATTAGGAGTCGAGGATCGCATGTCCGTGATATGGGAAAAGGGTGTGGTATGTTGGCCTTGGTTTCTTGAAATTTCTTCTACTGTCTTCAGTATTATGAAATAAACGAAGTAACTCCTGTGTTTATTTTTTCAAGCATTCTGGCAAGATGGACGCGTGTCGATTTGTGGCTGTCACAAGCTCAGAGGCAGCGAAAATCTTCAACATTTATCCACAGAAGGTTAGCTTGGATTAATTGACGCCAAATGATATCGTGAATTTGTTTGGTCCATCACTAACTATGCATTTCTACCATCGTCAGATAAACCTGGAAATTTTTTTTTATAAAAAAGAATGAATTTGGATGCTGCACAAATTCTACAAGCATTATTTTATTACAAATTATTTCTGAGCCTTGAACTTTCGACATTTCAGGGTCGTATCGCAGTGGGCTCTGATGCTGATGTCATCGTCTGGGACGCCAATGCAACTCGAGTCATTTCTGCAAAGACACATCATCAAGTAAGAAATTGGCCAAACGCCCTAATCCATAAAATATTTGCATAAAAAAGACAAGAATTATTGCTCTAGCTCTATATGAAAAATCATCGAAGAACTGAACATCGCTTCGCAAAGTTTTCTTTTCGATCATAAATTTGAAGGTCTTTTTAGCCATATTCTATATTCATACTCTATGTCTTAAATCTTATGGCCTCAACACATGGTTATTCTTTCTAAAGATCTAAACTAAAGGACTCTAATATGGGAGCATCAAATGTAGTATAAGAACTGCCTTAAACAAAAACACTTCTCGACGTTTCGACCCGGGCGCCTTCGTCAGAAGAGTTAGTTAGTTAACGTCGAGAAGTGTTTTGTCTATTTTAGGCAGTTGTTATACCACATTTGATGCTAAGTTATTTGAAGACGCTGCCACGCTGCTCCCAGGTTATATTGGAACGTTTCTAATTTGGGAGGGCTACTCTTTGGGATTGAAATTTGGGAGAGCGACTACAGCGATGCAATGTATAATTTTAAAAACCCACGATTTTCGGTGCAATCTTCATCTTTTGACCGATGGAAATAAGCAAAACATTATGAACGCTTTAATGCATAAGTGTTTTTATTTGTGCACCCGTAACATATTCGCTCATTCGCATCCACCAAAAAAAGAAAATCGCATATAAACTCACAACAAAAATTGCAAGTGTAAACGGGTTTTAAAGCGGGTTCTTCTTTTTTCCATAGCAAGTGGATTTCAACATCTTCGAAGGTTTAGAGTGTCATGGGGTTGTGAGCACGACCATTTCACGTGGTGAGGTCGTGTACGAAGATGGAGAGGTACTGTATACCTTTAAACTAACTTCACTCTACTATTTTGCCATGATGAGAAATTCTTAATTGTCGTTTCTTTTTTTCCCAACAGTTGAATGTTGTGAGAGGCGCTGGCAAATTTGTTTCTAATCCATGTTACTCAAATTACGTTTACAAAACAGTCGAACAACGAGACAAGGTATGCATGAAAGACTAATGTGACGCGCTTTTTACCTCGCCTAGCCGGGATAACTCGCTCCATATAAACAGCCCCTTACTCGCTCAACAACTGCACTGGGTGAAACAACTTTTCGACGTCTGTCGTCAGAGGAAGGCCTTTTTGGTCGAAATTTAGAATTTGTCATGCGAACTTGAAATAAAGAAGATAGTCTTCCAAGTTTGATTCAATAAGCGAATTAGATCTCCATGCATGTTTGGATGGACATGCAGATCCAAACACGGGCTTTGACCAATCAGAACACACGTTATATACATGTTATTTTATAATGTTCAATCATATTGTCAGGTCTGTGTGCCCAAGAAAGTCGAGCGAGAGCCATATAATGGTCCCGTCGTACAAATTCCTCAAGACAAAGAACCCGTCACGCCTCTGTCTCCCGTACAGTATTCCAAGAAGGACAGGGAGGAGAAGGTGTCACGTGTCGGTCATAGGGATCTCCATTCCTCAGGATTCTCGCTATCTGGTAAGTTGCTCCGAAGACAGCGGAACATCAAGAAGGTTAAAATTGAACATCAGAGAGGGTATACGATTAGCCTTGTTTTGTTTAAAAATAGTTTCCATCGATTTCTGTGTGATTCGAACTGTAATCTCGACAATCTTTTTCCAGTAGACTTTTGCCTCTTGAGGCAAACGATGATTTCCATCATGAAACATGTAAACAAATATTTACAAGAAATTCTAAAAAAATAAAACCGTAGCCGTAGGCCATGCATGCAGAATCAGGGTATCTTAACCTCTCTAAATGTATAAATTTCGAGGTGACTATTGATTTTCTTGCATTCTGATTGGTCAAAATTCTCTTTCTCTGAAGTGATGATAGTCAGTGGTTTGTGGTCAGTGATTTTAACTATTTGGTGCAAATACGAAATTTGAAGTAATTATATTTGTCGACACCTCGAAATTAGTTAATTGTTAAATAGAAGCCCTCAGCGTGTGAATTATGACAGCTATGCAACTGGGTCGGTGACTGTGTAACTTGTATATAGATACTTCTATATGAATTCTATTCCATCGTATAGGAGGACAAGTTGATGATGACCAACCATTCCGACCATCGTCTCGTGTGCACAAACCTCCAGGTGGTGGATCCTCTTTCTCGCTAGGCTAGGAAATTGAGGATTTATTGAACTCTAGATTGAGCATAAAAAAGGAATATCTTGTGAGTGACTGTGAATTAACAATTTTTTTCTTCATGTATATTTTCTGCATCGTTTTCTTCAAAGTTTCATCATATAATCGTCAATGCAGCTAATTGCTAAAGGCTGGTTTTTGCAAAGTAATCTACTTTGTCTACCTTGTCTTCAAAGCACAGAAGAAAAATTCTTCAGCAGTTTTGAATACAATACCTCCTAGTTTTCGGAGCATGCCCTTAAGGCACAGAAATACCTATATATCAGAAGAACTCTATTGTTTCTTTCGTAATTGTGATTGATTGCTACTATTTACGGTACTTAAGCGGAATCACGCTTACGAAAAAAACAATAGAGTTGTCCTTCTGATAGGTATTCTGTATCTTTAGGATGTCACACGAATTTGCCGTGCAGCAGCCATGCAGTATCATGGCTGAATTTTGGGCTACGTGTGTCGGTCCTGACACAGTAGCCCAAGACAGACATAGTAGCCCAAGACAAAATACATTTTCATAAAAAAAAACTCGGAGAATTTCAAAAATGTGAAAAAAGTAAATTTTTTCAGTCTCGAGAACATCACCCTGTCAAATTTTCGTGAAAAAAAATTATTAAAGGTAAGTAAACATTAGCATTAAAGCGCGACATTTTTAAAACTTTTTTAAAGTTTTTTGTCGGATATTTTTTAATTTTCAGTCTTTGGGAGGCACATGTTTTTAATTTTTTTTGACTTGTGTTTTTTTGTCAATTTTCAAGTACTTTTTTGAAGCGAAGAATTGTTCAAATGTTTCTTAATTTTTTTTTACTTCCAATTTTTTTCAAATTTACAGTCTTCTTAAAAAGTGAGTCTTAACTTTTAAGCTCACAAATCATACCGAAATTTCTAAGGCTAATTTTTGCACTGCCAGCACTTGAACCATTTGTCCTACGATTGAGAGACTAAGGTCTTAACCACTAGACCACTGCGTCATTTGCCGAAAGCCTATTGTTCTTTAAGAATTTTAAACTGCTGCAGTAGACCGTAAAGTGTCCTTTTTCGCTCACTGCATTTACTATAAGCTAAAACAGGTTGATTTAGTTAAGAAATGATGTGAATGAAGAACATTCTTTATTCTTGATTTAATGCAATAGTGCACATAGTGCAGAATAACCACGTGCACACATCACAGACTTAGATAGTTAATTAAAGATAGTACCGCGCAAATGGTAAGACTTACCAATTACCATTTTGTTCAATTTTGACGACTTTTTGAACTGTTCAAAAACTGTCTTAAAATGCTTAGAAAGGCTTCCTAAAACTAATATCTTTCATTTTAGAGCATATTTGGTTAGTTTTTTAACCAATGAAAAAGTGGTCAAAATTGACCAAAATGATAAGGCTTACCACTTATCATTTTGGTCAATTTTGACGACTTTTTCAACTGTTCAAAAACTGTCTTAAAATGCTAAAAATGGCCTCCTAGGACTATTATCTTTTATTTTAGAGCATATTTGGTTGGTTTTTGGAACATTGAAATATCGTCAAAATTGAGCAAAATTGTAAGGGTTACCTCTTACCATTTTGGTCAATTTTGACGACTTTTTCAACTGTTCAACAACTGTCTCAAAATGCTAAAAGTGGCTTACTAAGACTAATATCTTTCATTTTAGAGCATATTTCGTTGGTTTTTGGAACATTGAAAAAGTCGTCAAAATTGAGCAAAATGGTAAGGCTTACCCCTTACCATTTTGGTCAATTTTGACGACTTTTTGAACTCTTCAACAACTGTCCTAAGGAAAAAAAACTAAACAAAAAAAAAATAGACATAAAAACTAACTAGAAAACTAGAAAAATCGAAAAAAAAACTAGAGAAATAGAAGAAAAACTAGAAAAAAAACTAGAGAAAAAAAAACTAGACAAAAAAAACACTAGACAAAAAAACTAACTAGAAAAATAGAAAAAAACTAGAAAAAAACAACTAGAAAAATAGAAAGAACTAGAGAAATAGAAGTAAAAACTAGAGGAAAAAAAACTAGACAAAAAAACTAACTAGAAAAATAGAAAAAAAAACTAGAGAAATAGAAGTAAAAACTAGAGAAAAAAAACTAGACAGAAAAAAACTAGACAAAAAAAAACTGGACAAAAAACTAACTAGAAAAATACTAGAGAAATAAAACTAGAGAAATAGAAGTAAAAACTAGAGAAAAAAAACTAGACAGAAAAAAACTAGACAAAAAACTAACTAGAAAAATAGAAAAAAACTAGAAAAAAACAACTAGAAAAATAGAAAGAACTAGAGAAATAGAAGTAAAAACTAGAGGAAAAAAAACTAGACAAAAAAACTAACTAGAAAAATAGAAAAAAAAACTAGAGAAATAGAAGTAAAAACTAGAGAAAAAAAACTAGACAGAAAAAAACTAGACAAAAAAACTGGACAAAAACTAACTAGAAAAAACTAGAGAAATAAAACTAGAGAAATAGAAGTAAAAACTAGACAGAAAAAAAACTAGACAGAAAAAAACTAGACAAAAAACTAACTAGAAAAATACTAGAGAAATAGAAGTAAAAACTAGACAAAAAAAAAACTAGACAAAAACACTAACTAGAAAAATAGAAAAAAACTAGAGAAATAGAAGTAAAAACTAGACAAAAAAAACTAGACAGAAAAAAACTAGACAAAAAAAAAACTAGACAAAAACTAACAAGAAATACTAGAGAAATAGAAGTAAAAACTAGACAAAAAAAAACTAGACAAAAACACTAACTAGAAAAATAGAAAAAAAACTAGAGAAATAGAAGTAAAAACTAGAGAAAAAAAACTAGACAGAAAAAAACTAGACAAAAAAGAAGAAATAGAAGTAAAAACTAGAGTAAAAAAAACTAGAGAAAAAAAACTAAGTAGAAAAAAAACTAGAGAAATAGAAGTAAAAACTAGAAAAGAAAACTAGAGAGAAAAAAAAAAGAAAAAACTAGATAAATAGAAGATAATAATAACAGGTTTTTTTTTTAACTTAGAAAAAATACTAAAAAATATTAAGAGGTTTAATTTAGAATTGTCAAGTCACACAGAAGAACTTGCAAAATAAAAACACTAACACCACCAGATGAAAAAGGTTTACTTCTTAAACTTTACAAAGAAAAAAGTTATCGTTATAAATCCAAGTTTTGAAAATTGTCACATAATTCATCACATTTCACACCAAAATATATGAATTAATGAATCTGGGTGCCTTTCAACTTTGTTCAACACTAAAGTAAAAAAAAGAATTTCATCAAAAAAATAATAAGAGAAAATATATTTAGAACAAAAACTAATACTAAGAAGAAATTAAAGAGAAAAGAAGTATAAGAAATAGCCAAAGCAACTGCCAAAATCTTTTCAATTGTGAAAGCACAAGGAAAAACATGCAAAATCGAAACAAAACAAACACCACAAGGCAAAAATCAAGTTTCTTCTTAAACTTTTCAAAAAACATTTAGAAGCAACTGCCAAAATCTTTTCAATTGTGAAAGCACACGGAAAAACATGCAAAATCAAAACACTAACACCACCAGACAAAAAAGGTTTACTTCTTAAACTTTACAAAGAATAATTTCTCTTTATAAATCCAAGTTTTGAAAATTGTCACATAATTGATCACATTTCACACATGTTATCACACACTAAAATATATTAATTAATGAATCTAGGATAGGGCTAAAATAATTCAGGTTCTTCAGGGATGCCTTTCAACTTTCTTCAACTTCATTCATTCTAAAGAGAAAAAGCATTTCATCAATCCTTTTAGGCAAAAAGTGGCAGCAAAGTTTGTATTTTCAACCTGACATCATTATTAAAAGATATTACTCATTATCTTACTTTAGTCATGCCAATTATATTTTTGCCATTTCACCCTTCTGAGTACTACAGAATATAAATCACAGGGAAATCAGAAACATTTCTCCCAAGTTCTCCCACTTTTTCGTGGATATTTATTGTAAGACCACCACAGGAATTTTAGTAATCAGCCAGACTGGTTCAGCTGTTATAGCATCAAGTTTCATCATTGGTTTCACACATGGTGACCATAGAAGCAAATTTCAATTTCATAGTTGTCATCTCAACAATGTAGTGGCTTTTTAAAATCAAATGCTGACCATCCATGACAAAATCAAATTACCTCTGTGAGGAAATCTTGTCACTTCCAATGTTCATCTGACAGTAAAGTTCATATCTACAGCTCATGTTGCACTCTTGACCAAGAAAAATCTTGAATATAGATATATAAATAAGATATGATTAATATAAAATTCCATTTTCAACTATCTTAACTATTGTCTAGTTTTTGGTCAGGTATTCTATGGTTATACTTCATCCCTCTACATATAACTATGGTTGCTATATTTATTTAAAGACCACCACAGGAATTTATTACTGGTGACATATAGTGAGCATAGAAGCAATGTTAACTTAGTAATCTTAACAAAATTTGTGACTGCCTGAGGATTTTCCAAAAAAAAATCCTAGTTGCAGCAAATTCCCCCTTATACTAAATAACAAAATATATACCCGGGTAGTTGATATGTATTACAAGGTCACTACAAGAATTTCAGCTGCAAGGCTAATATAACTTTTGATGGAACAATCAAATTACCTTTGCGCAGAAATCTTGTCACTTCCAAAGTTCATCTGACAGTAAAGTTCATATCCACAGCTCATGTTGCATTCTTGACCAAGGAAAATCTTGAATATGCATATATAAATAAGAAGACATGATTAATATAAAATTCCATTTTCAACTATCTTAATTATTGTCTAGTTTTTGGTCAGGTATTCTATGGTTATACTTCATCCCTCTACATATAACTATGGTTGCTATATTTATTTAAAGACCACAACAGGAATTTATTACTGGTGACACATAGTAAGCATAGAAGCAATGTTAACTTAGTAATCTTAACAAAATTTGTGACTGCCTGACGATTTTCCAAAAAAAGATCCTAGTTGCAGCAAATTCCCCCTTATACTAAATAACAAAATATATACCCGGGCAGTTGATATGTATTACAAGGTCACTACAAGAATTTCAGCTGCAAGGCTGATATAACTTTTGAAGGAACAATCGAATTACCTCGGTGCAGAAATCTTGTCACTTCCAATGTTCATCTGACAGACAGTAAAGTTCATATCCACAGTTCATGTTGCACTCTTGACCAAGGAAAATCTTGAATATAGATATATAAATAAGAAGACATGATTAATATAAAATTCCATTTTCAATTATCTTAATTATTGTCTAGTTTTTGGTCAGGTATTCTATGGTTATACCTCATCCCTCCACATATAACTATGGTTGCTATATTTATTTAAAGACCACCACAGGAATTTATTACTGGTGACACATAGTGAGCATAGAAGCAATGTTAACTTAGTAATCTTAACAAAATTTGTGACTGCCTGACGATTTTCCAAAAAAAGATCCTAGTTGCAGCAAATTCCCCCTTATAAAATAACAAAATATATACCCGGGCAGTTGATATGTATTACAAGGTCACTACAAGAATTTCAGCTGCAAGGCTGATATAACTTTTGAAGGAACAATCGAATTACCTCGGTGCAGAAATCTTGTCACTTCCAATGTTCATCTGACAGACAGTAAAGTTCATATCCACAGTTCATGTTGCACTCTTGACCAAGGAAAATCTTGAATATAGATATATAAATAAGAAGACATGATTAATATAAAATTCCATTTTCAATTATCTTAATTATTGTCTAGTTTTTGGTCAGGTATTCTATGGTTATACCTCATCCCTCCACATATAACTATGGTTGCTATATTTATTTAAAGACCACCACAGGAATTTATTACTGGTGACACATAGTGAGCATAGAAGCAATGTTAACTTAGTAATCTTAACAAAATTTGTGACTGCCTGACGATTTTCCAAAAAAAGATCCTAGTTGCAGCAAATTCCCCCTTATACTAAATAACAAAATATATACCCGGGCAGTTGATATGTATTACAAGGTCACTACAAGAATTTCAGCTGCAAGGCTGATATAACTTTTGAAGGAACAATCGAATTACCTCGGTGCAGAAATCTTGTCACTTCCAATGTTCATCTGACAGACAGTAAAGTTCATATCCACAGTTCATGTTGCACTCTTGACCAAGGAAAATCTTAAACATAAGAAGACATTATTAATATAAAATTGCATTTTCAACTATCTTAATTATTATCTAGTTTTAGCAGAAGGCACATAAACAGTAAAGTAAAATACTTAACTTTGACCAGACAGCACAACAATCTTGCTCAGAAAGGTCCGCGAACGGTCCACGTGGATGGGATCGCCATTTTGAATTCGGCGGTCGGGCGAGTCTTGAACTGATTTCTATTTTCTATTTTTCTTGACGTTCGTCTTGATAACTGGCTGTTGAGATAAACGTTAATGACAAAATGTTCAGTTCTGCTTCAGTCTATGGGTGCGGAAATTGCTCATGACATAAATTTTCAGCAAAAAATTATCATCATTGCAGCCAGAATTAAGCTGGAAACTTTAGATAATCTTGTACGCAGAATATTTCATATTGTATACGGCTTTTTGTTATTTCTGGCCAACAATTAACAGAAGGCACACAAACATCAAAGTAAAATACTTAACTTTGACCAGACAGCACAACAATCTTGCTCAGAAAGGTCCGCGAACGGTCCACGTGGATGGTTTTCTTTGGCATCGCCATTTTGAATTTGGCCGGGGGAGTCACCTTCATCTTGACAACTAGCTGTTCAGATAAACCTATATACAACAAAAAAAAAGGGTTCGGCTCAGCTACACTGTACTCCTTAAGGAAGGCCTACGGCCTTCCCGTAGATTAGTGTAAAGGCCTACAAGTGGGAACTAGTCAACTAGCAGCGTGCGGGGGACCAAAACGCTCCAGGCAAACGGTCCCCCTACTGGGGTCGGACAAAGCAACCGCAGATTACGCATATAATCGCCGGAACCCACCTTTTAGTCAACGGCGAACTCCTTCTTCCTCGAACAATCTTCAATCTTGCTGAGCTTCGATCTTGCTGTCCACCTTCGATCGCCACCAATCTAAAGAAATTTTTTTTTAACGTTGAGATTAGTTTTGTAGGCGATAATTACCATGTGATCATAGCAGATCACGTGGTATGATAATGTACGACAACATGCCGATCAACTCCGAACGTCATCGTGAGCGATGTTACTATAAACGAATTGCTAAAAGCCTAGAAAAAAGTTGTCTTTTGAATTGTCGCTGTGTGCCGAATTCTTTGTATTTCTGATGTCAAACAATCCTGTACTTTTTGGTATCATAAATATAAGCTCCTTTGTTTTGGAGACATACAACAGTTTTTTTTATATTTTAGCCAAAACATATAGCAGCAATTACAGATTCACTAAGTTCATTCTCATCTTGATTCACAAATTTTTAAAGGACTTGAATCGATTCCATGCGGTCTACAATAGCTGGGCGAACGTCTTACACCTAAAGTCAGTCGAAGATTGTTGTATCTCAATTCTTTAGCTTCAGTGATAAACAACATGAAGAAAAACATCACTTAATCACAGAAAACAACACAGATCAGTATAACATGAGAAACATTAAAAGGCCTTTATGATCTGTTATAATAATTACCTTGGCAAACATTTTGCAAGAAAACTCTCACAAAGTCCAGTTTAAAATTCTCAGGGGCCCACCGGGAAATTTCCCGGTCTCCCGGTGGGCCACGCCGCCCCTGATATGATACATTATGATACGGTATGATACCGTATGATACAGTATGATACGGTATGATATAGTAGGATGCTATATGATGCAATATGATACAGTATGATACGGTATGATATAGTATGATGCAATATGATACAGTATGATACGGTATGATATAGTATGATACTATATGATGCTATATGATGCAGTGTGATATAGTAAGATGCTAAATGATATGATATTTAAAGTGCTACTGAAACGAAATTTTCATATTTGGGTTTTTAACACGATCGGTTTCTTCACGTTTTACTGATCATTTTGAGCTATCGCACAATGAATTCTGTCGACGGGAACGTGTTTAAAATTGCGATCAAATGTGGCATTTTTGCTTGTTTTGATGCGAAATTGACCTTGCGCGCTTGACGTCATTTAAAGGACGGAAGTTAAATTTGATAAGCTATAACCTATACAGATATATATACATTTGTTGCTTTTCAACTCAAGTTGTAGTTTAGTTTTAACTTTCCTTCACGCAGATTGTGTAAACTAGCAAAACAATTAATGCACGTATAACCCACATTGTTGAATATAGATCATTTTCGGGAAATAGCGCAGCATCCTTGACGCATTCTGTCGTTATTTCCCACGCAAGCATAATCGGAGAAAAACTGTAACTTGCTTGCTCGGCAATGATACAATATAAGAACAAATTTCCGTGAAGTTAGTCTGTTAGGTAGTCTGAAAAGAAGCGATACACTGCATGCAAGTCAAATATGGCGAGCACGTATTCCACGTAGGATTATGCAAAAAAACCTCGCGGAAGAAAATACTGTGTTGCGGCCTGCGGAATGGCCCAACGGGAAAAGCTGCACAAATAGCCAATACACAGAAGGTGTTTATGTACATCGTTCCCAATGAAAGACAAAGAGAGGCTGAATAAATGGACAACATTTGTAAGAAGACATCGACCAAAATTCATTCCTCAACAGTATTCTGTGCTGTGTTCAATGCACTTTGCCGATTCCGCATTTACTTACTGTTAACGCAGAGGTCGCTAAAGCGCGAAATATGAGACGACAGCTATGCCCTGACGCTGTTCCAGCAATAGACTCGATAGAAAAAAAATTCTATGATGAATGTTTCATACTTTCATTAGTTTCTTTTCTGTGCGGACTTGTAGCGAAAAAATTCATTAGGATTTCCTAGTGAAAATATTTTTCTAATGTGTAGACACATACAGGTAAAGGTCTAGAATTTTCCCAACCAAGGCATCAACACAGCCATCAAATAATCCACCGGTATGCAACTGCTCTTAAACTATCTCTAAAAAATATGAGTTCATATACAATTTTATGTATCTTCATCGCCGGAATCCGAATGTAAATTTTCATTTTCTGCGTCAGATTTCTCGCTTTAGAAACGTTCGCTCTCACTGCTTGATAAACTCATGTTTATTCCTGAATATATACAGCGCAAATATCAAAACACTAGCAAAGTTATGCTCAAACTTCGACTTCCGTCCTTTTAATTACGTCACACCGGCATCATATATCAGGAGTAAAAATTCGCACGCATAACCTAACTTTGAGGCAAAATCTATGCGTGTTCCCATTCTTCGATTTTGATAAACGATACACCAAATTGATCAGGAAAGTTTGAATTATTCAATGAAGAAAAAAAATAGGTACCCAAAATTTCGTTTCAGTAGCACTAATGAACATGGAATTATTACCCAAAATGGTAACGGGTAAGACTTACATTTTTGGTCAATTTTGACGACTTTTTCAATGTTCCAAAAACCAACTAAATATGATCTAAAATGAAAGATATAAGTCTTAGGAAGCAATTTTTCCCATTTTAGGACAGTTTTTGAACAGTTGAAAAAGTCGTAAAAATTGACCAAAATGGTAAGGGGGTAAGACTAACCATTTTTGACGACTTTTTCAATGTTCCAAAAACCAACCAAATATCATCTAAAATGAAAGATATTAGTCTTAGGAAGCCATTTTTAGCATTTTAAGACAATTTTTGAACAATTCAAAAAGTCGTCAATATTGACCAAAATGGTAAGGGGTAAGCCTTACCATTTTGACGACTTTTTCAATGTTCCAAAAAGCAACCAAATATGATCTAAAATGAAAGATATTAGTCTTAGGAAGCAATTTTAGCATTTTAGACAGTTTTTGACTAACCATTTTTGACCACTTTTTCAATGTTCCAAAAACCAACCAAATGTGCTCTAAAAGGAAAGATATTAGTCTTAGGAAGCCATTATTAGCATTTTAAGACAGTTTTTGAACAGTTCAAAAAGTCGTCAAAATTGACCAAAATATTAAGGGGTAAGCCTTACCATTTTTGACGACTTCTTCAATGTTCCAAAAACCAACCAAATATGATCTAAAATGAAAGATATTAGTCTCAGGAAGCCATTTTTAGCATTTTAAGACAATTTTTGAACAGTTCAAAAAGTCGTCAAAATTGACCAAAATGGTAAGGGGAAAGCCTTACCATTTTGGTCAATTTTGACGACTTTTTCAACTTTTCAAAAAGTGTCTCAAAATGATCTAAAATGAAAGATATTAGTCTTAGGAAGCAATTTTTAGCATTTTAAGACACTTCTTGAACAGTTCAAAAAGTTGTCAAAATTGACCAAAATGGTAAGGGGTAAGCCTTACCATTTTGGTCAATTTTGACCACTTTTTCAATGTTCCAAAAACCAACCAAATGTGCTCTAAAATGAAAGATATTAGTCTTAGGAAGCCATTATTAGCATTTTAAGACAGTTTTTGAACAGTTCAAAAAGTCGTCAAAATTGACCAAAATATTAAGGGGTAAGCCTTACCATTTTTGACGACTTCTTCAATGTTCCAAAAACCAACCAAATATGATCTAAAATGAAAGATATTAGTCTCAGGAAGCCATTTTTAGCATTTTAAGACAATTTTTGAACAGTTCAAAAAGTCGTCAAAATTGACCAAAATGGTAAGGGGAAAGCCTTACCATTTTGGTCAATTTTGACGACTTTTTCAACTTTTCAAAAAGTGTCTCAAAATGATCTAAAATGAAAGATATTAGTCTTAGGAAGCAATTTTTAGCATTTTAAGACACTTCTTGAACAGTTCAAAAAGTTGTCAAAATTGACCAAAATGGTAAGGGGTAAGCCTTACCATTTTGGTCAATTTTGACCACTTTTTCGTTGTTCCAAAAACCAACCAAACCTATGCTCTAAAATGAAAGATAAAAAACTGTCTTAAAATGCTAAAAATGGTTTCCTAAGACTAATATCTTTCATTTTAGAGCATATTTGGTTGGTTTTGATTAGTTCATTTTAGAGCATATTAGTTTATTTACGTAAACAGGATTACACGGCAAAAAACGCTCAAGTTGTTCCCGGTTGATGAGAACAGGCCTCAACAATGTTGCGCTGCACCCCACGAACAATGTTGCCAACAACATGTTGCAATATTGTTAAGCGTAACAAGGTGGAACAACATGGTTGACAAAATTGTTCATGGGGTGCAGCGCAACATTGTTGAGGCCTGTTCTCATCAACCGGGAACAACTTGAGCGTTTTTTGCCGTGTAATCCTGTTAACATTTATAAACTTCATGTAATATAAAATGAAATGAACTGTGCCTTTTCTGTGTTTAGACGCTAGTAAAAAGAAATTTTGACAGCCATATTTCTACATTTTTAACCATTGAACTCAATAGAATTGTAAGGCTTCCTCCGGCCTCCGGCCGGATCAGTGGTTGGGCTACCTCCTGATCATCCTCGTTCCCAGGTTTTCCGCATGATTATGTGCCCGTCGCATATTCTATTCGCGTCTAATGCAAATGAGGGTGTTTTAAAGTCATGCAGTTTTGACAAATACTTTTTAAGCAAGTATTGAACCATATTCAACAACAGTTAGAGATTTATTTTAACAAGACGCCTGTTCTGGCGTTAACTCCGGCGCAGTCTTCAATATAGAGCTTCTGAACATAAACAATACAGTTCATATTCGCATTTAGATGCCTTGCGAACCTAAATGTTCGATCGCGAAATTCAGAAGCACATCATACTTTAAAAAGTATAGAAGTTCAATTGTTCAAAAATGTAAATAAACCGCATGATATATTCGCTTTGTCTTACACTTTGCCTTTGGAATTCGCGCTTATATAGTTATATTAAATCTGCAATCCTGTGCAAACTACGACGTGTCAACGCGCCCATACACGACCAAATCATCTTGTTAAACGGCGAAATAGCAGCGATATTATTAAAATAGGACCAGAATCTACATATATTAAATATATTCTTATCCCAATTCAATCTAAACTTAATCGAAGAGCATGAAAAGAGCGGTTTCTTTGTTTCTCTTGGAGGAATTGCCGTATCATGCGAGCGAAATCGAATCGCGCATCGGAAAATTTGCCAAAGCTGTACACCACAACTCTTGGGAGACAAGACTGGGACGTAAATAAATACGGTCACATACACATTTTAAATTACTAGTATATTTCGCGCCATTACAGACTTGCGACGACGAAAAATAAAAATAAAAAAAAACAAAAACAAAAACAAAAACAAAAACAAAAACAAAAACAAAAACAAAAACAAAACAAAACCGAGGTGAATTTTCAACTCCGTCGCTGACGCCGGAGTAACAAGAGTTATTTTACAACACGGCATTTAATATTTTGGGGCTATAGATTGTATTTGGCATTACTTTTAGATCTAAGAATATCGATAGTTTGTTTGTATTGTATCCATCTCAGTCTAACTGTTCTGAAAAAGAGGGACAATGCGGTCTTCCAGACGCTGGTTTCAGATTCATCCAAAATTCTTCATTCCTATCACTAAGAAACACATGCATAATCACAGGAAAATTAATGAGCAAAACTGTCGATAATGATATGCAATTGAATATGTATATTTGCAATTGATTACTGGTAAATGATGAGATAAAGTTTAACAAAGAAACAGGGACCGGTTGTTCGAAAAGCATTTAGCTTAAACGGTGAATAAGCCAAAGTTTAAAAAAGTCTCATATAAATCTTGTGAATGATTGAGCCAATATTCTTATGCATTTAATATGTACTTCCATCGAAAATGACACAAGCGTTTTCGGTTTTTCTTTGTCGTTATCGGTGTTTCAAGATTACTCGAAAAACTCCGAAACTGGCGAAAAACAGGTAGCGACAGATAACGTCCTTATGGAAACTAGGTTTAAGAATCGCCTGAATCGGGGTCTCGTTATTTTCCTCAGACAAAAGAATCCCAGATTTTAGGACAAATGTGAATCAGGCTTACTTACAGTTTGCCAGCTGCTGTGGCCGCGTATCTTCCGCTAGTAAACGGCGCGTGCTTCTCACTGCTTGCAGCTTTTCTCCCGCGTTCCTTCTCAAGCTATGTAGATGAGGAAAAATACAAGTCAGTTAGGGAAAGACAGCGAATGTAATGACGAATGTGACAGGCGATTACGACAGGTGCATGGATGTTTGAAAGCAAATTAAGTAAAGTGCTTGGTATTCAATGCTTGGTATACATAATAACAAAGTATATATTTGTTGTGGTGAAAAAGAGAAGAGCAGCATGATTGTAATGATAGTGATAATTCATTGAGCTCCACATACCTCTTCAGAGATTGCACGGATGTGGTAGGGTTTAAACCCGCAGCACCCGCCAAAATAGCGCACTCCCACGTCGTACGCGCTCCTAGTTAATTTTTGCACATCAAATCGTGTCAACTGTCGTGGTTCTAGAGCTGTAGTAAAAATTCAAGCGAATGTGACTTAGTTAGAAGTCTTAGAATAAGGATGGTGTTTAGGGAACGGCTTTAAGTTTGGATTGAACAATTTCCGTGCTTGGATGGGGTAGTCAAGGTTGTGTCTAAGTTTGATTTCCATAAGCGAATTAAATTTCCGTGTTTGAATGCCCAGATCGAGGCTCCAGGAGAAAGAGTAGATAAGGAAAGTTCATACCAAAAGGAAATTCCGGAAGTACAAGGTATCCATTCTTGCTGTCTGCATCAGGACAGTAATATCCCAACGGTTGAAAGAGAAGGTGTGCTTTCAGCCCTGCTTTCTTCAAACCTTCCTTCATTTTGGAGACGGCTTTCAATGACTCGGGAGGGTCGAATTTACAGTTCACTCCTACCACGTCAGCCCCTGTAATGATGATGAAGATACGTTATTAACCAAAGTTAAGAATGCCTCCCCTCAGGACCCACGAAACGTATATGAAACGCCCAAGAACACGGAAACGCGGTTATTTTTAAGAAGCAGATCAGAACAGCAGCAATATCATACCTGCTTTTACCAAACGGACAGCGCATTCCTCAGTTGGGACTCCCTTGTAATCACCCTGAGACGAAATGCACAAACTCGCCATGACAGGCTTTCCAGTCTCCTTTAAGACTTCAACTGCCCACACTGCTTCCTCACAGTTGTGGAAATACTAAAAACAGATCCTTGATGAATATAAAGTTTTCCATTGACCACAATTCATGCTCGTTTACCCAGAATCTACTCTATAAACCTGTTCTTTACGGATTATAACTTAGCTTTAATACCTCGGCAATTAGAAAATCTGAGCCATGTCTAACAAAAATCTCTGCCTGGTCTCTGAAGTACTCTTGAACGTCCTTCTTAGAGCCGCCCTGGTTATAAATATTTGTTGCGGATATTCCTCCCGCCCAAAGGCAGTTGTACTCAGCAGCTATTTTTTGCACGATCTTGCACGCTGATTCATTCACTTCATTCCGCTCTGCCGTTCGAGCCTAAAGAAAATGAATCAAGCCAGCCAAGTATAGTGTTTAAACTAACAGTAAGCTTGACGGGTGAAGGTCCTTTTTTACACAACCAGATCAACTTCTTTCGTTGGTTCAGTGTTTGAGAAAGCAAACTGAGTTCAACTTAAACTCTGCATGTACTGCAAAGCTCCATTTGTGTTCAATGGATTGCGACAGGATACACCGTGCTATGTTCTTGCCTGGTCTAAGTTATTTTCTGCATTTCTTCTCTGGTTGTGGTACGTTTAACGACAAAAAACAATATTCTCAGGAAACCTTTTCGGCAAACCATTTTACGAAATACAAAAGAAAGCATACTCCGAATATAAGACTGTTCAAGATACAAGAATAAATATCACGTTCCTAGCAACAACAGTACTAAATACAAGAATCGTCGCTTTATAGGTATTGCTACTGACCTTGTCTAAATAATCATTAGCATTGAATGTAAATGCTTGAAGGACATCTGAGCCAGCTCGGGCAAACTCTTTATGAAGTATTGCCACTGTAATGTATTAAGAATATAGCGTTTTTTAGTCTGTAGACGAAGATGAAAGGAGAGATGATGAGGGAGAGGTGAAGGTGAACTATAGCCTTCATCCTTATGGGGTCGATAATTGTAATGATAATAATAATGTTGTTAATAATAATGGTGTTGATGACGATCGATTTTGGTGATATCCTTGACCATGATAAAATATTCATGCATGTTTTGATGGTGCGGCAGGCCAGACAGAATAACCCTCAATAATTTTCCAGAACCTAGCGTTTAATCCAATAGTAATAAAAAACCTTTTCACTGGCTTTACAAGAAATTATATTTTGCAATGGGTCAAACTAAATTCAATGGGCGGGGGTTCTGCAAAATGTGACTACGCTCTTTCTCCCAGATTGCAGGCTTGCAGCTCTACGAATCCAAATTTAGTTCCTGTGCGATAAGATATATATAATGTTGGATACAGTTTACTTTACGAACAACATGGAGCATACCAGCGTCAGGGTGTTCAACATTCACTTCTGGAGTCCAAATGCCTGCCGTGGCATAGCCACGTCTTTCCATTTCGGTGATATATCCTCCATCGCCTATTAAAACTTCCCCTGCATCCAGACGTTCCAAGATTGTCTGAAATGCGTTCAGAAGAAAGGAAAACGGATGTTGGTAGAGAAATTTTAGTTTATATTCTGATTCAATTTGTAATAAAGCGGTCCTTCCGCTAAAATATATTACGGCCGGATTCTGCAATATTTCAAAAGCGAATTAACTGCCATGAAACTTTCAGAATAGCCATAGGCTTTCAGTAAGGCAATTCACTATTACGTTCGCGGGCGAAGCGCACTTTGTCTTTTAAGCCCGTCACCGTGGCATGGGCAGCTTTTCAAAAGCCGCTTCGCCCGCGCGGGCGGATCTGTATAGCCGTGCGCACAAACTGGTCGGGGGGGGGGTCTTCATCATGAAATACAGACTGGAACGATAACTGACAGTGTTATCTCTGAATCTAATTTAAAGCGATCATCAACCGTGGAGACAACAAAAACCACCTGCAGAAATGGACAGGCACTGGTCTGCCAATACAAATTAGCTTCAGATCTGAATGGCGGCCGAGATATAGAAATATCGAGATATTGTCTATATAGGTCAAGTGGGTTGCGCATGACTGATTCGGTTTTTATCTCATTTTGGCAGCCTCGTACCCAGGCGCTTTAAATCACTATAAATATGGGCACACTACAAGCTTTTACATAGATCAGTGGCTCAGCTGAGCGAGCGCGCAGGCCAAAATTCCCTGCGCGCTCACGGCTCACTCAGCGCCAGTGTACGAGGTAGCCTACGTAACATAGGCGGTGAAAAAAAAGTGATCCACAATTATTCAAATGTTTGTAGCCCGAATGTTGGCGCCCTGAAGTTATTACTATATAGCGTCTGGGCGCAGACTAGGTACGACGCTGTCGTTTTGACATGTCCAGACTGAGTCATTGGTCTGAGACATCAGTCGTGTCATCCACAGTGGACAAGTAAACGAGGTTATATAGCTCTGTGTCTTCGTGTATGAGCACGCCACGCTTTGTCCTCTCAGTTCGAGCATAGATTAAGCATAGAATTAAATGAATTCATTTAAAAATTATCCATGGTTTAGTAAATAAACAGCATAAAAGTGTATTTGCTCTCGCAGTAACATGCCTCGCTGACAAAATATTTGCATATTTTTACGACACGTGCCGTATAAAAATATAATCTAACATCTGTCTGCTCTGTAGCACACAATCACGCGAAATATTTCCCTGTTGTGGCATTTCCTCGCGATGGAAAATGTCGTAATAATTTCCAGTAGCTAATCCAAAATTTATTTTACAGGTCCACACTCACATAGCCGCAGCTAACCAATGCTTAATGTAACTAATATAAATACATAAGAGACATATAAGAGACATAATAGACTACAGTCACATGAGACTTAAGATTTTTGATTTTGCAAGACGAAATTATTTCTTGTTGTGATTTAACAAGCGATTTGATTCAACCTCTCCTCTCTTTGTGTGTGAACCTTTCCGTATACAACAGGCGTTCATATCGTTTGTACAACAACGATATTAATATCGTTAGTACAACAGCGATATGTCGAAAAACCCTCGCCGAGTCGCCGGCCTCAGTCATGGTGTGTCGTCACCTCATCTTCGGGTGTAATCGATTGAACGGACATATCTAAAAGACTGGCGAAATTATCACCGGTAAAGGATGGTTGCTTACCTTTTTACTTGAATTTGCCATGATAGCAACCAGCAACAACGGTAGACTTATGCAAGAAAGTGAATGTAAACAATAGTAATACGATAGCACTCGAGCAGTGTTTGTTCACATTTGGAATGATAGTTTTTGATTGCGTAATAGTATTCTTATTAACCTTTAGCGCTTTAGCCTGAGGCGCAGACTTCAATTTAAAGCAGGACAATTTAAATTTCTTTTTCGTTCGCTCTTTGTTAGAACTTATTTTCTATTCAACGAAGTCTATAGTAGCGATGTCAATATTGTTGTGACGGAGGCACGGAGCTCCACTGGCGCTGGGGGCTGTTTACATGATCCCGTTTAACCAAGATTAAAAGAGGCATTAAATGAGTTTGAGGTATTGAAATGAAGGTATAACATGCTCCCGGCTGTGGTGTTATTGTGAGTCATCACAGCATGTGCGGGTTTGGTTTAAAAAGACGGCAATACTTTGAAATCAAATTAGTCAATATCTCAAGTCATCTCACGCTTCGGTAAATCTCGGGTTACCGGATACCGGGTACCGTAGTCTCATGCGAACATCCGCTGACCGTGTCACCTTGGCACTTGCCACGCTGTTAAGTCAGCACCATAACAATGTCTAAGCCAGACATCGAGCACTGTTTAACTGTATAATATAGGTATAAATTTAACCTCTTGCGGTCGGTTGTATGAAAGCCGGATAGCGCTATCCACCGGATAGTGGATTTTCAATCGCTTCAAAATCGCCCGTTGTTGGCTAAAATTTTGATCAAATCTTAGTATTCCAAAATTGAGGAACCTCTTTAATTATTATTGCTCCAAAAGCTAAAATTTTATTGCTTTTCAAGCATTTTTAGAAAGATTGAAAAAATCACTATCCCGGTGGATAACGCTATCCAGCCTTCGTACAACCGGTCCCTGGAGACATATAGTAAAGGTCTTTTTTACCTTTTCCGGCTAAACATTTACCACATATTTTAGCATCAAATGTGGTATAACAACTGCCTAAAACTGCCTAGACAAAACACTTCTCGACGTTCGACTTGAGGGCCTTCGTCAAGAGAGTTAGTATACCACATTTGATGCTTGGTTATATTGGAACGTATTTCAGAATCAGAACCGTGATCATTTACTCCAAGCTGTTTTATGGTTGCAGTGACAGTTCATATAAGGAATAAACGGTCTTTACCGATGAGATAACTATTATTCTTTTAAGAACTGTCAGATCTACCAAGTAAAGTATTATTAGCAGGCGATAGTATCCTAGTTGAGTTGTTTACTATTGTAGCACTGGAGCCGGTTGTTCCAAAGGTGGATAAAGTTAGTCCACTGGATAGTGACTTTCTCGACCGTCGTAAAAAAGCTTTGAAAAACGATAAAGCTACTTATATCAAATTTACAATCGTAAAAAGTACTTTAACTTCAAAATTGTGAAGTTCATGCAATCATGGCCATGCCAAGTGGTGGTGAGAATTTTTTAACGTTTGAAGTAATCACTATCCAGTCCAGTGGATAACTTCATCCACCTTTCGAACAACCGACCCTTGATCAATAAGAGATACAAACTGCAAGGATGTTTTCCAATCGTACCCACGTTTTACACACGCACGTACACCAACACCCACGTAGAAGTTAAAAATTATTTTTATTTTATCTGTTAAAAAAGAGTAATAGGTTTGTTTTTCACAACATATGGATGATAAGTTTTAGGAGAAACGGAAATAAAAATGCATGTGTTCCAAGCACGTACGACTGAAAACAAGGATGATCTGAGAGTCTCGAATAAATTGAAAGAGCTATCAGTGGACGGTTACACTGGAATTTTGTTTCAAAATCCTTACTATGGAAATTTTCTATACGCATCCTGCTTCCATACTATATCCATATTATGCATAGAAAATGGCAATTAGTATGGATATAATAAATTCCATACTATTTCCATAATATGGATTTTGAAAAAAATTCTAGTGTTATATGATTTGGAATAACGCTAGAGCTTAGTACAATGATCTGAACTTTATGTTGACTGAATCAATGCCAAACGTATATATATTATTTAGTTAAATGCTCCATGCATCAAATGTGCATGGTATAACAACTGCCTAAAATAACACTTCTCGACGTTTCGACCTGAGGGCCTTCGTCAGGAGAGTAACTCTTCTGACTATAACTCTCCTAACGAAGGCCCTCAGGTCGAAACGTCGAGAAGTGTTTTGTCTATTTTAGGCAGTTGTTATCACACATTTGATGCTAAGTTATTTGAAGACGCTGCCATGCTGCTCCCTGGTTATATTGGAACTTATCTAAATGCTCTATGCATGTTCAAAGAGTCCAAATTTGTCCTGAATATGTTTTGGAAGTTTGGGTGAGCTCAGGAGCATGTTCATGAATTATGGTTAAGAATTGATAATGTCAGTACAAATTAGGCAGGTTAATGTACACAGATGATCGCTCGGGAGCGGAGACTGGACTGTGAGAAATAAGTGATTTCCCGGCGCAGCGACGGAGGAAAACATTAAGACGATATTTCAATATTATTAACGGAGATAAAATTCAATGCATATAGACAAAAAGACTATCTCTGATATAATCTCGTATTAATATTCAAATTGGTTTACAGCTGCCGAGCTGCCCTTAAATTATACGTTTCCTACGTATGAGAAATTAAACTTCGAAAATTGGAATTGATTTGGTCTGAACGCGAGCGAGGAACAGGCAAACATTTCACCACAAAGCTAGGAAACTTTGCAAAAAAATATTGAAGTCTGTGATTCTGCTGAATGGCATTATAAGGTAAGCTCATGCATATAGAAACTATTTTTGGTCATATCATTTCGGTGTTTTTTGAGACGCAGCTCAACGCGAATTCGACTTGGAGATTTTTTCCGATGATAAAAATGATCAACGCTATTCCGTTTATGGCTTGAGTCGGTGAATAACTTGGACCTTCATAAATTAGTTTTACCATGAAACTGCCCCAAAGCAATGCAAATATGAGCGCTGAATTAGATTACCTGAATCCCTGTGCTATCTGCCATAGTGTCATTGTACCGTCTAACGCCTAGAGGAAATCTTTTGCATGCATGGACATATCCTTTTGGGCGTCACGCGTGGGGAATCAATGGTCGCATGCACGCACTCTCCGGGATACTTAGTAAATATGTTTTTCACGTGTATATTATTGAAAACATGTCAGTCTTTTCCAAGTTTTCTATGCATGGATAGAGTTTACCTTTTGGACATAGTTAACTTAGATATTCCCTCTCTGTGTGTTCCGTTTTGGGACAACGCATTTCCCCGAATAATTGAACTGATAAGATGCCGTGAATCAGCGCTGATAAACTCGTGTTTGATCGCCGAAGTTGTCGCCACTGACCGTTCTATCGTGAAAGTTGACCGTCAGCGTAATTGAGTTAGTTTAGCTACTCCCTGTGAAAGAGAACTAAGTCGATACAACGAGGATTTTCCTCGCCACGTCATGGCTGGCTCGCAGAAAAATTTAGAATTAGTCGTGGTAACTATATCCTAGGGCACAAAACGAATTGTGGTATTCTTAAGTCTGGGCTGGACCCTTATGAATTGATTCTTAGCAAACCTCTTGGAGGTTAGATTATAAAAACTAGTGGAGCTTTATCTCATTGTAATTGGTATATGGATTATTTCTTGCCATTGGGATTAAATTCGCTTGGCGAGGTATTTACCCCTATTGACTTAAAGGCTTTATTTCCTTCAGTCATCGCTTGGGAAATAACTTCATACGTAAGCGTGAGAGAGAAGATGGCATTGCACATCTGGTCAACTAATGTACTCATGAATAAACAAATGAAATCTCATTTTGGCCGACATCCGAGCACTATGAAAATGACATGAATAGATAACAGCACATTATTGCACTCGAATTACTCTAATGTTTATCAATGAAATGAAACATTCGTGGACGGTCACGTGTGGCGTCTCTCAGCTTCTGATTGGGCGTGTACTGAGGCTCCCGATTCGACATCATTTGATCGATCTTTGATGTTGACAAACTTAACTGAAATGCCGAGCTCTTCGAATAGTTCTAATTTTTTTTCCAGTTTCAAACTGTTCTCTCCATTAATTAAGGTCGTATATTTAGAGGCATCTGCTTGAATTGATGCTACAGAGGTACTTCTGGAAAAAGCTCAGCTTCTTAGTTTATATACTCTGCAGGTACTCCCTAATTATATTGCCTGTTTTCACGCTGCCTTGTGGGAGGAACTCTTGTGTTACTGACCTCAGTATTATGACTGAAGGAAGGCTTCATTTGTTCCAAATTTCCGATGATGTGATAAGGAGAGCATAAAATTCAGGTGATTTTGATTTTTTTCTTCCCTGCGCTTTCAGTTTAAAGAAAGACTAGTTTTAACGAATACCAACAAACTTTAACGGTCAAAAATAGTTCTCAGTTTGCGTCGAAGGAATACATTCATCGCCTATTTCACGGCGACGTTTTCAAATTACATTAAAATTGCACACTTACTAAATACGCAAAGCTTTGCTATACTAGTGGCCAACTGGAAGCATGCTTGAAGGATGTATACTTCAAGACTTGAAGTTTTTCTATGATTAAAAACCTCTGCGTTTATAAGTCCTTCAGTTGCAAAAAAAACAAAGAAAGTGTTAAATCCGATTATTCACTGATTTATAATCCATGAGTATATAGCAAAAAAAACATACTACCATATGAGACATGTGTGGCAATACCAAACATTATTGCACATCTTTTTCCAGCCCCTTCGACAGGCAACTTTCTTCGTAGCTTTGTCTAGACTCTAGAGAGCATGCGCACGCGCACTTGGTTTGTTTACTTGATCACTAGAAGTTGCATTTTTCTCAACGTCCGTAAAGTTTGGTCTGAATTGAAACCGTAATATTTTCCCAAACAAACTCAGTCATCTGTCATCTACACATGCTCAAAGTACCTTATTTCCTTGTATATCTTTGTAATTATACAATATCTACCCCGTGCATATAACTGATAAATACTTAAGCTCACTGGAACTCATGAATGTTCCAATATAAGCTTTTAAGAGTTCAAGGAATTAGAGGATTACTCATCATTACTAATTCTTTACTGTTAAGGCACACATCCAAATCACATTAACACTTCTCATGCCCTGACGTACGTTCATAAATCATCAATTTCCTGAAATCTCTTCCAGAAAGGCCTTACCAATTGTCTAAACCGTGCTATTCCGCAAGAACGTACGTAGACGGAACCCGTAGCGGGTGGTTGAATTTTGTTTCCTCTTAGTGTGATCAATTTCAGACTTTGAATTTCCTGTTTATACGGGTTTATCAACGTTTTCCTCATCAGACACCAATTTTGTCATGAAATTCTGCCACGGTTTCAAAGTTGTCGTTCGTCGTACAGGTTAGTTAAGCGTCGACTTAAAATGATCTATATATATGAACTGAATAGTTCTAAATCGTCTTTAACCCTGCCTCCTGGTGGCACAGTGGCCTCTATTTGTTAAAAAAATGGTCTTAATGGTCATGCATAACTTTTTTGTTCAATTGACTTTAAAATATAAGAGAAACTCTCCATACTACACTTCAAAAGGTAATAGAAAATCTCAGGCAACTTTGGCGCCTTGGCGGGATGTTTACAAAAAAACTCTGACCATTTTGCATTCGCTTGATGAATGATCTTATTAACTCACAATGGGCAGTTAATTCTGTCGTCATTCTGACCTGATTTATTTCAAATAACATTCATGATTCATCTCAAGTCAGCTTGGCGTAGGCATAGCCGCATAGATGACAAAATCACTAGCTACATTCGTCATCAATCTAAGATGTTTGTTAGCTGTGCTTACTGTTCATTTCACACTTCGAGAACCCCAGCACCGCACGAAATGATTAATTGAATGCACTTGGACGCTCACGCGCCATATGCAAGCGATAAACGCGTTGTTTCTATGGAGACAAACAAGCAACGTCTGAATATGAATGCCATTGGCACACAACATGACATTTGCTCAACTATTTCGCACGTAAAACGATCGAACTTTAAGTACTTTACAACGAAATATGGATTTTACATCAATAAACACGAAGACCCTTTGAAAAAATATTTGCCAAACATTGCAATATTAATTGTCATGATGCATCGCTCTCCGTAGGTCAAATCAAGCAGGAAAAACAAAAGAATGCATCAAATAGTGTCCTGAGGAAACAAGAGACATAATTTCTAATATGTGCATGAGTCATTAGCGAAGTGGTTCAATCAAACTCATTTGCTGCCAAAACGGTTTAAAAAGAACTGACTATGCGGAATCAGTTTTCAACGATGTATAGTAGTAAAAAAAAAGACCATGAAATCTTCTATAATTTTAAAAAGTTTTCGGTGGCACCCGCTTTATCGCCACTGATTTCAAACGATCGTTCACGGGGGATGTTTTAAGGAACCATTAAGGCGGGGATTCTAACAACCTGCTTTTCTTGAAATAGATTTTGTTCAATATCATACAACACAATAAAACCCAATACAGTTCAATACAGTCATTCGAATTCGTATTTCCTGTAAATATCAGGTGCATAGGTGGTGCTGGTGTCATTTACAAAGATGGGAAAATTAACTGAAAAGATTAACTTACAGTCAGTTGGAACTGCGCAACAATGTTCTATCTTCAATCAATATTCATCACCGATATTCTACTGCGAAATTATAAAAAATAATCTTCTACTATTTTCACTAATATTCAGCCACGAAAGATGAGTCGATATATGCGAATTTAGTGTGCAGATAACTTGCAGTATTGTAGTATATGCATTCTTAAATCCAAGATCTCCGTCCTGAGTTATTATAGTTATAACTTATAATCGTCTTATTTAAACTGACTGTCTCGGGATAAATAAGACATTGACGCCACAAAAGTTTCTAAGTTTCCCTTCTGTTAATCGATTCCTATTGCATAGCAACTCTTAAAAAATCAAAAAGTGTCAAAACATTGTATTATTGTATGATATCAGTCAAGTAGATTTCATGCAGCTTCCCTTCTTTTGACATCATCATATCTTACACTTCAACCAGAAGTCGTTGAAAGGTTTTGGAAATATTCCAAAACCTTTTAACTAAGTAACAGAGAGAGAAGTGTTAAAAAGAAAGTTTAATTAAAGTTCATCCGGTTTTTCAAACTAAAGATCTTTAATTGGAACCGGAACCACAGGTTTTTATGCGAGCAAGCGAACGTGCGATGCGCACTTACGAAGAGGGCGTGGTTAATATTGCATGGTCATACTGTCATAGGCAAATCTCTTCAACACCACTTGGCTGATATAGTCTAAAGCAATATCTCACTGCAGGAATGTCAATTTGCCCTGCGAAAGTTATCTGTTAAGTGTGCTTCACTAACAACAAGACCAGTTTCGATTCAATTTTCGTGTGCTGTCACGCATCCAAATACACCTCGCCTACGTGTGGATCAGAATGACTGGATAGTTCTATCATTTCTCATATTTTCTTTCAGCCAAAAGTGTGCTAAATAACTGGAACCATCCCTTAGTAGGCTCAGCCGAGCTGGAAGCCTAACCTTAACTACAGTATGGTTACTATGGTAGTAGGTAGTTCCAAGCTCTTTCGATTCCGCCAGATCTAGTGAATGACATACAAATCAAGTCACGCAACAAGCATACAAAAGAATCTAAAAATCGGACAACCGGAACTCTTTAGATATATAACCAATATGCTATCCAGTTGTTTGTGAAAGTTTAAAAAGCAATTTCTGGTTGTTTGTAGGTTATATATTGATTGATCTTGATCTGATATCACGGTATTAAAACGATGTATGTATATACAATTAGGGCAATATCAACACCCCCTATTGAGAATATATGCATGGAATCAAAGATATAAGAGTTTTTATAACGAAATAACCGGAACTGGTTTTCATGATATGCTAAATACCTCGTGAAAGCAGTCTTGTGGCAGTGTAATTATGATCTACGTTATCATTCGTGATAATGTGATTTGATCTTCGAAGTTTCGAGGCTAGGTCGCCTTCCTCGTTAAAGACACTTCCTTGGTATTCTCTACTGAAATAATTCATCGTCGAATTATTCATTTGAACGACTTCGTCGTCTGCATGCTAAAAAAGGGGCGAAATATGAATGAACTACTATGCCAGGAGAAGTATTACGGATAAATAACGGCGTACTGAAGTTCGCTGCAGAAGACACAGAAAGCCTTGTATTTGCATTATTTATACTGTATCTAGGAAAAGCAGTGGGCTAATTAGACTCCTTCAGTTTAGCTAACGGTTCAGACCAATACGAGATGGGAAGAAAACTTATCTAAACCTTCATATACGAGAACATGCAGTTCAAAACTTATGCAGCCCTTCTCATTCTTTAAACAAAAGCGGTACGAGCATATTTCGGTGCCAATTCTAACTTTGGTATTAAAACTAACAGTCGATCTGATTGTGTCTTTTTCAATTCATTTGCCGTCATCGTCCAAAATTTGCCACAATTAAGAATCGTTTACGTGGAAAATCTTTATAGATTTGATAGAAAATTTGAGCCTCACAGAATGAGGAAAGTCCAAAACAAGACCTGTAGGGGAGGGTCGCTCTTACAAAGGTATCCCTATACCCTATACCAAGGGTAGCTAGGGTCGCTTTTACAAAGGTACCCCTAACCCTATACCCTATACCAAGGGTAGCTAGGGTCGCTCTTACAAAAGGTACTTCCTGAGAACAAAATTTTGAGACTGCAGACATCTTAAAAGACATTACGAATAAAAAATAAACTGATGCATGGCTGTACCGTCGACAACAGAACTATCCAGTATCCCTTTCGGGCTCAGTATTGGGTAAACCACTTGGGCAACCCGCACGCGGGCGTATGCTCGCATTTAGCTCATGCGGTTAATTAGGCTAATTAAAGGCAACCAAAAACCGAACGCATTTAAAGCCTAACTAGACTGACATTGATTAAATTAAACATAATTCTCATTATCCCTGCAGGGGGCTAAGGGCCCACGGATTTTGAGATGTCAAAATGTTTTCACTTTAAAGTGGGCCCTTGAATCACTCAATGATGAAGTATGTGGCTTAACATCTCTAACGATTTAATTATCAGAATGTATTCAGTTACACCACGAATATATACCTCTCGAAACCACGCCGGTTGGTTAAACGACAGATTTGCTTAAATTACGCACAACTGATAAGTGATACACATAGTGTGCTCTGTGTCATTTTAGACCACTATACAACGTGAACGTCTGAACGATAGTCGTGGCAAAACCGTGTCAAAACATATTAACGGTCTCTCTCGAAGAATTATTGAAATGTTCCTAACCTACGCTGCAGTTTTGGCTGTGATCGTCGCATCTTTGGCGAAATGCGGCAACGGAGAGGCAAAGGATACCGCGACGGGAGGAAAAAGCAACACTTTTGGTACGTAAAATTGAAACTATAATCCTGTGTTTTCTTTTCATGTTATCAAACGCATGATGTTAATATAGATCAATCGAGTGAATTTCATAATGTAGTTTTCATTGAAACTCTTCTTATCCCACGGCAAGGACTTAGCTGAGGCTGGAAACCAGTTTAGATGTAGATAGTATAATATATAAGTATGTTAATTCACGTCCTTTTTTATTGCGGTGTATATGAATACGTAGCTATGTGCTTCCCTTGTGTGGTCAGTTAAACTGGATCACGGCTCGTAATCTTTTCCAGACGTTTCGTAGCATGGTATTCTAAACGCTATGCAATTGATTTCTATATGAATATATCAGGAAAGTGGTGTTTCAAAGTACATAAATGCAATGTTCATTAAACGTCGTAAAATCATGGAGTCCTTGCCAATAGGCAATCATCAATAGGAAGCAACACGGCGAATATATTTCATACCAGCCATAACTTGTATGAAGAGTTTGATAGCGTATGAAGTAAATTCAATTGCCGGTTGGAAAACATTGAAATTTTTGATATCATATAGATATGCTATAAGGAGAGGTCAACGATAAGGGGGAAACAAAACGCTAATTGAAGCTCCAAATATTGATTGACATGATGAAATGAATGATTCTAAAATTATATCGTCTCTATTATTTGAAGAATGAAAAACGGGCACTGATTGAAAAGATGGGCAGCATGCAATTCATTTCCACTTATGCGAACGGCTGAAATCCGTTTCACGAACCTTTCTCATGTGCCTCATTTCTTGTGAAAATATGACACATTCCCTGCTTAAATCAGAGCATATATTTCGGAAGTCTTTTCGACGGAACACTCAGTCACATCGTCTATCGATGCTCAATACGCCATACAATACTTCAAACATTTGTTCAAGAGCTAGTTGAACTCGTCAACGCTATTGCATGGGGCGGATGTTGATATAGTTTAAACTCAGTTTCATTATGAACCGATGCTCGGGGCCTACTAGATTTCGCCCGCATTAGGATGGAAAATTAGCAACGACATCGGCTGCGGATTAGCGCACAAACAAGGGGCCCTTTTCTGTGTATGGATTTATACGAAGATTCAGAGCAAAGGGTTTTTCAGACGGATTAATAAAAAACGCTAAAAATAGACGACTCGAAACAGACAAACGGCGCCCGGAACGTATATTAGAACGAGCAATTCCTATCATTGAGAACATAATTTCTAGGACCACAAATCAAATATCACCTTGAGGAGTTTTTTCCGCAATATTAAAATGAGGTTGCGATGAAGAAAAATGATTGTATATGCATGTAAATTCTACTATAAACTCCCGCCTTTTTGCATCAAAGGTCATGGATAACCATTTAGGCACAAGATTTTAAGATGGTGTATCCAATTTCCCCCGCATATATCATTAATGTTTCCATATATCTTGGTCAGTGGATATTGGTGTATATACCCACATAAGTACGCAAGTTCGCTATGTGTTTAATTAAAATCTGGTCCAAATCAATTCTCTCCTGTGATTCTCATGCGACGTGTGAGTGGTGTGACAACTGTAGACTATTAGAGTATATACACAACATTAATTCTTAATTCATTCATTGGATTCACATATTCTATTGCTTTGCATGGCGGCTTAAAGTTCAATCGTTCACACTTTTTTCAGTTTGCACTTCACAGTGGGCCTATAAAATTTTGATGGGGTTCGCAGTGTGAAAGGCAGAGCGCCAAGGTGATAATTATTTAGTACGGCTGAGCATAAATCCCTATCATTAATACATTGACGTTACATTCAAATGTTACTTTGGTTTAGAATCGGAAATGCTTTACCAAATTCACAGGGCATGCATGGACATCAGTCAGTCGCAATAAACGCTAAATCTTTCGAGGAAAACCTTTAATTTTTTTAACTGCATATCATGTGATGATGTGCTCAGATTTTTTCACTTTCACCCGATTCCTGTTTCGAAGGGAATCCTTATTCATAATATCGCACGTTTTAATATAATTCTCTCGAAAACTCGTGTACCGTATACATAATACAAATCAAATACATGCAGTTCGCTGTTTTTTGAAATACAAATCTTTTAAGTGATTTTGCGTCGTTCGTATTTCCTGAAATCTGTGGCGTCAGATTATAAAGAAAACGTGCAAGTGTTGCGGCGGTGTTTGGTCAAAGAACTGTCTAGAAACCCATTCTCGTCACAAATATGAGCGAGATTAAATTATAATCAGACCATTAGCTGACAACTGTTTATTGAAGGAAATGCATGGATCTTGCTCTAAAGACAGATGTCAAAGGCCATATACAAAGTCAAAGGGATCTGTACTACGCAACCAATATTCAAAATGCCGAATTTTAGCACGGCATTAGCTAGGTCTTAAAGGCTTATTGCATCTTTGGGGAAATGCTAACATGCATATCGCATACGATTTATAAGAATATTAAACTACATCTGTGATTACAAAATATTTCCCATCGAATACCAAACAAGCCGGAATCGTTTTATCTTTCCTGAATAGATTTGGAACAGGAAAACCCCGCCATTTTAGGGCGTGATTAATAACAACTTGTTTTGAACTTTAGATAATTTGAAAATCCGTTGGAAATGTCAATAGACGCTTTTTTAGGAACATAAACCAATATACGTGCAACGACTATGCAATTCAATGACTAGGTTTGGTTCTATAGTCCTCTTCACAATATCTAGCGGATCTAACTAGTTAGAACTTATGGAGATATACATCTGAAGTAGTATATACATCAATACATTGATGATAGGTCATGATTTGAGTAAGGGAGAACAGAAAGTTGACCATAAAGTTGACCATAAAGTTGACTTTATTATTGATAGGTATATTTCTATAATGTTAGTTGAGTTCGTTCCTCTTTCATAAATCATAACAAAGACGTTTTTTAAGTGCGCAAAGCTTCAAGTATTATTGTAATAGTGGAATTTGGGAGTGAGTCACGAAAGCCTAGACCACAATGATAGCACTATCTCCTATTTATTATAATCCGCGGTCTGAAATAATAAGATCAGGCAATACACGATAAAAAAACTATAAGTAACGCTGACGTTCTGTGTGGAGAATGATGTATAGGCGCGCGGCAGTGTTACCCAAATAATAATAATACATCACAAGGTGATGATGAGTTACAGTTCCTTAAATGGATGATTGATGGCTGTTCCTTAAATGGAAGATTGAAAGTGTTCCTTTCAGAACTTACCACAGGATTAGAATGCGCGCGTTCTTCACAAATCTAAAATATAGCTATGTTTATGCGTACAGTTGTCTGAATGAAATCTGACCTGCCACTTGTAGTCACATGTGGAGGTAGCATAACTTTGACTTCAGCAAACATCTTAAAGATGATGTAATACTACACACTTTGTGACTTTGATACCAACGCTGGTAGGTCTGAACATTGCTTAAAGGCCACTCAATTGCGTGCACTCGCTATCCACGGCAAACTGGCTTACTCTAGACCCTTAAAAGAACTGATTGATATTAAAATGGCTGCGGTGACAGTGTGAATAGGTTTGATGGTTTGTTGAATGTCTATATGTGGAACAGTCACGAACTGTTATAGCGCTCGGGTTGTCCAGTAAACGCAGCGTGTATATAGACCTCGCTTCAGGTAAATACCGAGCTAATCTACCGTGCCAAGCAGAGTTTAAGAAAAATAAACAAATGTCTAACTGTGAAGCAATGTTTATATAACGCAACGTCGCTAATTGTATCAAATGTACACAAATTGTATGTTTTCTCCATGTGACTAAGTAAATAGAACCGTCGCAAGAGGAACGTTCACGGCAAAAGCTGACCTATTTTCAAAACCTTCGCTTTCCAATGTAAAAAGGAAACTGGTGAAGGTTTATTGGTTTGTGGTAGCATGTATTGTGTAATACTGATTATTGAAGTGCACTTACATGCTTACGATTGTGTCTATTATGAATACTTCCGTCCCCTAAGCGGAAAGCAATCAATATTAAAATAACCTGCAATCCAACTTGTGTATTGAATAAATGCATGAAAAGCTTTAGGACAAAAGTCCGGAGAGGTCGGAACTCAGAAGATATGTTATTCGTTTTACCACAGTGTTAATACGACATGAAAAAACTGACTTTGTACATAGCACTTATAGGAACAAGCTGCAAAACTCAGGCAGTAGGTGAAGAAGGAGGGCAAACATTAAATGTTCTTTATGAGATTTGGTTTTCAACCCCGCCATTTCTACCCAAGGTTAAGACCTCTGCTATTTGTGTGCGTGGCTGTCACCAACATTCAGCGACACCTTAAATTACTGGCCACCCAGTAAAATCTCACTAGCTAAACTTGTATGTAGATGATGTAACCACAAGAATATTTACATACGCTAAATTATATATGCAAACAAAGTTTACTGCAGTAAAAAAGGAAAAGGGAAGAACAAACAAGGAACTAAAGGGACTCTAGGGGGTTTAAGGAACGGATAGAGATCTTTGGTACAAGCAATTCACCAAATGTCACTGAGAATAATGATGAAGTGTATTCTTCCTTACAGACTTTTCGTACTGTGGTGAAAACCGGCAGCCCGTATCTCGATCAAGGGTTAGGCGTGTAATTGGCGGTCAGGACGCGCAGGCGCATCAGTGGCCTTGGACGGTGTTGATCATGAACCAGTCTGATATCTACTGCGGTGGTTCTGTAATCAGTCCAACATTCATCATCACAGCCGCTCATTGTGTGGACAACATAAGCCAAAGCCTTCTAAATTTTTACGTGGGAAAACACAAGGCGGACGTCAAGGACCCTCACGAGCAAAAACTGACAGCACAAAAAGTTTACATACATTCAAAATACCGACGAGGAAGCTCGACGCATCCGGGCGATTACGACATGGCACTCGTTGAGATGAAGAATCGAATTCGATTCACAGAGCAGGTTCGACCAATTTGCCTGACAGACGTGAATACATTTCAACCTGGACACGAATGCGTGTTGAGCGGTTGGGGTTATACCAATGCAAAAAAGCCCTCTGTTTCTAATACACTACAGCAGATAAGGTTGCCTCTTGTCTCCCGGAAGGTGAATATTTTCATCGTTTAAACTCTTTTTGATGATTTTGGGGGCGATTGTACAAAGCCACGATAGCGCTATCGATCGATTGTGATTTTTTAACTGCTGTAAGGCATCGAAATTACAGATTCAGAGCTAACAAACTGTTAAAACGAATCTTACTTTTAAGAATACCAAGGCTTAATCCAGGTTATACCAAACAACGTGCTATTTCCTAGCGATGGAAAAACGCACAATCTGGTGGATATAGCGCTATCCATTTTGCGTATATAATGCTCTCCAGAGAGATTTACATATTCTTTTGTAAGCATTCTTGACCTCGTTTTCATGAGAAAAATTGATCGCATATCAATTGCTTCGTTGTATTTGCAGGTATGCAACAGTAACAAAAGTTACGGCGGTAAAATTCCCGAGCGGTATCTATGCGCAGGCGTGCCGGAAGGAGGCAAAGATGGATGCCGGTATGATAGTGGTGGACCGCTGATGTGTGCCCACAGTGATACTGACCCGTGGTATCTCGTTGGAATGATGGCTTGGGGCGCCGGCTGTGCCGAGAAATATAAATACGGAGTTTATACAAATGTCGCACAGGTCATGACCATGGTACGAAACACAGTTAAAGGTAATTCATTTATATCCCTACTCGAGATCAGTGAATTCTACGTGAAATGGAATATGATAACTAAGTCGCCATCTTTCAGAAGCCAAATAGTTTTGTCTTCACATTCGACTATCGCGCCGACAAAAAAAGAAGGGACTGGCACTGGTCCTCTTAATTCGGCTACAAATTCGCTTCAATATCTCGAATGCGATAATCCAGGTTTGGCTTTTGCGGATGCAAATTGCTTTAAATGTACATATTCTATTTTCCTCAGATCTTCCGCAACCATATTTGCCGGCGACAAGAGTCTCGCCCACGCCTGCGCAAACCAGCAAGAATAAAACGGAAGATCGACAAAAGGAGAAGATCTTCATCGCCATTATAGCCGCCCTAAGCGTGATCATCATCATATTACTCACAACCTTGTGTATTGTGAATTTCTATACCCGTGGTTACATATGTTGTACCAGCATGGAGCACTCCAAGCATCATAAAGAGCCTAAAATCTTGCACGAGCAAAACGGGAAACTTAACAGGGAAGTAAGCGTATGACGGGTGGCACTGATCTCGATAGTAGCATATGAATTGATAATAGTTATAATCACTGATCTCAGAAAGACCAGCTGGACTGTGCCTTGATATAACTTGTGCATAAATATATATATATATAGAATTGAGTTTCACACTGTTTAGGCCTTAAATACTCACACACTTCCCTGTGCAAAGGTCACAGAAATCAACCAAAAAATTGGAAAATTAAAAAACACAAAGGAAATATAACACCTGGTACACGGAGACACCTGACCTATAGTTGTAAATCACAACCTGCCAACACAACCGTGAGTCATTTTCGTGAGCCCGTTGGTAGCTTAGCAACAGTCTCGGAACACGTAAGCACAAGCTCCCTTCTGCGCATGTCTAGGGCGCTTTCTCTGCAGGGCTAAAACGGTCAAATCGGTTCTATTGTATTTCAACAGACCGATTACTAGTCATTTAGTTTCAGGAACACAGCGTTCAAATGTACGGGTATTTCATATATTTGTATCACGGAAAACCAATAAGTTTACCGTTTTATGATTATCATTTATGACTGCACAATATTATTAGTTCAAAGTTGGGTTTGATGGCTTGACTGTTCTGGTTGCCTAAAGGAAAGCGCTCATACTCGAGACTTTTCCTGCACGGGAGGAGGGTGGAATGCTTGCTTTAGCCACGATATCGCATTCTGATATTCTTGTGCGTTATCCAAAAGTGAAATAATGACAGAACACGAAAACTTGGCAAAGTTCCAAGCGTACACGATTCGCATTAAGTATTGGGTGAGTAAAAAACTGATTCCTTCCACATGCAAATTCGTAGCATCTGAGATTGTCAGATTAGGCCAGTCATAAGTTGATTCGCGGAAAATTTGAATATGGAAAGCGTGAGTTTTTCACTCACCCTGTGGCATGCGTAGAAGACTAGGAACAAGTATCGTGAACACCTCCTTGGGGTCGTATAAATATCGTATTTAATATTATTGTTTCGAGGAGAGCAATTCTTCTGTCTCGTGTGTTCACAACATTATAGAAGTGTAAACTAGGACCTCAGGTAAATTGGTGGCATTATATGTAAATAATACTATACAAAATGTAGGCATAGGAATTGCATAGAATAGAATATTATAATTGATTATTGAACTATCTAAGAACGTAGATTTATGGAGCCTTTATTAAAAGCGCGCAATCACATCTGACAAAAGGTCGATCAAATTCTACCATTTTGATCTTCAACAGTTAATAGTCCAGGCTTAGACTTTATTTAACCCCAGCACTTCATGTAAAGGATTATTAATGGTATAAATACAATTATTCTTCAAATGTTAATATTTTGCATTAAAAGTCAGGCTTGTGCAAATTAAATAAAATTAAAGTACGAATTCAATATTTTTTATATTTCAAGATGCGATATAGGGAACCCATTCTCGAACGAACCTGACAGCTACTTCGTATTTTCTTTTTTCATCGGGGGAAAATTTCTATCATGTATAGCGTGATAAAAGGACTTTGTAAAAATTCGTGGCGCAAAATGGACTTTTATATCGCATCTTTGATTGATGACAAAAACTAATTTACCATGCAGTCTCTTTTTGACTTGGATTGGCTCTTAGAGATTTTAAAATAAGATTAATTTGAATAAATAGACTATCATAAAAGAACTGTACTTGATGTTATACCCAATTGCTTTACCCAATACCAAGGGACCTCTTTGGGTCACCTAAAAAGTCCCATATTTTTATCACTCCACACTGAGGGACCTACGTGGATCTCTTACAAAGTCCCTAACTCCTTCAGTTTTCACTGTATTGATAATCTCTTCGATATTCGTCTGCTCATCAAAATATTCAACCAACAACGGTTCTGTCAAAACCGAAGCAAAAAACTGCTCAAAGGTGATAAACCACGACAAATTTAGTGTCCCCGAGGACCGCCTTCGTGCTTTAATACCCTCAGAGGCTTCTAACGACAGCCTACTAGTCTTGACACCTTTCGTGAGTTTCTCTGTTTTATCTCCAGAACATGGTACGGCATTCGGGACTGTTCCTTCGCTTTTCGACTGATCTTTTGATTCCTTGGATCTATCGGAATCTTGCATTGAATCACCGGACATCTTCGTACTACATTCGGGAAATTCTGTGTGATGATCGGAATTGTTCGTATGAATATCAGAATCAGCCGAGGCCTTCCTACAACCTTCGGATTTTCGAGTTAACTGTTCGGCCCCAGTACACTGATTTTTGGAATCATCATCCAAGTCAATAACTTCCGGACTACTCAGTAAACTGTCTTCGCTCCCTACTCGGATGAATTCGTCATCATTCGTATTAGCTCCGTGACTCCCTGGTTCGCAATCCTCTGCCGCATCAGCCAAAGCTTCGCAGAGCCTTCGTTGAACACTTCCAGCGTCTGATACTGGACTAGAATTGTTGGATCTTTCATCCAAATTGGAGGAATTAGTTTCATTCGATAAAATATTTTCTGACCTCAAAGGGCCTTCGATAGTTTCAGGCCGGTTTGACGAGTTCTCCACAGCAGGTTTTGACACGTTTGACGCAGCCCCTATACTCGTTTTGACCGGATTTTCGCCAGCAGTGAGTTCGCCCAAATTAAGAAGTAAAGTGCCGACCGATGCGATTGCTCTGTACATTTCTTGTTCGTTGGGAAGTTCTCGAAAGAGCGAGTAGAATGTTTTCCAAAGATTAATAAACTGTTTCTAGAAAACAAATATCATTCATCAGGTTAGCAAATAGTGATCTGAAGAGTCTAAACTTAGCATAAAACAATTATTAACATACTTTTTCATTCACGCAACGAAGCAATAAGGAATATTTAAGGCGAATTTAAAGTACCACACACAATACGTTATCAATATTCACTCACAGTAGCAAAATATTTCCCTATACTTACTTGATTCATATTTTCAGTGCAGCTGCCGTTAACCTCCGAGACCTGTCCGATTTCGCTACGTACAGCTCCGTCCGTAGCGTCTGGACTTGTCACAACATGATATACTCCTGGCTGACTTCTTGTATCCCTTAAATACCCTTCACAGTCCTCACCAACAAGTTCGTTTTGGGTGACAAGATCAAAATCCAAATTATCGCTTTCGATTGAACAACCATCCCAAATCTCCGAGGACGCTTCGGAGGCGTTCGCCGAACCTTCGGACGTCTTTGTGTTTTCTTTGAGAACCGCCGTAAGGCAGTCAGTAGAATTATGAATATCCTTCGAGCAGTTCGTTGAAACATTCGTAACAATTTCGGAAACATTCGGGGCATTTTCGGAGTTCAAATTTTCGAATGCAGTTGGACGATCATCGAAGGAGGATTGTCCCGATGATATATTTTCGGATTTTGAGATATGGTTTTCAATATTCCGACCCGAGCGCTCTGATTCAGTACTCGACTGTCTAGTTACCTTACCTTGTATAACAACCACGCCTGCTCCTAGAGGATCCAAAAGAGTCGCGCCATTGCGCATGTCTATCCCATCAGATTCATCGCATTCCTCGGCTTCATCGACATCACTGCAGCTCTCCAGCGCCCCGTCCTCGTCCGGCGAGTTGCCGTCCTCCAGTTCGGAAAGCGGTAAAGCAGGCGGCAGATGCAAACGGTAGATAAATTTGAGTCGCTGTTGTAGGTCGCCACGGCATATCAGACCCAATGTTATGGCGAATTCCTTGAAGTTAATAACGCCATCTGCATCGCGATCAATCAACTGAAAATACAATAAAAAGCTGAAAGCAACTGAAAATACAATAAATGCTTCAAACAATTGTTTTTCGGTGTCATTTGTCCAGCCAGAAACGCGGCCATTGAAAAAACGTTCAATACACTTGCCACGCTCTCAAAAAGACGCTGTTAACAGCAACTGGGAAACCAATGCAATGCTCCTATAGTAAATCTTTTTCTTACCCTAAAAGCCCTCGCTGACAAGTTATCACCGGCTTCATTTCGGCCCCATTTCGTGAGACATTTGAACAAAATCCTAAATTGTTCATATTCAATTCTCTGTAGTTTACTGGAGTCGAGTTCGTAGCGGGGAGCCGAGTTGTCGCCCCATGATCGACTTTGTAATTGACCATCCTGTAAAATTTGAGTTCAGTGAACTTGAGTTTAGTGAGCACCGGAACTAAAGCACTCAAGAAAAGAACTGATCTCAAGTTACAGTACTGAGTGGACATATCAAAATCCACTTTAAGCAAAACTTGGATCAAATCTAGACAATACCTTAAACAAACGATAGACAAGATCCAGTTCGTTGACAGTGAAAAGCGATTCTTCGGCGACATTACGAACAACAGTTTTACGTATGCTGTCCTCCATTCCCTGAGAAGAGAATCACAGTATAGAAAACGTTATTACTGTCCTAGCAATAATATATCCTCAAAGTTAACATACTGTATTCCCACCTGGACAACCTTCAATCGTTGCGTGTTTCTCATTCGCTCAATCTGCTCTGACGTGATGAATCCAAACTTCCGATAGGACTCCACGATAAGTTGAGAGATATCGACAGACGAATATGGCTGAAATATAAAATATAAGTGATGAAGGGCCTCATCGTCACCGCTACACTCTCGTAATCTACCCTTATTATCCTCATCATACCCATCAACATCTTTTTCACCCTCATTAATTCCCTAATGTCCTCATCATCCTCATCATTCCCATCATTCACGTCTTTATCATAGTAACTCATTATTCCCCCAATGTTCCTCATTATCCACATCATTCCCATCAACGTCTTTTTCACCCTCTCGTAATCCACCCTCATTATCTCATCATTCCCATCAACGTCTTTATCATCCTCATTATTCCCCTAATGTCCTCATTATCCTCATCATTCCCATCAACATACAGTCTTGATTTGTATATATCGACTGTTATCATTACCTACCCCACTAGCGGAACCACTTCGTATAGTTGAAGCGGAAGATTTGAAAGGTGAATCGTATTCTTTGTTAGTAATATTATCCAAATATTCGTTGAGTATCGTCATCGCTTCGCCATCGTCATCTACGGAGAGCAATCTATTTCTGTTGGCATCCAAAATAGCCAAGGCTACTTGAAATGTCACCTAATATCAAACAAACGCACAACATTTTTAGTTTATCAACTTTATCCATCTTCCCTGTCTTCGTGTTTTCGGACAGCACCCGAATAGGATCTACATACAGCTTTCAATGGTTTGTAAATAATCTTTACCTTGGCTCCGTCATAAAAGAAACAGTCGACAACATTCACTGCACTTGCAAAGGGAATGACGCTAAAACGGGTACACAAAGCGATTATAGGAAATTTTATGATGTTTGCAGAATATAGATTTGCAAGTATATCTAGGTTAGAAACAACACTGTCGAAATGGATTGATTACGTAGTTCATAGTTTAAGTTTTCCCAAATATACGACATTGAATGACTATTGCATGTTTAAACTGAACATAGAGAAAGGATTCGAAGGATATAAATCACCCTTCCATACCTGAGAAACAGAGTTAAGAACCATGATAAAGATATCATATGCAGGATTCCAAGTTCTTTCAAATGATCGTACAGTTCCGCGATATTTTCTCGAATTAACTCTTCGAAAACACCTGAAAATTTAAAACAAACATTAACGCAGTTCGATTGCATAAGGTTGGTAGAACATGAATTTTGCCTTACCTTGATCAACCAGAGCACCAACGACCTTGGTGTTATAATAATCCGGTAACAATCTTTCGCAAACTGCAACCAGCAACCAGAAGGCTTCCTCTTCGTTACAATACAGTAACAACACAGAGGCAACTATGTTCATAGCTTGGCAATATCCTGTAGGAACAGTAATGCGAAATAATTACATCAAGACAAGAAGATTTAATCATAATGTACGTACATATAGCTCGATCAGTTAAAAACTGTTCTTCTTAACAGATTCAGGAATGGACATTGAAAATTTCTTTCAATGAATTTAAGTAAATCTAAACTAGCTTATCTATACTGTTTAGTTTTAAATCATTAGTTTTTCTGGGGGTACTTAGGCTTACCAATGGTCGGATTTCTCCAGGCATAAGCGGTCAAAACTCGACGTAACGCATCAATGCCAACTTCTGATTGAAAGGCCGGATGCTCGGGTAGAGATCTACGGTAGGTGAAAATATTGCTAAACGTTAGCCCGCGGAAACATTTAAGGATATATTTATATATTTATTAAGCCAATAAAACACCTGTGCAGATCTCTTTCTATCTCTTCGTTGGCCAAGGTCAACTGACCAGAGCTCTCTTCAACCAAGGAATGATAATAGCCTGGGTGTGTTGCAATCTGGAATTTCAAGCGACAAATATTCCGATCAGGATGATGTAAACACAGTGGTCGGTCCAGCAACGGTTTTTAAGGGGGTGAGCGCAATAAAATTAGCAGTAATTCTGGTGTTCAAATTCTACAGGGCTGCGCACAGCTGTACAACCTACCTATACATCCCACCATCATCATTTGACTTGCAAGAAGATCTCTAGGCTTACCTCGGTAACGGCGCCAGAGAAAATCAACCAGATTTCCGCACGTAAACTATCTGGAATGCCTTTCAAAACAAGTTCGTGTGTTTTAACGGTACGATACATGCACACGCCCCTGAAAATAAAGCGATAAATTGGTACACATGCAAAACATTCGGCCATTTGGAGAATGATATGAACGCTCCGGTAAGGTACATGCATGAAAAGATAAGTTGTAGCTAAAGCCCTCGGGCGCTTTTATATAGTTAAGGGAAGGAAATTTGCACCAGTACCTGCCAAATTCAGCAAAATGAAGATCCCACAAGTGTTCTTTGACAGGTTCCTTGACATTGACCTGACTCGGTGAGCGATGTGAAAACATCTTAGTCAGTGGTGATTGCATCTTCGCCTTCAAATTCATGGAACTATTTCTAGAAAAACAACGGAAATGTATAACGTCAGGTTCAATGAGCCAAATCAGTTACTTTGTGAAGCGGGGGTGCCATAGTTCAAAACAGTTAGGGGTGGGGGAAATTACACACTCATCGCCCCATTCGACGCCCTTGGGCTCGCCTACGTTAAATGCATAACATTCCTTACTCTGGCGTTGGGACACGGGCAAGAAAGTCTGAAATCCTCCTGACCAGGTAATCACGATCTTTGAGAGATGCAAATGTTGCGAACAAAAACGATGCCTGTGGATGAAATAGAAAAAAGTATATTCACCAAGTGCCCACTTTTAAGGCGTAATACAGAATGTTCTTTTTTATACTTTAAATACAGTATATATAACTTGATCAATACATGCATAGGCGGATTTTCTGGAAAGGTGTCAAAATGTACAAAATGTTACAAAATGTCAGTATTGAACACAAAAAAAATCAGAAATGACAAGTTCACAGTCTTATCTTACCTTCGATTTGGTCGTAATATGCATGGCGTTCGGCAGGGTGGGATTATTCGCCTTCTCGACCACGGTGATCTCTCGCATGGGAATAACAACGCTAACAAGGTGTCTGATCTAAGAAAACGGAAATTGTGGTTAGATCGTCCTCTGGGAGATGACTAAACAGTTAGGAACTTAAAGAATTAGTGCTGACTGTTAAGCGCGATAGTGCCGGCTTTCATCGTGGCTGATGTATTGGAGGAATTACATACTCTATATCCTATAAAGAACCGGCTAATGCTTATGCTGGGGCTCACGCTTTGGTAGATCATGGACTATCGATAGTATTGACCAGATAGACGGTAGTTTGCTGTCCAACTCATTACCATGTCCATGACTTCTACGCGCTAATTGCGCCCCCCCCTCCTTCACGTAAAAAGTCACACACACCCTGCAAACCTTACCTTACTTGCGAAGCACATGAAGTTAGGAGAACAGTAGAGAGTTCCCCAGATAACGCACTTTGAATGAGGACTCCATATTGTGCATTCACAGTCCCCATCCAGTTTTTCTTCGCTTGGAAGACGAAATAAATTGCTGCAAGAAACATTAAACACTTTCATCTCAAGAACAAATACACAAGTGATCCTATCAAGCTTTGCAAGTCTTACCGATAATGCTCGCTCCTTGCCCTTGCATCCAGATCACGTTTCAACATCGACGTACTCTTTTTCTTTCGTTTTTTTCTCTCCCTGAAAATCACGAACACAAAAAAAACCTTGATAAAAAACCGCACTGTTCCTGTATTTTACTTACTACGTCGGACCAACTTACTTTGCTGTTGGCGGAGAAAGAATGGATTCGACCTCAAATCCCTTTTCTGCTAATAATCTGATAAAATATATTAAATAAGACATTAAAAAAAAACAAGTGCTATTCAATGAATTGAAAAAATCATTGTGGAAAGAGCGAAAAAATTGGGCATCATCACTATAAACCGTATTGAAAAATTCAACTGTATATAGAAGTAAAGTATCGGCTATCCAAGCATACCTTCTCATTGCAATGTTGGCCAATTGTTCCATCAAGGCAAATGTCTCAGACGCGTGAAGCAACAAGGAAAAGTTGTGCTACATTCGAGCAAAAAGAAAACTATTCTTCAGTCTAATCAGAGTTGTCTACTGAATCCACTAGACAGGCAAACTTAACAGTGAGCCGCATGCGAGTTGCATGATGAGATAAATTCACCAGCTGGAGTGATGGATAAATCCAAGTTAAAGGAGAAAACGTCTTCATACCTCAGAAGAACGAGTGCACACTTTAATTCCGTCAGGAAGAAGAACAGTATTGGTTCTTTCAAGTTTCTAAGTAGTTACAGAATAAGATTTTACAATTTTATACATATATCGCTGCATGGAAGTATTTTTACATCAATGTATACAGGAGAAATTTCTTTTTTAGACAGGGGTGGAGTGAATGCATATAAGCGGGCAATAGAAAATCATTGCTATGAAATGGGACAGGAAGAATGGGGAAAGTTATAGGGTGGTTATAGTGAAGTTAACAAGTAGAAATGTTCTCATAGTGAAGTACATTAGATCTTCTAGAAGTTTTGTCTAATGCCTGTTTACACTATGATTGATGCGAGGAAAGACCGCAACTTACATACATGATAAATTTTAAAGAAGTTATGGTAATAGAAGATCCAGAGATGGAGAAAAGGTAAAAATAACAATGACTTACAGTGACATCTGTCCAGCGAATGACCAGCCTAGCTTCACGTCCCAAGAGGAATGAGTAAAAACAAAGATGGTTTATAGAGAGATACATCCATCCCTGACGAGGAACAACTCCTTTCCAATAACTGCATGAATAATCTAAAAGTAAAACATTGCTTTACTGATATGATCAATCATTTGGCATGAGCAAGTAACATGTTAAACAAAACAAGGCATATTTAAACATAGGGTGGCTGGTGGGTTATTTAAAATATCATTACAAGACTCACAATTTACAAGTTTCTCTTCTTTGGGCATGTGAAATAGTCGTTTAAATCTTGCAAAAGCCGATTGGAATTTAGCTGATTCTGGAGTGGCTGAAAGTGTAAAAATGATCAGTGTCAGGAACAGGCATTATATATATTATTGGGATAGTCACTAGGTGCTGATCTCTTTTGAAGTGCTGTGATACTATATGGGCAGAGGGGCAAAGGAAGCCACAGATCACAGAGTTTCCTCAATTCAACAATACCAGATAAGATTCTACATGGGGTGTATATAAATTGGCATTATGTGCCGGTTCTGGCCTCCTTTCTTTAAAACAGGCTTCACAGCCGACTGGAAGGATATGGAAATGGGTACACATGTATATGCAGTAGTACAGTGGCTTTGAAGAAAAAGCCTGGAATTAAATGAGGTGTATTTACAGTACCTTCAGGACCATGTTTTGCTTCATTTTGAGCTACCAGACTTTCTATTTTAGCCTGGACAAATTCTTTTGCATCATTGTCATTGTCAAATGATTCTGGAAGTTCAAATGAGTGCAGTATTAGAGCAGTTAAGCCAATTAATGAACAAACATATCAACAAGCTTTCATTGTACCTAATGTTGGAAGAAGATACTGCTCAAGCCATTTCCAGTTTGAATCAATTTCTTTTCTCTTGGTAGCAGTTGCAATTACTATAAGGTTCAAAGTTATCAAACATTGCTATTTACCCATTCCATTCATAAGCAATTAAATCAGCATACTGTATGTATAGATGATCATTCTTTGGGCAATATTATATATGCAATGTACATGTAAAATTATTATTTTTTGCATTGATAGTTATACTGCTATACTGTACATCATCCTTACCAAAAATAACATCTGATGAGGATGTTGATTGCAATAGGATTCTGAATGGAGGAGGCTAAAACAAACAAACAAACAGACAGTAAATTTAATCATTAATGGATACGGTAGGGTTTCAAAAAGAGGATAGGGACAGGGACCGCGGAGGGGGGGGGCTGGGGGGCTTTAGCCCCCCCAATAATTTCCTAAATACATTTGATTCCTTTATAGCGATTTTTATATGGCCATAATAATACGAATAAAAACTCCTTAAAGTAAGTTGTGTAATCATAATTATGTTTTCACTATCCCTGTTGGTGAACAATGTCTCTATTAAAGTGTTCACAAGAAAAATATAAATAGATAAGTATGGACCCCCCCCCCGAGAGTTCACTCTTTCGGCTTCGCTAGCCCCCCCAAACCAAAAACTGCTCCGCGGTCCCTGAGGGATTTGCATGCTTGAACATGTCATGAACGAAACATTGCCAATATTGAGGTTGAGATATTTTGCTATATATATCACTGATAGGTAAAAAGTGAAAATAATGAATGATTAATGCTAATAAAGGGATATGAAGTAAACATGAATAGAGAACTAATCCACACAAATGCATTCAACAAACAAGACTTGAAAGATTAAAAATTAAAATAAAATATGGCACAAGTGGTTTTCCATTTGTCTGTATTGAAAAAGGAATAACACTTTCTAGATATTCAGAGTAAAATAGCAACATCAGCAAGGATGTTAGTCATTTACTAAAGGCTAGAATTTATTGATCACGTATATTAACATAATTTCGTCCGACTGAATGAGGTTCAGCCTGGTGGGGGAGCTTTAATTCAAGTTTTTAAAACCTATTATTACGATTTCGGATGACACTGTGCTGTGGTTAGTTCTCTACCATAAGCACTTTATCAAAAGCAGAATTACATGAGTATTTGGATAACTATCTATGTCAGAGCGTATCAGCAAGATGCCGCTTGCTCAAACAACCTCAAATGGTCAAAAACATTAATAAATCTTACCTTCGAGTCCAAAACATGATCGAATGTTCCTATGAGCAAGGAAGTAATCCCACTGTCCCCATGACCTTTTCTTCTTTGCAAACTAAAATACGGGTTCGCCTGTTCTGTGGTCCTTCGAATAAAAATGCAACATTCAAATGTAGACAGTTAAAATCCGAAACATTTAATTAACAAAGTATCTACAATTTGCCTGTTCTTTTTTTGACCTATTTCCATTAATGTAGCCTAAATTTAAGGCTATTCATTGTTTGTTTCTGGACTTTTAGAGACTTACCACAAGGCATTAGTTAGGATTACTTCGGTTGGCTTAATCCACATCGTTTTTACCAATCAAAAACCAAAATAAACCAAAATATACAACATGTTCATTTTCTGTTCTGAAAAATGTATTGAAATGAACAATGTTTGTTTTGAATATGCACGCGCGTACTCGGGGTCTGGGTCGGGTATTGACCCTTTCATTGATTGATTGGTACCAGGGCATGTTATAATACTAGTAATAATCAAAGATTATAATGTAAGCGCCCTGATTGTTACCGTATTATTCTTCGTGATTAGGCACCTTTCACGACATCTACGGCTGGTTTCAAGTAATTTTTCCTCAGCACAAGACAATTTTTTTCATGGAACCCCAAATAAGTCATAATCTTGTCTGTTACATTCTGTTAATCTGACCAGATCAATGCAAACTCTTAATATGCAAAAGTTTGATGTATTTTCCGTTGTCTAGTTTTCTTACTATGATAAGAAAAATGGCTCTAAATGCCGACTTTTGTTTGGATAATGTTTGAGGTAATGGAAATAAAATATTCTCATACTTTTGCATAGCAACAGCATGAAGTTCCTTTTCAACTTCAGTGAAATCTGTACCAGGTGAGTTTTATTTTAGAGAACAAAAGCGTATATCCAAACACATGTAAGCTACAGACACATAAAATCAATTGTTATCTAAAATTAACTTACTAAACAATATTTTTAAAAGCTATATATGTACAGAAATAACAGAATATGAATTAATTCCTACTCTAATCTAAATAATATATAATATATATAAAGGCTTATAAAAGCATTCAATTTTTGTGCAGTGAAATAGATCCATTAGAAACTATATCTAAAGTAATGTTTTTTCTTTTTGCTATACGTTTTTTTCCTCGGAACACACTTCTGTCAATTTATTAATACCGAATCAACGAGTTCTGATTATCTGATTTCATAAACGATCTCCAAGTGCATGCATTCGGGTATGCGGGTAACTGGGCAGGACCCGCGAGGACTAACCAATAGGACCAGCCAGGCTAGCAGTGCAATGCACATTGGAATATCCAATTACTTTAAATTAGTTTGTGAAGGCTGTTGAAGAGAATGCATGCGCGAAAATGACAGTTTTTCAAGGTAGGTCCAATTTTTCCCCAATCATACATATGAACAAACCAGTCGAATCTACCGGAAATTTAGTTCGGAGCGAGCAGCGAATTACGTTTACAGGACCAAATAACATGGTGGCAGTGTTGGAACGAGCAATTTTTCACGTTTTATATGGTTCTGCAGGGATAGAGCTTCTGAATTCGCTATTTCCCATGGTTTCAACCAGTTTCGTTAATGCTCTAAGTCTAGTTTGGTATATAACTAGGACGATGATCACAACACGATGCTCGCTGTCCCAGCAGTTTGATGGATGTTCAGACTATACATTGTCATACATTTGTAACGAGTCTTGAAGTTTGTCTACAATCTAAACAAATAAAAGTTGTTTTGTGTCCCACTTATACAAAAGACAGTCAAAATGAAGTTTTGAAGTAAAGTTGAGTTATTGTTTATGCTGTATTCTTACCCCTTGATAAAAACTAATTTGTTCTCGAAGAAAACTTTGCATCATTTGCTTATAATCAACCACCCTTTGCTTGTGGAATAGATTAATTTCAGCTGAAAAATTAAAAATAAAAGTAATCATCCATGAAGGTCTTCAAATTTCAGTTTTCAAAGCAAAAGCAACTGAGCTTACATAACGTGACGTTCGTTATAACATTTGCTCGATTTGTAACTTGCTCGACCAGATCATCCTGAAAAAAATTGAATAAGTATCATCCCATTACACTTAACTCCTATTAATGGCTTTTTGATCCCGTAAACCTGTACTAAATTAACAAAAATGAACAAATTAAGTTACTTCGACTTTTTCGTCATCTTTTTTTCTTTCCACGTCTTTTACCTTCTCCACCGTCGACTGAAAAATAGCGTTCGTTCAGTCAACTCCTAAGATTTGCCCTTCAATTTGCGCGAGAATATTAACTCAGGAAATGGGGCCCAGTTTGTGCATTCGACAGGGTGCCTTCAGCGGTTTGCCTCTTTTACACCTCTCCCGCACAAAAATACTAAAAACATCTTCCCTTTTCCTCAATTAAATACCTCCTGCAAAAACATTGACGCACATGCTTAAGATTAATCTTTTGATCCCACTTGCGATACATTTTTTTGTCTACTTGGCTGCTCCTCTAATAGGAAGTCAATTCCCTCCACCCCCCCCCCTCCTCTCCCCCTAGCCACCAAATCAAAACTGAAATCCTTCAGCTCATCCATCCATTCTCCATATCATATTCAATATCTGATTAAGTTCATACCTTGTGAATGTTAATTATCTCAGGAAAAGTAGTGAGAATTCCGGCGTATTCTTGGAGCCCTTCCATCAGGCGAAGAAGATCCACTCTGGGCTAAAAGGAATATTTCATTTTAGTTAGAGCTCACTCTTGCGTGATTAGGGTGCGAAAAAGCGACGAATACAATCTTTGTTCAACCCAAAATTAGGCAAGATTGTCCCAATTCATATACATATAATCTTTCTCAATTAATTTAACTGCCGGATACCGAACCTGCTCACTAAAGGCTTCCCCAATCTCGTCATATGTCCTGCCGGTGTGCGCGATCGCTTGTGTTAACGGTTGTGAATCTATAGAGGTAACAAGATATACACGTAAGAATCGTGAGCACATGTGATATAATATTCTTATGTTCATATTTTTATCTCCGACTTACATTTAGACTGATGCTGTTCAAATGCTAAACTGAGATGAGTGAACGATGAGCCGAACTTTTTATGAGAATTTTTGAACACTATAAAAACAAAATAATAATCAATCAGTTAGTTGGACGTTGATTTTCTTAAGGTTTGTTCAAACAATCCAATTTTGTTGGATCCAATACACTTCTGACGTATGGAATGAAGTCAGGTTATCGATAAAGGAAGTACTGCGTTGGTTTAACTTGATTTGCTGCCCACATACATTGCAAGGCAACAGACTATAAAACATACATCAGAAGTGAATTGGACCCGACAAAATTGGATCATGTGAATACTGAATAGACCCTTATATAATCAAAAACTCATCATACAAGTTATATTTTGGGTTTCATGGATGTTAACCTTTGGATAAAAAAAAGCATGTTTTGCTTTGTAAAAGACTTTCTGAGTAGTTGTTCTATAGTCAGTTTTCATCCAAAACTGGAAATATTTATGAAGTGACCTCCCGATGTTCCAATTCCTTATTAACACGTCGGGTAAATACCATGCGTAAAAAGAACACGATAACAATAAACAATAAAAATACAATACAACACAATGGATGTCAATTGGCGCCAAGTGTTAACACAAAATACAATATGATGCTCTTTAAATGTTATTGAGAAACGAGTACCTCCGTCATATTTGACACCGTACGACTGACATCTTTCATTAAATCTATGAACACATTGTTCCATTGTTTTTGTAAACTGTGAGAATTCCTCAATCTTCATGTCGCTACAGGAAATGACAGTAGTTTAGATACATGCATCTTTTCGAGTGGCAATTAACATCACAAATGTCAACGCATGCAACTGCTTATTCCCGCTTAAAATTTCTGGGGCTTGGCTTAGGTAAAACTCTTAATCACTTTTTAATCACTATTTTGACAGTAGTTGTCGTTAGCTTTGATCACGAAGTTAAGCCAGTTGTATAAAAAAGTAGTTAGCGTTAATCGTAGTAAAAGTTATTAAACAACGGTTTTATACAATCGGCCAATGTTATAGCTACATGCAACTTACGCCTCATCAATGGATATGGCTGTCGTTGGACTTTCCACAGTTAGGAAGAAAGCAGCTCCACAAAGTTTGTCGCATTCGGCTTTCCTTTTTCCAGCTTTCCATTCCTATTGATATAAGCCGCATGTGATAAAAGCCTCTCAGAATATAGACCTTTATAAGCATGCTTCTGATTGGTCAATTCTCCCAGTTGACCAATCAGAAACATGCTTTGTCAAATAATCAATCACCTTTTCAGTTTCTTTACAACATAAAAAATGCTGGAAAACTTCGCTTTTCGAAACCAAAGGATGTCTAGACAACCGGTTTAACCACCTCTCCAGCTGTTCACGTCGTTTCTGAATGAACTCTTCCGCATATTTTCCTATATCGCGAAAAAACATTACACTGCATTATTTCCGACACCAAGCTGTGTTGATTTGTAATCGAACTGGTTGTCAAGATACGAAAGACCGTAGAACACTGTAATGTATCTTGCAAAGATAAACAAGCATGCCCAAACCTGTAATTTGCTTGTCAGGAATCGGCGGAATGGACAAACAGGTGAATTTTTCTAGTAATCTACAGTACAGCCAATCAAAATGCTTGAATCGGCGACTGACAGAAACGCCCGTGGACTGAGAAGAGAAGAGAAAAAGCATTGCTCAACCCTGCAACTACAGGATAAAAAATATATACGTAAGAATACTTTAGTAATTTCTATTTGCTAAGGAGGTATTTTGAGGATGCTAAGATAATAATATTACATATAGATAGTAGAATTCGAGTTTAATATTTGCACAGCGATGGCTTTATTGCAGCATAATTGTTGGCGTGAAGCGATAAGAAAAACAATTTTCGATGAATCACACGTACAGATGGTGTAACGTTGTAGGCAATGAAGTGCTTCATTCCCTTAAATTTGCTTTTCTTTTCCGGCTGGGTAACCACGCAGGTGAAAGGATCTCGCAGCTCGTCCCATTCCACACCCTCGCTTGTCTCCTGCAAAAAGTACAAGAATACAATTAATGAACTGTATTGTTTTCGAACACGACTCCTTGTGTGGTATGATCTTATGAGCGGTTGTACGAAGATTAGATATAGCGCTATTCACCGGATACAGATTTCTTTAACCGTTGTAAAAATGCTTGAAAAGCACTTATAAAACTTCAAAAACGGAAATATCAATAAATAAAGAGAAATGTAGCTTTAAGTAATGAGGTTCAATCTAGTTTATACTAAACCACGGTTAATTTTATGGTGATCCGTTGGAAAGCGCTATCCAGTCTTGGTACAACTGTCTCTAAATTATATATGCCACATGGTGTTGGCCCTCCAATATAGTATAATGCTAGTAAAAATTAACAGGAATGAAAATATTACAATCTACGAGTACGAAGGTTTCGTTTTTGCACTTTTTTAGTCTTGTCAAGTCGTGTACAATAACAAATATGTATGCTGTCGTTTTTGTGTGCTGAACGTACAATACAAATACAATACAAATTTATTTAGATCCTCCCCTCAGGGCTTTTCAGGTCTAATTACATGTTAGAATAAGACTAGTTTACATAGTTAAAAAGTTAAACATTTAGAATCCATGATACTTAAGTATATAAATTATTAAAAATGCTACAAATTATCTATTTAAGAGCCAGTCCTTCAATGATCGTTTATAAATGAGAAAAACGAAAAGAAGCCAAAAGAGCGCTTGAGAAGCTCGTGAAAATGGCGCGTTCAATTTGCTTGCGTGATTAACCGTTAAAGAATTATTTTACCAAAAAAAATCAAAACTTGATATTTCGACGTCGAAGTTGTCACAGAGGAGAAGTTGTTTAGCTAACTTGCCGCTAGAGCGTAGTCGAAAAAGACACAACACTGAACCAAGTTATCAGACACAAGACTGAACTAAAAAATGGGACAATCTTCGTCTTCGTCCGTAGTGAAGACAGAGGATATGAATGATGAAAGAGATGATATTTGGTCAACTGTCATTCATATATCGGATCGCGATGTTTTGGTGCAGGATATTGGACGGACAAAAAAGGAAAAGGTTAAGCTGGACAAAGGACGAAAACAAGCGAAAATGGACAATGTTCATTTGGCCAACGCCAAGCGATTAGAAGGATTGCCTTCATTTAAAAGGAAAAACGCAACCTGGCTGCCAAAGAAACGTAGTTTCCAGTCTAAATACCCGACCGGAGTTGTGAACGAGTGTTGTTCTGCCGGGTGTGATGGAACATCGGTAGAGGAAAAAGCTGGGGGGGAATTTTCACAATGCTCGGACGGGGGGAGTGTTTAGTTCGTCGGTGACAACGTGAACAAAAGCATGGTAAATTTAAAAAAACTGACTGGGATGATTAATTCTTGTAAATACCAAAATACAAATCACAATTAATATCTGTGAACTTGTGTATGTATGAATTGCCTTAGCCCTAGGGATTGTTGAAAAAGTGATAAAATGGATAATTTTCAACCTAATAAGACCAGTCTTGGTGGATAAGAGGTTGATAGGAAATTAGATATATTCAAGCACCCTGGTTGCTTGAAAGTGAATTTGAGATTGCCAGGGCAGTAGGACAACAAAATAATCACTGGGTTTGTAGGAACACAACGTATAATAAATACACAAGGTGTTTCTACAAATTGATATGATTCAATTAAGTTATATATTCATCATGCAAAATTTCAATGATATTATTAAAGTCAACTACAATTACCAACTTACAATAATTAAGGAAACATCATTTGCCAAGATTGTTTTGTTTTCAGAATTAGTTGCACCAAGTAAGAATGACTCTCCTCCAGACTTTACAAATATGGAAAACCTAAACAAAAGAAGTTGGTATCAACACAATGATTGGCAGACAATTGTCTCTGTCATTTTTTCATTTTATTACCTATTAAAACTCTTTTTAATTGTGGCACTCCGACCGACGGAGGACACTCTCCGCCGGACCTCGCCATTGGCATTGGGTTGACCTCCTGAATTTATTGATTGCTGGTCATAATCATCATCCCATTCATCCTCCCAATCATCTGCCTCGTTATCATTACCAGAACTATACTGGCTGGGCTGACGTGTTAGAGCGGCAGCTGGTGGAGCCGATGGAGCATTGCTTATTGTTATTGGCTAGAATGACAAATGTGACTTAAACTGAAAGAAATTCAAAGTTCTTTAAGCATCCCCATATCTTGGACATTCCCCTTCATAACTACTGTACATTTCCAACATCTATGAGAGCTAGTCTATAGAAATATCAGCAACACCATAGAAATATCAGACCTAAAGCAAGGGTTTCTATAAGTACTATATCAGATTGAACTCATAATATTTACATGCAAGACTTGATTAATTTCTATGTATTTATAGATGTACCTATGATAGGAAGGATTGTTTTTTTGTTAAAACACCTCAAGGATGGGTATCCTAGCTACATACAATTTTACCCCAACCACCTTTCAATGAAGAACTATCAACTCAGTCTGTTATATTTTTTAAGCTTGAATGACTTCACTTAATTCTGTTTGATATAATGAAACTATGTAGTTTTATCTCAAAAATGAGACGCCCTGAAATCAGGCATTTTATTTTGAGTGCCAAAGACAATAATTCATAACATTAGCCAATTTTCCATATTTTGACAATGAAAAAAAGATTCATCTAAAAAAATTATCATGCAGTAATTACATGATTATTATTCAATTGCATGTAAAAATTTCAAATATTTCATGAAATCAGTTATTATTCTGTACTCATATATCCAATATATAACCTATACTATGTTTTAAATAAATAACTTGACCTTATCAGTGATATCAAATTAGAAATGTGTCAACATTAGGAATGCTTTTTACATTGTCTACTTCTTTGTGTACATTTGTACGATTATATGTGAAACTATTTACTTGTGTGTAGAATGTTCTGCCTAAAAACTAGGAGGAAAACATGGACGAACATGTATATCCAACCTGTATTGGAGCCAATTATTGAACCTATAAAGCTAATAAATATAGCTAAAAAGATTGGAAATAAATATAGAATGATGTATTTCGTAACTGCCCTAGCTAGACCATCAACGTAATATTTTTCTTCTTTTTTTTCTGTTTTATATATATTTTAAACTGAAGATAACGATGGAAAATTATAAATCGATGATCACGACGTACCATAGCACAACATATCTACCAGGGTAGTCTGATTATCTGATGCATAGTTCATCTTCACTGATGATCCAGACATATTTTATGTAACTTTATATTTTTAATGTTTATATTTCATCTGCAAATTTACCTCAACATACGCCGTCGGGAACAAGCCTTTGACTCCATGGGAATTAACCCCTTCCCACCAACCGTCTCCGATGTTCTGAATGCAAAAAATCAAACTTCAAACCCTTCTTCACCAAGGGAAAAAAATTTCAGCAAACGGTGAGCTGGAACAGTTCGAATATCAAGAGCTTACCGGATTAGTTACAGTCAGAATCTCTCCTTCGGAAATTGTTAGCTCGTTGTTCTCGCTTACCCCTTCAAAACTATAAATGGCCTTTACCTAGAAAGTACAAAAATTTGTTAAATGGGTCTTGCTATTTCTGCGCACAAAATTTAAGCGAAATCGAGGCGGTATTTCGCAACGAAAATCAAGATTAAAGAAGGTGGATTTTACAAACCTTCGACGCCATTTTTGGCATACGAATGTTTAGATCTTCACTTCCGATTGGAATTTTATTGGTTTCCGGTTAGAACGCACACCGCACACGGGGGACACTCTATTTATAAACTTTAAACAACGAAAGGTTTTATTCATTTGTTTATTCCGCTATTTTTTTTTTGCTTATCAGCTGATTTGTCCAAAATTCTGTGTCACGATAACAGTTCAAAACTTATTCCTACAATCCTACTGCATATAAACTTTAAATAAACAACAACACAAAATACAGTTACATGACAACCCCCCTGGTTATAGCCAACAATAAACAATACTAATAACTCAAGTCAATTAAAGTAATATTTATAGTATTGTTGAAAGCTGCAAATCTTTACGCATACCAATACACATTATTCTGATATCATCTGTGCGTTTTTTGGCACTACATCATTCCAACATTCACGTCAAATTTAAAGTGCAAAGGAAACGCAAAGTAATAAAATCAACGAGGCTTTTAAGTTACAATAAATACGCAAGGTGAAGGTGAGTTACATAAATCCGGCATATATGCTAATTTTTCAAGTTTTAACGCACGTGCGCGCTACTGGTTACTGATCACTGATGTGTACAGTTTCCTACACTAGACGTAAAGTAATTAATAACAAAGTTCTAGGAAACAGTTTTAAACACATATATGCATTATGATTCACTGATTCTTGGTTCTTATATATAGTCATTTTCCTTTGTCTGTTTTCTTGCCTGGCTTTGTTTGAGCATGCAAATATATTTATTATTTAGTATATAGTGAAGAGAAATTATTATGCATCTTTCAGGTTGTTTCATGACAAACAGGCAATTCCCAATATGAAAACTTAGGTAAATTTTTCCTTTTTTGAAAACTGAGGCACTTGCTACGAGCATTATGGCCAGCTTGGAGAATTGCAGGGAAACAACACCAAATGTGTTAAAGAGAAAGCTAATCATGTTTGACTCTGTGCTATTCTGTGCAAGGCAAGGAATTTACATGAAAGGACAGATCAAGAAGCCATTGTATCAATATAGTGATGATGAAAATTCCGATGATGGTCAAGCAGTGGCACTTTCAAACTTGTTTTGGAAAGTATCAAATGGTGATCCTAATCCAAGTTCTCAATCAAGAAAGTCATTCAACGCCACTAATTTCCTGACCAAGCAAACACAAGATCACATACTTGAAACATGTGGTGAAATGTTAACTGCAAGATTAGTTGCTGAAGTAAAAGAAGCCCAGTTTTTTTCCCTTATAGCCGAAAAGGTCCTCAAAGATGACGAAGGCATCCGCATTCCATTTTTCGTCCGGTTCGTGGACAAAGATTCCAAAATTCGAGAACAGCTTTTGCAGTTCATCCCTCGTGGTAATTCCCACCCTGACGAAAGTTTAGCGGAGACTTTTGGCAATAATATTCTTCAAGGCATAGACAGGTTAGGTTTAAACATGGAATTTTGTCGAGGGTTGAACTTTGATAGTGGTAATAATGTTGGTGATCTTTTCAAAGTGGTAGAAAAAATTCAATCCAATTACCCAAAGGCGACATACATTCATGCAAGGTTCGACCTTTTAAATGCATGTATTGTATCAACATGTAAGGTATGGTCAGTTTGGCAGATGTTCTATAAAATGAGATTTACAGCAACGCTTTTTGCAGAAGAGAAAGAAATTCAGGAATTCTTCAAACTTATGATTCGGAAAGTTATGCCTGATTCAGAGATTGACCATCTAATCGAGTTAAGCCATATCAACTGGAGTAGTAATGTGCAACAGTTTGCCATTTGGGTCAAGCTGTTTCCAGCAATAATTACAACCTATGATGAAATTCATGAAGGTCGAATATGGATTAGAGATAGTGACAAATGTTCTTCAGCTGTTGGTGAGTATCCTGTTTACCTGAAGACAGAAGTAACTAGTATTTACCAAAACTAACCATATAAATTCTCAATGATTTGCTTTATACTAGTTTTAATAAAAAATAAGTAAGAACTTCTTGCTACAGGCTCATCCCTTTTAAATTCATTGTCTCGCTTTGCAATTATATGAGATAGTAAATTTGTTTTAATATATTTCTATTTTACTGACTTTTATAGGTGCTTCTCTAGTAATGCAAACATTTGAGTTTGTTATTTGCATGGTCATTGTTGCAAACTGTGTTGAGATCACCACTGATTTAACGGAGGAATTACAGAAAGTCTGTTACGACTCAAACCTAATCCGCACAAAGGTACAAACACTATTAATTAAAAGTTTAATGACTGTCACATATGTACATCATAAATTATGGCTGTCAATAATTTTAGGTATCTGAGGTTTACATGAAACTCAATAAGCTAAAAGCCAACATCAAAGAGCACCACTCTGCTTGGTATGAGAAAGCAATTGACTTAGCAAGAGAAATTGACATTACACCAGCAAAGGCAGAAAGGTATCGCACCAAGCTGACCAAGCATAAAACAAACCCTGATGAATCTATATCCGAGCATTACCTGAATTTGATAACCCTACCTTTCATTGACCATCTTGAAGCTCAACTGAAGCTTCGATTTACGGAGGCTAGCCTAGATGCCTTGGATGGTGTGGCTATGATGCCATCTAACGTTGTAGCCAACCCAGGAACATGGAAAACGGCCGCTTCAAGGTTTACTGAAAGATACAAGTCTGACTTGCCAAACTATGCAGACAACGAAAATGAGCTGCGACTTTGGGAGATGACATGGAAAGACAGTGCACAAAAGCCCCCGGAGACTGCCTTAGAATTGCTGTCAGACGATTCTTCAAAGAAGCCTTTTAGGAGCCAATTGGAAAGGGCGTTCAAGATTTTCGCTACAATGCCAATCGTTCCGACTGAATCCGAAACGCCAAGACTTATGCCGTACATAAATGAAGAGCTGTGTCTTTATTCCATGTCTGATAGTTATCTCAATGCTTTGGCTTTGATGAGCATTCGTGGAAAAGAGTTGGAAACGGAGGACGTTATTGAATGTTATCAAAAGAAATATACACTAGATTTAGACTAAACTAGATTTAGACACTAGATTTAGATTAGACTATAAAACTTCATACCGAGCATATAAAGTAAAGGACAACGGACCTTCAATGTTGTGTTGCAAGTTTAAAATGCTGAGAGACATTTTTTTTTGTATGTAAATCAGTAAATGTTCAATATTTCAGGACACGTAACTGATATAAAATGGTTGTAGTTGTGGGTCTGAAAAAGGTTATATTGATGTTCACTGTTACTATACTATTTGCACTTTTGAAGAGATAAATATGTTGTTTACATTTAAATAAGAGTTGAATTTGGTTAGTATTTTACAATATAAATAGTCCTTCTTTGAATACCTTCTTTGAATCACCTGAAATACATCACTATTCAAAACACCACATATTTCATTACCACCACATATTTCATTACCAGCACAATCATCACCAACAGTCAAGATGTTTCGGGATCATAAAAAGCCTTCAACTTTTCCACCAACTCTATCTGATCTGGTTCCACCTCTTTTTCATTCTGCAGCTCGTATCTATTGAACACCAGCCGCTTGAAAGACCTCAGGGACATCCCGATATTCCCCTGAATCATTTGTTCCCAGTCGAAGGGAAAATTCTCCAAACTTTCGTGATTGAAGGAGTACTCTCCGAGGTTGGTGTAGGCGTAATGTGGGTTGAACGTGTCCGGGGTACCTCGTGTTTTGGAAGGATGTTGAAGCGGGCCCAAGTGGGAAACCAGTGGAATGCGTCGAAGTATCCAGTCCTAATAAAAACGAGGATTTTACAGTTGCTGTCGCTTGGTCAGTCCACCCACCTCATGTAATTTGCAACTGATACTCCAAACTACGGCTAATCGGGAGAGGAAAACAATATGCAATTGTAAAGAGTGCATGTTTTCGAGCATTGATGGGGGTGCCGTCCGTACTGATATATATCAGGAGTGTTTGGCGAAACACACTACCCTCAACTTTGGTACCTTTAACATCAGTCCTTACAGTTCTCTGCAAGACTAAACCCTAAACCAGTAAGATTATGGTCCTTCCCATTTTATTATTGATTTGGTCACAGTCTGAAGGGTTTTGTTATACGAACGCGAACAACGCTGAAAATTATACCTTTTTAGCAGCAAAGAAGTTGTAGACTTGTTTCAAAGACTCTTGTCCTGCAAATGAGAAAAATAAACATTTGACAATCACTCGAAATTGTTTTGTCAATATCAAAACATTGCATATCATCAACTGCAAGTTCCTTGTTCAGTTTTTATTCCTCACTCGCTTCAGTTTTTCACAAGCACGGTAAATAGATTAACGAGAATCATCTTACGTAACCTTTACTATCCAGGGAAAGTTCTTTTGACCTGACACGAAACTGCAGATCCTGAAAGCTACCATCTTGATCACATTCTGTGCTTGGTTCATCGCCGGCCCTAAGTTAGGCAGAAACGTATTGAATTTCTTCAAAGTAAAGTTAACTAGAAAGGAAGACAAATACTCTTGATGCGAGTTAATCATGGATTAAGTGTCTTACGATTCGCAAATGATATCACCGATCTTCCTAACTTGGTCTTGTATCCAATCTTTCTTGTTTTTAATCATGGTTTCCAAAGCACTTGACAAGTTACATGTCTCGAACAGACCTTTCATATCACCCAGCAGCACATGATAAAGTATCTGAGCCAAGGTTTTGCAATCATTTATCACGTCTTCTTGACACCTTGAACCATCAGGGACGTTTTCACAACTAACCGACGAGAAAACCCGATACAACATGCTACCTAGAAGCTGCAAACAGATGAGCAGAAGCGAATAAGCTATATGACATTCGGAAATCGGAAATTCTTGGTTTTAGAATGTTTTTATAATTGCGGCCTCACCTTCACCCCGGCGGAAGGTGTTTCATCAGAAGTCAGCCTAAGTTGGCGAAGGTCATCTGAAATGAAAAAAAAGAGAATTTCAGTTGCTTTCAATATGTTTCAACAGCACTGTTTACAGCAATCATAATTTGACCATGCAGTGAACTTGACCAACATAAACCCAATGGTCCCCACGAGTAGAGTAAAGACCCTGGGTACGAGGTTATGGTGTCACTATATATGACTAGCCCATGCAATAATTTCATCATGAGTCATGACCAACACAATGATGTCATTATGACCAACTCTATTGCACTCACCATTTTCAATACGTGTGGTGTATCATTTATTTACCTTCAATTCTGGTAAAAAGTTTCAAAAGAATGTTTGGTAGCAGACGAACAGTCGATGCCAGAGTTTTCAAAACTCGTTCAAACATACTGAAAACCAAAACAGTCGTATCTAAAGGTTAAGAGAGATTCCGCATTAAATAAAACCAAAGAGTTTTAGCCAGGGCCTATTTTCACATTTCAAACCCTTTTAAAAAAAACTGAAACAAGTTCTGCAGTTCGTTTACGAGTGTCTGCGAGTTCAACTTGGTGTGTGACTTTAAATGCTAAATAGTTTTGAAACCAATAAGGAGAAATATATATAATTAAGTGGTGCATATTTAGTGGTGAAGGATTATCACTAGTCGTAAAAAGTCTTTAACATGTAATTCCTACCAACTGTCCTTGGCACTTCACGTTTGTTCACGTGGCAGCCACATGGTAAGGAGCTCATAGAAGCAAACCTGAACGGTTTAGCTGCAGGTTTGTCTTTAACAGAGAGTGTGGATGACGCGAGATCTGTAAGTCTGAAATACGACAGGTACAGGAGGATATCAACATGATGGAATCATAACAGACTTTTTATGATGAATTTTGGAAAAACTATTTTCTGTTTTGTGGATGGTTTTTACCTTTGCACGAAAGGCTTAAAGGTTGAGAACAAGCAGTCCAACCACACTGGGATCTGCAAAACATAATAAGATATGTTTCAGGCGAGAGAATATAAAGCTGGACGTGATAGTTAGGCTGGAAAAGTCACCCTACTAAAGGAGAAAACTAAAAAATCCTGGAGGAAAACCTTATCTTCTTCACCAAGCCGTAAACCTTCCGTAGATGAAAACATCTGCCACGAATTCTCTCTAAAAACGAAATGAATGTTTATTATAGATATAGTTGTATCTTTTAATTTCTAATAATTTTTTCACTCCATATGATGAAGTTAAGGGCGCAACAAAGGACCATGCATGTGCTGCGTATTCCGATGATGAGAGGGTCTTTTGAAAGTACGAAGAAAGATCCTAACATCAAAAACCTCGCAATATACGATATAATCAACTTTTAATGTGTCTCTGACTTTTATTACTGACCTGTTTATCAGAGCTATCACAAAATTAACGAGCGACGTGGAACGTTTGGAGCATTTTAAGATGACGTAATATAGCGATTCCACGATCTTCGAGTAGTCGCCATCAACATCACCAAACTGAACACTTCGCTTTCGCGTTTGAGATGGAGGATCGTCTTCGTTATCGGAATAAATGTGTTGGTGCTCTGTAAACAACATGTTTGAAAAACAGCGTACAACAAACAGTTAAAACTGAAGTAACGATTGTGCACTCCATGCTACCTACTGCAGCTCTGATTTTAAAACACTTGAATAGATCGGGATAATCCAATACTGAATACTGCTAATGCAGATACCTAAATATGTTACTATCGTCACGGCCAAGTAAGAATCACGCAGCAGCACCGTCTACAAGAACACACAAAATATTATCAAAATTTGTCAGACATTTAACCAGCTATTTCTTCAGCGTGAAGGAGTTGACTAGATTGAAACTGAAACAATAAATCATAGTCAATTAAATCGAACCCCCCGTCGAATCCTCATCCTAGCTTTTCCAAATTAGCAAGAAAATCGCCTGGCTTCAGGCAATCAATCAAAACAATCTGACTCTCTTGCTAGCCTGATACAGGGCGCTAAAGCCCACAGAGTGGGTTACTCTGCGATCAGGCTGCATACACTTGCCTGAAGAACGAGTTGCCACAAAGGACTTGGTTGGTTTATCATCACTCTGAAAACGATGTTGACGGCCTGTGTATCGCTTAGGGAGGTTAAGCTACAGAATTAAAAAAAGTTAAAATTTACCGCGTTATACAAAATTTCCTAAATTATTGTTTACTGGTATTTTTGTTTTCAATTGTTTAATCTGAAACAGAAACCAAGAGTTATTCCTCGGTTTAAACACACGGAAAGTAGATATCTTTTGCAACAAATGCATTGATAAATTCAATCTATCTCTTTACTGAAACATTTTCTTGCAAACTCGGCGATTGGAATCAAAATAATAGTGTTGTATCGTACCTTTTTGTGCGCTCTCCGTACAGCTCAGGTTGTAACCAACTCAACCATGAAGTCGTTGTGCTAGCGCCTTCTTTGATCAATTCTTCCCCACCCCCTGACGTAAACAAACACAAAGTCTCTAGAGGACAGGTTACGATGGTCATGATTGCCAGTAATGCAGAACAAGAGTTGTGAATGTCGAGAATAACGTTTCGTGTTGGTTGTGGATTAAAGAGGTCGGTGCAAGTTGTAGCCACGGGGAATATCATCCAAGATGAGACGATGAATAGGATTGATGTGATATCTGATCTGAAATGGTAGTGTTCCTGACGTAAGAAAAGTGAAGTAAAGAGACAACGATTTTCTGTTTAATCCTATTCCACACATGACAACACTTCACCTCACGAACTTTATTCACACACCTCTTCTTCATCTATTTCTTCCCATTTATATCTAGATTACCTTCCTTTATTTTCCATTCAGTCCTTCAGTCTCATTTCCCCCTGTCACTTCTCCTTCCATCTTACACATTATTTTTCCTTGCTGCCCTGTCATGCATGCGCCTCCTTTCATTCTTCCTTCCTTTCACTATATCCTTCTCTTACCTCGTTTCTCCCTAAATTCCCCTTCCCACCTTCCTTTTTCCTCCTTTCACCCCCTACACATTCCTCGCCCACATACGTGCACCCACTCTTCCTTCCTCCCCATGCACCTCCGTTTTTTCCTCTCCTTTTTCCATACCTGAACAACTTAGTCCTCTTATAGGATGGCAAAACCTTGGAATATCGTCTGACAAAACAGGCCAACGAGTATTGGACAACAGAAGTGAATATATACTGAGACTTTAACGGCGGACACACAAGCCAGAGGTCGTGCTGTAGACCTTGCATATAGTAATTCCACATTTGAACTGAGAACGAACATCGCTCGCCCTGAAATATGAGTGAAACAGATACTTCATGTTGTGATGCGGTGTATTTTCGTATGATACTCCTCAACTTCTTTAGAAGAGAAGTTCAGATCTTGAATTCCTTTGGCGAGGGAAACTGATAGCACATGAGTTCTCCATAGGTAGAAAATTTAAGTACCTCAAAAAATTCTTTTTGGTTCATCCAATGGTGGCTGTAGACATCTTGTAAAACAACTGTCGCTATCGTGGAGAAATGGTAGTTCAAGATCTTTTCATTCAGTGATTCAACGAGGTCACTGTACACCGCGGATAAGGACCTATGAAATGTGAAAGGTAAATAGCAGGTGGTAGTATTTCCACAGTGGAAAGTTGATTAATTAAAAGCTACGATGTATTGGCAATACATAGCTACTAATCTTCATGCCTTATAGGTCAGAGACTGTTGTAGGAAAGCTGAATATGATAGCATCTATCCATCGCATATTGTTTTTTAATCGCTCCAAAATTGCCCGTTGTTCGGTATAACCTTGGTTCTTCCAAGTCAGACTGAACGGCATAAAAATGTCTTACCCTGCAATGTTTCCATAACTTTCTTCAAAACGTCTGAGTTCCAGTTTGATGAAAATAGCCGAGTTAAAAGCAAGGTAAAGATTTCGAACCGGCGATGATCTGGGTACATCTGAACTTATCTTATATGAAACAAAAAACAGAAAGAAACATGGTAAATATAGAGTACTAGTTTAGTGGCAGATAAAGAAGGCGAAAATAGGACACTACAATGGAGAGAAGATAGTGAAATGGTGAGAGAAAATAGGAAAATGAAAGAATCATAAACGTTTCACACCTGTACGAGTCTGGACTGATATGACATCAAGCAGGTTGTTAGCGACTCGATATAGGAATTCCTCACAGCTTCAAATTCCTTTCCAGGGCTCAGAAAAAGAAATGGCGCAAGCTCATCTAACTTTGCCATTATCACACTGCAACTCTGCGTGGGGAAAAATGGAAATGATTGAAGGCATTTAAAACGTGTTGAGCGTTTAGGTCTACTATCGATATTAATTGCATAAACGGCCTTTTTATTCGTTTCAGGTTACGATTTCATTCAGCTAATGGTTCAAACTTTGAACCATTAACTTCAAACACAAACGACGGTTTATATTCGGTGTAATTGTACATGGTTGATTGTATGACAAGTTTTAAACATCAGTTACAATAATATAATTAATAATTACCATTACCTTTGAAATCAGTTTTGGATAGTCGGAAACATCCATGATGGGAATTTCTAAATTATGAAGAAAATTTACGAATTGCCTAAAGAGCAGTAAGTATAGACTAAAGCCAGCAAAAGTACAGACTGGTGAATCATTAGAAAGAGCGGGGGGGGGGGAGTCAAACGTTTCGAATTTTAATCACTTTATTACCAGAAAGTAGAGGTAACAGGTGGCTGAACAGAGCATGGCCCCAATTGACATCAGCTACCGTTTCCATCCCCTGAAGCTATACACCTATACAAGCCAAACCTTTGAAAACCAGCGGTTGGAGCGGATAAGTTATTACATAATATTAGCCTGTCTTACAAGATCGCCAGGCGTTCAGTAAATCATACCTGGTATTTCTTCTGCCGCATATGACGTATGGCTCTTTTCATACTCCGCCATTTCGTTTTGAAGCGCCGCTCTGGTCTCTGATTGGATAATTTCGGTTATAGCCAAAGCCAGCTTACTAACCATTGGTACGAATTCTTCCTGCCAGCTCCAGATGTGTTCGTCCGTATCGAGGTCCTCCGGTTCGTCACGTACCACGTCTTCAGGAAAGATTTCCGATGAAGAAGCTACTTGGGATGGATGTAATTTTGAAACGTCAACATATGTTGCAAAATTTCTCGACGTTTCGACCAAGGGCTTTCTTCAGGAGAATTAAGTAAAGATATCTCTTCTGACAAAGGCCCATAGGTCAAAACAAATTTTTTTTGTCTATTTTAGGCAGTTGTTATACCACTTTGTTCCTAGACCTTGCTCCCAGACCCTAGTTAATGTTATATTTTGCAGGGAAAACTCTGTAGCAGTTCAGCGTGAGTGAGGTTTACAGGAAACAAAATGCCCCCAAATTCTCTTACATACCGTCGCCAGTGCTGTTGACTTCGACTTGCGAAGTTGATATTGAAGAAAGAGAGAAAGATGAACCAAAATCTCCTCCTAGCATATGTCTTGTTTCTATAAGAACGGATGGAATAATCTGTGAAGTTTAAGTGAATAACAAAGACGATAATATTAGTCTGTTACCAAACACAGTAATCTTAGCTAACCCAAATCCTTACCACCTGAGTTCTGCTGCGTGAGACTAAGTAAAAACTTCTTCGTACAAGCATCGGCTTCCGATGCAGCCAACAAGCACTGCCGTAGAGCAAGGAAAATTCTTTTAGACAGAGTATTTCCTGCGCTGTCTTCAGGTTTCTCAGAGCCTCTTCTACCGAGAGTGTTCAGTCGTTCTATAACTTCGCGTAGCTTGTTTTTGAAGTCTTTCAAATACACGTTGTAAACCTGCAATGAAAGTGAGATAGCGTTTGGGAACATTTCTAACCCAATGTCAACACATCGATTTTTTATTTTCAATTAGTCCAGACATATTCTCTTTCGTATGGTATAATACACATGACCTTCCTGTTCCTTTTCTTTTGCGATCATCATAAATCCTTCTTTATCTTACCTCTTCGGATTGCATTTGGGCAGCTTCGGGGAACATGCCAAGAGAAATGATATTATAATCTTCTTCAAACATCGTATCTAAAACATGACTGACACGCTCCAAGCACATGGCCTCAGCAGACATATCCTCGTCTGTGGCAACTGCATGTTCAACTTCTTTTATTTCCAGTTTTTCTGGATTTTGAAGGGCCCGTTTCAGTTGCTGATTTCGGATTGACATATACTTTCTCCAAACATCACCACGCGAGTATAATATGCACAGCTTTTCAAGTAGTTTTATTTTCTATTTGGATGGAAGAACAGCAGAACAATTACATGGTGGCTGGGTTGTATAATGACATGATACTTGATGGCAATGAATTGATATTTGATGGCAATGAAGTTGATAAACATATTGGTTGTGATGGTGATAAGTGCTGTCATGATCATGAAGATTGTGGTAAAAAAATATTTGTAGATGTTGATTGTTTGGGTCGGTGTAGTCTTACGATGGAGTAGGACTACTCTTAGTCTTAATTGCTGTTGGTACTGCACATCAACTGGGACAGCTGATATGTAGACTTGTTAGTAGCACAGCCATCTCCAATACCAACAGTACTTCTTATGACTATGCACTAAACTTTAAGTACACTCTGGGTTACTGTATAGTGATGGCAACACTTGGTGGTTGTTATTGGTGATTCATTCAACCAGCTATGATGGTGGTAATGATCAAGGATGATAAAATGGATGATTTACCATACCTCTCCAAACATCACCATTTCAAATTCACTTTTACTCTGATTGGGATCCAACTTGTCAATACTGGTGAGCAACCCTCGACCAATCTTGCTTCTAATTCTATCCCACAATGAGGTTGTAGTTTCCTCATTCTCACTTAAAACGATATTCAACGAAGCCGTGGATTGTTGAATGTTGTCAATGCTTGACTCAATGTCGGGGTTTGGCAAGATAAAACCTTGCTCTGAGGCAAAGCTTGTAAGTTCATCAAGAATGTTCTCCTCCTGACCAACATTCCTTTCTAATGCTTGCACCTACAGAAATTATAGTTTATTTTAAGCCACAGTGGTTTTTTTAATCAAAAAACTGTGTGACTTGTTATGGACACAACAGGGATCATGCTATAGCTAGTGGTGGTAGACATGGTTGTGCTAGAATACATATGGTACATCTTCTCGGAGGTGGTAGTTGGTGATTTGCTTCATTGCTGAAATAAAACCTCAGATGTGTTCTAGCTTACAAACTACCCTTACTTACCACATTGGTTAGAAACACATTTAAATTTATTGGTTCTGTGCTGCACATGTGGCCTTCCAGTTCAACCTTGTCCTGCAGGTACTGTGTGAAGTCTTTAATTGAAGTAGCATCAGTTTCCATGCAGATTTGCGCTTCTTCTGTTAAAGCTTTCCATTCTTTCTTCATACTGAAATATTTGATAACAGCTTTAAATACTCTTGTACAATGATAAGCCACGATAGAGAGGCAAACGTAGTAATATTAAAAATTACTTAGATTCAAATTTTATTTCTATCACGAGTCTAATAATTCAATTATTCAATTGAAATGTGCTTAAATTTGAGATCACAACCAGAAATCGCAGCTATTTAAGACGTCAGTAAGGTCATTTTAAAACACAAGCATTTCAACCAACCTTTCTTTCGACAATTTGATCTGTTCTCCCAATGTTTTAACGAGTTTCTCCATCTCATTCACATCACCTCGCATTGCCAGCCCTTCTAGAGCTAGGTCCAAATCAAAATCCGATAAAATCTCTTCTTCTGCCATTATATTTAAGAGAGTAAAACTTGGTTGAAAATACTCTGCGTCGGAACGAACATATCTCTATCCGTTGTATTGTAAAATTACCGCAGGAGGGCTTCAGGACAGAGCCATATCATCGAATTCGAATACTGAATGCATAAAATCGGAAATTTGCAAACGTTGAAAGGTAAAAAACTTTGCTTTCTAGGTAGGTAGGAGCCTCCAACGTGAAAGAGTAAAATACATAGAATACTAAGCACCACACTTGTTAAATCTCTTTCCATAAAAACAGTTGTAAAATAAGTTTAAAAGATATGTTTTTTTCGAAAACCAATGTTGATTTCGCCATGTTTGGACTTTAAATCACGCGCGCGTTCCACGAATTTCGTGCTACTGACTGGTATTGTAACTGAATTATTCACCTGACGAGGTTTATGATAATTATACATATTTCAAACAAATGAAGAGATAGCAAAAAGAAATGGAGGAAAAATTCAATTTTGTTTTCACAAATATCTATATATAGTACAAATGTCCGTCAATGACAAGAAAATCTATTCTAAGCTATTCACAAAGTCAAACTTCTTCTTCATGACTGTTCAATAAGAATGCCAGACTCCGACCTGCAAAATTAATAAAACAATTGTTAATTTATGAAGAGTAAAAAAACACAATGTTCTCTCCCTCTTTGGTTCCAGTTACAAGCAATGCCAACTGACCATAGTATACCTGGACTTAGAACGAGCGAAAACTTAGAACGAGCGAAAGAAAAAAATCAGCCTCAGCAAAGATTAAATATATTGTATGATTTTTTACAATCAATAAACACTTGACATGGTCCATTTAAGAAATTTACATTATGGTAGTCATAGAGTTCTGAGTTCTCTGGAGTTCTGAGGCAAATATAATGTATTTTAGGAAAGCCATTGACTAAAACAGGGGAAAATTTACACCTTCATCAGAACGCGTGATTCGAGGATTCATTTTTGTGCCAGAAGATAAAGTAGCTAGCCACCTTCTTTAGTGTTTGTAGGCGCGAAAGGTCACGGGTTTTTTGCCGCTTCCAACGCATCCTCTGTGAACGAGGATGTTCCAACGCTCCAAAAAGGGGAAGTTACACTACGATTAGTACGATAAGCACCTAAACTTCAATATATAGCCCTGCTATACACACTAACGCTTATAGACGTTAAATTAATAATCAACAAATGATTAACCTTGAATAATTAGAAACCGTTAGAAACGCTAATTTAACTTAAATACATTTATATTAATGTCGTAAAAGTTTAAATCTATAGTTATTTGCACGTTGAAGATGAGATTTCGTGGTCATTTACAGACTAATTTCTGATGGCGCCCATAGCGACGTTGTTCACTTGATCGTGGCGTCTGGAATAAACGAAGTAAATATATTTAAATATTAGCTAAATATTAATTTAGCATTTAGTCTATATTTTTTTTGAATCTACTTTATTTTAAATCTCTTCTCTAAAAGTAATGGATTAGGAGATATTTAAGTTTAGGAGATATTTTTGTTATGAAAGTTTTTACGAGAATCAACCTCTACCAATTCAACCCGTGACCTTTCTTCAAATTATTGCTGCTGCGCTCCTGGTCTCAATGCAATAGAGATCAGTTGCATCGCTTGATTAAATAGAGAGATAAGTGGCCGCATACTGGCCGTTGTACTAGATAGAGTTCACTGTGACAAAAAGCCTGCTTTGCTGGCTAAGATGAACCTCAGTAAAGTACATGTCCGTAGGATTGTGAACGTTTTTTACGGCCCGGGACAAAAATTGATTGTTTTGCTACATGTTCTGACCCATCGTTTCGACTTCTCATTCCAGATATATATAGAGTGCACCTTACCCACCTAACATGATCTACTTGGATCTACTGGATTACGCTAATCTCGAATCTTAAGCTGTTCTTCCTAGGTATTAACCAGGTCATTGGTAATTTTATTGTTGAATGCCCTTCCGAGGTACGTTCTTGAGGTACGTTCGCCAATAAGAAGTTTTTTCTCTCATGCAATAAAGGTTAGTTGGTGGCAGACATATTACACTATATCTTACCTGGACTTGACTCTCAAGTGGATATAAAAGAACACTCCGGACATCAATGCGGATATGGAGCCCACAACGAGATATGCAATGCCTAAAAACGGATTCTTGCCACCCAACCATGATGTATTGCTGATAATGAAGCGTTTTTCACCATCAAAACTGATTACAGGGTAATCTGAGATGGTTAGGTTAAGATTCAAAACTGCGACCACCGAGGTCGAAATTTCTATTCTCTAATATGAAATTTTTCTAATAACGACATATCTCTAATGCGAAAGGTTTACCAAACCACACAGACATCTCTTCTATTAACTCTCTAATAAAGCACCTCTCTAATACGGATACCTTTCCTATGCACGAATCTCTTCGATACGACCAACTTTCTAATAGTAAATGTAGCTCTCAAATACGAACCTCTTTCTCTCTAATACGACCAACGCCCTAAGAAAGCACCTCTCTAATACAGACACCTCTTATAATTAGGACTTTTTCTCTAATATGACCAACTCTCTAAGAAAGCACCTCTCAAATTCAAACTCTCTAATTATGACATCTCTCTAATTGGATATCTAATCAATTTGGATATCTCCCTGATACAGATGTCTTTCAAGTACAGAATCAACTTTAGATGACTTGGTCCAATGACTAACCTAGACAGTATTTTGCATGAAAGTACCTACACTAGACATGAACAGATCAAAACAAATTTATACAACTCTACTATGAAGGATACTGTAATCAATGAGGAGAATATATTCCCCCTTAGGCAAACGATCTTCGAACATATTCTCATGATTAACCTTGCGATAAGGTTTACGGAACTTCGGAAAGGCAGCAGTTCTCATCCAAACAATAAACTCTTGGTTTTCAAAGCCATTGTTGCTTTCTTCTTTGTCCAATTCATAAACTGGTTTTCGCCAATTTGGTGGCTTGACGAAATCCTTTTTCAGCTCATTCGGAAAAGTATCTGGATTTTGAAATTTCGTTTCACGGTCGGATTTCCATGCAATGTTATGAACAGTCACTCCCACTTTTGTTTGGTTGTGTGGTGAGCTCTTGAAGTATAGTTCAAATGAGTCTAAAAAGTCAATATTCATGATCAATATTGTGATCAGGGATTGTGATAGAGGTCATAGCACTAGTGACACAGAGTCTGTTGGTAGAGCATTTAAATGGTAAACTGAAGGCCACAGAATCTTACCATTGAACATACTGTTGGCAATGGTGCCACATGGTGCAATGGGTTTAGTTGTATTATCATTGTTCTTTCGTTTATCATAAGGTTTACAATCACTTGCAACAGAAGTGCTTAGATCTCCTCGTAACTGAGCATCGTCTCTTGACCTGACATATCGTCGATGGTTCTAAAATAATACAGTCACATTAATATCATTGGTAAACTCTGTATGATACCTGTACGCAATATCTGAGATAAAACACATTAGTGACAGACCTACAGTTCCTTCTAAGAGATGTTACCAAGTTAATCAGTGTGAATGAGCAAGAAAGCTGGATAGCGTTATCCGCCAGATAGTGTTTTTTTTAATCATTCCAAAATTTCTTACAAATTACTAAAAAATTACCTGATAAAAATTTGAAAGGCCATAATAAAGGTAAACTTGCTTGTCAATGTCTTCCTCCAGCTCAAATTTAATTTTACATTTGCATGAGAAAGTAAGATTATTTACATTCTTCTCTAAATATTCAGCACAGGATTTCTCACTCTCTACGCCATCCTTATGACAGTTTGTGTATTCTACAACTCTTTCTCTAACCTAAAGGATATATGAAGATAGAGGCTTATAGATTGCACATCAGAAATTTTGGAAGTTAATGGGTAATTTTCTTATCATACACATTACATCGCTATACATCTTCAGTATTCATATTTTGGGTGTAAATAGTAAAGAGAATAGCAATGTCATACAGTATGCAAGCAAAGAATCACCCTGCCTTGATTAAAACTGCCTAAATTCCCGAATTTTCTATTTTTAAAAGCAGATGTGGATGAAATGTGAAGAAATGGAAAATATTTATGTTTACTCTCAATGTGCAGATTGCACAAGACACAAGTGATTTTCTTGCCATCAAGAACCTGGTAAAAAGGGTTTCATTTATTGCTGCTACTAGTTTATTTATTGCTGTTTCTTTGTCACAGGCAACAAGGCAGTGTAAATAGACTATTTTGATAAATATTTAATGAATAGGATTTTTTGGCAATTCTCCCTTGAAGTCATTCTCAACAAAATGGCTTGCAATGTCTGTACAACCTTCAGAAGGTCTCAACACAAAATAAACTGCTTGTTGTTTGTGAAATGCTATCATATATATATCATATATATTTGATGTTTCATACTGAAAAGCATTTCGATCCCTTTCTGCGGTTTCATATGTTATGATGTTGAAAACAAAATTTATTCTGTACAAAAATAAATTCGTGGACAGACGAACTCCTAATACTTTTTTTGTAAAAGATTGAAGCCCATTTTCCCTTCTGGTAGCTTATTTTATACCCACCGAGTCTGAAGCGACGAGCAAAACGGCCCCAAGTATAATAAATAAGACAAATATAACAAGGAAGAATATAGTTGCGACTTGAGCAGTGAGAATTGGTTGCCAAGCTTTGAGTCGCTGTTGTTTAAACGCAGAATCTGAAAGGAATACATAAATCAGAGTTAATCGTAGACTTCATACATAATAGGAGCTTAGTTGTATTCGTATTTGTATATTGTTAAGTACGTACTTTTTGGCCTGCGACTGTTTTTATCTTCTACGTTTTCTTCCATGTTTTGTGAGGGATGTGACATAATAATTTGTAAAATCAAAATTTAAAGAACGAAAATTGTGGTTTGTGCTTCCAGGTTGGGAAAAATCAATTTCACTGAACATCGCTCAATTTCAAAACAAACCTTAAAAAAAGAAAAACTAGGATGCATTCGTTTCACCACTACTAAATACTATATAAGACTATTCATAGTTATTGTTACAGTATGACACAGTTCTGGGGGATTTCAGATTTGTTACTCCTGAGAAAAGATGTACACAAAAGACCTAACAAGAAGGTGGAAACATCAAATTTTTTTATTTTTTTCCAAATTCCAATTACACAAATGCATTGTTTTCTTTCTTGGTTGTTACAGTAATTCTTGTGCAAGCTTTTTTTATTTTGCTGTCAAAATATATCCTCGAAAAATTTAAAATAAAACAGTACAACAATAAAACAATTTGTTATTTTTTTCGGTAGAGGTTCTTTTACATTTTGTATTTTCACTTTTAATTTTCCAGTTTGATGTACCCCCCCAGGAAAATTTATTTTGGCGTTTCGTTCGAATTCTACTTCCGGTTTAAAAGATATCTTAAAAACTGCCTAGAGTTGTCAACAATATATCCAGAATTTTGTAAGATTAGAACGTTTTCTCTTACTCAAAACGTCTTACATTACATGAAATACGCTATTGCGACGTGTATTGTACAATTTTGTTGCAATTTATATCGTATTTTGCCTGGAATTTGCCACAACAGTTCGGCGATGAGTGAACTGGAATCTGCAACGAAGGTGCTAACAAGAGCGGTTGACCTTGACAACAATCATCGTTATAAAGAAGCCTTAATCTGTTACCAAGAAGGAACTAATCTTCTAATGCTTGCATTAAAAAAGGAAACTGACAACTCTAAAAAGCTAGCCCTCAGGCAAAAACTGGACGAATACCTAAGCAGAGGTGAAGTTATTAAGCCATTGGTACAAAATTTATCAGAGAAACATCATGAACGGATTGAGATAAAGGATGGTGAAAGAGGACATAGTTATGCAAAGATATTTGAAAAATGTTTATTTGGAAATTTGACTGAGGTTCGAGTTGAGGACCCATACATTCGTACCCATTATCAAATCCAAAATTTTGTCAGATTTTGTGAATTACTAGTACATGTCAATGGAATGAAAAAGATCAAGCTTCTAACAGGTAATAAGAAATGAAGCATTTAGGACATAGTTTTGTCTTAAGGTATAATTACCTATGATATTCCTTTTCTGTGCAGGTCATCATCAAGAGAGATCAATGCAAGCTGAAAAATTTCAAAAACTATCAGACAGTTTACAACAATGTGGAATCTCATTGGAAATTTCTTTTTCTGATACTTTACATGATCGAGAAATCACTTTCAACAATGGTTGGGTTGTGAAAATTGGCAGAGGGTTGGACATGTTTAAACCTGTGAAAGATAACTGTTCTGTTGGTCATTTTGATCAGACCTTAAGAGCTTGTCATGAAACGACTATCGACTTGTACAAGAATGTTTAGGGTTATGGGTGATAAAAAACAGTCTGGTTATTAGCACACCTGCTTGAAACATAATTTGTATGATTCAGAACATAAATGTATATAAAATTTGTTTATTATATTACATCCTGTAGATTGAATCAAAATTGTATTGTATTATTGCTGTGTTGTAATTTTTCTAACCAATGTACATAAAACTAAATTTCTAGAATGTGGATGGTAGGGTATATTAATATTCATATATATTCGTAATATTTGTCTTATGCCTAACTGATTTCTTTTGATTGCTATGGTTTTTTAAGCTTTTTGAACATTAGTATATGAATAAACACTTCCCTCTTTAGCTTCTAGTGATTTTACTAATAATTTGTCATTGTATTCTTGTAAGTTTGCATGGTGACATCAATAAGTAAATTAGTTTGTAGGTAACCATGTGAGTATTTAATACTCACGTGGTGTACCTACAAACTAATTTATATAATTTGTAATTAATTAACTAATGAGTAACCATATAAGGCATTTCAATTATTAGCCAATCAAATGTGTCCACGTTGGAACGCCTTTACTTCCGGCTACGTCATTGCAAATCAAAAATGTAAACATGGCCGTAGGATCGATGCAATTTTTTGGTGAAATCTGCCAAAAATTACGATCAATGGCTGAAAAACGGAGCGAAGAGCACGTTAGTTTAGAAAAGACTGCAGTTTCAACTATATTTTACGTTTTTGGTGTGGCTTTTGTGTGCATAGCGTCATGGATCTCTGTCAATTTGCGTTCATTCTCAACCTATACAGGCTATACCGGCCTGACAAGACAAGCGTCCCATGAAATGTTGAATTTTGGCGAAAGAAATCTACGTTTTTCTGCCGTTCCCAACCAAAAGCCTAGCAGCACGGAAACTGAAGCTAGTAAGAGACTATTCTTTCACACGAAATAAATCTTAAGAAATAAAGAATAGAAATGTTTGTTGCGTTTTCGCGGAACCCCGCGAAATTTGTCAGCAAAAGGTGACGTGTTACTATATTGAAAGTATTCGAGTTAATTTTAGCTTCAAATCGAGGAAGTTATTTTAAGAAATAGTTTTTTTATTTGAGATTTTGAATTGAATTGTTTTCCATGGGATTTTATATGTAGTTTTCAGTATATTAGATGCTGATCTACCGATTTGAGAATGCTCAATAAAATATTTTGTGCAAATAAACAGCATTGTTATAGGTCAAATATGCGTCTGATCTGCAAATAAAATACGGCGAACAGGTACATGGCGATTTGTTAAAATGAATTTGAATGACACCTGGAATGGTGGAGATAAAGTTGATGAGTTCGTTTGCTAAAATAGTTTTCTAATTAATACTTAATTAGGCCTTAAATGTAACTTGTGTGATTAGAATTTGACCACAAACCTTATTTTTCTTGCAGTTATCCTGACAGGGGAGGCTGCAGCAGCACTTCACATGGCCATAAAAATGAACGAGGAAGGAAAATCAGGAAAGGCACTCAAGTTGTTTCAACAAGCTTTGAAACTATCTCCAAACAATCCAGATGTCTTGAACTCTTATGGGGAATTTTTGGAACACGAAAAGCTTATTGAGGCAGAGAACTTGTATACTCGGGCATTGATTAATGATCCTTCTCATGACCGTGCAATGGCAAATCGGCAAAGGACGCTTCCTAAGGTTCAAAAGCTTGATCAGGACATGTTAGCAAGAATAGATGCCAAACGTTATCAGTTGTATGATATTCCAGAGGAGAATGCTGCCCTACAGCGGGCAATGAAGGAGGCTTACTACCAACACATTCACCATACCACTGCTATTGAGGGTAACACAATGACATTGTCAATGGCCAGAGCTGTCGTCGAGACTAAAATGGCTGTGCATGGCAAAAGTATACTTGAACACAATGAAATCTTGGGACTTGATGAAGCGTTAAAGTACATCAACACAACCTTAGTACAGGGGAAGCATTGCATTACTGTTAAAAATATAATTGAAATACACAGACGGGTTTTAGGACATGCACATCCTTTAGAAGCTGGACAGTTCAGAAACACTCAGGTTTTTGTGGGCAACCATGTCCCGCCTCATCCTACGGACGTAGAGAGATTTATGGATGATTTTGATTCTTGGCTGAGTCTGCCAACAATCCGCAACCTTCATCCAATTGAGTTCGCAGCTTTAGCACATTACCGGCTTGTTTATATCCACCCATTTACAGATGGTAATGGCAGAACAGGTCGTTTATTGATGAACCTGATTTTGATGAGAGCAGGTTTCCCACCTGTTACAATCAAGGTGTCTGATAGACATGATTATTATGCATGTCTCCAGGATGCAAATCGCGGTGATGTTCGTCCTTTTATTCGGTTTGTTGCAAAGTGCGCTGAAAGGACGTTAGACGAGTACTTGTCAGCTACGACTATATACCCAGTAAAACACAAGAGCAGAGGTTTAGACCATAGTAGCCACCTTAAGAGATTAGATACTCTAATCCTTAATAAATAGTATATACTCTAGAATAAATATTTTATTCATATTATAAAATGTAACAATAGCATGTATTTTTAAAATTTAAACAAATATATTACCATGTACAGTAATGAATGCATTTATCAGGTAAAGTGTTGTCTCAAATTGATAATTAGTGTTTGTATTATTAAATCTTGTTCAACAAGATGCTTCTTATGGCAAATAAAATTGTCAGGCAATGAGAGTAATATGTAGGGTGTATCGCATCTCAATAACCCAATGCTTGGCCCCTAATCAAAATAATTTAGTGTTAGGCATTAATATTTATACAACCTTTGTTTTACACATTGCTAGTTACATCTACCCTCATCCTTGCATTTATTTTTACTATGAAAAATGTGGTCAACAATGGCAGCAGGACAATAGTGACTAGATATAACCAGTATGGTATTGCTGGTGTGCTACCAATCGGCCAAAACCATATCCCACGCCGGTGTCCATCCCGGATATGGTGGGAAATAACCGAGACTGTGGTCAGGAATGGTAATGTCCAGAATGTTGGGTAATATATGGCAAAAACAATAGTTAATGGAAGTATTGGGACAAGAATTGATGTAGAATGGAATGGTGGCCTTTTGGGCAAAGATAAAGCATCCTGAAAAATGAATTTTTTGTCTGGTCAGTCAACCAGGAACACAAAGTGCATATGCTTTCTTTTGATTCATGCTTTTCTATCTAATAATATTGAGCCATAAAATACAACCATAAATAATGTTTAAGAGTAAAAAAGTACCTTGAGGCTATAGGATTTTGCCATAATGAAATGATCCACATCAATAGCACAAGCCATCAAACAACAAAGTGTACTTTCTGCAAGGCCTCTTTTGTCAATCCCTGCGACTGCCAACCAACTTAAAAATGCTATTGTTCCATGACCGCTGTTGTCGACAAGCGCTCTTAAAATATCATTGGTATTGATCCAGGATATCTTAAGCGCTTCGTCGAAAAATATACATAAAATTGGAAGCAAAATATAAGGTAAACTATTTGAAATTTTAAACGGGAAATCCATCTTCGCTCCTCAACCTTTGTTTTGATCACAGAATTTTAAATAGCTTTGATGCTGCGCTACTTCATGTAAATACAAACATTGTTCTTTGTCAAAATCGATTCTTGTGCCCAGAGCTCCTTACGATCGGCCAATGGTCTCAGTATAGATCATGATCTTAATTAGCAAGTACAATTGGCACCGAAAGACGAGATATTATAACTTTTTTAAACAGGCTAGCCTCTAGCAACTAGATTATATTCCTGGGGAAGAGCTGTTTTAAACGTTCACCATAAATACATGTAACCCACTCGGTATCATGTATGAAAATATATTACAATGTAACTTGTATGCTTGTGGTTTACATCCAAGTAATTTTCCTACGGTCGCATCGCGGATTTTAGCCAAAATTCTAAAAACGTGGCTGTAAATTATACATTCTAAACTACACATACAAGAAAAGGTCTATGTCCCATTCATTCTCGGAAAACCCAATAACTACATTTTTTACCATACCAGTATACCAGAGATATACCAGTATTTCAAACCACCTTTGAAAGATTTGTTTAGGCCAAGGACAGTGTCTGTTTGCATATACTTGTTTTGCATGAAACGAAAGACTAGCTTGATAAGACACGACAAGATTTCCTTGTCTCTACCACATTAACGATTTCCATCACACTGCAGGATGAAGGGATGGCTAATAAGTTGATCTGCAGACCACCTTTCATCTGGATCACTAAAAGCACAAAAAAAATATATTGTGACAATATATAAGGTGGTCAGAACCTGTGTACTCTAAATGCCTGATTAAAAATTAAATTCGAGCTTGACCGAGCAAGGAATGGTCCTTATCTGTACCTCTACGCGTGTAAAAACACTCAATTTGTTCCGGTTGATGATAACAGGTTAGAACAATGTTCCTACAGCTCTGTTACTAACTCATCTCATTACGAGGATATTCTCTGATAATAATCTTACCGTGACATGGAAGTGGCAACAAAACTATAAGCCTCTTCAGAAGCTGATTTTAACATTTCAAGCTGGGGTGGCTCTGATCCTTGACCAATTGCCAAGATCGCGGATATCGGGGGTAAGTGAGACCTGTCGATAAATGATCATTTTACCTCAGTTATCTACACTTCCAGATAGCTAATAAAAGTTAACCTGGATGGTGACATTTTTCACTGCCACTATATTATTACTATTACTATACAAATCTTACCAGGGAGGTTTACCAGTGGCCATTTCAAATACGGTACAGCCGATACTCCTAGGAAAGAAAGTACTTGAATTAGGTACAAGAATGGGTATCAATTTAGCCATGCCCAAGATAGTAGTGACATATTACTGTTTTCTTTCAATAACACGACAAGGAGTTGGGATTTTGGTGCTTGAACTGCGATTCAAATTAACTATGTTTCTTTTTGTAAACACAACCGGTTATGATATTTTGTGAATAACCAGTCGAAGAACATCAAATAATCTAATAACTCTCTTCTAGCTTCTTACCATATATCAGATTTTCTACCGTATCCAATCTCCTTGATGACTTCAGGCGCCATCCAATATGGCGTTCCTTTCATGGAACGTAGTAAATCTCCCTGACTCTGACTCGTATTCTGAGAAAAATGAATAAGATGAAATTATGTACAGGTTTGACCAATTCGCACGTTGAAGTTTCGTAGCAATGGGTTTAGAACGGGCACGCTTACAATGTAAAGTCGTTTTGCACAACCAAAATCAATCAGCTTAATGACTCCTGTAGGCATCAACATAATGTTCCCACCTTTGATGTCGCTGCAAAACAGAAGACGAAAAATGGAATATTATTCGGCAATAGGTCTCAATAAACGCTCAATTGTTTATTATAGATTAATAATTACCGGTGGACAACGTTATTGCTATGCAGATACTCCACACCGACCAAGATTTGTTTCGTGTAGAATCTGAACACTCGTTCTTCAAGTGGACCAAATCTAAAGGACAAATACGGAGAAAACACAGCTTGAAAATTCGATTCACAAAGTCCGATCTACTTTCCAACAACCAATTCTTTAGATATAGTGGAGTTTAAAACTCTTTAGTTTAGATATATATATTTCAGGTAATAATGGAAAAATAAACCCTTAATTACTTTACAACTGCATGAGGAAATCGATATAATATATTTACAAACCTGGCCAGTATTGAGGCGATTGAACCACCTGGTACAAACTGCATAAAGATGTTAACCACACCACCATCAAGACATGTGCCAAGATAACTGCATTGGATGAAAAATAGGATAAAATCGTAGGTTAAAGTACAGTACCATCTATAGGTGGAAAGTGACCGAATGTCTTTCCTACCTCACAATATTTTCGTGTCGTAAAGATTTCAAAAGTGCCACTTCTTCTTGTAATTTTGCATATTGCTAACACGGAACAAAATATGGATTACGTTTAGACATGCGGTTGATGAAATCATCAAGTTTTCATTTTTGCCTACCCGCTCTGCTTCAGTCATGTCGCTTGTGATGAGTTCAACTTGTTTTACCGCGATTATCTGACCAGTGTTGGTTAAACCACAAAAAACCTAGAAGGAAGGTGGATTAATGGATTTACATCTTAAAATTTACGAAGTGGTACTTCTCAGCTTGGGTAATTTGGACTATATAGTAAGGATAATGATGCAAATTCTAATAAATGCAGCATGGTAATATTTAATTAAAAAGTACTCTGATCAACCTACCTTGCCAAAAGCTCCCCTTCCGAGCATGTTTCCTTTTCGCCACACAATTTCCTCTTCTTCCGAACTTATCGTTTCCGAGCCTGTGCCGGGCGTTTCCGGCTTACGTGGAGTTAGCCTACTAATAATAATATGCGGTGATTCGTCACCGAAACTCTGAGAACCAACACCGCTTGCTGTACTACCGGGCGGCAGGGAAATAGTCATGGAACTTCCCTCGGAAAACGTCGATGTGGTGGCATTGGAAATCCTTCGGTCTTCCTTCGCTCCAGTAATATCATCGGCAGGGTCGAAAGTGACGTCAGTAACATCGGAATCCACCGGTTTCTGGGATATTTTCTCGGACCCCGCTTCAACTTTGCTTTTTCCCATATCGCCATCACTCCCCGAAGTGGATTCTATGCTGTCGTCAACAGAGCGTGAAATTTCAGAAGAGAAATCTGTTGTTGTTGGAGGAAGGGGCGTAGAACCACTTGATTCGTATGATGCATTTCTTGGGTTCGCATCCGACGGCGTAGCACGAACTAAACCCGAGGAAGAATCACCATGATCAGGATGACCCGAAGGATAGTGGGGATTTGACTTGCAATGTCCGTATATCCAAGCCTCAACAAAGTTTTTCTTAGATTCGTCAATGTCATTCTTGGAATGGAAGACCCTTTCTGTCGCTCCAGTCTGCACGTTATCGCTGGCATTTGTTTCCGTGCCCAACTCCGCGTGTTCATCACTGCTCGTTTTTCGTGCAACGTCAAGTCTTGCGTGATTTTTCTCCAGTTCGTCCGTCTCGCTTAAAATTATCTGTATCAAATCCTCAAGACTGTCTGCAGTTTCTAATTTATTTTCTGATTTTTGCGATTGTGAAACATCGACAGAAGGCGTGTGAGACGCCATTGGCTCCACCAAGTTCGCCTCGTTTCCGGGCTTCCACGGCCTATCTACCTCATCCTCTACATGACCTATGGAAATCCTGTCCAGTTTTTCCACTAATGGAATACTGCTTCCTTGCTCGGCGTTCGACGGTAATGACGGAAAGCCTTCGTTGCTCGATCCTTGCACGGAACTGCCTGATCGTGAAGCCTCCGGTGTTGGACTCAAAACGGGAAGCTTTGCTTTGATAAAAGTTGTTTGACGGACTGGTGCGAGTGGAATATTAGTTTCGGCCAAGTGGAGGCTCTTGTCAGTATTTTGTGGCAATAATTCCTTTTTTTCATCTGTGTCGGCGGCTATTAATGCCGTCTGAATAACCGGAATTTCTTTCACAGGAGTTTGCAGAAGTTTCTTTTTCGCATTTTTCTTAGCGGAAATGACTCTCTTGCCTTGCTTTCCTTTTTCGCTGCTTTTTTCTGTATCCTTTTGACCTGCTTTTTTAAACTTGTTTCCGGTCTTCTGAATGTTCGACTCAGAATTTTGGCTATTCGTCCCAGTCTTCTGACCGTTCGACCCAGACCTCTTGCCCCGGCCTTTTTTCTTCCCACCAGAAGCAGACGTCCTGGAGAGCGAGGCATACCGATCGCACTTGCAATTCGAAGAGACATTCACCATGGGGACTTTAGGGGGTACAGGGGACGGGAAGGGATTCACGATAACTACTTGATGTGGGGTAACATCGGCATCAACAAATTCCCCAAACGTGCCAGAATTTTGCTGTATGTCATTAGATATCAACTTTTGAACACGGTCAACTTCAGGCGAAATCACCACACCTCTTCCTCCTGATTGACCTTCTTCGCCAGTTGATTGATCAACTAACGGACATTTACCAACACTTGACCGGTTATACAAATGATTGATTGCATCTGATGATACATTATTGCTCTCTAAGCAAGTCAAATCTGCAGAAAAACATTCTAACGTCTGCTTACATAACTCAAACATAGCAGTACTTGCATGGAGTTTCTTTTCTGGCATGTCATCAGGAGATCTCTCGTTTGATATATCTCCTTTCATAGACTTTTGAGATTCTATCAAAGTTTCGTTCCCGTCAACGTTTGGTTCTGTTTCCTCGCTTTGCAGGTTATTTCGTAGAAATATTGCGCTTTTTCTTCGATCTTCACCACCACACACGGGCTGTTCGCGTTTTCCCGAACAATCTGTGGATTCTTCTCGTTTTGTACTCGCGACTCCGAGACCTACGCGATCATCACTCGCGAAGTCGTCGCATTGTTCTCGTATCACATTCGCCGAGTTTTCCGCTGTTTCCTGCTGTGTTGTCGCATTAGTGTCCACTTCGAGTCTTTTCTGAGTCTTCGACGAATCTGACATTGTATCTTTTATATTTTGTTTGGCTTTTGGCGATTTCTTCAACTCTTCTTCAGACAACTCCTTATTGCTTAAAACACTCAATGTCTCTCTGTCGATCGAAACCGTACGATTGTCTAGACTAGAAGATCGCGTTCCAGTTAGAATATTGCCGTCATCAAGGTCATGCATTTCAGTTTTGGTACTACTGGGTCCAGCGGAATCTAAAGGCACCCAAAAAGTATCTTTTGCAATTGACTTTCTATGGCACATATTGCATACCGAGGTACCGGGTCTGAAATCCTCGGATGTAAATTCCTCTCGGCATTTTGTACACTTTCGCAATGGAGTTTCAATATCTTTCAGGTCTACGAAGAAAGTCAGGTCGGAATCCTGAACCTTCAAAGTGGATTTTGTATCGTTTTGCACCACAGGAAACCAGAATACCGGCTTCTCTTTCGAATTGAAGGTTTTGTTCAGGAAATCATTATCTGGAGAGCCTGGCCATGGGGCAAGTTCATCGGAGGTTGGATTGAAGACTGGTGGTGGGGTTTTAACTAATTCAGGTTCTGAAAAATCAAAATAAAGAACTACCTCACGTGTCTGGAAATCAAAATAAAGGTTGCTATCAATACCATTTATATAGAGTTCACTGGTGCAAACAAAACCTAATTTTTAAGCCAACTAACTGCATAGCCCTAGCTATATGAGAAATGCCAAAGAATCATAAATCAAACACAAAAATTCGCCAACCTGAAGAAGTGGCTGTTTCACATTTATCTGGGCTTGCTTCATCCACCGATTTTTCGGACATAATATCAGGCAAAGTTTCAAACGAGGACATGACTGATCGCCCACGTAGGCTAAGAGGGTTATTCAGCGGTTTTACCTCCGCAGATAATGCCTGGGGGTTTTGGGGGTTTTGCAGGTTTTGGGGGTTTTGCAGGTTTTGCGGGTTTGCCGATTTTCGAAGACGATATCTTGGGAATGGCAACTCACTGCAACTCTTACTCTTCTGTTTTTGAAGACTAAAACAAAATTTGGAAATAAATTTAATACTATCTAGTGTTAGCACGGACTAAAACGTTATAAGCTAAACTGATATTGACTTTGCATGAAACGTGGTGTAACAACATTAGTTTTACTGACTGATTAATCTCAGGGTATTTAATGCTGATTGTTTGTAAAACGATATTAAGTAAAACCAAATCATTGCAAGCATGAGTCAAGTGGAAAAAGAACACAAGCAACTGCTGCTGATGCAAACACCTTGACGCTGAACAAATATGAAAACTTACTCGTGTCCCTTGAGGTCAATATTCAGTACGGCAACTTTGGCAGTTGCGCGGGGAATGGCATCTGGTTGTGCTGAAATTCGAAGAAAACATTTGTTTCAAAGCAATTGTCATTTTATGGACAAATAAAAGTCCACGGAGTTCAAAATTTTTTGGATATCTTTATTAGACCGTAAAAAAAACATTTTAAACCGATTACCAGTGTGAAAAAAACCTCATTTATTGTGTCGACAAGTCGAGGTAAATTGTAAAATGAGATATTCGAAATTAGACCAACATCTGCTGGCCTGAAAAACCGTTTATAAAGCCTACAAAACTTACGACTTTTGCATGATCGTTTTGTGGTGCTGTCTTTTGTTATTTTGTGTAAAGGAGATGCACTTCCTCCGTCGAACGATAATCGGTGGACGTCGTGATTCATTGCATCTAGCCGGGAATGCGAAGAAGGCCCAGAGGAATGGGAACGAGCTCTAGAGATCAAAAACGTCTTTAAATACGCTTGTTCCATTAATACTATTTCTAGCTCAAGTCGTAATTGCAATACTAAAAAGATTAAATCACCTTCCCGTTGCTCCATAATTTAGTGATCGTTCGCGAATATGCTCTTTCGAAGGGAGAGGACTCGACAATTTTCTATTACTCAATTTTCTTAGGCCTTCTGCAGAGAAAGCGGATTTCTATTGTATAAATGCATGCCTATCGATATTATCTTCATAATAGTCCGGTGTTACCACCACATCTATCCCAACAACCGGTACAATCATCCTTCATTACCTTTATTCCCAATACTTTTAATACCTTCCTGAGGATCATCTTCGTTAATCTAAAAGAAGTAAACAAAACTAATCATCCAGTTGCACTATGCTGTACTGTATGCGTATTGTACTAAACCATATTTACTGTTCCGCACTATAGTGCCATATTGCACAATACTGTGCCGCATGTGTTCTACACGTGTACTGTACTGAACTGCACGTGTCCCGTTCTGCACTAAACTGTACAGCATTGCACCGTACTTGAAATCAATAATACCAAGAACGTACAATTATGTCTGGTGCATCAATATGATCCAACTTTGTGGGCACTCCAACCGGCGCTAAAATACAAACATTATGTTAGAGAATGTCTCTTACTTAAAGCAAACAACATGCAACGATTGCTCTCCTACCTGACTTCACTCTCAGCAGGTTTAAAGAATTTTGTGAATGTTCCGACCATGCTTCTACAGGGTGTAAGGACAATGGTTTATACTTGATGCGAGAACCGTTATACTGCGTAGGCAGTTTGACAGCCGGCCAAGTAATACCGATAAACCTTTCCAGTCAAATGCAATCACCTTTCAATAATAATTGGACGCCGTTTCCGTTTGCAACATCGATGGGAGTAAACCCAAGGTCATCAACCAGCAAAACGTTGGCTCCGTGTTCAACCAATAATTCGGAGGTTTTCTCATCGCCGCGAGATGCCTAGAATGAAAAGGAGTATGTTTCACTCGTCCACGCCAGAGTCAAGTTGCCAAGACGACAGTAGTAGAGATGTAGTATGGTTTTGAAAGGTAGCTAGTGTGAAATTTGAACAAAAACATATAAATGGTAGAGTTTTCCATGACAGCTAGTGTACACTTGCAGTTTTCCCTGTGATTTTAGGAGGCGGATTTTCGTCTTTTGGTTGATGTGAGCGAGTGAGTTAGTTATAGTTGCTTCACTTATAGTGTATCGTTTGTTAACATCAGTCAAAAGAAGGAAATTACAGAAAAAATTGGCGATGTGAACGGGGTTCAATTCAGCGAGATAACAGCGTAATACTTACAGTCATATGTAGCGGAGTTCGCCCAAGGTCAGCTCGTGCATTCACATCCGCCCCGTTGTCAATTAAAGCCATCATCACGTTTGGGTCCCCTGTTTCGGAGGCGCAATGCAATGCCGAGTACTTTTGTGTGTCACGTTGATCTAAAATATAAGAAACAGTTGAAATAAGGAAAATACAGCTGAGTTTGGATGTAATTCGCCGAATCACAATCAAACATATACTCTTGCACAACATCTTACCAACATCAAGGGAGTCTTTTTTCGCAAGTAGACTTATAATATTTCTCGCATTTCTCCCATGATTTCTCGCTGCCAAATGTAGGGGACTCCGTCCCTCATTGTCTAACGCCGAACAATCGCTGTAAGATGAAATACCCAAGTTAGATAGCCTGATGGATATTCGTCGTATAATACAGCTCGGATCTAAAGCCCAATTTACACTGGGGAAAATTGGTACGGATGAAAATTTTAATGTTCAAATTTAAGTTCGGTCCGGAAAAAATTGAGATTAATTCCAAATTTCATCAGTACCACTTTAAATGGGGCTTAAGTTTTTTTGTCCTATACTAATAGCGTATCTACAGTGGCTACACTTACGCATTTTGATGCAACAACAGAGAAACAACTTCAGCTGGATTATAATTTTCAGTGAAGACTTTAAGTTTAACTTAAAATACAAAAAATAGAATATGTTGCATGGGTCATTTTTCGCAAACTGATAAGTATGTAATTCTTCTTTTAATGTTACACGTAATTGGACACCTACTTCCGTCAAAGAAATCAAGGTCTCTCGTGACCAGCAATAATGGAGTAAAACCTTCAGAATTCTTGTTGTTCACATTCAAGTTTGGGTTTAGGCACTAAAAATAAAAGGTGCAGTTACCACCTTCAGCTTCTCCTCATGGGAACTGGGACGGTCTGTACTCTTCCTTGTTTTTTATAGGTTGCACCCTATACAAGTCTGGTTTTCAAATAACATAATTCGTCATAACTCGTCGTAATTTGTTGTAATTCGGTTTTCATATGTCGGCGCGAATCGTATAAAACATGTGAAGTACGACAAATTAGGACAAATTAGGACAAAATACACTACACTCGATTTATTGGCACGGCACGGCTAAAATGGGTACCCGTGCCCATTTCATCTGTGCCCGGCCTTTGTTTTGGTAGCCTGAGCGCTAGTAAAATTGGGCACGGGTACCTATTTTAGCCGTGCCGTGCCAATAAATTGAGTGTAGTGTAAACTGGTGCTTTAATCGCGCAACTTGCGGATTGTTGCCTGGCAATTTGCGTACCAATATTTTTTTCACAACTGTTGCATTTCCTTGCCAAGCTGCTTGACATAGAAGAGGTTGTCCAGCACCTAAAATTTACATTTTATTGGCACTTTAAAACAAAACAAATTTATTTTTATAAATTCACAAAATTTATTCTTGCCAGATTTCTAACCTGGTCTGTTCACAGAATCTACAAAAATAAAAATAAAAAATATTCAACAATAGGTCTAAGACTAAAGGATTTTTTATCACCTACAAAATTTAATCAACTGTACCTAGAATCAATTCTGTAATTTTCTCAGGAGCAACCTCAAGAACTGTCTGACCAGCAGCATTTTTCAGTGTGACATCTGAACCACATGATAACAACAATGATATGATCTAGTAGAATATTACCAAATATTACATTTTGACGGGAACCTTGATGAGGGTACCAATGAACGATGGTGGATCCCCGATGGTGGTGATGTGACGATACTGGTATGGTAGTGATGGTATGAATGATAATAGGTAAGTTGGTGAAAATAATGGAGGCAATAGGTGTGCCATATATTAGTGAGTAATGGTGAGTTGACCTAAATCATGGTAGCTGCAGTGACATATAGTTGGTAGTGTTGTTGTTAATGATAACAAAAGGGCGAAGACAGATGATGACGGTGGTCAATTGTTATAAATAGGTGACTCTACCAATACCTGAACATGACCATTCTCAGCAGCTACTATTAATGGTGTGTTCTCTGTATTTCTTTCCCTTATGTTAAAATCAACCTTGAAGGAGAAGTTGTTTATTTGATACAGTGGTCAGTGGTGATATACCTGTAGTCAGTCAGTAAAGCAATAATACATTTCACATGATGTTTCTACGGTTCTACCTTATTCAAGTCAACTTTTTCTAATGATTTGCATAACCTTGATGAATCTCCGCTCTATTAACAAAAATTATGACTTTGAAATTGTAAATAAAATAGCATATACTTTCAAACGAGACATAGTTTCCAGATTGCATGCACGCAACATCCTTAGAATATGCAAAAAGTAAAGGTGTGCAATTGCGTTTTTTCTCATTTTTTGTTTCTAAAGAACCAGATTTGTATCTTTCTTAAACTCAGATTTTCGATTAAAGACTGATCAATTATAGCCAAATAATCGTCGCTGCGTTTGACAAAAGCGAACGGTTTTGTTTCGTGCTGTGTGCCAGTGCCACCAGTTAGGTTACTACATTTATAAACAACAGCCCCAATCTTCTTAAAAACATTTCAACTCGGATTCGTTGGTGTAGTGTAACAAGGAAGTTGTAGTAACGAGTGCCACAACTTCCTTTCGAAAATACGCACAGTCAGATATACTATGTAGTCTGTATCAATCAGCTCACCTTAGCCGTCGAAAGAAGCACGTTACCCAAATAGTCAGACTTCCTGCAACGAAAGGAGAAAGGCATGAGTCATCAATTTACTATGTCAAAAACAACAGTACCATAATTTATCAAGATTGAACATTACGAAAATACGTACGTTCGAATCCATAGAGTAGTTTGTTACATTACCTCGAGGCATGATTGTCAAAAACTCTCAGCATACAGTCATGATAATAAGACAAAACATGTTTGCTTTTGGTCTGGTTTAGATTCGGAAAACGTCCCTCTAGGCTTGAATCCATCCATACTATTCGATCGGTTTAAGAAGGATTAGTATCCTTTTGTCTATGTACTAAATGTAATTCTACACGCTTTGTTATTAACGCCATTTTGAATATATTACTTTTTGTTGTATGTAATATGCCGCGCTGCCATGGCAACGCAATCGTCTTTCAGCATATCTGTCAGTATTAGTTTAGTTACATAAGTATATTTCGAAGTTTGATAATTATTTTTTATGAAATTCTAAGGAATATTTTCCGAATGTATAATTTGTACTTTCTAATACAGCACTTCTATTTTAATACGAAGCTGTACCACAGGAGTAATCTGAAGGCCAGGCCTTAATTCTGACATTCAGGTTACTTCAAGAGTGCCCAGAAAGCGATTATGTAGAAGTAGTGAAGTACTTACTTTATTTCAAACTTTGGACCCATTTAATAGTTTAATTGTTTAAGTTTCTGACACTGCGCAATCGAGAAACATCAAACATTTCTGCTGGAACAAATGAACGATGTTGGGTAGAACTACGCCATAACAGACAGGGCCAGCAGGGCCTGGCTGCTCCCCTTGCCTTTTACCAGCAAAGGAAAGGGAGGCAAAGATGCTCTTTGATTTAAAGAATTACATTCCATAAGTAAAAACAAGGAGCTTCAAGAACACCCTCAGACACCGAAATCATCCTACGGATTGTTGTGGCACTTACGTCTTTATCAAATGGATTTTTATTTGGGTGGTTTATTATAGGAGAACGATGGATCTCCTTCAGCACTGTGAGGGGAAAATCTACGCTTGTCCTCTCTGGCTTCTCTGTATATAGTTGAGTGATGAGAGCGGCACTGATTTGAAAACGCATTCCCAGGTTCTCCGTTCAGTCTCGTGATGAGATTGTTATTGCACATTGCGCATGCCGAAAGAGAGAAGAAGGATCAAAAGATATGAGAAGATATATAGAAAATAATTAAAAGATATGAGTTACGTATAATATTAGCCATAATATGTCAAAATATTTTGATCTATATACTGATTTAAAAATGTAAAGTTTGAAACAACTGTTTTTAATAAAAGGGAAACGCTGGATACACCGGAGTTACCGTATTTTAACATCGTAATTCGTCAATGGAGTTTCAGTTTGTTTTCAAATCATACAAGCTTTATAGCAACGTAGGCTATCTCTTTTTGTAAAGATTCCAGATTTTGGGAGATCACAGAAGAACATAATGCATGCATTCTTCACACAAAGGAGGACTATGGTACTGTGGTAGTCATTTAAGATCGGTTGAAGTTTCATCCAACGGGGACTACGTTGATACAGCTATATATTTATGAAATTTAAGAGGTACCTCACTTAATAAAGATATATATAAAAAGCACCGTTTTCTGATTTAGGGATTCAAAGCAATTCACACCGTGGACCGAAGACATTTAAACAATACTATAAGATTAGCAGTTGCGATTCTTCGTCATCCAACTGATGGTAATACGCTTGGTCTTAAGGTATGTTCACACGATCCAATTTTGTTGGATCCAATTTACTTCTGACGTATGAAATACAGTCGTTTATTGATAAAGCATTAGCTGCAGTACTGCATTGGCCTCAGTAGTTTTGCTGCTCGTATACATAATCATTACAAGACAACAGACTATAAAGCATCCATCAGAGGTGAATTGGTTCCAACAAAATTGGATCGTGTGAACAGACCTTTAGCCTGCCACATAAGAAACTGACACAGCATTTGAAACAGGCCTAAAGTGTAATCACCATTCGCTCACACTGAGAATCACATTTTAACCGGGTATCTCAACCTTTGTCGTTTGTTTACCCCCCGTTATTAAAAGACTGAAAACCATATGCATGTTCTTGAGATTATTAATTTTTAATTCAGAAACCACGAGCGTTAAGTCGTTGTATCAACATTGCAAAGACACTCTCAATTTCATTAACCATTTTGTAAGATATTTTTCAAGGTACGTAATTGAAAGACTTTCCCTATTAGCAAACACGAAAAATTGTTTGCAAACATCGCAAAATTCGAGAAGTTTCGAGGTCCATGCACGCTCTTGCCAGTAGACTTGTCAATAAACTGATCAATAAACTGATCGCGCAATGCAAATTTGGATAACTTTTCGCTGTTTAATTTATTGAGCCATGGGCAACCACAAGTGGATATGTCAAATGCTTTTATCACGAGACAAAGAACTTCAAACATAACCGTTTCATAAATTTCTATTTTAGCTTAATTTACAGAGTTTTTTTAGCAACAGAAAGTCGTGAAAACCTTGAATCCATCATGGCGGCAAACAAGGTAAGTCATATAAAAACATTAGTAATTACTACGGCTTTTCCGGTCAAACGCAGAACGTTACCCTAATTAAAAGCCTAAAAGAGAAGAAACCTTCCCTTTCTTAAATATTCTGTTAATTGTGGGCTTTTTACTTTTAAAAGTTTTTGCGACAGATTTCGTTAACGTGAAACAATGAGGAGGGTGGATTGCGATTTTTTTGATCTTCTGAAAAAGTTCAAAGGGCAAATGTGCATGAACGTCTCTGGTCGATTAATATTTTAAAGCTTAACCGGAATAACCTTGAACGGAGTTGAAAGAGAAACGTGTTTGTTCTTAGAATGGCTGTTAGGAAACATTAAAGATTGATAAGCAGAAGTTTTGATCATTTCAATGCTACAATATAGTAACATCAGGGAATTTCGACATCAGGGAATTTCGTGTCATAACAGCTTGCGTATAGGCAGTGTTCAATGTTAAGCCTCTATAAACATAAAAAATAGATACCACTTTCGTATGTGCATCAATTAAAACCTTCACTGAGCGGTTTAAATTCAAGGAATTTGCGTAGGCCGAAGCTAAATTGCTGGTCAACATGTCCGTCATACACCCTGCCGCGTGTGTTTAAATGACTTCAAGTTACTTGGTACAGCATATAAATTATATACTTGACTTTCCAACACAACTGTGTATATACAACGGTATATCATAGTATGAGCATGGATTAAAGTAGATACACCACAGTCGCATAGCTTAAAGAAACACAGTCGTGAATGCTTGAATGCTCAGTGGGGGGTGGAGGGTAAACACGTCCGTATCTTCCTCATTTCTAGGACTCCAAAATCGTGCAAGACACTTCGATGAAACTAGGTGATGACATTAACCTTGCCGAGCAAGACAATGTCGAATTGGATCCCGACTTGGCCCAGAATAAATACCCAGACTTGAGCGGCGCCAAATCGATTATGGCGAAATACCTCACCAAAGATGTCTTCGAAAGACTGAAAGATAAGAAGTCCAGCACTGGATTCACCATTGCTAGAGCCGTGAATACTGGAGTCCGGAATAAACCAAAGTCTCTGATGGGTTGCCATGCCGGGTACGTGATGATTTTAGCGAGATCTTTGCACTGGTAGTGAAGAATGAAGAACATATGTTAGTGTTCAATTAGCGCCACTAGTAAAGATTTAAAACATGTTTTTCAGGGACACAGATTCCTATGCAGTGTTTGGGGAGTTTTTTGACCCAGTCATTGAGGAATACCATCGTGGTTTCAAACCGACTGACAAGCACGTGACAGATATGAACGTGGAGCACTTGAAAGGCAATATTAAGGAGCCTGGGAAGATCATTTCAACAAGAATCAGAGTGGCAAGAAACATCACCGGATTTAACTTGGCGCCAGGTTAGTAATGTGGTGAAGTAAAGTCAGTTTAAGCCCCTGTTACACGGTGCAATTTTTCTTGCAACTTGCAAAGCAATTCTACTTTTGAGAGATGTAACAACAGAAACGAGGACAACGGAAATTGTCTATTCAATTATTACCGGATGAGAAAGTAATGCGAACTTCTCACCCCCATAGTCAAGAGTCACAGTTTGGAAACTCAGCAGACTTCAAAAGCGTCTAATGAGCTAAGATATGATTTGAAGAAATATCCACCGTGAAAAAGCCATTTTGCAATATTGCTTATCAGTAATCCAACTGCAAACGCGGTTGCCTGATTTGACGAGGCGATTACTTGTGATGCATTTGTCTCAATTGCTTTAATCGTGAACAAATTTTATCCGAGTCGATCGCCAAACTATGGCTTTATTGACAATGCTTCAACTCCGGTCTGTTTAGGGCAGAACACCAAAGATGAGAAGCTGGCGGTTGAAGCGCTGATGCTCAAGGTCTTCGACAAACTGGAAGGGGACTTGAAAGGTCGTTACTATTCCTTGGCCAAGATCACTGAAGAAGAGCGCCAGCAGTTGGTCAGAGAGCATTTGCTATTTAAGGGTAACGACAAGATGCAGGCTGACAGCGGGTACCATCGCTGGTGGCCCCATGGGCGTGGCATTTACCTCAACGAGAACCGTACCTTTGCCGTCTGGTTGAACGAGGGTGATCATATTCGAGTCATTTCTATGCAGCAGGGTATGAAGCAACGATAATAGACTAAATGTGTTAGTGAAGATAGAGAATACAATGCGCATTGGGTAATAATTTCCGGGCAAATTTGAACGTGATTCATTTCAGCCTCAATGGAATGCATTATCCAGCCAATTTTTAGATCAGTTAAAGTAGAGTAGCGATTGGATCAAATCCAAAACTGACAATGACTGACCTCCGTTTTAAGGTGGCGACGCACGTTCGGTCTTTACAACTTTGGTCAAAGCTGTGAACACAATCGAAGCTCTCGTGAAAGAAATTGACGGCCGTAGTTTCCAGAAAACCGACCACCTGGGTATGATAACCTGTTGCCCCACCAATTTGGGTACGGGGCTGAGGGGTGGGGTCCTTATCCAGCTGACGAAGCTCCAAGCCAAGATGGGTGAAGATGGGTTAAAAGAATGGGCGAACGCCAATCATTTGCAAGTGCGAGGTCTGTATGGAGAGCATTCTGACTCATCTGGAGCGATTTACGATGTATCAAACAAATACAGATTAGGTTATTCTGAAGTACAGCTGGTTCAGTTTGTTATTGATGGTGTTAACAAGCTCATTGAGATGGAAGCCAGTGGTTGACTTGCCTTGAACATTTGAAAGAAAGTTTAGAAAGTTTACTATTCTGTGTTTTTATGAAGCATATAAACCCATTCTAAAATAATATCTTGCACTTTTTTATGCTTTTATGTTTAGGTATAAACGTTAAGTTTATTCTCATGTTAGTTAGAAAGTTTGAAACATTGATCATGTAAGTAAGGATATTTAATAATTCAAAGTTCGCACATTTGAGTAGATTTTGTAAGTTTTTTTAGATGTAATATTTTGATGATTCTCAGTAAAAACAAGTTTTTGAAGTCGTACATAATGTGTTCGCAATCGTTTTTTTAAAACAAACACTATATGAACTTAGTAACATTCTTGTAGCTTTGCATGGTGACATCAAATTATAAGTAAATTAGCTTGTAGGTACACCACGTAAGTATTAAATACTTAAATAAAGGTATTAAATACTTATTTGAAGTATTAAATACTTACGTGGTGTACCTACGGCTACAAGCTAATTCACTTAGTATATATGAACTTGTTTACGATAGTAAATCACAAACGTTAATTTTTGCAAGCGAAGACAGCAAGGTAGGTTTCTTGTTCTTACTTCTCAATCGCAATGTTATCGCATTTGAAAATCGTTGTTTTTTCCACAAATTTATAGGTTCTATATTATTACAAAATGAAGCAACCACATGTAAACTTGTATCTAAATAATCTTTTTCATTTCTCAATTTTATACATACAAATATTTATCCAATATAAATAATACAAATATCAATTTATCTTAATAATTTTGTTCTTTCTACATTCACGAATAGAATTCTACATGCTATATATACACGATGGGAAAAATGATGGCGATGTACAAAAATTGAATATAAACTCAGTAGAAAAATATATTGCATGCATGATAAATATTAAATTATAGAGTTTCAGAATTATACCGCTCTTGCTAGCAATGCTAACTACGATTTTGGCTGATTTGACTTAGCTGTTCGTCAAGTATTTCCGTAGATTTCCATACACGAATAAGGCGATCGCTATAGAAGAAAGGAAGTACCCTTAGGAGGTAAGAAGCAATTTAAAACACACTGAGCCAAGTATATCATTCTGTTCATGGTTCCTCCCTTATACGTGTAAATTAATAAGAGAGTGGGAACGGCCATTACTGAACCCGTATTGGGAAAATTCAGAAATGATAGAGCTATCCACTATCCACTCAAAGGGGTAGCCCCTGCTCACACTTGATCAAGAAGGAGATACACTGGAGTTATGGGAGACACTGTTTTTGGAACAGATATATTTAGTATGTTCAACAAAGCTAGAAACAAGTTCCAACTCCAATCAAGTTTACCTTGATGCGGTGAATACGAACGATGAATTGGTGGCAATTGCGTTAATGGGATGTCGATGAGCTTTGATTTCACCTTAGAGAAAATTTTGATGATTTATATTAGGTAGAAACACTGCTTACAAAGCCATACTCTTCAAAAAGACGGTGGATCAGGAATATTGTTTCCTGGGTATATTTCTTCTGGTTACCAAAACCACTAGGAAATATCATTACCTAGTTTGTCGTTATGCATGTTTATGAAGTATGGGCAAATCAGAAACATAGTTTCCTAAACCATGTTCTTTTGTAGGTGGACCCAGGAAACATTGTTTCCCAGACACTTTCTTGAAGATTGGTCTACAAATTTGGTCACATTCACGAATGCAAAGAAAACATCGTTTCCCGACAGCTTCAAACCATGCTTCAAACTCACCAATTTCTTGGCAGGTCTCCGGCTCCCAGAGTTTTAAAACTCCTCCACGGCAACCACTGACCAGAACATTGTGGGAGCGTAGAAAATCCAACGAGCAGACCCAGTCTTTGTGCGCGGATATCAAGTTCTGGAAGAGTCGTTGACAAATTTGATCTCTGGTGTTCATTAACGAAAGTAAAACTCCACTCAGCAAAATGACGTTGCTTACAAACCTGTTGAACTTGTTGCGTCGAAAAGTTCCACTTCTTTATAGTATTGTCACGAGACCCGCTGAATAAATTATTGCCGTTGAGCGCAAGAGACTGGACCCCATCATAATGTGGGGGCTCAAAGGTCTGTATTGGAGTCTAAATGAAATGGTTAATTAATACTATATTGCTTGAGGTGTCTGCATCAAAATACTTGCTGTACTTTATCCAGCCACTATATGCATTGTTACTTGTGGTTAGTTAGTTACTATATGGTTATACATTGTTACATGTGGTTTATTGACAATGGTTAGTTAGTTACTATATGGTTATATATTTGTTACCTATGATTAGTTACTTTAATCATGGCATATTTATGATTAGTTGAACTTAGGTTTAAACATACTACAATTTAAATACCTTTAAAAGATCGGATTTTCTCGTCAGCTTTTTAAATGGACTTTTCGGACGAGGACTAAATGTCTTCTATACATTTAATAGAATTCAAACCTGTTATTTACTTACACTATTTTACCAGTCATTGTTCGAAAAATTCTCTTGGACTAGAATATTTGCGCTGATAGAAAAACATATTCTTACCTGAATTCCTGAAAGTGAGCCAGTTAATTCAAAAAGCTTTAAAAACCAAAAAATTAATAATTATCAGAAAGCAACTAATAATGAATACAATAAAGACTAAAATCACTATCCATCGTTCACCCAAATCAACCACGGTTATCTCATCAATACCTTGATGTAATGATCCCTAGAGCCAGTTAGCATCAAATAAGGTTCTTGATTTCCTAACAGTAGAAGTGCCATGACATGACCAGCATGTCCACCTAGTTTCCCTATCATTTGATAACTACAAAGAAACACAAAAAATCCATTGAAAAGGTGCTTCATTTCATTGCAAGTTGAAGAAAATGAGAGATGACGTTAAAATTATTTTCTGTAAAGCGTGAAGTCCAGCACAGTTAACAACAAAGAATCCCACATATGCACAGATTGAGATGCGTACTTGTTCAAGTCCCAAATTTTCACAGTGTTTCCGGTCGCTGCAAAGACATGTGTTCCTGGATGATTGACAGTGAGATCGTTGATGGCAGAATCACTGGTTACACCACCGGATGTGATGCTTTTGATGCATTTCGATGGGGGAGAACGAATGTCCCATATCTGAAAAGATAGGAAAACTTGTCTTTTGTCTTCTCTATCAATGTTTGATTCCTTCAAATACAGTTAAGAACGTAAATTTTCCCTCGTGTACAAATCACATTTCAAACAAAAAGTTTCCAAGATGAAATTATATATTAAGACCGAAATTACCTCCAGTTACATGATATCCTAAGACAGTGTTGTAGAACTGACGTATAGAGAGCAGACTTAATCGAACCAGCTAATCGACAAGATATATAGATAGAGTGGTGTTTATAAGACTCACCTTGATAATATTCTGTGATACACTGAACAGACGCTTGGTTTCAATGCAATATTTCAGCGACGTAACATCACGTTTATGTTGCCCCAAAGACATCGTCTCCTCTCCAGTATTAAGATCCCAAATTTTCACTGTACGATCTGGGTTTGAGAATGATGAAATTACAAGCTCGACTGTTGGCAGAGATATTTTAAAAGCATGCAGAGACTAACCTTTCGAGCCAGTAAACATTGTCGTCTCACTAACGCACAATGACAATACAGCACTGTTATGCCCCGTTGATGCGTAGACACAGACCAAGGAACCAGGTCTGCCTGTAGGAGGCTTAACGGGCAGCATACGACCTCTAAAAATGAGAACACCAGAGTCAATGTCTGAAGGGTGCTTCGAGATAAATTTTCTGAGCAGCAGGGTTCTAATCTGTTTGTTCAGTTTCCTGCTGTTTCAACACTTGGGGATTAAACCTTATTGGACCAGGTGAGTATAGCTACAGTTTAAAACTGATAGACCGTCCAGCATAAGTACATGCAGTTAGTATACAGCTTATGGTAACTTTGAAGGAGAAACGGGTCGATTTAATGATGATCTCTGCTCAATATTTGAGAAAAAGTTAAAGATGATCGCATTCTGGTAGAATGAACATCTGCCACCATATTCGTGAATTAAACGTACGCATTTGGATTGGATTCTTGAGTCAAGGTACTGGTAAGTCTTGAGAACACATCATCAGCATCGTTTCTACAATACACCGTAGAGAACGTTAAGGCGTATTTAGACTACACGATAAGTTGTATGCAATTATCATTCTGACGAATGCAAAAGAGGGCCTACGCCACAATCTTCATTCATATTGTCCAGGGTGGAATTTAAAGTGTCACGTTTGTACGTGTGTTCACACGTTCACATACGCCAGGATAAGAATCGTATACGACAAATCGCATAGTGCAAATGGGCCTTTATAGCAAGCACACTTTAATGTGTAAACTCCCTTTACGGAACGTGCTGATGGAAGCCTAAGTAACGAGAAATCTGGATGGCATGAGGGAGAGAAGAGGTTTCTATACTATATTCATGAGATACTCCGTTCGCCGAATCATTAATGGCTGGTGTCACTAGTTACTAGTATTCCAAGTGTAATCCCTGTTATTCCGTTTAAATACTTTAGATACTGTTTAAAATTTGGCATTTAAACTGTTATGAATTATTTTTAGTTTTGGTCTCAGGCTCTAGTATAAGGTTTAATTTAATAAAAAATTTAATGATAAACGTTTTTTACTGGATTATTTATGAGAACGTAAGTTCGATATATATATTTTATCTCACCTCGACCCACGCCTGGATGGTGGTGAACGAGTTAATCTTTGCAATCTTTTAACATTTTAAAATAGAATGTGATTTAAAGTTAGTTGAATTCAAGCTACTTTTATGATTTACTTTTTATGGTTTAAATTTAATTTATTTAATGTTTAGCATTCTTCAGGTGGGTCTCACTAGCTATAATCTCTGATCAACCTTAAAGCTATCTGAGGATGAAGCGATGTATCACTTCGTAACCCTACAAATGATGGCTAGTATATGTGGATATGAAAGTTCGAATGAGCTTTCACCAAATCAAGTAATCTCAAAACTGATGATTCTCGTTGATGGAAAACAAAACTTTACAATGCAATTTCTAGGCCTAACTGAGCTGGGAAAGAACAACCACTGTAATTCTTCTCGTAGGATCGAATCCGAGCCCTTGAGACCCCAGTACAGCACTCTAAACAACTGAACTATATATATATACATAGTCCAGTTGGTTTGAAACTTGCACAACAACACTTACTGTCCATTTCCCAGCTTCCCTTTCTCCTCAAGAGACTTTCGTTGTGGCGTCGGCGAAGTAGGCTGCGATCGCGACTCGGCGGATGACGTCACATTGACGGAGCTTGAAAGCGGAGCCTTGGGACGAGCAAAATTTCGCGCCGATTTTGATTTGAACGAACCACGTACGAATGAATTAGACGTCGACCCAGCCACGGACTGTGGTCTATCTCTATCTAGGGGAATGTTCGCGATGGGAACCGGCACCTTAGCTGGAGGTGGGGGCAATTGTGTGCTATCAATTTTCTCCATAGCTTTACGAGCGCGTTCCAGTTGTAACAATTTTTGTTTGAGGTCGGTTGTGTCGATAGGGTCGTTAAGCGTTGCCTCTTTGTTGGTTGGTGGTAATGTGGGTTCTTCAGGTACATCAGGAATGGACGAAAGGGTAGATTCGCGTTTCTCAAGACGTGCTGGATAGAGTAATTCCTTTTGAGTTGAACTACGACGACGCGCCTAAGAAAGGAGTAAATTATTTTTTTGGCATTTTATATCACCGCATTTGAAGAGTAAATCTTAAAATGTGAACATATCGTTACCTTTTCCTTCACTGCAGTTTGGCTACCTTTAGTTCTAGAAAATACACAATATCCATGAACAATATCCATTCAAGACGCCCGTGTTGTTCCATGCACTGGTCTCTTCAAATAATGCATCAGAACAAACTTACGTGTTTAGCTGAACGTCATCTTTTATGAGAGCCATAAATTCAGATTTGCTCTGTAAAGTAAACGTGGAATGTTAAGAAAGAGAAAGAAAAGAAGGTTGGTATGTTGACCGTATCATAAGTCTTAACGAAACTAGATGATGAATCACGATCTTCATCACAAACTACACCCTGTGAGATTCAACTATTACCATAAAGGGAACAATATCGTCAGTTATTCCATTCCTCAACTCTGGTACCCCATTCACCGCCTCCTCGGGATCTTTTGGGTTTTTGTTGGGTATGGATGGATCATCTTTGCCAGGATGTCGCAACAGGTTCATGACCAGGTCCTGTTGCAACTCACTATGCTGACGTAATGCCTCTAATTTAGTTTCCAATTCCTTCACGGTTGCATCTTTTGAAACAGTCTCTTTGCTCTAAAGAAATCAGAGAAATTAATATTATTTTTAGTAGCGCCACGCCTTAGAAATAGGAAAAGGGGTTTTCATAGAATTACCTAAATAGAATTTCACCTCAATTGAATTTGAGAATTGTTTCCAAACAGACCAAAGGGACGTTTAGTTGCATTACCCACACTTGTACAAATAAGTTGGTAAAAAATCGAGAGGAAATTATTGTAGCTTTTAGGAATACAGTTTTGAACTGGCAAAGCCATTAAATATAAGCAATGTTTTACCAATTGAATGGTTTTATTTAAGAAATGTTCCATCAGTAGTCTTGCTTCATGTGTTGAACAACTTGTTATTACTTCTGTAATCTCCGTGGTTTCTCCTCCATCCTGTTAAAGGACAGAACAGCAATGCTACAGCCTACAGATTTGCAAAGGGAAAACGTGCTAATCGCAGTGGCAAGCTCACCTCAAGATCTGCAATCTCAGTCTGTGCCTCGGTGATGTTGTCTTGAACATAGTCCAGATGAGCTTTGAAAGCGTCCAACTGTTCATTTAAATCTCGCGTTGTGTTGTCGTCCTAGGGGCACGGACGGATAATATAAGGTAATATAGGGGCAAGCTAGGACCTAGATGGGTAATATAGCTTTCTATTTTGACTGGAAAAAGAGTTTTATAAGAACTTACATTGCCGGACTTCGCCTCTTCCAGTTTTTTATTACAGTTTTCAATCTTCTTGCTCAACATATCTCGGTCTTTTATCCAGCGATCCATATCTGACTCCATTGTACACACCGTTTGATTATGGGCAACGATACGTTCAATCTAAGATACGAGTAACGAGTATTGGAACCCAGTATGAAGAACAATTTCTAATTGGTAACGCTGTCCAATTTAATTGACTAAATATGCTTGCGTTTTCTGCTTTGTCCTCAGTTCAGAAATCACTGCCACAAACCTGTTTCTCGATGGTCTCCCACGTCTTTTTAACTTGAGACGAGGAAAGCCTTTTACGAGGGCTGAGTGCAACTTTACCGATCACTCGCGTGGTCTTGGAATTATTCAAACCACGCACGTTTCGCGCGAGACCGTTAGCGCGCTCTGATCTTTCCACTGGTTGCACCTCAACTCCTGTGCCCGACACGACCATGCTGGCCGTTGACGAGAGGGAAAGGTCTGGTACGGCAGGGACAGGATTCAATTTTCGTTGTTTACCAAGTTTTCCAGAGATTGGTTTTTGCTGCTGACGAAGTTGCTTCACCTAAAATATGGAATTGTTCAGTTAGTTAAGCGATTTCACCAAGCACTAGCTTAGCCAAGCCCCAGCATGTAGCTTGAAATAATGCAACATGAAATAAACAAAACCTCCGCTTGTTTTCGCTTCAATACGAGCTCTTTCTGTCGCTTCTCTGATTCCATGTTCTTAAATTGGATTTCACGTTTTCTGTTTTCTTTCTTGAGCTGAGAGATCTGTCTGTCTCGTTCAGCTTCGCGTTGCTTGTTTTTTGCTATTTCTTCCTTCATCTGACGCATAAGTTTCACTTTAGTCTTCTTTAGTTCGTCCAGATCTCGAGTGAGTCCTTTTAGCTGCATCTCGTTTTGAGTCTAGATACGGAGGAATTACAAACTTAAGGAACGATAATTCTCCGTTTATTATGGATTGCCATATCAGCTGCAAACGTTTCTAAAGCTGAAGGCCATTTCATGTCGCTTCACTGTTTTTGACTTTGCTACTGCATGAAAAAAACAACTAAATTTTATTCATGGTGTGACTGCTACCAAAATTGTGGTAAGCGTCGTCATATATTGATCCAGTATATCCGAAACAACTGTATTTATTATTCTGATCAGATTGCCTCGTCATGACTAAAACTATTTTTACTAGCGCCCAGGGATACATACTCCCTAGTTACCTAATACCTTTGATAATCAAAGTGAAAACACTAACTGCCCTCGCATAGACCCAAGTCCCAGTTGCTCACCTTAGTTCTCATAAGTCTGTTGTGTTCTCTCTTCGCAGACTGTAATTTCTTCAGTTCATCTTTAAAATCGTTAATCTTTTTCTCATACTCTGATTTCACTTTCTGACTCTGCTGCGCCGCTTCCTTGTCGTGCTCGTGTATAGTTTCCAGTACCCGGTCGCGCTCTGTCTCAGTCTCCTTGATTTTCCGCTCGAGCAAGCTCAGTTTTTCCTCATAATGAAGTTTCATGTTGTTGAGTCGCTTCTGGCTGTTCTCAAGCTCCTCAATAAGCTGTTGCTTGATGCTGATTTCTGTCGATAGCCCGGCTAAGTCTTCCCGCAGTATTTCCGTATCTTAATAATGCAATAAACATTGTTGCTGAAAACCGAGTTAGAATGTGTTTTCCTTTTGCTTTTAATGAGCTGAGATGTTCACAGATGGTCACAACGGTGGAAATGTCAACTTTTAGATTGGATCAATCATCGAGCTTGATCTTTAGCTTTCAAAAATGGTCTTTTTGTATAGAGTAAATTAAACCTTAGCCTTAGGAAGGGTCTACATATTCAAGTATGATCATATTGGCAAGGGCTTAAGTGTACTAACTTCTCCTATGAAAACATGCTGCTCGCAATATGTTTCACACGTGCAGCGCTCGTGATACCTTTATTTTCTTCTCTTTCATCCCGTTCAGCTTCTTCATCTCCATCCTCACTTTCGTTTGATGAACTTCCTATTTTTTCATTTTCTTCTTCATTCTAAACGCAAAGTTTGATCATTAGAGTATACTGGGTTTTGACCTGATAAGGACCACCAAATTGACAGAGGGCAAAAAATCAAACAGGGGGCTACTTTTACAACCTTTTTGAGATTCATTTAATTTATAGCAATGGAGCATGAAAACTCTCTCCCAAGCAACTCAGTTAACGCCATTCATTGGTCATCTAACTAGGACAGCATCCAGTTTTATTTGCAAGTAAACTTTTTTACTAAAATTCCTCGGTGGATGAAGGAGATTGTCCCCCCCCCAAAACAGAAAAGACTCTGCGTGTAAGAAGCGGGGGGGGGAATCGATTGTGGAGGAATATGTCAATGAGTTCATAAATAATTTCGCAAAAATAATTTCCCACGGGATGAAAAAAACACACAGCGACGTAGTTTTGCCATTTCATTATAAACCTCATCAATTTTGAAACGGGTAAATTAGTCTTAAGAATATTCGATGATAAATAATGCACAGGGAGCCGCGAAAATTGCGTTGAATAATTAATGCTTGACGAAATTTTCTTGCCTTAAACAGACAGCTGCTGTGTCTAAGAAAGGCGGCTCCAAAATTGCTTAGCCGACAAAAGTTTTGTTTTTTCACAAATTCTGAGTACTGCGGCTTTCGGGAAAGCCAGTTTGCCCTGTCCTTTGAGAGAGGACCTGTTTGATATCACGGAGTATCGGGAACGTGGAAATGGAAAGAAATGTTGCATTGCTCGACGGAATATGACAGATCAAAAAAATATCATCGCATTGATTTTACTTCTTTCAAACTTGGGGTTTGACAGCCGTTGTTATCGATACTTGAGAGCCTCAAAAACATAAGCAAAGATTTCAGGCGTCTTCATTAAAAGCCTTATTTCATCAATAAAATTCAGAAGAAAAATTTGGATAAAAGATTATATCGACGTAATGTTGCCCCGAAGTGATGTGACTTGTTCATTAAAAGACTGAAGGTTCGTTGCTTTGCTTTTTGCTTCAATGTTCTAGTCAATCACTAACTGACTAGGTAGAAAATAATTCATTACTTCATTGTAAATTTTCAAGCAGTTTGACTGAAAACCGTGGTAACGATTTTACAATCCTTATTAGGGCCTTATTGCATGGGGAACGGTTTTGAACTTATATTGCTATTCAGCAATATTCAATATAAACACATATGTAGCTATACTGTAGGTTTCGAAATGACTTGATGTGATGTAAACTCTCGCGGAAAATTCAAGACCCTTCGTCTTTGCAATTTGTAAATTAGTTTTCCTTCGCTAACCAGACGAAGGATATTTGTTTAAAGGTCTGAGTTTTCTTTGTATTTTGAAGGTTCATATCTGTATGTTCATATCATCATCTATCAAGCAATTTTGAAGACAGTTTCCTACACTTGAAAGCTCCCCCGTTCAAGATATCAGTTCAGACTTTCTCTCCACGAAAATCTGGATCAACGAGGTAAGGATTCTTAATGTACATTTAGCGAAAACCTATAATGAGTGGCATTGCAAAAGAAATATAAACCTGTGTTTGTAAAAATTTTCTTCTCGTTTTTAAACCGGAGCAATGAAAGATAGCCGTTATCAGTTAGACTTCTAAAAAAAAGATCACGGAGCCATTAAGTAAAAAAAGATATAGTTCTCTTGGGGCTCAAATCAATATTATTCTGGCGTCGCAATTAACATCCTTCAAAGGCTGTCTGATTAAAAGTTAATCTGCGATATACATAAGCGACAGTACGGATCCATATCATTATATAGTAATTGCAATGACAGTAGCTCGTTCAATTAAAATTTCACGTTACATCTGCCGCGCATAATTTATAACAAAGAATGCTGTCATCTCAGTGTATAGTATATGTTGTAGTCTACAGTACATGTTGTACCACAGGATCCACGCATAATTGGATTGACTTTGTCATTTTGCCTTGATAAAACTTTGTTCTTCAGAGAGGTGGGATGTTTTGTAAATTATTATATAATTATATGTTCTTACTTCTTCCTCCTCTTCAGATTGACTCTCATCCCCACTCTCCTTCTCACCGTCGCTGCCTAGATCCAGTACTTCAGGCTTTTTATCCTCGACAACCATACTTTGCAATTCCTAAAAAAACATTCGACCTATTTATTAGCTTTTGATGAAATTAAGATTTGAACTAACCACAACTTTGCATTTCAGGGAAGGCGGGATGCTTGTCGAAAACGATGCTTGTCACTAAAGTCGCAATGAGATACAGGTATTCCGAAGATATTGGCGAAGCAGAATGGGAAAGCTCCTAATTTTTTAATAAAGTGTATCTTTGCTGCTGTGTTCTGTTTTAAAATGGGAAAGGGGGGATAAATACGCTGGTTTAATAGACTCGTTTATAGTCGACGTTCAACAAGCATGTAAAATGCAGACACTCGTGTTTTTATAAGTCTTGATCACTTTTGGTTTTTACTTCAACAATCCATGAAGACCATCCCATTCACAACCACGATTTCCGCCATTCTTCTGCTTGGAATGCATTCCACACAATATTGTTAGGTTCATGGCAACTTTTTCAATTTAACAAACCAATCCAAATTCGGTAACAGCCTTTTCTTTGCTGTCTGCGGAAGTAGGTTTCTGCATGGCGTGACTTTAGTAACAAAGATATAATATTACGGTCGCTCAGTGAAGATGGAATTCAAGGACGCCTCCAGGATAAAACCTACACGAATATCCTGAGAAGTATTTTCTTTATTAAAGCTAATACATGAAGTATCCTACAAGGTTCTTTCGTCCATGTTAAAAATGGCAACACCTTTTTCACACATGACGGTATGTAAAAAACCCGTATTCATGCAGACACAACTGTATATTGGTGGAAATGTAACTCGTAAAGCGATAAATGGATGGTTATCTCAGAAATAACGAAGGGTACGCGTTTTTTTTTGCAAAAGGTACGTGGTTGAATTTTGACTGCATTCTTTTGTTTCTGGACACTGTATGTAAAGTTAGCTTTAGTTTTATCTTGTTCCTCCACCTCGGGTATCTCTGAGTACGATTAGAGACAAAATTCTTGCAGAAGTGGTCTTCTGGTAACTCAATCAATATACACATCAATATATCAATATGTCCACTGAGCATTAACATGTGTCGGGGATTAATATATTTTCCTCTGGCGTGTTTTTTGCACCCATGTGCAAACGACGTTGGAAATAATTGTGTGTGGAAATAAGAGTGCTAGAATTTCTAAAGTAATGTGAACTAGTTGGTGCTGCAGTAAAAAGACAGGAATTATGGCATGAACATAGAGTTAGAATTTAGTTTATTTTAACACATATGGTGCTCTCTTATTAACAGATATTGTTGTATTTCATTTAAACCTTTCTATACTTAATATAAAATATTCACGACACATCTTATGTCTCTAATAAAAATCAAGTTTCTTGTCTACATTGATTTACCAACTAAAAATTATGTAATTGTGAGTACTCTAATAACAAATACTTTCTATCAGTTATCAGATAACCTCTAGGCAGGCATTTCTTAGGTTTCCTTTCTACGATTTTTTGAGACAACAATCAATAATTTGCCTAATAACTGGGAACTACGGCCTATTAGAAAGCTGCCAGCCTTGTCATCTACAATAGCGGGTGTATAATCCCTTGGTCTAGTCAGGGCGTATGCCCTGGTCTAGTTGGTTTCATCTAAATAACAGCCTCAAACACAGGTCTGCCAAAAACTCCCAGGATACCATCCGGTTCCTCACGTGACACCTCGCCTGCACCAATCGAAGAGTTAGACTCACGGCATGGCGACATAGGGCTCCCTAGCACTTTTTCCATTGATTGCATCAATGCGTCCAAGTCTTTCTCTAGCCGGTTGCGTCGCTCCGGTAGACTCAGAACTTTTTCGTCGAGTTCCAAAGACATTGGCCGAAGGTTTGCCGATAATGGTGGCCGATATTCTGACAGCGGGCGAAGATTTCCTGACAGTGGACGAAGAAGGTCTTCCGACAATGGACGACGATTTTTCGAATTCGGTCGAACTTGCTCGGAATATAGCTGAACATTCTCTGACACAGGCCTTTCTTTTTCGGACACTTGTCGAAAATATCCCGAATGTTGCCGATTATGTGCCGACAAAGGCCAATTATATTCCGACGTCACGTCATCATCACATTCATACCCTTCCCATGATCCACGCGAGCTCATTGGAGAATCAATCAGTCTTAATTCCCGTGAGATCCTCGGATCTAAACCAATCAAATTAGATCGAACATTGTGCTGTTTCCGGGTTTGACCTGGCCTCGACGCAAACTTCGTCTCTACGCCAGAACTAGTTTCATCTGATAATGTTCCTGAGTGTTTTGTTTGGCTCTTAGCATTGGAAGTCGTTGCTTCGCCGCGATCTGAGAATTTACGACGAGAGTCCCTACCCCGGGTGTTCTTTGGGATCAAACCAGTTTTACTAGCTTCTTGTGGGGGCAAATTAAAGTACATCCTGTCCTCGTAAACATCTGAATTACGAGAACGTCGATTATTATAGAAACCAACATTACTCCTCATCATATCACGTTTCCCACAATCTGTCATTGACGAGCTTGTACTCCCGATATTATCCATCAAAAAACGTCGAAAATGTCTGCGTCTTGAAAAACCGCTGACCGGAATTGGGATCTTTGAATTAGTATCTCGGGCTCTTGGGCGCGAGGTGGTAGCCATGTTCATTTGATCCAACTTTGTTGAAGACTGTGTACGAGTACCAAATCCATAGGCATTGAGACATTTTTTGACTGGACTCTGTTTGGCCGTTAATCTCCTTGGAACAACTTTCAACCCAAAAAGCTTCTTCTTCACCTTATTTATCCCTCTGGTGAGCAAGCTTTCGTGCTTCAATCCCTTCCCGTGACACCTCGGCGCGGGACCTTTCGAGACCTTGTTCGCGGACCTAAGCTTATCACGCGCGGGATGCATCGCGCGCCTGTTACCCACAAGACGTTCTTGGCGGGGCGTGTTCTGCGTGTAGCTCATACGCTGCCCACGCGTGTTGCGTGTATCACACGCGGAATTGTTCTCGCGGAGCGAAAACGAACTCTGGAGGTTAAGATTGTAGGTATAAGAATAATCAGAATTGTTGTGGCGAAAACCATACTTGTACCCCACCTTAGCTTTCTTCATCTGCGAATTGAGGTCTTGTTTTGCAATCTCTAGGATAGATTCGGCAGGTGCATCGATACTTGCTCGCCCCATACGAGATGGTGTCGTAACTGATCGACGTGCTACGGCCGAGGCCATCGCTTCGCTCTCTAGTAGCCGACTCCTGTCGTGAAAAACATAGGAAAGATAAGCTAACATTGCAACAATACTGCACGTCTAACCTTGAAGGTTTCAGTACAACGTAACTTTATAATTTTATTCTGATTTGGAAATTGCGAGTTTGAGATGGGTTTGCGAACACAGGCCAAATACGCCTTCCTAATATTGTTGTATTCGATGGTCTGTCCTCGTTCTTAAGTAGCTTAATCATATTTCATATGCATATCGTACCTTAATTCTTCGATTTCCTCAATATAGCCAGAAATCAATTCCTCGACACCGCCTTTCAGTTCTATAAAGTTAGAAACAATAGTACCTCAGTCATTGACAGACAGTAAAGAGGCCTGAATCTTTTCTCGTATTAACAGTTTTTAGAAAACACGCATTATTGAATTTTGAGAACGTCTCTTAACCTTAGATGCACATTATATCCTCTCAAATATTTGACAATACCTCCATTCAACATGGCAATACTTTTGTTTGCCATGTACTCTGTGATTCGCTTTTTCTGGCCATCCACTGTAAGATTCAAAGCCTTGATACGCATACGCAGTCTACAAGGCGAAAATTTTCAACAAATGTCTCTCATATATTGCATAAAATTGCGTACGTCTTTCTAGTGAACTTCTATAAGAAGCATGCATTAACACCATGCAAGATCGCTTACTTGTCATTCTCAGCCTGTAACATAGTGTTTTCATGGTACATATCACTCATGTGAGCCTCGCCCTCCCCAGCAACACGCTTACCCTGAAAAAACACGTTGTATTGTTCAGTACTGGTCAACACTTGTGCAACACCCTTTTATGCAAACGAGCCGAAAACCCCAGATTTTTATACCTGTTTGAATTCGTTCAACTGCATTGTCAAAGCTTGGATTTCCGCTCGCAAAGTGGCGATCTGTTTGCTTGCCTTGTCTTGATTTACGACAACCTGTAGCGAGATATTAAAAGATAAATTGTAAGGTCGTTTTCGAGCGTCCATTTAGCTTTGTTTAGCTTGTATCTTGAGTTTGTATTTAACTTAAAGTGTTGAGAATGGAGCAACTTTGGATATATCCCTTCCCACGTCGAGCAAAACGGTGAAGATTAAGAACGCTAATACCATTGTCGACAGCCATCAAAAGGCAGATTTCTCACAGACCTTGTTCTTAATGTTTCTGGCTCTGTTTGCGTATTTGAGCGTGTTCAATGTTTCCATGAAGTCCCGATCCGACGGACTCACACAAGCGATCATCAGCGTACGACTGGAAGAAGAAGAAAGATCCATCAATTCATCAAATTCACCTCATTCTAGCTTGGGGGTAGGTACCCAAGGAAGCCTAGTGTTACTGTATACTGCATCACTCTTTCCACACAGTACAGAGGCAAGATTGTAATCGGAAATCCAAACTATTTCCAAGGTTACTACTTGCCTGTTTCCTCCTAGAGAATCTTGCAGCAATCTTGTGAGCTTCGAGTCACGATAAGGTACATGAGTGCCACGTTTTGCCTTGTCTCCTAATGCACTAATCACGTTCCCTAATGCCAACTAAGAAGATAAAAAAAACTTTTATTTTTGTAGCCCATTGCCAAGGCTTGGTTGGAACTTTCTGATTTGAGCCTAACTATCGTTTTAACTTGCTCAAAAAACACTCTCCGTATAAAATAGGATTATTAGGCGTGTCTTACCAGACCGCAGTTAATTGATATTCCTTCCTTTGCTCGGTCACCTGTTGCCCCAGTTCTCTTCAGTCGCTCGGATCCAGCCAGATCGACGAAGTTAAACTTTGCTGTCAGCATTTCGTACTCGAAACCTTTACCTTGGACACCGTTGGATACCGTTTCGTCGTTGTTGAGCTGAAGCGAAAAAAAGCATTTCTTAAGTAGAGAAATTTACCGAATAGCAGTCTTGATTAGCTTCAGTTTAGCATAGTCAGAGCCTGATAGAAGTTAAAAAACACAAGGTCAACGCTGCACTCTTTCTCACCTTCACAACACGTTGTTGCGTTATGTGGAGTGTAAAAATTGCATGAGATCTTGATGACTGGGCATTCATGTTTGTGCTGGCTGTTGTCCTAGACAACGCACCCTGCTGTAAGTTGTTCAAAGTCTGCAACGAAATTAATAATTCATACAACAGTGAGTCAAATCTCTGCCAACGAAGACAGGGTTTTCCCTGTGAGACTGTTCAACCGTCTCATATAGGTCAGTCTTTTAAAACAGTTCATAGAGCTTATAGCGTTAACTTCCTTTCTAACAACAGGTTCCAAATGATTCAAGTGTTAATTGGAGTTACTCGCTGTCAGAGCTGAAGTAAGCGGACGGATTTCTCTCTCGACTTGTGATCGAATCGGGTCACATCTGGTTTAGACATCATGCTACGTGTTCCAAGGGATGAATGAAAGTGGAAATCAAATTTTACAGTTAGGGCTTAGAATTGTTTTATCACGCACCTCTTTAGCGGAATTGACTTGTTTCATTGTGACGCCGACAGTATAAATTCCACCATTCGTGTCCTCGTGAATCTTTATATGTTTTCCTGAACCCTGATGAAAACAGATACCTGTGTCAGGTTTCGGCAGTTTTTGGTAGAATTTTGAACGATCTAAATTAATCCATGCCGGCAATGAAATCTCCGTAGTTATATGTTTGGCACTGGCACGTTTACTGGCATTTGATTTTTACAAGTGATTTGGTTTAGCTGGGAATTTACTCTAAAATACTTACTCTGCTTTCACTGTCAAAAAGATCAATCAATTCTTCATTGTAAAGCTAAAAAAGGTTGAAGGGTAAAATTTTAGTCATGAGGGACTTCAAACAGGACAAATAGGTGGAGGAAGAGTGCACAGGTGAAGTGTAAACAGTTAATAAATGGGATAATAAGGATGCAAGGGTGAAGCGCACGAGAGTAATGGAGGTCTTGGGGTTAAGAGGGTGAGTTCTGTACTACAGGTTAGCATGAATGGGAATGAAAGAGAGGAAGGTGACATTGCATGAAGGTTCGGATGTGAGGGTGTGTGCAGGTAGGGTGTGAAAGGCAGAAACAAATTTAGTACAGGGGGTTATTTCATCAATTCCAAAGGGGGATCATGAACAAACATATCAGTTCTTGCATTGTGGTGAGGCATAGTACCTACCTCCATAAATTGGACATTAACTTTGAAGTCAGGAGGAGGTTCACCATTTTCTTTCGCTGCCAGTTTTCTTTTCTCAATACCATCAAACAAGTGACTTACGGCTCTCGGGATGATTCCTTCTTCGTCTTTACTGATGTTAACATCAAACCCAGTGCCCATTGTGTATGTCTTCCCTGCACCAGTCTAAAAGATTGATTTGATGAAACAAATCAAATTAACCAATCTATTTGTACAGGATACCATTACAAAGACTAGACTTTCCCCCTTGGCAATCATTCATTGCAATCCCTTATTTGTCAAGTGTACGACAAGAAAAAACTTGAGCCTACTTTGCCAATACTAAATTTGGTCCATATTATCCCACCCACAGGTCTGACAAGGGCAGTCTGAATGAGGCTATTCCTCATTGGATTAGTGATATTATGAGAGGGAGAGCTTTGTGAAGACTGCTTTAGACCTTCGCACTGAAGATCAAAATTTTCAGAAAAAACTTCAGACACAGTTCACATTTCAAGCAGGTGAAATTGCTATCAGCAAATTTCTGTAACTAAATTCCAATCACAGATGTAAATGCTAGATCAAGTGACAACTGTGACATGAAAGAATAATAACACTTTCTAGTAAACACTACTATATTGGGACTGACTAACGTAGTTATTACTAAGTATGCCCATATATGCAAATTTTAATGACCGTTCAATTCACAACCCCAAGGTAAATATTTTATTATACTTGCTTCAAGAAAATATCGAGACCTAGAAACGAAGCCTCACCTGTCCATAAGCCAAAACTGTGGCGTTATACCCTTCAAAACACCTAAACATTCAATATATTTGGAAAATTTTAGCCACACGTAAATTTGCTACATTTAAAATTTAAATCCCCCCAATGTAAACAATTCACTCGCGCTGCAGGGCAAATATTTAATTTAAGGCTATGTTTTTAGAGATAAAACAATAAAACGTGATAAAATTATGCGTTTTTACCCCTCGATAAGGCCCTCTATGCAATCTCGATAAACTTCAAATTGTTTGGACGTGATATCGAAGACTAAGTCGTAGGTGAAAGCTTTGTCTTTGCCCAAAATAACTTGCGGATGGTCCGGTGTGACATTCGTGCAAACTCGACACATTTCAATCTTTTCAGACGCACTTTGTGGACGAATCCTACAATATAAAGACAAAAAGAAGCAATATTTTTAGCCATTACGATGCAATACATGATTTATGAATTTAAGGGGGTTTAAACGTAAAACATTATACAACGTAAACAATAAATTATGTAGCTCGCGAAAGATGTCGAAAATTAAATACGGGAGCTTTAACGTTGTGATATATTCATGCATTTAAACTGCTCGACTTTAATATCAATTCTTTTGAATAGCTGGATTCGCCTTTAGACTCTTTTAACAACGAGACAGTCCATAGAAACCGCCACTAAACCAATTTGCAAATATAATTTTTTTTTTCATAAGCGAAAAACACAGTCATAAATTATTGTGTTGTACAGTACCTTAAAGCAACTTGAACGGACGTATCCGCGTCCCCGGACATTTTCCAAGCAGTCTTTAACAAAATCGGAAACTCCTTTTAATATAGTTTCTTCTCCGCAGCAATATATTTGGCCCAATTTGGTTATTTCCATATATTTAGCTTAGAAACCACGAAAGGCTTAATAGCCTTCGACCGGCGCTTCATAAATAGACCTTCAATTTAGCCGGAATTTTTTTAAAATATACGCCAAAACGCTCTACTTTTTTAAAGTAACGTCGGTGTAGTCCCCTTCCTTCTTCCTGTAAAGCGATCGGCTGATTACATCGTAATATTCGTTGAAATTCTTAGCCTAGAGTCGACGCAATAAATAAATAACCGTTTACATGAAACTTTGCCAACCTTCAAAATGGCCGCGCCAGCTGCAGCACTCGCGTGATACTGACGCACACGTGGAGATACACGCGCGGTTGCGAGGTCGCAATTTATGCAAAAGTTGTAAAATCTTACCAAGAAGAACATTTTTTAATGTAATAATAATAATGTGCAGTAGAAATAAAAGCTCCATGTACAAATACACAGAAAAATCACGGTAGTTGAACGTCCAGGAGCGCTGTCCCCAGAATTCAACATAGCTCCTACCCAAAGCTTTTCAAAAGACGTGCAGCGCGAGAAAGAAAGAGATCCCATCGACGGCTGGAACAGCATGGTAAATACCCCCATGAACACCCTAAGGTTAGAAGTTGAAGTTTCTTCATATCATACTTATTTATTGCGGTACTGGATTTAGTTCAATACCGGCAGGATCAAAATCAAACAATGCCAGAACCTTCACCCCACCCTTACATGGATTACAGACTTACGTGGCACCTAATCTCCTACACCTTCCCAAAAAAGTTTTAAAAATCATATATAGATCTTGAAAACTGTGTCCTTTTCATTATCACTCTTACTGGCATTTTTTACACACGTTCCCCAAGGAAGCATTTCGAATATATTTGTTTAGTGGCACTCTTGCTGTCGATTGGCATCCCTTTGCGTAAAAACAGCAATGAAATCGCCAATCGATCATGTCTACGTTACACTAATGTCTTTACGTGCAGCCGAACACAACCGACTGAGACACTTTTCAGTCAATGCCATAACATTCTTAGTTCTCACAGGAATTATTCATGTCAATCGGACCTTTGACTACATCTATTATTAATATATGCATATTCAAATTACAAAATAAATTATATATAAAACACGACTGGAGAGAACAGGGACCGTGGGACGTTTTTCGGCTTGACACCCGCTCGCGGGCGTTCGCTTCTATACGAGTACGACTGTTCAGTCGGTAAATTACAGTGGGAATGTTATTGATGGAGCTAATGCCAAGCCAGCTACCACACTCCACGATCTTTGGAAATACTGGCTGCATGAACGACACGCTATTTCACATGTCCTCTGTATTGGAACTGTTTGTAATGTTAGGCTGTTAGCTAATCTCGTGAGTAAGTCGTCCCATCAGAAGTATCAATTATAAAAATTCTTTCAATTAGTATATCATTCTACTGACATCAATACCTGAGGACATGCAGAACAAAAATGGCAAGGATCCTTTTTTATTGTAACTTCAAAATGTCAATAAAGTATAATACCATGCTTGTTTAAACGGAAAACACTTATTATTCCCATTCTAAACCCCTACGGTATGGGACATTTTTATGTGCACAAAAATTTCGTTTGTTATCACCATTTAGCAAAGTTTATTAGTCGCAGGTTAAATCTCCTCGCTCCAGAAAGTCAAATTATCACGAAGCAATTGCATGATAGTTGTTACATCATCGGCTTCATCTTCGTTGAGCTGATCAAGCAACGGTATCGCGTTGTCGAAGGCTTTCTTAGCCATCTCGTACGCACTCTCCTGAGAATTCTCGACTTCGTAGTGAAAGACGGAAAAGTTTAGGGCAAGCCCAAGACGGAACGGGTGAGTTGGACTCAAGTGCTCTTCGGCGAGCCGTTCGGATTCTTTATAGGCTGCTTTGGATTTGCTCTTAAGCTCGGTTAAATTTTCATCTTCCTCTTCGTTTGCGACTTCGACAAGATAACGTAAGTGGTCTCCTTTCATTTTAAGGAAGAAAACCTTCGCTTCAGGCTTTGTTAATTTCGGAATAAGATCGTCTTCGAGCAGTGCTAAAAGTTCCTTGCATTTTGTCGTCAGTTCCTGAACGATATGAGCTAAATATTTGGCTGTCAAGTTTTTCCTTGGGTCATCCTGTCCTAATTTTTCCTCAATGGCTACAACGGCTCTCCAGGATGCTCGCATTTTACCAACGACGTTTTTATAGGCGTTGGATAACATTTTCTGCTCGGTTTTGTCGGGTTCTCCGTCGCTTTCCTGCACAATTGTTCGCATCTCAGCTGCAAATTCGTCGTGCATATCCGCTTTTTCATACAACACTGCTTTTGCGAAGGACATATTGTGTGTCGACGTCTTCAAACGGCGCTCGACTCGTCGTAATTGAGGCGATAATTTGGTGGAAGTTCGGAGCCACGGTCTGTGTATTTTAAGGCGTAGATACGGTTCTTGTAAACAAAAAATTAAACATCAATTTAACATACGTGTTGAACCTAACAGGTGGTTAAATAGTGTTAAAACAAACAACTGATTCGACGGGTTTGTTTCCAAGGTAGGCCTAGGAATTAGCTAGCTGTGCCGCACAAACGAAGCCCTCGTTGGGGGAACACGTCCAACTGGGCTTGTACGAGACTTGTGTGCAATAAACGAACAACTGCTTCAGGTAAAGTGAAGATTTCGTTGTCCCAAGGAAAACCAATCGGTCGCCGAGTTATCTATGACCATGTATGATACAGCTCTTTGATCGAAAAAATGATAAAAAATGAACTCAAGTATTTAGATTTTAGTGCTGTGAATTCTGTAGGAACAGATTGCTTTATAGGACCTTTGTCGTGCTAAATAGATTATGTTTAACATTTTGTGTCAATACCATAAACAGAGAATAAACATGCTTTGCGTAGAACGTTTTTCAAACTCGAAAATTAATCACTTTGTCTTAAAAAACGTTTGACTTGCCACCGAGACCAAAATTATGGGCTATATGCATCAAACTAAAGACTGAAATCGTCTGCAAAACGAAACAAGATGGACGGCGAGGTGGAAATAGGCTTTTGGGAATTGCAAGGGGTGGCAGAGGTACCGGATTACTGAAATATGACGGGGGGAAATCTTCAGCTTTGCATCCGACGTTAAATACTAGAGGGAAAAATTTTATTGTTATAGAGATGTAACATATACGGTTTTTATATGATATAGGGAAGAAAAACGCTTGCAAAGACGTTAATCGAGAATTCGAACAAGATTGAATCGGCTGTATGTGCCGGCCTCATTTGCCACTGAACCATTATTATTAAACACCCTATAAGGAAGTAACGTCGACACTAAAAGTACAAAGAATCTTTCAAACGGTCAAACAAAGAAGATGAAATGAGCCAATGGAAAGTTTTGTTTGACAATATTGATCGAATATTTAATCCACTCCTTGTGGAACTGTTTAAACAAAGTAAACTGAAATTATTTCTAACATGAATAACAAATTCATTAAAAACTCATTGTCAATATTGTGATATTTTATCTGTTCCGAGTTCGAGTTGTTCCCCTTTCTAGAGGTCCAGTTATGGGTGATCTTCTGTTGGTGTATATTGTATAGCATAAATAGGACAGTCACAAAGTTCAGGAATACCTCGGATATAAATTTTAGCCAGGCTATATATAAAATTCTAATCAGTCAAATCCGTTAACCTCTGTCACATCAGAGGTGAAATTTACCTCGCCTTACTATGGCAAGTCGCTTATAGGTCACCTTCGGTAGAGTTTACCTTGAGAGAGATTACCTTGATCGGCTTGGGTGACCAGATGGAGCCATCCCAGATTAGCCTGTGTAGACGCCATAACCTTTTTTTAGATCGTCTTGTTTTGACCTGTGTCGAGAGATCAGAAATACGCGTCTCCATGACACTGGCTTTTGCAGTTAAGAATAAGCGCGGCAGCACAAGCAGCGTGCGTAATATAAAAGAAATATAGGTTCAAATTTACGAGTCACAAATTTATCCATGTTTCAAGTTTTCAAAATTTTTGTTGACTGCTTGGTCGCATGATGATGACAGCATGCAGAATTTATCCCTAACACCCCCGTCTGACCTTTGAACAATGGCGGTTGCCTGGTTAACACGATTTCAGCTCATCTATGCGTTTGTAAATTTTAATATTGAAGAAGGTAAATAGCGTGCGAAAACACTCGCAACTCAAAAACAAGGCTTGCAAGACATCTTTGATGGGACATAAATAGTGTGTGCCGGTTATGGTTGAGCGAGTATAGAGCGAGTATATTATTCATTTATACAGGATGTGAAACGTTCAGCAACTATAATAGATGCGAAATGAGCAGGCGAGTATAATATTTTTATGGATTGAGATTTGTGAATGGTGTCGAGTTATTGTAGACGACGTATTCGTAGTAGGTAAATTTGCGACACTCTCGAGCGAAACAGGGTGTAATTGGAATCGAATAGAATCGTTCGAACATGTCAGCCGAGGATAGTTTCGAAGAGACATTAGCTACAAGAGCTACGGAATTGTTTCGAATATGCGACCATCAAAATAAAGGATATATCACACAGGAAGACCTGAGTCTGGTCACAGAAGAGCTTGGCTTACCGCTCACCCAAGATCAAATAGCGTTGACGTTTAGTAAACTTGACAAGGACAACAATAATCACCTAACCTTGGCCGAGTTTATCTCTGGTTTCGACTTGTTTCTAGGAGCACATGACTCCGATACGAACTTTAACAACTTGGATTACTCGCAAGGGCATCAATTGTTCGATCTTTGTGATCGTGAAAGAAAAGGTTACATTGTGAAGACCGATTTGGAAAGATTAGCCGGCGAATTTCAGCTAAGCGAAGAGCAATTGGGGGACCTATTTCACAGCTTGGACATCGATGGGAATGGTTGTTTGACACTAGAAGAGTTCGTTGCGGGGTTCGGGAAATTTCTTGAAGATGGTCAGGAATCAAATGAACCACTTGTACCTGAAGCAGATTTACCCCACACTCCGGTTGAGAGGATTTACGAGAGCCACAACGACTCGGGGTGTAATTCTCCTGCTCTGTCAGAAGATGCGATATTCGAGAAAATTGCCGATAAGGTCGGGGATGACTTGTTATCAGGGTAGGTGAAACCACAAGGCGATTCCCGTTTATTGTTATTATGGCCCTCAGTCGGTATGGTGACGTAAATTAATTGTATACCTCGATACAGATTCATTGTAAGATGGTTGAAACGTAAAATGTTTAACATGAAGTGATGCATGCATGCGTCCCGTATCTGTCAGATCTAGACCAGACGACTTAGCCTTAGAATTTAGTAGTAAACGCGATGCAGTAGTTTCTAACAGGCTTTTTCATATTCCACACGTTTTTGCAGCGAGGGTACATATATACATTTACCCCTGAATTTATTCAGCACGAAATTATTCCTGTTAGGAAACGTTTTTACGAATAATTTCTTTCGAATTATTTTTCTTCATTGTCGGTCCTTTAAATTTAGTGCATAAAAAACGAGCTGTTAAAAGCCAATATTCCACCACCAGTCATCGGAAAATAGTTCTACCTTATGGCCCTTGTAAGCGAGACTATATAAGGCCAAGGGCCAAGCAAGCTATGCAGCGCAGAAATAGATGCACATCTCGCGAGTGTTAACTTCTATGCCGGAGAAGAGGTGAAACCTTTATCAGCTGATAATTTAAAAAGACTCAGTGAAGAGTAAATTCCGAATGGAGTAGACATCTTGAGAATACAATGTCAACGTATATACGGTTCAAAACAAGACGAATGACAATTGAGACATGTTTGCACAGTCTCGACCTATGTCTTAGTTTCGAATCGCATATATTTTGTTGCTCAAGACGTCTTTACGCCTATATGGAAAAGGGGAAATAGATAATTTGATAAAGAAACAAAGTATAATTTGGGAAACCTTTTCCGCGGGGCTCATTTGATTTTAATAAATGCAGTTTAGCAAAACATAATTGCAAAACATAATACACGATGACTTGGATCTTGGATTTGGTCCGGCTATCATGATCTTTCATTTTTAAAACTGTCCACGACAGACATACACAATTCTTAGAAATCGAATTATCAAACGTTAATCCCGATCATTTCTGCATGCCCAGACAGTTTTGCAAGAGAGAAAAAAACACCTTCTTAAACCAATAATAAATATTCAAATTTTATTGTAGAAGTTTAAGTAAACACACGGTTTGAATTAATAACAGTTTATTGCTACGACTGTTTATTAAAACTGAGATTCAGAGCGGCTCTACAGCGCTGTTCTGGAAGTGAAGTTCAATTTAACATCTAATGAGCGCCGCAATTCTTTTAGTAGTCTAATCTTCGCAGTAAAACTGACGGTGAATAGATGTGTTATCGTTATTTTAACAGACTATTTCAATATTTGCTCAAGCGAAAAGCAAAGTGAATTTAAATTCTGTCTATATCTGTGCATGCTTGGTAAATGAGCATGTCAAAAACCCCGATGTTGACCAGCATATTCCCGGAACCTTTAGATGTATCAAGTTTCAAATATTTTTATTGCATGTTTGGTATTGTATGTGTTTGAAAAATTTTTATCATATTTACGGTAGTTATGTAATATATTCATAACAGGTGAAAGCGTGCCGTTGCAATTTCGCCTATAGATTTATTACAAGGACGTGCCCTATAATTCGTTTTTTTAATTTTCGTGGCTTACCCAAAGTTTTTTATTTGATTTGTATAATTTTTTTGAGAATTTCCGAATCAATCAAATTGCGATATTTTGTACATTTCTCAAAAAATTAAGACAAAAATTCGCTGAAAACCAATCGCTTCAATTGCATGTTCAAGTTTTAAAAACCCTCAATAAAAGTTAAAAGCCAATAAATATTGAGCAGAAAAACAATGGTTGTATTTATAGTTCCACCGACTCGATCTTGAGCATGCGCACCTTGGCATGATCTTGCTGATCAATTATTTAGATTTTAAACTCAGTTGAAATAGAATTGAAGGATTGTTTAGCAACGTAGCTGGATATCCATCATATCCTTTTAGCGTTGTCAGGCTAAATTGTTTTTCTAGTCAAACAGTTCTCCCGCAGTTAGTTGTGAATTCAGAATTCGTAATCGATTTCATCTTCTAGGACCTTTACTGAACATGCAGTGATCTGATTAGCAGGGTCGTATATATCTTAACAAATGAAACCAAATGGTTTACGGTTTTGCAACATATAGACTGTCACTTGTCATACTGCATGTAACTTGCCTCATGTTCAAATTATTAGGTTTATAAAAATGCACCGCAGGAAAGCATTAAAATATAATCATATAATCCGTGCTGCCATATTCATGATCACTTGGATATCTCAGTTAGGGTGAAAAATTATTGTTTTTAGTTACTTTAAAGCACGCGTTCAATTCATGGCCTTCATTACATGCATATATGTTTATTGCTCATGCATGGTTTCTTCGTGGTAAATAAAATCCCTTTCAACTACACGAAGCAGACCCATGTTCATGCAACACCATGCATTTAACACTTAAGAAATAGAAACCATTTTCCGTGTTTCTATACAGTTATAGAAACACTTGTGGGAGTTTGGAAGGACGAGAAATAGTCAGTGGGAAAACGAGCCCGTTGGGCAAGTTTTTCTACGTTATTTCCAGTATATAACTCAATAAAAGATTTTGTACAAAATATTATAATTCGATTCAATTACAAATTCTCATTACATTACTTCGCTTGTCAAGTTCGGCGGGAAAAGCTCCGTGTTTCTATACAGTTATAGACCAATTCTTGACCAATCAGCACGCGCGTACTATAAATGTTATATTAAATGATATATGTTTTAAAAACCGTGCTTTTTAGAGTATTGTCGAAGGGACAGCTTCTTGACCTCTGGAAAGCGCTGTCCTCCAACGAGGTGGTTGGTTTTGAAAAACTGACAGAGTTTTTAACCAAAGTTTCCCATGAAATCAAGAGATCACAAACACAAGCATTGAACGTCGAACAAGCTTTAAAAGGGTAGGTAGTCTGGTAGATAACTTTGAACGAGAGAGCCAACTATTGGCGACCCATGCAGTAAATTTACATTTGAGATCTTCTTAACACAGTATCCTGTATGCTTGCAGGCAGGTGGAGGCCCATGAAATGGAAATTCAGAGATTATACGACAGAATGGACAAACAATTAAAAGTTGAACGAGAAGATATCAGTTCACATGTAAGTGAAGTCTGCATGCATGAAAGGCCAGGTATGCAGGAATGTAGTGATATAGCTTTCTTTCAGAGTGTATGCATGGGAACTCTTTGAAACGGTATAGTGCGATTAAAGAAGCGCACCCATGCACGGACAACGGGAATCACCAGTTCTAAAAAAAAATACCGAACCTATCTATGCTAATATATCGGTCTATTTCATATATTTTCCCAGCACGAGAAAAAAGAGAAAGAAATTCGCGAAGAATATCACAATGAAATGGCGTTGAAAGAGAGGGAATTGCAACAACTGTTAAGCCAACAACGAGAGGTAAAGTTGACGCATGCTGACATTCACCAATCATTCATTTCGCTCCACATTTGTTTTTCTCCTCGTTTAAATCTTGTCCGATTTTGATGCACACTCTGTTTTTCCAGCTTGAGAAAAAAATTCAACATTTAAATCAAGTCGATTCAGACGTGAGAGAGGAGAACAGTCGTCTGCAGGAGGTGAGGTTCATTACTCCGTCAAAAAAATTACTGCATTTTGTAACTCATAAATATAGTTACTCTGTAGCTTTACACTACAAATAAGACCGGGTCTTAATTGATCGGTTGTACGTATTTATTCTTCAGACTAATCTGCAGCTACAAAATCAACTGGATGAGTCAAGCAGTAGTCTTGAAGATACGAAATCTTACGTGCAGCATTTGCAATCTTTAACGAACGAAGAGAGAAAGGAAAGACAGAGGTATCTTATATTATCTTTCATATTATACTTCTTTAGAATTTAACCAGTTTGGGTGGAGAATATGGAATTTCCCGGTCAGCTATTTTCCGTGCACAACCGTGGAAGAATGAAATATCGCAAAAAAATTAAACGCGATGTTCCAGTAATTAACCTATTGTGTTTTATACTAAACTACTAACACAATACTGAGGGAATTTTCTGGGCTATTTCGATTTGCAAATGTTGACTTTACAACGAGTTTAAACAACCGTTTCAACAAATGCATGCGTAAAGCAAAAAATGGCGAATTGCAAATTTCCAGTACAAATAACACCAAAATATTTTAACTGACTGTGTTCATCATGTATACGTAAAAAGCTTAGCCCGAGACAGACCTTTGGAATGGCTCATTAATTCTTGCCACATTGAAGCAATTGCTTCTAATTGCAATTTAAATGCTTCTTAAATGGCTCATTGTCGCCAATTCCTCGTATAGAGAATAAGCCCAACAACAAGCAAAAACAATTCACTGTTCATGCTTGCGAAAATTATTGACAGATTTAACTCGTATAGAAATGCTCGTCGATTGAAGATTTCATAGCAATGATATTGCACCAAACAGGTTAAAATCATTAAGACTTTGTCTGTCGGCTATTCTAGAAATAAGTCCCAAAACTATATAAATTACATAACATAGGGTCTAGCAATACAAATGTCAACTGAAAAACACAACAAAAAAATATCAGGCCAGCACGTTCAAATTCATCCGAGCCTGCCAAGTTTTTCTGCAACTCAATATTGCTAATCCTTAAGGTTGAGGTTACGTCTTTAGATCATTTACATGAGATCTCTGGCCACGTGACTCGGTTCTACTATACTAGCTTTACTCGTGCCTCGGCGCAGTAATAATCAGCCAGCGGTTTGCAATATCATATCTGAACGAAATCATTATTTATCAGTTGTTGGAATCTTGATTTTGATGGCAAAACAATGAATTGAGAGCTGTCCTGTCGGTCACTATAAGTAATTTTCGAATACTTCATGTATGTAACAGTCAAGATGGTAAACACACCAATTGCATTCTATGAAGTTATCCGACAAAAGATCAAATGGTTTTCATAATTTGAATAACAATCCACTCTGCGGATGTTCAAAACCTCTCTGCGTTCCTAGGTGACACATTCTTACCTCAACGACCATTCAATACACCTTCATCTCGGCTGAATGGGTAATACGGCCGGGCTGGCGAAAATCACATGATTATAGTTGTGTATTACAAGTAGGCATACTGCAATCCTAGCCGTAACATGGGAGAAATTACAAATGAGGTTAACAGGTTCAAGGTGTACTTTTCATTAGCCGGTTAACGACTAAACAAAATCAAGCGTGCTCTTTTTCGCAAGGTCAAGAACATGCAAACAAAACGGAGATATGATTTTCAAATCACTGCTCTAGCACTCCCAGCAACGAGTAGCTCTACAAAGCCAATACCATTGGTGTGGGTGTGTTAGCCGAGTGTAACAATTAAATATCGTCAGGATAATTACGACTGTCAAGCATTCCTATGCAATTTAATATATAAGCATAAAACCAAATAACCCAAAAGGTGATTTCAAACGTTCCAAGTCTAATATTTATATAATGCTTTGGGTTTAAGTAACCTAAACGGGGGTTAGCAGGTGGTGGACAAATTTGGACATTTTATTATATATTTAAAAATAAGGCTAGATCCTAGATCTCATACTGAATTATGGTACTTTGACTTTCTTAATCTGAAAAACAACGCTTTTACACATAAACTAAAAGACCTAGCATTATTTTATCTCTATTTAGCACGCATCACGATAGAACTACGAATTCCATTTTTAGAGCATGTCTAAAACCATGCACTGTCAAGTTTATTCAAATTTTGAAACATTTTTTATTTGCGTAAGCCCTTAATCCCTGATCTCTATAGAACAATGTGGAATGTTTACATTCCACGCTTTGCGCGTATGTGCACTTGCTATTAAGTTTCAAAGCAGTTCTTTGTTTTTCGACCTGTCTGGTGGGAGAGACGCGCATACGAGAAGCATCCGTTTAAAGTTTGCTATAATTTCGCTCCAACAGGAGCGTTTTCGCGACCATGTTCGATTTGTAACTTAACACCTTGGAATGATTTTCTTCGTTGAATGATTTTTAATCGCGTGTACTGACAGCTGGGTTCATATTATCGTCAAAGCATGTTCGGTATGCAGGTCTGAATGTTTAAACTTGTCTGGCGAGACGAATTTTAAAGGCAAAGTTTTTAGCGTTTTCGCGAGGATCACCACGCCATATTTTGCAACTAGAAGACGACTTTTGAATTGAAGATACTGCGAAGCGAAAGAGATACACTAATTGAAGAAAGAATTTGTCAGAATTCGAAGATGAGCACAAGCGTATCTAAGGTATGTGTAAATTAGCTTCGTGTTGTGTTTGAGGTGATATTTATACTATTATTTTGATAAAATAAGGTTGTTTAGACTTCGTTTTTCGTATCGAAGGATTGGTAGGATGTTAAAAGAAGTATAATCGATTGTTCCGCATAGCTCTGAATCTTCTGATCTAACGGATACATATGAAATTGGTCATTTTGTTACGATGACATTTAGTTATATACTTTGTTTGATCCTAGTTTAGCTTCATGTTTTGACTTTTATAATTCGTAAATTTAGCAATTAGGTATTTAGTTCGATGGATTCCTGTTTAGAATATACTGGTATACGAAAGTCTATAGGTTGTTGCGTTCCCCTAGATATCGCAACGATTTGACGGATCATTAAATACAAAGTGTTTCGCGGTTTTAACGCAAGTATATTCATACCGAACTTTTCAAAATATCGCGCTTGTGACAAACACGTAGACCGTTTGGGTTTCTGTAGTAATTTAGAAAGGCGACGATTCTATATACGATTAAATCTTCCTTCAATCTTTGAGCCAAATAACTTTGTTAAGTATAGTTCAAATAATAATATATATATACAGTAACTTCGTTCGTTTGCTTTATCACACACAAATCTTCATGAGTCACGACTCCGTAACACTGGCCATATTGTCGCTTATCGCTGATTAAGCTACGAATGCAATAAGTCAGGTCGTATATGTTACATTTGCTGTAGTGGCTGATGATTTTCTGTATGCTTTATATTGCTTTGATATTCGAGGAATTCATTATTTACATATTGTAATATTTGCTCGGATTTCAAAAGAATATTGTCCGTATTTAGAAATTTAGATTTCAGCTTCAAGTCATTGCTTCAATTGATATATAGTCAATCGCTAAGACGTTCTTCTTCAACAAAACCTGAGTATTCGTAAATAGTATTCTCCTCTCGATCGAACTTCAAAAACGATCATAGACCCAGTTTATAGACTTATCTTTATTCGATCATAATAAATAAATGTGAGAGGTGTATAAAAGTTCATTGATATTGTCTATAAGAGCAGTGGTAGTCTATTCGTATAGATTTCTTAATGGTGACGCTTGGACCACGGGTTGAATTCAACGTATCATTTGTGGTCATTTTAATTTAGACATTGTAAAGTATACTGAAAGCATTTTACTGTTTAGACTTTGGTATAATCAGGATATCCAAACCGCTGATGATAACAATATGAGCATATGATATTGATTATTCATCATTGATTATTTTATATCATATACATTTGCTGAATATCGATAAATGCAAACTTAGTTATCGTGTGAATATTTCCCAGACTGAACGCAATTCAATGCACCATGCTGGCTTTAGTATACTCTACAACCACAATCAATGGGCGCCTCTAATTGTAAAATGAGTAGTTCTTAGTTTTAGACAGAACCAAAAGCACACTCTCCTCCCAAGTAAGGTTAACTCCCACGCCAAAAAAAATTGCCATTGCCGCAAGAATGGCAGCTCTAAAATTTCACAAGATGATCTCCTGTAAGCCATGCTCAATGTCACTGCTGAGTATTATTAATTTGTCAACACGACATCAGTGTCTTCAACCGGGTGGAAAAGTGTTATTTTGCATGTAGACGACAACTTTGTCGGTATTAATTTACTTTGTTTGTTTGAAAGAAACTTTATTAACATGTCAAGGGCAATTTCTGGCCATCAACGTAATGCCAGTGTAGTTTATCTACCTTGGTCTGATTGGATTGAACTGTTCAATTCTCTACTTTATACATAATTTGTGGCTTTCGTGAATTATTTTGACATTGATGAACTATGTGTCCACCATAGCTATTCATGGTAGGCAATGTAAGATTCTTTATTGGGCAGTTTTTCGGATTTAGCTGCCCTCATAATATCTTAATTCTACCTGAGAAACGAGGAACGTTAGCTCATGTACGACACTATACGAAACTACAAAACCATTTCAACCTGTTTCAACGAAATAACGCGTGTGTGTTTATTGACAAAACTATATATGAGTATGCATGTTTTGCTTATTTCCTAATACCATATAAGCTATCTTGTGAAACTCGAGGTGAATCGAGCTTGAAGCTTGATAGTTTGGACAAAGTTGGCCAAAGTCTTATACGGTCAGAGTCGTGTGTTTTATTATAGTACGGCTAAAATTGCAAGCCCACGCTTATTTGAATGTCGAAATCGCGTATATTTACATTACAAATTCTAACATACCATAACGACGATCCACAGTCCGCCTTGCAATTAAACACAGCATGACACCCCAAACACAGGAAAGAAAGCATTAGTGAAATAATAGCCGAATGTTTCTTCGATAAATTTTGTTTGATAATTGTATAAGTTGGAAATTTACATACATTTGCATGAGATTTTGACATCATGGCAACTTTCATTTCCAACAACTTTTTCATGATAACATTTGGTGATCAGATTAGGTACCGTTGGGTACTAGTACAACAGCACATAAAATTAAATTCGAATACATTCCGTCCTCGATTCCACTTTGCATATATCTGCAGACTTTTGACTGAATGATTTGTCGTGTAAGGAATTATTTTGACGACTAACAAGTGGGAAAGTAAAGTCCTTTCACAATATTTCCTGTCTCTGTGAGAAAAATGTGTAAATAAACGTCTGCAAATAGCCACACAATTTTTAGGTATTACTAATAATAATTTCTGCCCCGCTTTATCGGTGGCGTATGTATTCAGTTATTTGCCATACGCTGGGAGGATCGTAACAGCCCGAAGGCGCAGGGGAATAAGTAGATGTTTTAAACTATATCTAGGGAAACGCTTAGAAGCTATTTTAGCTTTCAAGATATTTTAGCTGTGAGAAAACGTATCGGCCAGCATAAAGATATTGAAAAAAAATAAAAGGGGACAGATCTAGCTCAATGATCTGAACTCATTACGATCCAGTCTGTATTCAATCTTCATTTAAGACCACCGTAAAAAGGGAAAAAACTATATTATTGTCGACTAGTTGCAGTTTATTGAAGAAGGAAATACTGAAACACCCGTCGCTATAACTAACCTATAATATATTTGTTGAGCAATCAGAAATCAGTAGATCTTTTCCTATAATAACCACTAACAGATTTACAAAAGACACTTCACCCCTAGCTTTTGAAAATCACGCATTGTAATACATTTATTGGAGTAGACATTAAATCCCCATGAAACCATCAACGTACCTTATTACTCTGCTATCTGTTCCACACAGCAAGATAATCACGTTAAACGCACGTTTTGAATAAAACCGCGGTAAATACTGAAGACTGAAGTAGTTGGTATAAATCTCTCTTTATTCGCCACAATCAACCGGACCGTAAATTTATTGTCTGTGTATTTGGATTATATTACACTCCTTCCGTGTCGTTACGTCATGAATAGTTGATTAGCCCGGGAGCCTCGCTTCCGTGAAAAAAGACGAGTAGGCCATTCAAAGGGTACCTATAAGAAGCCCCTTTCAGATTAACCAGAAAACGGTTAAAAAGTGTACTGATTCATTTCGTAATTTCGAAAGGATCTGTTGTTATATAGAAACCCGATTCTCTTCTGAGCACAAGTTGATATAGCAGGCTTGAGATTAAATATTTTATAGAATAACATATATAGTCATATACAAGACTGCCTTTAGGGTCCTTTTGAGGTTTCGATAATATAAGCTCTTGTCATAATATTTGTAGTCTGATACAGTTAATTGAGCAGTATTATTAAAATACCTTGCAATAGCTATATTTGCACTGGTATTGCCAGTGATAGCTGGCGAGATTTAGAATACATAATAATCGTTTTTACAGTTAAAATTTTGATTGTGGAAAAAACTAACCGCAATTACTTTATTCTAATAACCCAATCTTCACTTTTTACAGTCGAGATCCCCCGTGGAGCGCTCGTACTCTTCCGCCTCCTCGACGACGAGCAGTCGGCGGTCGGGCCGACGAAAACGAAGGCGCATGAAGCACACAGTGATGCCGTTAAAGAAACGTCCAGAACGCAACGCTGTGGCCTGCGATGTTCACCGCGTGTCTAATTTAGATCACGAAGCGATGGAGCAAAGTTCTTGCTTCTGGGTGGCAAAAAATGTCGACAATCCTTCGGAGCGTAGTTTTAAAGAGGATGTTTTTGTCAACAAAGACCAAGACTCCTCGGATGAGGAAATGTCGTACCTGGACGAGTCAAGACGGTCGCAGACCTCAGGTGAATTCGCGCACGAGTTTCGCACGGATACTCACGAGACGCGCACGGAGACTCACGAAAGATTCAACGAGTACAATACTGATGAAAAAGAGAATAATGCAAAATATGCTAATGAGAAGGAGAGAACCGACGGTAAATATGACGAAGAAAAGAACGACGCGAATTATTCAGAAGAGAAAACGTTCTACGGCGTGCGCAAAGGACGAGTAAAGGATGGCAATGACGTGGAACGTGTTTCTTCTGTTTCTTCGCCTCGTAACCGATCACGAGTCAGCTCGTATTCCGACGATGGTCAAAGTGGTTTCAGCAGCGAGGGGACTGGTATGCATGTCGGTTGGACATCGGATGTTGGCGTTTCGTCAGAGCAGGAGTATTCGGTCATGACAGACGAGGAGAGTGAAGGGGGACACAAGAGGACCCGAAGGAATAGCAAGGAATTTTATGGATATCGAAAGAAAGACGGAGAGAGAGTTGAGGAAGGTACAATGCGCAAATGACGTTTATAGATAAAATTCCATTCATGATTCAAATGGTTTAGGACTTAGGATTTACCAGTGAAAAACAAACGGGTCTAAGTTAATACTGAAATATTGATTAACCTAGTAATTATTTTGAAATATGCTACTAAACTATATTGAAACATACCAGTTTTGTGAGAGGTTAAAAGAATAATTCTTCAACTGAAATACCTTGTTAAATATATTAAACAGGTAGATTCTCAGAATTAATAGATTTTTTATACTGCTATTCAAGTTTGCATGTGGTCAATTTTATACATCACACCTTCGATGAAAATATTTTCAATTCACCACCACTGACACGTCATTTATTTCACAGAATTTCCAGCACGAAAAATCCGAGAACGAAAGAGCAACGAGGAGAACGTCGTCATTGCAACAGACGTGACAGTAACGAAAACTACCGAAGCGGAAAATTTTGCAGATAACGAGACGGGAGATTTGTATGAAACTGATAAGTATAAAGAAAATGCTCAAATAGATCGTGAATTTTATACCAAAGAAGAGATAGAGGGTTCACGATACTCTGAATATAACAGCAGTGGCGTGCGCCCAGGTCTAAATGCCAGAGGTGACTTTGAATCCCGGTATTCTGAAACTCCCCGTTATAAGTCCCCGGAACAAGTTGACGTTGGAGATTTTGAGCCGCCCATTAATGACCAAGGAGAGTTTGTATCTCGACAATACGAGCCCTCGGGACAGAATAATCGGAGAACCGGAGGACGTTTTCCACCTGGGAAAACAAGCACTCCTACCGGACATGTGTACCCATCCTCGGATACAGAATTGGTAAACTTTAGAAGTTTTGATATCGACATCGAACAACAGAGCGATCGGTCGCTTCCTCTGGGCGGTCACAAAACCAAGACACAGTACTACTCGGTCGAGGACTTGATCCGAGCGGCGAAAGAAGAGGAGGAGAATTTAGAGAAAGCGGACAGCGGATCCGATGGTCCTGAGGTACCCCGAGGGTACGGGGAGTACGAAAAATATGAACCACCGCGAGAAACACGAATGGTTGACGAGCCAGTCCATGGATCCCACGAAGATCACCCAGACTCTGGAAGCCAAGGTGATGGACCCGCATCTGATCAGCCCCGTGAAGAGCCTCGACCAAATGGAATGGATTATGAAACATCACGAGTAATACCAACTTCTTACGATGTAAAATCCCAACGTCCTCTTCTTGTTTCAAGGCGGGAAAAGGACACAGATGGCCAAGAAAAGGAGGATCCGAGAGATGGAACAGTGGAGGGGAATGTACATTCGGGGAGATATGGGGATAGCAGGGAATTTTATGGCTATAGACGTGCTGAGGTTGGAAATGAGTACGAAGATAATAACAAGGAGACGTTAGGTGGTGAACAGTATGGTAAAGAAAATGACAGCAATCGTCCAACAGAAGATAACAAGGTGGGTTCACAGAACGGTAAGGACGTAGAGAGCGATGATGAAGGTGAATTTGAAGAAAGTAAAGAGTTTTATGGGTACAGAAAGCCGCCGAAGCACGAGGCTGAACCACAGGACGATGCGCGTCAGCAGTATGACGAAAAAAAGAGCAGCAGTCATCAGTCAGAAGATAGGAAATATGAACAGACAAATGAGTTTTATGGCTATAGAACAACGAAGGCGGGAGGCCAGTTTCCGAGGGAGGGAATCCCACAATATGGTCAGAAAAGAGACAACGCTCGACCACCAAACGGAGACTGGGGACAAAACCAAGAGTTTTATGGATATCGTCAGTCCGAGACTTCAAACGGTTTTGTAAGGCCAGAGCACGAACAACAACAAACCAGTGACAATACAACAACAACTCACACTTTCAAGGAGAGTAAGCAGTTTTATGGATACAGGACATTTGGATCTTCTGAGAATATTTCTAAGAAAGGTCGAGGCGGTCGAGAAGGTCAAACCGAAAGCAGAGAGTTTTATGGATACAGGACATTTGGATCTTCCGAGAATATTTCTAAGGGTCGAGGCGGTCGAGAAGGTCAAATTGAAAGTAAAGAGTTTTATGGATACAGGACATTTGGGTCTTCTGAAAATGTTTCAAGAGATCCTCGGGGAGTTCGTGATGGTCAAATTTGGGAAGAAAGCAAGGAGTTCTTTGGCTTCCGGCGACGCCAAGTTGTCGACGGTCAGACTCATTTCGCTGTGAGCGGACATCAGGATCGGCCATCCTCTCCATTTCAGAGAAAGATGGAGGGAAAACCACTTTATCTCGAGTCAGCAGACCATAAGAATCAATCCTTAGAAACAGGATCATACGAAAAACGACCTTACGAGAATGAAACCTACGACAAACGGCCGCCCTCGAACGAACAACCCTACGAGGGACATCCCTACGCAAAGCAGTCTCCCTTCGAAGAACGCCCTTACGAGAAACAAGGCACGAGAAACAACCACCTCCGGAGAAGCGCCCTGATGAACGTATAACCAGAACGAATGAGCCCGAGAACTTAATGTCAGTAGACGATGAGCAGGATCCTGACAAAGAATTTGAAGAAACTGGAGAATTTTACGGATACAGAAGTGGACAGGAGTTGCCACGTTCAGCTGCCTATGAACAGTACGAAAGACCTCAATCTCGATCGGAAATACCGCCACCGTTTACAGAAGGAATCCAGGGAGATCGTTCGCCAACACGTGGGTATGACGGCAAGAGCACGGGGTATACAGAGAGACAGACACGTGAAACAAACGTGACGGAGTACAAGGATCAAACTACAGAGCGGGAGATCAGGGATAGCCGGATGGACGATACGTATACGCAACCTGAGTTTGCCCCCGTCGAATATGACACAAATTATCCGCCACGTGAGAAGCACATGTTCAATATCATGGAAATTCCATCTTCGAAAAAAGTCATACCTTTGGTGAGCGATGTGGCTCCAAGAATGGAAACAAGTCAGACTAGTACAAGCGAAACGACAATTAAACGACTACATACCCGATCGCAACGCGATACCCTACGACGCGAAGCGAGACAGCACGATCCAAATGTACGAAGGGAGACAAAACCCGATGATGCGGCGGTCCCTGACGGCAACGACGTCGGAATGAAGATGTTCCGGCAGCGATCTTTGCCACGAAAGCACGGTCACCCGCCAAGTTCAGACGATAAAAATAAGGAGCTTCCGCGAAAAATTACGAAAAAATCGGAAGAACCAGATTTATCACACGTTGATCCAGACCCACCTCGCAAACAAATTTCGAGAGATCACCGACAAACATAAGAAAAAGGCGCAAACAACAACGAAAACGACGGAGACGACGACAAAAAGTGCGGCAGAAACATGCAACAAAAACGTCGAAGAGTTGGTCAATGTGTTCAATACTCTTGAACATATTCAGAAGAATGTCGATAAAAACAGTGATAAGTGTATTCCACCAGGGCAGGTTAAAAGGATTGTTAAAGGTGAAGCGTTGGATACACCTCCTGAAAATGACGGGAGAATGTCGCCAGCCAGATCCATTTCGCAGAGTTTGAATAAAATTGAGAATATTCTGGACTCAGTTGATAAAAACAGGCAGCGAGGAACGCAGAGACCCGAAGACAAACGGCCACCTCGAAGACGTGATGATGATAGAGATACACGGTCCACAAGAACAACCCGAGAAACTTACACAAAACGCGAGACGCGTGAAACACGCAAGGAACGTGAAACTCGGGAGAAACATGCGTGGAAACCACATCCCTCTGATGATATCATTACCAAACAAAAGGAAAAGCCAGTGGAATCGTTTCTTCACGATGAACCATCGCAGGACAAATCTTCGGGAATTCCCGTTCGGCCTTGGTCGTATGCTGACCTTCCTCCGCACAGACCTGACCGCCGGCCGAGAGGTTACGATAAAACCCGAAGTCGTGACGATGATGATGAGATATATCAGGCACAGCTAAGAAAATCGCGCGAGGAATCATGGAGAGATATCCGTAGGTCGAGAAAAAAGAAATACTCTTCGAAATCTGACGGTGAAATAGAAGGCTTTAAAAGTACACCATTTGGAGACCGGGTAATAACGCCTGGGACGCCAGTCAGTATCAGATTATATGGATTGAATTTGGAGAAAACCAAGGACGATCGGGCAAATAACCTGAACTGGGGGTTATTTACAGAATTGGGGGCGCCTGTCGAGGAAATTGTGGACAAAACAGAAAAAAAGCCAGACGATGTGAAAGAAATCCCCAATGCTGAAATGCCAGTGGATGAAAGTATTGGACGCACGCAGCTTGCGACACAGCCATTTGAACTAGAACAATTCCCCAGGGATGAAACTCGCGCGGAGGAACCGACCATCGTTAGGACTAACGCAAGGTCCGCCGATATGAATTTCCCGCCCTCGTTCCAGGAACCACGGATGGGAGATCGTAGCACAGAGGAACAACACGAGCCGCTGTATCGTCGTCAGGAACGCTTTCCTCGAGGACAAGATGCGCCAGTCGGAAGATCGGATCCTCTGAATGACGATAAGATTAGATCACAAGAGATAAAGTGGAGTCATCCACCTGTGTCAAAAGTCCGATCGGACAAAAAGCCGTCCACGGGAGAAAGTCCGCATGAGGAGGATTCTATGGAAGTAGAACGCCCCTTGGAAGAATACCCGCACAAAAGACAACCCCAAAAAGGGGATGAGTCTTACCCCGACAAAATATCCCACGAGAAAAGACCCTCAAAAGAAAGCCCTGGAGATGTTGAGATTCCCATAAAGAGAGTCCGAGGCACTGAAAAAGAGGAGGAGCCTGATGGACGTATTGTAGAGATTGAATACACAGATGACGATGATCAAAATATTCGACCGGAACACAGTACCCTATACGAACACAGTACTGTACGTTCTAGCACACCAAAACACAAACCCAGCTCAACTTTGTTTGACGATGTTCCTTATGATGGGGACACCACGCATATGACACACGAAGAATCGTCAAGTACAGAAAAACACGAGTCCACGAGCCACGAGGTGGATCGTACAATTCACACAAAACGTACAACGCATAAAACACGCACTGAGACCACCACAGAGACTATAGTAAAGAAGGTGTGGAAGTCTGGATCCGATTCATCCAGGTCAGGCGAGCATGATGTTAATGTGCCTGTACGAAATGATCCTGAGCATTCCTCGCCGGACAGGAGGGGTCTTGATAATGTTCAACCTTCTGGAAGCAAACCTGAACAGGTGGAACCTGCAACTGTTGAGCCTGAGTTTATGGAACCTGTCAACAATGAACCTGAGTACAGAGCACCTGAACGTCAAACCGACCAACATGACGGCCAGTCACGCGAAGAACCTTCTCTTGTAGCGCACGAATATATTATTGTGAATAACGACACAGGACGCCCAATCAATCTAACCATGCTTGGCAGACTGGAGGAAGATGATGATAATGACTATCTACCCTCTCAGAGTCGAGAAGACCTTTTCTTACACACACGGCTTAAAATGGTGACCGAGAACAAAAAGAGGCACACAAAACGAAGAGCTAAGGATGAGAACTTATTCGAGCTGAACCTCACTGACCAATATGACGTTGACATCGAAGGCTCAACAACAAGCAGCAGCGATGATGAACTCGATGACGAAGGTGCTCCAGAACAAATTCTTATTCCAATTTCTGGTAAAATGAAAGATGAAACCCCAAAAGCGCAAGTTGACGAGTCTGTGTTCAAAACTGACCAGCCAACAAAGGACGACGTTGCCGATTCATTTGGACACGTGTTTGCTCCACGTTTCGTTCACGAACCGGGCTTTGAAAGAGAACATGCACGTGCAAAAGATATTCCTGATTTTGAGTCGATTCCAGGATTCCAAGCACCGATAGCAGAAAACGTGGACTTCTCAGAAAAGCCGGGGTTATTCCTAGAATTTGGTGAGCCGGTTGAGGAGAAGGAAAAGGATACAGTTCAGGAAATCGAGATTGTACATGTTCCAGTTTTCGACGATTTATCAGTTGAATCAGTGCCATCAGATGACTTGATTATGCCTCTTGAAATATCCCTTATAGACGAGCAAGTTGCCAAAGAGAGGTCATCAACTCCAAATTTGCCTGAATTGAAATTTGAGCCTGTTGATGAAAACATCACATCTGAAAGTCAGGAGAAGAGCTTCAATATACCCGATTTTCCAGAGCGCAAACCAGTTGAGCCAGTTAGCGAGACGGTCGAGTCTGTTACCAATGTCCCTAGAGATGTTTATGTACCAGATTTGGAGGAAATATTGCCGGAAATGAGAAGGCCACCAACACCTACCCTGGTTGATGAGACTATGACTGCTGAGCAGAAACAAATTGTGATTGAACTTCCCCTTTTCATGGAACCCAGGCCTTCCCAGCCAATAGATGAAGACATTCTGCAAAGTGAGCCGATTAAAAAGGAAGCATATATTCCAGATTTTCAGGAACTTATCCCGGAAACAAAAAAACCAGAAACACCTGTCGACGAAAGCGTGACTGCGGAGAGACGGGAAAGCCAACTGGATATTCCGGAATTCCAACCAGCAGAACCAGAACGACGAGCTTCTGAGCCAATCACAGAGCAGATTAGCGCCAATGAGCCAATAAAAAGTGAACTGAATCTTCCAGACTTTGCCGTCGAATTCCAAGAAGTCGTGCCAGAATTTCCAGAATCAACAGCAGTGAACGAAGACGAGGACATTCCAGTTTCTGATGACACAAAAGTCGTTGAGTTGCCGGGTTTCCAGATGGCGGAAGTGGAACCACATCGGAATGTTTCGATAACGGAAAGTGACCTCGAAGTTGAGGCTCCCTCGCCGAGCAGTCTTCAAAGTATAGGTACAGAAAGTGAAATATCTCAAAAAGTTGACGGTTACAGGGGCGAAGTTGCCCGGCCTGATGACGGTGGGGGTATAAGACCCCGGAGAGAGAGGCCAACGACAACACTCCGGGAGATGAGACTTGGACAGAAACTCATAAAACTGTGAAAGAAACACGGACGACTGAAACAGTTACTGTGGAGAAAACAATCACAAAACATTTTTCTGAAACTCCACGAAGCCCGAGCAAAGAAGGACCCACTTCACCAAGGGCTGTCCATTTTGATGCCCCAGTTGAGCCCAAAGATTCAAGTGGAAGTTCCTCTGAACCGAGCCCACGGTCAGTTGCGCTAGCGGATGGCAGCGACAGATCTACTGACGTCACACCGGAAGCTACAGCTCGTAATAAGAGACGCAGTAGACGTGGGAATAGATTTGATAATATCAAGAGGTCTGGATCATTAGTACCGGAATCGGTGGTGAGAGACGAATCTCCGAAATCAAATGTCCCGAGGGTTGAGTATTCCGGGGTTGATATTCCGAGGGAACCGATAAGGCTTGAACGTGAACAACCTGTATCAAACGAACCCGATTCGGGAATTTCAACATTCATCCCCAAGAAGAATGAACTTCGACCAGAGATGTATTTGTTGGACAGCGATGACGAGCATAAACCGGACGAGGGAGTGGCTGTAGAGTTGTGTGTTCCGGAAGAGCGACGAGATATACCCGAGGGGGAAAATGTTCCGGAAGAGGACGAAATCCCGCCAAGAGATGAATTATCACCAGAGCTAATTGATGAACTTCTTGAGAAAGAAATCGAAGGTTTGAAGAAGGATGATGGAGACACGGGAACGAGCGATGAGGAACCAGAAGTGATGGAAATAATTTCGGAGGAAAAGAAACAGGTAAGCTCGCCGTCGACCTTATTAATATCAACTAACATTAGTAGAATATACGCGAAGTATGTAAGAAAAATATCGATCCCACAGGCCACAACCATATATGTGGCCAGTTAGGATCAGACAAATAGCTTGTCTCAAAGTGAATAATTATTCTTCAAATTTTGTTTAGCAACCAGGATTGGAATACATACCTGACGAAATACCACCAGTAGACGAAACTGTTTTGGCCGAGGAGAAGTCGAACGAGGACGTCATTCCAACGGAGATCACAGAAGAAGTTGAAACGTCTTTGCAAAAGAACAAACCAGATTTATCGGACGAGGAAGATGATGAGTTACCACAAGAGGAAATAGAAATCCCCATTGAAAAAGAATCCAGTCCATCATCTGAAGAGGAGCCAGAGGGAATTGATGAAAATATTTCAAAATCCCTTGACGAGCGTTTACCCATAGACGACACGGAGTCGGCTGAAATCGTTTGCGACGAGCCCCTGGAGGCTACGGTCCCTGACGGGGCGTATAGAATTCCAAGTGCTGAAGATTTTGAGATAATCCTGTTAGAACAATTGAATGACGATGAGGTCAGTGATAAAGAAGATGACGACGATATAGATAAAGATGATGACGTGATGGATAAAGTCAGTGAAAAAGATGACGACAGCGAAAAAGATGATGATGTCGATGACAGAGATGAGGATGACGTAATGGATAAAGAAGACGATGACGTGATAATAACGCAGAGAGATTCCCCCAGAGAAGTTACTACAGAGGAGGAAAGTACAATCAAAACAGTGATAGTTGAAGAAACTCACTCTGAAGTTACAGTGACTGAAGTTACCAGGAAAAAATATCCACCGTCCAAAGATACCCCGGCAAGCGACATCCCCGGAAGTCCTAAAGAAGCTTCTAGCGATGATGAGAATGATTACGTCATAATTCCGATTGATATGGCAAAGCCAGATGATGTCATAAAACCTGCTGCGGTTGAAATAGTCGAAGAAGTACCGGATGATCAAACGACATATGACGAACAACCCACGACGTGTGACGACCAGCCAACGACGCACGATGACAGTTCTATTCCTCTCCTTATTGTAACTAAAGAACCTGAACGCAAATCAAGCACTGACTCCGACTCCGACAAAGAATCATCTGACTCCGACTCGTCCACGTCGGATGCGGACGATGAACGAACCGATAATGATGTAGGCAAAGTCGTGGAGGTAGAACCTGTAATAGAACAACAGCCTGACCAACCAACTGAGACAGTTTTCGGAATTGTGGACATAAATTATGAGAAAACTACGAGTGAGGAAATCGTCATTGTTGACTCGACGATTGAATCGCCTGTAGATTTTCAAACGCCTGAGAATGACGTGCTTATCGTCGTGCTTCCGGAAAATGTCCAAATGTACGAAGACGTTCCGGCACCTGACGATCTAACATCCGAACAGGACACCAAACCGCTGGAGGAAGATATCCGACAGACAAAGTTTCGTCGACATCTTCCGACGATGAACAGACAGATGATGATGGACATGTACCCAAGAGATCTTATGAGAATACAGTTGAGACTATCGTTGTGGAGAAAACAAGTACACAAATTTCCACAACAATCACGAAAATCGCCGCGTCATCAGATGAATCTGATGACGCAGAAGACGTGCCTGTCACTATTCACGAGGAGGAACCGCATTCCGAAGAACCAGCACCTGAAGCCCGTCCATCGTTTGAAGGTAATATCTTTCTCTGATTCCTGTAGTCTTGCAATTCTTTGACAAAATAAGATTGAAACTGTTGTATATGCTTTGTGTCCATCTTGTCTCAACATTTCTGAAGTTGATCCCAGCCTTTACTGTACATAATTTTAGGAGTACTACCAGAACAGAAGGAAAGCCCGGAGCTGGATATAAAGATCGTTATTGGGCCTGCGGGTGATGACTCTACGACATCGTCGGAAAGTGAGTCGTCAAGTGACGAAAAAATAGAACCCGACCTTGCACCAGAAGAGGAGAAAACTCCAGCTATGGATATCGCTGACATACCTGCCGACGACGAGTCCTCGACGTCTTCCGATTCCTCGTCCGACGACGAGAAGAAATCTCGAGAGATCTCAACTGTTGAGACTATTATTGTGGAGAAATCTCATTCCCAAGTATCGACAAGCATTACAGAAATCACCACGAATACTCATAATTATCCTGTTAACGATCCTAATTACCCTGCCATGTCTCCTAACTACCCTCTTGGATCCTCAAGTGATGTCCCTGATGGTGCTCCGATACTTGAAGAAATTCCAATCATCGAAAATGCTCCGAAACCAGTCGAAGACGTTCAACCGATGGAAAATATCCTGAAATCAGTATATACACCGAGCTTCGCGGAATATCCGATGCCCGAAGATTTCACGACGACTGTTGACGATGAGTCTCAGACTGAAGCTCGTGATGTGTGCAGTGAGACGACTCAGACAGATGAAAAAGTGGACAAGGACGTTGGAACTACGAGAGATGCATATAGCATGACTGCACCAAGGTAAATAGCAAGATAGATAAATAAATAACATTTATTATGCACAGATTAACTAACTTTTACATATAATACAACATTCAAAGACCATTGATATAACTTTTTAAACACGAGTATTTTGTTTTTAGGTCATTGAGCGACTCCGAAGTTCAGACACAGATAGTGCAGGGAAGCGCCTCAACACAAACGGATTACGAGGACGACGATTCTCAATGGTATAGACATACAAGTACGGTCGAGGAAGTACGAGAATCATCCCTGATTGTTACGAGTGAGAGACGACAGTGTTGCGACAGTGAGACACAGACTGATGACAAGGTCGACGATGATGAACAAGTATTCGCGAAGAATCACGAAGGTAGGTGGATGAATCTATCTATCAAGAACTGTCGAAATATTGAAATCATGTTATTCGCCCTGAAAATTTGGGTCCATCACGACACATGTTTATGCCTCGATTGCAATGTCTAATCAGTTCCAATCAAATCTACAATATTAATCTCGTAGTTCCAATCAACTCTACAATATTAATCTCGTAGTTCCAATCAACTCTACAATATTAATCTCGTAGTTCCAATCAACTCTACAATATTAATCTCGTAGTTCCATTTTCAGGCACCCAAACAGAGCCGGGAAGATATCGAAATGAGAATGAAATAACAAGGATTATCCGAAGAACGTCAACGGAAACTACAAGTGAAAGTACTTATTCAGAAAAAACTGAATTCTTCCCTCCGAAAAAGGCAGACTGTCCTGTATGTCTGCAAAGTTTAGAGGCGACAAACTATTCGTTCATAAAGGTGAAAGATCTTGCCCAGTTCACCGCGATGGAAGAACGCTGTACTCAGTATGAAATGGAGGACACAAGTCAAACGAGGTTTTGTTTCAACTGTGGAAAAAACTGTACTTCAAGGGAAGAGGATGGATATTCCAGTACAATGGCAGCGGAACAGGGTGAAGAAGGTTCTGCAGGGGGATCGTATGCATACTCCAATACATCGGGAGGTAATTTAGGTGAAGAACTCGGGGAAGGTAGTGGATTTTCGAGTACAACAACGTATGAAGAAGGACAAGAGAAACACGGATATCCCAGTACAACGAGAAAGGAATGGAGTGAGAAGAGGTCTACACGGGAAACTAGTGAATATTCTAGTACAACAACAAGCGAAGAATGGCAGAAAGATGTGGTCATTGACCCAGAGAGTTCCGAGGCACCTGAAGGAGCTCATTTTTCGATACGGATAGACGGTGACGAAAAATGTCTTCTGTACTGCCGCCGTACTGGCAATCACGCGTGCGCATTGCAGAAACTGGCATCAATTATTAAAGCGCAAAGACAAGCCACTATATCAAGTAGCGAGGCGGCTTGTGAAATGCAGGCGCATTCATCTGGGGCTGATCAAGATACAGAAATTCCTGAAAGCGCGAAACGCGGCAGGGAAGAAAGTGGTGAAGACGAAGAGGCTGGCACTAGCGATGCTACTGGTCCACAGCGTTGTGACGTCAGTGTTCAAACTGATAGTGCCCTACTACCGGCTGACTTTGAAGTTTTCAATGATAAGGATTTCGAGATTTACTACGATGAACAAAAGTCTCCCCGCTGGTTTGTATAGCCATGTTGTATAGACATATATTCACCACCATTAAGGGTAATAGTAATATATAACACCTAACCATCATAATATAACAATACTAACATACGCTGTAGGATGGTCTTAGTGGATCTACAAGTGGATCTCGATAGGATTTCGTCAGTCTTAACCTAAGATTCAAACTAATTGAACTCAAGAGTTTTCCCAAATATCAGTTCTGGATTTTCCTCTTCTCAGCTATCGGTTACGATTTGTTGTCTCGAATTGCTGTTTTTATCGCTCATATCAATTATTTTAACCGTCTAGAATGAGAAACAGAACAGAATGAATCAAACGTGCGCCAAGTCAAAACTGAGCCCTATCGAGACCCACTTAAACTGGATGTTAATGCTAACATATTTCACTACGTTTTAGAAAATATTATGAACATTCATCTCCTTCCTATATGGTTTTTAATTCAATGTGATTTCTAGAAATTAACCGTGACGTCACTAACATTGGATGTACTAATTGTGAATTAATTGTTACTAACAAAGAACTAATGATGGTCGATTATTTTATATGTTGTTGTTTTACGAAAAAGGCATGCCATTAAGTTGGGCTTTCATTTTGCATTTCTGTAATCGGACTGTATTGGAGCAAGATATGATATTTAATTTCAAGCATAATAGCAGAATACAATATATATGCACAAAATAGTGTACAAATAAAATATATAAAGAGAACTGTTGGTATAGGTTGTTAAGTATTATAAGGGATCTCATTGTATGCATTTGTTTATTAAAAATATACGAAACATACTGAGTGTCAATATTCATATTGTCCCAACCTAAACCAAACCCTGTCACATTTTCTGAACTTTAAAGCTAGATATAAGAATTGTAAACAAGGTATATTTTGAGTTCATGATTTTGAGTTCGAAAAGATAAACGCATTTCGCAGTATCTTTTGTCCAAATCTCCGCGATACCGTTACCCGCAAGCATGGCGCTTTGGCAGTCTTTGATTGGGTCAAGAAAGGCTTAATAACAATATGAAAAAGAATTGTCGATGTTGACATCTCTAATGATTCCAATCGGTGTGTCATCCACGGTTACATTAATCAATTAAGAATATTTGTTCTGGTTTTAGCCTAATCAAACAGCAAAGCTTCACTAATGGGAGGATAAAGCCAGTGTTTGGCTAAAGCTTCCCCGAAATCCCAGTATTAACAACGCTAATCTCTTGATCTGCGCAAGCTAATCCTATTGATGATTATATATTTGAATTCAACTGCCATGTAAGTTGATATTTTAAAAATGCCAAAGAACACTTGTAACACGATAACGAGATGGCTAACCTAGACATCGTTCATTTTAAAATTAACATGAAACGTTTTCAGGCAGACAGGTCATACATATTTAATATGATATGCCTCTGTCAGCCCTATAAAAAGAATAATATACATTGTATATACGCATTTTAAAACACGACTATCTCGTTTTTAATGGATCACAAACGTAGGTAATATATCACAATATTGATTATTAAATAAGATGCCGACATTGTTTGGGTCAAAAGTCAGAACATTTTAAAAAACACATAAAAAACATTGCGTGTTTTTCTCTATAACTTTAATGTTGGCTCAAAACAAACTGCAGGCTGCCAGGCTAAAATCTAAAATTAATTACACACAGGCATTATAATACGGAATTTTTACAAGGACACACATTGTCTTTAGGTTCAATAATCACTTAGTCTTAGAAATTACAACGTGAAATTACAACGCAAGCATATAAAAAAGAGCATAGCCATGCAAAGCACGGTCCGTCAGTCTCTAGCCTTTTTTAATATATAATATATTCAATAATGTCAATTTTATAATAGAAACAATAATTATTTTAAATAGTCAAATTAAAATTATATTAGACATTTTTGTCCATGAGGCATGATTTTTAACTACACACTTTTCCATTTACAAGGACACATTCGTCTTTTACAAGGACACAAAGTGTGTCAAAAACACGCGTATTATAATGCCTGATTACACAAAAGCTAGCAATTTCTATGATCTTGACAGCGCTTGGTATTGATATATCCCGCCATATTATAACAGACCTACCCACCCGACCCCCACGAAACACTAATATAGCATAATTATTAATTGATATACTAACAATCTCACGGTTTGATATATTACCCACCCGACCCTTACTGTTTATACACTAAGTCTGTTTTATTTCACAGGACCGCGATGACTATAGCTCAGGGAATGCAGAAGGAACACGAGAGTCTTATGAAACAGCTGGATATGTTAAGGTATAAAAACAAATTTTGACAACAGCTAAATTATTAAGAATTTTAAACAGGCGCCTGGGTGGGGAGACTGATCGAACGACGCATCAATAATTGAATTATGACCCGTAACAGGAATACGTCGTATTAAAGTAGCTCTTTACTGTTTGTAAATTTTAGGTATCTTTGGTGAACCCTAGCTCTCAAACGAATATACCGTATGCGCTTCAGGGCATTGCCTTTTTGAGAAAACGGAAGCTTTCGGCTTGCTATACGTGCATAACAATTTCGGATCAACGACAGCCGAGATAATTCATATGTCATTTTTGCACCGTAATCGTATTTCTTTTGTCTAAACGCGGGCTTCTCGCCAAAGCTACTACACTATTCCTTTTCAGAAACTCACCGTATTTTGCGGGACTCCACTTTTGGGCGAGGAACTCTGCAACGGAAAAAGGCTAAATTAACACAAAGACAACTCAATTCATCGTCTGTTTAAATGATACTAGAAAACAGCTCAGGGCATTCGATTTATATTTTACATAGACTCATGGTCGAAGTTCCAGCGTCATGCTATCGAACTTATGACTGAAAAATTTGTCGAAACGCATGTTTCCTTTTACCGCGGGCAAACATGCATGCAGACATGCAATCTGGCGCAATTTCCAGTGCTTCGTACTCGGTATTTATTTATCGAGCTTGGTGAAAAATAACTTGCGTTGTATTTCTTAAATAACAGGGAGGTGAATCAGAAATTAAGAGATCAGAAAGATGCCATTGAAGCTGCTCACGAAGCTGTAAGTATATATATGGTGGGATGTGCATTGGAGTCAAATTTCTGCAAAGCTCAACACGCGACTTTTCATGCAGTGAAGAATCAATATCACAGCCAGCTAGTTAAACTTTCATTACACCCAGCGTTGCAGAAATATTTTAGTCAAGACCTTTAGAATTTGACTTTATTAAAATAGAACTATTTAACCAAAATATTTACAGAAAGGAGATCCTCCAATAGGATCGAATAGGCTTCCGTATACTGGTATAACTTATATAAATTCATATATACTACATTTCTAATAAATCGGCTCTAAATCAGCTTTGTGGTCCGTGATAGACAGCATTAAATTAAAACTTATTATATTCTGGTTGCACTGTTGCAAGTCAGTTGAATTTAAGAAGGAATATAACTGAGTTATTAAACTCTATAATACTATATATGACGACGCATCATCCATATATCTTAACTGATAAAAATACATAACAAAAGCACTAGCGTTTTTGTGAAGAATAGAATTAGTCCTTGATTTAAGTTATATATCTAAATGATAATATGAAAGAGTTAAATTTGAATCTTAAATAGCAATCGTCAAAGTACATGTGCCTACGAGACGAACTGGCGCTCGCTCAGGTAACTGCTTCGTTTAGAATAAATCAATTTAAATGTTTGATTAAAAATGTGTAATCTTTATGTAGTATTCATCGAGCTAAATTTAAACATTATAAAACCTAAATGCTTAGCTTTTTTCTGAGGATTTTTCAGAATATAGCAGGCTAGCGCGAGTGCGTTGTATGTTGCCCTTTTTAAAGTTATTCAAACTTTGTCACCAAGAATTAAATTTCGTCCGGTTAAACAAGAATAATAGTTTATGAATGAATGCGGATGAAACTCTAAATATAAAATTTGCCTGTGAACAAAGACCAAATCACTGAGTTTCCCTCTTCGCGCGAAATACATGACCGACATATGAACAGCTCTAAAGTAAATTTGATCCATTTTGAACGAAGCATTCCAGTTCGGGAAATCTTAACATAATTTTAAACAATCGATATTTTAGACATTAGAGCATTCTCCGGTCAAGCAACACAAGGTTGTCACCAGACAAGGATCTGAAATGTCCAAATATTTTGGTACATTTGAGGGAATGAAACATGATTCGACATTGGAATCTGTTACTGAGAACAATGAACAGTCTTTCAGGTGAATGTCTACTGCATGGAGAGTGCCTTGGTGGGAGTAATGTACTACGGATGCGATTATTTATAAATTGTGTACTTTTTGCAGTTCCTCCTCAACCAAACGGAAACTGATGCGAACAAAAACCTCGGTGCAGTCTATTCAGCCACCGTAAGTTCCTTATATCAGCTAAACTACATAAACTAGCTCAATTTACACAGGATTGTCTTTCAGTTGTAAGCTGCTTCATTCTGGGATGTCCAGGTGGGAATTATTTTTATAATTTGATCTTTCGTTTCGTCAGAAGTGGTTCCGGTCAGGATATATTGGAATACGCAGGTTTTGCAGATGGAGCAGAGTTCGAAGGGGAGCAAGTGTTTGCGGACGGAGAATTGAAAGAATCTGAGAGACCGGAGTGGATGGAACAAGTCCACAATGTGATGCAACCAATAAGTATGTATCGTGATGATGATGATGTATGTATCGTGATGATGATATGATGATGTTGTATGTATGTATCGTGATGATGACATGATGATGACGTTGTATGTATGTAATGTGATGATGATATGATGATGATGGTGATAGCAGGAATAGGGCAGGGATGATGATATACACAGACTGTTAACAATAATATTTCATTTTATTTTCTACGCTGAAGTGAGTAAGGCAGAAAAGCAGAAGACAGAACAGGAGTTTCGAAAACACAAGGCTAACATATCTTCGCAAGGTAAGTATTGTGGTTGGGGGGGAAAGTCCTCACTAGTGAAATAACGTAAGGGGGCAGTTCTCATTCCAACAGTTCTCAATCACGCAAACTAACCTGTGGTTTCACATCTCTGTACCAGTGCGCAAACAACAGCAATGACCGCGAGCATATATTACGTTGAACTTCTAGTGATATTAGAAAATGGACACCATCAACTACCTCAAGTCACGGATAGCGTGGACGGTGAAAAGGAGATTATACCGCTGTCTCCTGTGAGAAGGTCGCCTGTGGGCACGGAAACTAAGATGCCGACTGAACAGGTGCACTGTGTTTTTCTTACAACTTGTAATATTTCTTCTGCTAGTACATATAAACTCATAAAGTTTCAAACGCAATTGTTAAGATGAAATAACCCAGCTTAGTCGATTGATAAATGCCAAAATTTAATATTTTTTAAATAACCAGTGCCATTTTCCACAGAAAAACTCGCTATCGCCCGAGTCTGCATCAAATATCCAACGAATATACAAAGTGGTGTTTGTCGGTGATTCAGGCGTAGGGAAATCTAGTTTTATACACAGATACTGTTTTGAATTATGGAAACCGTCGTATACTGCGACTATAGGTAAGCCATGCTCTGAAACGTTACTGTGTATATAGGTGTATACTGTGTATAGGGGTATCAGAGGTGTGAAGGGTGTATGTTGAACTGACCTTGAGTTCCTAGAGACGGTTTTAAGTTCTGAATTCTCATTTTTCATTTGCTACCAAAAAGGTGTTGATTTTCAAGTGAAGTCTCTACAGCTCGGTCTTAAAAAGCTAGCTCTGCAACTGTGGGATACAGCAGGACAAGAGAGGTGAATAACGCATATACATTCGTACTATCCCAATAAGTCATTACTGAACCATCTATGTATCTCTTTTTCCAGATTTCGCAGCATCACAAAGCAATATTTCAGGAAAGCAGATGGCGTGGTGCTTCTCTACGATCTTTCTTCGGTGTCATCGTTTATTAATATCAAAAGCTGGATGACAAGTGTTGAGGTATGTAAAACGAAATAAATTCCTCCTTCCATTTGTTGTAAACTGGCTGTCGTGGAAATAACATACACTGAGCAGTGGCAAGAGGGGCTCTTCTTAAAGAGAGATCCCTTATCAGTCAAAGATCTATATGTGGGTTTAGTTATTATCGAGGGTTATTATGGTACGTATGTTGGTTATTATGGTACACACGGTGGTTATTATGGTACGCATGTTGGTTATTATGGTACACACGGTGGTTATTATGGTACGCATGGTGGCTATTATGGTACGCATGGTGGTTATTATGGTACGCATGGTGGTTATTATGGTACGCATGGTGGTTATTATGGTACACATGGTGGTTATTATGGTACGCATGGTGGTTATTATGGTACGCATGGTGGTTACTGGACGCGGGGTACTTTTCATGGAATACTGAATATATTATTTCGTCGTCATAGGAGGCAGCAGAACCTGGGTGTACGGTGATGCTTATCGGAAATAAACTAGATCTTTGTGAAGAGGACCAGAAATGTCGCGCCGTTTCTTATAAAGATGGTGAAGAACTAGCACAGGTATTGTAAAAGATCTCGGAAAGGAGGCGATTCTAATCTTGAATTTGGTTACTCAAAATTACGATCATTAACTCTTGAGTATTGTGAATGCTATTTTCGAAATTGGATAAACTAAAAACAACTATCAACGTCGTCAAAACCATAGAAATACCTTTTTTGTTTCTTGTTATTCAGGAATATGGATGTCTTTACGCAGAGGCGAGCGCGAAATCAGGCGAAAACGTTAACGAAGCAATGGAAACATTGGCCAGGTAATTTGGCGATAAACAAAATGACAAATTATTAAAGGATGATGGCGTCGTATTGCGCATGTCTTTTGCGCAAATGCATGCATGTGCTATGCCCTTATGGTTAACGTAGACAGGTCTTTGATGGGGAATCAAATTTTCTTCGTATTTCGTGTACCGTTTATTGTTTCTTCCAATATCGAAGTGTGGAGAGGTTATACACAATATAATACAATTGCATGTTTCTCACGCCAGCGGCTATCATCATCAGCGCATGTACAGTATCACTTACTTTGTTTACAGACGACTGCAGGAACAGGAAGACTGGCAACTACACAGCGTTCTCAATCTACAAGTGGACGTGGAAAAAAAGAAAAGCAAATGTTGTGGAAGATGATACTCACGGATACTCTACCTGGAGAAAAAATTGTCTGAGTCACATAAGAGCATTAAATATCCGTAACAAAGTATTGTACTGACAGTAAACACAAATCCAAGACCGCAAAAAATCAAGGTTTGTTTTTTACATACAAGGTTTATCAGAAACGCTTCTCTTTCTTTCGCTTTACCACGAAAGACAAGGTATCCCCTGCTATTTCTGGCTATTGCAAGACCAGGAAAGATATTCTGAAAACTGATTTGATTATGAGTTGCCTTCGTTTCTGATTATCGAGAAAAAAAACTGATTTGCGAGTGAAAGTGTCTTAAAAAAACTGAAATGACTCAGGAAAGTTTATTACAGAGTTTATGTTACAACTGAGATGTCAAAATAATCTAGTCTCTATAGCCATAGGAAACTGCACATTGATCTTTATTCACACATGCATACGCAGACATCATTGAAGTGGTGTATTTAATATTTATCGCTTTAAAGTTATGAAAGATTTCATTTAATGTATACGATAATACGAATTGCAGTCTAGTCAATTTACGTGTGATCAATTCTATATATTTAACATTGAAATTGTATTTATTATTAATATGGGTTATGGTTTTGTTATTTTTGTATGAATAAAAATTATTTTAAATTCAGTGCTTGTGTGGTGATTGGATTCTGGTTATGTGTTGAAAGGGATTGCATCAGCCATCAAATGTTTTTACAGACTTATATTAAATTTGTTTTATATTAATCTCAGTAGAAGTTATTGGAAAAAATGCCATTTTTATTATACCACCAGCTCGGCAAGAGATTGCGAAGTCTTGACTCCGTAAGCGGGCCATATTTCGTGCTGCATGGTCAGGAATATATTACTGTATCCTCGCAAGACTTTAAATTACCATCATCGTATTCGTTAGGTTATTAAATTATTTTTTAAAGATATCGCATCTGTTTTAAGATATCGTTAGTCACTTCACGTCCTCTTTTTAAGATATCGGACGGTAGAGAGTTGACCACGAACATAACCTGTGAATAAGACAAACGGGAAACCATTTCAAGATTTTAAATTGGAGAACTCCAAAACTCATAACACTGTGGTCTCTCAGATTGAAAGATGAAATGTCGAGAATTTTTCATGAATCCCTGTGTATTCATCATTGGGATATTTAACACGAAAATTAAAAACTACAAGCATAAGTGTATCAAAGCCATGCATATGTTATAGTGTCTAACCGCGTCGTTCAAACAGAATTTCCATATCTACTGACCTGCTCGATCGGAGGCAGTTGGTAAAAGTCTTCAGGTAAGGTCTTTCTATCGACATTTCCAGCTTTAAAAATCTCTTCCAAGACGACGCTGTAAGTTTTAGATTGGACAAGCTCATTGACATTAAACTGAATTTATGCAAGACTGACGGATCATTTGATGGTCGCTGCTTTCGTTTTTTAACTGAATTATATATGCAGATAATGAGTGAAGAAAACAAATTATTAAATTCATTTTTTCTTCGACTATCCTACTAACAAAATCATCGATATTCATGCTTGTACGGGTCTACAAGGTTTTGACGGGTGAGATATTTGTTAATTTCATATACACAAATTTTTATCATTTTCTTACTCGTAATTCTGTGAATTCATTACTTGACTGCTAACGGCGATAGTTTCAACTGCATTAAACGCCTACAAAGTGTGTACAATTGAAAATACATTACAATGGATGCTTGCAATAACAGACTATATCACTGAGTAGAAAAGATCAGAAGATAATTGGTAATGGTTCGAGTATAGAACCAGTGAATTACCTGATGAAACCATCCAGGCGGAATAATAAGCAGCTCTCCGGGTTTTTGTTCAAAAGAAATTTCTCGAGCTTTCAAAAATTTTGGATATTTCTTTACATCTGGGTCATACGCATCAATAGGACTGAAATTATGTTAAATATATGTGTTTTGTTGAATCAAAAGAAAATGTGAAATATTCTGCCGCAAAACTTTTCATATAATCTAACCTGTTGTATTTGAAACAATTCAGTGGAAATTCAGACATTTTGTTCGGCATCACATAAAGGTACTCGTCTTGGCCGGGGGGATACAACTACACAGAATAAGAAAAAATATCACCAGTGCTTCCCCTAAGGGAAGCGTTTATCATTTCCTTTACACCATGCTTCCTTTACACCTCCTCCATATAGGAAAACTTGATTCGCGCGCGCGGGAAATTAAAAGCGAAATCCGGCAACGTGATTGGTCAGCGAAAAGATGTTGGCGCGAAAAAGTTGGATTTCTTCAATAATCGATTATTTGCAACGTAAACTGTAATTGTAGTGTTTTGGTCAAAGTTTAGACACACTTTTTCGAACTAAGCTGCTAAAGTATAGATTGCGGCATAGTTTATTTTTCTTTTGTTGCTGTGATAGGGGCAGAATTGTCTACGGAAGGTGTTGATGGCCCGTTGTTTGTGGAAAAATTCATGTGATCGTAACAAAGTCGAAGAAAAAACAATGGCGATTCTCAACTACTAAAATAAAATGTATGAAACGCACCTTCCAAAGTTTCTTTCCATAGAAAACAGCATTTGTTCCGGTCCAGTTGTAAGGATCTGCAAAAGAACACCGCTCAAAACTCGTGGATAACGAAAATTGTGCATCATATATCAATAAATATCACAAGAATAAAGGATGAAGGCCTGTCCTCCGAACTCGTGACTTACCGACATGTAAGTAGGATCTTGAATAAGCAGTTCCCCAGAGAAGCATGGCATTCCAAGGCCTCACTTCTTTTGGAAATATTTTAAAGAAATCCTCTCGAAGGTAGATCTAATGAAGGAAATATAGGTAGCTCCATCTAGTACGTCATTGACATTGACCATTACAAATACAATCCAATAAACATCCAGTGACAAAAGCCTCAACCAGGCCACAAATTGTACACATTTAAACTTGTGGATGATTAATGCATGGGGAATAACATGCCTAATAAAAGTGTATAAAATTTGGATGGAAAGGGGAGGGGAGTGAATGGAAAACTGAGATGGTGATAAAAGACAATGGCTGATGCATGATGGATATTCAATTGAAGGTTATAAATGGATAAATTAGAATGAAAAAGGATATTAGAGAAGAAAAAGATCTGTGTGAAGAAGAGATCAAAGAGAAGAATAGAATGGTGAAAATGGAATTAGACCAGTCATTCATATTTCATATATTATAAGAAATGTGTGTGCAACATGGAAGGAATTATAGATGATATCAACAATGACTTTAAGGGTGCTTCAAAGGATATAATTGACTTACAGGGTTACCTAAATCTTTTCTCAACTCTGGATGAAGCTGAATAAATAGTTCATCTTGTAAGTATGTCCATGTTTTAGATCTTCCTTCATGAGAATGTTGAGCAAATATCCTCATTGGCAAAGCTATGCTTTCAGCTTGATGTAGTTTCCCCTATTAATGAGGAAAGCAATAAATACAATTGGTACTCAAGCAAGTGGAAAATAATGCCAGTCTGCACTATTTGTTATGATGACATACAAAAATATATAGCTCCAGGACAATTATTTTCCTAGCAATGGTGGAAGTTTTACATTTCTAGCATAGCTTAGCTACATACTCAATACATACATGTACAGCTTTCATAACAACTTGCCGATCTCCATAATTTTCTACAAAAAACTCCTTGTTCCATTTGCTAGCCTTCCAATCTTTTAAAACATCAGTGATTATAACAGGTCTGAAATTAATATATAAAATTATAAACTAACTATGCCTAAGACAAATGAATGGTAGCGTTGCCTGGAACCTTCGTTCAGAATTTCATGGCACTGTTTAGCCAGGTGATGGACAGGGTGCAGTGTGACAGGCTGACAGCTAGTGAAATCTCATACCAAAGTACCAGCAATTCACAAAAAAAATTCTACGTTGAGCTGTATGACTGAATGACCCTAATGATAATAATTCAAACAAATAACCTTTTGCCATCATATTTCTCAATGAATTCACTTAAACTTAAGTTTGAACGCCTATCAAGAACCCAGAGTGAAGCATCATCTTTTGGGACACGTGGTTGCGGTTTTAAATTTTCTTTGACGATGTTTAAATTTTCCTTCCTTTCTCCAAAACTTGTCAAAAATTCTGAATTGCAAATTTCTAGTTCATTGCAAAGTGCTTTACATAAAATTAGCCAGGACAAACTTGAAATAACAGCAAGAAAGGCGATGATATATGCAAAATATACGAAGTTTAATTTCGTATTAGCTGTCCCAACTTCGGATCCTTCGGCTTTCAATTTTTCATTATTCGACCGTTGGAACTTGGATTTAAAAAGCTTTTTCTTTCGTTGTGTTAAAGAACTGTTCTCCACAGCCATAACTTCGGCAAACCAAAGGTTGTACTAAGTATAAACTTGAGTTGTTTCATTTGAATTAAGTTTGTTTTGAACAGGTGCGAAATTTAAATCCCACAATTGCAACATTCAAATTACATTGAAATTCGCGGGTTTTTCAGGCTAATTATTCTGCCAAAACACTGAGCAGAAAACGACTCAATATAAATACAATATTGAACTTGATAAAGAAATAAGGGATATCTCAAAACAAGGCTAAGTGCAAAAAACGTCGTTATTGTTTATAAATGTAAACTTGTGGGTAAAAATGCTGTTCGACCCTTAATTCGATCAGCCTGGATTTAATGAACAAGCGGACAATTAATGCAGCGGAGTACGCCATTGGCGCGGCAAGTTCGAATGTTTTGGTTTTGAAAATACGTACAAGAACCTTAGAAAAAGTTGAAACATTCGCTTGGATTTTGTTCATTTACAATAAAGCGATGTGATCGAAGGCTGGAATCAACAACATTCTGGTGCCTCGAAGAGAGCTTTACGATATGGTTTCTCAACCGATGGTCAAAGTAATGTAGAATCTAGATTCGTTATAAATAATAAATACGTGTGATCGATATATCATGCTCAATATGCTGAGAAAATCGGAGAATGCCCAATACCGGGCATTACACTTCGAAATTTGTGTCTTCAGCACCTGAAAGTCATTCTGCATTAGCCAATATTTTATTCTTAGCTTCCAGAGATCGAAGATTTTGATGTAATTAAACCAATCAGCCGTGGTGCATATGGGTAAAAACTTATATATAATATATAATTTTATTTGTCTATATGGATATGTATTGTTACATAATTTACCTGAATCTTGTGTATCATCGTAAGAGTTGTGAGCTTACTTTGTTGGGATGGTGGTGAGTGTGCTATTGTACCAGAATGGTAAGGTTGTAATGTTTACAGTAAAGCATGATGTTGCAGCTTTGGTGTGGTATACCAGGGTGTGATATGTGGCCTAGCAGTGTGTTTTGGGTATATGCTCTATATAGCATGCATGGTCATTATCATTATAAAGACGTATTGCAGTTTGTTTCATGTGATGGTTTGATCCCATATTCTCATTTATACATGACACCATTCTAGACAAGTCTTCCTGGGCAGGAAGAAGGGGGAGTCTGGAGACAAGTCTGGCACGCTGTATGCTATAAAAAGCATGAAAAAAACCGAACTGGTAAAAAAGAATATGATTGACCAAGGTGAAAATCAAATGATCTGTGGTTTCCTAAGATATTTCTGTTTTAGACATCTCTCAAAATAATTGTTCATTCCCTCGAACATTAGAGACTATCTAACCCCTACTGCACAATGAAAGCCACACAAAACCAAATTGATTAAAGATTGGCCTTCATTTTCTAGTCGTGGCTGAAAGGGACGCTCTAGCGATATCAAAAAGTCCGCATATTGTACACCTCTTTTACTCCTTTCAATCTAAAGAGCAGATTTTTTTGGTAGGTTTAGTCGATGTCTTTTGCGTAAATAAAGTCTAGTCCATATACATCTGTGGAATAATCGAAGTGAAGTGTTTACCATTTTTGGAGGGCCTTTTTTTATTATTTTCCGACGTAAACTGCAACTGTAACAAATTAATCCACTCTGAACAGGTCATGGAATATCTGATTGGCGGTGATGTCAAATCATTGTTACACAGTATGGGATACTTTGATGAACAAATGTCCAGACTATATATTGCACAGGTGAAGGTCATAGTAATCTATTTTCACTGTAATTATTGCATTATCTAAATAGCGCTAACCAACGTTTTATGTTCAGGTTGTATTAGCTCTAGAGTATTTACACAGTCATGGAATTATTCACAGGTAAATGAAAAGATAATACTACATGACTTTTTATTCACTTTACACTGAATAAACTCCAGTCAAACACGTGAAAGGAACGTGCACTAACCATTGACTAATAAAACAGAGATTTAAAGCCGGATAATATGTTGGTGACAAACGAGGGCAGAATTAAGCTCACTGACTTTGGTCTCTCTAAAGTAGATCTGGAGCGAAATAAAAGTGAGTTACTATTCTTTTTTCATTTTTAAAAGTTATTTCCCTGAGATCATCTCTTCACATTTTTTTGAAGAGTGAAGCTGTATAGTGTAGCCGACTGTTGAAGGTTTCTACGGTGATTTATATAGAGCCAACAGTAATGGATGTGATGAACACTCCCTCGTGCAAGCCTCCAATCTCGTCACCAGGGTACTGGAGAACACCCGGACAAGTTGCCTCACTTGCAACTGATTTTACCTTTGTAAGTTGTCGCCATTAGAAGACAAAATAACAGCAATGATGCAATTTAGCTTCCCAAGAGCGTAAATGAAACTAGAAAGTTTTCTTTTTTAGTCGATTCCAAAATCGATAAAGCCAAGATCTCGAATGCTATCCCGAATCCTAACGGAAGAACGTTCGGAAACAACGGAATCACCGTACGTCTTTGCCACTCCAGACAGCAAGTCGAAAAGACGCAGGTCATCGTTTGGTGCAGGCAAAAACGTGTTTCAAACTCCCGACGTTGGCCAGCGCACCAGGTCGTTTATTACAACACCGCTCAACCCCGTTACTGTGAACGAGAAATCAGGTAACTTATGTAATGTAGACGATATGTTTAAATTGTTCCACTCTCTGCACACAAGATCTCTGCAATCGATTCTAAGAGGGAGAAAGATGACTTCTATATCATTTCAGCTAAAATATATAACATCTAAGGTCACACATTTTGAGTAACTTTATTTATAGTGGGTAGTTTTACCACTTCGATTTTTTCTTGCAGAACACCGAGGCAGAAAACGAAACATGAAAAGTTGGCGATCAAATTGGTCTGATTCCGAGGCGCATAGCTCCGATCCCGAGAAGGAGCCGTCTTCGGAGGACGAAGATACCGAACAGTGCGCGAAGCGACGGCGAACAAGTCCGACTGGCTTGACATGTGAAATTCAAGGTTTCGAGATAAATCGCGCAATAAACCAGCCCTCGTGCGTTGATGATGTGAAGGAAACGGTTGCTAAGGATGAGGAAGCGGTCGCCAAGAAAGATGACGTAGATGCGTTGACGTCACCAGTAACAAAGGAGACAAGAATTTCAGGAATATTTAATATAAACAATTCATTTAATCAAAGTCTTATGGACTGTAGTTTCAATGCTGAAGAGAATATCCATCAACCTTCAGATAAAGAACAACACAATAAGGACAATGACGGTACCCATGGGGAAAATAGTGTCCAAGAAGATAATAATGGTAAATCGATTAACACTTCACCGAGTAACAGTGTCTTTTACTCGTGCAGCAGTGAAGTTGGCGCTGTCCAGAAATCTGCGGGTCTTACGCATGAACTGCACGGCAGTTCCACGTGCGGAACACATGCCAGCCCAGAAAACGTTCACGTGGCAACTTCTTCATCGTACGCCACTCCCGCGCGTGGGGTTCACGCATCTTTGCGCCACTCGGGATCCGGAGATAACAAGAGCGAAATTGGCGAAAGAGTATTTCAAACGCCTGTTGGTAATGCTCCGAAACACTTTCAAACCGCTTCAGTATCACGAATCAGGTTTCAATCACCAATGGAAATTGCTTACGATGTGCTACCTCGAAATTCAAGCACAACACCGCGTCGACGTCATAACCACGTAAGTGTGACGTCATGAATGAGGTTTTGTATTGTGCCTCAATGTTGCATTGGGTGGGCTTAATACACTTCGGTAAGAAAGCATTAAGCGGAGTATGGAAATTTAACCCAATTCTGCATCAGGATTCAGGAAGTATTGTGATTTCTTTTATAGATAACTCCAATGAGAACGCCCAAATCATGTAAGAGAGGAGCAGCCCCAAAACCCGCTCAGAGGATCCTTGGAACACCGGATTATTTAGCCCCGGAGGTTTTACTCCAACTAGATCACGGCAAGTAGCAACATTGGTCTGTAAACTCTGTAAAAGCTGAATGGCATTTCAGGTTTTTATTCTTATATCCATTGGAGCAATAAGGGTGATCTTAACTAAATGTTTTGAAATTTTCCCGTTTTAGGCGTTGGTGTGGACTGGTGGGCTTTGGGAGTGTGTTTATACGAATTTCTTACTGGAATCCCACCGTTTTCTGACGAAACTCCAGAGTTAATCTTTAAACACATCATGGAAAATGGTAATATGTTTCATGGCGATTTTATTTCGTAGTTGTATTCACGGACAATCTCACTTTGAGAAAGTAATGCTCAAATCAATTAAATTTTGTAGAGTATTTGCTGCCGGAAGGGGAGGAAGCGTTGTCTGAAGATGCAGAAACGGCCATTGCTGGTATTCTTGTGAAAGATGTTTCTCAAAGACCCGAGGCTGGAGGTTAGTACACGCCTAATTCTCATTTTGACTTCCTCGAAATTGCTTTCAGTAAAGTATTCCAGGAAACATCCTGTCGAGCACCTGAACTTTATCTCATTGCAATTCGTTTTCTCAACAAAGAATTAGTGTTTGAAATATATCTACTGATGTTTTGTGACAAAACTTTTGCGTTTTTCAGGAATCAAGAAGTTGCCATTTTTTTCTGTCTTGGAATGGTTGAACATCGATGGTTACCCAGCGCCATTCGTTCCAAACCCTGACGACGATATGGACACATTTTACTTTGAAGGTACGATCGCCTATCAAACTTGCAAGGCTTCTTAATGAGTCGAAATATATGTACAGTGGAACTTCAATATATATTGCATTTTCTAAAAGTTTTTTTTTATCAACAGCCCGCAACAACGTTCAAAACCTGCATATGTCATCATTCTGCAACTAACCAGAGAGAAACAAGAACTACAAACAATTTATCCAGTGATCAAATCTAATACAAACAGATCATGTGTGGGTTAAAAAGCAAAACTACAAATCGTGCCCTTCAAAATCGCGATTGATGTAACAATACGATGTAAAATTTTATATTTTATTATCTTCATTTATTACAATGATGCTCAAAACAAGAGCTCGTCTTCAACGAGATGCAATTTTCTTCCTTAAAGTTTGGGGACCTACCATTCATGTCTTTCAACTGAAATTCCATTGCAATCATCACATTTTTTTATTTTACTGTATGTCAAGTGTGGTGTTCAGATCTGTTGCTTGGTACAACACCTTGTGGTTAATCATTTTAGTATCACACAATCACCATATACACAATTCCGTTTGTACTTACCATGTCTCAAAATGACGTCAACTGTACTTTACCATATTTTAATAATTACCACATTTTCACCGTTAGAACGGTTAACTGTAAGATTCGAACTCATATTCGCACGTATTCACCTGTGAATACGCGGTTTTTCATGCAGTGTGTTATTATACACTTTCTTTCTCTTTGTATATAACGTATACTTACCGTTCCCCGCTTCCGGAGGAACATATTTCGAAATATCCGGACAATGTGAGGGACCAACGTTCACACATTTGTTCCTGAAGAAAAATGTACGAATTAACACTTGCTCAATTTAGAATGGCACTGTGGTCATTCCTGTATGAAAATCATTGTCCGAAAATAATACAAATGGACCCCGAATCTTGACCAATATGAACTAAGTCTTATTATCAACACGCTGTTATATATTCGAGATAATATAAAAGGCGCTTAGTTTGCTGAGATGCCAGGCTACCGGTATTTCATTTCCGATCCAGGCTTCGATCAGAAATGAAGATCCACGCTAATGTTTTTCGGCATGATTGAAGTGATACTTTGGCTTTAGCAACCCATAAACCTCAGTTTTACCGCTATTCTGAAAACAGAGCATTTGATATATATAAACGAATGGTTTGACTCACCTCGACCGAATTTCCGAAGGCGAATTCGCAAAAAATTTGCACTGTAGGCTACCGAAGATTGTTATCGGTGGGAAAACGAAAGTCATCTTTCTCCCAGGCCCGGGTTTGCGTTACCCTTTGTAATTCTTCAATGGTTGGATCGGAAGTGTATATCAGAAAGAAACTAAGATCCACCTTTCGTCTTGCTCGAAAACATAACATCCCTTTCCGTAATTATATTTGGAGTTGCCAATTTTTATTCCGGCATCAAGTTCGCGACTTTGCCGTCGACAATTCAGGCTGTAGGTTTTGCGAGATGCGTTTAAAGCCGCGTTTAACGAATTTTAATCGCTTCCTCGCGATAACAGACCAAGACACGACCAAGTAACTGCTCAGCGTTTACAGACAATATATACGAATGTAAAAAATGTTTTCGTTAAACTAAGTTCAACGATCTTCTTTTCGGGTTTCTGTTCGTTTTCAGACGACACAAAAATTTCAAGCTTGTAAATAAATTTTAAAAGGAATAAAAGAATCAATTGCCAGGTAAACTATAATGGTGAACTATAACGTGTTTCTACAAATAAACCTGCAGAACCACTTCATTCTGTCGTTTTATGAAAGGCCCGTAAAGCAGGGATACTATATAAGTCAGAGATAACAAAAAATTGAAGTTTTAAAAATCACATTTTATTAAAACAGATACCGGCGAAGTTCTCAGAATTATCGATATTACTAAGCTGTCAAAAACGCAAACATTTTCTAGGAATTATTTATACAAAAACCATCTGATTTTCGAATGAGTGCTTCGCTATTCTGGATGATGCAGCTACTGCGGTTCTATTGCCGGATAAATGTATAGTCTCGCCGCTTTTAAACTTTCAACGAGGACAAGTAAAATTATTGTTCGACGAATGACCACGACACGGAGCTCTTGGTTGGCTATCATACGACTATATCGGCTATATTACACTGATTAAATCCGGATTTCCGAAGGACGGCATCTCTCACCAATCACGGCCTTAGAATAGAATGACGTCATGTTAATATTAGCGAGCAAGCAACGAACGAACACAGTTTTTTTGACAAAACAGAATTTCTAGTTCAGATGATAGTAGATTCTCTAAATGATGCCACAACAGCTTGCGAAAGACTGACAGAAGTTATCAGATCAATTGATAAAGACAAGAAATAATTCTGAATGCAAGCAGTTGCCAATGCCTGATATTCCTGAATGGTAATTTGTTTAGCTAATATTCCTGCACTCAGAAATACTTTGTTAATATTCCTGCATTAATATTCCTGTGCATACAAGCAACCCAGGTTTGTTGTTGAGCAGGGAATTTGTGACAATTGTCCACATCACAAGAGTCAGACTTTTAATAACATACCTTGTCCTTGACCGTAGGATTGCCTGCCTCCTTGCTGACCGCCAGATGGAGGGCCACCATATCTGTCTGTTGACTGACCATAGCCATCACTGAAAGTCATTAAAAAAACACAAGACTTGCATTGATTTGCTACATGGAAGCTGCTTTTAGCAGTAAGTAAATCTAGGAAAGTGAATAAATTTCAATTCCAAAAGAGTTCATTAAGGGGCTAATTTTGAAAACACTTACCTTCCTCCACCACCACCACCATAACCTTGGTCATTCCTCTGATATCGGTCACCGCCACCACCACCACCACTACCCCCACCATAACCTCGATCTCTATCACCATAGCCACCACCATCACGCCTAGGAGGTGGTGCATCATATCCTCCACCACCACCATACCCACCATCATAGCCATCTCTGCCACCATAACCATCACCTCCACCATATCCCCGATCATCACCATAACCATCATTGTACCCACGAGGGGGTGGTGGCCCACGTCTATCTGGTCCCCCACGACCTCTGGGAGGCCCACCTCTTCCCCTTGGAGGTCCTCCTCTTCCTCCACCTCTAGGACCACCACGTCCACCTCTTGGACCGCCCCTACCACCATAACCACCACCACCTCCACCACGACCATAACCACCACCTCCACCACCACCGTAACCTCGACCACCTCCTCTGCCACCACGGCTATAACCACCTCCTCCTCCACCACCACCACCACCACCATGGCGGTCATTTCGTTTAGCTGCTTCCCTGGCAGGATCTTTGGGATTTGCATATTCAATGTTAATGTCCTTGTTATCAATAGGCTAACAAAGAAATAATGCCTAAGTTAGTTTTGCACCACAATAAATGGCTCTTTTTAAATTTAACACACTGGATACCAAATGATAACAATGAAAAATGGCACTTATATAATAGCTTACACATCCTTGTAGTCCACTTTTCGCAGCTTCAGCAGCAGCAGGGTCTGCAAATGTCACATAACCAAACCCACGAGAGTTTCCTGACTCCCTGTCCATGACGATGCAGGCTAAATAGAATTGTTTTATTGTGAGTGAAGCCGTACAGACATACAAAATTCTCATCAACAGTTCATGACAGGAAGTTGATTGGCACAAGGATGTTTCCATGGGGCCAATCAGTGGTGTGCTGATTGGAACAAGTTTTTTATTCTGATCCGATATTTGATTCATCCAACCATCCTCCTAAATGCTGACAAAACTCAAACAGATTTGCACACCTTACTGAAGGATTTGGTTCCTACATATTTCGGTATAAAGCATAAACGTCAAATTCATACTTGTCATATACAGTATATGTCTTACAAATTTAAGATTTGCTAGCGATTTCACGATTACAGCTCCAACGCCCACAAAGTTACAAACAAATAGCTATTATTCAACTCCACTAAACTACATCTGACCAAAATACTGAGCACCTTTAAAAGCACCAAAAACGAGCAAAAAAGCAGAAGCTTTTGTCTCACTCACCATCCTCGATTTTTCCGTATTTATCGAACGTCTCATACAGAGTATCTTGCGTGACATTTTGGCTAAGCCCCCCAACAAACAGTTTATTCCTTTGGGACATTCTCGACCGTAAATTTCGCCTTAAAACCGTTTAAAAATCACCTCAAAACTTCCCTAATATACGATGTTTACACTGGAAGCAAGTTTCAGGTTTAAAAACCGAAAAAAAACCGTTCAAAATGTGATAAACAACTAATCCGATGTTAACAAACCATCTTTTACACGTGAAAGAATGGCCGAGTTCCGAGGTATTGCGCATGCCCGCATGTTTAAACATGGCATGGAGCATTATGGGAGAACTGATCAAAAAAAAACACTGGATGGTAGTCTAACTGTAAAATTTACTGTATAACGATTTTGGGGTATTATTCGGGCAGCTTTTGACCTCTAGAATAGGCCTCTAGTACCCCTATAAACTTTCTAACAACAACATGACAGTCAGTCTCTATTAATTGTGAATTTGGATGAAATATAACTAAAAATCAAGCTAACTACACGATCTGTGAAAGATGAGGTAATTTCCTTATTCAGTCTGAGAACAGGCTATGAAAGATATATTGAGACACAAAATTGAACTTAGAAATATTTTTCCTAGCATAAATGATCACAAAACAAACGACAATGAACCGCCGCTAAAAAAATTCATCAACTTGTGTTCGTCGTCACCACTAAAGCATAACTAAATCAATTTCATGATAACACCGAAAGTCGCCATTTCGTCTTTCACTTGAACAGTTTACCGCCAGACGCCATATTTTTCAATTTTCATTCAAATCTTTCACAACTTTCGGTGCCCGCCACTCGCCATAATGCCATGGTAACGTCAAGTCATGTGGGCTATTTGCCATTTTTAACAGCAGTTGGCGAACAAAGTCCTGCAAGCAAGCAGGAATGGTTAGAAGGTGAAAAAAAAGAGAGGCGGTTTGACTGATACACAAAACAGTTCAAAACAAACTAATCAGGCAACATCTACGTAGCAACATTAAGTTGCCTGATTAGTTTAGTCTCAGAGCACTTTGAGACTGAGAAGTAAGAAAGATTCCAAGACCAAAAGTATTGGAATAAAAAAGCTTTCCAGGAAGTTTACGAAACCCGAGCTCCTATCTGAAGAAAGGTGAAAAGTTTTGCAAATCAGTATTCCTGGATTAGAGAACTGCGCATTAATAGATACCTAGGAGAGAGGGACCTCACCTTACACAAAAAAATCACATCATGTACGCCTTCGGGATAACTCTATGCCTTTTTCTTGTTTTCGCTTTGGTTGCTTCGGAATCTGAACTTTCAGAACTACTAGATGACGACGACGGTTGCTTCTTTTTCTGTCTGGTCAGCAATCTTTGTTGATCCACGCTGGTGTACTTTTCACGACGCACTTTCTCCCTGTCCACACTGGATGGATGAATGAAATAATATTTCTTCTATCCAAAGCCGTACTTTGTAAATTTGTATGGGAGGGGGATTCTAAGATTTCATTCGAGGGGGGGGGTTAGAATTTCTTAGGGGTTGTAAATTTCTTTAAATTTTGTTCGCTCTCCTCAATCGTGAAGAGGTACTTCTAAAAAAGATTCTAGGAAGCGATATGTTTAGTACATACCGTAATCGAGCAACGTCTACATCTCTCAACCTGTCTTCGCGTCTAGGCGCAGGGGGGTAATCTTCATCGTATGAGGCAGGTGGCCTTCTGTAGTCACCATAGTCGCGGGGAGGAGGATGATCATAGGCGGGTGTATCATAATAATCTCTGGGAGGTGGACGATAATAGTCTCGCGGAGGTGGGCGCTCATAGTCACGGGGAGGAGGTCGGTCGTAGCTACGAGGAGGTGGGCGATCGTAATCTCGTGGTGGTGGTCGGCCATAATCTCGTGGAGGGGGGCGGTCGTAGTCACGAGAAGAGGGACGGTCGTAGTCACGAGAAGGGGGACGGTCGTAGTCACGAGGTGGGGGACGGTCGTAGTCACGAGGTGGGGGGCGGTAAAAATCTCTAGGAGAGGGATAGTCATAATATGGATCATCCCTTGAATGTCTGTAGTATGGGTCAGGTCTTTCGTCATAATAGTATGGATCTTCGTTGGGGTACCTGTCCATGTCATAGTATCTGCCATAGCCACGACCCCGACCACGACCAGAGGGTCCTCGGCTGCGTCCTGAAGGCCCTCTGCCAGGGGAGCTCTTGGGGTCATCTGCAAATTCTACACAGAGAGTCTTGCCATGGATCCGCTGAAATCAACAAAATATTTTGAAATTTACTTAATTTCTATCTATCCATTCTCCTTGTGGCAGATACAAGAGCCTGATCTCTGTTTTTCTATCCAGTCCGATCTAACTTACCAGTCCATCTATGGCTTTTATTGCCTCCTCAGCTTCATCTTGATTAACAAAGGTCACATACCCAAACCCACGTGAGTTGCCTGTTCCTCGTTCTGTTACAATACATGCTGTGAAATCACAAACTGAGATGGTTATATTGATTGTGTAAGTTATATTATAATCAATCAAATTTCAACCTAAATACACACATGTACTTAAGAGGGCTGAACAGGAAAAGTTTGCATAGATAAAATGTCAGGACAAAATATAGACCTACCATCCTCTAGCTCTCCATATTTCTCAAAAAGGTCATAAAGAAACTCCTTTGTAGCTTCAAACACAAGTCCACCAACAAAGAGCTTATTTTTCCTTCTCTTTTCAAACTTTCTCGCCTTTATCTCATAAATATAGGGCGTCGGTCGAGCTTTCTCTCCAACCTCGGTGTACACCAAGCCATCAACAGGCTTTCTGGCAAACATGTTTCTATCAGGATTGCCATCATGACTTTGCCCTTGGTTGGTGTCAGGTGGGGGAGTAGACTTGTTCTGGTTATCCAAAGATGTTGGTGGTTCCCAATCAAACATTTCTTGGGATATTGGAACGTAACCAGAATAGGTTTTAACTCCTGAAAAGATTATTGTGTTAGAAATCAAATTTAGAGAGAAATTGAATTGACTTTTTTTGCCATTTTTTTAACATTATCTGAAGGTCCTGTGGCTACTAATTGTCACAATATATGTACTTCATATTGGCAATTCTCCCCCCATTTTTATAACCATCTTTCAAGTAACTCTAGTACTAATAAACTAGTAATAATCCAAACCTTCTCTACTGTCATCATTATTATCATTGTTGTGATCATCATCCTTCTCAATTTTAACCACAACAGCCTTGTTTTCATCCACAACATTTGCCTCCCTATCATTTTGCTTACACATATTGTTATCACTTTCATCCGGTGTGGTGATTTGGCCAGATTCATGTTCTTTATTCACAACTGGTGCTAAGTCAATGGTTTGGTTAGTATTTGTTCCATCATTTTGGTCAGTTACACCACCAACATCGTTGATAGTACCTGGCTCTACTAGGGGTACTATGCCTGGTTCAAATGAGGATACTGTAACTGATTCTTCTGTGGATGCCATATCTGTCTCTCCTAAGGAAGCCATAACTGGTTGTACTGAGGATGCCATAACTGGTTCTTCTGAGGATGCCATAACTGCTTGTACTGAGGACACTATAACTGGTTCTACTGAGGATATAACTGGTTCTTCTGAGTATGTCATAAGTGGTTCCACTGAGGATGCCATAACTGCTTCTACTGAGGACGCTATAACTGGTTCTGGTGGGGATGCCATATTTTGTTCTTCTGAGGACGTCATAATTGGTTCTACTGAGGATGACATAACTGGTTCTACTGAGGATGACATATTTTGCTCTTCTGAGGTCGCCATAACTGGTTCTACCGAAGATGTCATATTTGAATCACTTTCAACTGATGCAGCACTATCATCATTGCTGCTCTGGTTGGGAGCAGGGATTGATTCCTTGCCATCCTTACTGTTTTCAGCATCCATTGTGAATTTCACTTTTTCTCAGACTCTCAGTCAGGTAGTCAGAGTACCAAGAGAAAACCCTTGAAGCAGAGTATTCAACTTTTAGGAGCCGGTGAGGCACGTTGATATTGCTATATTACAACAATGTCTAAAAACATGAAAAACTCATCAGCCTAACCGAACTTTCCAAAACCGCATTAACATGCATGTACTGCATACAAAATATTGGGATATCAAATGTCTTTTATACAAATTCACGAAATTAGATACTGCTACGTATGGTGCTATTGAACCATTTTTCGTACAAACCTGCATTAAAACTCTGTATCGCGCGATGGTTTCAATTCTCCAAGACAATAAGCTCGTTAGTTTAGCGTTCAAAAGAACTAAACAGCGAACTCTCATGTAATCTTTCATACAAATTTCTACGAATCAAATGAAATTATATGATTTATAGTAATAAATTACTAATAATGTAACTAATTTTTATCGCGCATATTCTCAGACGCACAATTACTGACAAAAACGACACAAGACTCACATTGCGAATCGGGTGTACAAAACCAGTTTGGTGCGATAGCCAAACAGGTTCGGCCAGAAGACAAACAGGTTTGACTGGTGAAAACAGACCATCAGCCATCTCTATAAACGCTGAAAACCAAACCACGCTTTATATTTAGAACGCTAGAGCATTTCTGGTTTTTTTACGATATTTGTTAAAGAATTGTTTCAAAATGCCGGAAGATGCAAAGATCCATGTTGGAAATTTATCGTTTGACACAAGAGAGGATGATCTGCAATACGAATTTGAGCGTTACGGCCGGGTTGAACAAGGTATGACAGGCACTGACAGTGCAAGGATTGAATTGATATTTTGTTTACGAAATCACGACTTTAAAGCTGCTAATTCTGTAGCATGATATTCAAGGATAGAATAGCGATCTTTTTCAGCAATCAAATAGTGCTAGTTGAGATTTCTTGTAGTTTGTATATTGCTGTATTTATTTATGTCCACGGCTGTCGATTTAATATCGATGATTTTGTCTCGGATTTTGTAAATGTCAGTTTCTGTTTCATTTAGTTCAAATTATTAAAGATCGAGACACGGGGAGACCGAAAGGATATGGCTTTGTAACGTTTGAAAACAGTAAGGATGCCAGTGATGCTATCTATGCCATGGATCAGAAGGTTGGTTATTTAAGGAAGGGTTTCCTCCCGCCTGACAGATCATATTGCCAGAGAGAAGTTCTGGTGTATGGTTGAATTAAACTGTTGAATTAAACTGTTGATTCTCTTTGAATATTTAACTGAAAACCACAACACTGTAGCACAAACTCATCCTACTTGCAAAACCTAATTTCTTTTGACATTGGTTTAGAAATTCCTCGGCAGGATCATCAAATGTGAGAAGGCAAGACCACGGCGAAGTGAAGGTGGGGGTTACCGTGCTCCAAGAGACTCATTTGAGAGGCGTGATTTCCGAGATGACCGTGGGTTCAGAGATGACAGGCGAGGTGGTAGACGTGGTGATTTCCGGGGTCGTGATGATTTTAGTAGACGGGACGACTTTCCTCGGGATGACAGAGATTTCCGTCGCGATGACACTCGTGGACGCCAAGGTGGCAGTCGGGAAAGAAGGTTTTAGGTAAGTATAGATCCAGAAATGCTGGTTAAAACAAAGGATGAGATGGATGATAAAAACCCAAATGCTTCACTGTAGTCCCTGTCCTTCAACAAGGAATCCATCTTACCAAAAGTTTTATCTTTTGGTCGACAAGTGGTGGAGTAGATGATTATAACAAGTTTAAATGGTTAACCAACAGGATCATGTACTCATTTCAGCAGATGTTTGCTCCTTGTTCAAATATGATTTCATGTAAAGAATTGAGCCTAGTTCATCCCTTAGCTGTTACCCACTTGCTTGCCGTAAGGCCTGTTTTAAATGTTTGTCCAATGGTGACCGGGGTCTGCCAACAATGCTGCCTACACCATACTTAAATAAGTGGCCAAGCTACCACTCTTTGATAAATCTTCCAATGAGATATACCAAATCTTCCAATGAGAAGTCCAAATTTTCCACAAGTGAATTGACAGATTGCTAATCGATAATAAAAAATTGTCCAGCTGCCTTCTTAAGTTAGTCCATCGCTTCAGTCCTCATGGTACCATGTCCACCTTTAATTTGCTGGATTACAATCTACTGCTACAACAGAAAAGCAACTCAGTGGAGTAACCTAAATAGTTACCAGTTACCACCATGAACAGATCATTCTAGTATCCTGTTGCATAATCTGATGATTGTTGCCAGGTTGATTCCATAAGACAACCGTTCTGTCATCCTATACGAAGTGTTGCCTGCCTAATTCCAGGTTCATCAGCCATCCAATCTCACATTACAGAGGATTACATTGATTACCTGTTTCTCCAGATTTACCAGCTATACCAGAGTTCTTCCTTTGGCTTCCTTTTCTATGTTACTTGGAGAGAAAATCGATCCCCATATTTTTTCACTGTTTGTTTAATTAACTAATTTGGCTAACCTGATTTAGATTTCAATTGTCTCACCTCATATCAAAATTTCATTTAAAATCGTTACCCAGTAAAAGCGATTTGTAATTGGTACAGCTGTCCTTACTAAAATCATTCAGGGAGGATCATCCAACTGCACTTTTTGGGGTACCACTGAAACGTAGCATCCTAATTGTCCAATGTCATAAAATCCAGAGGTTCCTAGTACATATACACCAAGTTGCACTGCCTGATACCGAGTGATTTGAGGGTTACCCAGTTACCAGGGCTACCATGTTACCGGGTGTACCAAGCTACCAAAGGCTACCAGCTTAACACCAGTTTCCTGTTTTCATGTATGTTATCTGTTCATCATTGTGATTTCCTTTAACCTGCAGATTCACTTCCAAGCTCAAAAGGAAAACAAACCACAGAATTTCACATCCTGGAAGCACAGGCCAACGATCAAATCTCTTAAGACGCTGCATCAACATGGATCTTGTTTCCAAAATATTTCCATTTTCCTGATTTATTTTTACACCTGTTAGTTTGTTCCACTCGAGCTGTTTTTAAAATATCTCCAAGCACGTGTATATATACCAATGAAAGTTGTATCCAAGTGGCACAAGTAGACATAAACATAGTAAAGACTAAAGTACGATTTTATATATAAAGCCTGTTACGTCCATTAAAGACACGTCCTATTATTCGCTTCTACGTTTTTGCTTATCCACCTCGTCAGTGTCCAATTTCAACTGTTTTAAACGTGAATACCCTGAATAATAAAAAGAAGCGATCAAATATTGTACGTTAACCAAAATTATGTGCATCAAAAGTCACTGGTTTGGTTGGCCATCCTCTCGCCTCAATGTTTTTTGATTTGAAAAAGTGGAGTGGTCGAATCTGCCTTTAGCGTCATCATACTGTCGGTTTCCTTATACGAGCAATTTCATTCGGAACCAGGAACCAAGTCACTGTCACTTTAACAAAACATATCGCCATATTTCACTGCATAATATAAATTTTGGGTAATTGTACCTGGTCCTGGATGTTCAGGTGACTGTTAGTGGTTGGAGTTTTTACAAAGAAGAATACCCCTATAACCAGTGATTGCATTTATGTGGTAAGTGTGAAATTGACATGTTCAAATTAGCATTTATTTCAAAGATATTACTCGTTTATAAATCTAGTTTTGATCGTTTCTGGGAATCTAAACGTAAAATACCAAATCCTGATGGTGATTCCGTAAACTGGAAAATGCTGGACTTCATGGCAAATTGCCTTGCAACATTCCTCATAGGCGTAGCGACACGCTACAGCTATAGGCTAGCAATGGATCATATTTACAATACTCAATAGATTTTTGTCTGATATATCGCTTTCGAAATTTGTCAGTACGGTCAGCGTTCTTTAAGTAAGTCTGTCATTAAAGTCTGTCGTTTCAATGTTCGTCTGGTTTTGGTATAACGTCTTTTTTGACGATGTCTGTATCGTACATTGTTGGTTCCTGAAACGATATAAAAGAGTGACTTACCCACCATTCAGTACATATAACTCAATCCAATATTGATAGCACGTTAGCGCAGTGTTTGGTCGAGAAGCGCGCTTCCATACAACTCAACAGGAACACGATAATTTTCCCGCCAAAACTTGAATCGTAAACAAAACAATTTATAGCGAATGATAGAACTCTATATGCCATATAAATACATCTTCAACAATTTATATTTTCGACAGCTAAAGAAATTACAAATAGAGTAATGTTCTTGGAATGTCATTGTAATCTCAGTAGCCGGTATGTCTTGAATGATCGCCATATTGGTTAATATAATCAACCAACTAAACTGAATTGTTATGCACAAGTTAATACGTTTTGACTTTTGTATTTTTATCAGTCCTTGGGCTTATATCTATTGTCATTCGATGGTTCCTTCAACAAACATTGTTTGTTTAAGTATAATTCCAAGGGTTGGTATAAATTATGTAATTTTTTGTTTTTCAAAAGTCGCCTCAATAAGTGTACTTTCACTTAATTACGATCAGAGCTGCGCTTCTGACTTTTCGGTGGCTTAATTTACAGCTTATTAATGTTAATAGAAAACCTGAGGATAGGATGGTATTTCACTTCGTGTTGTCATCTGAGGTTCAGGTTGAGTTTGTTGGTAGTAATTATAGTTGGCGGGAAATGCTTGAGCTTGCTGTTGAGCAGGGTATTGCTGGGGACTGGAGATACTTGCTCTTTGTTCCAAGGTTCCGTAGGCATCTAAAACAAAAGAAACATTGTTTATGTCAGGAGATTTGGTACCATCAATTCCCACCCTTCGAGCGCGATCAACGAAATGAACAATGGGTCAATTTTGGGGAAAAACATGGACATTTTTTGTTGTTGCAACTACTTCAAAAGTTTCACAAAACAAACTGGATTTTGAAAACAGGACACATCACTCGAGTGATGAAAGATGTAATGTTACAGGGGATTTGAGAAGACTTCGGAATGGAAAACGAGGACAATGGAATGACACAACATGACCTGATGACGTTCCCTTTACTTGAAGAGATAGTTAAACGGTGCGATAATGCATCGTGGAAATGAACAAGCCTTTCGTATAAATCTCGTTGTAGCATTTTTCCCAAACTCAATAAAATTGTCTTACTTTGATCTTGGTATTGGCTGTTGTAGTTATAATTATAAGCGTAATTTTGGTATGGATCATTTCCTTGCTGTTGGAAATTTCTTGGTGTCTCGAATCTCTTCGCTGTTTGCGCTGCGGGAACTTTGAATGATGGAGTGAACTCATCCATGTCTTCGTAACTTGGTATATTGGTTCTTTGCTGACCTATATAGGACGATATTACATGCAGATAATAGGTTTTCCATAACTGAATGTAAAAGGTCGGAGAAGTTGAAAATATAAATCAAGCAATTCATTGTATAGTCGTAAAAAATGGGAATTAATGCATGAAATCATTCTCTTTATTCTACTTACGATCCATGCATTTCCTCATCTTCGCCTTGTACTCATAAAAAGGCATATCGCCGTCGCTATATTCTCGCACAATTTTTTTACAGTCTGTGTGGATTGATCGCATTTGAGCTAAAAATGTATACACAGTTTCTCGGTATTACGGGTCATGCCTTCGACAAAGTTTAGGACTAATGTATAAAAAAGTTCAACCCAATATAAGTGGAAAGTCATTGGATAATATAGACATTGTAACAAGCTGAAGTTCGATAAGTCACCACTCATTACATAAGCTCAAATGAGAACTCGAATGTATGAAACGGTTAGGTTTAGGTACGGTTCACTGAAAATTCACAATGTGAATGAAGGCAATCTTCAACTTTCACGAGGACGACGAGAATTGCAAATAGATTAATCTACCCCATCCGAAACTGGTGATTGGAGAAAGGAGAAATAATTTTTGGAAAGTTGTATATATATGCGTATTCATATGGACTCTTCAGTCTTCCTTCCATGGTAGTGACCTTGTTCAATCTCTGGGGAAGTTTTTATTCATTATGAAAACTCCATATGTGTGCTCAGGGGGAAAGGGGGTATTGAACACCGATCCTAAAAAAAATTAATCTTTTTCGACACAAATAACACCTCGACACATGTCACACAAGGCAACACTATTTAGTGGAACAGGGATAGAAAATTGTGGTAATCATAAAGTCCTTGATGTGAAAGGAACTGTAAAGTTGTAATTAGTCTTGAGTTTAAGAGAAAATCACTTATCAGAATCACCTCGGTGGTAAAAGCAACCTGCTGTCGGTCGGTGACCCGTGACAACTTGTCAATTGGAGCGTGAAAAGTTTGGCAATATAATAAACCCTTATAACTAACCTTAATACTTTATCAACTTACAAACGTATAAACAAACTTAAAGAATGTTAAAGAATGAATATTTTACTTTACTCTTTAGTGATAAGTATATGTTATTATTTAATAAATAATAAACACGACTTACGATCCCCATTTTCAATATAGGCCCATCTCTTCTCGACGGTGTGTCTAGGCCTTCCAAACACAAAATGAACACACAAACACGCAACAAAAATTCTTAAAACTGAAAACATTTTCGCTCTCTATGCGACAAGCGTTTTCTCTCTCCCACTTTATAACAATGGTAAGATTTCCAAATCTTGTCAATGTCGCGACTCTGTTGTTGCTCGTTTTACCGTGATGAGATCACTGGGATGATGACGTTATTGGTAAATATATGTAAACGTGATTGACAGTCTTAAACTACAAGAAGAGCGGCTATTTCAACAGCCAGTGGAAAGCGTTAACCGCGAAACACGCCTGAGAGAAAGTCCGAAAATTAACAATTTTTGATACTCGTATTATAACTTTTCCAAATGTTAAAAAGACATTTTTGAAGACAAAGGTTTTAAAAAACAAAGTTTCTTTTTTAAAAAACGTTGAATCAATAACACAACAATTTTGGGTAGTCATTGGTACTTGGAGGTGTGGTATTATTGGAAAAAGTACGCTGGGGACTAGCCTAGAAGGAAAATAGCATATTTGAACGTCTTGCTTAATTAAAGTGGAAATGTGTTGCAGAGTATTTCATTACAAATAGGAACATTGGCGTTGCGATTTTGTGATGCAAAAAAACAAACAGTTCTGTTTCGTTACCCTAACAGTAATCATATTGAAAACAACAAGAATGATAAAAACAAAGCAATTCTACTATTGTTTGGCAAATCAAGCCAAGGTCTACAAGACTCTTGAAAACTTGTCTTCTTTAAATCAAACGACACCATGGTAGCTGTTTGGTTTGCTTCTTTGGTCTAAAATACATAAGCATGAGAATATGAGACCAAGAATATACCATCAATTTCAATTTATTGAGTCCTTCAGAATTATGTACAACCTAGAATTATGTACAACCTAGAGTTCTGAAATTCCCGGATCCCAAACAAATTTGCTGGAAATACATCCATGCATTATTTGGCATTTTTTTAAATGAATCCAGTGGCCATTTTTTTTATACTTTAGAATGAAAAGTGGCTTCATTTTGCTTCTCAAAGAAGAAAAAAGATTTAAACATGTCTGATGTTATACCTGGTCAAGATGAACTCATACATTTTCAACATCCAGATAACATTATCAAAATCATAGCATAATCATAGCCATCAAATTTCCATAACATTATAAAAATGTTTCATAGCCCCATCTCATAGCCATCAAATCTCTTTTAGACTCAATTGTTCAGACTCATAGCATGAACATAGCAACATAGCCATCAAACAGACCAATACCATTAACCAATAATCATTCAGACATGACATATCATAGCAAGGCTGGTGTTTGTGTATCGACATATCATAAGGAGACATATCATATCAAGAAATACTGTTGCATGAACAGAGGCCATAGCATATCCTTACAAAACATATCCTATATGGCAACCGCATAAAAATCCAAGGAGTAATAAATTAAGGTTTTAGTACTTGTGTAAGGACATAGCTGCCTTTAAAATCATGCACATTCTTACAAACCAATACTGAAATTACCTATTTCTTTAATTTGGGCTTGGAGATTTTCCACGTGGGCTACCACTTGAGGATCTCCTTCCCGGACTGTTTGATCGCCTTTTGGGACTAGGAGAAAGTCCTTTGGGACTAGCAGACCTTCGCCGTGGGCTACCAGGTGATTGCCTGGGAGGGCTGTTAGATGGCCTTCTTCTTGGACTTCTGGACCTTCTTGGAGGACTTCTGGATCTTCTTTGAGGACTTTTCGATCGCCTTCTTGGACTGGCAGAACGCCGTCTACGGTCATCATATCTGGATGATCTTTTAGGTAATGCTTTGTGGACATTGATTTCCCTTCCAGCAAATTGCTAAACAAATTCACACATGATATGGTTATCCTATTAACAACTGTAGCAGCTTGCCCAACAAGGAAATACAGGACTTGTAGGTGAAAAATTAAACACAAACAATTCAAAACTGCTTTAAAGCTATCCAGTTTAATATAAATACACTTACTGTATTGTTTGCAGAATGAATAGCATCTTTTGCATCATCAATATCACGAAATGTCACAAAACAATATCCCCTTGGACGACGTGTATATCTGTCTGTGGCAATGAAGACTAAAAAAAAATAAAGAATTTGCTAAAAGAACCCAAAAGTTCTTAAAGAACATCAAATGTCTTGAACTCCAAAAACACGATAAGATTTTATGTTCACCTACATGAAAATGCTGAGTGAAAGCTTTAATAGACATAAGCCACACTTGCGGGTACCTCAAGTTTTTATACATTCGAGTTCTAGTTTAAAACTGGCATATACTCTTCCAGGGCTGACAAGTATTTCACACTAACATCAGGCCTACCTTTTAACTTAAACAATATTATCTTTTGGCCCTTTTGGAATTGCTTTGTATAGGTTGCAAATCAGTACGAACCCAAGCATCGTGCTACAGCATCGTGCTCGTCACACTAGTTACACTCACCCTCGTCAACATCTCCGTATTTTTCAAAATGTCGTCGCACTTCTCTTTCTGTTACATCGTAGGCCAAGTTCCCGACGTATATTTTATAATCCTCGCGATCACTCATCTTAAAATACACAAGATCTTGTGAGAAACTGGCTTTAGGCAAAAAATTCAATTCGAACAACTTGGTGGCTGCTGCCTGCGTTCTTGAACAATTAATCAACGCACGAGGAGAATAGGGATAATAAGGGATCGTTATGGTCGTCTAGCCCATAAGTGGACACATCAGGCTGTTCGCGTGTCGTCCCCAGAGCTCACTTGTCGTCCCTATGGTTCACTGGGTTCCTACGTCACATACCACTGACGGCACTGAGCTCTATATGTATCTGCATCCTCAACCTGATCTTCCAGTCTGGTATTAGTAACTCTCATTTACAAGTTAACTCATTTCTTGATACAGTCGGGAAGATTTAGGTTTTCCATGCAATTGGCAGGTTATTTCATACAAGAGTGGTAGTAACTTGGATACGAGGTTAAAATTAACCGAGTTATAAGCCTAGTTCACATGTTGCATTTCTTTCACTATCTAACTTTATATCAGCTTTTCCCGATCGCCCTGTCCCAAATACATCCATGAAGAATGTTTCTAGCAAAATTGCTCTATTAAAATTCTGTTACATTTACAATTTTTCAAAAATATTTGTAACCACTACCACAAACGAGAACTTTTGCTTCTCTCACAGGGGGACAATGAGTATTTTTTGAAATATTTCACACGTGCACACCAGTGGGTATATCACGCGCCATGGGACTAACAAAAGTTGGTGTCAAATTGGTTTCAGAACTTATATCAGTTTCGGAACTTGTTCCACGTTGTAGAACGTTTTGAACATCCATATTGAATGCTAATACCACCTCTCGCTGCACTTTTGCATTTCTCTCCTGAACTAATCTTTCTTACTACTTTATTTGCACCAACATTGCTGTGAACATTTAAGATAAACGATGATTTAATAGAAGATTTGTGGTGCAGTCACCAACAGCAGATTTGAATACAGAAAGTTAAGTGAGGGCAAATTTACATCCGGACTATTTTTCGTCAGTAAAAATGATTTGTTTACAGAAAACATGGTTACAATCAATTACTCCAATTTTTGTATATTTTTTTGGGCAAAGAAAACCTAGTTCTATTACTGGTGGTCACATTGATATTAAGTCCTTGAACAGTCAACTAAAACACTTTCAGGCATTTCCCTCCTATTTTATCACTCATCTCACAAATTCTGGGTAGCCTCGACCTATTAGTTCGGACAAAGTTATTGGTAACTTTTGCACGCTATAACCTCACTTACTTGCCAACGAAAGCAATTTTATTATAGTTGATAATTCACAATGAAATCCCCACTCAATCACATACCATCTGTATTTTTTTTTACAGGGTATGCAAGAAGGCATCCTCCAAAATTACAAATTCCAACAGTGACCAAATTTTTTGACAAGTAAAAGCATAATTAGTCACCAATTGTCACCAATGGGAAAACACATGGCCAAGTTTTTAATAAACAGTCACAATAGACCTCATAATGTACACAAAGAACAACAAAAATAGAACATAGAAATCAAGGCACAACAGTAGATCAGTTGAGGACAGAACAAGTTCAAACTGGTTTAAAATTTTCTAAGAAGCACTGAAAATGCTACAAAGTTTTTGGCATTCTTAATTGTGAAAATTTTACCAGATAAAACAAGCAGTTGTACAAAAAATGAGTCCAAACAGGTTTTGTAGACAATGAGGTACTGTTGGCGGCAAACCGGATATGAAAATAGAATACAACTAAAAGACAATCTTTAATCGGACAATATTAACAGAAACAATTTAGATTAAAATAAAAAAAAGATATAGACATCGTTCTCTGCCAGACTTTCAAACCACCTAAGTTCAATGTGCTTCAAATCTTGTATAGGACTGGACAAACCAATTATGTAACAAATCCGGATCAATATTCTCAGACATTTGAACAGGCATTCAGTCATCATAGGCCTTCATAGTATAAGACAAAGAATACATACAGTCATACGCAGTCAAAATTAAGAAGACATATTCAAGAAGAAAATGGATTACTTAGGCACCCTTATATTTATTTAAGAAATGTGCATACAATGAGAAATTGACTTACCTATTAATAGTTATATTGGCCTCCTCCACTACCATAATTATAGCTTCCATCACCATAGCTGTCACCAGCATAACCACCACGACCACCACCTGCACCATAACTACCTCCACCATAACCACCGCCACCACCATAATTACCACCACCACCACCACCATAGCCTCCTCCACCACTTCCATAGCCTCCTCCGCCACCTCCATAACCACCACCACCATAACGTCCACCTCCTCTACCTCCCCCTCCACCACCACGTCCACCTCGACCACGTCCACGGCCTCCACCACCACCAAAACTTCTACCTCCACCACCTCCTCCTCCACCATCACTACGTGGCTTTGCATCATTTACATTAACCTTGCGGCCATGTAATTCCTATAAAAGCAAGCAAAAATAATATTTTTACTAGCTTACAATGTGAAACTATTAACAAAATGACTTTGACTACATGAAAAGCTAAAACTGATTGAAACTAATCTTCTAAAGAAAACACCTAAGCTTAAAAGGGTGTCAAAGTATCATTCAAAGCTATTTGAAGACAACACACACCATAGCAACAAAACCTATGCATTAAACAAAATGTTGATCTAACATACCCGGTCATTTAGAGCTTCTTTTGCACTTTTTGCATCATCAGCATTTGTAAATGTAACAAACCCAAAACCTCGGGACTTGCCAGTTTCCCTATCCTTCACAATCACAACTAAAAATCACAAGGAAAAATTACTATTTACACTACGTTGTGCTGGGTCTGGAAACCTTAAACTATGGTCTGATTTGGTACGGCCCAAGGTATTGTTCTGACAGGAAAAAATAAAGAGAATGCACATGAACCTCGCATGATACTGGCATACTATTTTTACTTTTTTCCAATGATATGCCAAGGGTGTATTCTGTGTAGCATACATAAAAAGATCTCTTCAGCATAGGGTTGTGAAACTGCTTGTAAATTTGGCAGATAAGTGAACTTTCCAGTATGGTTAGACACTTAACAGTGATTTCAGCATGAAAAGTGTAGTCAGAAAAAAAAGCATTCAAGGCTAAGCATTATATAATGAAATTGGCAACTCATATGCTTATGTTTTTTCGCACAAATTGACAGATCACGCATAGAATTTTGGTTCATATCAGTCAAATCAGTAGGATTTATATAGTACTTCATTTCAAATGTATTATAATTTATAATAATGCCACTGACAAAGCACATGCATGAAATATTTGCCGCAAAATATTTCAAAATTCGCGACGAAAGATATTAAACGGTGTCAATATATTCAATATAGCATCAGAACATCTAAATATCAATAATACATTCGCCTAGACGTCTTAGATCATGTGAAATAAGTTTCAAATGGCTTTAAAACTTGAATTCTAAAAGCAAGCATTCGAGCACGCGGTGAAACGAGTGGAGAAGTATTGCCACTAATTTTTCACTCACCATCTTCAACTGTACCATGTTTTTCACACATTTCTCTTAGGTCGTCTTCAGAAGAATCGAAGGAAACATTTCCGAAGAAAAGTTTACAACTTTCGCCCATTTTTTGTGTTTTTTGTTCAACGTACACGCCAAACCAAATGCTTCTTTCCTTTCGCGGCGAGAAGAACGAGAATTGTAGAAACAAGTCACGTGGCTATACCGAGATGCACGACGATTGACGAAAATTCTGCGTGTTTCCATTCCCAAAGGAAAACTTCTTGTATCCTCCATCTTTAAAATTTCTTTACCTGAAAGGAATTTTATATCGTCAGTTTATTACGTTTAATTAACGCCGTGGGCGTTCCCTATATGAGTCCATAGGGCGTTGGCGACTTGGCGTTGCCAATTTTTCAAACAAATTGTCTCGCAACGGGTTGAACTGTGAAAAAAGTCTGTGATTTTGAACCTTTGTGCGATATTAGGGCCATCACCGTTTGCAAAAATAGGAAAACCTCCTTGCATGTCATGTAAACACCATGTCGGAGACACGAATATTTACGATCTCTCACGCCTACTCACTGGAGCCATTAGTATTCGAGACTCAAACAAAACATTCCTCTCCCAACAAAGCGAAAAGCAGCTTTACCTCTCTTAATCCCTTCTTTTGGTTGTCGCGTGATTTTACATGAAATATTTCAACCGCAATAAATTCATTTCACTCGTTGGACACTTAGCGCAGATTTGTGATGCCGTAACTAAAGTGACGGCCGCGAATGGTTCTTCAAAGGCTTGTCTCCCGCGAAACATTGAAAAAACGCTGAAAAAGCGGGAAACTACAAACATACCACGGCGAACGACGAACTATGGTTGTAAATATTCGGTTGTCTAGTTGCAGGATGCCAGGGTCAAAGGGCGTCTTCACTTGCGCGAAGTGAAGATTTTTTTACTCTCATAGACCATTTATCAGATTCATCTGATGAAGTGGATGACTTACTAAATATTTGTCCATTACATATATCTCCCCAATTTTTTTCAATTTTTCACAAAACCGAAAAAGATCTAAACTGTGCGCCCAATTCCAGTTCTAAACTATTTCATTTCTCCTGAATTCTGATCTAGACGTCTATGGAATTTCTTATTCACATGAACATTTCCTAGTGTGCATTTAATAGTGTGCATAACTCACGACTTTACTTTGAAAACTGACTTGGGATTTTGGCTGCAAATCTGCTTAAAGTCTTATACTACCTGTTTTTCCGATTCAGTCGAGTCGGAGGAGTCCTAATGGTACAGATTCCGGCAATCTATTTAGGATGGTCATTAAGCAGACGCTCAAAGTTGAATGTAAAAGAAAATTTCGCAAATGCAGACGCTGTTACAAAATACATTTAGACAAGCACAACAGTAGATCACTTGATGAGAACAGAACAAATTCCAACTGGTCATCGACCTGTTTATCCGGTTCTACCGGTTTTTAGCACATTATTCGTTGACAAGTTCCCAGAAAGTTCAAATAGCTCACGAAATACTCACGGAATAAAATGTCCACATTCTAGTCGTTGTTTAAATGATATTCTGTTTCAGTAAAGGTAATTTAAAAGATTTTGAAGCAAGCCTTTCGCCAATGGTTTAAACTGGTAACAAAGTTGTTTTAATCAATTAGTTTAAAAACAATCTTGTGGAAACAGGTCACAAATATTTTTCAAGAAAAAATTTGAAAAATCGTTTGTAAATTTGATAAGTAAAATAGGTAGCTTTGTTGATAGAACCAAGCACAAACAAGTTTCAAACTGGTTTTGTGGACTCTAAATGAGGTACTGTTGGCATAGAAAAGGAGAGAAACATCCAATAATCATATTTTAATCGGACAACATTGACAATAAGTAAAAAAAAGTTGACATCATTGCACGGGTAGACTTCTCTCGCGAACATGGATCACCTAGAGATCAATTGGCCATGACTCTTTGTTGGATCGGCCAATGTCATAATTGATACATAACAAGAGATTCACTGAGTACGATTCGATCATTTTGTCATCCCGAGCCTTTATGTGAGAACAGAATAAGCATGGCCATATCAATGAACACTAAAATGCATCAATATGCTGAGATCCAAAGGGAACATAATGCTATAGGTTTTCTTGCTGGTTAATACCGCAGAAGTTGCATTGTGGTCAACACTAGTATGCTCTGTATGTAAACCACATTATTGAGTGCATCACATCATTAAATTTTTTGGACAAGTAGCATTGTGGCAATAAAATACATATGAGAGTTGATAAAATCTAAAAATACTATATATATATAGCACTGGCTTACCTATGAAAGTTTCAATATCTGTTACCACTACTGTATCTGTCACCACCTCCATATCCTCGGTCAGAACCACCACCACCATATCTATCACCACCATAACTACCTCGACCACCTCTACTATACCCACCATCACCATAACTGCGGCCACCACCACGTCCACCACCACCTTCCCGACGAGGTCTCGACTCGCTCACTCTAATGTTACGTCCACCAAGCTCCTGGAATGAAATAAATTTGGTTTGAAATAAAAAGTAACCACACAAAATCATAGGTAGCCCAACACTTGTGGTCAGCACGTGCACGCTACTGATTAATATATGATAAAATCTGATGCAGAATAACGCCAGTCTGCCAAGGACCGCTTCATCACCAGGGAATATGGAATCTTTCGGATTTCAATTGAGACAGAATATGTGCCAACCAACTATTTCACTTATACTTTTCTTAACCGATCAACTGAGGGGAGTTCCTTGTAATAATCAATTTGGTAATTGGCATACCGTTTCATCCAGTCCATTAATGGCTTCCTTGGCATCTTCTTCATTTTCAAATGTGACAAATCCAAAACCACGAGGTCTGCCAGTATCCCTGTCACTCACAATGATGACTAAATTGAAAAAATATGAATCATCATTCATCAATCATGGAATCTGCTTTAGACAAATCATACAATTATATACATTTTTTATGGTTACAATTCATTCTGGATCAAGAAAACGCCTAAACAGACCGATTCTGAAATGGAAAAAACTAGGCCGGATTATTAAATACACTAGTAACGATTGCCATCAGAAACAGTTCAAATTCGGTTTGATTTGAAAGGCATTTAATACTTTTAGTAACAACAAACGACCAGCAAATCCGGGATAGAATAATTTGGAGGCTTAGAAACCCATCTCCCTTTGTCAAGACGATAGAAATTAAGCGCGCTATTTCACACGCAAACAAAATCACCACTGAAATAAGCAATTGTTTCCTTGCCCTACCGTCTTCAACGGCGCCATATTTTTCAAAAGCTTCGCGAATTTCCTCTTGTGATATTTTAAATGGAAGGTTTCCGACGTGTACTTTGCGCGGTTCGGCCATAGTTTGTAAAATACTTCAGGTGTTAGCTTTTGGAAACAATCAAAACTATAAATTTGATTTAGATTTTACTTGGAACTGTTGGAAGTTGAAACACGCATGTAAAATATCACGTGTTACGCATTACCAAAGGCGTTCCTCGCACCAGGTCTCCTTATTTTCGCAATCTCGAAACCAGAGCCCACTCCCCCCGATGGATCGCGGGCTCTGGTTTCGAGATTGCTTATTTTCGTTGTTTTCCCCACTGAGCTATATTATAATTCCTGGAGGACTTGCTCTTGACAGTTCACTGTTAACCATCTAACAGCTGCCTACCTAAATTAAAACAATAGACTTCCCAAGAATGACATTTAATATTTTTATTTGATGTTTTGACTATCTTGCGATGATTACATTGTTTATATTTTGTGGTTAATTTCGTGCAGAAGGGTCGCACCTTTTTTTGAATTATTGTAGCCGTATAGTAAACTTACAGTTGAATGTTTCTACAATCTTGATTCTTGGATGTCATTTTGTCCACGTAGGGTATATAATCGTCAACTTGTAGATTAGAATTGAGAGTTTACTACAAATTTTGAATGGCTGGCAGTATTATAAAAATCAGGAAAATTTATTATACGCTAAATCAGTATGTTAGGAAGAAACACAAAATGGTTTTAAGACCACGAAATCTTCAAAAGGTCCTCATGATGTAAACAATATGTTTGGAGTGATTCGACACGCTGATGCCATTGAAAGATTACTTGAAATTGTTGGAGAAAAAACCCCGAAAATATAGCATAAAGCCTAAAAATATGGCTGACGGTTTTCAGACCATCTTAAAATATGTTTGATGGGTTATATTAATGTTTTTTCAGTCTGTCAATGTACAATTCTCATTCCACTGTCACGGATTTCGCCAAATTTCTTGGGCAGTCAACCTATGAAGAGAATTTCAAAAACCAATTTACTAAAAAACCTCGTAAAAGACGTTAGCTAACGGTCATTAATTAGTGACCGGTTGGCGGTCCAGCTAACACTCCATATAAATGACCTCATTATAGTATAATACTTACGTCATATCCACGTAAGCAAGCAACGTGAAAGGAGAGAAGTTGTAATGGTATAACAGTGAGAATCCCTTGAAGGCAGTCGACTGTCTGTGGTATTTCAACATGACGGAACGCATATTTCTTCACTTCTTCGTCACCTTTGGAACACAATATGATAGGACGACCCTTGGCAAATAAAATTGTTGTTTGTGTATTTAATGAGAGTAACTTTAATAAAACCCCTTTACCAGGGTTCCATTCGTGCAAAATGGAGCGGTTCCAGCTTACCGATAATGATTAGAGATCATTGTCGAGACGAACGGGGGGATGGAAAAGGAGGAATGCAGTGAACTGGAAAAATGTCACGTCAGAACAATGATAGTACCAGAACTGACGTGGTTTCATGCAAATCAGGAGCTAACTCACCTGCCTGGCTGTTACCTCATGGAGAGCATTCATGACTTTCTGTAAAGAAAGAATCACAAAATATAGTTTTGTCGGTTAAAGCCTCAAAAGCTTGGTCAGTAAGAAGATCTGCCAACAATACTGACCTGGTAAAGTCGATCCTTAGTTATGATCATAACGATTGGTAATACTTTGTCCACCATTGCAAGAGGACCATGTTTTAATTCTCCGGACATTATACCTTCGGAGTGCATGTAGGTGAGTTCCTTGACTTTCTGCAAAATTCATACGATGTCATATTTGTCAAAACTCGCTCGCTATTAATATGAAGGAAATGCCACAAAATTCGTTTCTATTTCATACCAGAGCTCCCTCGAGACAGGTGGCGAAGTTGTAGCCACGACCAAGAATCAACAAACTTTTTTGTTCATAAAGCTCCTGCGCAAGTTCTTTGATCTTAACGTCAACTTTCAAAACTTCTTTAATAAGTTCTTAAAAAAAAAACGATTTAGTTTGGTTAGTGTATTCGGTGCATGGTCAAATTCAACTGCCCTGTAAAGAAACGATAGTTTTGATGAAATTGACGAATTAATTGGACATTGCTATGGTTGATGGTGTTGATGATGATGGTAGATGAGAATGAATGGTGGTAATGGTGAATTTGGAAGTGCTCTTAACTCACCTGGTAGTTTCCTCATGGCATCGATTATCTCCTTTCTTCGTTCCACCTTTGACAGGCGATCAGCACTCACCATCAAGCCGAACATCACCAAAGTTAGGAACTGGCTGGTGTAGGCCTAGAAAATCGCCAAAAACATAACATTGCATTCGGGAGATGATTTTAAATGCTGGCGAGTATAGTTTACTCGCATATGTGTGACATACGCTGAGTATTGTAAGTAATCAGAATGAGCAGAGATGAATGGCCGCGTCGAATGCATTTCTAATGAAAGATACTGAGATTTATCAAACCTTTGTGCTAGCGACGCCAATCTCAGGTCCCGCGTTGATATGGCAACCGCACTTCGTCTCACGTGACACAGTACTTCCAACTGTAATGCAACAATGGAATTGATTATTAAAACATTTCACGGTCGTACACGCTCATCTCCGGTTTAGGTTTTGGCTCACCTGTGTTAGTGATGCCAACGCAAAGAGCGCCACGTTCCTTGCAGTAACGCAACGCGTTCAGAGTGTCAGCTGTTTCACCTAGCGAGGAGAATTCTCACGTCATGTTTCAAGCATAACGAGATAAAACAAAAGGCGGCGAGAATTCGACAAACCTGATTGGCTGATAAAGAAGCATACGTCATCACGAAATATGGGCGTGGCTCGATCTAAGAAGTCACTCGCGAGTTCGACCATGACCGGAAGTTCGGTAAGCTCTTCCAACATTTGACGAGTCTGGAATAGTTGCATGACTATTAGCATAAAACCCGTATCAAACGAGCTTAGGTTTGGTTCATGACTGATAATAAGTACACAATCTGAATATACGAAAATTCAAAGCATTACCGCCAAAGCGCTATGGTAACTAGTACCACACGCAATGAGAAGCAGACGACGGCATCTTCTTATGATATCAACATATTTTACCAAACCACCCAAGGTTACTAACGGAAGAAAAAAACAAAAAGATAGTTTGTTTAAGTTTCCTAAGGTTCACCGAAATCTCCACCGTATTCAACCCGCTTTCCGGCAGAGATATAGCTGGATTGCTTGGTCCCTATAATCATGTATAGATTTTTAAACCATCTCAAAATCACAAACCTTTGTAATTGTCAAAATCAACTCGTCCACGCATGGTGTTGATGACACTTTCCGGTTGTTCAAAAATCTCCTTTTCCATGAACGTGCTGTAACCAGCTGAAGCAGAAATGAGTGCACATGTGTATATTTGAATTATGGTGATTCATTAAAACAAACTTAATACTCCTCGGCATTCATCCACTTGTAAAGGCTTTTCCGTTTTATGCGTTGTCTTAACGTCTCTACCACCACGCCCACGTTGAATGGATGGATGGCTATTTTTCTTAACTATTTTTCCTATCCTTTTCATTTACCTTTCATAATTTGTTGCAACTCCATTTGCAATGTTTGAATCTCTCGATGCATAACTCCATCCGTCTTCTGTTCCTTCTTCAATCGGTGAATGAAAAGACCTACGGAAATAGTATGTAAACTTGGTATTCTCCTTCCAATCTTATCATGCAAGAAACATCTGCCTCGCCTATGGATTGCTCGAATGCGCAAAGAGGTGAAGGATCGTCAACCCACAACCCATTTAGGCCAAAGGTTGGGCAGAAGGGGAGCAAATTTGGGTATTATGTTGGAGAACGATAAACTATGCAAGACGTCGTTTTATAAAAATCACAATTTCTTTCTTACTTCCGTCAACCACTGAAGCAACGTCATTGTCTTCAAGGTAGATAACTCGATTAGTGTGTTCAATTACGGCGCTGTAATTTAGAAGAACAAAGTTAAATCCTGGCAGTTATAAATTAAAGAATAATATTACGGATTATTTGACGTTGCTCTTCCTTGGCATCTCTAAAATAGTGATCATGATCATGAAACGAGGAAATAACCTATGAACGAGGATGCTCTGCTATGTCTATGCGCCTTATATCCACAGTCTTATCATACCTTGCATCAGACGCAAAGAAATACTCGATGGCGGTTCCTTCGGACACATTGTAATACATAGAGTTAGTGCTTCCCATGCTATCCAGACTGTCACTTCGAGACAATTTCATTGGGTTATCTACGAACAAATCAGTGAATTGATTTCACTGAGTAAATTTGTTGTTTGCAATAGTAATGGATCATAGTAACAATCTTACATGTCCCCCCCCCCCACATTCTAGGACTGATCCTTGTCAGGATTCGAGATTTTTTCGTCTCAATTGCATTATGACCAAAAACGGTTTGAAAAGGTTCACACAATCTCCTGTGTGGCCCTGAAGCATTCGAGTCCAGTTTTCTTTTGCGGTTTGTGATGCACGCATGCCCTCTTTCTGGTACGCGTGTTTGTTCCCGCGACGCGATACCCGAGATTCCGCAACGTGAGGGAAAAAAATTGCAAAATAAAAAATGTGCGTGACACAGATCGCGATATGAAAACTGGATACAATACTTCTTTGCTATCTTGAGCATTGACATTCTTAAAAATAATAGTGAATACAGATATATGATGAATTGTTATTGTTGATACCTTCACTATACAAAATTGGCACTTTGTCTACTGTCAGGGGTGATTTGCTTTTTATCGCAATGAGCAAAGGACTACCACGTCTAAGTTGGAGAAAAGAATATTATTAAGGAACCTTTAAGATCTTTTGCACAAACAGGAAAATTTATCTCATAAAAGATTGAGCAAAGTACCTTGCAACAACACATTGACCAGGAAAGTGAAGGCTTTTAAATACTAAAGCAAAAGCTCCTTCCTACAGCATGAAAAGTTACAATTATAATTTAAAGATTATCATGTCAACTGGAGGGATGATTATCAATGGTATTGATTATGGTAATCATGATGATGGGATCATGGAAAGGTATGATGATGACAAAGTATAAGGAGGATGATTGTATGATGCTTCCATGATGCATGTATGATTTATTTCATGTTTCCCTGGTGGACTTATTCTAATGAATCAACTTACCAGTTGCTTTACTACAAGTTCAACAATTTCTCGAAAGGACACAGTTCCCTCCTCTCCTTTCTACAAACAAACACGAAAGTTATCGATTGTTAGGTGAACTCATTGAGAAGTGACTAAGTGATTAACAATTTTATTTATTTAAGGTTTAATTAATGCATAAATTTTCTTACAGATGTCTCATACAAATATTTGGCCAGTTTCGGAATCACTTCTGTGTCAGTGTCTGACTCAAACTTGTAACCTTTGCCTTGCTATGAACAAAATATAGAATTATTGTTGGACAACTGCATGCAACTGGTCTGGGTTGTTAATTAATACATATTCTAATACAGTGCATCTTAACCAGAACCTGACTTACCAAGAAGGTTTTAAGGTCTTTGAAATTTGTGATAATGCCATTGTGAATGACAATGAATTCTGAAAAAAAAGTTACTGATTTATCTGGTGGTCTTATCTAACTGGCTTATAATAATTTAGAGAGATTTAGTTCTTTTTCAGGAATAATGTGTCAGCTATGAGCTATGTATGGTTATGCAATGCATCTTTCAATAACCAGACTAGGTAACAATATAACATCCCAATATTTGATACTAAATGAATACCAGTCATATGATCCATTTTCTTACCATTTTCTGGTGATGACCTGTGTGGATGACTGTTCACTTCATTTGGCACACCATGAGTCGCCCATCTTGTGTGAGCAATGCCGAAATGAATGTCAAAATTTGCATCAAAATTGAGATCTTGTACCTCTAAGGGACGATGTAAGAGGAGAACTTATTAAAGCCCTGGTAGATTTCAGAATGGATTCAACTAGAATCTAGTCTGTTTATGAAGTTAATAGAGTAGTAATAATCTCACTCTGAATTGCATCCTCAAGAGCTTTCACTTTTCCTCGTTTTTTCACCAACCTTAACAAACAGTATTAAATGGTTATCTAATACTGGCATGGTGTATTTGCCCACTGTTAAGTTTCAAAACAAGCAAAACGGACTGTCAGGTGTTAATGTGATTCCAGGAATTATTGTTCAAACAAAATGCAAACTACTTGTATCAAATGATTTTGCACAAAGACTGTTTACTAACTTATACACAAAGAAATTCTCAAACAATATTATGTAATTCCTTAAGGACTTAAAGAATGAATTGTTAATGCTAAAATTGAAGCATTACTAGGAATTCACATTCAACTGCATGTTGTAACAAGATACTGATTTATAGAAACAGGTGACTTTCACATGATATGGCCTGGCTGTTTAGATAATTTAAATGTCAAGTGAAATCCATGCACATGTAAAATTGATGCATTTCCAGGAATTCACATTCAACTTCCTGATGTAACAAGGTACTGATTTAGTTGCAGGTGACTTTCACATGATATGGCCTGGCTGTTTAGATAAATGTCAAATGCAATTCATGCACATAATGATGCAATAAATGAGATGCTAATGTGTTTCTCCAAGGGAATATTCGATCTTAAAAAATATGTATCCTAGTAGCAAATAAATAGCGAGTACAAAGCTCATTTTAATATACAATTACTCGCTGCAAGCCTGCCAAAAAATGCATTGTATAAAAAAAGTTCAAATTGCAAAACGTCCAGGAGTAAGGACTGCATACAAATAGTTCAGATTTAATAGATTTATCTCGTTTACACAAAGTTTAGCTTTAGTTCTACGTAAACAATATTAAAGTACACAACGTACGTTGTCGTTTTGAACAGAGGCTCATCATACACAATACTTCAATCGGATTTACCACAATATTATGAAAAAAAATAGATCCAAACCTACTTTATTTGTTTCAAATCGGAACCATGTAACTTGACGTCGCCATCAATACCAATTCCTTGAAGACAAATGAAATTGTTCAGTAAAACGGTTTTTGCAAGCTTGCTTGGAAATTTCATTGTATAAGAAAATACTCTTCCAAATATATATCAAAACATACCAGTCGAATCATAGCCTCTATATTCCAAGCGTTTGAGACCTTTTATGAGTGTATCGATGATAAATTTCCTGTCTCTTGGGACGAGATAGTTGAGGTAGGCAAATATCCCTATAAAAATACCCAGAAATGTCTATATTTCTGAACAGTGAGGTTATAACTTATAAGTAGTCGTCTTCCCGATAAAAAATTAATTCAAAGCTATAACTAGTCTCTTTTTTAATAAGTCTCTTTTTGAGCTTTAAAGCGTAAGAAGTAGCAATAAATGCAACATTAGAAATATAAAATACTTTCTGCAAAACCTCGTTTACAAACTTCCGTTCAACAGATGCATAGCAAGTACGTTCGACCAAGTTTATTTGCAATACATCTTGCCTAAAGCGTTTTATACTAAAATACTTACCACACATCTCGAAGCTTTCAAGCGTAGATTTCGCTTTAGTTTAAATTTTCTACGATAGATTTATAGAGTACAGTTTACAATGCCACGTTCTGGAGAAATTGCAATTCTTTTGAAATCGACAAGGAAATTTAAATAGAATTTGCCACCGTGTCAGGTCAAATGTCCCATGCGCATTGCATTGACCAGTGACAAACACTCCACGTACACGTATATCCGGTGAGATCAGCGTCGCTGAGAAACGCTAGAAATATTTTTCGCCGAAAAAGCGTCGTGAAAACTGCGAATCGGAGTCAAAAACAAAGGTGTTGTATATTCCTCTACACTGTGAAAAAATTTCTGTATTTTTTTTTATAACTGTTTTCCGCTCTGTCTCTCTTTTCTGGGGACCATGAACGGTGACTACGATGCCATTATATTAGGAACTGGCCTGAAAGAGTGTATTTTGAGCGGTCTTTTAGCTCTGAACGGCCGAAAAATACTCCATTTGGATCGACGAGAATATTATGGGGGTGATAGCGCTTCTGTGAATTTGGCCAAACTTTACGAGCTGGCGGGAAAAAGCGAGGGTTTCACTCAGATCGGAAGGGTGAGGGAGTGGAATATAGATTTGATACCGAAATTCATCCTCGCGAATGGAATTTTGGTGAAACTTCTAATGTACACGGGTGTAACAAATTATATGAATTTTAAATTAGTCGAAGGCAGTTATGTATATAAGAGCGGTCAACTGTATAAAGTTCCTTCTAATGAAGCCGAGGCTTTAAGTTCCAGTCTGATGGGGTTCTTCCAAAAGCGACGGTTTCGCACCTTTTTGGAGTTTGTGTCGGCCTTTGATTTTGCCAACCCAAAAACCTGGGGGGAAGTCCTGCCCGACTCTACGACAATGGCTGAGGTTTATGAGAACTTTGGTCTTGATCAGAATACAATTGATTTTACAGGACATGCATTAGCATTGTACTTAGATGATGACTACCTAAACAAACCATGTGCTGAGACCATTAAAAGAATTAACTTGTACCGTGATTCAATTGCAAAGTATGGTAAAAGTCCATATATATACCCTGTGTATGGCCTGGGTGAGTTACCCCAAGGTTTTTCACGACTGGCTGCATTACACGGTGGAGTGTTCATGGTGAATAAGCCAGTCGATGAGGTCATTATGGAAGCCGGTGAGGCTGTGGGAATTTCATCTGGAGGGGAGATTGCAAAAGCCAAGTGCATTGTGGGTGACCCTTCATATTTTCCCGACTCTGTTTCAAAGATTGGCCAGGTTATCCGATGTATTTGTGTGCTGTCTCACGGTATAGCAGGAACTGATGAATCACTGTCATGTCAAATCATTTTCCCCCAAAATCAACTTAAAAGAAAGTCAGGTACGAAGCCTAGTTAATAGTTATTAACAGCTATGCACACAAATGCTCAACTTTACTAAAGTTGGCTGCTGTTTGCCACTTTTTTATTTAGATATTTACATTTGCCTTGTATCTGATACTCACAAGGTCGCAGCCAAAGGCAAATACCTTGCAATGATCAGCACAACGGTTGAGTCATTAAATCCTGAAGAGGAACTCAAACCTGCACTAGATCTGTTAGGTGAAATTGATGAAAAGTTTGTGTTCATCACAGATCTCTATGAACCTAATGATGATGGTATAAACAGTAAGGTAAGTTGTAACAATAAAAAATGATGTAATTGCTGGTGGGTTTACACAATCTTTTGTTTGAATTCTGTTTCCACTTCTTTAAATGAAACCTCCTGAAAATTGCTTTCTGGAAATTATTGGAAGCATTTCCCCCCCCCCCAACTCCTCCCCAACTCCCTGGTTCTCCCTGCTGCTTAAATTAAATTGCCTAGGGCTCTGTGCCTAGGGTACGTCAGTATGATGTGTTACTATGTACATTATACAATATTGAACTTTTTTTTGATATCTAGATTTTCATATCCAAATCTTATGACCCAACAACACATTTTGAAACAACATGTACAGATATCATATCCCTTTATGAGAGGATCACGGGAGAAAAGTTTGACTTAAATTCTGTCAAACGAGAAGTGACAGATGAGGAATAATTGAATTTTTTCTGTGATATATTTAGTTTTTACCAAAGACAACATATGAACATAACTCCAGTTCAGATGAACAAATATGTATTATTTATAGTTGATATTAATAAATATAATATACATATGTCTACAAAGATGAAATCGACTGGGTTTTTCGCCGGAACGCACAATTCATTTTCAATGCTTATTAATATTTGTCAGGTGCCATGTCATTTACCCCCACGGCCCACGCGATGATTGCAAAAGTGCTGGACTACGAGTATACTATGTTTCCGCAGCATTGCGCATTTTACTGACATAAAAATCTATCAATTATCATTAGTTATACGCGCAGTTCGAGATATCTCTAACACAGGACACAGATCATTAATAAAAATCTTCTCACGTGTTTATTATTACACTATTCACTAATGACATGTCGTAATATGTGGGTCGTAATTTATAAAAATTCTTAAAAAAAAGCAAAACGGTGTATCATGCGGTACTTACAACTGCATAAGCAATAATTTTTATTATTGAATAAATGAAGAAAACAGCGCTAACAGGTGATTTTTTAATGTTGTTCAACATACCGGAAATACATTGATTTTAATCTCACTCAGTTTTAAAGGAAATCCGATGTGTTATTTATCTTTTTATAGTGTCGATTACTTTTATTCAATAATCCCAGCCGAAAGAGAAAGCGTGAAATTCCGTGTGGAAATACAAATATTGATACACAGGAATTGAACATTTGCAATTAAGTTATGTAGCTCTAAAATTAAAGACAGAGTCTCCGGTTTCGTGCAATTTTATTTAGTTTTGATTGACTGCATGTCTATGCGGGATAGCTTAATCCCCACGCTTGAAGTCGTAAATATGGGCCGGGTCACGATAATGGAAAGATCTTTGTCGTATAGGAACAAAATAACATCGTCATTAAACACGGGTGGCGACGAACTACCAATTAGAAAATGAGAAACAGGTTATTAATGAACACAAACATGGTCGGGCAGCTGAAAAATTGACAATTTTTTCTTCCTATTATTCTGGCCAAAGCGAACCAAAGATTGAAGGCTTAATTAACAATGAGTTGTTGGACAACGGTGCAACGTACTATGAACCTTCAGTGAATACAGCGAAGAAGCCAGTGGCAGTATATATGATATACTTTATATACGATAAAGCTTTAAAGCTCCAGTGAAAAGGTTTGACAGACTTGGAGAATTTTTAATTTAACTTCGATGAAAAATGAATAACAAGTCGTTTACTGATTGGGTTGAAAGTGACATAACGATTGCTTTGAACATCGCTTTAGCTTCTTCGGCATTGCTCCTAAATGCTATACTACTTTTGGTACTATATTGTGATCCTTTCAAAAAATTCCGCACTCCTGGTACGGTTTTGGTAACAAATTTATCGATAGCGGATGGCTTGACTGGACTGTTTACAGTCATTCGAATGCTCTTCGCATTAAACGGTTACCATCAGCCAAAAGGCGTACTGATTAAATGTATATGTGATGTTGCTACTCTGAGTCACCAACATTAGCTTGACCACGGTGGGAATCGAACCCGCGACCTTTGGTTTGCTAGTCCAATGCTCTACCAACTGAGCTACACGGTCAAGACGGTTCGAGTAAATGATATTTCGGAACTCAGTCTAGTCCCTTCAATATCTGTGCGTCTTAAAGTGATAGTAATAATGCAAAGACTCAGGTGTATATTAAATGTATATGTGATGTTGCTACTCTGAGTCACCAACCGGGCAAGCTGAAAAATTAGCTTGGGGAATCGAACCCGTGGGAATCGAACCCGCGACCTTTGGTTTGCTAGTCCAATGCTCTACCAACTGAGCTACACGGTCAAGACGGTTCGAGTAAATGATATTTCGGAACTCAGTCTAGTCCCTTCAATATCTGTGCGTCTTAAAGTGATGTAATAATGCAAAGACTCAGGTGTATATTAAATGTATATGTGATGTTGCTACTCTGAGTCACCAACCGGGCAAGCTGAAAAATTAGCTTGACCACGGTGGGAATCGAACCCGCGACCTTTGGTTTGCTAGTCCAATGCTCTACCAACTGAGCTACACGGTCAAGACGGTTCGAGTAAATGATATTTCGGAACTCAGTCTAGTCCCTTCAATATCTGTGCGTCTTAAAGTGATAGTAATAATGCAAAGACTCAGGTGTATATTAAATGTATATGTGATGTTGCTACTCTGAGTCACCAACCGGGCAAGCTGAAAAATTAGCTTGACCACGGGGAATCGAACCCGCGACCTTTGGTTTGCTAGTCCAATGCTCTACCAACTGAGCTACACGGTCAAGACGGTTCGAGTAAATGATATTTCGGAACTCAGTCTAGTCCCTTCAATATCTGTGCGTCTTAAAGTGATAGTAATAATGCAAAGACTCAAGTGTATATTAAATGTATATGTGATGTTGCTACTCTGAGTCACCAACCGGGCAAGCTGAAAAATTAGCTTGACCACGGTGGAATCGAACCCGCGACCTTTGGTTTGCTAGTCCAATGCTCTACCAACTGAGCTACACGGTCAAGACGGTTCGAGTAAATGATATTTCGGAAATGATATTGGTGACTCAGAGTAGCAACATCACATATACATTTAATATACACCTGAGTCTTTGCATTATTACTATCACTTTAAGACGCACAGATATTGAAGGGACTAGACTGAGTTCCGAAATATCATTTACTCGAACCGTCTTGACCGTGTAGCTCAGTTGGTAGAGCATTGGACTAGCAAACCAAAGGTCGCGGGTTCGATTCCCACCGTGGTCAAGCTAATTTTTTAGCTTGCCCGGTTGGTGACTCAGAGTAGCAACATCACATATACATTTAAAGCCTTGGTCAAACGGCCGCAACATTTTGTTGCAACATCATGCAACATGATTGCCACATGTTGCGGCTTGTTGTCATCATATTCGACCAGACTAGTCAAACCGTACCAACCTTCGTCATCTTTCACATGTTGCCAATCCCGGCATATGTTGCCAATCCCGGCATACGTTGCCTAAGTGAGCAATATGGCCGCCATCTTGTATTCAAATTTCATGCCAAGAACGTCTGGTGCGCATACCCAACGACAGCAATGTTGTTTGCAAGTGGTCAAACGATCGCAACTCCAGAAATTGTGACAAAATGTTGCGTTAAAATTTGACTCGAGTCAAACTCAACGCAACATGTTCTAACATCATGCAACATTCTGTAAAAGGGTGGTCAAACGACCGCAACATTTTGTTGCAACATTGTTGGACGATGTTGCAACAAAATGTTGCGGCCGTTTGACCAAGGCTTAATATACACCTGAGTCTTTGCATTATTACTATCACTTTAAGACGCACAGATATTGAAGGGACTAGACTGAGTTCCGAAATATCATTTACTCGAACCGTCTTGACCGTGTAGCTCAGTTGGTAGAGCATTGGACTAGCAAACCAAAGGTCGCGGGTTCGATTCCCACCGTGGTCAAGCTAATTTTTCAGCTTGCCCGGTTGTGACTCAGAGTAGCAACATCACATATACATTTAATATACACCTGAGTCTTTGCATTATTACTATCACTTTAAGACGCACAGATATTGAAGGGACTAGACTGAGTTCCGAAATATAATTTCTCGAACCGTCTTGACCGTGTAGCTCAGTTGGTAGAGCATTGGACTAGCAAACCAAAGGTCGCGGGTTCGATTCCCACCGTGGTCAAGCTAATTTTTCAGCTTGCCCGGTTGGTGACTCAGAGTAGCAACATCAACAATACATTTAATATACACCTGAGTCTTTGCATTATTACTATCACTTTAAGACGCACAGATATTGAAGGACTAGACTGAGTTCCGAAATATAATTCTCGAACCGTCTTGACCGTGTAGCTCAGTTGGTAGAGCATTGGACTAGCAAACCAAAGTCGCGGGTTCGATTCCCACCGTGGTCAAGCTAATTTTTCAGCTTGCCCGGTTGGTGACTCAGAGTAGCAACATCACATATACATTTAATATACACCTGAGTCTTTGCATTATTACTATCACTTTAAGACGCACAGATATTGAAGGGACTAGACTGAGTTCCGAAATATCATTTACTCGAACCGTCTTGACCGTGTAGCTCAGTTGGTAGAGCATTGGACTAGCAAACCAAAGGTCGCGGGTTCGATTCCCACCGTGGTCAAGCTAATTTTTCAGCTTGCCCGGTTGGTGACTCAGAGTAGCAACATCACATATACATTTAATATACACCTGAGTCTTTGCATTATTACTATCACTTTAAGACGCACAGATATTGAAGGGACTAGACTGAGTTCCGAAATATAATTTCTCGAACCGTCTTGACCGTGTAGCTCAGTTGGTAGAGCATTGGACTAGCAAACCAAAGGTCGCGGGTTCGATTCCCACCGTGGTCAAGCTAATTTTCAGCTTGCCCGGTTGGTGACTCAGAGTAGCAACATCACATATACATTTAATATACACCTGAGTCTTTGCATTATTACTATCACTTTAAGGCGTACTGATTGTTTTCAGTTATTCCTCATTTCTGACGATGCAATGTTCGCTGTTCACGGTGTTGTTTACCGCTTGGGAAAGGGTGTTTGCCGTATCATATCCAATACGATTCAAAATTTACGTGACAAAAAAGCGAGTTTTCATGCATGCTGTCCCTTGCTGCTTGGGCCTTTTCGTTACTTCTGACAATTCTTCCTGGTATAATCCTGCCGGAGACTCATGCTAGTAGATTAACGTTCCTAATATTTGGATGTTTCAACTTTTTAATCATGCTTTTGATCATCGCGGGATATTATGCTGTTTATAAAGTTCTAAAGCAAAAGGAATTAGATATGGCGCGCTATGGGGTGCCTTGCGATACACCGGGAGTTCACACTGGATCTGTGAAGAGGAAAAGAAAACATTTGACCGAAAACAAACGTTTCATTAAAACGTTTTACGTGATAACAGCTATACTGCTGATAACAGTGCTGCCCGTGATTATCCTTACAAGTACTGCAGCGATATGCCCAAGGAGTTGTGCTTCGAGGGCGCTTCAGATATACTTTAAGGTTGAGCCTGTGTTGCTGATCAATTTTTTGGTAAATCCTCTTGTTTACGCGTTCCAACTGCCAGCGTATAGACAAGCTTTCCTGACGCTATTTCGATGTAGAAAACAATTACACGAAGTGGAACCAGCAATCATTGAACTTAATTCAAGGCATTAAATTATGGGCTCTATGCCTATAGCGCGAGAATTGCTATAGCAGGTCGAAACACGCTTTCTCTTGGAACTTGTATTTTAAGGCTGTTTTCCACCAGGCGAAATTTTTCGCTCGACTTTCTTTTTCAACCGATTTCCCTGTTGTTATTCGCTGCCATGCGTCACATAGAACCTGATTATCTCTGATATGATAAATGCGGATTATTAGTTATTCTAAGCCGAAGAATGGTTTTGTTTTGATAGAACGTTACTGTGAATTTAAGACTGTTACTAAAAGCATTAATATCCGGCTCAATATCTAACCATCTATTTGTAAATAATTAGACGTCGCACTTTCAAAAAAACGCAAACGTTTACGTACTTTATGTTCTTTCTAATGCCTCTGTCCGGAATTAGCTCCCAGGGGCTTTATCAGGTGACGTCAGATGACGTCACGACCATGCGGAGCAAGCTAGAAAAATATAGTGATTTGTGAAACATCTGTGAAATTACAATCTGTGACATCGAGACAAATATAATCATTTTTATTCATTCTTTTGTGATTGTTGTGGATACTTTTACTTGGAGGCGATAATCCCCAACACTTGGCACCTTCCGACGGGATTTTAGAGCTTGGTGAGTACACTTAAACAGCGAATTTTGGGACTATTTATCGTTCGTCTAATTCGAACTCGAGCATAAACATTCGCCTTCGGGGCGAAATTTGTCGACTATGGAGGTCGCTGAAGAGAAATTAAAGACAAAACTCGCTCAATTAAACTTAACAGCGAATAGAACAGCGTCTATTGTGGAAAAGGGGCATGTGGAAGCGATAGAAAGGCATAAAAACACTGAGAACTGTGATAAATGAAATAGATCAATTGCGTATTGAAATCGAAGCGTACAAAATATCAGGGAAAACTGGGGACGAAGAATTAGATGCGTGGAATGAGAATATTGATACGCATATTGCAAAGGGTGATCAAAGCGTAGAAACCTTGAAAGATTGGCTAAATAATCGAAAGACAGAGCGTAAAACACACGAGAGAGAAGAGCAGATCCAATTCGAGGTCAAGTTGCAAGAGACCAAAGCTATGTTCAAGTCAAAACCTGAGAGAAATCAAGACAGTTCTCCCCAATCTCATAGCGAAGCAACAAATGTTCAAGCGAAACTACCTAAATTAGTCATCACTAAATTTAACGGGTCATTTACTGATTGGAACAGATTCTGGGGTCAATTTACGGAGTCAATTGACAAATCCAGTTTGCCAGCGATTACTAAATTCTCATACTTGAGGGAACTGTTAGAAGACAAAGTGAGAAAAACTGTAGAAGCGCTGCCATACTCAGCAGAGGGTTATGATAGAGCGGTAGCCATCCTTAAAGAGAAGTACGGGAAGGAACGGGAGATTGTTAAAGCTTATGTGAAGGAAATATTAGAGCTTCCCCCAGTTCACACAGCCAATGCAAGGAAGATTCATGAGTTCTGTGAGAAACTAACATACAATGTGCAATCACTCCAGACCATGAATAAACTTTCTCAAGTAGATGGAGCAGTGGCAATGACTTTAGATAAATTACCAGCTATCAGAGGAGATCTCGTTCGCACAGACCAAGACTGGGAAAATTGGGATTTTGTACAACTTACAGAGGCCCTTCGACTGTGGGCAAGAAGAAACCCGATCACTGAGAACTCCAACTCCGAAGACAAGGATCGAAGACGAGACAGAATGGGTCGGACTTACCACACTCGCCAAGGGACTGGGGCACAACGTGTGTGTGTATATTGCAATGCTACTGATCATAAATCAACAAGCTGCCCAACAGTTAAAACATCAGAGGAGCGCAGAAAAATACTAGCAAGTAAAAAACTGTGTTTCAACTGTACTGGAGCCTCCCACCGAGCAGCGGAATGCAAAAGTACTGTGACCTGTCACGACTGTGGTAGACGACATCACACCTCAATCTGTGAAAATCCAAAGAAACCTGAGGGGTTCATGTCAGCCCATAGAGCAGAAGACAACCAAGTTATTTATCCAGTGGTGGTCATTGAAGTTGATGGTATAAAAACAAGAGCTCTACTTGACACCGGCTCAGGGAGTTGCTATGCCTCAGCCAAACTTATAGATGCTTTGAACAAGAAACCGAGGGAGATCCAAACAAAACGGATTGAAATGATGCTGGGATCAACAACAACCAGAGTTGAAATCTACCCTGCAACTATCAAAGGAGCTGATTGTCAATTCACAATGGAAGTCGAACTATCCAAGGTCCATAAGCCACAACTGATGGAAATTGATAATCCTCGGTATGAAGAGTTGTTAAGCAAGTACAGCCATTTGAAGGGAGTAAGAATAGATGATCCTGATGACAAACCACACCTTCCAATACATGTAGTTCTCGGAGTTAATGAGTATGCCAGCATCAAGACAACAACTGCACCGCGAGTTGGGAAACCTGGGCAACCCATTGCTGAACGTACTCGCTTGGGTTGGGTCTAATGTCGCCTGGTAGGGAAGATGTGACCAGTCCCCTTCTGCTAACCCGATCAGTCAGTACAGACTATGAGCAGCTGTGCTCTTTGGATGTGCTAGGACTTGCTGACAAGCCAGAGAATGACCAAGGAACTGTATATCAGGAATTCAAGGAGCAACTACAACGAAACGAGGCTGGTTGGTATGAAACAGCGTTGCCTTGGAAGGCCAACCATCCGGAACTACCAACAAATGAAGTAGGCAGTCAGAGAAGGTTACGGCAACTTGTCAAACGGCTTGAGCGAGAGGGGAATTATGACGAGTACCACAGCATCCTTCAAGAACAGCTCGAAAGCGGAGTGATTGAAAGAGCACCCACAGTACCCAAAGGCAAAGAATACTACATCCCACATAAAGGAGTGTCCAAGAAAGAGGCAGAAAGTACAAAGTTGCGGGTGGTCTATGATGCATCTGCACGAGAAGATGTGAAGCATCCCTCCTTAAACGACTGCTTGAATCCAGGACCATCACTTCAAAACATGCTATGGAACATCCTGATAAGATCACGTTTCCACCCGATCCTGTTGACAGGGGACCTCCAGAAAGCGTTTTTGCAGATTAGAATAAAGGAGGAAGAGAGAGATTCATTGAGGTTCCATTGGACACCACCTGGCTGTACCGAAACCCAAGTATACCGTTTCACAAGAGCCTTGTTTGGGCTAACTTCATCGCCTTTTCTTCTCGCGGGAGTCCTCGACCAACATTTAGAACTGTGGGAACGCCAGTACCCTGAAATCGTTAAAGAGATTCGCGAAGGGCTGTACGTGGACGACCTAATGGTTGGCGGTGCATCAATTGACATTGTGCAAGAAAAGAAAGACACGTCCATCGAAGTTTTCCAAGACGCCTCTTTTACGCTTCATAAATGGCACTCAAATGCCAGAGAACTTGAAGCCAGCGGTAGTTCAGCAGCAGACGATGAATTGACCTATGCTAAGCAGCAGTTAGGGACGAGCCGACCGGGCACAAAGCTTTTAGGACTACCTTGGGACAAGGATAAAGACACCCTGAAGGTTGGGCTGCACAAAGATGAAACTATCACCACAAAACGAGGCGCTCTTTCTCAACTAGCAAAGATCTATGACCCCCTCGGTCTGGCCTCGCCAACGACCCTGCAAGGGAAATTTATTTACCGTGAGATGTGTGAAAGCAACATAGCCTGGGACGGTGAACTCCCAGCAGAGCTGAGAAAACAATGGATCGACTGGGTTTCCAAACTTCCTAGATACGTTGAAGTTGAGCGAACTCTGGCACCACATCATCAACCAATCTTAGAAATCGTATTGCACGCATTTGGAGATGCTAGCATAAAAGGGGTTAGCGCTGTTGTCTACGCGGTCGTCCGACAGGAGAATGGGACATCGCAAGGACTCGTCTGCTCAAAGTCTCGGTTAGCAAAGCGAAATTTAACCATTCCCCGGCTTGAGTTAGTGGCCGGTCACATGGCGATCAATCTGGTGACTAACGTCCGGTTAGCTATCAATCTATTCCCAGTGTCAGTACACTGTTGGCTTGACTCGACTGTGGCACTCTTCTGGATTCACGGGCACGGGGAGTACCGGCAGTTCGTTGCGAACAGGGTGCGCAAAATACAGGAGCATCAGGAGGTCAAGTGGCATTACGTGCCGACCAGTGGAACCCCGCGGATCTGGGTAGCCGTGGCGGAAGTGTCGAACATAATCAACTATGGAACCATGGCCCGAGTTGGTTGGAGCGAAGAAACTAGTTGGCCATCGGACAAGATCTTAGAGCCCAACGAGGAATCTAACGCTGAGTTAAAGGTGACTCGAAGCATCTTCGCAATGACAACTCACGTCCGTGATGACTTCGACCGACTACTTGATGCTTACGAAGTTCACAAGATTCTGCGAATTTGTGCATGGATTCGGCGATTTATCCGGAACTGCAGGACGAAAGCAGGGGTTCGGCAAGACGGCCCACTAGTCGCAAGTGAGATTGAACAACAGAGACTTTGGTGGATTAAACGAGCACAACTAGAATGTCAAGGAAGAGCCAGTTTCAAGGAAGAGCAGCTACAACTGAATCTGCAGCTAAACAACGAAAATATCCTTGAATGTAGAGGGCGAATTGAAGGAGAGTTTCCAATCTACCTGCCAGACAGTCATCCCTTTACGAACGGAATTGTACGACAAGCACACCTATTGACTTTACATGGGGGTGTGTCCCTGACAATGGCAAAGGTACGCGACGACTATTGGATTCCCAGATTGCGCCGTTTGGTCAAGAAAGTGAGGAGTGCCTGCTGGGGTTGTAAGAGATTTAGAGCACAAGCATATCAGGCGCCACCCCAGGAAACCTTCCAAGCACACGGACACAAGGGTCTGCGCCATTCCAAGTAATTGGCGTAGACTTCGCTGGCCCGATTTACTATCAATCAAAACCTGGAACTGAAAACAAGGCATATCTAGCGCTGTTTGGTTGCAGCCTGACACGGGCCGTGTATCTAGATTTATTGAAGTCAATGGAAGCACCTGAGTTCATACTGAGCCTGAAACGGTTTATCGCACGTCGAGGCAGGCCAAAGCTTATCTACTCGGACAATGCTTTGACCTTTAAGGCGACCAAGAAATGGCTCCGATGTGTACAGAAAGATGAACGTCTCAATGATTACCTGGCTGACCTTTCCATCAAGTGGCAGTTTAACTTGAGCCGTGCCCCTTGGTGGGGAGGTCAATTTGAACGCTTAGTCGGCCTGTTTAAGAGTGCCTTTTACAAGAGTATCGGAAATCGGACATTAAGATGGAATGAGCTTGAGGAAGTTGTGATTGATGTGGAGGTCTGTCTTAACAATAGGCCTCTGAGCTATGTGGAGGACGATGTTGAACTCCCACTACTAACCCCTAACACGATGCTGACGATTAACCCTAACCACGTACCTGAATTAAAGGCGCACCACATGGACGAAGCAGATTTACGGAAACGAGCTAAGCATATTAAGAGATGCAAAGAAGCCTTGTGGAATCGCTGGACGAGAGAGTATATAAGAAGCCTACGCGAGCAGCATCGTCGTGCTGGAGGAGAACAAACCCCATACCCAACCGTTGGTGAAGTGGTTATTATAAAGGGTGAATCGAAAAACCGGAATATGTGGAAACTTGGTATCGTCACTGAATTGATAAAGGGAAGAGATGGAATAACGAGAGCAGCAAAATTAAAGGTTGGGACAGGAAACCTGGAACGTGCCCTTCAACACCTATGCCCTCTCGAACTGTCCTGTGATTGGCAACAACCACCTCGACTTAACGCAAGTGCGCCTGCGTTTCAACCACGACCAAAAAGAGACGCGGCAGCTGCGGCGGAATTGCGTATTCGACAAACGGCGGAAGAAGACAAAGAAGAATAAAGAAACAATAAGAGAAAAAAACATTAGAAACTTTGATATTTGACGTTAATGAATGTTGAACTTGCATGACAAACAGGTGTGACATGTATATCACTCCGTGTATATACATGGGGGAGTGTGTCCGGAATTAGCTCCCAGGGGCTTTATCAGGTGACGTCAGATGACGTCACGACCATGCGGAGCAAGCTAGAAAAATATAGTGATTTGTGAAACATCTGTGAAATTACAATCTGTGACATCGAGACAAATATAATCATTTTTATTCATTCTTTTGTGATTGTTGTGGATACTTTTACTTGGAGGCGATAATCCCCAACACCTCTGGGCCGTATCAACCGGTATTCACTCAATGTTTTATGAGATATGACCGAATGTTCTAGCTTTGGTACGTCACAACTTACATATCAGATTTGTAGAATTTTAATCTTAAATGTTAAACTTTGGGAGTTTTCAGCCCCCAATTAAAAAACAACCTTCTCTACTTGCAAAGCTTCGAGAAATAGTAATCTAATATTGCTATTATACCACACTTTACTCTACAGGATAATGATAAATTCTAATAAGTTCTAAATCTTCTAATGTTAAATATTGTTACGTAGTTTGTTTCACCGAGGAAACCGATCAGTTTTCCAGGGAAACACATTCGTGGTAAATGAATTTATAATGAAATAACTGTATTTTTAGTATTACAAAAGCACATTTACAAGCGGCGAGCTAAAAACTTATTTCAAAGCATAATTTGCATAAATTGAAAATGTACACAAATACTGTCTAATGCTTTGTTACATCTATATAAACATTGTTAATGAACATGCGTTGGAAATCTGAATTTGTTTTAAATTGCTGGGATTTTTTGTTCCTATTTTGTAGACTGAACTCTTGCAACACGTGTAAAACGTGCTTTGCAACTCCGGTGTCAATCACGAGCTCTTTTAACCTCTTTTGCGCTCCTTAATTGTTTGAGGTTGACAGTACGCAAATTTTGACAAATTCATTTCCCTTTGTTTGTTTATCACCCGAAATATAACGGAAATTAAAATTACAAAATTTTAATTTCAATAAATTGTTTATATTTAATAAGAAGAGAGTGAATAATGATGGCTCGCTTAAATCGTGATAGGAAAAATTTTGAAATAATTTTTAAGGTACGCACTATGTACCTATTTTTATAGTGAATACGTTTTTATGATAATTATGCTAATGTTTTTCTTACTGAATACAACGTCACGAACGCGGTAGATCCGCAGATGTAACTCACGATGACGCGACAAAAACATCAACAAAAATCGAAAACAATGACTAAGATTTTTATTTTTAAAATTATCCTTGGTAATAAAGCACTGCCCGCATCGTTGGGGTCTTTATACAATCGACCAAGAAAGTGTACACTGTATGAAAATTATGGCTGAAGCTATTACAGACGCTGATCTAATTTCGTTGGGAAAGCATTGTTCCGTTGATCACTGCAAGCAACTGGATTTTCTCCCATTTAAATGCACCTTTTGTCGAAACACTTTCTGGTATTACGTCATTATGTTTTTGCCAAGATTTGATAAATGATTAAATCATTTAATCATGTTCGCCATTAAACTAATTATAAACTAATCAGAACCGATCATGACTACAATCAATATTAATCAGAATGACAGAATCAGTGTGATTGATCAATCAGACTTTCTTATAGATCTCATCTAATTTTACTTTTAGTCTTGAACACAGAACTGCAGAATCACATCAATGTCCACACAGTTATGTCACCAATGTAAGATTGGATGGTTATTTTGAATATATAATAATTTATAACATACCATGATGTGTGATTATGGTACTAACTAATGGGATATTATTTATGTTAATTTCCACAGGTGCAAGTACCAGTATGCCCACTGTGTGGAAAGATTGTAAAAAAAGCAAGAAACCAGGATGTTAATACACAGGTTAGAATTCAAATGGAGGTTAGAATTCAAATGGGGTTATTCAAGCAATTCAAAATTTTATTTGTAAATTACCAAATTCAATCTTAGATGAGCTATCACATCCAAAGTGGATGCAAGGAACTTGTCGTCAGTCAGAAACCAAAAAAAGAAAAGAAATGTTCATTTAAAAGTTGTAAAAGACACGAGGTGTTACCTTTCCATTGTGATCAATGCCAAAGACAGTTCTGTGTGAGGTATAAAATCATATGTAATTCACAGTTATATTGTTGCTTTTTCAAGAGTCCTGACTCCCTTTTCTAATGTAATATATTTACATTATATATTCTCTCTCTTTTTACCAATAAAGACACAGACATGCACAGGATCATTTGTGCCATACAAAAGCTTTGTATCCCGTTGTGACATGTGCCTAGAGCTTTGTGAAGTTGAATTTGATGTTGTATGAAGCTCTGATGGAATGACATCAGGAGAAATGCACATTCATCTTTTTTAACTCAATGTATTATATACATATTTATAGAAAATTACACAAATTATCAATTCAATTCAATAACAGTTGTTATGTTACTATTTAAGTAAATCCAGTTATATATTAGAATATTATAAATTAGATAGATAAAACTGAAAGTATTGTCAGTTTATATATAAATAACCATTCCATTAACATTTTATTAAATAATTTAATTTAAATTGAATTGAATTTAATCAACTCTCTTTCCCATTACATTTACAAGCTGCCTGACAACAAGTTGAACACAATTTTTGCTTTTTTTCCACACGGTACGTAACCTGGATCCCCTGGTTCAATTATTTCAAAATTAAATAAATTACAAAAAAAGAACATTTCCAATCAAAAAAACAAAACTTTATCTTCAACCTAGTTTATACTTCAAACTAGTTACTACCTTTGCTCGAATACATATTTCTTATATTAACCTTGCTAGTTACATATTGTGTATGCAAACATACCTTTATTGCTGGTTTTTCTTCCATTCTTCATGTTGCGACCGGATAATTTTGATTGCCTCTGCTGTTCTTTTGATCAGAGTGAGTACTTCTTTATTCACTCTCCTCTGAAAGGTTAAATTAAATTTTTGTCATGATTGCATGGTGATACATGTTAATAGTGTTGTCATTGTGGTGAGGATCAAAATAAAAATTGACTCATATTGGAAAATGTAAATATAATCAAAATAACCTTTAATTAATGATGATGGTTGTGATGCTATAGCTAAATGGTGACTTCAGGTGATATATTTTTATTACATTAAAAACTATTAGTTTGTCACTTTGTCTTACCTTGTCATATTCTGTTCTGTTAAAAAACTGATCCTTCTGTACCATATTACTCTTTGTGCAGTATTTTAAAATTGGTTCACAAAACTGATATGGATCTATAGGTTGTATTTTCACTGGCGACATCTTTGGGAAAGAAATTGATGATGGTTTGGAACTTCCTACTTCCCCAAGTTTATTACCAGTTTGATTAGGTTTAATTGCTAAGCTTTGTATTATGGGCTGATTCGATATTGGTGTGGATTTTACTTGTTTTTCTGTGCCATTAGAAATTGGGACATTTTTCACTGGCAATTTAGGACTTTTGTAGGGAGATTTGAACTTTGCTGTTCTTTTAGCAAAAGGTAGAGTTGGTTCTAGTTTTTTCATGAGACTATTACCAATATTATTTGGTTTCAGTCTTTTAACCACCTAAAAAAAACGGAATACAATATTTAAATCCAGATAAATACGTTAAAATATCAAGAAAATATTGATAAAAAATTGGTTACAACAATGAACATAAACGTACTAAAGCTAAAAAAACAAACCTTTCTTGATGTGGGAGGGAATTTATTATTTTCCAAACCTTTTTTAACATTTCCCATTTTGTTTTGGAGGTTTTTTGGCCCCATATTTTCATTGAACAATTTTTTTTAAGAAAGGTTTTTTAAAAAATTCCCGCGCTTCTTTCACAGCCTAGCCCGCATGGTCTTTTTAAGTGCCTGAACGTACCCAAAAAATCGGGTGCAAACTGGGTAATATCCACCGATATCAACCGGTAATATCACTGGGGGTAATATGGGTAATATACATAATATCCAAACACCACACCCACTACACCTCTGACATTACACTGTAATATAGAGCTCAGTGGTAGGTAATATTTCGCAATGTTTTTGTAAATAAATAAAGTTAGCATTATGCAACAATAACTGCAGACTCCCTGTTGGGTGTGTACAAAGGTTACACTTTTAAGTATTTTAACTGTAGTACCCGGAAAATTATACGATCCAACCTTCCAAAATGTCTAAAATAATCGGTATGTAGTATTATTCCTATGTTCTATTATTTTTTAATATAATTTTCGAATTTCAAGTGTAGCACTTTACTATACTCCCTCGGTTAAAACTAGCCATCGTGTTGTCGGCCCTACGCCTTAAAAGCTTGCATGGACGCCTAAGAATGTTACTTTTTTTAATCATTTTCAGTTGAAAATCCAGTGGTGGAAATGCAAGGAGATGAGATGACAAGGTTAGATACTAAAACTAGTTTCAATTATCTAGTTAATAACCTCTAAAATAAACTTCATTTAATATACTGCTCTCTCTATAATAATTTTGCAGGATTATATGGGATCTGATAAAGGAGAAATTGATTTTACCTTACGTTGATGTTAAAATTGAGTTTTTCGATCTCGGGATTGAGAGTCGCGATGCAACAAATGATGAAAGTAGGTTTTGTATTATTTAATTAATGAACTAATATAATTCCAAAGTGGGTAGAATGACACTCACTGTAACACTATAAAGATTATTTTGTGTTTATTATTCAGTAACTATACAAGCAGCAGAAGCTATAAGAAAATGCAATGTTGGCATTAAGTGTGCAACTATCACACCAGATGAGAAGAGAGTCGAAGGTGAGAATGATGCGTAGTTAGCACAAGAGGCAGCTAGAGCACTGTAGGACATAGAGCAATTAACCTTTAACACGTACAGTGCTAACACCCTTTCCCAATCTAAGTGATGATACCATTGGCTGCAGATTATAATTAATTTCTTTTAGAATTTAAACTGAAGAAAATGTGGAAGTCGCCCAATGGCACAATAAGAAATATCCTGGGAGGGACTGTTTTTAGAGAACCTATTCTATGCAAGAATATTCCCCGGCTTGTAAAAGGTACACCCTTCCGCTTCATTTCCTAGGAAAGTTGAGAGATACCTGAAATTTGTAAAGACATGTTAAAGTAGTAATTATGTTCATTTTTAAACTATTTAGGGTGGGAAAAACCTATAATCATAGGACGTCATGCACATGCTGATCAGGTTAGTCTTTAAAGAAGTGCATTTTAATTCTTCAGGGAGTATATTGGTCACCCTGCAAAGACAGCTGACTATTAATAATTTTACCTAATTTTACATTTAGTACAAGGCAACCGACTTTGTTGTGCCAGGCTCAGGCAACCTGGAACTTGTATATAAACCTGCCAATGGAGGAGAGCCAATTATTTATCAGATACACAACTATAAGGATGGGGGTGGTGTTGCTATGGGAATGTACAATACTGATGAAGTATGGAAATTAGTTGAACAGTTTGTTAATTTTTCAATATTGTTGAACATATAAATTTTCTCTCTTTCTTCAACTTTTTCTTTCAAATACTTGTCAATTCCTTAAATTAGCATTAATAACATCCTTTAATTAACTTCTCTGTTAATGTAGTCAATAAGAGGCTTTGCTCACAGTTCATTTCAATTTGCATTGCAAAGAAAATACCCAATATACATGAGGTAAACTATTTCATTCTATTTGTCTAACCTTATTGTAACTATATAGTTACTGTATTTATTATCCCCTTATTAAACAGCACTAAGAATACAATCCTCAAGAAATATGATGGGCGATTTAAAGACATTTTCCAAGAAATATATGAAAGGTGACTGCAGAACTGTTTGCATATTTGCTGTTTTGTTACAAAGTGATATACTGATTAAATATATGTTATGTTTTAGTGATTACAAATCAAAATTCGAAGCTGCAAGCCTCTGGTATGAACATCGACTGATTGATGATATGGTGGCATATGCTCTAAAAAGCGAGGGAGGCTTTGTCTGGGCCTGTAAGAACTATGACGGAGATGTTCAGTCAGATTCTGTAGCACAGGGTAAGTGATGTTTAAAAGAAAGAATGAACAGGAAACACTGAGTGATTATGAAAATGTGCTAACTACACTTTTCAGGTTATGGTTCGCTGGGACTTATGACCAGTGTTCTGGTGTGTCCAGATGGTAAAACTGTTGAGTCGGAAGCAGCACATGGCACGGTAACACGTCACTACCGTCTACACCAACAGGGAAAGGAAACGTCAACTAATCCTGTGGGTAAGTGGTCAAAGCATCACTTTTGCAATGGTAGTGTTCAAGGTTATAACTACTGTATGTTGTGTTTATATATACTCAAATTCTTTTTATATTTTCAAGCATCTATTTTTGCATGGACAAGAGGCTTAGATCATCGTGGTAAGCTTGATGGTAACAAAGCATTGAGAAGTTTCTGTTCAACCTTGGAAGAAGCCTGCATTGAGACCATTGAATCGGGTTTCATGACAAAAGACTTAGCTGGATGCATCAAGGGAATACAGAATGTAGTCCGTTCCGACTATCTCAACACTTTTGAATTTTTAGACAAAATATCATCAGCCTTAAAAAATAAGCTGGCCAAAAGTAACTTGTAGTCTGGGATTTTTAACACAAAAGCTCTATTAGTTAAACTGTATGCTTTAGCTTTTAGTCTGAAATGAAAATTTTATATGGACGTATTATGGCAATATGAATCAAAATTCAATATATCAAATGTTTTAAATAAATCAACTACTACTAATAATAATTTACTTTGTATAGTGCTTTAGATATAGCTTAATCCCAATGTTTTAATGCTATTAAACAAAGTTTTTGCAGTCGGTTTTTGATGTACACATGAAATATAGGCTTTTCAATAATATATCAATATTCATTTTCAATGTTACACTATTTTACAATTACCTGCATTAGGTTATGTTTTTATCCATGCAAGTCCATAATACAAAACAAAGAACGCAGTCACTAGTCCCAGAATCATATAGCACATGCACTTTCTGTCCGATCCAGCATGACTTATGACTTTTTGTAGTCTCTGTGCACTTCCTTTTAGCAAACCACCAGCACCACTAAACTGATCATCCTAGAGTAAAATAGGATGTTGGTCTGTGCTGGTGAATAATGGTTATATTGTTATGTCACAGATCACAAATATTATATACCGGTATATTTTATGACGTCATATTGGACTATTGATATCCATATTTGTGATTCATTTTGTGACAATATAACCTGAATAATGGTGGAAATCTTGGGAGAGTTTAAAAACATTTAAATTTGGAAAGTGGAAACACAAAAACAATTCGTTTCATACAATTCTTGACCGATACTGTCTGTTTTCCCATACCAATACGTATACCGTAATTACTCGAATAAACGCCTCCCTCGAATAAACGCCGCCCTCGAATTAACGCCGGAGGGATAAGCAAAAATATCATTAACGCCGCCCTCAAATAAACGCCGCAACCTTTTCGTCATTGCGGCGTTTATTCGAAGCATTTATTAATAACCACAGTTCAATTTTCATATATAATTATATAAATAGAAAAGACATATAACTTTTATACTTAGTTTTTTTGGGGATTGATTGTATTGGTTAAATTGGCGTTTAAATTACACAATAAATTCAGAGTTGTTACGAGTTTGCAATAAACGCCTCCCTCGAATAAACGCCGCCCTCGAATAAACGCCGCATCTTAATTGCTAAATATTTAATAAACGCCGCGGCGTTTATTCGAAAAATTACGGTACCCATGTTTCATGATGGGTCACAAACTGAATATGAAATTTGGATTCAATTGAGTTCAACACTAAGAGAAAAATTAAGAACTTAATCGTAGTTTGTACATAAAACTAAGAAACCCACTGACTTTGTACCACTGACAAAATACCACAGGCTAACAGGTACTGGTATCAGCCCATTCTAGGATTTCAAATTTATTATATTTTCAATGATGATGGTGTATTAACTGTATTTGCAAATTGCAATGATGATAGTAATAATTTTTTCATACCATGCCATCCAAATATTGATTTTGGTTATCAGCATCCTGCTTTATGTCAACAGCTATCTAAAAAAGTACAATTTTACTACAATCACCTGTCAAGAATTGTGCATGAAATTTTAACACAAAATGACACCAGTACTTACAGCTTTAAGTCTAGAAACTTTTCCGGCTAAGCTATCAAGCATTCGGTCATTTTCCGCGAGCAAATTTTCTTCCTCGCTTTTACGAGAACCTTTATATGCAAGAATTGTACAAATTTAAGTACCACACAATCGATCATTATTATCTCATATATAGCATAAGAAGCTATACCATTGATGGAGTGAATAGATTCTCATGAAATGTCAAAACAATTAAAATACCAATGCTTATATATAAATTCGAGGAGTTTAGAATTGCTTCCATAAGTGTTCAAGTGTTATCCCGTGAATAAAACACACCAAAAAATCCCATGCAAACAATTCTCAACTGACTTCAACTGACACGTACCATTATTTCTGGAAGCCATTTTGAACACACGAGTTTTGGGTCATGTAGCAGCTCGAACAAGGTCTGTTGCGATTGGTTGATGAGAAAGTTAATTATTAATAACATTTTTTAACGAATTAATGTTAAGTTACTCCAGGCAAAACGAGAGAAAATATTTTAGGAAGAACTTCTACAATCAAATTGACTAATCACTAAACATCAGAACAAGCTGGACATATGTCTCCGGTGGGAAGAGAGATAACATGAACTCAGCCACAGTAAACACTGCCAATATATGTAATAAAAGTATTTCACAGGTAGCAAGGTATCGAAGGTAGCAAAGGTATCGAAGGTAGCAAAGGTAACAAAGGTATCGAAGGTATCGAAGGTAGCAAAGGTATCGAAGGTAGCAAAGGTATCGAAGGTAGCAAAGGTATCGAAGGTAGCAAAGGTATCGAAGGTAGCAAAGGTATCGAGGGTAGCAAAGGTATCGAAGGTAGCAAAGGTATCGAAGGTAGCAAAGGTATCGAGGGTAGCAAAGGTATCGAAGGTAGCAAAGGTATCGAAGGTATCGAAGGTAGCAAAGGTATCGAAGGTAGCAAAGGTATCGAAGGTAGCAAAGGTATCGAAGGTAGCAAAGGTATCGAGGGTAGCAAAGGTATCGAAGGTAGCAAAGGTATCGAAGGTAGCAAAGGTATCGAGGGTAGCAAAGGTATCGAAGGTAGCAAAGGTATCGAAGGTATCGAAGGTAGCAAAGGTATCGAAGGTAGCAAAGGTATCGAAGGTATCGAAGGTAGCAAAGGTATCGAAGGTAGCAAAGGTATCGAAGGTAGCAAAGGTATCGAAGGTAGCAAAGGTATCGAAGGTAGCAAAGGTATCGAAGGTAGCAAAGGTATCGAGGGTAGCAAAGGTATCGAAGGTAGCAAAGGTATCGAAGGTAGCAAAGGTAGCAAAGGTAGCAAAGGTATCGAAGGTATCGAAGGTAGCAAAGGTATCGAAGGTAGCAAAGGTATCGAAGGTATCGAAGGTAGCAAAGGTATCGAAGGTAGCAAAGGTATCGAAAGGTAGCAAAGGTATTGAGAGTATCAAAGGTAGCAAAAGGTGATTAAGGTGTGTAGTAACTTGTTTACATGATATATTTAAATTTCTCCCTTTTGTACTTCTTTAAGTTGTGCTGCCAAAATTGTACAGTTTTTTTATTTCTTATGAACAGTTATTGTAATTGTTCAGTCCTAGTATGATAGTCCTTATGTTTTGACATTATTGATTTGTAGAAAATATTCTATAGAATATTCTAAAAGATTTTGGCACTAATTCTATAGAATATTCTATAGGATATTCTATAGGATATTCTATGGAACATTCAATAGAAGATTCTATAGAAGATGCTATAGAATGCTATAGGATATGCTACATACAGTAGATTCAATTCAGTACAAGATGCTATAGAATGCTATAGGATATGCTACATACAGTAGCATATTCTACAGAACATGCAATTGTAATATTACACAATTAAGATGTGTTATTCACTCTTCTGTGCAATATTACCAATATATTATGTCTATATATAGCCATGAGAAAACATCAATGATGAAAATCACTTCAAGAATAAAAAGATATATATTAGAAATACTGGCATATGTATCAGTACATCAAAAGTTGTGCAACATTGAATACTTTTGTTTGTAATGTATTTTGGTAATAATTATTGTCTATTATTCTATATGTTGGATATTTTTAAAGTGTTTGTCTGACCAGTAGCTCAGTTCATTATTTTTCGCAGGACTTCTTTTTAGCATTTTCTTAGCATTACTTGTCACACTTCAGATGCAGGACAACCATATCTTTTTGAAGTATACTCTACATCAAGGAATATGATTGAAAAATTATTTAAAAATGCAGGACTTGTCTTACCATGCTGTGAGTGATGAGATAGTATACAATATATATTTAGCTAACTGAAATAAGTTATCAGCTTACCACATATGCCATTGACTTTTTCCTTGTCAAGTTGTGGCTTGGCATCCTTCTCCTTTAATGCATTGGAGATCTTTCCTGTCATGGAGTGTGTGGACAGAACCTCCCGGCTCCACAATATACCCATAATATTGAGTACACAAAATCCTTTAAATTAATTGCCTTTTCCTTTTAAAACCTTCTGTTGAGTCTTTGTTATTGAGACACTGGGACATAAGGGCACCTACAAATATAATTATACCATTTTGACCTTTGGTTTATAGTATGATATTTGGACATAAGCAAATCTGCAAATTTAATAGTAAATGCAAAATTGAACACTTGAGACATTATATTCACTCTTAGAATGATATATTAAAAATTAAGTATTCTATATACAATATAAAGGGTATAGAGAATATTTGTTAATTGCCTGTACAAACATATAGGCTATAGCATATAACTACAAACACACTCACCACTTAATTCCAATACTTTAGCTTCACATGTTGTTGTTGAAATTGTAGATGGGTCAATGGAACCTTTGAGAAATTTTCTGATGGCCTTGACACAATTTCTTTCTCACGATCCTAGTCTATAGTCATGTACCATTCACAAAATAATCCGAATCTTCTGATTCTTCTCACATAATCCAGCGCGTTTCACCAACCTCCTATACTCCTCATCGACAAATTCAAGTACTGCGTATTTTATGTTAAAATAGGAAAGAAAAACTCGCTAAATTCCACCAATATCAGTTATAAAACGTTGAACGAATGACAAAGACGCGCTCAAAATTTGAAAATAATGCGTTATATATGCGTGTCAGTTACACAAGTCCCACATAACTTTGCGGCCTTGTTTGGGCAAAACGCCCGCCATCTAACCTGCGAACAGGCATATTATGAAACAGATATGTGTGAAATACTTGTGATTTGTCCTTACAAAACGAATGATTTTTGCGGAGAATTTTAACATTAAGACTTAAAAAGTATGTCGAGAGGACCTCACACAAAATACGAATATGATGCTATTCAACTTTTGTGTTTCTAGACAGATGAAAACACATTTCTCGACCAATATCAATCGTGTACTAAAATTGTTATATTTTAAATTGCCTTAATTATTACATAAAGGTCACATTCTGTATAACATTCTATAGATTATTGTGTACAGCATGTTCTATAGAATATATCATTCGATATTTAATGTGAATTTATGTACAATAGAATATTCTATAGGATCTGTAAATTCTATAGAATATGGCAATGGAATATGCTATAGGATAAGAAGTCCTATAGAATATTTTATAGGATTTAGAATATGCTATAGCATATTCTATGGGATTCTATAGAACATTTTCGTAAGGGATATATATATATATATAATGTGAATAGCTTAATTATTTGAAACATTCAACATATTTACACTCTTGGGCTGGGAGACTTTGAGACCATTAACATTAGGGACCAGCCTGGGTGGGAGAAGAAGGGAAAATGTGGGGTAAAAATTTGTATTATATTGGGTGGGGTAAGATATGAGAAAGTGAAAGATGGGGCAAGAAAAAAAAACAATATAAATATTTTCTTCATAAAATTTTAAACCAAACATGAACTGTACAATCTAATAAGTCACTATCTATAAAGTGACTGCATGCATGGATGGTTTGCATTGATGCAACATACATGGCTCTTCCCCATATACAATCAGCATTCAAAGCTTATACAAATGTTATAATGCTTGTTGTAAATAAAACTTATAAAATTAAGGTAACTATTTTTCATTGCCTAGAAGTGGTGTAAACTTTTTTCTCAGCACATAAAAAGTGGGGTTGGAAAATTTTGAGAATTAAAATATTTTCTCCGCAGCCCACTCCTGCCATAAATAATGACTGGCTTTGTAAACACCAAAATTATATCACTTGGTGCCTTATATCAATTCTTATTGCTTGGTTGTCATGCCCCTACCAATTTCAACCTAGCAGTAAAGAACTTCAATTTGCTTCATTGAACCCTGTCAATCTCAGTTCACATGCAGAGATTAATACCACAAATGATTATATATATATAAATGTTATATATTTGCAGTCAAAGTGATATACAACCACTGTCAACCAGAACTTATTGTTACTATGTGATATATTATTGTATGATTAATAATTAATACATACAAACATTCAGCAATGTCTAATACATAATTTCCATATTCTAATATACTGTAAATCAGTCATAAATAAAAAAAAACAACCAAATCACAAGACCTACACCCCAAGCTTTTTGTTGTTACTATCGCCAGCATAGCTTCTGGCATCAAAAATACCTTGTGTAAAGTGATGAGTCTATAAGGTGGGTAAATAGGTAGATTCTTTAAAACAGCTTGTGTGCATGTGATCTATGAGAGATGTTACTTGAAGATATAAATGAAAGTATTTAGCATATTTTATTACTCCCTTTGTCAAGAAGAAAGTAGTAATATTCACTTAAGGCTTAAATACTTTTATATTAGTATGCAAACGAGAAAACTACATATACCCACTTACACATGCCGATTGTTTTGTAAAGCATAAATATACATACACCACACTAGTTGTGTCTTGGCGCTTTGGCTTCAAACCGTCCCTATACATATTTTCAGCTGCTCTTAATTTTTTAACCAAGTGCCCCTGGATCGCCCTTGGGAGTGATCTTTAATAATTTTTCACTATATGTGTTGGCTTTGCGTTTCCTAGTAAATATACGCAATTTCCTATCATTTGCCCACTCAAATCACTCTGAAGTATGGTGAAACCCACCAATAGCTTTTTGTTGTTGTTTAATTAAACATACATGTAATAATTGTAATTGTATTGATATCGCTTGTTATTAGTTCAATTTAGTTGTTATTCTTGTGACGAACGGAATATTATGCGCACTGTACTCGCGTAGCTGCAAAAAACATATAAAAAGCAAAATAAATGTAATACCACATGTGTAATACTCTCCAATCTGTATTTTTTTTGCATTTATATTAACATTTTCTATTATATCGAACAATAATAGTGACAAAATATTTGAATATAAATAGTGACAAATACAATACTTCAATGCCTCTTGGGAAGTCGCAAAATTCGCCAAATTCAAAAAATGAAGGTGACATGCACACAGAGCGATTAATGTTAACCACCAATCACTAATCTTTTCGAACTAGCTTCATTTCGTTTTGTAATTTCACTAAGTTTTTCAACGACCCTAAACCACATAAACGCAATAAACGCAAGATGAAAATAAACCGGAAGTTTTAATTAATAATTTCAAAGTTAATAATAGATTCCATGTAATACGGACGTGCTATTGGCTTGCTACCTTCGCTACCCAATTAGAGCTCTAACCAATAGAAAACAACCTTGTTCAAGCTGCTACACTACAGCGAGTTTTCTTCCCGGAGTTCTTGAATACCGGAATTGTGCCTCATAATTTTCTTTTCAAGTTTTCGAGTTTTGTTGTTTTTCATTTTACAGCACCCAATATTTTTTAATAGACAGTTTAGTGTAAGACTACTGACTGCGCTTAAACTCAATGAAAAGATGCAAGTTATAAGAAAAAGTTATCTAATTTAAAATCGATTTTAAATAAAATTCCAAAGTGCTCTTTTATTAACCATCCACTGGGCTAGAAACATATTGATACTGGATGGAGAATGGAGATGTTCGATTTAACCATTTTCAAATTTTTATTTCTATCAAAAACTGTACACTTCAAATATTTTAACTACGATGTAACATCCACCATAGGTTCATTGTCACTGACCAGTGCAGATATTTCTACACTGTCCACATCTCCACTACTATCAATAGTAACAACCACCTCAGCCATGCAGCTATTGGTTGGCTGTGCAATCCCTGGCACTTCATTGGCTTGTGGAAAAACATCATCGTAGGCCATAAACCTAAATGGCTTCTCAGCCATGCACAAAGCTTTGTGTGCCAATAAAAGAACCTCTGTTTCAAAGTCTTTTTTACAAATTCCACAATTATAGGGCATCGCTTCATTGGCATCTGGGGACTTGTGGACTTTTTTGTGTGTTTCCAAATTACACTCACGAGCAAATGCCTTTTTACAATGTGAACATTTGTAGGGTTTTTCTCCACTGTGCATAGCCTCATGATTTAACAATGCTTTCTCGCTAACAAAGGACTTTGAGCAAAATTCACACTCGTGAGCTTTAATGTTCTCGTGGGTCCTGGCATGTGCCAACAACCCTGATGCTTGCTTAAACCCATGATGACATATCTGGCAGACAAAGGGGGATTCACCAGTGTGTGTTCGCTCATGGTTTATGAGATGGGTGACTTGCGTGAAGGACTTTTCACAGTAGGTGCAAGCATGTGGTCGTTCACCAGAGTGAATTCTCAGGTGCTGAACCAATGCTACCGACTGTTTGAATCTAGACAAAATAACTTTTAATAGCTTCCAATATTGTGAAGGTGCATATTTTATCTCTATACGAAAACTGGTTAGATTCCTTCAATATGCTGAGCTATGCATGTTAGAGGGGTAAGTGATTATGACAGCAGTAATCTGAACTGTCTTCAACAATGCATAGACAAACCTACATAGTGCATTGAGAAAAAGCTCTTGGGTGAATCCACCCCACACTATTATTGTCTTTACCACCAAACATCACTTTATGTGTGTTTGTTTTCACATCAAAGTGAGGCTTGATTGGTAATGACAATAGCATATGACAGAAGGGCTCCCATGGCCCCATAGTGCTATTATCTCAAAACATCCCAGAGTCCTACCTCTTCTTACAATCAGGACACTGATAAGGACGTTCGTTGGTGTGTATCCTAACATGACGCTTCATGTGTGACATCATTTTGAACCGTTTCTCGCAAAACTGACATTCATATGGCCGTTCATTGGTATGAACTCGTTCATGCCTTGTAAGATCACACTTCTTCAAGAACACCTTGAGGCAAGTCCCACATTGGTGCTTCCTTAACTTCATCTGATCCTCAGCATGTGTCCTTTTGTGACTATACAGACTAGAGGATGTTTGAAATGACTTTCCACAATCATTGCAAGTGTAAATGCGTTCAGTGTTGTGTGTTTCATTATGAGTGACCAAATGAGACTTATCTTTAAACGTTTTGTCACAAATCTCGCACGAAAACGGACGTTCACCGCTATGCGTTCGTTCATGGCGAGTTAAATGGGATGGTCTGTCGAAAGCTTTGGAGCAAACATGACAGACATGCCTCTTTTCTGCCTCGAGTTTCGGCTGTGGTTTAGCTGCTTTTACTTCCTTTTTTCCTTTGCTTTTTATAGGCTTGCTTCCCTTCTCCTTGCCCATTCTGCGATTGCAGTTCTGTGCACCTTTAAATGTATTTTACGGAGGAAAAATGAAAAGAACCATCAAAATTATATTACAAATTATTACAAATCGAACAGACACGCTTTTCTGACACTCACAGACATATTATCGGCATTTTCGGCGGCGCGAGCGAACTGCGAATCGGGTCCAACATGGACGCTAATCAAAACAAAGAAACGGTGGGAGTTTCTCTTGAAAATGTTCGTGATTTTTGATAATCTACAATCAATTTTTCGCTAAAAACAAAAGATTTGGTTTAAAATATGATTGCGTCGTCATACAGTTTCGTTTCTCTGTGAGTATGATTATATCTGGGATGTATTAATTTGATGTCTTGAAATATATTATTGTCCGGGACGGGTCGGGGGGGGGTCATCCATTTATTATACTTTAGAACAATTCTGGCTCACAAACAGTATTTTTTTGCTGGGTATTTTAAAATGTTTCCTAGCCCTTAAAATACTGGAATAATACGCATATGGAACTACCAGCATGGGCCCACATGACAGTAATTACTTACAAAGATATTTCAGAGGGAGTAGGCTCAAAATTCTAGACCTCTCATGTTGGTTGTCCATCTGAATGTTTATTCGATCGGTTCTAAAGTTTATCTTATCTATAAAATTGGATTATTATTACAGATTTGTGCATGGGTAGCAGTCAACATTGAGGAAACCAGTTCATGTCTAGTTGGTGACTTGAGACCATGAACCCCAAACACTGGGTGAAATAATAGGGCCCATTTGAACAGGCAGCTAGATCGCAATATGAGGGCACCATTGTGTTATTTCACATGCATACTACACAATGCCCCCCACATGTACCATCAGTGAGGTTGAAAGTCTATATATACATATATCTATCATGCACCAGAACTAGTGTTAAACTGTACACCAATTCCTACTTTCCAGATTCACATGCATTTGAGGATAAAGTTATGTACCCTGAAGTCAATAGTTTATGGCCCTTGGCCTAAGGATTATTATAAGGATTAGGATATATAAGGATTAATTAGGATATATAAAAATTACATTAGTCACTATGTTTTTCTAGGCTAAATATTTGAAGAAATTATGGGTGCAAAATGACCATTCTAGAAATTGCTGCTAGAAAACATCTGGCTCATAAGAAAGTCATACAGAAATTAATTTAAACTTTTACAAACAATGACACAGGTATTATTCTGATGTTGTCCAAATCGATGAATGGTAAACTTGACAGTTGTGGGAATTATGTTTTGTGTAAAACAACATATTCAAATACTGACCAAAATGCTCCATTAAGTAAACATGATGTGTGTGGAATTCAGAGAATTGAAGATACCAGTCCTGGGACTGCAGTTGTACTGGGTGAAGATAAATTTGCTCCCCATAAAACTGAGCTGAGTTCACCATTAAACAAACAAATCAGTTCTGTGAAGAATGAGGAACTGATAGTGCATGGTGTTCTTGACACCAGTAAATACATTCCTGCCTCTAGTAAAAGAGAACATAATACAGACAAAAAGCGTATGAATATTGAAGAAAACAGTTTAAAAAAGTGTCAGTATTGTCATACGACGTTTCCATACTCTTTATTCAAACTACACGCACAAACATGCAACAAAAGCATAGCCAATGAAAGTTCAAACAATTCAGAAGAAAACTTAGCGACGTGTCGGTTCTGCAAGAGCATTTTCCCCGACTCGCTAATTCAACAGCATACGGAGACATGCACGCAAAGAAAAATGCACAAATGTGAAATATGTCAGAAATGTTTTCGAGTGCAGTCGAAGCTTCTCATTCATCAACACGTGCACAGCAGTGAAAGACCTTATCCTTGTAAGATATGCTCTAAGTCGTTTAAGTTTAGATCAGGACTCAGCCGGCATATGCGGCGTGAACATTCGAGCGGAGGTAAAACAGAACATGAACAACAAAGTACCCCCTTGGAAAAAGAAATCAGCTTTCGACCAGATTCATTTGAGGATTGTATTGAAGAAGATAGTCAGTGCCAATGTTGTGAGAGTTCTAGTAAAGGGGAACATTTCATGAGACAAACTGCTTTTGAAGCAGCAAAGACGAAGATGGAGCAAGAAACTCGTCCTTTCAAGCAGGAAAATGTCGATCTTAAGAATTGTTGTCAGACAGTCGGTCAGACTATGGTGACAGAAAGCGATAACTACCGGGATAACAGTATCAGGCGATGGCCAGAAACGTTTGAGATTGTGGAGAATCCTAAAAGTAACTTTGAAGTCACACAAGAACTAGCTCAAGTACCCAATGGACATTTACCTAGCGCCAAACACTCGCCGTACAGGCAGAGATCTGGCAAAAGCAAAGTCTATGAGTGTGAGTATTGTTCAAGTGTCTTCGAAAAGCCATCAAAACTGTTAGTTCACAAACTTATTCACAGCGAAGAGAGGCTGTTTGCATGTGAAATTTGTCAGAATACTTTCAAGCACAAAGGTTCCCTGACGAGACATATCAAAGAGCAACATTATAGTCAAGGGAGACGAGCCTCCAGCGTGGCAGTCGATGGTAAACAAAGAAGTATACAAAAACATCGTGGCCCTTTGGAGAAAGAATCTAACTTCGAAAATGAAAGTAACGAGTATACTGCTGTTCAAGTAAATTATTCCAGTGACGAGGAGCAAGATTGTGTAAGCATGGTACTTGATAGAAAGCAGGAGTGCCAAATGAGCCTGTCGTTTCGGGATGAAAGTAGCTTTCAAAACGTTGATGATTCCATCGTTCAAGCGTCGCCTGTGAAGGAAAATCGAACTCTTAGATATGGAAGAGGAAAGGCTTTAGAGAAAGAACAAAATAATCCAAGTATGATATTTAGCAAAACTCAAGGAGATAGAAACGGTTTGTCTTTGCATGACGAAGTGAGCCTCAGAAATCTGGGTAAAACCGACGAATTTGGTGTGAACAAAAATAAAATTGGTTTGTTACAAGTTGAAGATTGTTCAGATCGAAATGGTTTGTCTTCTCAGAATGAATTTAACACTGAGAGTCGTGATAATACAAATGATGATGATCCCGACAGAGAAAGCGTAAATAAGAAGTGTAAAGAAGGTGACTATGAAATTCATGAAAATATGAAACGAAAGCAAACGAAACATGATTTGCAATGTAGGGATATCAATTTGGAAAATATGGGAAATGGTGTGGAAGTCAACGCAAAACGAGATGAAATACCCGAGGAACCTAAATTATATTATTGTCCAGTCTGTCCAAGAATATTTCCTAGATCATCTGCATTACGGAAACACAAAATAATTCACAACGATAGCATGTCATTTTCTTGTAACATATGCGGACATTACTTCAAGTACAAAGGCTCATTGACTAGACATGTAAAAGAGCAACATTATGGTAAGGGAAGAAAGAGTTTTGGCATTGTAGTGGATGGGCAAGAAGAAAGTATATTAGAACATTCGTCTCCTCCGGAGAAGGTTAGCTTTGAGGATGCTGTTAATTCATCTGCCATGGGTAATGGTGGATCGACAAGATCTCCGCAGAAGCAAGATTATGGTCAAGTAAACATGGAAGATTGCATGACAGCGGATGATGAAGCTCACGAAGGGAAATATATTCAGAACGGTGACCGGCATTCGAAGAACAGAAGTGAAAATTGTAAAAATAAAGAAGACAGTGAAAGCTGTGAAAGTTTGGATGACAAGGAACAAAATGATCAAAGTGGTAAGTTTGAAGAACAGCAAAAGGATGAAAAGATTCTTTGTTTGATGGACAAAGTTTGCTTTGAAAATTTTGGTAGTAGCAAAGAATGTCTTGTAAGACAAAGCGATGCTTCCTATGAAGAAAACAATGTCGGCAACCCAAGTTTAGGTGGAAGACCCAATGATCAAATTATGATGTCTGATAGCAAGCAAAGAGATCAAATGAAAGTCGTTTGTTTTGGTGATGTTGATACCGAAGTTTGTCTTGTAAAAGAGGATGAATCATGCAAACATGTTAAGTGTAATAAACATATTTTAAGCGTTGATGATGGACAGGGCAAGGAGGCTAGTTTGACGAATATTGAAAACCGCAGTGAAACTTTTCAATATGAAGAAGACTATTTCGCTGAAAACAACCTGGAAAAGGTAAAAAAGGTTTATGAATGTCCTGAATGTCCACAAGCTTTTCCAATACCGTCCGCGTTGCGAAAGCACAAAGTTATTCACAGCGATAACATGCCATTTTCCTGTAAAATATGTGGTCGATACTTCAAGTACAAAGGTTCACTGAGACGACATATCAAAGAACAGCATTATGGTCTCGGAAGGAAAAGCTTAAGTTCAGTTTTTGGCGACATGGGAGGATATAAGCAAATTAATTGTCCTCCGCTTGAAGAAAACAAGAATTCGTTAGACATCAATGAAAGTTTGAAGTGTAAGGATGGATCAACTGAAGATTTGAATGATCAAGATCTTAAACAAGGAAAAAATGATGCAAACAGCATGGTAGTTGATGAGAAAAACGAGGGTAAACCAGACCAAGAGGATTGTTCTTCCGTGGAAAAGAGCAGTTTTGATATGATGAGAGAACATGAAAATTGTGATTATAAAGTAGGAACTATCCAGGAGAATGCGGAGACCTCAGATGCAAGACAAAATGATCAAAGTATGATAGGAAATGAAATGTCTCTGCCGGATGAACTGGGAAAAGATGGTTTACAAAATGCTGACTCTGCAGAGGAAGACACGGATATTCCAAGCATGATATATAGAGAAAGGCAAGAAGATGAAGATCGTGTGATCATACGAGATGGAGACAATGAGGAAGAAGTTGAAACATGGAATCATCAAGTACCAGTACATTTTCCACATCTGGAAGATAATTTTGAAAGTGGCGAGAGAAATTTAGAAGTTAAGAGGAAAATGTCTGAGATTTGTGAAGAAAATTTTGATGTGGATAATCGTAATTTCAATGTTAACTCGGCATCATTTGAAACCCCCGATAAATGTTATTTTCCCGCCATACCGTCAGACCTTATGCAAAAATATGAGGGAATTAAGATCTATGAGTGTCCCGAATGTCAGAAAGCGTTTGCAAAATCGTCCCATTTGCGAAAGCATAGCCAAAGTCACAGTGATGTGATGTCATTTTCCTGTCAGATATGCGAGCGTCGTTTCAAGTATAAAGACTCACTTTCCAGACATATTAAGGAGCAACATTATGGCCAAGGCAGAAAAGGTTTGAGAATGGTAATGGCTGAGAAACTTGGAAGGGAAGAGGAGAATAAGAATTTGAACTTCTTGGAAACGAAAGATGATTTGGAGAACAAATGCAATTCTTTAGAAATTGCAGACGAAGAAAGTACTGTTAAAGGGACATTTGAAGCAATTGTAGACGACGAAAGACCAAGAAAGTTTGGAGTGAATTCTTATATTCAAAATCATAATGAACAGGCCATCCAAGAGAAAGACAATGTAGGCAGAGATAGGGATGAGAATATTTCGTTTGAACAAAACGGAAAAGAAAGAAACTGGAACAACATAAAACAGGATAAGCCAAAAATCGGCAGCGATAACCTCGAAAAAGCACCTGTAGACTTTTCCTGCACACTTTGCGGGAGATACTGTAAATACAGGAGTTCACTATCCAGACATTATAGAGAGCAGCATCTCGGCAAAGGGCGAAAAGCGGACAAGTGTAGTTTCGAAGATGGAAACACCAAGCAAGAATACTCTGATCGTGGTGAGAGAAAATTGAAAGAAAATGGCAGCGAGATTAATTCTAATTCTGAACAGGTTTTCCAAAAAGATAATGTGGCTGTCACTCATGATGAGAAATTCAAATCGTCTCATTTCGAACTTTTAAAGACGAAGAAGGTTCACAAATGTTCAGACTGCCCCAAAACGTTTTGGTCGTCTTCTGAACTTAAGGAGCATACATACAAACACACTGACATTCGATCGTTTGTTTGTACTCTCTGTGAAAAAGCATTTAAATTTCGCTCGGGGCTCGTTCGCCATAACAGAAAAGAGCATAAAAAGAATGGTTTAACCAGTTTAACCAAGTTCGTGAACGAAAATGTGGACGGTAATCACATCTCGCCGGGGAATAATTTGAGAAATGGATGTTTAACGTCAGAGCAAAGAAGTCCGATGTTTGAAGAAGGCAGTACAGAGTTTGGTGATAAGATTGAAGAGGATTTTTCTAACGGTGGAGGAGGGAAGCTCGTTCACAGCATTGTCGATGAAATTGACGAAAGTCATTCCTCTCCTGAAAATGTTAATTCTGTTGTGGAAGTGGCTGATAAAACTACGAATGCAGTTGTGTCCGCCAGAAGTATTTGCCAGAAACAGTGCGGTCAGAAGAAACCAGCCTCGTATAATTGTAACAAATGTGACGCTGTGTTTAAACAACTGTGTGACTTTTTAACTCATCAAAGAATTCATAAATAGACCTGCAGAGAGCTGTACTTCACCGTACTGTAGAAACCATATTCCAAGTCATGTATGACTTTATATGTGAATTTAACCAGTGTGACCTCGTTTTCGTGTAGCAAGCCTAAAGATTAACGACTCAGTCATAGATGCTTATTTTTTTAAGGATTGGTTCTATAGAAGGGTTATATTCATACCACAGCCCTTTCTGGAGCTGCAGCTAGTACAAGCTAGAAAGCGCTACCTGCATGCATGGGTTGCTTGTAACTTGCTATTTTGCTCAAGCGAATGTATTCCTCATATTATTATATATTTCGTTGTCCATTCGAGGAGATTTTGAAAAACATATGTCACTTGATATATAGATTTTATTTCTAGATTTCTTCGATCCAGGGTTCGGTTGTTTAGCTTCTGCACAACGGCCCAATATTCGTAATATTATTCCACGGTGAACGCAGTATTTAAAGCGCTGCTTAACCTGCTGAAAAATGTATCATGTAATATAGTTTATATTTTTATATATAAATGTATATACGGTTCAAATTATTATCTGAAATTATTCTTATTAAAAGTTTCTTCGATATGCGAGATCTGTTTTAACTTAAAGAGCATCATGAGCTACTGCTGTCAATTTGTATTTTCGCCAATTTCCGATATATAAATATTCATTTGGGATGGAAATTGCATGGTTAGGTAAGTATTAGGTATAGAAAACGGAGTTAGGAGCGATTTGATTGGATTTACTCTATAACAAACATAAGATTTCAAAATTTTCCTATTGGCTTCTCCGCGTAAAAAGCTTCGCCCTCACGTCAAGTCGTTTTGCGCCAAATTATGCAGCGAATTACTTGAGACAAGAGAAAGTGTAATTTTCTGCTGATATCATTCAAGTAAATATTTATTAGGCGCCGAAATTTGACAAGCCATGTATGTATATAATATAATTGTTAATATTTACTAAGATTTCATGCAAAGAGCTTCTCTAACGTGACTTAGGCGACCGTGTAAAGTCATATGCTGGCTCAGCAATGAGCATTTACCGATGCATTATTAATAGAAAATTTTTCACAAAGTTTAATTAAATCTATTTGACTTGCACTTTTGACAGCAAGTTTAGTTAGGAATGTTCGTTTGTAGGTTTTTTGTGCATAGCCTCTTTGTTCGAAATGGGTTGCTTGTATGGGTATTTCCTTTGAGATATCTCATCGATAACGGAAAAATTAATCCCTTGAGAAAATGAGGTAAATTTATTTGTGAATCTTGTCAGATATCTTTAACAGATCTTAAGATTAAGAAAGCTTTAACAGATCTTAATTTATCTCAATCAATTTTAGTTTATTGAGTGGGTAAACTGCTATATAAAAGATCACACCACACTATGTTTGCATGCAAGGACAATCCAATTTCACCAGGCCAATAAACGATGCCAAATTAGATTAGGTTTAATGAAAAAGCAAAGTGCAAATTTGCAATAAAAGGCAATTGATATTTTCACCTGTCTTTATAAAGGGCTTGATGTGTATCGATATACACTGGAACTTTAAAGAATAGGAAGAACACGCGAAGTAGAAAAATATACCACATAAGCAAGTCGTACAGTGGGAACAGTGAGATACAGGCTATTACCATTTCTTAGACAAGTTTTTGAAACAATGCATTCTTATTGGAAATACAGGAATTTGCTCTCCGTAATCGCCTTTGTTTGTGCGAATATTTTCGGCTCGCCAGTTCACTGCCACTTGGGATTTTCGCTTCCAGAAGGAGTCTGCCAAAATGTAAGTGAGATCGAGGTACGCTACCGCGATTATTACCCTTTCTATCTAACTTCGAAGCGGGTGGCGGAGGGACGATGGAAGCACCTCGGGAAGAACCACCATGGTTTGCTTGCCAAACGTTTAACCGATGCTGCGAAGGTCTGCTGCCCCAGCGTGAATGTAATTTTTAAATGGATCGGAAACGTTGAACCGGAAAGCTCTGTTACGCTCATTGCCCAACGCGAGGTCCTTCTTTCGCTATTAGGGACACGGAATCAAAGTGATGACCCCAAAAAATTTATCTTCTATTTTCCGGAGTTTACAAGCGGAAGTGTGTCAAAAATATACCCATATTCGACGCCTTTTCTTTCGGTAATAAATTCGCCCGGTCATGCTGTCGTGATGCTGACGTCAGATGCTAAACTTGCAACTAGTCCCTCAAAGTTGCTAAGCCCGTCGATACCTCTTATGATTGTGATATTTGCAGGCGCGTTGAAATTTGGTTTAGTGATTTGGCTTTTGGTAAGTTTTGATTAGATACTATCTTTATTTCAATCCCTGTTCTTTTTTTAATGGCGTGTTAGTCGGAGGTGTCGGTCAGGGAAGAGAAAGTTCTTTTTGTGGAGTATTTTTTGGAAGCATGCAGTATAATTATCCCCAGTCAGAGTTCTCACTTTCTCTAGTTTCCTCTGTCTAGGAGCGCTGGCATAATTCCGAAGAGTTTCCACGGCCGTTTATTACCGGTATATTTGGGGGATTTTGGTGGGCTGTTGTTACCATGACAACAGTAGGGTAAGTTGGTGATAGTGTGAAACAATACGAGGTTCTGGTATCCAGTCCATAAGAGTTTGAACACCGCGTAATAGGAAAGTTCACTTCTAGTAAAATGATGATTTCGTGATGTCCTGATAATGGTGTTAGGCAGTCAGATCAATCTAGCTCACTTAGAAGCTACAATGGCAAACATAGGCCAGAAAACTCTTATTTAAAGGGAAGTACTTCAGCATAATGCGGCAGGGAAAACGAGTAGTCACTGTAGACTTTGCAACGGCTCACAGTAACGGTTTTATTTCAGTTACGGCGATAAAGCTCCCAAGAATGCTCTTGCAAGATTACTGGCGATAGTTTGGATGTTGTTGAGTTATATTCTGTTGTCTCTGGTTGCAGCAAACATCGTCTCTCTTCTGACCACGATGCACATTTCCCGGATCCAGGGCACAATCGGACTAAAGGTCGTTGAATCAGTTGATTGTTCATCAATGAGTCACTCGCTTATCGGAAGATTGAATTGACAATTTTCGCATTAAACTATATTAAACTGAAATAGGAAGATTCATTGGTACTGAAGGGTTGTTCAGCTGGAAAGAGCATCCAAAAATTAGTAAAATCATAAAGTTTGGTTGCAAAATATTGATGAATGTGGGTGAGTTATATAGCCGTGCACGAGACGTTGCGAAAGTGACATCAACATATTCTAATTCATCACAAAAATTGACAACTTCGCACGGTGATATTTTGGGATGCTCTTTCCAACTGTGATTATGAATTTTCCTAGTTTTAAACTTAGTTTAATGTGGAAATATTTTTTTGGTTGGTCATTTTTTCTTTGAGTTATAATCTTGATAAATCACTGACACTGAGTTACCTGTCATGATCACTGCTCCTCCAAGTAGTATAGCACCGGAGTAGTTTTCTAAGGAGGGCCTCTGTATTCCATTAATTGTCAGTTATACAAGTTCGTCGACTGACCATGTAGCCCTTTTTACATTGACATTGTTTAACGTTTTTCAGATTGGAACTCTTAACAGCAAAGGTTTTGTAGAGCGCGAAATGAATTTGGGCGCCCAGATCGTAGGTACTCACAGAATACCATAGAATACCCATCAGAATGACAACTCTATTCTTTTTTGCGTACTTGTGATTCGTCACTCAGCAAGTACGATAGACAGAAGCAATCTTAGACATTGGCAGGGGGTTATTGCTTTCATTTACGCGATACTTGCTGAGTGACGAATAGTGACGAATCACACTCACGCAAGTTGAAAAAGTTGTGTTCCTGATGGATATCCTGTGTCTATACGGTTATTGTTTTCTTCTCATTTTTCTCCAGGAAATTTATTGCCATTGCGTTCCACACAGTGTTAGGTTTCCTTTGTCTGAAATATGAGCAAAAACATACAGGAACGATTATCAAGCATAAAGTTTTGATACTTTTCAATACAACTATATACGTTCAGTCCAAGTCTACTCTGAATTTTTTATGAGTCCTTCGTTTCCAGTTTATATGTTAATCATGTGACAAATTGTTATTTTCTTTTTAAGACTTCAATAATTCCATTGATATGTCGAAAGCTCTGTTTGACGGAGAGGTTGATCGACTTTTGTTTCCACACTACATTCATTTCCTCGTGATGGCTGCAAGAAATGAAACTATCAACAAGCATATGCATGTCGCTAAAGTTCTCGACCAACCATTTCAGCTCGGCCTAGTTTTAACTCATCCTGTAAATCTAGACTCGACGCCTGGCCATCAATATTTTTACTACTGTTTAAACAGTTTTGTTCAAAGACAGGATCACCTGGTAAGAATTTGATGAATTTGTCGAGAGGCTACTACAGTGGACGGTGTCTAAATGTGAACATGCACATTATACCGGAGTTTGCCTTGTTTATGGGGTGACCTAAGTCCTGAAGCTGTAGTAAAATGATGACCATTATTACGAATCAGTGATGATTCTTAGAGACGATGTTGAAGAGAGAGCTTTTTCTTTGCTGTAGGGCATCTCAAACCATTCCAAAATAAAACCACGCGAGAAGGTTTTCCTCCCTTTGATGGACACGTCTTACGTGCTTGAAATCGGTAGATACTTGCTGTTTGGTGTTGGCGGACTGATTTCTATCGGTATCGCATGGGATATTTTGACCATGGTTAGAAAACGTCTTAAGAAACAAGTAAAACAGAAGAACAACGGTAAGAGAAAAAATATCTTCTCTATCTTATATATCCTCCATTATTCATGCAAAGATATTGATGGCAATGTTGAAATTAGCTGTGAAAAAACTTATCCCGGTTTACTTTTTCATTCTTTTCCAGATCTGGAGTTGAATGCTTGAAGATGAAACATACAGACAAGTACATTATTATATAGAGCTCAGTGTTTGTGTGACATTGAGGAATTGAACCTATGGTGCCATTTGAAATCACTTCCTCTTTTTCTTTTTCCTTCTGGGGCTGGTTGTATGAAAGCCGGATAACGCTATCCATGCACCTGACCGGATAGTGATTTTTTTCAACCGTTCTAAAAATGCTTGAAAAGCAATAAAATTTCAACTTTAAAACCAACAATTATTAAAGAGGATCCTCAATTTAGGAATACTAAGATTTAATCAAAGTTATACCCAACAACGGACGATTTTAAAGCGATTTAAAAATCACTATCCGGTGGATAGCGCTATATCCGGCTTTCATACAACCGGGCCCTGGTGCCCAGGCGATAGCCACATTTGTCAGATTATTTCTGTCTTGTCGTAAGATATGTCCAATCATCGTCCACCTTCGTCTCTTCACTTCGCTACTTAGTAGTTTACAATTTGCCTGTTTCAGAAGTTCTGTGGATAGATCATAGATAGATGGTCTTTCCAACTTACTTTCATGATTCTTCTGAGACATTTGTTGTTAAAAACATCTATCATCTTAATTTGCTATCTCCCTGATTCATTCTCCACGTTTCACAGCCATATATATATTTATATAAAGGCCATTATTAGTGGAGGCAGTGCGGCCGACAGCAAGTGGAGGCCGGTCTAAAACCTTTCCAGGCTTTCGGTATCATCAACGACAATAGTTGAAGTGACGTTCCTTTGTGTAAGCCTTTAAAATTTGCCACCGGTTCGACTCTTACTGAATTACTGCTTTTGGACCATGCAGTAATCATGCAAGTTCACTATCAGAGGACTTCAGGGAAGAACAAGTCACTGAACGCGTCGCATTGAATTAGTTTAATAAACTAATTCACAATATTCTTTCATTAGCTTATGCTCACCGCAGACGACTAACGACTTATCTCGCTAGCTTTAATTCATCAGAATTTAAAAATTGCGAAGTAATTGAACCAGATGACTTCGTGGATTTTCGGGAACAAATTATTAAGTAGCTATATTAACCGTAATCTTGCGGAAGATTGTCTACATTCCTTAATAAAACATGATGGGTCCATCTTTAATAAAGAGTTAAATTGGGAATTGATTGGCAAACGAAATATACCGACTTTGATCTTAAATATTAGCAAACGCCAACGTTTGTTGGAATAAACATGCAGTTTGGACTCTGTCAGTTCCAATGCACAAAATCTGATTGAGTTTGCAAGCAGAATAATACTGTAACGGTCGACTTATTAAGCTAAACAATAAACATATAATTGGTGAATTTAGGTTTTATCCTCCCACATGTATGCCGTTATTTATTGCAGCTGAGGGTTAAATTGACCGCTAGTGGTTCTGTGGAAGGAATCTTTCTCAAAAAACAATCGTATATATATTGGGTATAGAAGTATAATTACTGTAGGTGAAAGGTTTTTTGAACACGATATAGCTAGTAGCCCAGAAAAGCACAAAATTAAAGAAAATGCTGTTTATATATAACTCACATAACTCTCCATGAAATCGGAACATACAATGGCATTGACAATCGTTTTAATTAAATTGTATCTATTGTAAAGAGAAATTACACTTGGTTAATAGACACTTGGGTGCAATTTAATAAACCAACTTATATAGTTCATTGTTACCATCATAAAAGCTGATAACGCCTGCAGCGCCGAGCACAGACCTAACACTCTTCCCACATACGTCGGAAAGCTATAAACATCCCCATGTTGAATGCCCAATAACAGCAAAATTAACAAAACACAGCGTCCTCTCAGCGTGGTACGTTTCCTTTGAAAGGTCAACGATCACAAGCGACGTTTTTTGACTACACAGTTGTAATCAGGGACGGCGAAATAGATGTATGTTGTGGCCATATTTGCATTGTTTTTGAGCATCTGTTCTGAAGTCAGCCGAGATAGGTAAGATTTCTTCGCTTAGTTTCAGGAGGATAATTATTTTACTATACCGCGATCGGTGTTATAAAGTAAAATCAGTAAATATCCACTTTGTTTTACGAGTATATTAATAGTTTGGAAATGTTTTTTTGCCGCTGTTTTGCAGTGTTCAAAAGTGGACCTAGCTACGCGATGCTCTTTATTTTAACTTGTTTGACTGAAATATAACGGCGGAACAGGAAGCAGTTGTGTTGTTGGATTAGTCAGAGAGGATTCGTAGAAAACGTAACGGGACGTATAAATGAACTCATTCAATTCTCGTTGATCACTATGATATTTTATTGCTTAACGTGCATGGACATGCATTATTTGTAGGCAAAATGTATTCGCCAAAGTCAAAAATCAAAATGATTCTCCTTGAATACGAAGCTCACTAGATATAATTTTGTCAAAGTCAAAATAAACAGATAAGCTGAGACGCGTACCTCACCGAGCCGTGAAGAACTTATGTAAGGGAGTAGGGACTAGTGAATTGAATTAATAAGTAAATTGAATTGAGATGCTCTCGCATTATTGTATATATAAATATATTGGTCTGCGTTTAATTCAACATACGAATAACAAGTGTCATTATGGTTTCTTTGCTCTTTACAATACTGTATTGTCAGTTGCGATTGGCAGAAGCCAGCCTATTTATTCAGCCTCCAATCAAACAACACCTTGCTTCCGAAGATTTATAAATTTAGCATATATTATATTATACAACAACAAATCGATATTGAACTTCAAACAATTGAAGTAATTCTTCACCTTGACAACTTAATTCGATCGTTCTTGGCTAACGCGACAGTACTGCATCGGGGAAAAATGGTCCAAAGGTGCCTTTTCCAATGATTATTGGTAAGTTAATCGATCTGTTGTGAGGCGACTGGCACTCATTAGGCGGTTATCAGAGACTTAGAGGGAAAATAATAGAACTTCTATACCAAAAGTATAAGAACAGCTGGATTTCACCTTACTCCTTAGTTTTTGACTTTGTATTTGTACCGATGTTTTTAACTTAGGACGATCGAAATGTCACTTAAGGGCCTCATGGCATCTTCTTTCATTATTCAAACAGATCATTTTATTTACAGTAAAAGAATATCTATCAATAGTCAAAAAATTTCCTTACGATTCCGATCAAACCTGCCTTGATCGAATTCAGGAGACGCGGGACTACAGCTTCCGGACGGCTTGTTTCTTTGATGAACCGATATATAATATATAGTTGGCGCCCGTAGACATGACACAAGTACTTCAATATTCTATATTTCTGCGCGTGAAGGACAAATTGGTCGCCCTGAAATATATGCAGATAAGAATTAATTTTGAATTGCAGTTGTGTGTATGCCGAAAGTTCGCATGCATGCAGTGAATAATTCAATATGATTAATCGAGTATATTAATCTTAATATTCATATACATAAGGCCATGTTTCTCCGGTCCAGTCGTGAAAAAAGCGATTGCCAACTAATGTATTAGAAAACCATATTACCAAATAGATATTCAGCTCTTTTCCGTTTTATACACGTGGGTAAATATTTTATTTGATATGTTTCATGTGACAAATATATTTTGCCTGCGTGAATAGAGAACTGTTAGAAATTTGATATTACGGCCAATTCACTTAGCATGCTTGTATAAGATGTATATGAACTAATATCGTGATGCCTGATGGTGCTAAATACTCTGAGTTACAACTTCGACCATTGGGGGAATTAAACCCGTTAGCTTCGGTTTGCTATAAGTTCATATTCATGCTCTTGCACCTAAATCAATGTCCTATCACTGCGTATATAAATTTGGGTATGTATGTATCATTGAGTTCAGAAATACCACCAAGCATTGGAATACCATTGCAAGTACCATTGCAATACCTAGCATTGGACCAGCAAACTATAAGGTTCGCGGTTTTCTATTTCCACCGTGGTAAAGTTAATCTTTCAGCTTGCGAGGTTCCATAGTGACTCAGAGTTACAGAGCATCACAATAATGACGATATTATATCATTAGTGAAACTATACTGCGGAATGCTAATTTTTCGTAGCGACGATAGCGAAAGAAAGTTGGGATTTCTCATGGGAGATTTCGGTGCACGCGCAACTGATAACCAAGACCTTAACTGGAGTAAATGTGCCGATTAGACTGAGTTTGTATGAGGTTTGCGCATTGTGCATAAAACCAGGTGCGTATCATGCGGCAGGTCAAAATTTGCCTATATTGCATGCATGCCATTTGCTGGGATAACTATACGACCTGAGATCTATACATGACAAACAAGAGTGGTACAGTATGCATATATATATATAAAGCAGATATCGGCTATAGGAGGGGACTATCTACATGCTATTTTTTAAAAATCTTGATGAACTTTTTATCTTTGATCTAATAAATAATTCAGCAAGACAATATTCAGCATGCATGCATGCTTCTTATAATTACATTTTAGATTCGTCTCAGAAGCAGACTAGCGATGACGAGGATGCCACAAGATACAGGTGTGCTTAGACAGCTTAGGCTTGCGAAAATCGCAATGATTTTCTTCATGATCGTCCCAGGGGGATTTGCTCAAAGCAATCGTTTTGTACCGGAGGAGGAATGCAAGGAAGTTGCTAGCCTTGAAGTCCATTACAACGAATTCTTTGAGTTATATTTGGGGCACAATGGTACGCATGAGGAACTCCAGGAAGGTGGAATCATCTACAAGAGTCTGAGGGAAGCCATGAATGAATGTTGTCCTGGCATACCGCTGAATTTTAAGCTCGTAAATGAGTCTGTTGAGTACTTGGTGCAAAGAGATATATTGCTGCACCACGAGGCCCAGAAACAACAAAATACGTCCCATGAGTTGGTCTTCTATTTTCCCGAGTTTACTTCACAAGGAAACCTAGGTATTATAGCAAGGTTTCTGCATGGAGGCTAAGCGAACTAAGTCTATGTGTGCTTGCTTAAATCATCAATTTTTAAGAAACAGCACGTTTCTTTAAAGATTTATTTAAGATTTATCTAAAAAATTTGAAGATTTATTACAGGACAAAGATTTAAAGATTAATCATGTCTTATAATCTCACTAAAGCGGTTGCATAATTCTTATCATATGCATGCATTAGACATTACTATCATTCATTTCCTGATGATGACAATATTTACTTTCGATCGGGAAATTGAATTTTCAAATAGAAAATTTGAAATTGCTATTTTAATAATAATAGCCTTTTTGTAATTATGAAATTATTTGAATTGACAATTACAAAGAGGGATATTCAATATATAATATTTCATTTCATGCAGTTACGGCCAAGGAGGATTTTCCCAGTATTCAGCATTAAAATCCATGTCGTGATTGTATCATTTAGAAGTTTACTCGCATCAAATCCCGTTTTTAAAGTTACGAAAATCGCCTGGCTTTGCTTTGATAATGTTGAAGAGTGAGTCACATTTGGACATCTCTGCATTAGACGTGATTGGTCCATCTTGGCCAATATTCGCTCTTCTGTTGTCGCTTGCCTGGGCCGTAGGGATCTTAGGATGGGTGTTGGTAAGTATATACCGTCTGCAATACAAGAGAAACCAATTGAGCTTATCATTCATTGCAAAATTCTAACGGCAAACGGTTGACTTAATAACTTTCGCACTACATGTATGCGGATCAGCTGTTGACCACAAAACGTAAGATAAGCTTTGAAATTACAATTAAATAACTTGCCTCTAATTGCATTTGCCGTTTCCATGGGTCATTATAAATTTCCGTAATGACTCGATCGCAGTTATTAATTGTGGATTTTCTAAGCGATATCCAGCTGTTGCGTCTGTAAAAAGAAAGGAAAGGTTGATACTCACTCTAATGGTTCCCAAGGCTAAGATGTAGGGGGGGGGGATGGAAAATTGATGCCGCGCATAATTGCCACCACCCCCTCCATATATTGTTAATTATGGTTTTAATCCCAAGTCTCAGAATATTGATGGTTAAATGGTTGGGAACTGATATAAGCTTAAACATGTTTGGCATGACACCCTAACACTATGAACCGTAAATCCAGCCTAAGCCATATTTATATACTAAATTCTTTTTACTATTCTTAGGATCACCGTTACAATCCGGAAGAATTCCCTACTCCTTTTATTAGAGGAATGTTTGAAGGATTCTGGTGGTCCATGGTTACTATGACAACCGTAGGGTAAGTGCATGTTGAGTTAGCGCCAATTAAACCTTTAAATGCAAAGCGCCCTTAGTTATACGTGTCCGGATTATTATCTTCCGATTCTTCGGTGAGGGAATTTATTGCATGCATGTATACATTATTAATATTTATCAACAACATTGTGATGGTGCCACTCGCAGTTACAGAGTTACCGAATGTTGCCACTTTGAGTTACAAACTGGGCGAGCTGAAAAATTAGCAAAGGTACAGTGCATGGGTAACTCAATTAAAGGAGCACCATCACAATATTGGGTCATATGCACTATCACTATACCTTTTTTCATGTTTAGATACGGTGACAAAGCACCTAAGTCGTTTTTAGCCCGTATTCTCTGCATTATTTGGATACTAGCGGGAGCTGTGTTACTCTCCCTGTTCACAGCGAATACGACATCAATTATCACAGCGAGTAGATTTGAGAAAAACGCCCAAACTATGGGAAAGAAGGTATGGCTTTCTTTACAGAATTCACACATTTGCACACATTTGATCTTCGTCGATTCCTTCTTTTCTGCCCTTCTGAAGGCCTTCTTTTCATGCAATTTCCTTCTTTTAGATTGGCGTCGTAAACATGAAACAATTTGTGGAAGCAGAGTTAAACCTTGGCGCTCAACTTATAGGTGACTAAGTTTTGCAAATCGCACACCGAGTATTTCCATGTTCAGGAAGTTGACACTTCGGTTCTGAACGCGGCTAAGCTAGATCCCGACGGCACAATACCAGATTCGCATTATCACAGCATCGTTTTGCAGCAGCTTGGTTTTGCATCTATATAAATTCATGATAATAAACGTCGAATTAAATATAATTTACTCTTGAGATGAATTTTATAAAAATGACTTGATGGCCGGCGAAGTAGTCGGTTAAACTTCGATGCAAATCCGGAACTGTGCGCTGGCGCATAAGCTGATATTCCATCAATCTCGAATCTTGTTCTTCCAGAATACACGAAAGTCGAAGAAGCTCTAAAGGCACTAAACAACAAGAGCATAGACCGGCTGTTGTTTCCACACTACTTGGACCTCTTGTACATTATGTCCGATCCCAATTTTCATGTTCCTATGCTGACTGATATCTATATTGCAAGAGAGTTTGACAAACCGTATCAAATCGGTATGGTGTTGTCCCACGGTGAATATTCCTCTATCAAAAATAATAGATTCTACACTTGCCTGGAGATCATGACTTCAAGAGCTAATAACAAGGTACAGTTGCCGGCTTTAATACTGCTATATACACTAAACCTCTAACAAATCTGCTCTGCATGCTGAATAAGTTGTTTAATATTGAATCCTTTATACTCACCAGTTTGCATTTCATCAGTTCCAAGTTGTGTAAGAACAAACTTTTGCTCGGTTAAATTTCACTTAAAAAAAGCATCCCTTACAAAGAGTTAATCCAATGTTATTTGGAACTACAGTAACAATCAGTTTTATATATATCTCCTCATTAATTTACCCCTAAGCACGACTACGATTATTCTCTGATTGATGGTTCTATCATTGACGACAAGAAGGACACGTTTGACACTAAAATTACTCTTCATTATCTCTACGGCATATTGGGTGTGATCGGTTTCATGCTTATTATTGGAGTGGCCATCGATGTTTACAATCTCTCTTACAAGCCGACTGGCGAAACAAAGAAACGAGAATCCGCAGGTAGTGTATATAAGGATATGGGTTTTTATTTAATTGTAAACAACTGCAGCAAAGTTTATACCATCAGTGGACCTCTTATTAGTTTGCCTCTACAATTCGTTTGTTAATCGAGCAATTCAGTAGATTGATAAACAAGTCATGATAGCAAATATTGCCAAGCAACTAAACTGGATTATTGGAAAACAAGTCGCAACACAACTCGCTATCTTTATAACCATTTCTTTAAATTTTTACTACTCCAGAAAACGGATTATTTGGTCGCTAGTTTAATGAACGTATTGACGCTTTTTAAGTGGTGGGGCGACTTTGTTCCAATGATAATATAAGTATATAAATATAAATGTACTTTGTAGCACATCAAGTTACTTATTTTCTGTATAGAACACGCGCAAGAACTGGCAAGACCTGTGTAATCTATAAACCTTCTACTCGGACAGTCTTTAGGTTATCGGTGGTATCCGACATGCATGCAACGATATGCACAACGATAAAGCACCTTTGCAACGCAACTGTCAAGAATGGCACAATTAAATGACGACCTAATTTTTATCTGCTAGAGCTAAGTGCAAAATTATGTTTTACCTACTATCACTGACTCTGAAAATGCGCGCTGGACTGAGCGAAATTATATATTTAGAAAATAGTGATAAATAAAAGTCGATGCACACTTTAGTATAATACTTTTTGTTGTGTTTGTTTTTAATAATTGCCGGTTGTTTGAAGATGATGATAGTTCATGGTAGGGCTGACTGAGTGATGCCGAGGTAGACCAGAGTTTCTAAGGATTTTTAACTGCATTCCTTACGTCTTGAGGCGCAGGTTTCGTGCAACTAAGAAGAGGGAGATTACTTATTAATGATAAATTAAGTGAAACGCACAGTGAACCACAGTAAGCAACCGTAATATTCCATATGCATCACAGGTACACAATTATTAGCCAGCCAAAACTTGGTGCATCGCTTGCAAATCCCCCAAACAAGGACAACATAATTATGCCTTCGCAAAATTTGACACGATCTTACTCTTTATACATGTATTGTTGATTCACTTTGATTTGATTTTAAACTTTCAGTGCTTTGCATAAAACAGCTTAGATATTATCATGCCCGGTCAACGCCTTCGGATGTTAAAGGCGACATTAGATTTTCAGTCCATCGAGTATTATAATGTCGCGTGGTTGACTTCCGTTCTGAAGTCCAAACAGCCACACACGACAAACTCATTCGAGTACAGTCAGTGCACACAACTGATTTAAAAGAAGTCAGGCAAACGCAAAACATAGATATTTCGGACTGAAAGAAATTCTTTGGTCTAGATCTACTACTATGACTATGTATACTGATTTCGTTCACCACATGTATGCAGCCGGCATCGCTAAACTCAAGAAATATTCAGTGATGGTGCAATCCGATGTTACAGACACTTCTTTTCTAAATCAGAATAAATTTATAGGACGTATTGTGTAGTTTTATCGAAATCAACTATTGATGTGTTGAATGTAATTGTCACATTAACGCCTTGACTTTCTTTTTAAGATGCCGCCTCAGCTAAGGTGTTAAAAATATAAAGCTAACTGTTTGCAATCGAAATAATATAACAATTATGTAATGACTAAGCCCACACGATGCCTGCCGTGCCAAGGTCATTCATTCATTCATTTCATTGCGCTTTCTGTGCTTCAAAGCATTCGGATAAACTATTACCTGTTTTTTATTCTCAACATAGGAGACATTTTGTTTTGTAAGTACAGCATCGCACGGGCAACGTATTTTCTAAAAGTTCCTGACAATGCCAAAATTGGAACAGGTGTATCATTTTAATATTTCATAAGGATCGCAGTTACAACAGGTACCCAAACATGCGGCTTTTTAATTGTGCCCTGTGAGATATCATAGTGCTCGTCGTAACTATTGTCTTCACGACCTGCACTAAGTTAGCCAGTTATATAGTCAGATGTAATCCAAATGGCTCGGCGAGGATTCTCTGTCTACGGTAAGATGGAATTATAACTTGTAAGAAGAAGTGTACATTGCAAGGTGTGAAAAATATTGGAACCTGGACCATGCTCCAGACGTATATTTTTTGATATAGTTTTGTTTGTTTTCATGTCGATCAAAACAACGACGTACGTAGAACGCGAATGAATTGTGAGTTTTCTAAAGTTCGGCCAAAATTGGTAATTCGGGGATAGAGTTATAGCAGTGTTCCTCCACTTGATTTTCTGTAAGTTAGCTCATGCATCTACACTAGATCTGAACCTATTCGCTTTAGGTCTTCGAAGCTCAACTGGTGTTGTCGACTTTGATAATTGATGGAACAACGCACGCAATCCAACATCGTCTGCCAATGAAACTCAGTATAGCTTTCCCTGTTGCTTTCCCTTGTTTGTGAGTCTTAGAGTGCCTTTTGAAAAGATTGGAACAGATTTACTGCCGAATATTGAAACAAGGCCAGCATTAAAAGCGATAAACATCTATATAGCATATAAATATATTATTTATAAGGCCACGATTAAGCCACATCATAGCTGTGTGCTTGTGTGGCACTTCGCATCTTGAAAAATTGGTGAACTATATTTCTGGGAGTCGAACCACCGGTAGCACAAAATGCAAAGCTGTATTCGCACAGGCTTAGTGATTTTATTATCGTGCTTGTTAACGCAGGTACATGGTGGATATGAGTCGGATGAAGTTTGCAATAGAGTAAGCAGGGTCGAAATACGTTACAAAGAATATTTTTGGAATTATCTGCATTTCAACGAGTCATTTCAGAAAATGGATGGCGTATACGCGTCTCTAATCAAGGAAGCAGTGAACGGATGTTGCGGGGCTTTGGATTTGAAATTCATAATGGAAAATTCAACAAAAGAAGACGTTGAAGGGTTAGCTCTCCACGCGATGGAGGAAATTAACAAAACGGCGGTTTCAAAACCGTTCATTTTCTACTATCCCGAATTTGCTGCCAACAAAGAGAAGATTGTCTACGATTATGAACTTAGTTTCGTGAAGCTCTCTCGCTCAGCTGGTCATGCAGCGGTTATGTTAAAGCCGAAGTCAAAAACGAAAGTCTCGCTCCTATACATTTTAACGGAGTCCTGGCCTATGCTGCTAACGATGTTGACTATGTCCTGGTGTGTCGGGATTTTGGGCTGGATAGCTGTTAGTATAAATTTAAGATCCAAATAATACCATATATAGATCATCTATAGATATACATCCATCGTGTTTTACTACTTTTTACCCAGGACCATTGGAAGAACCCGGAAGAATTCCCAAGTCCATTCATCACAGGAATGTTTGAAGGATTTTGGTGGAGTATCGTTACCATGACAACAGTGGGGTAAGTTGCATGGTTGAGTAACAACAGAGGCACATTTAACATTTTAGCTCCACAAATTGCTTATGATTGCACCTTCCTGCATGCTTCAGTGTAACTTTTGTACTGAGACTGGCGTTAGAAACCTGTCTCTGGTTATTGCAATCATGCATGCATGCATAAACGTTACATTATATAGTTGATATTTTATTTTCCCTCATAATGCAGGTACGGTGACAAAGCACCAAAGAGCGTGCCAGCCAGGATCTTGGCTGTTCTCTGGGTTCTGATGTCTGCAGTCCTTTTATCGTTGTTCACGGCTAATGCGACCGCTATTCTAAATCAGAGTTTGCAAGAGGAAGATCACACAGAGACAATAGGGAAAAAGGTTCGAGTCTTTATAGCGAGCAGTGTTCAGATACTGCAGACCCAGCAGTATGAACCGCCATTTTTCAAGCCAGTTTTCTTTCTCCACTTCAGATTTCTATCGATTCTATTTTATAATTCTTCTCTATACTGTTTTACATCAAATTCAACTCAACGAGAGTTTCTGCTCGTTTATCTTGGGAAGTGCATGATGTTAGCTACATAAGAGTTGTTGTTGAAAAGTTTTAACGGTTTCTACTTTGAAGAAGTAGCTTCAATAACTATATATAGTCTATACTCTACACTGTACTCTACTCAAACTCTCGTTCGACCAGTCTTTGAAAGCTTTTAAAAACTCTGACTGACTTACGCGAGCCCATTCTTGTTTCAGCGGTTGCTTTTACTGTTTTACAATACAAGCTTACAAGAGACTTCGTTAGGAAAATTCAGTACAGTTTTCCGTTCAGAATAGTAGCCATATCTATATACATAACTTATACGTAATTGTGGACGAAATGAAACTAAAGATGTTTCATCGGTGGGCTTTTTATTCAGAACTTGGCAAACATAATGTAATGAAGGCGGCATTTACTATTCTTCAGATCGGTGTCTTCCAAAGCAAACACTTTGACGAATTTCAGTTGAATATGGGAGCGGAAGTTATAAGTATGTATGATATAAGTATCTATCTTTATGTACCTGTTAAGAGCTTAATCAAATTTCGTATGTTCAATGTTCATGTAGTTGTTATGGTATATAGATTATGCAATTTTTTTAATTCTTATAGACTTCCAAAGTTACTACGAGCTAGACAAGAATCTTAACAGTGGGAAAATTGACCGCTTTCTTTTCCCTGATTTTAAGGATCTTATTTATTTATTGGATAATTATTTTCCTGCTGTAAAAAAGAAAATTAAAATTGCTAAGGTTTTTGAATTTCCCTTTCAAATTGGCATGGTTCTCGCGATGTTGCCTGATCAAATCTCTCCTGAAGATAAAAGGTTTCTCAGGTGTATGCGAACGACGATTTCAAGTTACGAGAAATGGGTAAGAGAGAGGGAGGGTTGTAATTGTGATATCAGGGGCGCCGCTAGAACGATAATTCGGGGGGGGGGCAATATTCATAATTTCGTGTTCTGCTATTTTCTAAGTATTCTCGATATTAATAAATTGTCGAATTTCCTTTTTCTAAGTTGAAGAACGAAATGGGTTATAATTCAATCACCCACCCGAAGCCCGCGAAAGTCGACGTTACCACTGGTCTGAATCAGGATGACCTCTTCACTCTAACATATTACCATTTGGCTATAATAGCAGTGCTTGCGTCTTGTGGTATCGCCTGGGATCTCTGGAAGTGCCATTGGAAACGAAAGACAAGCGATACAGGTTAGTTATCGTATTGACAGTAGGTGTGATGATGGTGATAGAGGTACGACGTAGTAGGTATGGTGGAAGCTGGGGTGGCGAGGGAGGGAGGGGTGGCAGAGGGAAGGAATACCGAGGACCCGAAGCTCTCAGAGATCTCTTTGAAAGGTAGTGGCTCCAAAAAATTTAAAATTACTTCTTGCGTGTACTGAATGTTCGACGTTTTGGTGGAATTTACCCTAGACTGTATTCTTTGAGTAAGAACAAAGCATTCTGATCGACCTTTTAACATTAATTATAATGATAATAACAATAAAAAACTTTACTAAATGAAGTGTAAAGTACACATAGTGACATTGTGGTTTAAATATATGGGGGCTCACCCTCCCCTCCTCTCACCAGTTGCAACCCCCTTGCTGGGAGCCTGGGAGTATCCATTACTAACTATGGCATAAAACGCTGGTAAAAACTGCTAAATTACGTCCTAAACACCCCTCTTTAGAAGATGTGGTTGACATTGAACCAGGGAAAGAGAACGGAGCTTTGGAAGTTGTTAATGAAGAAGACAATGCAACTCCCAGGGTCAAAGATGATGCTACATGGTTTTGAGGAGATTTAATTGTACTGAATATAATGAATTTTTTACATAACTTTTAAAGGCACGTTAACGTCTAATTTTGCCGTAATCAATTTATAAGTTTGTTCTGAGGCACACCTTTCTGCATTCTGGCACACTTCCTTGCCATAGGTAGCCCAACAATCAGGTTTTTGATGAGATATTGCAAATGAGGCTTATAAACAAAACCTTCCGCCAGTTTCCGTTCCCATCCAGGCAGTGCATCAAGGTTTCTACCTATATCTTAACCTCGCGCTGCAGTTACTGCAGTTACTGAGTACGTCACGTATAAAACACTTTATTTCATCAAAAACCGGATTGTCGATGTGTTGTCGAATAATTTTTTTTTAACATTACAAAAATAGTTATCGAGTATTTGCATTGATGAAAGCCCGGGTTAACGGACCGAAAGCTTTGCAGTATTAAATACCACAATGTACCTACAAGCTAATTCACTTATAATTTGATGTAACCATGCAAAATTACAAGAATATTAAAAAACGGACTGTTTGGCTGCCTATGTTAAGATCTTGTTTCTGTATTCGCACCACTGATATTGTTTTTTATTATATCATATGAAATGATTTAAAGTCGGCATGCGGTGTTATTTGGTTAAACTTATTGCTTTTTCCTTAATAATGATAAGAATGGCCCTTTCGAACCATAGGATCCGAAGTATTATGCACCGGCACAAAAATGAAGTGAGAGAACTTCTTATACGCGCGACATAAGAAATAGCGTGTGCGAGACTTCAGTACAGATTTCTACTCTGTTTTGAAAACCCATCGATGACGTTTTCATGCATGTCGTCAGCATTCGTCAGCAAACGAAAAATGACCCGGCTTGAGATTTTGTTATTTTAAAGAGAAATTTCGTTATGTTTTGAAGTAAAATCTTTGAAAAATCAGAAGCAAAGAATGGCGAAATTCAGTAGCTGTACACTGCTACAGTTACTCTTCATTTTCACGTTCTTTTCTCTGTCCTATGGCGACAATATGGGGCCACTATGCAGTGAATTGAAAGAGGTCAGAATTAACTACAGGAATTACTATACGTTGTATCTTGGCGACGATCCTTTTGCTCCTGGAAATATAGAGGAAACCGGACTTTTCGTGACCATGATAAGGGACGCTGTTCGACTGTGTTGTTCTACTACCAAGCTGACTTATGTTTTGATACCGCAAATTCCTGGGACCCCCGACAAGGAAATTGAAGAGATGGCGGGTCTCCTCGCCGGAGTAACCCAAGAAGACTCTATAGATCTCTTCTATCCAGAATTTGTGTACAAAAAGTTGCATAACGTTTACGACACACAGATGCCATTCATACGACTTTCCCGTTCACCTGGACCTGCCCTGGCTATGCATAAGCCGAAGGAGAAAGAACCGGTGTTTGTCGGGGAAATATTTTTGAAATCATGGGCTATTATAATGTTCTTGATAACTTTCGCGTGGATCGTTGGAATTTTGGTGTGGATCTGTGTAAGTTATTAAAACGTTCAACTTAAAAAAATACCTATTTAAGTTTCCGTTAAAATATCGATGCAACATACGCTTCATTCAAAACTCTGAGACAGTTTGATTTGAAAACTATTTATAGCAGGTTTCAAAAATTGGGTTTTAATAGTTGAATTTTCGCTGATATTATTTCATAGTTTAAATACAGACAAACTCTTGATAGTTTTAAATTCTTTTTTAGGACCATTATGTGAACCCAAAAGATTTTCCAAGTCCGTTTTACGTTGGCATGATGGAGGGATTTTGGTGGAGTGTTGTCACTATGACTTCTGTAGGGTAGGTTTATAATTATACTGTTCACGACGTTCACCATTCACGACACCAAATTTGAAATTTAGCCATGCCAAGGCGAGTTCTACCCCCAAATGATGGAATATGATATGGTATGATAGAAATATATTTATAGTCCGAGAATAAAATGGTTAAAGGAACACCGCAGAAATTGGTGTTTATGAAGTTTCAACTCGAAAATCTAATCACTGGTTCACAATTGTGCATTTCTCAAAATATAGTATTGAGAATATCAAGTATTGAGAATTTCGGTCCTACCAATCTCAACGGTGTCGGTTAAAGGACGGAATACCATTCCGAACTATCTTGTACTCGAAGTCGTACTCGACTGATGAACTGCTTATTACTGCAAGCATCCTGCTTGATGATTCTCTGTATCGTATCATTCAATAATTTCAACTGTGCCTGTGGATTATATTTTATCAATCAAGGTACGGCGATAAAACGCCCAAGGGACCAATTGGCAGGATTTTGGCTGTTCTCTGGATTTTGATCTCCTCGGTTATTCTGTCTTTGTTCACGGCCAACGCGTCCTCTATCTTGGCAATAAGCCAGGCAGAAGAGGATTACACCAGTACACTTGGAACAAGGGTAATCAAATGTACATAATATATATTATATGATTATCATGTATATTGATGATTATCATGTATATTGATGATTATCAATTTTGGGCTGCTTTTTTTTCAAAACCGTGAGTGTAAGACTTCGTAACGGCGGCTGTCTTTAATTTTAGGCGGAATTTGAGAAAATTTAAGCACCCCAAAAACGTCATCGTGAGAGAGGCTGATTAGTTGCTTACGGCAAACTGATTTACAATGTCATCAAAAGGGAATTGGAACGGCATTCCTTTTTACCGCCACCGTCTATTGCGCTTCAAATTACAACCACAATAAATCTTCTTATTTCAGATTGGATGTTTTAACAGCAAGCATTTCTTTGACGTTGAGTTGAATCTTGGCGCGCAGTTAGTGGGTATGTGTTGGGAGGAACAAACTTCGTGTTTACTTATTTCAAATGGTTACCTCAACGTAAAACGTTTTGTTAAATATAATAGACGGATTTTGCTTGAGGACGGGAGAGTCCTTCCACGCCATCTTTGACGTTTCCATGCTCACGCACGGAAACGTCAAAGAGGGAGACCTTTGCTCAAGCGGGTGAAAATTAGATGTTTAGGATTACTGGATATATAGGCAAAATTTCACCGACTCGCTTCCAGTGAATCTAAATAGTAAATGCGGATTGCAAGGTATAGTTCAGAAACGCAGTCTCCGACCGACTCTTATAGGATTTAGCAACCTGATCCATCTGTTGTTCGCAAGCCAAGCAGGAAAGGTAGACCGAATCTTGTTCCCAAACTACTTGGATTACCTCATGCTAAAGACACTACCTGGAGGCAAGGAAGTGATGAGCACATTCAGGTTGACTAACACCTTGGACCATCCGTTTCAAATTGGACTGGTGCTTGCCGTGAATCCAGCAAATACAACACAAAGAGATCAGAGCTTCCTTCGTTGCATGAGAGCTGAGATACCCAGCCTCGAAAGGAAGGTAAGTTGGAGATAAACGTCAACAAAACTTTTTAAAACGTTGATATATCTCTTTGTATTCGGCTGGCAAAGTGAAATAAATAAATAAATAAATCAAGCTCTTATTCGAGTGAAAATATCGTCATGTAAACGTTATGAGATGATTGTATAACAGTATCTTAATCAATTGTGGGAATATACTTTTACTGTAAATAGTACCGTCGCTTGTTCTTTGGCAATGTTGTATTGGAAGGTGAATCGACTTCTAAAAAAGAAAAGGTACCTTTGGACAGTGATGCTCTTTTAACGATGACCTACTGGTTCTTTGTTACCATTGTGTGCCTCATGGCGATTGGCCTGTCTTGGGATTATTGGATGCATTGGAAGAAGACACATCCTCATGGGCTCCATGGTCCTGATGAGCAACAAGGTATGTCAATTGTCAAGCACTCTAATGAGCTGCCTTGTTCATGCTGTTTGAATTACTTTGTTCCAGTCTGTCTTTATCAGTGGGCAAAGGGCAGCCTTTTGCTTCAGTTATATGCATTTTGGTATTGAATATATGTGACTGATATTTATGACGATAAACGATTTCGAATGTAATTTCTGAAGAATTCTCTTGCTGTCTGGCACTGATTTTAAAAACCTTAGCATATGCAATCGAGAATATTTATTTATTTATTAACTTTGCCAAGTAATATGCAACATTTACCAGTATATTTACAACAACATATAATATGGAAATTGGCAGGGTGCACGCTACAGTTTTCACCAATTACAGCGGCCCCATAAACTATAGTAAAAAAAATAAATATGAGTCTTGTTAAGGACTCTGCCACTCTAAGAAACCAAAAGGCCAAGCTGATCAGCTTGGGCCAGCTTATTTTTTAGCTTGCTCAATTGGTTACTCAGACTATCAGAATCACAATATTGATTCACCCGAGTCATTAAAACAATCATTATTAAAATTATGTAGCTAAGTCGATCGTCATAAATATCAAGTACCAAAGTACCACTAAAAGAGTTACTTCAATCCACACTCCAAGCAAAGTTGTCAGGACGTTTCAAATACTAAAAAGAATTTAGAAACACGTTGCCTAATTTGTTTGTTGATTAAATAACAGGTGATGTTGAAATGACTGAAGTTTCTCATACCGAGGCGGATGAAGGAACACCTTATGGAAGCCTAGACGAAGATGTTCTTTCCAATCAATAAAGTCCGCGGATATATTCTCAAAATAGCTGTTTTCCACAATAGTTATATTGTTACAACCAGAAATATTTTCAGTACAAACGTACATTTTTAATTTTGTGTGAAAATTTGTGTGTGCCAATGAAACACACTGTACTTTAATTCAATTATTGTAATATATACGAGATTCTTTATGAATCCTTAATAAGCTTTTCACGTTTCACTGTTAAATAAAGGCAAAACTTACAAATCAAATCGTACCGGAAAAGTGATGTTGAAATGCGTGTGGAAGGGGAGTATTAGAAAAAGGGCAATGCGAATTTTAGTTGCAATGTTCTCCTTTAGATATAGATACATATAAACAAACGAACAAACAACCGTATTGAATCCTTGATTTGGTAACTAGGATCACTTCCAAACGATTAAGTTATCTAAATACACGACATCACAGTTTAAGGATATATATCCTTAAACTGTGACGACATGCATTGATACAACTTGATAATAAATAAATTCATGGTATCAAGCGAAAGGAAATACTCGTTTTGGAAAGTGGAATCACTCAGTTTTTGAATAACGTCACAAGTCGTCAGCGCAATCGTCAGCGCGCGTGTGATTCAAAAAACCGTCTTTCTGCCGGCTTTCGTACAACTCGTTTGGTTTATACAGATCACTGGGTTTCTATAAGTTTCATCATGTTTTGACGAAAAAACATAGGCCGAAAAATGTTAAAAAGTACTTTGTATCTTCTCTTAAAGCTGTTTGTCACTTTGTTGTGTATTACGTATTCATATGGAGCCAGTCTGATGTACGATAGTCACTGCAGTCAGCTCAAAAGAGTTGAAGTTCACCACAAGAAGTATTTCGATTACTACCTCGCTAAGCGACAAAGTTCATACACGGGGATGTTTTATAATATGATAAACCATGGAATACATGCTTGCTGCAATAATACGCCTGTCCAATTTACTCCGATTGAGGACGAAGAAAGAAGCATCGAGGAAATACTCTCGAATAAGGTGAAAGCAAATCGGGATAGCGGCGTCTTGAACCTGTACTTTCCCGAGTTTGCCGACAAAACTACGATGGATGTTTACGATGCAACAACACCGTTCATTCGCCTCTCGAGGTCGCCTGGTCACGCCATAGTTATGGTCAAGCCAGACCCTAAAGAGCCCGTGTTTATTGGGGAAATCATAGTGAAATCATGGGCCATTTTGATTTTTCTGGTAGCTTTCGCGTGGGTAGTAGGCATTTTGGCGTGGATGAGTGTAGGTTACTTGTATTTCGTATTCAGTAATTTCAATAAATATCAACCATTTACGGTATTTACATATAATGAATTGCACTTATATAGGACCATCATGCGAATCCGAAAGACTTTCCAAATCCATTTTACATTGGTATGTTTGAAGGATTTTGGTGGAGTGTTGTTACTATGACGACTGTTGGGTTAGTATATTGTTGGATGATCATAAACTATTTTAAACGTATGCAGAGTAATGGCCAAACGGAGTAGCGTTTAATATTTGATATAATTTTTCATTGTTATCTATATGTATAGCTATGGTGACAGAGCACCTAAGGGCATTACTGCCCGGGTTTTGGCTGTGTTTTGGATGATGATATCAATAGTTTTCCTTGCCTTGTTCACCGCCAACGCTACAGCCATTTTGGCAATCAGTCAGGCCGACGAAGACCACACTATTACACTTGGAAAGAGGGTAATTTTGACAATTTGACTTGTTAACAGTGTGCATTGCAATACATGACCATGTGTTCAAGATTTGTTCTACGGGCTTTTCTTAATATGACTATGTAACTAGGTCGGCGTCCTAAACAGCAAGCATTTCATTGAGGTTGAATTGAATATTGGATCAACTGTTATAGGTATGGTTTACGTTTAAATCCAGGCCCGACCGCTGCATGTTATAAAATACTAAAAACCAATGCATTCGTATGTGATTATAGAATATGCAAGCACATTAGAATGGATTCAGGCTGCGACGGAAACCCGCGATGTAGACCGATTGATATTTCCGAATTATATGGATTTCCTGGTTTTCGTCAAGGATGAAGCGTACAAAGCCATGCTGGACGACAAGTTCGTTCTCACAAATGCCATAAAATATCCTTTTCAAATCGGCATGGCAGTTGCTTTGGATAATGACAATATGACGACAGCACAAGAATATTTTCTTCTTTGTTTAAGATATACGTTTCCTACGTTGGAAAGACAGGTAGGTGTGATTGTTTTTAAGCATGCAGTTATTCCTAGCAGCATTGATCACAACACCTACGCTACAGGCGTGGCACCTTTTTGCATTAGTAGCTTGTAACTATAGTTAATCCTGCCCTTGAGATAATGAACACAAATGCTTTGGACTTTAAGAAGTTAAGGCCAATAAGGGCGTTAGGGGGTCTTCAAAATCGGTTAGATCTTTGTAAATAAAATCTTTTTCAACAGCGTGCAGGCTTTTCATTTAGGAACAGAAAATTTATAATATAAGAGCAATACTTAAACATTATACAGTCTTTGAATCATTGAATGGTTCAAAATGAAAATCAGTTCAAACACTGACGTTGCAATGATTTGGCTTATTGGAAATAGAAGCAAGGCGTTTTTTAATTCCTGTTTTCCATTTCTAGGCAAGAAAAGCTCTAGACATGTCCATGATTGAATTCACAGAGAATACGCAAACGAAAAAGCTAAAGACAGCTTTGGATGGCGACAACCTGTTGTTGATGAGCTATTACTTTTTTGGTATAATTGCTGTTCTTTTGTTAGCTGGAATTGCTTGGGACTACTGGATGCATCGACAAAGAATGCTTCATTGGCACGACCCAGCTGATCCAGGTATGGTCCAATCATGTAAAATAATGTAAAACTATGTCTCAGCAATTTGCCTTACTTCCAGAAGGTGATGTGTTCACAGATTAATAAAAACACAGGGATATGCTTAAATGCATGTGTTAAACACAATTTAAACTGGATTGAGAGACCGGTCATTATTTATGTCAGGGCTTGGGCACTGGGGCACTAATTTTTCATAATACCCCACTTTAGACTTACTATAAACATTTAGCTCGGCCATATGGCTCGGCGTAAGCCTAATGGATAATCTAAACAATCTTGCATGTCTTTCTAGTTAACGACCCTGGAAACGCTGGTGATCATGGCGAGTTTGATGACGTAATCAACGGCTCGCAATCTGGTCATTCAGGTGCATACAGTCCGAATATGGAACTCTCTGCTACAGATCACCCAGGGTATGGTGTGTAACGTGCACGAGTCTCGCAGGCATTAAAATACACGCAAAAACATCGATTCTTGCAGGAACCTTTTGAGATATTTTTTTCACCAAGATGATTACCGTATTCCATAATGTTGATACTCAGACCTGTCTAAAAATCGAGATTCAGTGGCGTGACACGGCTGACGCGACGAAGACAATAGATAATGAGATGTTCAGCCTCATCAAAACTCGGCTTCATTAACATCTCACTTATTGTCTTAGTTTCAAGTGTTCTTTGCGGCGGTTTTTTTCTAAATTTTCTTGCCTCGTAAAATACTTTTGACGTAGTGACTTGCGGATGTTGTGCTACGGTGTGAGAAAATTCATGTCAAAAACCAGTGAGCGCGAAATGATTCCAACATCCTACATTCAAATTTGTATCCAATTTACACCCAAAACGTATAAAAACTCGTTATTTTTAATGCCTGAAGGCTCGCGTGCGAAGCGCATTGCCAAGCCTTTTTTTAATTCTATATGACGAATGAGATATAATTATAAATCATGCTATTATAACCTTCGATAATTAAATTATTTATAATTTAGTACAATATTTTGTATATATGTACAGGTTATTAAGAATTATTTGGCCTGAAATAGGCCTCGTTTCGTATTCTTTTAATAATGTTTTTTCTAAAAAATTTCACAAATGTTAAATTGTAAGATAGACTTTTTAGATTTTTATCTATGATATTAAATGATGTTATCGAAGCATCGTGTGAAATATTTTTCTTATAATAAACTGTTCCGTGAAATAACCACAGATATTTTACCGCGTGGTGAAATTTTAGCAGAAAAGTGTTTATAAAGACCTGGTAACAACACCAGTGTAACGAAATATAACATTCAATATATTATATGTTTGAAAACGTAGCTTATCGAGGTTGTTGACTATAGTTGTTGCGCACACAACACATGTCAAAATGATACACAATTTTCCTTATTTCTCGCAGTGTTTTGACAGATTATCTTAAAGCTATATTTCAAAATTGACAGCGCCCCGAGACTCTTTGTAGGAAGCGCTGTGTCACTGTCCATCTAGAACGTTCGTCACTGCGGCTGTGCTAGTTGGTTCAGACCGCTAAGTACACCCACACAATGGCAGCCTTAATATAATTGTCTGTGTTTTGTTTTACGCCGCACTGGGCGCTGCGTATACAATATGAAGCAACAATTATCATCGTCCGCATTTCCAAATGGCTGTGTTGAAAACCATCTCACTCTTAATCGTTCTAGCTGTCTTTTTAAAATACATCCACGGCGATTCGTCGTGCTCCGAGCGGCAACGGGATGGCTCGGTCTGCCCACGTTCAAAGCGCATCGAGATTCATTTTAAGCCTTACTACGAAATTTTCTTCGATAAAACGGGTTCTAGGAACAGCCTATACCCTGACATCCTCCGCAATGCGTCCGCGACATGTTGCAAGTCCAGCGTTTTGGAGTTCATTCCGGTAAACAGTTCGACAAAGGACATCGAAGAGTTGATACAAGATGAGAGTTGCACAAAAGTGAAGAACAACGATTCCAGCTTGAGTTTCTTCTTCCCAGTTTTTGTCAAAAGCGGAAAGAAAGCAGCTTTCGACGACGACTTTCAGTTTGTTCAGCTGGCAAAATCAGCCGGACCTGTCATAATGATGTTGACCTCGGAGAAGCAGAAGATGAAGGTGACAGCTTCGGTTGCCGTCCGAAATTCATGGCCCTTGTTCGTACTGATCATGTGTCTCTCAGCGACTGTCGGACTACTTGGCTGGCTTTTGGTACGTTCTCGCTGTTTATTCGCCATGCTTAATTAACGGTTAAAAGAGTTGAGCTACTTTTTGGGGCCCATTTCAAGCACCTCCAGTTCTGAACTGAACGAATCTTTGCAGTGCAAACGAATTGCAGCGGCATTCATGCATACATACAAGATAAATCTATTTATTAAGCTTCGGTTCTTGTTTTTTTTCAAGGAAAAGGTGTTTGCGCCTCAGAACCCAACAAGTAGCTCAACATTGGTGAGACAGTATACTTTGCTTTTTCCTTTCAATTTAACCTTGGGGCGGCTGGAAGAATTTACAAGGAACCTCATTTCCTTCATATAGCCATATTTCCTCAAGGCCTTTTTTTCTATACAAGCAGGTCTTCAAACATGAAACACGGTTTCCTAGCAATGTATAAACCATAATACTAATATATAGCTATATATGGACTGTTGACTCATGAAGATGTTTTCTCCTGAACCCAATTGCGTCGGAAACAAAATATTAATTGTGTTGTGGTGTGCCATAATATATATAAATTGGGACTCTAAATTAGGCATGAACGAATTATCTTCTTGGAAAATTGGCTTAAAAAACGTCTCGACGCGCTTCGACGTATAAGGGCGCTTGTCGAGAAAGTCTGTATAATCTATAATCTGTTTCAGTTAGTTTACCATAACAATAGTTAGCATCGTCGTCATCTTGCAAAATAGCTTATCGGGACCCTCCTGCATGCATTGCGCGGATTACGGTAGATTGTCGCGATGCATGAATGGACAATTTACAAGACAGTACACTGATCTGAGGTTAGAGGTTGAGCTCAGTATGCGTTTTATTACCTATTGTGACTTCGCAATGGACTCTGCAACACAGGCCTAAAACATGGAGCGTGTTGCGCGGCAGGAACAGCCTGTTACAGCAAACTTAACCAACGCGATCGATGATTACGATCAGTTCGTGGAAAACATCGGCAAAACTACGCAAATCGTGGCGTGTACGTGCGGGAATATTCGGCCAGTTTTCCATGACAGCCATGAAATGTAATTAAGATTGTAAACAATAGCGAGAAGAATGAGCTGCTCGGTCTATTGTGACAGGTTTAAATGCAATAATCTGGCGATTTTGGATAAACAAAGTAGTTTCCACTTAAATGGCAGTTTATAGTTGCTTGTCATTGTGTGACAACGTGTTTATTACATTAAATGGTTATTACCAACAATATAGACACTCCCCTTAGATTTTGCCTGAATTTAGGCCTTTGTAAACTGTCAAGCGTGTCTTTAAACTGAAATTCTGATTCCAATCACTTGTCATACAAAACAGAAATACGTCAGGCATGCATTAATTGGGAATGAAAAGAATCCTCCTCTATGTGACGTTTGCGAGTTATTTCAAAAACATCTTTCCTCTGAAGTTTGTAGCGACGGTTTGTTCCGACGGGAAAACGTTTCTATTGAATCAGCTTTAACTTCTGCTGTGAAATGTTAGTGTTTGCGTCTTTCTACGTGGAAACACGACGGAGAACTAAACGTCATATATCATTTCAATTCATATAGGACCATTCCAGCAATCCATCACAATTTTCGACTTGGTTTTACAAAGGAGCATGGGAAGGCTTCTGGTGGGCCATGGTCACAATAACAACAGTGGGGTGAGTACGACATGACAATGTTTTGTTTATGGTGGGTCCGTTTTAGAAATTGAACGACTGTACGAAACATGCGGCTAAGATTTGCGAGTCACCCCTCTTTCTCATACTGTTTTGATGGCGGTGTATAGCAGTCGAGAATCATTTGCAATGAATTGATCGTGAAACGCCAACGAGGATGACGGCATAATTAGAAGTCAGTATTTTGGAGTGCTACTTCATCAGCGCACTGAGTGTTCGTATTGCATTGCATTGGTATATATATACACGCAGCATTTCTCGCCAGGGTACAAGCCGGTTTCCCCAGGGTGTAAATTAGCCTAGAACAAAAAAACTGGCGCTCTTGTCATAAGTTGTGATCAGTCCATTTCAGAAATTGATCGAGTCTGATCGCATGAGGTTGAACACACACACAGCGCTAAGCAATTACAGCACCGATATAGAATATAGGTACATAGTGTATATACATAATTTACCTTCCCTATACCTTTTTCATTCACCCGCAGCTTTCATAAACCGTTTCAGATGTCAAAAACTTTCCCTAAGATAAACACCTCAAATTTATTATTATAACAAAACAATGGTGAATCTTTGTTTTTTTCCTGCAGATATGGCGACAAAGTACCCGTGGCGTTCTTTTCTCGGGTGTTAACGATATTGTGGTTGTTTTGTGGCGCAATCATTCTGTCATTGTTCACAGCTAACGTGACTTCGGTTCTCACATCCAATCAGATGGATTTCACAAAGGACCTCATTGGGACAAGGGTGAGCCGATATGAATATTGTGCACTTACCAGAAGTTGTTCAGCTCAGCTTGAATTATTGAACTGCATGTAAGGGGAAGAAGTGATTAAACTTGTTTTCTGATGTACTTTGTAGTTTTAACAGGATTGATATTCAATTAATCCAAAGTCCAATATTGTAGCATGATTAACACAGAGACGGTATACAGAAATTTCGCCTTGTCATCGATAGAATGTTGCAACGGAAAATCGCTATCAGTCCTAAACATTCCCCGTTTGGAGTCCAGCCATGTTCCTCGAAATTATAGTATATATTTATTCCTTATGAGTTGATCGTTAAAATCGAGTTAATCGACACTTAAAAAACTCAATAAGAACAGAAGGAAGTCAGAAATAAACCATGCCGGACATCTTCACCAATAGACCCAAGCATCTCGCCCGAATATTTTGAATCTTCTTACCTTTTAAGATCGCTGTATTGAATAGCAAGCACTATTTTGAGTCAAATTTGAATGTTGGCGGGACTATTGAAGGTACATTGATTATGCTTGTAACTGACAGTGACGAGAACTTAGTCAGCAACAAAGAAAATGGTCACATTAACTATTCATAATACTCTTCTCGGCACATTAAATACATTGTTACACACTCTATACCATTTTTAAAGTATTCTGTAAAACCGTATGAAGTGAGACTTCTCGTACAATGCCAATTTTGTGTTTACGTTTCAGAGTTCAATTCACAAGATGCCATGTTCGCTGCGGTAGAAAGTGGCGATGTGGACCGTATTTTGGTCCAAAATTATTTTTACATCCATCGTTTAAAAGAAGGCGAAGAGAAGATGAAGCTATTCAGCGTTGTGGACGTGGTCCATGAACCGTTTCTTACCGGATTGGCAATGGTTAATAAACTGAGCAATGATAACAAAGCCTTTCTTTCATGTCTACGAAAGAAAGTCAAGTCATATAATAGGGTATGTATATGACGTATATGATCCAGTTTTTGGTTTCCTGGTAATTAAATAATCCGGGATTATTGGGCACTAGTATAAGACTATACTAAACTAAGTAAACTTGTTATAGTCGGGCCCTGTGATTAAAAATAATTAAAGATGACGGTGAAGAACCTTTTAATCCAATTATTGATAGGGTGGACTATCTCATTAGCAATGAAAGAATCATTGTAAGGAATCTATTATGAACCCATCTTAAGCTCGAGATTTATTTTTATTATTTTCGTCTGCTGTTGAAATACCAAAAGGGAATGTTCCTTATAGCACCTGGTAGATATAGCTGTCTAGTGAAGCTATAGGTATCAAATGAATCCAGTAGCTGTCTAAAATGACTTGTTTCGTTTCCTCATTGCATCGAGACACAGCGAAATGGAAATTAGTTTCTTTTAGTTTCATGTTTCCTCGAAAGACGCAATTATGGACGAGAAGAAAGATTCACTGCACAAGACGTCGATGCTGTTTGAACACGATATCTTATTGATCATCTACTATAACCTGATTGCCATCGGGGTCATCGCTGGTATCGGAGTATTCCTGGATCTTTTTAGATGTTTGAAATTTGGAAACCGAAGAAAAAAGAGAGGACTGGACTCCGATGATATAGAAGGTGCAAGAAGTGAACACTCGATTTAACTTTTATTCATCTGGGCAATTGGGCAAATGTCTTCCAAGCTCTCGTTCGTACTCTTTATTCTGCTGATTTAATTAAGGCTGAGGTTTCCAAACCTTGATATATTCGTTTTGAAAAAAGAAACAAAGGAGCTTATTATATTATTTGGCCTATTTTGCACTAATGTACCACTCTAATGGTATATGAACTGTAATGACAGTGTCAGGAACGTATTTCATGGGCTATGGTAAAGTATTTTATGGGTTATAATTTAAATGACGTTTTAATTTCGTTCAGAATCTGAAATGAAGTCCTTGGATCGGGAAGCGAATGTATAATAGACTGAAACAGAACTATAAAAAGACCGGTGTGAAAGTGGACGCGTGAACGGCATCTGGCCCAGAAGAACGCCAGGACAGGACAGGACAGGACAGGACAGGAGAAGGCAATTCAAGACATCACCGCGACAGCCTCGTAAACGGAACAGCTTCGAAAGTAGCTAAAGAAATGAAATTCTTGGTGCAATTTTCATAGTGTATGGATATATTGTACGGTACAGATCGTTGCATCAGATGACATTGAAATGCTTCAGAACTTGACCTTGAACTGTTCCATAGCGATTCTACAAAAGCCTGCAGTTGGTTTTGTTCAACAAATGTTGTGGACTGAGAAAAGAGTTATATAACTTGCTTTCTTGATAGTATATGATAATGTTAAAAAAAAATGTTAGCAGTTTTTAATGTTTATAAAGACATGTTACTATACCCTAGTGTTGATTTATTGTTTCAGTCATTTTTGCCGTTTTGACTCATGAAATATTGTACTTAAGAGGGACCTCACCTGGCATCTTAAAATGTACGTAAGTACAGTCAGTGACATTGACTAACTAGAGCATGATGTCCACTAACATAATCCAACGCGAATTAATCACAGACGAGTGACTGAGAGAGTTAGAGTGAGAATAGCATTTTCATAAAAGGCTTTTTCAGTGAAGTATATAATATAGACAAATAAGGGGTTAAAGTGGTATAGGCTAGTTTATACTCCTGGGGCCGGTTGTATGAAAGCCGGATAGCGCTATCCACCGGATAGTGATTTTTTCAATCGCTTTAAAATCGCCTGTTGTTGGGTATAACTTTGATTAAATCTAAGTATTCCTAAATTCAGGATCCTCTTTAACAAAAGTTGGCTGCAAAGCTGACGTTTTATAGCTATTCAAGCATTTTTAGAAGGGTTGAAAAAATCACTATCCGGTGGATAGCGCTATCCGGCTTTCATACAACCGGCCCCAGGAGACCCGGTTATAAACCTTTTCCTTTGCAAAAGGACTTGCAACACACAAAACCCTTAAAATATCAGTATCAGTTGAAAGTGAACTGATGTGTTTGAGACAAAAAGATGACGCTGAATTTGATGTTGTTGGCAACTAATCAACCATTGAGAAAAGTATAACAGAGCATGGAAGAACATGAAGTATGCGTGAAATGATCGATGTTCACTAAGTATAACGGGCTCACTTTAAAGTCCACAGTCCACATCCACACATTCATTCATTATCCAGCCACGTTGAAAGTTGATAAAAATACACGTTTTTAAACTAAATTTCTGCACAATCCCTGAGAAATATGGCTCTAGCAAGGCCTGTGTTTATCGTGGCTGCGAAAAGGACACCATTCGGTACATTTGGTGGTAAACTACGAACAAAAACACCGACAATGCTCGGTGTTCATAGTTCCAAAGCTGCTCTCGACAGTGCCTCGATAGACCCAGCTACTGTTGATTCTGTCATTTTTGGTAACGTTATACAGGTATATTTCGTAAACATTTATCTCAATACTCTTTTTTGTTTAAATCAGTGATAATTGACAGTGATATTATGACATATTTTATTTCTGTCTAAAATTGTCTAAATATTTACAAGAATTACGTAATTTGACATAACATTTTTGACAATCTTACCAATATTGATGCATTTAATCTCCAGTCTGCAGCAGACGGCATATATGTTGCACGCCACATTGGTCTTCACTCTCAAGTTCCAATTGCATCAACTGCGTTGACAGTCAATAGATTGTGTGGATCAGGTTTCCAGGCAATTGTCAGCGCTGCTCAGGTATGTAGGGTCTGAATGGGAAAAATATTGAAAGGGAAGAGGTCCAGTGAATGTAGCTTGTTGAGGTGAAAAAAGGCAGATTAGCAGGGTTATGATTAGTTCCATAGAATTCTTACTCCAACTTATATAATATCAAGTGTTCATATGTCAGATAACTTTCCTACCATTAAGTATGCAATAGTTTCACCTCTATTCGTCAGAATGACAATGGTGTTCAACTAATCATACTTTGCAAAACTGATTTATTTTGTCTGGTAATGCAGCCAGGCAACCATCCTACGAGCAACCATGCGCTTTTGAATTTCGATGGATACGTATACTTTAGACAAAATATTTTAGACAGCTACTTTTGAAATCCTGGCTGAAACACCTAGATCTATGACCTTATTTCCTAGGAAATTATAGTTGGTGATAGTGATATAGTTTTAGCTGGGGGAACTGAGAACATGAGCCAAGCACCATTTGCAGTAAGGGACATCAGATGGGGAACAAAGTTTGGCTCAGATGTAAAGGTATGTCCACATTAAGTGCACTTTTGGTCAATGAATAGATCTTGGGACTGATTGATATATTTTGTAAGTAACACTAAAACAATTAGAGGATACAGTACATGTATAATTTGTACTCTTGGAAGAACAAAGAGCTTTTCTACAATATGTTATTTTGCAATAGATGGAAGATACATTATGGTCAGGGTTGACTGATAACTATTGTAAACTACCAATGGCCATCACCGCAGAAAACCTTGCAGAAAAATATAACATTTCACGAGAGGATTGTGACCAATTTGCCCTTGAGTCTCAGACAAGATGGGCAAATGGTGAGATTTTATTGAAAATGTATTTCATGGTTTTGTGAATTTGTGTCTAATTGATAATCCAATCATTGTTGCCTTTTTATGAACTTGCCAGGTCAACAGTCGGGAGCATTTGAAGCAGAGATATCTCCAATGAAAGTGAAAGGTCGTAAGGGTGAAGAGGACTTCAGTGTAGATGAACACCCACGTGTAGGCACCGATATGAAAAGTCTGGCTAAACTGCCTCCTGTGTTCAAAAAAGATGGCACTGTTACTGCTGGGAATGCCTCGGTATGATGAAATAGTGTCTTTGACATTTCACAATCAGACAAATTACCAGGGCTGCCTCGGGTATTAATCCAACCAAATATAATCCTGTTTTCCAGGGTATTTGCGATGGTGCGGCATCACTTGTATTGGCCAGTGAGAAAGCTGTAAATGAACATGGTCTCACCCCATTGGCTCGTCTTGTCTCCTATTATACGTCTGGTGTGGAGCCTTCAATCATGGGTATCGGTCCAGTTCCTTCTATCAAGGGGGCTCTAAGTCGTGCTGGAAAGACTTTGGATGACATGGATCTTATTGAGGTTGGTCGTTACAGTTAGGCTGGGCCGTACTTTGCCTTGTAGGTTGCATTCAGATACTATATAGTCTATATAGAGATCAGTCATTGATCTCTATGTAGTAACTGAATGCAATCTTTATATTCTTCAATAAAGCATCAGGGTATTCATACAGTGTTTGATAGACTGTTTATACCTATCTATGTATTTTCCCACTTAGGTAAACGAAGCATTTGCTGCCCAGACCTTAGCAGTCATGAAAGAGCTTGGCCTTAACCCAGAGAAGACAAATGTGAATGGGGGTGCTATTGCCCTGGGCCATCCTCTGGCATCATCTGGAGCAAGGATTACCGCACATCTAGTTCATGAGTTGAGGCGTACAGGTGGAAAGCTTGCTATTGGGTCAGCATGCATTGGAGGAGGACAAGGCATGGCAGTTGTTGTTGAAAACATGCAGTAAAGGCAAGAATTCTAAAGACTGAGAGATTGCACTAATAGACTTTATATGTAAACTGACTGGACACATTGACACTGTAAATTTTTATTAAAGATTGCATCTATTTTATAGTATTCATTACTACACAGTTCATGTAGGCTAAATATTGAGATTTTTCGATGTACATGAGTATTAGCTTAAGTCTTTGTAAGTGGAATGCTGGAAAGGAAGCTTTTTACCTCGCCAGCAGCTGTGACCCTAACAATCCCAGTAATTTTGCTCAATTTTAAAAAATTGAGCAAAATGAACCTTGAGAGTTGTGAAATTTATATTTACAGCATGCTGTAGTTATATATTTACAACATGCTGTAGTTATATATTTACATCTATTTGTGTTTAACACAGTTCAAGTTAGAAACATCCTTCAATACAGATTACTGGCAACATATGTGAGTGTTACTTTGATTGTTCACTTGCCTAAAAGATATTAAAAAAATTGTTAGAGTCATATTGAAGAGTCATTTTAGGAGTCATCTTGTAGAAGTAAGAAGTAGAGCAGCTCTTTAACACAACTGATTTAGATAGATCATAAAAGAATGGGTCTATACCTTAATTGCAGAGCTTTCTCTCCTTAGCTCTTTGATAACAGAAGCCAATGCTTCAGGATTTACTCCTGCCTCACACAATTTCACACACAACACTAGTGTCTCTGAATCCAAGCCAGAATTTAATAAGTTACTTATTTCCATCAATACTAAAAAGGAAGACTTCATTTTAAGAGAAAAACGAATAGATTTCAAATAAAATAAACTAGATTTCGAACCTTCTATAGTCTCTCTGGCCGATTTAACATTGGAAATGTTAGAAGGCTGCTCAGTCGCGTCCGCCATTTTGAAGTTTACAAATTGAATATTACAGACACTGAGCTATATAATAATGCCTGGAGTAAGTGTTCTCGGGTTTACGGTAACCGGGCTCTGTGTCGTTTGGAGACTCCCCTAAGGTGCACACGCACAAGGCTTGTTTCAAAGGTCATGATGCCGAAAACATTTAAAACAATAGTTAATCAATGGAGATGCCTCATTATCTATTGTTGTTTATACGTTCGGCCACAGTGTGGTTCGGCACATTAGAAACACGACGTTTGAAACAAGCCTCACTGTTTAGTGTCATCGATGCATAAAATGCATTGTCCGTTGGAATGTTTTATGAGGTAATAAAAGGTGTTTTTTTTTCAAGAAGAAACTCAGACTTGTATGGTACTCTCGAAGAACAGAAGAAACAAAAATCACTCAAAGAAGTTTAGGGAAAAGTTGGAAGAATCTTGCCCAGGTTGGTTTAAAGAATCTGTTGGCTTGATCTTTGGTTTTGAAATTAATTCCTACTTCCATTAACTGTTATTGTTGTGCTGATTTGAATAGCCGGAGAACATTACTCATTCGCGACTGGAAGCATATTCGTGCTGATTTTCACTGCTGTATCTTGTATATTTCGATTCAAAATGTGTAATGCAAGTAAGCTGTTAACTTGATTTTGTTTTTCCTTTCTTGTTTCATTTCAGAATGAACTACGGCGCAGAAAGATGGGAAGGCGAAACACAAACGCTTGCTTGTAGCGAATAATAGGTATTGTTATTAGTTAACTTACTATGTGTATTTTGCATTTGTGTGCATGACTTGAAATAACACGTGTGTACACGATAGGCGAAACTAAAATATAGTGCTGTTGCAATAAGGCTTTTCCGTCGGCACCAGTACGTTTTCTGAAATTACCCGTATTGGTATATGTATATACTTTCATGCAAGACTTGACCTGTGCCGAATTATTTCAGCCTAGCTATTGTAGTCAATATGTCAATCAGTTTACCACAAAACAAAAAAAGTCGGAAAGCAAGTCAGTTCAACTAAGCTTTATATGCAGGTGAATTATTTGTTTTACTCAGGTTTTCTTTTTTTAGGACTGGAGAAGTCGGACCTGCCTTGGGACATTTATGAACGCAAATACAAAACTCGATTTCGGTATATGCATGAGTAAAATATGCATGGGATTTAGCTTTTTGACTGAGAATACGCTGAACACTCTTCTGTTTACCTCCTTGATTTTGAACTTTTCGGATTAATATTTTTGCATGGGTTAACCTGGTCGTGTCAAGCGCATGCGGGGGAAATACAAGTGATTCTGGGGCCCCATCACTTGTATTTTCTCCATCTTGAACGACAATAGTTCGGACAAAAAATATCGCTTACAGAGCGCCTAAAAAATAAAAATGCATGGGAAATTGTATTTCTAGAAGGAGATAATAGTCGAGTGTTTTAGTTTTCTCGGGACCTTAAAAGAAAACGTTGAATATTTCTTACAAAACATGCATGACATTTTTGTATTCGCGTGCGCAATGCGAAGGCCTCGGACGAGTGACGTGAGAGATGTTGAAGGTATATAATCGGGTGTTGAGTGCTTAACTTGAATGCTTTATACATAAGTGACGTTTCTCTTTTGGAAATTATTGATATCATATTTTTGTATAAAAGATCCGGATATCAGATGATGAGGGATCGTCGCAGGATCAGATGATGGAGGATCGTCGCAGGATCAGATGATGAAGGATTGTCGCAGGATCAGATGATGAAGGATTGTCGCAGGATCAGATGATGGAGGATCGTCGCAGGATCAGATGATAAAGGATCGTCGCAGGATCAGATGATGGAGGATTGTCGCAGGATCAGATGATGAAGGATCGTCGCAGGATCAGATGATGGACGACGAGACGGGTGTACAAGTAGAAGCTGGTTGAGGTACATACTATTGATATATACTAATTAGAGTAATGCATGATATAAATGCATGGTTTATTCTCGGATTGATTCCTCCTGGTGGTCTAACCTACTATATTCACATATCAAGTGACATTTCTCCCTTTTCGACAATGCATGATAACAGAAAATTACTCGCAGCTCTTGTGAGGGCGTTTTCGAGGTTTCTCGATGAAAGAGTCCTAGTTTTGTCACTTGCGTGTGAACGTCTTAACAGCTGCGGAAGATGCATGAATGGCTTTAAAGCGTTGAAATGAAAGTAAGAAAATGCAATTAGCATGGCCGATGCACGCGCAACGAGAAAATATATCGAATTCGTATTGGCCTAATTTTAGATTAATACGAATCTAATCCAGTGAGTGTACTTATATGATTATATAAGTTCTGTTCTGTTCAGCCTGTTATAATGCGATCATTTTCAAAGACCGTCCGTCAGCGGCAACAAAAATTATACTTTAGTATTTAATCATTGAATTTCGAATTATTGAACTTAAAAAAATACTATTTGATGTTTAGACACTAGCAGTCTTCTGTTTCCCTCGTTGGTATTAATTTTTTGGAATGCGATTTTCCGGTTGATCTCAAACATGAAGGAAATAAACGTAATCCGGCTAATCATTTTGACTAACTTGATAAAGTTTTCGATAAGAAGTAAAATATACCTCCTATATAACATGATATATTGCATGCATGATTACTACACTTATACATAATGGGGATTATCGGGTGGTATAGTGTTTAACTGTAGGTTAATATTGTATATTACCCTCGGCCTCTTGCCTTAAACGTGAACCCTCTTGGAAGAGCCTTTGCATTTTGACACACTTACTATGTTGTTTAATTCTTTGCACGCCCCACCGTCGAGATGGTGTTAAAGAAGAACGCAAGTGTTTGGAATTGAGCAAAGAAGCAAGTGAAATTTTAATACATATACTGTTTACCAAAGGTAATTATCATACGGTGCCAAAGGTAAGGGACATTATTGTTTTGCCATATTATAGCCCTAAGTTTGCATGTTGAGCCTGATTACGTTTATTTCCTCAATTTTCGGTTACAACTAATCCACAACATATCCTGAAAAATATAAGTGCATGATGTGCCTGTCATAAAAGGGATTGAAGAAGCGTGTTCTTGTCTACATCAGTTTCAGATGAAAAACATGCATGTCGTAAATACGAAGCATTTGTTTCCAAAATGCCAGGTTTCCGAAAAAAACATGATTGCATAAAATAAATATTTGAATAATTGAAATTTTGTTGCCCTTGTCGGATAAAGCGCAATTTAATTTAAATTTTTAAAATTGAAGTTAAAATTTTTGGAACCAGCGATATGCGCTGCGCACGTTAGACCACCACGAGGATTCAAAGCATTGAATTGACGAATCTCAAGAATTGCATAGCATTATGCAATTCCTGGAACTGAACTCGGATGAGCGGAACAAAAACGGTTACTGACTATAAATAAAACCTTAACTGCATGTCATATTGCGAACGATTTCTAAACGAAAACTACCAAATTCGGACCGCCGGTCAGGTTACCTGAAATTCAGGTTACCTTTGGAGGGTTTTTCTCCGGGCACTCCGGTTTCCCTCCTTTTTCGTTTGGCTTTAAAAAACAGTGTCCATGTCTGGGGCCAAGTTAAAAACGCGTTTGTGGCTTCTGGGTTCAATTCCCAGAACACTGTCGTAAAATAGTTTTAATAACATGGGTTGTAGAATCATTACGTAATTTAGCATTTTGTGGCAGGTTCAGAATTGGATCTTGGTCAGTGGTAACTACCATGGAAAATAGGACACAAACAGTGGCGTCAATCTGATGGCGTCAGCAAACGCCAGAGGAGGTTGGACAGCTGTCACGTGAATTTCTCGACCAATGAGATTGCGCTATTTTCCAAGCGTGCTTGCGAAGATTTTGAGCGAGAAAATTTACATAAGACTGAGAAACATAAAAATATTGAGTACATTTTTTAAAGTTTACTGATTAAAACGCATATTTTTTGAAAAAAGATTCATTGGACTGGCGATATCTGTCGAGATTATCGAGGTAAGCGTTACTTTTTAAGTCGATTTTTATAACTGAAGTTGGTCGGGTCGTTCCGAAGTGATGAGTCATGTGCTTGTCTGTTTACAATTTTCAAAGTTGAAAATCTCGAATTCCTGTGGTTCGATTTTTGAGATTCTTTGTAAGAATGAAGTTAAGTATGTAAAAAAAAAATCGGCTGGATCGACCCCTTGCGACCCCACACCATTTCCGAGTATCGGGCTTTGAATTTACCACTCTTGTTTTGAGATGTTCAAAATAGCGCATTTCGGGTCAATGGGATATTTCCCTTTCAAATATTGTTTAACTACATAATTTGTAATATTAATGTAAATTTTATTTGTATTCATGGTTTAACTTCCTTAGTTATTAACATTTAGACGGGAAAATAGTTTTTTTGTATTTTATATAGATTTCCATTTTTGGCAGTGACGACTCCTATGCTCATTCGCTAACGCCTAGCTGTAATCCCACAACGTGGTCAATTGAGTGTTAGATCAGCACATTTCAAACAACCAGAAGGCTTACCACCACCACCACCTTCACAAAATTGATAAATATGAAACATATTGTGTGATTATATGTTTTCACTTCTTCAGTAAAATAAACTGACATTTTATATTGGTTCTGTTCTTTAGATGCTTGTTGATGTTTACAGTTAGTGTGAGTTAAGATCTGCATTACTAAGCCATTGTGTGTTAGAACTGGCAATATTTATGTATATTAGGTTGATTGAAAAGCTAAAGGCATGAACACCTTATCTAGTACAATTGATCTTCAAGTTTGCATGAATTGTAAATGCTATTAGCATAGAAACAATAGCATAGAAACAAAAAACAATGGTGTGTGTATGCAGGTTTTTACTTTTTTGAACATCATGTAAATATATGTATAAATGCAAAATCTTGGCTGTTTTGTCAAGGCAATTTTACTTACAATATTTTATAACCATAATAAAATTTGATGAGTTTATTTATTTGTTCATCAATAAATACAGATTTACATATTTATACCATGTATTGTATGAATATTTTTCTAATTTTCTTAATACTGCAAGGGTTTGTATGAAATATCACATGACAGTGAAGTGCTTTGGTTATAGACAATAGGTTTTGAGGATATAAATAGAAAGCCTGGTTTCCATACAACATTGTCAGGGTGTTGTGTTAACCATTAAGAAAAATATCTATCATTATTAGTTATTATGCAACAACTTGATTGTCATATGGAAACCAGACTAAAAACAAGTTGATGGCAAAAATGCTGGAAAAATCTACATAGGTTAGCCAATGGAAATAATTGCAGAAATTCACAACTTGCAAACCCTGGTTCTTATGAAATTATATGTCAACGTACACTCATACTAGCCCTTACAATCTGACCTTCCCATTTACCACGCCTCTTTATCCAGATTTTTGGATAAAATCCTATTTTTAAAAAGTTAACCCGAAACTTGATGTGTTCAACATAGACGTCTAGTATATCTCCTGCTGCAATCAGTGGATGTAAATACTTGCAATGTTCAGAAGCTATATATCCAACATTTTCCCATTGAGTTCCATAATGAAGATCAATAGCAATTGCATTTTGGTCCCGAGGATTCTCCGGCTCTGGTCTTAGTCGTCATTTACTGATTCATTATATTCAAGGGCAAGATATGCCTGTTCCAGATGATGTTGGTAACTTTGTTCATGAGCAGCTCCAATGCACTTGAATGGTAGAGCATGAGTGATTTCTTCCTCATCACTTTCAACTTCTTCACTTTCATCTTCTTCACTGTCCTCATTATTAATTTCGATGTCATCAAAATCAGGAGTAACCGCATCCACAGCGCTCGTATTTTCTGTCAATACACGATCCACATCAAAATCCCAAATTAAAAGCATTCTCTCCGCTTTACAATGAATAAATTCATCAGGGATAGTACCAAACTAAAAAAAAGTTTCAGTTAAATTTTAATACACAAATCAAGCCTTAAAAGTTATTAAAAAATGAGGTGTTGACAAGTACTTTATACTAACCTCAAATATAGTACTTGCTTTAACGTTGATGACACAAGGAGATTTAAGGCCATTCAACTTCGAAAGCAGTGCTTCGGTGTTTGGTATAATACAAAGTCTTCTTTCAGACGGAGTATTATGAAAGGCGAAATGGCAGCAAAGCCCATGCAGCTTAAAAAACGGTAAACTCGGTACAGTAAAAGATAAGTCGTAATGCGGATCGCAACAATACATATACATCATAGTATTTTGCACTATCGCAGCTTGAAAATCCTGTCTTTCGAAAGCATCCATTTTTCCTATACTCGCAGAGCTCTTCACATCACGACAGTCAAAACGTCAAATGAAGCGTTCGCATAATTGAGCGCTCAATACCCATCATGCTTTGCGGCCTGCTGTCCAACCTCCTCTGAGCAAACGCCAAAATAGCAAAGTGGAAACATAAGAATAATCCTCATTTACAATATGTAAAGAGATTTTAGCAATTGATACAGTATAAATCAACTTAGGTTTTTCCTTTTTCAATGAGAAAATGTTATATTTATTTCACACACAACATACGAAAATGTGTTTTAATTCATATCTACCATCATTGCTGCTCATTTGCTAATAAATATTCTTGCTTACCTGAAAATACAGAAAGTTTAAGTGTTGATAAAATATATTCTCCTTACTACCCTACTGTTCCAAAGCGGTTAATTCAAAAGTACATACAGATACAGTCTGGAATATAGGGAGATATAGAACCATAGCTTAGCTTAGATTTTTGGAATTATAGCAGAAAATTATACGTATTATTAAGTTTTCCAGCAATTTAGAAATGTCGTTCGCAACGCTGAGTAACACATTGGATGATTGCTCGGCGATTTCGACTCTAAACGTAACAAAGAATCCATTCGACAGCGCGCAAGATGGACGATTAAACTTACCGGCTTTGAGTGCAAGTCCTTCGATTTTTTTACAACAGGACACGCCTGGAAGCCAAAAGGTAAGATTGCGGTTTATTGGAACTCTGATTTAGCTGAAAAAGCGGGTAAAATACTGCTGATCGTAAGGCAATATGATGTGCGTTTTCAGATTTTAATACAGATGTTACAGATGTATATGTAAATGGTCATGGTTAGGATTTTTACTGTAACACAGGACTATTAAATGTTGTAGCACTAAAATCTTGATCAGTTGATGGCATTCATTACCATCTTGTCCATTAACCCAATGCTACATAATTATGTACATTTCCCATTTGAAGCCAAGTTGTGTGGCTTGATAGTAATGTTCCATCCTTATCAGATCCATCTTTAGGAACCTAGGATATGCACACTACGTGGAACCTCACCATCACCACATTCAAACAGTAACATCAATATTAGGCTGCTTCATTTTGTAACCTTGTGCCTGCCATGTCACTGGTGGCCTGTAATTACAGTACGTGTGATTTTTGGCCAGATAGCTGTGCCCATGAAGCATCATACACCTAGATTTTCTCAGCAATTAATAATTGTCAACCAACACTCTATTCATATTTCTATTATCTTCTATATTTCAGAAGAAAGGCTTTCGTTGGTCAATAGATCAAATATCAAAACTGGTAAGTCTGTGCTGCGAATTGAGCACTAATTTGCTTTTTCTGATGCCCTAGCTTTATCACAAGGCTCTCATTTTCTGTGTAGAATCCAGCTGACATTGATGAATTTCCACATCAAGAGTACAGCAGCACATGTGACAGGTATTAATTTCAATTTGATTTGCTTTAAGTATGATATCATATTTATAGCACATTGAAGAATTTATTGCATGTAATTGCTCATGAGGGAATTTTGTCTTAGACCCGAAGATGAGGAAAAAGTACAAGAGGCCATAAATGAGGTATTTAGGGCAAAGTCTTCAAAATGTATATACAATGAAATTCCTTTTAATTGTCAGCTAGTACAATTAAACTAGCTGAATCCCATACTCTTTTCCATCCTTTCTCATTACCCCTACAGGTGCTTGCTTACCCCAGTGTGTGTAAAACTTAAAGGACTCCACCCACATGTATATTTATGCCTTCTGAAAGATATGTGGATTTGATTTTTATAGTATTTTTCTCATGGTACAATCTTGCCGTCACCATGGACACCAGAAAATCACGTAAAACATGTGACATTTTCACCACACCCCCCTTCCACAACATGTAAGTAGATGAATATGCACCCTAGATGCTGCTATACGTTATGATCACCCTGGTTGAAGCCATGTTGTGAATAAATATCTGTATTGTCATAATGAATACGATATTTTTAGATATCAGCGGCGATGAAGAAAGTTTGACTGAAGCATCCCACATCTCATCACCTCCAGACTCTCCTGACAGAAAAAATTCCATTGATGGTAATTACAGAGAATTAACCATGCATGGCCTAAATTTACGTGATATAGTTTATTAGAGCTGTGTTGAATTTAATAAAGGTTACAGTATTTTGCAGTAGGATAGTGTTGGGTGTGGAATTTGAAGCTAAAGTGTATGAATTGAGATCAAATTATCTATTGTGTTTTTTGTAAGTGTTATATCATAGATATTGAATTGTTTTGTACTAGTTGAATTTTTCCTGCTTTTTTTTCAGTATGTTGTCAAACAGCTTTAACCTTCCCGCCTTCCTTCGACCTTAGCAAGATCGTTGGTATGTACTTTAAATACACTAAAAAGCAATTTGATTGAAAAATTCATCCCCGGCTAGGCTGCACTAATTAAGTTCCAGGATCCAAGCGGTGGTAATTTGGCCTCTGAACTCAGTTTTACTTTCTGAAAAATTTCTTTAGATTCAGGGTTCTATTCGTACGTTGAAGAGGAGGGAAACTCCGTCTCGAAAGATTTGAATGTGTCATCATTGAGACGTAAACTCTTCAGCCCTGAGGAACACCGCTCGCCGATGACGTCAAATGACCGCAAGCTACCAGGCCCCCGCGTTACGAGGTACGTGTGTAAAATGTGTTGATGAATGACTGCGTATTAGATCCTGGCTTCACACACCATAAAGCAATCGGTTGTTCTATTATAAAATGGTATACAGTATTCCCTATTAGTAACAATAATAGTGTTAGTGTATTGTGTGTTTTTACTGTTTCTAGCATATAACTCACCCAAGTTTTAACTCCTCATTTTTAGGTCTATTCTTAAAAGCCCGAGTCCTTTAAATTTGGTAAGATTCGCTCATTTTACATTCCTAAAACAGAACTTCTAATACATAGGAACAATCTGTATAAGGTGCCAAGGCAGAAATTTCGAAAACTTTCCAGGTGATTCAAAATTTGTAAGAATCATGGCTGGTCAGAGGCTGTGGCTACTGACTAGTGAAACACTATCATGCTAATTTTACATACATTTAGAGATTCTGATTGACTTGTTACTTTTAGCTAACGTCAAGTCCAGTGCAGCACAGGAATGTCAAGATCAGTCCAGACTCCAACTCACCGCTGTCCAAAGACGCCAGCAGTCCGACATCTCAGAGCCCAGCAGTTTCTCCTATCAAAGCACCTGCTACAACGCCTGATAAAGATGGTTCACACGGTATAGAATGGCGAAAACGCGCGAAATGGCAAATCTCGTAGTTACTTTTCCAGTATACGCGTATTAAGAGCTATATAGTGGCTATTTTATGGCACATACAAGCTGCCCTTTCTGAGTAATTAAGACTGTTGTAAAAAAAAATTGAAAGATTGATCAAATCTCCCATTTTGTACACATTTAGGTATGTCACGTTTGACACTCGATGGAACACTCTCCAACGATGACGTATTCAGCAATGACGTACTTGAGTCCTCCAATGTTGACATTGATTTAAAATTGATTCCAGATGTCTCGCCTATCAAACTAGCAAACACCTCTGGCTTAAACCATGCGCGCGAAAAGCTTGAGGATGATGGGCCAATGAAATTGTCCGAACTTAGTCACGTGAGCATGGAATTCGAGAACGGAGAGGGAAATCTAAGTTCAATAGAAATGGACATTGCCGAGCCTCAACCGCCGATCTCTACTCAACATCATACTTCAGATGGCGATGAGGGACATTCAAGAAATGAACCACGAAAATCCGGTTCATCGCTTGATGAAATACGTTACGTTATAAGTGACGACATAATGGCTCATGACGTGAGAAACGGTGACGTCAGCAACGGTGACGTAATGACTGATGCCGTTGTTCAAAGTTATGGTGCTTTTCGTAGTAATTTGAGCAACAGTGTTACTACAGATGGTGTTACTGCAGGTGGATCAGGTAAGCCTGACTGGGAATACATGAAAGAGAATATGGAAGTGAACAGAGATGTACCTAGAGATAATCACGGTGACGACGCCTTGGTACAGCGAGCATGCGCGGCAATGAAGCGTGCTGATAGACTGGTGCGAGAGTCGTGCTTGGAGCAAGGCTTGGATGTGAAGGAGAAAATTGGCACTAGTATGGAGTTTCTAAATATTAGTCGTTTAGACAAGCCTTGGAATCACATGGACAAAGACCATAGTCACGCGAACAAAATACAAAATCACGTGGGCAAACATTATAATCTCGTGGACAAAACCCGATATCACGTGGACAAAGCTTCACTGTGGCATCATCCTATAGATATGTCGACGCCTCTTGTGAACGATAAATTTAAAAACAAACCTCACCAGGCTGACTCGCATGCGAGAAGGCCATTGCTCGACACAGATTCCTATAATAACATGTTGAGCTCGTTTGCAAACTCCAAACTGGGCCCGCAGAAGTATTTGTCAGCGGGCGAGAATTTGAGTCAGGCCGAGGGGCCTGCTGGTCATTCTACGGACCGAGTGAGGCATGGATCGAGAACGAAAAGAAGTCTGTCTAATATAGGTAAGTCTGCATGTTTTCGGTAGCATTCACAACGGATAGTGACACTATAGTGAAATTTGTAAAGTAAAATTGACTAAGCGATAAATCCACTGAAAAAGGTTGTTAAAACGGACTCTAATATTTACACATATTAATCTCTCTTTAATCTTCACACTTAATTGAAAGAAAGTATGACTATAGTATTCTGGAAAAATTCCAATAACCGCATTAACCTACACAGAAATATTGTCTTTCATTTTTAAAAGTTCCTGTAACCAATAGCTCCCCAAATGAACGAAAATTACAAGTAAGAACCCAAAACGCAATTTAATTGAACGTAGATACTTGTAAGTTCCTCAAGGAGTCAAAAAGCTGACCATATTTTTTGATGGACAACATAATACATGCAATGCTTGTTCCACACTAAAAAGATTTGATTATAGTTGTCAGGGATTTTACTATTTCATTTCAATCAACATGCTTTAATTTAAACAACAATTCCCAGGCACAAATCAGAAAAACTGGTTAACATTTCAAACTACTGAAGTATACGCTAACATTTAAATTATCAAATTCTAGAAACACCACATATAGTTCGTATGTTTGTTATATACAGAGCTTTCGGTCCGTTAACCCGGGCCTTCATGATATGGAATAATTCAAAAATATTATACTCGTATATATTATTGTTAATACTACTTTACTTCACAACCTCACTGGGGATAGGCCTGCCAATATCCTTTGTGCTAATCAATGAAGTTTGCTATATTCTAGGAAACAGTGGGACGCACAATTTATCCCGTGATACGTACGCATCTGGTCGTAATGGCAGCGGTTCAATCGGGAAACGGTAAAGGCCTTTTTAATAATAATTGGCATTATGTAATTATCTTGTCTGTCGTCGTTTGGGAGGCGACAGCAATAACAGGAAGAATTAACCCACGAATTTTGGTAGGGTGTTGTGTAACTCTATTCACATGACGGAATATGTATTTACCGCATTATGTCAAAGGCGTTCCGTGTTTGCCCTGAGCGGAGGCGTCCCAAACTCCTTTATTTATTTCTTCTTTATAGTTGTCCCTTTACGTTTCCATAACGAGACCGCGGCATTTTCCACTCCATGCATGCATGGCACTTCCCGATAGGGTAGTTATATAAAACACAGTTTTTAAGAACTCTGAAGTTGTTCAGTAATCAGTATCTTTGTTTATGTATGTCTACACACCTAAGTTCATCACTCAGTAAACATTCTCCCATGCAAGAAAATATGAAGGCTGTATGTAGCGAATCGAACATATGCAGAGGAATATAATTCCGGTTATACAACACAACACACCACACCTTATCGCAATTCGTATTAAATTTGATTTATTACTTCTTTTGAAATAGTCTTAGTCCTGGTAAGCTGTGTGTTCTAGGTAATAATTGAGATATATTATCAGAATCGCTGTTTCGTAGCCCTATTCGTTGTGTTATGAATCAAAAAGTTATTTTATTTCAACACTTCTTTTTTAGATTTTCTTGGCCTCCTTGGCAAACTTCGAGGTCCCGTTACCGCTTCTTGAGTGAGCGTTGTAGTTCTCCCACGTTCTCTTCCGGGGTGCGTCGGAGATCTGCCGACGAGTGGCCGAGATTGCGCAGATCCACCACATCCGAAGATTTGAGAAGATATTCTCGGTCTCAAAATCGCTCACAGAGAAGCAGAATATTTAAGCGTATTTCACCTTGATTCAGGGCGTAATTTTCGCATATATAGGATTATTATAGATTTGGAGTAGAGGAGAATAGAGCATGCTGCTATAATTTATTCTTTATTTTATTCCATTTTATTTTCATCCGATTTACGCCTAAAGGTCGGTATATTAAAGATGTGTATATATAATGTATCTTTGTAAAAAAAATTTAACGGCATTCTACCTTTCTCACAATGACGTCAAACGCAGAGCCAGATGTTCCATCAATTATGATTGGCTCGTTAATTTTGGAGAGCCAATCAAACTTCATGTGACCTTGGCATCCCGTGTTTAACGCCATTACGAGAAAGGTCTATTCTACATAACTTAATTGTAGAAAACAAATAGATATTTTCACCGCAAACGTAACCACAAAACAAATATATATAAAGTAGACAAACACTGGCATATATAGTTGTTATGCTTTATACTCTATACGCCATATTTAGAAATGTAAATTACAAATGAGTTGGCAAAAAAATCTAGACTTGTTTCATGTTGCTTCTTGTTCAAATCTTGGTGCTATTTTATGTCGTTTAACTATAGTCTTTGACTATTTTATGTTTCATTTGTTCAAGGAGTTATTTTATCTTCTATTTAATATGCTTTTGTAGCATTCAAAAAAACATAAGACACCCAACAATTTACAATCTCGTTATCAAATAAAATGAGTAGCAAAAGTACATGTGATTTCTCCACGTTTCTTCCAAACGAAGTCTACCATCGCCCTCCATATAGTCTCACAGATAATATCACTTTCCAGAAAGTTGATTGTCAAAAGGGTGAAATCCACCATAAGAAGACTATAGACAATATGTATTATAGATACAACATTTCGCGTTTTAAAATATTTAATATAGCAATTTATGAATGCGTTTAGACTTAGCCATATATATACAAGACCATTCTAAATTTATGGAAATTTATTTCAAGCCAGCGTGATAAATAATTGCATGCAAAGTAAATCGTAATTTATCATTCAACATTGTAGTTGTATTCACAATTTTATCTGAATTGCTCAATCGCCGTCTGAGACATATAAATGAAGATTTTCCTCTGGAAGTGGAGGCAACTTCCAGTTCTGACCACTTTCACGATAACCATCGTTTTGTTTTAAAGCTTCGTTCAAAGAATCTCCTACAAAAACGTATAAATAAAAGAAACTAAGTCAAGACACTGGAGGCAAGGATTTGAGGTCGTGATATTCGTATGACTGTTCCATAAAATTGTACAGTTTTCATCCTGATCTGAGCAATGCTTCAACTCATACCTTTGCAATAGGTTGGATTGTTTCTACTTGTACTGTCCTCCTTCACATCTTTTTTCTTGTTAACTGCAAGAAAATTTAAGAAAATAATGTGTATTTACCTTGGGGCATGTATATGCATGCATGGTTAACAACAGTTGGTTGCCAGTGAAGAATAGAAGAAGCTAGGTTATATATTATAACCAAGTGATTATTCCTGGTCGCTTAGGGAAACCACAGCATGTACGTGCTATTAAAGATTTTCAGTAGCAAATATTAGAAAAACTTGTAGTTTTACTAGATTTTGTACTCGTAGCAAAAGCACATGAAGGAGGAAACCCTTAATGTACGAAACCCTTGTTCAATCCTCGTTGTTCAATCCTTGTTGAAATTTTGAGCTCACGTGCGATTTTGTTACTGGTGCCAAAAATCCATGAAACATACCTTTGAATTTCCTCTTGTAAACCCGATTGATAAAAACCCAAAAAGCAAGCACTAAAATCGCGGAGAAGAACATTCCGACAACAAATCCAATTGCAACCGACGTTCCATCAATAGATATATTCTTGTCATCTTTCTGAGCGGAGATATTTGGCGGTGCTGAAATATAGACACGAGACATTCATAATGATGTAAGTTATGAGTTGAAGGATCTGACCCGTGCATGTACTCATGAGAACTCATTATACCAAACACGATAAGTGGTTAATGTATGAAGTGTACAATGAATGGCTTTAAAGTGAGTTATAAATGGTGATGTAGAATTTACTAAGGTGGCAATGAACGCTTACTTGAAATAATCGTCTTTGTTTTGAAGATCTTTTCTTCACAATAGTCACAAGGTCCCTCGGGCGTGTTAGCTCTTACTTTGATGCCATACCGGTTGCCTGCAGCCAATCCATCAATGGTGTGGTAAGGTTTTTCTAAGCCTGATATCGAGGCCCACGATTCGCTCGTATTTCCTCGAAAACTCACGGTGTAATTTGTTATGTTACATGTAAGCTTACTTGGCGGTTGCCAAGTCACGCTTATAGAATTGGACGTTGTGGTGCCATTAAGTTCTTGGGGGATCATGCCTTTGCAGTCTATGGTAAAATGAAAAGTTAAAGATTGAAGGGGCTCTTTTTCTTATTATATATGTTGATGCAGTTAAATGTTTTCAGAACATCCAGATAATCTTGAATTATATCACTTGTTTTTTGTACGAACCTTTAGTTTTTGGTTTGGGTTTCGCTGTCTTTGCAGGCTGTTCACACACTATGAATTCATAATTAAAAGTTTATTTACTGTTATCAGCGAACTTTAATACAGACGCCATTGCATTTTGATCATTTCAATATATCCTCGCTGTCATAGGAAAAAAACAAATTGCTATACAGCTCAGCCACGAACCTTGTTTTCTACCAAAAAGAGGACAAGAAGGAAAAGGCACTTTTGTCTTCGGCTTTACAAAATGAATTCGGAAAACGATCGTACAATTCTTAGATGTCGTTTCTAGCGAGGCTTGTCGTCCGTTTGATGTTGCTGAAAAAAAGCAAATGGAAATCATCAGATTTGTTCTGCCGTATCTTCTTCCTGTCTAAACCAAATTTTGGCAAAGAGAGACAGGCTTTTTGGAAATAATTAATTGCCTATATACTGTATATTGAATTTGTCATACTATAGTAACTATATAGAATCAAACTCAAATCATGGATCTATCATGCAGTTCTAAAAGTGACTCTCCGTGATTAAAGATTCTAAATGACTAAAGATTATTCGGGAAAGTCTCGTTAGTAAAAGATAGCATCAGTTAAGATGGAACTATATATGCTAAGTAGTTTTCACTCCGGTATGGGCAGAGCGAATACCCTGGGAACGAGGTTGCTGTCACTCACCAAAAAACATATAATCTCGACCGTATTCAAACTTGGGCAATAGTGGGTCGGCTTGGTTTAGATTGATTTGAATATCCTGATAATTCAATTCCTTCGGTTTGTCACATTTTGTTATGAACTTGGCGGTTGAATTTTCTAAGAATATATATAGTAATGGTGTGTTGTTAAGATATACTCAAGCAGCTATCATACATATTTAGCCTGTCTTAAGCCTGAACTTTAAAATAAATGAAATGCTGTTGAACAAAGATGGCGGCAAAACTTATTTACTTGTCAAAACCAAAAATCCACCCGCAGTGTGTTGGTGAAAGAACATGCAAGGGTGTTCCTGTTTTCTGACTTTGGTCGCGTACATGAGAGAAAGTGAAAATTGAAACTGAATGTATACATTTGGTTAAGTCACAACTATCCTTATAAAGTTTATGAATTTTAAAAGTTTATGAAGTTTATGAATGTACTTACCACCTGTGTCGCAAACTCCATCAAAGTTCGTGATATTCGACGGTACTTCTTTGACATACAAATTGTGGTATAATTCATTTGCAATCCTCTTCTCTCTTCCCCTCATTCTGAGGTTGTTATTTGGACAAACGAAGGTTATTATATCATAGATTTTCACTTGAATTACTTCGTGCCAATACCATTTCTGCAAACTATAGAATAAAGAAAATCCCTTGGTTGTCTTTCCAGGAAAGTATTTAGGCAGCACGGAGTTCAAGAGGTCGCCTGTGAAGGACTTCGTCCCCTTATATCATTGTTTTTGCAGGCAGTTTTTTAGAACTTAAAGCATACAGAAGCTGCTCAACAGAAAAAAATTCTCAGTTGCCCTCAGACCAAGTGGATATTTTACTTTATAACAGTTGTGTGCTCAAAGTTTGGGGTTTAGGATTTTAGATTGAAGAATAAACATTGAATGGATCGTGTATCATACATATAGCTCTTACTCAGACATAGATGCAATCATCTAAACGATCCCTTTCTTGTTTGTTCTAGTGTTATCTAACTTGTATAGATGTGTTGTATAGGAAAGTCAAAGTTAAAGTTCATTATTATATTGGCCACACGATCGTCCGAAGTGAGGCATTGACATTATAGAAAGAAAGACTTTTCACAACATTTGCATTGCACGTAATACATGTCAATTGACTTCCTAGTTGAAAGTATAGGATGTACAAAAATCTGCTCAAAATAGCGATGACTACCTGCAGTTTCTAAATTTACGCTCGCCAGGTTACATTTAGAACTAATTGCTGCTTGTAATTTGTTCCCAAGTCGAGGTCATGACATCTCTCAAATTTTGTTTCCGCCTAAACTAAACTAAACTAACTTTGACAGTCTTCAGTCCTGCAGCAGAACGAACGAATTTAAATTCTTGTTATCATTTCTGAACTGTTCTTCAGTTCAACAAGACTGCAACGCCTACTGAGAGAGTTTTAACTCGCTTTCTTCGCTACATTTTGTTTTTATTTCTCTTCTAAGTATATTGCCGTAAGATTCAGTGTTTTTTTTGATATATATATATTGGGCTTTGCTGGATATGAACGTGATGGTTGAAGAATTGATTGTGATATGGTCACCCTCAAAGGCGCGTCTGTGTAAGTGGTAACTCTAGCCGGCGGACATTATAAAAAGCATATTGCATGACTTCCTGTGTCTATATGTTTATTTCACAATCTGTAATTCAACAATGCTTTTCAACCAACAGAAATCTTGCCATGGAAACTTTTAAATACATGCAGTTCACGTGTATCCTGGTCTCCCCTCCCTCCTCCCACAAACCTTTGATTCTAAACACGGCCATTGTCCCATGATGTTATTTCGCTTCTCGTGATGAGGGCGAGGCATGAACGATTATCGACACAAGAATTGTATGTAAATAAATATATTCTCGATTCTTGATCGAGAGCGGTTTCTACTCACATTGGATTAGTTGTGTCCCAGAAAATCGAAGGAAGATAAGTTGCACGACTCCAAGGCAGCACACAGAAGAGGAGAGAAATTGTGAGCCCCACACGATACATGACTTTTATTCACCGCTCTCCTCTCAACTCTCGCTAGATAATTATAAGAAAGTAAAAGAGTTAGCATCAGTGTCTAATGAAACGCTAGATTGGACGCCATGAGCTTACAATCTTGAAGACTCGTGCTTTAGAAGCACCATACGCATATATGGAGTTCCTATATAGGTTACATACCACTTGGTCAATATGAAATATACGTCGAATATATTCTACTCTTATAGTGCGCTGATGTAAGGTCAGAAGAGCAAATATTGCAATGAGACGTAAATATTGCTTAAATTTCAGTGGACAGCCCGACGATGTTTGCTTTAAATGAATGGATTTAATCGATATGAAAAGCAAGTGATGGTTTAGCTAAATTCTAGGAAATGATTCATTTCGTTTCACATCGAAAAAATGAAATTCTCCACGACAGAATTATTGACACGTGTCTTCGGAAGTAATTTTCGTTTGTTACATACGGGGCTTTGAGTTTGGTCATATTCGACCGATTAAATTCGCACCTGTTCGCACATACGAGAGCACGTAATTGCGTAAACCGCGTAAGTACCTTGGCGTTGTTTTCATGCTAGCGAGTAGCGCCCATATTGTTACTGTGTTTGCTGACGTTCGAAGAAATTGGGTAAGTTCTCTAATTGAAATTATGTGAATTTGAAACTTTTTTGTACGAGGAAGAGTTTATCATCTTGAAGAAAACAGCTTCTTAAAAGCAGTCAGCGGAACTCGACGTTCTTTATGCGTTTTTAGCGGTATTAATAGGGTCATGCAATATAAAATGTTTTAATTTCAGTCATTCAAAGCGGTGTAATATCATCACTTGGAATTTATGTATAAATTCTAGGGATTTCTACTGAATACGTGATAGATATGTCTAAGGAATGGAAGAATTTTTGTGCAATGCTGAAGGCTTGATAAATGGATCGAATTCTGCAGTTGGGTCCAGGCCTCATTAGTAGAGATCGTTATTAGGCTGTTCACAGTTAGTCTTAATAAGTTGATATTTTCTGTCCCATACGACTAGTCGCTAAACTGCGTCCAGAAGACGATTTAAAAACACAAAAAGAAACAAATTGTCTTATATATCTTGAACAATATATCTTATAGTTCAAGATATGTATCAAAACAAAACAAGGCCGTAAATTTCTGACTTAACTCTAGGCAAAGACGTGAGTCTTGATATCGTAACTTAGTCCGAATTCAGTTATTTTGTATACATACAATTACAATTAAATACTGACATACGTATATATAATTTACAATAACATAAGTAGCTATAAGCCTATAATCTCTATATGCTATATCTTCCCACTAGTGGCGTGGTTTGGCTCTGAAATAATGCAACTGTAGTCCTCCCCACATTTTAACTGGCCCAAATAAAAGACTGAAATGAACTAAACTAAACCTAAAAAGTTCCTTATTTCCTTTCCACAGCAGGAAGTTGACACTTGACACATCTACACGAACATTATAAATTCTTGATGTATATATAAGTCAAACTACCGCTGAAAAAAAACCTGACTGATATCTCAAGAACTGTATACAACACTGTCATATTACTTTAACTATACACTTCGATATAGTTTGATATAGCTATCTTTCTCTTTCGCTTTCATATATACTTACGTCAGAAACCACGATAGAATAGATTCAGTTGAATTATTACGACTTCAGTTTTTATCGTTAGTATATTTATCTATGATGAAACAAAAAATCCATATTATATCTGTTCAAAAAGGACTCCCGCGGTGGGAAATAGAGTGAACAGGATAAGTGTTGTCTGTCGAATTTACTAATGGCATTCCAGAAAAAAAATATATATATTGAATAAATGAGATATATACATGACGTATATAGACTGTATAGCATGCACTTAATAGAAGTTATTAAATTAAAACGTGCATGTATATATATATATACCTGTCAATAACTCGACGTCAATAGAATTCCACGATCGATGACAAGGAAAGTTTCTTCGTTCTATTGTGTTCAAGCAGTTTCGAAGTTCAGGTGACTTTTATTGTATAAACACTTAATTATTCTCAAATTGTTTGTATAATTTACCGTTGTCTTTGAGTTGAATTCAGACAGCTAACGATTTCCCGATAACTGACAATTTGACCATGAGAATGATACCGGATCCTAAATTTTCATTCACAACTGGTCTGTTATGTAACCTAAAATTACCTAACATATATCAACCAAGTTTTTAATCTCTTTATAACTCAGTATATGACGAGTTAACTTTCCAAATGTATTTGTTTGGATAATGGACCACTGTCCACACTTGATGATCTTGTATAGACAAAAGAAGATCTTGATATATTTTCTACCACTATAATGCTTCACTCTATTACTCCCGGACAAGCGTCACTTTATAATATACAACTTCCGCAGGATTGAAAGACTTCGTGACCACACAGCACACATGCATGCATATATACACATTGTAACCTGAACTCCTCAACGTTGAAGGTTTTATATTTCGGTTTAAGCCGAAATTATACTTGCAAACGAGGATCATGTTTGTTATTCACACCATAATGGTCTATAAGGACCACCTGCCCACAATAAATTTGCATTTTGAGATGTCTATATAGGCAGGTTTGGAAGATTAGAAAACAGAGTTCTCAAAAAAAGCATATATCTACAGATCAAAGTTATCCGTCCATATGCATCACTAATATACCGTGTTTATACTTGTGTCATAAGTTGGATAGATTTTCGAAAATATATCATGCATGTTTGTGTATATTATATATACGGATATGTTCCAATATAACCAGGGAGCTTTATTAGGTAAAGCACTTCTTCACGGTTACTCTAATAAATTTGCATAAACTGTGGTATAAAACAGCTTCAATAAAATAACCTGAGAAATGATTTCCCTGTATTATGGAGATTCGAATATATATCACTAGACCCGTGGCCGTGGTCCATTTAAATTATAAACTAGTCTTATTTTCCCTTTGTACGCGATATATAACGCAACTCTATATTGCCAACGCGTATATTTCAGAACTTCACGATCATGGATTAAACTGTTGAAAAAGGATATGATATGTATAGTTTATTCTGTTATAGATTAAGGTTATGTGCCTTGGTCACATGCATGTCATAATATAATATACAAGAGAAGTTGAGATGATAATATACAGTTTGTTTACCGGAACTTATATTTGCCTAACTTCTGACTATATAACACAGCCTCTAGCATCAACAAACCACCTCAGTCAGTATTCATGGTGTCTTGTGCATATACCATGACATACGAACTCGAAGTTATCACATTTTTGAAGTATAAAATATTTTTTCTTGTCAGGACTTTTAAAAGGTTTTTCTCCCATGCATTGACTTACATAAAAGTGCATTGTCCATTCCAGATTTGACTGACATAAGAACAAGACTTTCTTTATGTTTCTTTGTATTATTCTGTTAATTATAACCAGCTCTAACCTCTATAGCCTATACTGGCGGTTTATCCCCTATTGCGGAACACACGAGAAACAGAATATTTGAGACAAACCGAAGATTTTTACTGAGATCACGCTAAAAACGTAAGCAATGTTCATAGAAGACGATAGAGCCTTCTCAGCAAAGATGAAACTCGATAGTTTAATAAAAAGACAAAACTAGTTCAAAACTTTATGAAAATCGACATGTATAATACAAAGTTTCATAATATACAAATTTCGTATTTTTCGTATTAGGAGTTTAAGTGCCTAGTCCTATAGTTCAAAAGTTTTTAAGCATGCACTAAACATTTTCTCCAAATAATTTCGATAATATTTTCGATTGCTTAGGGAAAGGTTTACTTAATGTTTGAATGTTTTAACCGATTGAGGAGAGCAGTATATTCTTCCGAGTTTGTTCCCAGGTTTTTCGATCTAACCGCTGTTGTGTCATATGTGTCCACCACAGATAGAAGCAGCTGAGCATGAAGCAATGCCACTTCCAATATAGGTGTATAGCAACCAGAAATTTTGATCACGATTATTGCCGCTTCTTGTTCATTACTAATCTGGTTACAGCCGTTATTTGGACACTATCTCGTTAAAGAAAATTGTAACCCCCGGGTCTGCATCTGCCATTCAAATCACATGCATTATGCTGGCAGCTGGTTGCGCGAAATGCTTGTGAACAAAACTTGACGGATCAGCATGCTACCAATTTTATCATTTTCAGTTTATGGCTGCTGAGAAGGCTTGACAAAAATAAAGTTTGTGGATGCGGAAACAAGCAAGAGGCGCGGCGAACCTAATTTGCACAGTTCGGTGAAATTTCTCAATCTTTTTGAAAGCAAGGCATCGTGATCGCGCGCAGTGGATTGTGGATTGTGTAAATACATCCGTTCAGATGTCTCCCTTTTGCGTTTAAGTGCAGTGGTTAAAACTGAAAGCTCCTTACTTCACAAAACTTGTTTTATTTGAAAGGTAATCCTTATAAATATTACTACTATCTGCTTACTATGTCAATGCTTGAGGAAATTAATTGCGCATAGTGCAATGAGGGGACCATAATACAAATCAACATGCACAATATATTTGAGCATAAGTAAATATAATTATATGAATCATGAATCCGTTTTGTCGTATTAATTGGTAGTATACTGTACATATTATCGAGGTATAGTAAACGAGTGAAAATTATTACAGATACAACTGGAATTCATGTAGAGAATCGCGGTTGACTCTATTTGCAGTCTAATTCACTGAAATGCTCCGAGTTCCGGCCACAAGCTCAGTGCCTTGAAAGTAGTATTATCAAATATCAAACATGTCTTGACCTCAAAAGAATATTAGCGCGGTTAGTTTTCTCTTTATATTGATTGACGCGTCAGACGCCAGAAGGTAGTTTGTTACGATGATTAACTTAGGTTAAGTTGATCAATAATTTGCATGAGCTCAATAAACTAATGAGCTCAGAAGTCTGACCTCATGCATCTGATGTATTTGTAGATTTATTAGCGCTAAAGATATAGCCGTCGGAACTATTTTTACCGAGAAGGGCTGCAGTGTCACGATGCACTTTTCATGGTTTGTATTTTCCATTTTGAAATTACTTTGCTAATCGTTTCCGGAAGATAGTCCCATTTTACCATATAATAGATTCATGATCACAATAATCTATTATATTATTATGCTTACGTGCGCAATTTCTTGCGAAGATCTGTAGGTGGTTGTCTCATTCAACTTAGTTTTCCTGCCGGAGAGATTAAACACGTTTTGGTTGCTAATCGGTTCCGGAATTAGATAGTCCTATTTTACCATATAATAGATTTATGATCACAATAATCAATTATATTTTATTCTTATCATCAATTGTTATACCTTTTGACGCAAAAAGAATGGAACCACTTGTGATGAAGGAAATGCATCGGGAAACAATCTTTTTAGGGTGGCGCAGTAAAGACTTTGACGCAAAAGAAAATGATTAAACTCTATCAGTTTTTATCGATCAGTATAATTTAAAAACTGTTCCGGCAATTTCCAATTGTCTAGTGAGCTGAATGTGATATATTTTGTGATAACAATCATGCCATGATCATGCTGTAATTGTGGCAAAAACTTATGCGAGTTGTTGCGAGAGACTGAAAACATGCCCTAGTATGACACAACCAGCTAAGATCGGAAAGACGATAGGGGACACGCATAGATCCCCTCACTAGCGGTTTATCAGTTTCATAGTGGAATCAATATCTAAAGTTTGGTAAACGTTTGAACTGCATTACTCAACCTGTTGAGTTCAGATGTGGATAGCGCTATTCCTGTATACCATAAATTGTTAGTCTATTACTGTCTTTTAAAAAAAGTCTGCCCTGCATGCATGTGTGATGTGACGTATTTTCGGATATCGATAAAGTATGTTCCTGGTTGGTCAACTGGCCGCATTGGCCAATCAGAAGCATGCTTTGTAGTATGCAAACTATACGTAATAATATGAAGTGACTTTTCCTAAGATCTAATTAGAATCGGCAATTTCTATTGTTGGTATCATTGAACTGGCCGGCATGATGCTGCGGTCACCAGAAAAGAGCATAGAATCTTATTACTGGAAACATGCAGTGTTATTTAAACAGGAGAAACCTTCTTGTTACTTGCAATGAAATAGAACCAAACTATAGTCTAGAATATACTAATTCTTGCCTTTGTTCATAAACCATTCTATGCGTTTGAATGTATTTGGTAGGCAAAGTACCATTTATTAGTGTAATCCTCTATCATGCCGAAACGATATCTACTTTGCCGAAACAACATCTATTTTTTCATGGTGAAATTTTTACCAAGAAGTATACAGCTAGTTGATATGTTAATGGCTGTAAATTCCTGCAATTATACTGACGCATTGGGCGTGATTTTAAAGACACCGCAGGAAATATGAATAAGTTCTTTGTTTTGTAGATTACCCAGGGTATAATAAATCTAAATACGTATGGATTAACCATGAATATATTTCGTTGTAAGTACCCTTGGCAAAGTCAAGGCTTAACTTGTCGTTAAACTCTATCTCAATCTTTCTCATTAATCACAGGCCAAACGGTAAACATTTCAAGAATAAAGCTAAGCAGACACGATCGATCTTCCTCGAATAGATCAATTAATAGTTCAAAACAAAAGTAGAAACAATTAAAAGATTACAGAGCTTCCAGCCTACGATATTTTGTCACAGCTCTATGAAGATGCTTTATCAAGCCATGAAGATGCTTTTCGTTTGTGTCCTGTGTTTACCGTTGTTGACGAAATCACAGACATTTCTTCCTACAATATTCTGGGATCTAGAATCACCAGCGTAAGTTTTTAACTACCTTCATTACTAATAAATACGGTTTAGAAACGAGACAAATCTCGCTACTGTAAATATAACACAGCAGCGGTCATGGTCAAGTGTCTTTGAGATTATTGAATTGTCAACTGCGTATCTGATGAGCGTAAAGTCGGGGTGAAGAAGCACTCTTCGACCCGGCCTATTGTAAAAAGGTCTACTGTAAGGGCATACGGTATGTACCATCGGTAATACCATCGATATGTACCATCATAGGAGGATTGTATGATAAAGAGGGGGAGGGGAGGGTATATAGGATCTACGCCACTGAGTCTTGTCTTCTGTACAATAAGTTTGAAGTTTCGGTTAATCACTCAGATTTGAGAAGAATGTTCCATGCATTTTCCATGCTCCTAAATGGAGCAAAATTGATACAACGGACCAACAAACAGGCAAATGCAATGATGGACCTCTCGCGTTAACAGTTAGAAACTGTTTAGAAAGTATGAAGTTTAAACTTAGCATTTCCGGCTAAGCCCACATGCAGCCGCAGTTGTTCAGTTATAAACGATGGCGAGAGAAAAAAGGTAGTATAGAGTGGACAAACGGTCGGCTGGGTCTCGATGATCTCTACGAAAGACGGCCAACTTGGAAGAACTGTGCCCATGGCATGTTTGCCCACACGGGTGATTCGTCTCTATTAACTCAAATCTCGTGAACTGAAGCCGATCCAAATGTCGATCGTTTTAGATTGTTCTGAAATTGCTGAAATCATTTTTTTCTTTAATCTTTGTATTTTAATTTTCATTAATAAGAAAGAAAAATGCTGTCAATGCTGTCTTATAAGTATTATTATGGGAGCTCTTTCGCGACAAGCTCTCTCAAACGCTAAGTGGACCCGCGGTAAAGGAACTAACGCGAAACGTATGCATCGATTTGCGTAAGATGCATTTATCAACAATGTTAGGGCTACTATACTTAAAACTTGTAAAGTCAAGATTTTCTTTGAAGGAGCTGATTTTCTTTACTTATAAGGCGGACTTGAGACTGAAGCGACAAATTAAAGCCGGATAGCTAGGCTATCCTCTGGAAAAAACACTAGCAAAAAGTTGCCTTTCTTAATTATATGAACCCGTAAACCGAGATGATAGGCCTTTGCTTATTTCGACTTGTTATCCTGGAAATTTGGACTTAAAACAAAAGAAATGACTACTTGCTTTAGTTAAAAACCGTTTCAACTTTCAAAAACTTCAAGATAAAACTTATCATTCTTTTCACGCTAAGGGACGAGGCTTATGTTATGAACAGAATTTGGTTTAGTTTTTACAGTGATTTCATTATTTTTATAGTCTTCATCCCGCTTTCTGGTCAAAGGTTGTTAACGTTAAACTGTATCAAACTCTGACTTTCGTGTGTCCAAATAATGACATCAGTATTGTCCCATTTCGAACGTCAACTGATGGGCGATCATATTACAATCTTTTTGTAAGAAAAATCTTTCCTAATGAGACGAATTTGGATTATGATACTTTTTGTGACCCGCATCCTAACAGTGAGTATACATATGTATGGTATGGTGTGGGTGGTGTGGTGGTGGTGTGGTGTGGTGTGGTGTGGTGTGGTGTGGTGTGGTGTGGTGTAGTGGGTGTGGTGTGGTTTGGTGTGGTGTGGTGTAGTGTGGTTTGGTGTGGTGTGGTGTGGTATGGTATGTATGGTGTGGTATGGTGTGTGTGGTATGGTGTATGTTGGTGTGTGGTTGGTGGTGTCGTGTGGTGTGGTATGGTATGGTGTGGTGTGGTATGTTTATGTTGAGGTGTGGTGTGGTGTGGTATGTTAATGTTGAGGTGTGGTGTGGTGTGGTATGTTGAATTGGTCATATTCATAACGACTATAGACTATACTATATCAATCCTAGAATCCCACTACGTGTTCTCGTGCAACAAAACACGCAACACGCACATTGATTTCAGAAAGCTTGGTACGTCAAAAAGACTTGAAATCAACACAAGACATGCCAATCCAGCAGAACCAACATTCAACCGTGGGATGGATTACGTATTCTTTTGTAAGTATACACCCGTATCAACGACCTTACACAGTTACACTATTGTACATCAATTAAAAAATAGCTGATTTGAAAGGTGTAAAACAAACTGGCACAATAAAAAGATCGTGCAGGACGGTGATACCATCAATAAACCTGTACATTCGACCACCATAGCCTTCGCTATATTTTCATCTCCAAGGTCGAGTATATTCGATCTTCACTAATTTTTTTATTGTCATGGTCGAGTATACCTTATTCACCTGTCTATTTATTTACCTGCGTTGTTGTGATGGGGTTCAAATATATTTTACAGCTACATCCAATGGACTACAAAACTCTTTAAAGACAAACTCAACGAAATGCACAATGGTATTTCGAATTCGTGTCTGTAAAACTAATGAGCCCTGTGCATTACCCCGGTGTTCCACGTTTGGAAGAGAAGAAGGTATAATTATATGTATAACATTTGTGTAGTAGACTAGCAGTAGAACTGTAGAAACTTTACCAAACTACGTGTAAATAGGTGAAATGTTGGTAAGGTCGAATATACCAGAATATGGTATATTCCTTGGTGATGTTAAAGATGCATCTTTGATGCACTACACATGAGCATTTGGGAACAATCTTATGAAAGATAACTTTCATTTGTAAGTTGTTGGGTCGCATTCAACGTACAAGCTGTGGGTTAGTTATCTTTGCATATCGATGGCATTGAGATCCCAGTGTGTGAGTCAAGCTGAATCTTGTGGTATTATCAAATTGCTTTCTCTTTCTGATTCTCAATAGTTTGTATGCCAAGTCTGAGCAATGAACCGCGGGATTTACAAGTAACGAATAGCACGCCATCTTCGTTGGGTATATCCTGGCAACCAGCGCTGAACACAGACAGTTCCGTCGCGCATTACGCTATCTGCTATCGTTCAAAGGCATCAGAACCATGTCGGACGAAGCTAGTGGAAAGCGATGTAAAATCCGTCATCTTGGAAAATCTAAAAGCTTCAACTGAATACCTCGTGCGAGTGCGAGCAGTCACGTGCAAAGGACCTGGGAACTATTCAAAGGAAATATCTTATACGACTCCTGGTAAGAAAACGTTATGTCAGTTGAGTTAACACATGCATCTTGAATATTCACATTACATGATCATTCAGTTTATTGAGTGCGGTTTCATCTTCATCTGCGAACTTCCATAATTCTACACAAGACATCCACGTTCATCTCTTATTAATCCAGTGTTACTAACATGGAAACACAAACCGAGAAATGGTCCATGGTTTACAAATTTCCGGTAATTCTAGTTAATTAAGAAATACACTCTTTTCCTAGACGATCCTGTCACTAGCGAGCCAAAAGAGGTCACACCATCCAATATAACCACTACTTCTGTAAAGATTAATTGGAAAACTCCTGATTTTATTGTGGGCAATGTGTCCTACTATAGTGTATGTGTCCGAGAGCTGGGAATTCTGGGCATGGCTTGTAAAATAACGTTAGTTGAGCCCAAGACTCAGTCGGTAGTGATCTACGATCTTATGGCCAACACATCATATGGGATACGTGTCCGGGCAGATAATTGCAGACCTGGAAACTACTCAAGAGAATTAGCAATAATAACCCTGGGTAAGTATCTGGGTTTTGATAATCAAAGTTATCTTGGACTTCATAGTTTGTGTAGATATGTTCTGACTATAGATAACTGGCATGCCGGGCTGATTAGTGGCAGTTACCCGTATGTCGCTAAAGCAATTCCCTTCTCTTTAAATCAGCCAGTTTCTGGGAGTTAATTTAGGGTGATTCGATTGTGATGTAAAAAATCGCAGTGTTGGATTCACCATTTCATGAACGCAAATCTTTTTCCCTGTGGAACAAACGGGATGCTTAGTTGCTTGTCAATCTATATCGTCCAAATCCACAGGTTCCGTCTTCACAACTATCGCGTTCGCTACCTCGGCTCTTTAAATGTGTTTTAAATGTCAGCTACCTGTGTCCTTTGACGGGCAAAAATCCGCAAAATATGTATGAATAACCAAGATTTTGTATTGTGCTTCTTATGTTGTTGTAGAAGAAAGGCCGTTAGAGAAGTCTACTACATCTAGTACTATGTCTATGAGTAGTACAACTATGATAACGTCTACAGCAGCAACAACAACAAAAAGTAAGCTATATTTCGATCCATATCCATTCCCATGAACATCGTTAATTTTCGTGATCTTTGCACTTTACGCGTATATATTTAGATGAAATCCTGAAGTTTGTTCATTCTAGATTTTGGAGCATATATAGATATGAATCCATAAAATATCATCCTGACTGCCCCTAGTAAAAAACCTTTTAGAACCGACTGACATGCAGATGAATAAGGGTAGCCCTTACTAAACGTCTTATTAATGGTGCTATCTAGACTCTATAGAGTCTATAGTGCAAGTAGAGATTTTGTTCATGTTTCCTTAATTCTTTGATCAATAAGACTATAAGAGATGCATTTGTCTTAGCTCAATTCGAACAGTATAGGTTTAGAACTGACACGTAGAGTTGCCTTGGTAATGTGTAGCGCTTAGACATCGAACCGCAAAGAACAGCTTGCAGTCAGGGGCCGGTTGTATGCATAGTAAAATCCTTGTTATTAACAGAGAAATACCGAATACACGGCTCTGATTGGGCAATTCTGTACTTGATAGTCTTTTATATAACTGGCCCCTGATCCTGAACTGTATAAGTCAGTGTATAAGGTCAGGTATACTGTATATGTTCGTCATTTTGTAGTAATTGATGTTTCCTCCTGTAGCAACCGTGAAACCACATACAGCACTGCGTCAAAATGATAGCAATTGTCCGACATTTCATTCTCTGTCTGTGGGCATCGGGATTATCATCGGTGTGGTTGTTGCTCTCGTCGCGGTAGCATTGTCAGCCGTCCTTTTGCATTGCAGAGCTAAGCAAAAGATGGAAATAGGTGAGTTATCCCGATCCTTTCTGTGCGTGCCGTTCACCGGGCTGTGTCAAGTATATATAGCTCATATTAAACCTTATCAACCACGAATAAACCATTTTCCAGAATATTCAACTATATAAAGTTTGAATATACCTTATTCGAGAACACAATATTCCAGTATATTCGACCATGGACGAGTATACAGTTTTTCGGTACATACGACCATGGTCATATTCGCCGGAAAATGGCAAATACGACCATGGTCATATTCGCCGGAAAATGGCAAATACGACCATGGTCATATTCGCCGGAAAATGGTAAATACGACCATGGTCATATTCGCCGGAAAATGGCAAATACGACCATGGTCATATTAACCGGAAAATGGTTAATACGACATTGGTCATATTCGCCGGAAAATGGCAAATACGCGACCATGGTCATATTCGCCGGAAAATGGCAAATACGACCATGGTCATATTCGCCGGAAAATGGCGAATACGACCATGGTCATATTCGCCGGAAAATGGCAAATACGACCATGGTCATATTCGCCGGAAAATGGCAAATACGACCATGGTCATATTCGCCGGAAAATGGCAAATACGACCATGGTCATGCATATTCGCCGGAAAATGGCAAATACGACCATGGTCATATTCGCCGGAAAATGGCAAATACGACCATGGTCATATTCGCTGGAAAATGGCAAATACGACCATGGTCATATTCGCCGGAAAATGGCAAATATGACCATGGTCATATTCGCCGGAAAATGGCAAATACGACCATGGTCATATTCGCTGGAAAATGGCAAATACGACCATAGTCGAATTCGCCGGAAAATGGCAAATACGACCATGGTCGAATTCGCCGGAAAATGGCAAATTCGACCATGGTCGAGTCCGCCAGAAAATGGCGTATTCGACCATGGTGGAGTATATCAGGTAATTGCGTAACCTATTTTTTTTTTAACATCCGAAGGTCCTGTAGTAAAGAATGCATACAACAATGGTTATCGTTCCAGTGTTAGCGGAACAAACACGATAGACCCCAAGAAGAGCGATTCTACGATGGAATTGTACTCAATTAAATCATCCTGAAATCACCTAATAGTGCGTAACGATTGCGATAAGATAACTACGTTCTTAGGACATCTTGTCTCCGCATTGGGCGCAATGCCCCGGGCACGAGGGTTCAAATAATGAAACGTACAGAACTTCGGCATCTGATTTTTTATTTGTTTTGTTAAATGCTTTCTTTCACGAAATAGTCAGAGATTAGCAATCCTTGTTATAGTTGCATGCTTGAGTTCGAGTTTTGTATATGTATATATATTTATATAAAAACCGGATTTTGGGCATATTTTCTGCTCATACGAAACAAACATTCCAAAAGTAGAATCTCCACAAAAACAAGACTCGTACAACCTTGTGCATTATTGAATTTCTCGCAATAAATGTTAATTATTAACCTCGAACCCCAACGCCCATACTATAGAGAGGGTAGGATATCCTGGTTCGATTACCCACACGGTGAATACCACCATTTTATTTTGTTTTTCCACTGTTTTCATTGTATATTTGCTAGTTTATTTCTGCTGTATCATGTCTGTTCCATTACGGCACTTGATCTTAATTTAATTTAATGTAGTTTAATGCGATGCAAAACAAACTAATCGTTTCTTAGACAAATTACTCAATGTCATATAGCATCTCTCGTCAAACCAGTTTTTTGTTTCATTTTTGTATTTATATGTAAATAAAACACAAAAGAAAAAAATCAATTCGCTTTAACTTCATTTTACAATAGTGAATTTTGCAAATTTTACAGATATAAATCTATACAAATACATACAAATTTTATATTATACATTAATATCGTTGTGGTGAAATATCTAATTTAAATTTGTTCAATCTGACGTGATTGTTAGTTGGTCACGTGTTATTCAACGTTTCTATAAGTCCACTGATAACTAATACGTACTTCAGTGTTTAACTTTTCTTTATATTATTTGTGTCAATGTTATGTGTAATTCAAACGATCTTATGATGACGTACTCGGCGTAATCTGCATAACGGCATAAGTGCAACTTAAAATATCTGAGAACATTCTGTGAGGGGACAGTATAGGGTATAATGGGATATGTGGAACAGTGGATAATGAACTTAGGATGTTCAACAAAGTGGGATTAAAGCCCCATTCAGAGGCCGGCACCTTTATGCCAGTGGTATTGAATTTATTCTATCTAACAGTTTCTACTGGTAAATGGTAATCTCTATTTACTATTCACTTGTGTTATTTACAGTTGTATAACTACTATTCGCGACATTTAAGATTGTTAATTGAAGGATATTATTGAATATTCACCCGCAATGTGATTTTTTATAAATTAATTGATACGAATTGACAAGTGTTAATCGAAATTCGACCCATAAGCTGTGTATAGTGCCAGTGGAATCATTTGCATTTGTCTCTCTGTGACTTTGTCTAGAAAAATGTAAAAGTACTGGAATTAGAAATCGAAGTGACAAATCGAAGATAGGGAATAGAAAGTGGTGAGATGTGAAACAGAATGCAAAAGAGTGGGAAGAGATAAGCTCTTGGCCTCACTTTGTAGCCAACTAGCCATGATTATTAAACCGCTTCGATCGGTTACGACAATTAGCCTGCTGGCGACAATTGGTCAATAAAAGTTGACCTACCATTTTGAAAATGATCTTTTTCAAGCTGGACTCGTGGTACTGTCCCGTTTCATAGTGCCATGAAAACCAATATTATTGATTCCGAGTTGATCTGAAATTGCTAATAAATACAGCAACGTTTAGTTCCGTTATCAGTTGCCACTAAACAGTAAACAATGATTTACTGTCTGTATCAATTCTCCTATCAGTTCTACGCAGCTTTTTTCATCAGGGGACATTATATTGTTCAGTATAAGAAGAAATTCCTACGAATAAAACTCCAAATAAAACTCAAGCATTTCGATGAGATAACAGTTAAAACCCGAGAAGACCAGCGATTCAGAAGAGACTCAACTGTTTGTCCTCACTTGAATATGTTGGGGAAAAATTTGTTGAACCCACAAAAAATTTCCTAACAATATGATTGACGTTGTCTTACTTCCGGAAAAAGAGGTTTTCTCTGGAAGAGGTTTTGCCTCCTTATCTTCTCCCAGATTGTTGTTCAGAATAACGCTTGGAACATTACCGTTCGAATTCTTATATTCACAAGCAGAATGTGCTAAAAAAGTAAGTGAGCTAATTAAGTTTCCTTCGGCTTTCACTGACTGACTGAATTGACAACTCAAGAATCGAAGATTCTAGCCAGTTGAGGTTATATGTTCTTAAAACAACGTAAGTTTCAAACCAGCCGTAATTCTTTCTATAGATAGTGTTATATAGAAGTGATCTCTCGAGCAAACAACAATAGCTACTCACTTTTTGTTTTTTGTTTAATTTTCAGGCGTCCATGACACCGGCAATATATTATTGCAGCGAGAATATTTAGGAACGTTGCCGCTGCGAATCCACCAAGACAACCATATATAAAGTGATCCCATTTCTTGCAATTATCAGGATCGTGTCGGCCACTACTTGATGCATTATTAATTTGTCCATCTGCTGTCGTCGATTTGCAGCCCAGGGAATTGTTGCAACCTACGGTTGGTTTCGTTGTAGACGTAGTAGCTTTTGTTGTTGTTGTTTTTGTTGTTGTTGTTGCTGTTGTTATATTTCCTGTTGGTTTTGCACTTGAATTTGCAGTTGTGCTCCCAGCCTGCGTAGAGGGCGTAGAGGACGTAGAGAAGCTCCATTCTGGTGTTGAATCACACGAAGAACATGTCATGTTGATGTGGTTGCATCCCTTCCCTGCAAAGCAGCGATAAATCATGGTCAGACGGGTTGGGCAATTACCTAAATCTTCGCAACGTTATGGAACACGTCGCTAATATAGAATTATCAGAGGTGTTTCTGAATTCATCAACTTCGTAACCATGGTCTTGTCTGCGTTATTTTAACCTTGAACAATCATTACTTTGAACCAGGAGAAGCGGAACAGGTGGCGAGGATGACCATACCCTCCAGAAGTTAGTAGGAGGGGCTTATTCCCCAAAAATTCATGAAGAATTTTAATACAAACAAGTAACAAATTTTGAATGGAATATTTCGCTGGCTCAAACAGAAAGTATAGACTATATAGGCTACATTCGTATCTCTTTTTGGCAAAGTTAACAATTTCTTATTCATTCTTTGGCCGGTCAGGCAAAACAATGAACTATTTTCTAATTCCCCCTCCAAAAAAAAATTGTTCCGTCACCACAGCATTGAACTGGACTGTAATTGCTAAAATTATCGATTTAGTGAAGTTAGACGAATAGTACCAACATTTACTTACTTTTACCGTCTAAATTTTTTCCGTAACTGAAATCATAGTTGACGGGAGCACCCCACGTCACATTCACAACGAAGGCCATAGCACAGCGCTTGTCATTTGAAGTGAGATCAGAAACTAGACCGTCAGCCTCATTGTCTGTACAACATTAACAATAATTGATCAGATTAAAATCATTAAATGCAAGAATATTGGGTGAAATCAATGGACAATTCCCGTATTAAATTGAATTTAAAATGAGGAATTTTCATCAGTACAGCTGGAAAGAGTATCCCAAAATTAGTAAAATTGGAAAGTTTTGTGGCGAAATATTATAAAGTGTTAGAATACGTTCGAAATAGCGTTACCACCGTTTAACAGTTTCGCAACCAAACCTTCCCATATTATTAATCTTGAGATGCTCTTTCCAGCTGTATACCTCAGAACCGACGATTTTTCCTAGTTCAGGATTTAGTTTAATAGGGGAATGGTCCATTCCTCTTGAAGTGGATGAGTGACGAGTCGGTATTAAAACGGTTGAAATTGCAACGATGTGACTCATGTGAGTTAGTAAAAATTGATTCCGAAGAAATGAAACAATTACACATTACAATGATTACTCACTAAAAAAGACGACCAAGTCTCCTTTGTAGAAATCGTTGTCCCTGGCAAATCTTACAGTGTAACCTTGATTGTCATCACCATTTTTGCACGTGTATAATTTTTCTAAACAATAACGGTCAGAAAAAAATATAAAATCGTTTTACAAAGCAAAGACGCGAGAGCGTTGATTTAAACTCAATCTTCGAATAAGACTGGTAAATAGATAGCCATTCTGCCATTTCATTTCATGCACTTTGAGAGTGGTCATTCAGAATTTCCATTGTATTTGACATATCTGTGGTTTTATTTATAATTTTGAACGTTGCATTAACTCTCTTACGTGTTTCTTTGTGACTTGGATTACAAAATTCTCCACTCGTCATGTTTCTCTTTAGTTCATTTAAGCCTTCGTAATCTGTTCCACCTTTCCATTTTCTCATGAGTATATGGTAATTCATATGAGCTTTCGGTCTTGATTGGCTGTCCAGCAACCCAACGCTGAGTTGCAGAGTTGGACACACGAAGTCGAATCGATCGTAAATCTCGAAGCGAGCGAAGTTGAACCAATTACACTTGCAAGCCAACCTGAATCATTGATTTGAAAATAATGAATGTTTGTTTAAATAGGGTAATTTCACTAGTCTAACACAGTATAATTCCTTGTATCCTTCCCTTGTGATATTTTCTGAAGCAGTTGGCAGTCCCCCCCCTGTCTCCCACGAGAAAGACGCAGTCCCCCCCCCTGTCTCCCGCGAGAAAGACTCACTTGTTGAAAATACCTTTTCCGTTTAAACATTACGAAAAAACGCAAACGGAAATTAGGCGGGGTGAAATAAACTTGTTCGGTAAACATGGGCAATTTTTGCTATTTTAAGCAATACCATGACACTGATGACAATGAACTGTTTTTAGTAGCGAATTCTTCATGACAAGTGTGGCCTGACATGTGAAAAATGTAGCTGTCAAAAATAATAGCCACTAGTCAGAGCTGATAGTTATTTGTTACAAGTATATGCCAATTGCTAAGACGATGCCTTTTCAGTCAAGGGTTGAAGCGATTTATTATTCGATATATTGCCTTTTGCACGCAACGTGTCTTTCACTTAAAAATGGCCAAAATATCTAACATGCTGACGTACTATATTCAATCATAAAGGTTTAGTCTTTGAAAATAAAAATCATCGGAAAATAACAGGACAATCTGACAAAGATGTATGCTGTAATACACTTGATTGAAAGAGATTCTTGTCTCTAATGACCCCACTGAGTGCATGAAAGAAATAGGGGTTTTCTTTAATGGAGAACAACAGAGTTTCTCTGGCCCTAGAATTATTGGCAAAATGGTTTGATTATCATGTGCCGTCAATATTTTTAAACATCATTAGTTTTTATCCTGAAGGTACCACCATAGAGTGCGCAAAATTGACCTTTAATTACATAATTTAAGCATTTTTGATCACACACAGCACACGCAATTCCTGCTGCTGAAAGTGTATCCTTCTATGTGGTTTTCATGTATTTGTACAGACTTAATTCATCATTAGAAGTTAGAACATGAAGTTATGAAGGTAGCAAAATTCTTGAATGTTTGCTACTTTCGACTAATAAGATGTTTTCATTTAAAATGTCATCGAAATATAACGACGTTCCTAATGCACGCCAAGTGATTTGATCTATAATGGAATATCACAATTTACTTCTGAGTGGAGCAATTAAACCATGTAAAGATAAAACGTGCCGTTGAATGTGTACTCTATCACATAAACGACTTTAATGGTTTCAACCTTCCAAGGGCCTTTAGCCTTTATTGATGATATGATATTGCTTAGCAGGCCAAAACTGGCTTGCTGATATGCCTTTGTTGACATCACTTCCTCCGGCTAAATGATGTGGTTAAATATCTGCCTAACCATTTCAATTTAAATGGCTTATACTTAAGTATCTCAACTCTAGCCTTAAGATCCCGTTTTTTTGTCTCTGGACGATGTGAAAATCGTTGAATGAGAAATATCGTTCAATATATAACAACCTGCAAAAAACCCCATGTGTTCGCTTTACGTTCCTATTCTTACCTCTTTTTGAAAGGAAAAGTACCTTTTACTAAATGGCAGCACAACAACAAATTGTGTTGAAATTCGAATATTTTGTTCATTTATTTTTTTATATTTTGCCCAAATCACTGTCTCTTTCGTGTCGAACAGAATACAAAATGAAGCGGAAATAACTTAAAAGGTAATCCTTACTGTATTTGAATCAACTTTCATATATTTTGTTATTTAAATCGGTTTGAAGTTTGCTGTTTAAGTATTGGGACTTTAAACTTTGTTACTTTAAAAAACACGTGTTTTCAAGCACATAAATATTTTATGGACAATTTCGGTATATTTCTATCAGTAAAATATGAAAATGTGGCTTGAAGTTTTGAGGAAATTGCTAAATTAGGAAAGGATCTATGATTTCCCGTATTAAAGATATCCCATTTCTAGCAATTGCTGGTCCAATTTGATATCCTAAACATTTCACCAATTCGGAGGAAATTGTGAAATTCGTATCCCAAAATTTAATCTCATGAGTATGGTCTGAATTTCAGCAATGTTGACGAACCCACATTCCCTCTGAGTTTTTTATGCCAGTCTGAAAGTTAATTTCCTTTGCATGATGGCCTGAGTTCAGTGCTTCTCTAAATATTGAAATTGCTGGCTTTTATTGTTGCCTAAAACAGCATTGATTGGTGTCACAAGAATCAGATTGGTACCAAAGCCAACAGATTGGTACAATTCTAACAAAATTGGTACCATTATCAGATGGTACTTATCAGCTGGCAACAAAGCTATCAGCTGCCATACTTTCTCTGTTTTATAGTAAATTAGTTAGGAATATACCATATAGGTTCATGGCTACACCGTTAAACCTACTTTTTCTACTGCACAATTCTACTTATGAGTGTCTAACATTAGGCGTATTCTGAGTCAGATTGTCTGGTGCAAGTCTTTTAATACTTGTGTTTTATGATAAGTTCTGTCCAGCCATGAAACACCAATCTAAATGTTAAGTGTTTTTAAAAAGAATTTACTGTGAATATTGGAGAAGATCATTTAGTACACTAAGGAAACTTTATCCCAGTTATTCAATTTCCATATATGAGCAGTCAACTCTTGACAGATATTGGTCTAATATGTTTGATCTATAGATTAAATCTTCAGTACGGGATATTGTACTTAATTCATTAACATTTAATTTGTTTGTCATTTGTCATATCATGTGAAGGTGATAAACATGAATTTATTCATTCAAAATATAATGAAAATATAAGCTGCAACCCTGCTTGGATGACTCAATATTGTATATTATGTCACTTTTTGCTTGGTTACTTGATTTGAAGATCCAAATCAACTTGTATTCAAACACTTATGCAAAAAAGGCAGATGCATCTGAAGCCCTACTTAGGTCTTGGATGCAAAAAATAGTGGAACAAAAATATTTAGTTAAGTATTGATGATACATAGACCTCTTTTAGCTATCTTCCAAAAACGTGCAGAGAAATCAACTGCAATATTATTGTAATACTTCACTGGTTTACTCAAGGCAGGAAAGACCTCTTCATGCTTGTCAACTCTGTTAAAGCAATGTTAACATTTCAGGGCTTATGCAAACTTTCTTAGATAAACATTATGTTATTGTTTTGGTTGGTCAAGTGCTGAATCGAGGGTCCTGTGCTGAATGTGTCCTTGTGAGGAAAATATCTTTTTACTTGGATTGAAATCATATAGGTCTAGTTGCTTAAACTTCCTTTCGGTATATTCTCTTTTCCGCAGTTAAATTGTCGCGAATCAAGGCCGAATGCTTAACGCCAAGAGCCTCCACTTTCAAACGTCAATAATATTGCTATGTTTTTCAAGTCATTTTATAACGCATGCACAAGACAGTTATATTCGTCGGATTATATCCCTCGGGGCTTCACCTTAAAGGGTATACATCACACGATATACTGAGTATATTTCGGGAGGTGCTAGGTGCTTTTGGAAACATGGGAGAGTGCACTTAATCTCTGGGACAAGTCATCAAGTATTGGCTTGCTAACCAAAGCCAAAGGTCAAAGATTTTATTTTCTCCGTGATAAAGCATGCAGCCATGCACTTGTTCTTGGAGCTATCGCGGTTGCATGGTTTTACTTCAGTCTCCAGGACTAATATTGCAACATGCAACCACGCAGAGGTTGAAACCCCGCTACATGCAACCACGTTTAAATATTATCTCAACTCAGTAAACGGGGGGGAAAAAAGGCTTCAAAGTTTCATACATTTAGTGCTTTTGTTTAATACAGTCTCTGACTCTGCTAATCGCAGAACCATATAAGTTCAATTCGTTTTCTAGAACAATTCAAAATTAGATTGAAGCTCAATTTTTATGATGTCCTACTGAAAATATTGATAGTTTTGATAATAACTGCAATCGTAAAATATACTTTAAGATTTTACAATAGAAAATACGTTGTACTGCATGAAATGGCTGCAAGTTTCACAGCGTTATATTCGACAAATTATTTTAGCTGGTATAAATAACGGTCTTGTTTTTTGGCTTAATTTGCTGATGCGGCGGACGCAATTATACACATCTTCCGTTCAGATAAGCGAAGATAGAAATCTTATCGTTGAGTTCAACTGCACTTGACATGCCTAGCTTTAAAAATGTGAAACGAAATTTAGGACTGGTTATTTAATCTGCGACGCTCCTTCAAAAGTGTAAACGGATCCGTTTCCTAGTTTTCGACGTATATGTATTGAGTTTCGATGACTCTAGTGAGTCTGTATGCTGTATTTACTTCCTTGAGCACCGATTAGTAGAAAACAGCAGGTCGTTTCTAGACAGAATTTAATCGTGTTTCACTGCAGGTACATATATTGCCTGAAAGAGCTGCGGTTTTTCAGCCATCCAGTAAAAGTTAGTTAGTATATACAATCCTTAGTGATCCTATGGCTCTATAGGGAACGATTCAGAACTGATGAATATATTAAATCGTATTATTTAACATCATTTTGGCACATAAAATATATTAGTATATAGTTCTTGTTTGTTGCACAAACGATTAATGTAGGGATATAAACGAAGATAAAATTATACTCTATAGCTTTTCGCGGCTACTGAAAAATAATTTGATATTGGGATATTGTATGTATATACTGGTTAAATTGTTGTTTTTTAAGCATAAATTTAAATGGTTGACTGGCTACAAGATAAATTTAAAGAGGTATTTATGAAACGTATTTTGCAAAAATTTGAATAGCCGAGTACGGTTGCATTGTCTCTGAGCTTCCCATGCCTGCTTAGACGCTATTCTGATGTATATTAGCTAAAATTTTTGTAAACTGTTCCTGCTGTAATCCAACACTCTTGCCAATTTCTTCTTCATATTGAGACAAGTGGAATCTATTGAAAATGCACTTTACAATTTCCATATAAACGCTACAGCATGTTATTCTCACTACTGGTGCCGGTATTCGCGACGTTAAAAAACCCATTTCAATTCTTAAGTTGCTTGCGTTAACACATCAGGACTTCTTCTCCATAAATATTCCGTCAACCAAAATCATGGCTTTGGGGTTGATACTTATCTCAACCAAAATATACAGTGATTTTAATACCGAAATTGGTTGGCTCAAGGCTATATAAGATACTATATATAGAACCTGGCGACATAACAAAAACATGTATTCACAACTTATACATATTATATATTATATCTAAAATGCATGCTCAAACGAATAGCTTGCGATAAGGCAGCCTTGTTATTTTACTTTATTCGTTTCGCAAACAATTCGATAATCTCAGCCTTCTTTAACTTAGCAAAGACCATTTTATATTGCTTAAGCAATTTAAACGTATTTCACCGCAAAGGAAATTGTGTTTACAAGTTATTGTCTTGAACTTCGTGCAGAAACAGGTTTTATATTATATTATATAATTACAAATTCGAGCCGGAAAAAACGTAGCTGGTTTTTGAGTGACGAATACCGAACTAAGCAATTTTTTTTAATATTTCAAGCAAAAGAGTCTTATTTGAACATGTTAAACGACGTATGTATCTGCATACAAGTGCCCTGCATGACATTGTATCATATAAACGTTTGCTCAAATTGTATATACAAGATTATATATATCGAATAAGATTCAAAAGTGAAGGAAATTATCACTCTCGCATTCTCTTAAAGCATACGTTTTGGGGGAGAATTATTTAATATATAGCGTCGAAAAGAAAATGAAAAAAAAGTTAATTTAAGAAAGAATTCCCGCGTAGATAATGTTTTGTCGCTAGAGCGATATCTGAGAAGAATTCAAGTGCTCAAAACGGAGGTGCTTTTAGCTGGAACGGAGGTGCTTTTAACTGTTTTACTTGTAGTTTTAGTAAATACAACGAAAAATTACATTGTTGTATCATACAGGCTTTTGCTGTTTCAAAAGCGGCAATTTTGTGACAGTCAGAGCGCTTATATCCGTGTACGATCGGGCCAAAGTTGTAGCAGCTAATATATACTTACATAGGATTGTAGTGATCCCAGACGATCGAGGGAAGATATCTCGTAGCGTTTCCATGACGGTGAAATGACAGGAGAACGAGCGAAAAAACTGTTTGTAGAAGAAAACCCCTCATTGTACGTGTCTACCTTGTATGTAATATGCCTTGTACGCTCGCCAGCTGTCGCGTATGTTTAGCACTTAATTTGTTGCTAACACAGAGCCAAGTAACGTAGTTACAACCTACGGTCAGTATCGTACTCTCGATGCTGGTTAGCGTCGCGAGTAGAGAGAGTTCGGTCTTGAGTCTAACGCGATCTGATCACAATGACATTTAACATTTGGTCGCATTATTTCACATCCGCTTTGACGTTTGAAGTGCCTTTAATCATATCCATTTTAGCCGAATAGGGAGACGGGGGGGAGTTGGTTATTTATGAAGTGTGTGGGTGTTTAGGTGTGATATAGGTTGGGGTTAATCCTGTGACCTTACCTAGGATACGTGCATGTTTATCTGTAGTAATTCGCTTTGAGTTGAGCACCCGACCAAAAACGATATTCAATTTTTCCGGGGATCTATATTAATGCCGTCTGGGCTGCCCAAAAATGTCATTCATGGAAATTGGTAAATATATGGAATCAGTTTTAAATTGAAGGATATATAAAACCTGGAGCTTTTAGTCCTAGGGGAGGATCTTATTTTACCTACTAGGATTAAGATTAGATTAAGATTAATCCGACATCGTGTGGGATTGTGAAGTCTACAGTGACAACAGCGAGCAACCCTCGACCCCGAGCGAACCCCACCCCCCCTGTTTATTCTCGGGGGTTTTCGGTTTCTTAACTTTCTCAAGAGGTTTTAATTTTTGAGCAGTGCGTGCTATTGTGCCTGTATGTCAATTCTTCTCGAACTTCCCGTCCAAATCATAAAAAAAACTGGGAGAAAGATTATTTTTAAGCAGCGATTTGTCGTCAATTCCGCTTATTCATTGCTCGTGGGCGTCAAAAACGTCAGCTCGAATGCCAAGCCTTTTAAAAGAATCCTTTTAAATGCTAAGACGTGACGTGTTTCTACAACGGCTTGATGAATGATGAGAGCTTTAGCTTTTTATAATTCTTTGGTGGAAATGGGGGCCAAAGGATTTATTGTATCCTACGGTCGCTTTGGCAACTTCGCCATGATTTTATTAACAATATAAAATACTTATATAATTGATTAATTTCCTACGCAATTTGAACTATACAATACCGCGCCTGTAAACAGAGTTTACAATACATTTAAGATCGAGGTGATTTTGAATGCTATTAGTAAAATTGACTCAGTGTTTTTTAAAGAGCAAATTTACCATGGTAATTCTATATCTCTTATCTTTGTCTGTCGAAGTTTCATTGTCTATTGAAGTACCTCCGAGTGTAACCATCGTCACTATAGCCATGTTGTAAAAAATATTATACACGTAAATCTACCATGGAATATGTATTATGTGAGGCCTTACAGATGTGAGCTTTGAAGATGTTAATGTACATGTTTTTGTACAAAACCCACTGTAATTTTGTTAGTGATACATGTGGGCTATATGCATGTGTGTGGGCTATATAAATATGGTGTGTTTTTTTGGAAATTGACTACTGAGTAGGTTTTAGATCATATATCTCTGTGACTATGTGTTTTAGTCATATGGATTAGTTTTATCAGTTTTATGTTTCGTACTTTCCCTGAATTGACCTAATGGATGCAGTTATGCTTGACACGTATATAGATCATGAACATGCATTTTCTTTATTGTGAAAATCTCACTAAAGCCCCATTTACACTACACTCGATTTATTGGCACGGCACGGCTAAAATGGGTACCCGTGCTCAATTTTACTAGTGCTCAGACTACCAAAACAAAGGCCGGGCACGGATGAAGTGGGCACGGGTACCCATTTTAGTCGTGCCGTGCCAATAAATCGAGTGTAGTGTAAATGGGGCTTAAGTTGTTGTTTTGACTGTACGCTGCATATCACGTACATAGTGCCTCAAATTATTCCTTTTATTTATACACTAGCTTGTGTGCGTTATATAGCTTGCTATGGTATAAATTGAGTAATATATAGGCTAGCTGGTGCTTACGCCAGTTCCATGCATAAAACGACTTATTATATAATTGCTTGTTTTATTTTGTGGCTGGAAAAGAGAATCTTTGTTTCTTCGCTTTCGCAAGGATTGATATATACAGTCGAGCCTATGCATGTGCACGACTATAAAGGAGCAAGTGGTGACTAAATCAGTGAAGGACATTTGAGTACCTCAGTTTGTTCTGTTCACTGCTTGCATGTGAGTCAAGTCAGGCCGGAAAAAGTTTCCTATCTCTTTAAGTAGAGGTTCCTGCATGCATTTTCTATATATTGCTCTTTAATATAAAAGAGAAGAAAGCGGGTTAACCAAACTAACTTTCTCTATGTATACACTAAAATATATAAATGCTCTTTCAAATCTGAACTTTCCTAGTACGAATCATTCCGTGTTGATTCAGGAAGAGACCACAGTGTCAGAATCATTTGATAATCATTTGCAAATCATTTGACAGTCGGAAAACCATCCCATCTAATGTGAATTAACACCCACGAAGGCGACAGCCCGGGTCTATATATCTATAGTCCGACCTAAAGTTGTATGTAACTTCCCTTATGATCTATATCACATTTTCCTCCTGAATCTGCGCGTTGGAGTACAATACAAGGAAGCTTTTAAAATGTGTTTGTCTTGCTGCTTTTTGTTAATTAAAAGGATAAGGCATTTTTTCGGCTTCGCGACCTTTTCTTCTTCCCCACAGGCGGCAGAACGAGAGAATTTAAAGAAAACAATCCACAATACGAAATAGAATTTAACTTATTGTTATGTTAAATTCAACATGACACATTCTTGTCGGTGGATATTTTTATGAATTAGTCAGATGAGGAAGATTTAATGTAGTTTCTAACCATCGCATTTAAAATGGACCGAATGTTTAATACCCGAACTTTCCGTGTATTGAGAGAGGATCAATCTCGTGGTAAACTTTCGAAGTCAACGTCGTCTTCTGCATGGGAATTCTGAAATGAACGCGGAATTTCCAAGAGCGTCGATTATTTACCTTGGGCTCTAAATCTGATTAATTAACTGTGTTAGAACTGTCTTTGTCTTTGGCGTCTCTCGGCATGCCGAGTACCATTATTCGTAAAATTTTACTTCCTTAACCTAATTTCCTTCACCGTATAAGAACTGCCTAAAATGGACGAAAACGCTTCTTACATGAGTTTCGACCTAAGTTCTTTCTTCAGGAGAGTTATCTTTAATATATTTAACTACTTTGCATATATAGTTAAATCCTAGTTAACTCAGAAATACACAACTCTGATCGGCCAATTCTGTCCTTAACTACAGTTAAAAGTTAACTAGTCTTTTATACAACCGACGCCTGTCAGAAGTGTTTTTGTCTATACCACATTTGATGCGATAATGTTTGCTGCCATGCTGCTCCGTGGTCATATTGTCAGGTACATTGTGCATTAAGATACAGAAAGGCACGACCACCAAAGGTTTCGCCTCTTTCTGTGATATTTTTCATCGCTTACTACAGATTATACGAGCAACATAGAGATTATACATCTATGCAGGGCTTGTGCTCGGGAATAGTGGGCTAGTCGTGTTGATTACGTTTTCGTGGCGTGTTCCGCAGTTTAAACCAATAGTAATTTAACAAGACGAAATCCCACTCAAACCAGCCTTGCTTATATACACGCCCATTTGTCGGTGCCAACCGATCTTAGGATTTTCTCATTCACGTGTCCGTGATATAGTCACATGCATTCATAAATACAGAAAGGAGACGATATTGTGTCTTCGTAATTTCCTAGTTGTAATAATAGTTGGCACAATTCTGTATACATCCATTCAGATTCCGGATATGCATGCTTACACCTATAAGCTGCTTTCCACTATCGCGTTTTTTGCACGTGACGTACACGCACGCAAAAGCTTAAAACTTTCTAAGTTGTTGTATAGTTAATTTCATGCCAAAAAACTCAGCAAATCATCAACAAAATCCAACTCTATGCATCTATTCAATCGTTGATTTCATACGTATCATCTCAATGATTTTAAACTTTTACGTGTGTTTACGTGACGGTAGAAAACAGCCTTAATAGACCTTGTACAGTTTATTCTACCTTTCTCCATTGGCCTCGTTTTCGTGAACGTACGTTAGAAATTACTTTGTTTTTGAACCTAAGATTTGAAGAAGTATTTATTCAGGAAACACAATGGGAATATAATTAATATATCAATTAATATTGAAACAACGTATATTAATATGCCTTCAGATACTCGATGACTCGATCTATATGTATAGTATTATTATTATTAATATTGATATAGGCGCATTACAATAGAAAGGGAAGTACTTTGTGAGTTAGCAATGGTTCATTCGTACTTTAGTACAGAGTTAGAGTTAATTTAGTAGAAAGACTAATAGCCATGAAATGTTTTTCAGTAGGAAGCTAAAACACATTAAAAATGTGACTAAAGCCTGTTTTTATTTTCTTTCCATAATCTTTGTTTTTCTCACATTAATTCTGCGTGCAGACAATAAAAAATTTCGCTCCGCGCGCAAAATTCCGCCTATAGTGAGAAACAGGCTTCAGTGAAAAGAAAGAGGGCATGCATAAATTTTTGTTTTAAATGATTGATTTCCGCCTGACACTTCTTCACTGGAACAATATTATACAGTTAACTACCTATAGATAAATACGACCGCTGTAGGAATAAGCTCAACTCAATTAATTAAAAGTCACCTGAACAGTCAACATCCAAGGTGATGATGTTGGACCAGAGAGACTCTCCAAAGAGTTCTTTGAACATTAAAAATAACGTTTTCATCATCTTTTGTTTTTCAGATCGCTGCCATTATGGTTCTCGGAAACTCTTGTCTTTTATAGGATGGTAATGAAGTCATTAGAACTAATTATTCTCTCTCAAGTAAGTACAGTGCTTCCTCTGGATAAGTTCAGTTGTACCTCAAAAATACTGAAAGTATAATACTTAGAAGGACATAAGGAAACCTCCCGCCATAAAACCTACGATTTCGGTTTCCTGATCCGTTTCGCGGGCTTTCGGTAGATGTAAGTTTATCCATGATTACAAGGATTTTGCTATTTTTCGGCCAAAGAAACTTCAGCTAGTTTGTGTTGTAGAAAATAGTTTTGTCCCATCTCATGCGTGATTGATCCTTTCGTCTCATGTAACCATGGTTAATTTCTTACTCATATGACGGTAGAATTGTCTTCCCATGCATTTTATACTGATCTAATTTTGAAACAGGACGTGCGAGATTACTTGATGGCGTGAATATGCTATAGTTTTTCACATGCAACGTAACATAAGGGGGTAACGTCAATGTCTCGATGTAGCTGAACAGTTTAGAAATGATAGATTTTCAGGTGTTAAGAGGTGGATATAGGTTTGGGCCGGTTTCTCTTGGTGAACAATGGACCAATATAAGTTTCATTTCCTTCTGCATACTCTTAAGAGGTGACTCCCTTTAGAGAGAACTTCGCTTGTTTAATTTCTGAGGATATGAAAACTGATAAGGCTATTGAATCTAAAACGTCGGTTATTAAAAAGTTGAATTAAATTTGCTATTGTACTATAACGACCCTGGTGTTCTGCCTATATATCACGAGGATCAGGAAGGGAGGGTGTCGTTGCATCCTCTTTAAGGGCCTTTCATTTTTTCTCTTGGTTGACAATGAAGCAAAATAAGTTGGTTCCCACCGAAGCTGGAAAAATCAAAATTATATCTTTTCCGCCTGTATCGGTAACAATTTCTTTGTGTGCTTATAACAATAGTTCCCTTTGGGTAGAATCGCCTTTGTTGCGTAACTCTGGAAAAATAAATATGAAAACTGACTACGGAAGACCAATAAAATTTTCTCATATTCTCTCTATATTTTATTGACATACTTATGACTGATACACATCCTTTACAAAGGAGAATTATATAATTACAGATTTACGAATATAAAGTTCACATAATGAATATTGTATAAAGACAGACCTCTTTTCCCGCGCTAAATATAATGGGAGCCGGCTAAATTTTACTGAATCGTTTTGACCTCTGTATGATCTATAAAAATAGGTAAAGGGTTGGGAATAAAAGGTGATGAGTTGCAAAAGCAAGTGAGAAATAAATAGGAATCAGCGACCATGGGTTAATTTTGCTTTGCATGGGAGAAGTTTTAATCTAAGATCTTCTATAAGTTTCTATAAAGCTGCTAATGCAAAAGAACAAATTACTTCATGAATAAAGAGGCAATAACAATATGCACACATATATACATGATGAATAGTATTTAAAGATAGACCCTGTTTCCCGTTTTCCATTGCAAGCAATTGGACAAGAAATTTGACCTACCATTCTTAAAATTGCTTCTTTTAAGCTGCTGAACTACTTCAAAGTGCTATCAAAACCATTATTATTTTCTCCTATTTGATCTGAAATGGTAAATGATTACAGCAAATGATTACAGTTTTTGACTACAGCCAATTTCCAGTCAGTTCTTCCTAAACAATGCAGTCAGTATTGTATGAGGTCTTTGTCAATATAATTGTACTAACTTGTTAATCGTTCACTTTTCGAACGTCCAGGACGACAGCGACATATTACTGCGATGAGACTGCAATTATACGAACAGTGTTGCTGCAATTCCCGCAAGGAAACCATATTTGAATCTATCCCATTCCTCAGAAAAAGGCTCAGTTATGGATTTGCGGCTGAAGTCGTTTGACGTTACTGTAAATCTCGGGGTTTTGCCACAACACCAGAATCGGTGTAAATTTTTGCAGCAGTATGAGCACCGATAAGGTGTTTATTTACACCGGACCTCGCGTTAAATTGCACCATTTTAGGGTAAAATGTATGCAGCAGCATGGACACCAACTTAATTGGTGTAAAATACCCAGCGAAAGTAAATTTACTTTTCCCGAAGGTTTTTCTACACCTATTCAGCGTAAATATATGTTTGCAAAAATATGGACACCGACATAGTGTATAAAATAATACACTACGAGAGTAAAAATACTCTTCTAAAAGTTTTTCCACACTTATTCAGTGTAGATAAGCTTGTGAAAATATGGACACACAAAATATGAAACGTCTACATATATATGCATATGTATATATATATATATTTAAATTTTTATTTCAGGTATAAAGTGTTTAAATGGCCTGAATCGCGTGCTTTAAATTAGGTTTATATATAATATATTTCACTTCATTTGCAGTTCATTATTCAGGAGATTCCAATTCCAACCCAACAGTTTAAGATAATTAATTATTGACAGAATTCAGTGACATTGAGATCTTAAACATCGTGCTTGGTAGAGCCATGGGAAACAGCATGATGAATACGTCACCCTAAACATTAAGATTAGAGGAAGTTTCAATTTTAGCATGACTCTAACCATCACAAGCAAAATGCAATGTAGCTATTGCAATGTAGACATTTGAATTAATGAAGTGATAAAGTATAATCTATTTGAAAAAGGACAGTTTGTCAAACGCAATTTTATATTTTGCACATTCAGCAACAGTTTCTTAGTAGATAAATAATAATGTCTGCATAAGGTATCAATATACTATTACCTTTCCAACAGCTGTCAAATTATAATTTTATTTTTTATAACAAAACTGGGATTAGGTGACATTTTCATTTGTATTTTTTGAGTGTTTTCTGTTGTCAACTGCGAAAGCGTCAACAACCCACGCTCGCTTCTCTTGAGATATTGCTCCTTAGTAAAAGTGAAATTTAAAAATCAACATTCAACTTTTATCAAAAATTCTCTCGTTTTCCACTTATTGCACATTCCATGCACTCATGCATTACAACGCTTTCGCCGTTTATACCGGCCCCAGTTTTTTACTTTGCACCAGATAGGGATATAATGACATATTTTTGTTGTATAATCATACAACAACTTAAAGGCCCTGTTATATACGGTGCAATTTTTCCTGCAACTTGTAATGCAATTCTTCTTTTGAGAGATGTAAATTTAGCAACTGCCAACTGACTTTTGTCTTTACGACACTCATTACACTCCATGGCGTTTCTTACACTAACATTTTGAAGACTCTTCACTAATGTACATCTCTTAAAAGTAGAATTGCATTGCAAGTTGCAAGAAAAATTGCACCGTGTAGCATGGCCTCAAGTCCAAATTTGCGCTACTCGTTGAGTGTAAACATATTTAACACTAAATAGGTGTATATTAACGCTATCGTAAAGTGTAGAATAACCTGAGAATTTGGTACACCGTTTGAATGCAAACGTATACACTATAAGTTTGTGTATATAAGTAGAGATTTTTTTTCTTTTTACACGAAAAAAGTGTTATAGGAACGCTAGCACGGTGTGGAGCTACACTCTTCAAGTGTATCCCTACACTCAAATAGTGTTCGATTCAGCATAACACGTAATTGGTGTTATCCTACACCATTTTGGTGTTGGTGTAACACTGCGAGATTCACAGTATATTGTAATTTGTGGTTGCATGGTATCAAAGATGAACTTCAGATTGTTTTTGTTGTACCTGCTGTTGTTGTTGGTGTAGATGTTGTTGTACTCGCTGTAATACTTGGTGTTGTATTCACTATTGAGCAAGCTGTTATGGGTCCTGTTGTCGACGAGACCATCACCGTTGTGATTAGTGTCGTGATTTTTGTTGGTGTTGATTGACATGGAAAACATGTCGTGTTGATAACACTGCATTCCTTTCCTACAAAGCCGCGAAAATTGTCAATTTAGTGAAGTTAGACAAATAGTACCTTCATAGAACATTTACTTACTTTTACCGTCTAGATTTTTTCCGTAACTGAAATCATAGTTGACGGGAGCCCCCCACGTCACATTCACAAGAAAAGCCATAGCACAGTGCTTTTTACTTGAAGTGAGATCAGACTGTAGACCGTCAGCCTCATTGTCTGTACAACATTAACAATATTGGATCAGATTAAAATAATTAAATTATCGCGTTAGTGTCAGTGTTACAAGAAAAGATAGGACTTCCCAATGCAACGTCAGATATGAAAATTGCATGGCAAGACAGTCAGTGGGGGGGGGGGAATGGAAGGAGAGGATTGAGTCTGTCTATTCAGTGACCAAAAATTTTGACCATCGCTTCGACTACTACCTTACAGGGTTGCCAAATTACTGAATAAATTTGCCAAATTCTATTATCTTTCCTTTGTTTTAAAAAAAGAAGTCAAATTACCGAGTACAACAATGCTTGGCTTCTTTTTTCAGTATAACTGGAAACCCTGCTACCTTAAGAAACGCGCAGTATATATGATCACTGCTAACATAATCGTAGGAGCTACAACTGTTTGCTTGGTCGGTATATATAATATAATGCGTCCAGAATACGAAATGTAATGCGTCCAGAATACAAATTGTAATGCGTCCAGAATACAAAATGTAATGCGTCCAGAATACAAAATGTAATGCGTCCAGAATACGAAATGTAATGCGTCCAGAATACGAAATGTAATGCGTCCAGAATACAAAATGTAATGCGTCCAGAATACAAAATGTAATGCGTCCAGAATACAAAATGTAATGCGTCCAGAATACAAAATGTAATGCGTCCAGAATACAAAATGTAATGCGTCCAGAATACAAAATGTAATGCGTCCAGAATACGAAATGTAATGCGTCCAGAATACGAAATGTAATGCGTCCAGAATACGAAATGTAATGCGTCCAGAATACAAAATGTAATGCGTCCAGAATACAAAATGTAATGCGTCCAGAATACAAAATGTAATGCGTCCAGAATACAAAATGTAATGCGTCCAGAATACGAAATGTAATGCGTCCAGAATACAAAATGTAATGCGTCCAGAATACAAAATGTAATGCGTCCAGAATACGACAAAAAACAATTAGATCTTACGATTGTTACTCACTAAAAAAGACGACCAAGTCTCCTTTGTAGAAATCGTTGTCCCTGGCAAATCTGACAGTGTATCCTTGATTGTCATCTCCATTTTTGCACGTGTATAATTTTTCTAAACAGTGACAGAAAAGAATCAGTAGAAGTCGATTAAAAAATAAAAGAGGAGAGACCGAAACTGAACAGTGCAAAAACCTCAGAGGTGGTAAATGAAAATTCGATAACTTCATACTTCAGTTCATGCAGCTAAAATTGATACCATGTTCTGCCATTTCATTTTATGCATGCAGTTTGCAATTTTATGACTTCAAACTATTCTGCCAGACTTTTGTGCCCGACTCTAACTTATTTTATATTATAGTACCAGGCTATTATTTTAAGCAGTAAAATATTTTTTGCCCTAGCCTGGAAACGGATATGCAGAGTTTCCATTGTATTTTTGACATATCTGTGATTAAGGCTATGTGCACACGGGGGTCGCTCTCAAGCGTTTTAAAATCATTTTTATCTAGTTTATACCGATCGCTTTGACGTCCACACGATCCAAGGGAAAATATGCTCAATATGTTAAATTAGCTTCAACTTCTATTGAAAATTGACAATGTTTGAAACCGTTTTGGCATGAAAACGAAAATTGAAACGCTCGAAAACGTTACCTTGTGCACATAGTCCATATTTAGAATTTTGAACGTTGCATTAAATCTCTTACGTGTTTCTTTGTGACTTGGATTACAAAATTCTCCACTCGTCATGTTTCTCTTAAGTTCATTTAAGCCTTCGTAATCTGTTCCACCTTTCCATTTTCTCATGAGTATATGGTAATTCATATGAGCTTTCGGTCTTGATTGGCTGTCCAGCAACCCAACGCTGAGTTGCAGAGTTGGACACACGAAGTCGAATCGATCGTAAATCTCGAAGCGAGCAAAGTTGAACCAATTACACTTGCAAGCCAACCTGAATTGATTTGAAAATACTGAATGTTTGTTTAAATAGAGTAATTTCGCTGGTCAACTGTCAGTTATAACACACTTTTATCCTCTCCTTGTCATATTTTTTGAGGCAGGTGGCGACTTCACCTCCCTGTCTCCCACAAGAAAGACTCGTTTGTTGAAAATACCTTTTCCGTTTAAACATTACGCAAGCCAACCTGAATCATTGATTTGAAAATAGTCAACGTTCAGGTATAAAATAGTCCTTGTATTCTCCCCATCTGATATTTCCTGAGGGCAGGAATAATAATGCACAATAATTTAAAAAACCTATAAAAATCACGTTTAAATGGAGGACGTGGGAATCGGATTTTGACAATAGGGTCCCACTTGTCTCAATAAGAAAAAATCAACAAATATGATTTAGGAGTTACCTTTACGAAGTTAATGCGTCGCATGCAGTGGCGCGTCTTAGCATGCATGCATGGGGATTTTATTGACGTTTGACAAATACGTTTTGAAAAATACCTCTTTAAAAGCATTGTTACACTATATATGGAACTCTCTTTGCAACTTGCAACGCAATTCTACTCCAGAGACATCTAAAGTTGTCAAATACGAACATTTTCGAACACTCTTTACAAATTACCTTTATTATATATATTGACAACTTTAGATGTCTCTGGAGTAGAATTGCGTTGCAAGTTGCAAAGAGAGTTCCATATATAGTGTAACAATGCTTTTAAAGAGGTATTTGTCAAAACGTATTTGTCAAACGTCAATAAAATCCCCATGCATGCATGCTAAGACGCCCCACTGCATGCAACGCATTAACTTCGTAAAAGTAACTCCTAAATTATATTCGTTGATTTTTTCATATTGAGACAAGTGGAACCCCATTAAAATACACTTCACATTTTACACATAAAGATGATACTGCATGTATTTGAAATGCATTCTAATGCAAAAGTCCAGCTTACGAGGAAGCTTACGGCAAGGCACCTTTATTATTTTAGCTTGGCGATACTTACATAGGATTGTAGTGATCCCAGACTATCGAGGGAAGATATCTCGTAGCGTTTCCATGACGGTAAAATGACATGAGAACGAGTGAAAAAACTGCTTGTAGAATAAAACTCCTCATTATACGTGCCTTAATCCCGTGTGTTTAGCTCTAATTCCAGCGGATTTCCGCGAAATGCGAAATATTTCCGCCTGCCTCCTTCGAATTGTGAGCAATCAAGTGGAAGTAATGTCAGTGTTCGAGCCAGCATTCTCGATCACTTCTAAGGAAATTTCCTTAGAAAACTTTTACTCTGTCGACGGGGGGCAGAAATAGTTAATATATTCTTTTCAAACATTCTTCGTCTCAGATTATTCAAAACAACCTCCCCCACAGTAAAAAGTAGGCATATATAAATTGCGAGAGCACTGCATGGTTCGAGCGGTCGAAATTCAAAGAAATATTTCGCATTTCACTGAAAAATGCTGTGGAATTGGGCATTTATACCTTACGATACCGCGTGCGTGGGATTGTGAGATCTAGTGAAAATAGTTGGTGTCACATTTTTGGATTAGCATGCATATAGTATAGATACGAATCTGAAATATAGGGCTAACGAAATAAATACGGAGAAAAGTTATTCAAAGCGTTACATTCAATCTGCAACGTTAGTTCTTTAAATGGGCTAAATTAAATTTGTTGTTGTCGACCAGCGACTTGAATTTTCTCCTATATTACGAGGATCACGAAGGAAAGGCGACGTTGCATCTCCTTACGGGCCTGTTCATTTTTTCCATGCTTAGGGACTGGTCATAATTTAGCAGGGGGGGTGGGGAGGTGGAAATAGTGGGGGGGTCACATATTTTTTAGCCAGAAAAAAGGGGGGTTCATAAAATGTTAGACAGTTATAAGGGGGGGGGGTTGCTTATTTCTGGTTGTAATTATTTCTTTTATACATGCTTAGACTTTGAGTTGCACTGCATAAGCTTTGCTTAGAACATTAAACAAAATTAGTTATAGAATTTAAAATGAAAAGTTATATAAGTCACTGTGTTAAAATATTTATATTTTAAATAGCAGGGTCTTTCACTAGAAATAACTAACATATTATGTTTAAAACCAAATTTTAACATATGAATATGTCAAGGGTGGGTAGTATCGGAGTTGTTGGAGTTTGCAACTGTAGCGAACTACAATTTGCGAGTAACTGTATAGACTACTTTTTAAAACTGGTAGTTTGAAGTTGTCGCGAACTATATTTTCTATATTAAAAGTAGCGAAGTAGTTGATTACTTTTTCAACAACAATCGCTATTCGCCACTTTTCGATTTTTTAATATCCCTCGACTATATACTCTATAGTTCATACACTATAATACAAAACTAGTCATTTAATATACCATGTCAAATCTCGTTTGGACCCACATTTTGTTCTAGAATTCTTTGGCTCATCCGCCATTAATCCATAGTATCAGAATATATGAGCATATTATGCTTAACATTTCATATGTTTAAAACATGTGAAATCAATATAAATTACAAACACGGATACCAGGAATTTTGTTGTAGCGAAGTAGCGAATACTTCGCTACATTTTTCTAGCGATATAGCTGTACACGTAGTCAAAAGAACCAAACTACATATTTTTGACAATAGCAGTAGTTGTAGGTGACTACATTATTTTAAAATAGCAGTAGTTGTAGCGAACTACACAAAACTTGTAGTCTACCCACCCTTGGAATATATATAAGTGGACGTATATAAATTAATTTTATTACTTTATATAAACGTTGTCAGAAAAATTTTTGAAGGTGTAATTACTATTTTGAATTGACGGTGCAGATTACAGTAGTTTCTCATTTTGAAGCAGTGTTTATCAAAACGTTGACGGATGGGGGGGGGGCATTTTTACCGTCTCGAACAAGGGGAGGGGGCATGATTTTTTGTGGATAAGGCAAGACAGGGTTGCAAAATATCATTCCTTAAAATATTGAATTACACCTCCCCACCCCCCCTGCTAAATTATGACCAGTCCCTTATAACAATGGAGCAAGACGGATTGGTTCTCACCAAACCTAAATAAATCAGTTTCATCTCCTTATGTACCCGTTTACTAAAAGGTTTCCTTTGGGTGTCAATTGTTAGGTGTGAAGAGGTGGATATAGGTTTGGGCCGGTTTCTCTTGGTTAACAATGGACCAATATAATTCCAATAAAATTCTCTCGTTCAAATCATTGAAATAAGTAAAATTTACACGTCATTATAATATTACTATATTTTCTTGACGAGCTTGTATTTTATACATATATTACAAATGGTATTTCAATTATTGACATACTTATGACTGATACACATCGGTTACAAATGAGAATTATAATTACAAATTTACGTATATATAAAGTTCACATAATGAATATTGTATAAATTAAGACAGACCTCTTTTCCCATGCTAAATGTAATGGGAACCGGCTAAATTTTACTTAATCGTTTCGAACTCTGTATGACCTATAAAAACAGGTGAAAAGGTTAGGGAATAAAAAGTGATAGTTGCAAAAGCATGGGCATGAGAAATAAAGAATAGGAAGAGATTTGATAGGAGTCAGCGACCATGGTCAATTTTGTGTTGCATGGAAGAAATTTTAATCTAAGATTTTCTATAAGTTTGAAGTTTATATATAGCTTCTAGTGCCAAAGAACAAAAAACTTAATGATTGGAACTTAAAGAGAGAATAGCAATATATAATCAACATAATATTATTAAATATTAGTTAGATCGAAGTTAGATTGAAAATAGCAATTGGACAAAAAAATTGACCTACCATGCATTCTAAAAATTGCTTTTTTTAAGCTGAAGTCGTGGCACTGAGCTGCTTCAAAGTGCCGTCAAAACCATTATTATCTTCTCCGATTTGATCTGAAATGGGTTACAACAAATGATTACAGTAAATGATTACAAAAAATTTCTATAGTCAGCTATTCTTTCTTAACAGTACAGTCAGACTGAGTCAGTATTGTATGAGGCCTTTGTTAAAGGATTATTAAATTTTGCGCTATGCGATTTGTCTTACACGATTCTTATCCTGGCGTATGTGAACGTAGCTATAAACACACATGTGACATTTAAAATTTCTCCTTGAAAGCAAAGGGGAAAGATTGTGGCATAGGCCCTCTTTTGCATTCATCAGAATGATAATTGCATACATCGTGTAGTCTAAATGGGAAAATATAATTCTACTAACTTGTTAATTGTCCACTTTTCACGCGTCCAGGACGACAGCGAGATATTACTGCGATGAGAGCAATTATGAACAGCGTTGCTGCAATTCCCGCAAGGAAACCATATTTGAATCGATCCCATTCCTCAGAAAAAGGCTCAGTTCTGGATTTTAATAATGTTGGTGTTGTTGTTGTTATTGATGTTGATTTTGGTAATGTTGTTGTTGTTGTTATTGATGTTGATTTTGGTAATGTTGGTATTGTTGTTGGTGTTGGTGTTGTCTGTGGTGATGTATTCGCTGTCTTTGTACCCGCTATTATAATCCTTGTTGCATTCGCGGCTGCTTTTGCAGTTGTCATGCTCGGTGTTGTTTTCACTGTTGTCTGTGGTGATATTTTCGCTGTCTTTGTACCCGCTATTATATTCCTTGTTGCATTCGCGGCTACCCTTGCCGTTGCACAAGCTGTTATGGGTTCTGCTGTCGACGAGACCACCACCGTTGTGATTAGTGTCGTGATTTTTGTTGGTGTTGTTTCACATGGAAAACATGTTGTGTTGATAAAACTGCATTCCTTTCCTGCAAAGCCGCGAAAATTAGGGTTAAATGCATTCATGCACGTTATTATTCGCATCCTTTTTTCACACGTTGCAAATATATAGTATAGCATCAAAGGTGATTTTAAATTTATCAATTTCATGACCATGCAGGTTTCTGGCCGCGTTCTTTTAACCTTTTAATGACAAAGTGGTTACTAAAGCCTCGATTTAGTGAAGTTAGATGAATAGTACCAACATTTACTTACTTTCACCGTCTAAATTTTTTCCGTAACTGAAATCATAGTTGACGGGAGCTCCCCACGTCACATTCACAAGAAAAGCCATAGCACAGTGCTTTTTACTTGAAGTGAGATCAGACTGTAGACCGTCAGCCTCATTGCCTGCACAACATTAACAATATTGGATCAGATTTAAATCATTAAATTATCACGTTAGTGTCAGTGTTACAAGATAAGATAGGACTTGCCAATGCAACGTCAGATATGAAAATTGGCAAGTCAGTCAGTCAGTGAGGGGAGAGGAATGGAAGGAGAGGATGGAGGAATAGAGTTTGTTCATTCAGTGACCGAAAATTTTGACCATTTTTTCATCGACTATCTTAAGAACAGCGCAGTATATATTGATCACCGCTAAGGTGATCGTAGGAGCTACAAGTTTGAAATGAATATTGTGACGATGCTATACTCTGAGTCTGAAAAATTAGCTTGACCACTGTAAAAATCGAACCCGCGACCTTTAGTTTTGCTATTTTAATGCTCTTGCAACTGAGCTATAGTAAGAAAAAAAATTCGTCTTAACGATTGTTATACTCACTGAAAAAGACGACCAAGTCCCCTTTGTAGAAATCGTTGTCCCTGGCAAATCTTACAGTGTAACCTTGATTGTCATCTCCATTTTTGCACGTGTATAATTTTTCTAAACAGCAACAGAAAAGAATAAGTAAAAGTTGTTTAAAAAATAAAAGAGGTGAGACTGAACCTGAACAGTGCAAAAACCTCGGAGGTGGTAAATGAAAATTCGATAACTTCATACTTAAATTCAGCCACAGTAGATAAAATTTCATCATAACTGCCATTTCATTTTATGCAGTCTGGGAGTGTATGACTTCAAACTGTTCTGCCAGAATTCTTATTTCACCTTTAACTCATTTTACATTATAGTGCCAGAAAATGGATGGCTTGAAAATGGATATTCGGATTTTCCATTGTATTTGACATATCTGTTATTATATTTAAACTTTTTAGTTGCAATTGGTAAAATTAACTTTGCATTAGCTCTCTTGACTTACGTGTTTCTTTGTGACTTGGATTACAAAATTCTCCACTCGTCATGTTTCTCTTCAGTTCATTTAAGCCTTCGTAATCTGTTCCACCTTTCCATTTTCTCATGAGTATATGGTAATTCATATGAGCTTTCGGTCTTGATTGGCTGTCCAGCAACCCAACGCTGAGTTGCAGAGTTGGACACACGAAGTCGAATCGATCGTAAATCTCGAAGCGAGCAATGTTGAACCAATTACACTTGCAAGCCAACCTGAATCATTGATTTGAAAATAATGAATGTTTGTTTGAATAGAGTTATTCTGCTGTTCAACTAAAATAGTATAATTCTTTTTATTTTCGCTTATGATATTTCCTGCATGAGGACTGAAAAAACCCCCATAAAAACAACGTTTAAATATTGCCATTGCATGTCTCAAATCTGTGAGCAAATCAGGGAGAGAAAATTCGTCCATACTTTGTACTGGCAATTCTTTCGGAATAAGAAAGACTGAAACAACGCAATTCGCGTTGTGCGGCTCGGAATCTACCCTTCATGTAAAGCTATATATATATAGAAAGAACGGCTTGAAAATGTATATATATCAATATATATATAATATATAAGAAGTTAAATATATAGTCGGTATACCATCTCCAGTATCCTAAGAACGATTTACATGCAAGCAGTGGCGTAGCCAGCTTGACAATTTAGTCATGCTATACTAATATTTTGAATGATAATAATTGTTGCATGCACGAATGAATAATGTACTTGATAAGTTGTGTCAAGCCCGTTTAGCTTAAACGGTAGTTAAGTTCAAAATAAAAAGCAAGTCTATCGTTTTATTCAAGAAGCAAACTAAATGTTTTCAACTTTAATACAACGATACTTTTTACAACTACATGTCATATTCACTGCATAATATTCAAATTTACTAATTTAAGAGAGATGTATAACTATAAGCGTGTTGTTTAAATTTACTTATCATCCACCGTTTAATTAAGCTAAACCTGCTTAATACAACCGGCCTACTTGATATATATACGAAAATATATCAACCATGGAATAGTCAAGCACAGTTTAAAATTTAAACAAAATTCGATATTGGGAATTGGGATAATGTATGTTTATACTGGTAAAATTGTTGTTTATAATTTTAAATGTTGTCATTTATCGAACGTATTTTGCATGCAAACACGAACAGCCGTGTATATGCATCCTATTCGCATTATCATTGAAAACCCCATTCATGCATGCTGAGACACCGTTCTGATGCATATTGGCCTAAATTTTAGTAAACTGTTGCCCTAGAAATTGTATTTGGTGATTCTTTTCATATTCAGACAAGTGCATGGAAACCTATTGAAATACACTTTACAATTTCATAAAGAAGCCAGCATGCATATATTTCGATAAATTCGCGACATAAAAAACCCACTCAAAATCCTAAGTCATGTATATGTTTCGCGTTAACCTGGCGATTTCTTCAGACTTCATGAATATCGTTAAACCAACTGAATCATACATAGCTTCAGGATCGATATTTGGCTTAACCGAAATATTTAGTTCTTCATTACTGGAAATAGATTAGCTCAACTCCGTACATAAGCAACGCGTATATACAGTTGTTTTATATACGACCTGCATGACTGTGGCGACATAAAGAAGAACGATCATATTTGAAATGTATTTTCATGCTAAGACCCATGTTGCTTACGGCAAGCCACCCTTATTATTTTACCTTGCTGATGTACTTACATAGGATTGTAGTGATCCCAGACTATTGAAGGAAGATATCTCGTAGCGTTTCCATGACGGTGAAATGACAGAAGAACGAGTGAAAAAACTGCTTGTAGAAGAAAACTTCTCATTGTTGTGCGTGATCTACTATATCGCGTGACTGTGTTTCAGGCCTGATTCCACGAAGTTTTGCGAAATTCGAATATTTTGTCTACCTCTTTTGAATTGTGATCAAACAAGTAGAACTAATGTATTCACGGACGCAATTCAGAAAAAAATAATTAAATTCGCATTTTGCTGAGAAAAAAGCGCCTGTTCGTCATCTCGTTGACGATGAAACTCGTTAAAACAGTTTCAATCATGCCGTGTATCAATCACATATTGTATTCTCAAGATGTCTTGTTTTCTCGAAATTGCATGCATTTTTTCATAAATAATGTTATCGTTTCATTCAGCTTAAAGAATTAGTTCTCATTGCATGCATGGATGGGGAGAACCTTGTTTTTTAATTTTTCGATTAGCATGCATATAGTATATATAGATATATGAATCTGGTATAGGGCTAACGAAATAAATACTGAGAAAAGCTATTCATTCAAGAGCTATATTCAATCTGCAACGTCGGTTATTTAAATACGCTACATTAAGTTTGTTATTGTTGAACAGCGGCTTGATCTTTCATCTATATTACGAGGATCAGAAAGAAGGTGGCGTTGCATCTTCTTACGGGCTTTTTAACTTCGGTTTACTTCGGTTTTCATGCTTATATAACAATGGAACAAGATTAGTTGGTTCTCACCGAAGTGACCGAACCTAAACAGAGTCAGTTTCATTTCCTTATGTACCCGTTTAATGAAAGGTTTCCTTTGGGTATAGAATCACCTTAATTGTAGAACACTAGCTGGACCAGTATATTTGAAAACTACTATATATGAAAACAATAAAACAGTTTCTCATACGGATCATTTATATAGTTGTTTTAACTTTTAACAACTTACTTTTACAGTTTAATAAATTAGTATAATTTACACGTGTCAATATATAAATATTACTATTCTTTTAGGAATTTACAACCGTATATTACAACATATTATATATACATTGGTGTACAATGATAAATATACTTTGTGATTAATACATGTTTATAATCTATTCCGCATGATATAAATAAATGTGTGCTAAAAATACAGGGGACGGTTGTACGACAACTGGATAGCGCTCTCCACTGGATAGTGGTTTTTCCAATAACTCCTAAATTGCCCGTTGTTCGGTATAACCTGGCTTAAACTTATAATAGCGCTAAAATGCAGATTATCATTAACAATTTTTAGCTCAAAATCTGTAGTTTTATAGCTTTTACAACGGTTGAAAAATATCTTCGGTGGATAACGCTATCATGCAGCTCTCGTACAACTGACCCTGCATGAATAATGTATGATTCTATATTTCGGCAAAACCTGCCGAAAAACTCGATTATTTTATTTCATTGAAATTATTGTAAATTGTCGACCCGCGACGTTCATGTTTCTCCCATTCAGGGAATCACGAAAGGAAATGTTGTTGCAATCCTCTACTGTCCCCTACTGTCCCTCTCAAACCTCACCAGGTTTACTAATTTACCACTTTACAATCTTTTGAGTTCCGTAAACTCGACTTTCTTTATATCCAACATTATCGTTAGATCACCTATTTTACCCCTCCACGCGATTTTCAATTATGTACGCATGACTTGATTTATATCCAGCTTTTTCCATCGATTAACCCATATTACGACCAGGATCCTCTATTCATGTACACTTGACTTGATTTATATCCATTTTTTTCTCCGGATTATTCATTTTACATCTTCATGGCCTTTATTTATGTTGATTTGATTTATTTATATCCAGCATTATCCATTGATCATCCAATTTCGTAACTCCACGATGTACCCACTTTGCTCGATTAATACCCTGCGCTGTCTGTAGCTTCTCCTATATTTCACCGTCACCCATGTAGGTGCACACGACTTTCATATCCAGGTTTATCCATAGCGGTCTATCCACCCACGTGGATCCGCGATCACGTGTCTCCTATCTTTGCAAAGGTGCCCATTACACGTTGCTTATATAACTGTAAAAGATTGAGGTAGACGCATACAATTTATACTAAATAATTCTCGGACATTTTTATGTGTATAGTGTCGTTTTTGTGTCTTTCATGCATTCATAAGAACCGAATTTATTAGCAAAAATCCTCACATTGTTCACTGACTCCATTTTGCATGTCATTTCCTTGTTTAGAATACGCTTTGTTGTTAATTTCATAGAGATCTACAACAAAAAAGGCGAGAAATTATCGATCATGCAGCGCCCTGCCATCAGTTATAACCACCGTTTTATTCAAATGTGGTAGCGATGTTTTTGTTCCAATAACACACTACTAATCCCCGTTTCGTAGCCTAACTATATACGGTAAACTTCAAACTCGGTTTATTAACTTTAAAAAAAACAGAATCATTACCTCTTCGCGGTTTTCTTTTGAGAACTTTGAAGTAAATGACAGCACACAGAATACCAAGTGTAAATACTGCTATTACTATCGCTATGAAGATAGGAACTGAAAGCCATCTGTCCTTTGTCTGCTGGTTCGAATTTTGATCTGAATAATATTAGTATACTCGTGTTAATTAAGAATTGGAAGAGAGCGGTGCTCAAGAATTTATACTGCTACGACTCTGTTGGCGCTGTTTTTATATATTGTTCAAATTTTCCTATACTATAGGGCAAACCCGTCGATATAGATAATCCTGGATGGTGTATTTCAGTTGTTCAGTAGTTAAATTATCAGGCACTTGGTGCCATTTTGGTGCTCTGTTTTGAACTGTTTTTAGAGACCAAGCAAGGGTCACTCTTTATTGCTGAAGGGTTTACTAACTACAGCACTGTCGGATCCATGCTGTTCTCCCAAGTATGAATCGTCCTCTCTTGTCAGGGCAGTCAAAGCTGAACTAAACTGTCTTCTCCATACGGGATGTCTTCATCTGCATGGGATAGCCCTGCCTACCCTAACCTGTTATTTCCTGCTGCTCTGAATTCTAAACTGTTCTCCTGGAACTACAGTAAAGGATAATTCAGGTTTTTATGTGGGTGAAGAGTACCATGAGAAGATGAAAACGTATTTCTGCAGTACCTGTTGGTCTCGTTGTTTGAATGTGTAGTTTATTTTCACTACTGTTTAGTGTAGTGTAGCTTATTGACTTTTCCGTTGATGGTTGCTTACTTGTTTCAGTAGTTTTCGTGGTCGTGCAGGGAGGGGTAAGCTTGGTCTCTTTGGGACCAGGTGTGGGTTTTTTAGTTGGGTTGGGGTGACTTTGCGTCTTCGCTTTCTTTGTGGTGAGGCCCAGTGTTGGTTTGATTGCTGGATTGCATTCACATTTACTTGGCACCACTGAAATATTAAAAAAGGGACGATAATGAGTGACCACGTCAATATTACACAGAGATAGTTGAACAGCTTGTCTTTACTAAGCAAACCCCTGTGTATTTTGCATGTCGAGGTGAACTATACATTGTAAACATTTCCATAAGTGAAAAGATAACATGCAATCTTTCCTTCGTACCTTCTTTTCCGTATGTGACGTCAAAAACTCGCTTTTCCCTCGATACAATATGAACTGCGTACAGCATACTGCATTTTACTTCTTTGCTGTTTAATGACGATTTAAGACCGTTTCCATTGCCTGAAAAATAGGTTTGTTTATCAGTGCAATCATGTGCGTTACCATAACCATCCTGTTTATCGTTTAGAAAGTTTTTTGCCTCGACCAAATTGCCATAAGTTCACCAGACAGATTTTGCGACGAATGAGAGAGTCTTCACACTCCATCTCTATACTTTTTTTCATTTCGTTTGTCTCTAAGATATCATCGCTAAACTGATACATCTACTTACTGTAAAACACGTAGGTTTTATTTGTCTCGTATTTTTTCGACTTTGTTTTACTCGCATCAAACACGTAGTGGGTGAACTTCACGGGTAAAGATCTGTATTTTCCCTCTTCACAAGATGTTAGTTTGACTGAATCTAATGAGATAAAGAAAGTATGACACCATTCCGCACGGTATAGTTTTCCTCATATTTATCTCTTTCCCACTGGCTGGGTATAGTTTACAAATACCAAGTAATGCATGAAGTTTTTAAGACGACAAGAATTTCTAGGGTAATCGCGGGCGCAGATATTTGACAGCGACCACATTTGAGCTTCCAGTTGCCAAAGCAGGAATTCCAGTGAAATAAATATCAGGTTTCCTCATACATGCATCATCCAGTATAAACAAAGTAAAATAAGTTTAGGATACCTGTATGTGAAACGTTGCAAAATGAGTGTATTGAGCCGTTTCTGATGGCTTGTTGCAAGTTAGTCACATTTCCCGGCCATTCTCTTCTAAAAATATTAAAGTTCATCGTCTCTCCTAATCTCGTTTGGTCGTTCACTTGTTTCACTATTAGTTTTGATGTCGGGCATACGAAGCCAAGGATATCGTAAATGTCAACACGAGGAACCACTAGCCAGTTATAAGGACAACACAGTCTGAGAAAAAGAAAGTGACAATGACTGAGCTATTATATCACTATATATGGCGAGACTTATTTCTTATTCATATACTCGAGGTGTGAATTAAACTTTTCTCGAAGATTATCCATGCTTCTACTCGGGATCTCATTTGTGTTATTAAATAGATATATACTTAAAACAATCAAAATCACGGCTGACAGTCAGACTGGTCATCAGATTGTCAGTGATTGTTTGGGGGAGGGGTGATTAATGAAGCTGTTTTTGGAAATGAGCGCATCTGAGATTATTAAGGATATCCGCTCAGGCTAGTCTCCAAACTATTCTTTATCATCTTTTAACTATACCGAATTAAATTATGGATTACTAGGCACTGAGAAGCTCTATTTCTGGTGACTTCTCTTCAGACTAAGAGGTGCCGCGATGCTGCATGTTTAAACCGTAACTTTGTTGTATTAGGTCATTCTAGACTATACTCAGATTAACCTCAACTGCCGCACATCTGTTGATCGAGTGTACATGTCTATCCAGTTTAAGGCTGCATGCTTTCCACTGTCCCTGTCAGTGACACGTACGTACATGCACGTAAAAGTTTAAATCATTTATATGATACTAATGAAATCTACGATTGAATACATGCATACGGTTGGATTCTGTTCAAGCTTTGCTATGTTTTTTTTTTAAAAAAAAAAGAATATATAACAACTTAGAAGGTTTTAAACTTTTACGTGCGTGTACATGCGTGTACGTGCGTGTACGTGCGTGTGCGTACGTGCAAAATACGCGACAGTGGAAAGCAGCCCTTAGAGTAGAGGATAACCAGTTCTCTTTTGTGTACATACTCTGTCTTTTGTTTTGTATATATTGATTGTATAACGACATTTTGTGAACCTTTTATAGCCTTTCCAAAGCCGAATGCATTGTCCAGTTCCTCATGTGCCGAAAAGGAAATGGAATCACGCGGGAGTCATGTCAAGTACGTTTGTTTTTGTCTTTGAGTTTACAAAATATTTACATGCATGCATGCAGTATGGGGCTTTGTATTGTGCGCGCTGGTTAACTGATTCAGAACCTATAATGTCTGGTTTCCATTTAATCGTAAGTGTCGTGAACATGTCAAGGTGGTTGAATATTTCTGAGTTGTCTGCTGTCAATATTGGACGATTTCAATACGGAATATAAAGACAAATTTACAACCGGACTATTTCTCATCGGTGAGAATGACTTGTTTACGACAATTTCGAGTGTTTGAAAACCAGGCTTAACTATATACTCCGGGATTGAGCTGATGAAGCAACATAGCATGCAAAATGCATGTCGGAAAACTGTAAGGTAGCAACAGTTGAAATAAGCCGGTAAATCAATATTTGGCAAAAGCGGGGAAAAGTGACATTCCAAATGACTATATATTTCCATGGCAGACGACCAATTTAATCCATTGGGCGGCACGTTTTATTGTAACACAATGAAGGTTGCAAGGTTAATCGAGATTGAACCGTAACGCTTTGTATGTAAATTCTCAAGGTGACAACTTTATTATGCATTACGCAATCGATTGTCAAACTGACGGCGGATATTCTCGACAAACTGTATAAGTTTGTTTTAGGCTTTTAGCAACGAGAATTTTCATGTCTCATATATTATATATAATCGCTATTCTTCCAATTTCGAGTCCCGGCTTTAATGCTACACAACTTATGGGTCCTTATTAAAACTCTATTAAATCCTATTCTGTCATAATCCTTAACTAATTAATTCATTGGTTGTAAGGCATTGCATTAAAAGTGATTGTATTAATCAACCCTCGGTCTTGAAGTATATCCAGAGATAGTGAGATACAATCTACTAATCATGTTGACTATTGTGTATATACAATTCAGCGTAAAGCTGTATTTTGATTTTGTATATACGTGACAAGATCTGATGGTCGTAGACTGTATTACGTGTGGCGTCGTTTCTTGGTTGGATTTCTAAATCCTAACATGATAACATTTGACATGTATATTTATATATAGAAAATGAATAATTATATACACAGACTAATCCTTGTGTGATCTTACGGATATACTAACAAATTGTTCTCGACCAAACAACAGGAAAACAGAGAATAACATGCACAATTTTTTACAACCTCCTTTGGCAGTATTTCGAATTTTTCAGATGTTCTTCTGCTCTTAACTATAAATATAGAACCAAACGAAGGATCAAACTGTGCCATTGTATTCGTGTCTTATATTTTTCAAATGACAAAATACCAAAAATCAACTGTTACGATTTACGATCCTTGTTATAGCTACGAAAAGGAATTATCTGTGACTACGATTCTCGAATCTTGGTCATTTTCTTCAAGATTTTGCCTGGTTTTTTCAGGCATTTATTTGAGGAATTTTGACAGCTTTTTTCATTCCTAAACTGTCTGCAAATCGAGAAGCGTTGCGAATTATTTTAACAATGTCTATATATAGATTCGAAGTTTTCAATTATCCATTTTTTGCATTTAAATCAATCGATGCTTGCAAAATACCATTATATATATATGCAAAGGTAGCAATTATAAAATAAATTCTTCACCATAGTGACCATACATCTGAAAGTGCATGAGTATATAAATATTTTTGTCTATCGAGTGTTTTCTAGATAGAATGTATAGCTATATACTTCTAAAATCTTAGTATAGTAAAAAGTATAGTAAGTGTAGTCTTATAGAAATAAGTGCTTTGATATTCGAGTTGTTTGTTACTTGAGTTTGAGATGTAACAAATTACCGTGGTCCTTCACGGCCTGTATCAAATGGAGGCCTATTGTATATAGGTCATGTTTTGCCATGTCAGGAGATCTCGTGATTTGTGTCGGCCTAGAAAACTGAAAATGTTCTGAAAGCGTGTCAGTTGCATGTCACGACAAACGAAAGTGGGGGTGATATAATATTAGGTATATAAATAACACCAAAGATCTTGTGCTTTGTGCCATTCCTTCTGGTATAGTAAGAATGCTAGTAAAACAACTAAGATGTCTGTGCCAGATAAAACCACAATAGCTTTTCAAAACATTTATGAATCAGAATAAAGCAAGATGTATTTTAATAATATTCTAGTAAGATGAAAAAATGGCAAAAAAGGATGAAATAGATGAAAGTGAATAGATCAGTAAAAAGTTAATAGAAGGAGAAGTGTCGACAGTGCATACATTGTTTGCTTGAACTGATGTTTTTTATTTAGCGTTCAGTCATTTCGTTATTGATTGTGAAACGCCGTATTTGGGTGTCCCGCGGGTCTCTACATGTTGCCAACAGCTTAACTCTGCTTATAGAACATTGTCAAACACCACATGTGTTTGTTCCTGCCAATTTGCGAATGAATGAAAAACTGTGAGAACAATCAAACAATGTTGGCAACGAAATGAGTTTTCAGTTTCCATTTCTCATCGCGACATTTCGAAAGTTTTGATATTTTTTTGTCGGCCATGTCGGTACCAATATATAAGCTATAAGGCGCCTAAAATCTTCGACAACAACCATATTAGGACGGTTTTTTACTGTAAGTGTTAAAGATATCATTGAGAACAATCACAAAGAGCTTTATGATTAAAATCCAAACGATTACTTGCAATATAGCTGCAATTATATAAGTGAGGATATATGTAACTATAAGGAATGGAAAACCCTTGATGTATATAGGTTCTGATTTTTATAAGGATTGCGTAAATACTAGTTATATAAATTACCATTTTCGGGGATGGCGGGATTATAGTTATTAAGGATTCTTTTTGAATTTTGTTCGGTCGGTTACTACGTCTGTGTTTGAGATTAGTACATCAAACCCAGCTATTAGTCAGCTACAAGTCAGCTATTATTTAACATTGAAGAAATATGATCATAGTTGATCCACTTGTTTGAGATATATTCTTCAGGTAGTTTTGACAACATGCAATCCAAACAACAGATTGGAGTCCTGTTTCTGAAGGAACTAATCATAATATATAGTGTGTAGTCGTTTGATATATTATTTCAAATCGGTTGGGACATGCAGAAGAACTGCTTTTATACCGTCGGTATAAAATCTTCGATACTGATACAAAATCGATGATTATACGTGCATGTCAATACATACTCGTACTAATTCCTGTATCGAAATATCTGCCCAGGAATATTTCATTCAATTCTAACCACCACTAGTATTGTATTATATAGAAGGCACTTAGCGACCTCAATGTAGATAATATAAGCTTGCTAATCCACATGCAGCTGTACATATGGAATTCTAATGTAAATTTAAGAGATCTTGAATAAAGCTAAATGCAGACAGCTCTTTATCGACACAGCTTTTGGCTGAATAAACACATAGTTTAACTAATATAATAAAGTTATACAACAGCGAATTCATATTTATAGCCGGCTATAGAATTTAACGTGATATTCCTACTTTTGAAAAGTTTAATTCCTGCATGATTTTTAAACTCTTCTCGAATTAAACTGTTCAATCTTCTAAAAGATCTTTGTTTTGAAGCGCTTGATCGTATAGACCAAAGTTTTCATTGCCATAGCATTTTCATGAAAGAACCTGTCTTTAAAAACTGGTGCTGAAACTTCTAAGACTAAATTTTGAAGTTAAAGTTAAACGCTGCCTTTCCTGTCGGTAAGAACCTCATCCGTTGAACGGATCTTTATTAAGAAAGCTTTCGATCTTATATGTTAACGACGTAACATGCCAGAAATTGCTTTGTTAAAGTTGATACGGCGACAAATGATCGAATTAAATATCAACATTATAGTGTAAACTTCTACGGCAATGTGACATGTATCGTTAGTATCATTGCCACCTGAAATCGATGAAAACACGAAACTGCTCGCGTATATATGAAGAGGAAAACGTATAACCTCGGCTATCCTTACTGGCGATAAATGACGTATTTGTTCCACGTATATAATTTTTAGGATTATTTAATACAATTTCAAACACAAGCAACGGTAATTTATTAAGGAATACTGTACCTACAGTTGAGTTCCTAAATAGTGATACTTACAGAGGGTTCACGTTATCCCAAATTATTGAAGGAAGAAATCTTGTTGTCAAAGAGAAGTGTAGGGACGCACAATACAGTAGAACTCGAAATAAAAACACGACATCCATTTAATGTAGCTATGGCTATATACACTTCACACTGTAAACATATGTAAACCGTTTAAACTTTCCCACTTTTGCCTAGTTTCAGGCTCTGCTCTCGTTGACAGCTCGGTGTCACAATGCTGCACAGAATTTAAACGCGGATATATATATATATTTCTTGTCAATTGTTTTGATAGGTAATTTATGCATGAATATTCGTATAATTATTTCCCTTTCAAAATATATTCGAGTTAATTCGAGAGGGTTAGGCTGCGTCCAGGCAATATTGACATTGTACGCGATGTTGTACAGGAACGGTGTTGTCCATGTCAATATCAGTCATATACACAATTGGACTCGTTGCAATGTGCAGTGAATGTCGGTTAAAGACTACATGCACGGTGTCACACTGTTTATGGGCGTATGTTAGCCATTTATGTAAGACCATATTCTCATGAATAATTTGGCGTCTTTGTCAAAACATAAGCACTTTTTTACGTATTAAATAACTAAATTTAGATGCACATGTGCAGGAAGGGTGGAATTTAGTTCTATATTTAAATAAACTAGGTAAGAAAAAATTTGAAAACGTTTTAAAAATTGTAATCTGCTGCATGCGCTTGTATATATAAAAATTCATACAGTGACTTTAAGTGGACATGGTTTATGCTTATAGTTTCTTCTTGAAAGTTCCGCCTCGACTTTTTAGCCGAGCAATATCCATTTTGAATATGCATCTGAGTATTATGAGCGAACAAGTTTGTGGTTGACCGCGCCGATACGATTTTCTAGAATTTACATCTTCGACAATATTTCCCACTTTCGAATTGAAGAATTTTTCAGTTTGTGTATATTAATAAAGTGAACTGAAAGTAACAAAGTTATATGGCGGTTTTATTGAGCTCGTTTAAACTCAAACAGTTGCTAAATGAATCAATATATAGTTTTTTTCATACACCGCTTATAAGCTGAGTGGTCTTCAAAATATCAACCGCGGTTCCATACAGACGATGGAATAATCTTTGGTGATATGATTCATTAAATTAGGAGAGATGCTTGTCGATGCTTGTCGAGATAACAAGAACAGCATGAGAGAGTTTGTTGTGGCTTGTAGGGAAAGAAGAACGGAGTAGAAGTGTTCCGTGATATTTTGAAACAAAGAGATTATACGAAAATAAAAGCGGTAATACACTGGCGAGGTCAAAGAAGCGTAGATGGTATATAAACATGCACACAATATGAAAACGTGAAAAAGAGGTGTCCTAGGGATATCACGGAATGCTTGTGATGTTTAGACATCGTAGAGAAGCTGAGCAAAGCATTGGACACCACAGATGTGTCAAAACATTGTGACTATAGACAGAGTGAAAGGATATATCATTGGGTATAAGGAAACAGAAGATGCGAGGTTTAGACAGTCGATGAGGCAAGCATGGCAATGATGGCGTTAGACATATAATGAGAAGAATGACGTTGTTTAAACGAGATATCATGGAATAAGAACAGTCGAAATACGTCGGTCAGACATTGTGGACAATTGTCTTGGACATTGTGGACGTTTTATTACGAGACGAAAAAAATACATTCGGGTCAGAGTTGTGTGGTTCGAGGTGGGAGTTGTGGACTTGTGGGCATGGGAAAAGAAGTCAATCGAATAGCAAATTTTCCTGGCATAAATAATTATTGTTACACCTGGCTGTTAATACCAGGCAGATGCCATGTTGTTCATTGAAGGATAGGAAATGGCAAAGAATGTAATTGAAGGCTGAAGCAAGTATAGCACTATGATGTGGTGTTAAGTTAGGATGGCTTGCGTGTGATCATTTGAGAAACAGGAATGGCCAATGAGAAACATCAAACACGTTTGATGTTGAAACCTGCAACGTGTAGCGTCTTTACTAATTACTTGTATTGTCATAAAAAATATATCTACAATTGTAAACCTGTATAAAAATATATCTACATAAAAATGCATCTGCAATTAAGGACTATTCTTCTCTGATAAAACACTCGAAGGTCTTGTGATAAATCTGATGAATTTGATAAATGATAAATTTTCATCCAAATCATGCCGACCAGCATGAACGCAATTACATGTTTTGATAATGGTTATTTATCATCGCCTCTTAGTCTCCTCGAGGAGTGCCTTGTTTCACAGACGTTTAGAGCGAGGAACTCTTGTTCATTCCAGAAACTTTTCGTTAATTCTTTACATAACCTTGCAGCCATTTCACCAACGTCTACTTCGAATTATAAGCGTGGATTTATAGGAATAACCTAACAGTACTCACACCACTTTATCCTATCCAAGAAAGTCTTTTTAAAAATCGCCTATGAATACTGCTTTTCCCTACAAATTTCAAGAGAAATATTTGTGGAATTAATGAGCTTTAAAATTCTTCGTTCCTCGTCTTTTCATAATAATAATAATAATAAATGGAAAAATTCCGCATTAGTCAGCAATGCACAATGCTTAAAATAGTCTTTGTCTCATCATAGTTTGAAGCGTGGGAAGCATCTGGACAATTATCTAAGAATTTTCATTGCTTTGTTTCCATGGTTATATGATGGCGTGTACGTACACGCGTAATAGAAACGACCAATTTTCATGCATTTTAATTCCAATTTAAATACGCCAATCATCAATTATCCTGATCTCTTGCTGTTTGTATTGAAATTTAAAAATGACGGTAATTTTTTGTGTGTGAATACAGGTTGAATGAATTAGGCGAAAGGGGGGGGGTGGTGGATTATAGAAGCAGGGGGGTACAATAGGTAGGTGCACAGCAACGTCTTGCGAATAGGTTCAGTCCGTATTAATTAAAAATTTATTGTTTTTTACTGTCCGTGTGCACTAAAATTATAATTGCATATATCATGATAAGTCGTTATGATACACCACGTGTCGACGCTAATGTTTAAATAATTATCCTAGGCATCTTTTAACAAAGACCAAATAATTCGGAAAACACGTCATTCAATAGCTATATAGAAGCCTAAAGTCTAAAGACTGTTTTTCATTTAGTCATTGCCTTCGTTACTATACGACAACTGGGAGATGAGAAGTAGTCGAAATACATAAATTGTCTTTTGTGCCAGGTATGCAAATTAGGCTTCACTATCGCAGATATATATTGACACTCGATTACATCCGTCACTTGTCGTGTAGCGACCAGATGGCCCAGATGGAAACCTGGTTTAAGGTAGCGTAGGTATCGCGCAACAGCACGTTGGAACTTGAGAGAACTAGCTACCTACGCAGGTTTATACGTTTGGCCCCTCCTATAGCAACTTATAAGCTAAGTGGACGGGGGCGGTTGTCCCAAGACCGGATGCCGCTATCCACCGGACCGGATAGTGGTTGGTTGAATCGCTTTAAATTCGCCGCTTGTTTTGTCTAACCGCGCGTGATTAAACGTCGAAACGTCGAAACGAAAAACCACTATACCAACGGGTAGGCTGACTACATTTTAAAGTGATAAGAACTATAATACAGAGCTATACAGATCGCCGGAGTATTATACTTTATGTTAGGACTTAGGAGGCAGATTTGTCATTTGTGGCAGTTAAGCGTTTTCCTTTACCACCGAGACTCACCATTTCTCAAAACTATAAGTGAAATAAAAGAAATCAAGAACGAAGATTACTGTCTCGCACAAATGATACAATATACGTCCAGATTGTTAGTGTAAGAACCCGTATTGGAAATCTTTTATTAATCTTAACCGCGTTTAATATTAATTGTAGATAAATTTACATGTATGCCAATGAGCTAAATGTATATAAAATCTAAAATATACCACATATTTTACAATTTTTTTAAATATTTCTACCATGTTAGCCAAAAGGTTTCAGTCAGGAAACGTCAGCATGCGCTTCAAATATAGCAATGGTTTCCAAAGGTGGCCAAACGAAATTGTTCCCATAGCAACCAATCCATCTCATCAGGAATAATTCCGTGAGATAACCTTTCGGCAATAAACATGATGCGCGCATGCCGCATAGACTAATGCAACGCGGGCTAGGGTTTCATATATTTGTACGTTAATCACCATTTTGAATCACTAACACATGTTGACTACTTTTTTTAATACGTAACGTCTCAACACCATCATCGCTATGGTGCGTTGTCGTTCCATTCACTGATCGGAGTTTTTTCTAAAAGAGACATAAACTGCTGTAAAGTCTTGGCAGAAAGCTGTGTGGCAACCAGGGGCTAATGTTTATATACGATTTCGTTAAAATACCCAGAATTGCTAATATTTTAGTTTTAAGAGTTAACATAACGTCCAATATTTATAAGACTTTTAGCAGGCATGTTTATAGATAATAACGTAACTTCAAGGATTAAGATTATATGCTAAGGGCCTTCGTGCAACCCCAGAAACAAAAAGTTTAAAAGCTTTGTTTTTTAAAAAAATGTTTTAAGGATTAAAAGAAATACTATCGTGGTACATGCATATGTATTCAAACTCCACTCATAATTTCCACTCGCTAGAGTTTTATCTAGTTTTAAAGTTTTAAAGCTGCATACAGGGCGTATAAAAAAACACAACTACTAAATATTCATGATATTCGCCGGTCTTTTCGATCACAAAAGGTCGACGTAGGCCCCTGCCCTCTGGAAATTATTAAGGTTGCGTTTTCCTATACACCCTGTTATTGATTACGTTCGTACCTATAGGAGGAAGTTTTGAGTTATTTCTTAAAGGTGGAAGTGCATTATTTCTTCCTGCACGAGAAAATTCAGCTTAAAATTATGGCAATGCATGTTGGCAGCGAGTCGTTGTCAAGTCATTCAAATTTCACAATTCACACTACGTTAACGACTCCGGGTTTGATGTGGTGAGAAACGATTTTTTACCCACCGCTTGGTTTAACAGCCGCCAAGCATTTTGGTTCTTCATGTTGTTCACCTTTGAAAAAATATAAATGTACAAGGTAAATTAAATGTTCCCAATAGAAAACACCGTCCAGTGTTCTCCTCAAAATGCAGTGTTTTGAACCCAAAGGCCCATAATACATTGCAATAGATTTTAGAATTTAGACCTTCCACGCCCGCAATGCGTGACGGTAGTTGATTGTCATAGTAATTTTAAGTTGCAATATGCTCATAAGTGTTCAGTGTTATAATTTTGAGGGATGTTAATTTGTAAAGAGTGCTAAGAAAACGTTAGCAGATCGTAAGAAATATTCGTATATGGCAACTTCAGATGCTTCAGGAGTAGAATTGCCTTGCAAGTTGCAAGGGAAGTTGCGAAGTGTAACAACGCTTTAAGGAAACTTGCATGCTTCTGAACACAGCGTCATTAGGAAGTTAATAAGGGTGGGTCGTTGTCAAGTCATTCAAATATCACAATTCACACTACGTTAACGACTCCGGGCTTGATGTGGTGAGAAACGATTTTTTACCCACCGCTTGGTTTAACAGCCGCTAAGCCATTGGAGAGTTCCACACCTTTTGGTTCACCTTTACAAAAATATAAATGTACAAGGTAAATTTTGAGTGATGTTAATTTGTAAAGAGTGTTGTTCGAAATGCTAAGAAAACGTTAACAGATCGTAAGAAATGTTTGTATTTGACAACTTTAGATGCCTCAGGAGTAGAATTGCATTGCAACTTGCAAGAAAAGTTGCATAGTGTAACGCCTTAAGGAAACTTGCATGCTTCTGAACACAGCGTCATGCATTAGGAAGTTAGTGAGGGTGGGTGGTCGGTAGCATGCATCTTTGACAATCAATACCATCATTTACTAAAGATTTTCATCTCTCATATTATCGCCAGACACTTTAGTGTAGCATGCAATTGCACCATAAAGGCTGAATGTATGAAAAGTACTTGAGGATTTTTAGTAAAATGTCACACACATACCATCAGGTGTGTCGTTTGAGGAAAAAATTGGTGTGGTTGAATGGAAAACTGGATTAGCGTATGCTATAAAACGAACGAAATGCAAGCTTAAAAACATGGCGTCCGAGCAACTGTTCTTGTTTGAACAGTTTGAATGAATGAATGAACCCTTCTCTTTGTGCGTGGGTATTTTTCCGTTGATTTGACTAATCCATTCAATGAACAGTAATAACTCACCTTCGCGCTCCGGATCCTGTAATCCTGTACTCCTCTCCCTGTTTACTATGTCAAAAGAAAAAACTTTATATTATAAATAATAGTGGTGATCGTTTCCAATTAAAACGTCCGTATATACACAGCGATTAATCCAGTCGAATATATATAATGAATCTTAGTGTAACGACATCTACGAGACGATTCTAACAACTTTTCTTTTAGCAAAATGCGAAATCGATCTGACAAATTGTGTGAGTGGGCTTTCAGTATTCCTCCCGAAGAAATGCTAATCTATTTCTAACCTGCGCTCAGGCCATCGAAAGTTAAATATGTTTTGTTCTCACCTTTGTTATAACTGTTGACAATTTGGTCACCCATTGGTTTTGCCCCAACTCCAGCTGCGAACGCAGCTACGATCCCAACACCTAAGTGCCATGCTTTGAAATTACATCCTGTGTCTGATTTTCGTCCAGAAGTGTTACCTTCTAGAAAATTACGGAATTTTAAGAATTTTTTGTTTAATTTATTCGTTTCCTCACGTGGAAATGGAAGTGTTTTGTAAATTGTTGTGTAATTTAGTTGCGGTTTTTCCTCCCCATCCAAATTTTGTTCCGACAGGCGTGATTATGAGGTAGATCCGTGTCCAGAAAAATCCGAAAGATATCAACAACCGATGCTATTACCTTCAGTAGTATTACGGTTAGTTTTCTTGATAACTAGTTCAAAAGAAGGTAAATAATTAGAAAAATGTTCTGCTCTTCCGATTACAAGAAGACAAACCATTTGAGGCATAAAGTGTGCTGTGATTGCAAAGTCACAGCAAGAAATACATTGTTACAAATTTGAAAAACTTGGAACACAAGAATGTCTGAAGAGAAATTCCTACCATTTTCAGTTCCACCTGGTCCGGTAGTAACTATATTTTAAAAGTAGGTATATATCATTAGAGAAATGCTCTGGCGTTTGGGGCATTAAAAGTCTTGAATTATAAAGTTCTAAGAAATGCATTATTAGATCTTAAAACATGTTTTTCCCATCTGATTACAAGAAGATTTAAGGAATTGCGAAAAGAACCTTTCATTATAATGTCACAGAAATTCATTGTTATATACAATTTAAAAACTTGGAACACATGTCTGAGCAAAAATCAGTCTTACCTCTTCGACGTGTTGGCACACTTGATTTTGTAGGGGCTAATTTAAAAGTAAGTAAATAATTAGGGAACCGTTCCTGCTCATGCAATATGATTACAGAAGACAAACAACAAGGCCTTTGATTACAAAGTCACATAAAATATGTATATACATTGTTATAGGATTTAAATAGCTTGGAAGACAAAAAGTAATCGAACACAAATATGGCTGAGAAGAAATTCGTACCGCTTTGTTTTGTAGAAACCCCTGATTCTGTAGTCTTAGGGCCTAATTTAAAAGTACGTAAATAATTAGAGCACCGTATATAATGATTTGTTCTTTCACAATGTCCTTATGTGATGCAATATTTGAATATAAAAGTAATGAAACAAAATTTATTATTTGGCAAAAGCAGTATTAAGTTACGAAAGATCAAAAAAGGAAAATATCAGGATCACTTTAAGTGTCATTTTACCTTCAATAGACAATGAAACTATATATGAGCATTTCGTGTGAGAGACTGTTTCTTTAAGAAGGTATAGTCCATAGACCAACAAAGCATAATAGAATAGTGTAAAGATAAATATTTTTACCGCTTGGAGAAGTTGTCATCGACCTAGTTGTTTTGGATGTTGTAGAAGGTTTTTCATTTGAAGAGCCTGAATATAGAAGATAAAAAAAGCATTACTTTTGGTAACAAAGAAGCAAATATTTTGAATCGTATAATATTTTCCCATCTCGTATTATTACCGGTATGTATACACAAATAATTGTATTTACCTTCGCCACGACAAGCAAGACAAGTTTTATTTTTGTAATAACAACTTGGTTCTAAAATGCAAGTAACTGTTTGTTATTTAAGAATAATATTTAAAAACAGTTATTCGGTTTTGTCGTAGTTGTGTATATTTTATACGGAGCCCTGAACTCGAATTGCCAGAATATTTGTTAAAATGGATTTTTTTTTGCTCAATGCTGCTGCAACAATTCTCGTTACGTTCACTCAGTTGGTTAATTAGATGCATGAATATATACGCTGTTACATCTTAAGGTGGTATAGTTGTAAATAATGGTGGTAGTTTTGCACTACTTAAAAGTAGTGCAGTGATGAAAATGTTAGATACATCCTAGAGGTTGATAAAATCGTAATTTTTCACACACACCTTGTGATAAGCATTTTCTGTAGGTCATATCATACTTCTCTCCGCTCGACGAAGTCACGTTGATTATGAAAACCAAGGCACATTTTTTTCGTGTATTGCTTAAATCACCCTGATCTCCTGAATCAGAATTACCTGGAAATGGCGTTGAATTGATTAATGTATAGACAAGTTATCGGCACTTTTTCAAACGAGTATAACATAAATTATGTCAGGAACTACTACATTCAAAAAATATGAACTTTTAATTCAACTCATTAATAATTGTTTTTAAATCACAAAAATAAATTATACTTGAACTGTTTTATAGCTTTGTCTTCAATCAGAAAGTTGTAAGCAGGGTTTCCACAACTTATTTGCATATGACTGTCCTCATAGGGGGATGGCAATGACAGAAGAGAGAAACAACGAACTTTTGAAAAGAATGCATAAAATATTCTATTAAAACAGATCCCTCCTCCCCTCCCCTCCACTCGTGGTTGTCAATTGCAAGGAAATTTCCTTGCATTGTGGAAACTCTGGTTGTGAGATAACTCAATACACGACACGGTATCATTTTTACTGTAATCCAAAAGATAATCTTAAACTAAACCTAATCCTAATCTTGCGTGTCATATAGGAACATTTATAGTCTGTATACAGACTCAAAATGAGAATTGAGCCTGCCCCCTTTCCCTTTTCTAAATGGTTACACAGCCTTCGTTTGCTGTCATTAAGATGTGTTCACTAAAAGGATATTGCAATATAGTTGTTGAACATACTGAATATCACAGATATGTCTCCTTCGCGATGGTCATCGTCGCTATGTATTCTTAGTTTATATGCTCCACGAGGATCGTCTCTTACACAGCTGTAGAGTTTTTCTAAAACATAATAAAGACGGTGGTGATGACAGCGGAATGATGTTACTGATGCGTGATGGTGACTGGTGATGATGGTGCCTAGTTGATGTCTTGATGATGATGGTAGTTAGTGACTGTTGAAAATAGTGTACTGTAGTTCGTGATAATGGTTGGTTTAAAGTGGGGATGGTGATGGATGATAATGGTAGTTGATGAATATGGTTATTTGATGGTGCATGTGATGAGATTTTAGGTCGTGATAAAGTGGTTCGTTTAATAACGAGGATGGTTATGGGTGATAACGGTTGATCATGATGGTTGGCTTATAATGATGATGCTGGAATGGCTATTGATGGTGGATGGAGTGGCTTAGTTATGATGGTGGTGGTGAGCAATAATGATGTAGAGTGGTTGTAACTGTACCTTATTGTATATTTATATATAATGGTGGTTGGTGATAATGACGTTATAATGCTGAAAGACCAAGCAGTAATATGAATCATTGATGATAGTGATATTAATGGTGATATTATCTAAGATAATAAACATACTTGATTGAGTTGGATCACAGAATGAATCGTCGTGTAATGCTTTTTCCAATTCTTCCAATGAGTTATTCGCGCTGATGTAAAACTTTCTTATATACATGTCATAAAACACGTGTGCCTTTGAGACGTCTTCTAGCCGAAGCGCAGAGACAAGGATCGAATTTGGACAGACCAGTTCAATGCGATCATAGATGTCCAGTTTTGTGATGGTCATCCAGTTACATTTGCATTTTAGGCTTAAATTATAAAATATACTTTATTAAACTCCTCTTTTTATAAGAACCAGTTGAATAACAGAAAAAGAATAGTCAGAGGATAACTGTTCAAAAAAATAGAACAAAATTGAGCCTGACCAAAACTGTACATTACTGAATTATTCCAGTTTATTTGAGAGTGGAGAGTTGGAGGGGAGGCATTCAAATATTTTAGAACCATCTTTTTATACGTATATTTAAAAGCGACGCTTAATAATAGTATTGAGTTTATAATTCTTGAAATAGGATAACACTAAAATTTTAACTTTGAAATATGTATGTGCCATTCATGGTCAATATCTTTGTCTCTCTTTTCTATTTAAATTGATCAGGTTTTAAATGGTCGAAAGCAAGAATTTTTCTAAACTTGCATGTTACTGGCCAGCAGTAATTCTTTTTACAGTTATTTTAGTTTCGTGGGAAAATCACAACAACATATCCCTCCTCCCTTTTTTCTGTACCTCTGGCGGATGTGAATTTCTGAAATGGATCAAAAACAGCTGGGTTTATCAATATATTATTTTGTTCATTTCCTCTTTTTGTTCTCACAGGAACAACGAACTTGAGACCACTTAATTGGCGAGCAAAAAAGCAGATTTGGTTTTAGGCTAACTCTGAAAAAGAGGACGGGTTAAAGATCCGTTTGAAATCCGTCTGTCACGGGCGTCAACGCAAATATACTCTCTAGACGAAGCCCTGCATTGTTCCCACACTGCTTATATAAACATCTCTGACACGTTTGAAATTTGAAACCCTGGTAATTTTTCTGTGTAGCATAGACTCCAGCGAGAATTTCGGCAATCTAAGGCACAAATATTCCGAGCTTTACTGACATTCACAGACGTTGACAAAAATTTCTTCATTTTCACACAAATTATAAGGAAAATCGTGTGATATAAAGATATACAGAATAAAAAGCCATAGCAACAATAATGTTGTTTTTCAATAACATATAAATGACTGTTTAGTCTTCCAGAATCGTCACGATGACACGATCCATCTCGCTTTTTTTATCCTTTCTTACGACTTAACTGACGAAAAATTAAACCATTTTAACTGTTTTCTGCAGATTTTTGGATTATTTGACCTAATCGATTATCATAACAACCGTAAAATAATATTCCCAAATTTATAACATTTTAAAATGAATATCAACTCTTGACTATATTTTCAAGAATTTGGAACAACTTTAAGTTGCTACATTTTATAACTGCGAATTTCAGAAAATATGCGAACAATAAGTACTAGCTCTTCAGTAATCATATGACAAAACAGTAGTAATCTAAACTAAAATAGAAATCCTTTTGATTTCAATTTCTGATGGGGAAGCTTTAACAGGCTTCACATAACCTATTTTCTAATTCCCTTTCTTTGGTCAATATATAAGTGCCAACATGTGCAATTATTAAGACAATGCACGATTGACGATCACAATGATACAGAAGCACAAATGAAAACCGAAACGCCTTGGACGTCGGTGTACAGGTCTTTAATATCCGTGGATACTGGATACAATGTTTATTATGATATATGCACGATATTGATTGAAGAAGGAATATACAGTGAGATTAGGAATATAGAACATACTTCGATTATACAAACCATTGATTACAAACTAAGCGAATCGGTTTTATACTACCTGCGCCATTCGCCCAATTTTAAGTCAATGTGTCTTTCAAAATAGCGGAAGTAAAAGATATCGTCTTAGTTAATTGCTACATCGCCAAGCGTTCTAAATTGAAATTCATACTTACATTGGGTTGAATCTTTCCCATATGATCGACGGTTGATATCGTGTTCCAGCGAAGACATTTTGCAATTCGCACATCAACACAACAAGAATGATATAGTTGAATAAGGAAGAAGCCATTTTAATGCTCACGAATCTCCTCCGCTGTTGTAGTTTGATCTAATCCCTAAAATAACACTTTGAACCTCCAAAATATTCAAGAATTTAGAGACGCCCGCCAAATACACTTCGTTGGCTTTAACAAAGTAAATAAAGTTCTATTTGTCCTGTAGTTTGACAGGTTTGCTCATGCGCTCGCGTTGAAACGTATTAGAAACTCCCAAGCAGCTTATGTTTTTATTATATATTAAACGTGTCAAAAACTTAGGTGTAGGATTACACTGTTCGTCTCCGGACACCAATCGGAAAAAGGAGGTGAAATTTAATCCCCACAGTGTGGGTTGCTTCCGTTGATTTGTGCGACGAGTGCTATAGGAGTGTGATGTCACGTCCTCTTCGTTTACAAACGCAGTAACTGTGGCATTTCCAACTGTACTTGGCGTCCTTCATTATTGCATATTCATCCTTTCTATAATTCTATTACCCCCATCACGTTCCATTGAATCAATATTTGAATTAACCCACCAAGGAAACAACTACATGACAAGCGATGGGTTTTCGTTTAACTCTTGCACAATCGAAAAAATAATCAAGAGCCAACACCTTCGATTTCCTCCGAATTGGATCATTCGTATTCTCTCATTCTCTTTGAAGTGGAGTTTAGAGAGGTGTAGTAGTTCTCAACATGTTTTGTCTTCGTTCTAACAAGTCCAATATCCAAATTTTTGACACGCTGAAGAAGACGCCCAAGATAGGTGCATCGAAGCACTTTAACTGACAATAAAAAACTAACGTAATGCAACAAGAGCAAACTCAGACAGGACATCTTAAGTTGAGAGCACAAGATGTGCAGGTTCAATATCTGTGTCACGTTTTATGATTGTATATTGTATTCGCATCTGAACACCGAACAAAACCGTTGTGTTATGTAATGAAAAACGAGGGCGATTTAATTGAATGGTGAAGGATTGGATATTTTCTTGCTTAGTTTCCTATCATCCCCCCTTTTCTCATCGCCTCCTGTATTGAAGTCCTGTTCCCGGAATCCCACTTTGAAAATACTCAATGATGGGACTTGGGAGCGGAAATTTACCCCGCCTGCGCGATTGTCATGCTAGCGTATGGGATTTTAAGGATTGGGATTAAAAGTTTAGAATGGGATTTAATGAAATGATTTTATGGAATGGGATTTAATGGAATGAGATTATTTCTTTTCCAAAATTTGTTTTTTAATAAAATTTTTAGCGAATAAGAGGGACTTTATTACAAAAGATCTGCGATGCAATTCAAAAAGAAGATATGGGATCTTTAGCTGAATCACGATCGCTAGAATCAAGACAGAGATCGAAACATTGAAATATAAATATTTTGGCTAAATTTCTCTGGCCAACAAATCTCTTACGGTACGCTTAGTCCAACAGGTAGTAGGCTGTCGGCAAAGGCGATAGATACTTTTGTATCTCATCCGTGGATCGCTGTTTATAAAAAAAAAGTGTTCTTTCCACCATAGCCTAATCTTGTGAGGGTTGCTTCCCAATGACACTTTCTGGTCACAATGTATTCTCTTCCTATTCACCCCAATATGAATATTTCTACTGTTTTATAGTTTTCAATGCAGACAGTCTTATGGATATATGTTGCTGTTTTTTATCCAAAACATTGCCACATGAAGACATTGACACATTGCCCGATTGCCATTACCAGATTTCATTAAAACACATATAAGGAACAACAATCAGTTGTTTTTAAGCCTTTTCCAAAATGCATTATTTTAAAAAGGACAAGACTTGTAATTGTCAGAGCAATAGTATTTTTCATGGCCAAATATTTGAAATGGTTGCATTTCATCATGCTGTGTAATGTAAAGTCAAAACTTTTGTATGAATATTGTGTGTGTGGAGATTCATGTGCAAAACAGTGAAAACACAAAGGAATTGAATTTTTTCACTTGAAAAGTTATAACACTTCAAAAGTGACTCCACAATGCCTCAAATGGCAAATTTTCCAATACGTCAATGTGCTTCATATTAACATAAAAAAGCAATTTTTACTTGTACTCCTTTTATTCTTAACTACTCCAAATTTGCTTTATTATACAAATGATTAAAATTTTATCCAAAGCTATAAAAAATAAACTAATGGATTTTTAGTTACCATATCTCATAAAATACATTATAAAATTATTATTTTAAGAAACACACAATAATAGAATGTAATTTATTTAACTGCTAATCATTTGTACCAACAAATAAACATTATCTGTTTTTTTGACATAGATTCAAAGTTATATATCAGGTTAACTTTTTGTATTTTTATGATTGATCCATCCATTATTTGCCCAGGTTTCCGCTTCCCTTGTAAAATGTTGGCTACAAAAAATACACATCACATATAATTTTATTACTATCACCAACTCCTCTATACTATTTATTTCTTTACTTCAATTTTATAAGGAAAACCACAAATGTAAAACTTACCTTCATTTCAACTTCTATATTTTCTTGTACAAGTTTTGCTGAGGCAGGCAACTTTGTTTCAATTCAATGCATGTTGTATATTGTATTTGGTTCTACCCGCCTGATCCAGAGGTCGGTTTGGCGATATCATGGCTGTTTTCCTTATTTGTTAACTCGCTGTAACATTTGTAAAAAATGCGAAAAGTTCATCTTACACTTACCCATCTGTTTAGGATTTTAAAATTTTCTTTCTACAATGCATACATGTCTCTTCATTATCTGGTATCCAGACAGCTGCATGCTCCATCACGGTTGTCTTCCCCGTTGTTGTTGTTGTTGTTGTTGTTTGTTTGTTTAATTGTTATCTGAAGGAAGGATATAAAAATGTTGGACAGGAAAAAAGGAAATATAGGAGGAGTGCCAAAGATCATCTTGTGGTCCATTGTTTGGATGCTCTTCTGCTGGTAAGTACAAGACTGATAAGCTTGTCTTTACAATCTGGATGTTTTCCTGAGCATTGAAAACTGGCTACTTAAAGAAGTTAACCGCTGAGGTTATATTCGAAAATCTCCGATGGCGCCATCAGTAATCTCTCATTTGGGTCTAAACTGACGGAACGCCGGGGCTGTTTTCAATCAAACCCATGATCACCTTACCGCTCACCAACTGTATCCTAACGCTCAATCCTTCTACCGCCAATATCATAGTACTGAAACTGCCCTGTTACGTTAAGGAATATGAATAAACATGTAACTCTTCTGCTACTACTTGATCTGACTGCAGCATTCAATATTATATAATACCCCATTAAATTTGGATCGTTTACTTGGTTGATGACGATGACATGATATTCAATAGAAAGTCCCATTTCCCAAGAGTGCAATGGAATGCGTTCCATTTGTACCATAGATTTTGTTCCATTTACATTCCTTACTGAAAGCAACCTACCCCATGCCCATGCATTTGCGGACAACTCGCAACTATACATTTCATTCAAACCTGGATCCACGGTTGAAGAATCTGCTTTCGTTAAGGCATACACGAAATTTTTGTGTAACATATTTTTGTGTAACATGTATGTTTTTCTTCCTATATAACAAAGCACTTAATGTACACTACCTGAGGAAATAATGAGTTTTGTTAAAACTCACTATTTCCCTCGGGAGCATACATTAAGTGTGTAATATTGGTGTGAAACCTTGCAATTTGGCTTCCACCCAACGCGCATAGTAAAATCGAGATTTTTCTTCCTAACGTATAAATTAGGAGTGCTGCCTTGCTCGTTGCAGCTGCAATTAATTACAGATATGATGGTTTCCGAAATTCGGACACCCTAATCGATTTACAAAGCTTTAATTCAACCATACTTTGACTATTGTTCCCCTCTTTGGGACAATTGCGGTCTATTATTGAAAGAAAAGTTGCAAAAATTTCAAAATAGGGCTGCTCGGGTGTTAACGGGGGCAGACTACAATACAAGCTCCTCTGAACTCCTGGAGCAGCTTAGATGGAAAAATCTCGAAACTAAATATAAAACTAACAAAGCAGTTCTCGTTTATAATATCCTAAATAACGGTACTGCTCCGTGCCTTCGCGAATCCTTTTCTGAGCGTAGTGTAATTGAAAATGGTTATAACCTGAGACATTACGATACTGATCTATCAATCCCGAGACCTAAGAAAGAGTTTCTCAAAAGAAGTTTTAAATATAGAGGAGCTGTATTATGGAATAGTCTTTCGCGTGAAGCTAAGTCTGCTCAATCGATTCATTGTTTCAAGAGGCTCATAAATTCAAGTAGTTAATTCTGCATATTATATATAGTTTATATTTGTATAGTGTAATTAAGTAGACGCTCATAATGTAATTAAGTAGACGCCCTCCGTGGAAAACAGTGGTAACTGACGGGGCTAGTGTCTGTAAATAAAATTTTTAATAATAATAATAATAATAATTTCGTACAGATATCATGGTTTCCGAAATTCGGACACCCTAATAGCTTTTGGTAAAGCCTAGATCAAAAGTAAGTAAATAATTAGTTCCTGCTCATGCAATGTGATTACAGAAGACAAACAAGTAGCCATTGACATAAAATATGTACTGATATACATTGGGGGTAAAAAGTCTGAGTCCAGTCGATAATTTTTCTCACTTTGAATAAATGATATCTTGTGAGTTGAAAATTGGATTTGTTGATCTGAACTTGCGCATTATGTGACAGTAATGCCTCCCATGTCTTTTCTCGTGAAAGCCCCGTCCCGTACAGACGGGCAAAGTTTTCCTTGACAAGTTTTACAATAATGAATATGTTGAGTATATTTTACGACTATATGATAAAATGCGTGTACGATGGAATCTCAAAACAAACAGAAATGATAAAACTTCCAAAAACCGCTCAATTGGCTCGAAGATATTGTTGCGCAGTTTCCTACTTGAAAAACTGGCATGACTAGCTTTTGAACCAGGCTCCTTGTCAAGGAAAACTTGTCAATTTTTTCGCGTACACACAAGCAAATAAAACTTGGCAAGGAAAACTTGCCCGTCTGTACGGCAAGTTCTCATGGTATTTAATTCTCATGCATGGTATTTAAGTTATATACAAGAAGTGCGGATTATTCTTTTCGTGGACCAAACGTTGAAAAAGAGTTTAGAGAAGGAAAGAGGCCAGATAATCGAAATCAATGATGAAGGGATGTCTCTGCAAAAATATGAGGCGAAGTTACATGAGTCGAAGGAAAAGTTGGAAACGTTTTGTGAATCAGGTTCGTATTCAATCAAATGAAGATCTGGGAAACCGAGAACTACTCCTGCAATGGAACATGAAAAGAAAGTATAAGGAAAACCTGTGGACTGTCCTAAATCAATGTTAGGATAGAATTAAACCTGTAGTGTCGCTCATGGGTCACTCTAAGCCAGAAAAAGTCAAAGCTGTTTTGAAACGCAAATAAGGTCATAGAAAAGTATCCGAACAGCGCCAATTTGTGTCAATTCTATAACATGGTTGTATACGCGCGCACATGAACTGCTGTCGTTATATCTTAATGTGACAAAAATCATATTGACTGCATGGACTCAGACTTTTGACCCCCACTGTACATTGCTATAGGATTTAAATATAGCTTTAAACACAAAAAATAATCGAACAAGAATTTAGACAAACAGAGCATAGAATACTAGTGTAAAGATGAATATTTTACCGTTTGGAGAAGTTATCATAGTTGTTTTGATAGATGTTGTAGATGTTGCAGAAGGTTTTCCAGTAAAAGATCCTGGATTTAGGAAGATAAACAAAGCATTACTTTTGGTAACAAAGAAGCAAATATTTTGAATCGTAAGATGAACTTTTTAACTTTTTTCCTTCTTATACCAGAAATTAGAAGATATTTAACAGATATACTTTGATCCCCACTGTATATAGGTTGTCCCAGGAAGTCCTTGCTCTCAAAAAGTATAAGTCTAAACTTTAAGTAGCTAAGTATAAGGCTAAACTTTCAACAAAACTAGCCATATGAGCATTTCGTGTCATGCCAGAGACTGTTTCTTCAAGAACTTAGACAAACAGAACATATAGAATACTAGTGTACAGATTAATATTTTTACCGTTTGGAGAAATTCTCATAGTTGTTTTGATAGATGTTGTAGACGTTGTAGAAGGTTTTCCAGTAAAAGAGCCTGGATTTAGGAAGATAAACAAAGCATTACCTTTAGTAACAAAGAAGCAAATATTTTGAATCGTAAAATGAACTTTTTAACTTTTTTCCTGCTAAGTATAAGGCTAAACTTTCAACAAAACTAGCCATATGAGCATTTCGTGTCATGCCAGAGACTGTTTCTTCAAGAATTTAGACAAAGAACATATAGAATACTAGTGTAAAGATTAATATTTTTACCGTTTGGAGAAATTGTCATAGTTGTTTTGATAGATGTTGTAGACGTTGTGGGAGGTTTTCCAGTAAAAGAGCCTGGATTTAGGAAGATAAACAAAGTATTACCTTTAGTAACAAAGAAGCAAATATTTTGAATCGTAAAAATAACTTTTTAACTTTTCTCCTTATTCCAGAAATTAGGAGATATTTAACAGATATACTTTGATCCACGCTATATATAGGCAGAGCTAGGAAGTCCTTGCTCTCAAAAAGAATAAGTCTAAACTTTAAGTAAGTATAAGCCTAAACTTTCAAAACGTGAGAATAAAATATATATGATTTAAAACAAGACGTAGATTGCATGAACTGACTGAACGTTTATAGAGTGACGTAAAAAAGACTATTGTTTTTGACCGAATGCTATATTGTGTAAATATTCAGTGCCACAACATCTCGTATTAAGCCGGTATGTATACACAAATAATTTTATTATACCTCCTTCCTTTGGGGGGTCGCCGCCACAGCAGGCAAGACAAGTTTTATTTTTGTTATGACAACTTGATCCTGAAATGAGAGCAACTGTTTGTTATTTAGGAATAATATTTAAAGATAGTTTTTCGGTTCTGTCGTAGTTGTGTATACTGCATGTATATGAATCTTGAACTCGAATTGCCAGCATCCCCCATGCAGCATATTTGTTAAAATAGTTTTTTTTGCTCAATGTGTATACACAAATAATTGTATTATACCTCCTTCCTTTCGGGGGTCGCCACAGCAGGCAAGACAAGTTTTATTTTTGTTATGACAACTTGATCCTGAAATGCAAGTAACTGTTTGTTATTTAGGAATAATATTTGAAGATAGTTTTTCGGTTCTGTCGTAGTTGTGTATACTGCATGTATATATTTATATATATTCATACACTTCAACTCGAATTGCCAGCATTCCCCAGAATATTTGTTGGAATAGATTTTTTTGCCCAATGCCACTGCAACAATTTTCGTTATGTTGATTCAGTTGGTTAATTAGATACATGAATATATACGCTGTTACATGCATCTTAAGGTGGTATAGTTGTAGGTAATGGTGGTAGTTTTGCACTTTAAGTAGTGCATAGCGATGAAAATGTTGGACACTTCCTAGAAATTAATAAAATCTTAATTTTTCACACCTGGTGATAAGCATTTTCTGTAGGTCATATCATACTCCTCTGCGCTCGACGAAGTCACGTTGATTATAAAAACCAAGGCACATTTTTTTCTTGTACTGCTTAAATCACCCTGCTTTCCTGTATCAGAATTACCTGCAAATGGCGTTGAATTAATTAATATATAGACAAGTTATCGCACTTTTTCAAACGAGTATGACATAAATAATATCAGCAACTACTTTCATTCAGAAAATGTGAACTTTTCATTCAACTCATTATTGTGGACCAAAGATGGCAAAGAGAGGGCCAACAATGATGGGATGTCTCGAACAATTGCGAAAAATTGAGGCTAAATGTGTCGAACGAAAAGTTGGAAACGTTTTATGAATCAGGTTCGTATTCCATTAAATGAAAATCTGGGCGACCAAGGGCTACTCCTGCAAAGGAAAATGGAAAGAAAGTTGATGGAAAACCAGTGGACTGGTTCCTTAATCAATGGTGGAATAGAATTGAACCTGTAGTACTAACAAAACTGATTCACTCTATGCCAACAAAAGTCAAAGCTGTTTTGAAACATAAAGAGGTCATACAAAATATTAGAACAGCGCCAATTTGTATTAAATTCTACTGGTTCAATTCTATTCCACCATCGATTAACGGTCCACTGGTTTTTGCTCTATTTTCATTCCAGTTTCCTTTGCAGAAGTAGCCCTTGGTCTCGCAGATTTTTATTAATTTAATTGAATACGAACTTGACTCACAAAAAAATGTTTCCAACTTTTCGTTCGACACATATAACCTCATCTCAATTTTTCGAAATGTTTCGAGACATCCCTTCATTGCTGGTCCTCTCTTTGCCATCTTTGGTCTACAAAAAGAATAATACGCATTTCTTATTCAACTTAAATACCATGAGAATTAAGGAGAAATCTATGGGAGGCATTACTATCATAAAATACGCCAGTTCAGATCAACATATCCAGTCTCCAACTCACAAGATATCATTTATTGTTAATGAAGAAAAATTATCGACCGGACTCAGACTTTATACCTCCACCGTATATGCATCGGATTTAATGTTTTGCAAGTTCTCCCATCCCCCATTCTAAATAGTTACACAGCCTTCGTTTGCTGTCATTAAGATGTGTTCACTAAAAGGATATTGCAATATAGTTGTTGAACATACTGAATATCACAGATATGTCTCCTTCGTAATGCTCATCGTCGCTATGTATTCTTAGTTTATATGCTCCACGGGGATCGCCTCTTACACAGCTGTAGAGTTTTTCTAAAACATAATAAAAGACGGTGGTGATGACAGCGGAATGATGTTACTGATGCGTGATGGTGACTGGTGATGATGGTGCCTAGTTGATGTCTGGATGATGATGGTAGTTAGTGACTGTTGAAAACAGTGTACTGTAGTTCGTCATAATGGTTAGTTTGATGGTGGGATGGTCAATGATGATATCATGATTGTAGTCGATAATGGTAGTTGTGATGATGGTCTGTGTGAATTTTGATGATGGGGATGGTGATTGTAGCTCGTGATATAGTGGTTTGTTTCATAGTGGGGATAGTTGTGGATGAAAATGGTAGTTGATTATAATGATTTGCTTATAATGATGGTGTGGGAATGGTAATATTGGTAGTTATGATGGTGGTGGTGGGCAATAATGATGTAGAGTGGTGATAACTGTACCTTATTGTATATAATGGTGGTTGGTGATAATGAGGTTATAATGCTGAAAGACCAAGCAGTAATATGATTGATGATAGTGATATTAATGGTGATATTATCTAAGATAATAAACATACTTGATTTAGTTGGATCACAGAATGAATCGTCGTATAATGCTTTTTCCAATTCTTCCAATGAGTTATTCGCGCTGATGTTAAACTTTCTTATATACATGTCATAATACACGTGCGCTTTTGAGACGTAGTCTAGCCGAAGCGCAGAGACAAGGATCGAATTTGGACAGACCAGTTCAACGCGGTCATAGATGTCCAGTTTTGTGATGGTCATCCAGTTACATTTGCATTTTAGCCTTAAATTATAAAATATACTGTATTAAACTTTTCCTTTTGTAAGAACCAGTTGAATAAGAAATTTGAAAAAGAACATTGTCAGAGAATAATTGTTCAAAAAAATAGAACAAATTCAGGCTGGCGAAAAAATGCCCAGGGTAAAGTTGTACCGTACATTACTGTATGAACGCAAAATTTTAAAACAACTCAAATGCCAATAATTATGTGCATTTGTTAAGACAATACACGATATCACAATGATAGAGAAGCACAAATAAATGAAAACTGAAACGCCTTGGACGTCAGTGTAAAGGTCTTAAATATCCGTCGTGCTGACGTGGATACAATATTTTAAGGTATTTTTAATAGTACCTACGCCATTCGCCCAAAAGATCATGCGTTTTTCAAAATAGCGGAAGTAAAAGATATCGTCTTAGTTAATTGCTACATCGCCAAGCGTTCTAAATTGAAATTCATACTTACATTGGGTTGAATCTTTCCCATATGATCGACGGTTGATATCGTGTTATAGTCTTAGGGACTAATTTAAAAGTACCTAAATAATAACAGCGGCACCGTATACTGATTTGTTTTTTCACAATGTCCTTATATGCGATGCAATATTTGAATATGAAACAAAGATTATTATGTGCAAAAGCAGTAAATTACGAAAGATCCAAAAAGTAAAATTTCACGTCATTTTAAGTTTAACTTCAATGCACAATGGAACTATATGAGCATTTCGTGTCAGAGATTGTTTCTTCAAGAATGTAGACAAACAGAACATAGAATAGTGTAAAGATAAATATTTTTATCGCTTGGATAAGTTGTCATAGTTGTTTTGATAGATGTTGTAGACGTTGTAGAAGGTTTTCCTATAGGAGAGCCTGAATTAGGAAGCCAAACAAAGCATTACTTTTGGTACAGAAAAAAGCAACCTACTTATAACAGAAATTAGAATGTAACAGATATAGCTATATAAAGTCCTTTCTCTCAAAAAGAATCGTTAGTCCACGACCAGACAAGAAGGCGGTTTAAAAAGTATAAGCCTAAACTTTCAAAACCTGAGAATAAAATATATATGATTTAAAACAAGATGCAGATTGCATGAAACTGAACGTTTTTAGAATGACGTGAAATATTATTGTTTTTGACTGAATACTATCCTGCAAATATTCAGTGACAAACTAAAATTTTATATCCCATCTCGTATTAAGCCGGTTTAGTATTTTTGCACAAGTGAATATAACACATCCTACATTCTGATTGGTCAAATTTGACGTATTATGCTGTGATATAAAACCGGAATTTCAAAATGGCGGCCAGCCGTTTTGTGGACGTTTCTTACAAAGAGATAAGCGAACAAATGCAGTTCTTGTGTCAATTCACTTTTGCAAAAATACTAAAACAATTATTCGTCTTTGGCTCGGTGATTGTAGGGGAATAATCACCTCGATTTCGTCTCGGTGAATATTCCCCGATAATCACCTCGCTTTCGGCGAATAATTGTTAGATATATACACAAATAATTGTATTATATACCTCCTTCCTTTGGAAGATCGCCACAACAGGAAAGACAAGTTTTATTCTTGTTATGACAATTTAATCCTGAAATGCAAGGCACTGTTTGTTATTTAGCAAATAATTTACAAAATAGTTTTTCGGTTAAAGACTGTCGTAGTTGTTGTGTAACTGTCTATGAACCTTGAACTCGAATTGCCAGCATCCCCCAAAATATTTGCTGAAATAGTTTTTTTGCTCAATTCTACTGCAACAATTCTCGTTATGTTGATTCCGTTGGTTAATTACAGATGCATGAATATATACGTTGTTACATCACGGTGGTATCACTAGTGGTAGGTAATGGTGGTAGTTTTGCACTTTAGGGAGTGCATAGTGATGAAAATGTTAGATACATCCTTGAGGTTGATAAAATCCTAATTTTTCACACCTGGTGATAAGCATTTTCTGTAGGACATATCATACTTTTCTGCGCTTGACGAAGTCACGTTGATTATGAAAACCAAGGCACATTTTTTTCTTGTACTGCTTAAATCACCCTGCTGTCCTGTATCAGAATTGCCTGGAAATAACGTTGAATTAATTTATATATAGACAAGTTATCGCACTTTTTCAAATAACATAACATAAATTATGTCAGCAACTACTTTCACTCATAAAATATTCTATTAAAACAGATCCCTTCCTCCCCCTCCCCTCGTGGTTGTCAATTTTAAGGAAATTTCCTTGCATTGTGGAAACCCTGGCTGTGAGATAACTCAATACACGACACGGTATCATTTTTACTGTAATCCAAAAGATAATCATAAAACTAAACCTAATCCTAATCTTGCATGTCGTACATGTATAGGAACATTATAGTCTGTAATGTGGGGGAAAATGAGAATTGAGCCTGCCCCCTTCCCCCTTTCTAAATGGTTACACAGCCTTCGTTTGCTGTCATTAAGATGTGTTCACTAAAAGGATATTGCAATATAGTTATTGAACATACTGAATATCACAGATATGTCTCCTTCGTAATGCTCATCGTCGCTATGTATTCTTAGTTTATATGCTCCACGAGGATCGTCTCTTACACAGCTGTAGAGTTTTTCTGAAACATAATAAAGACGGTGGTGATGACAGCGGAATGATGTTAATGATGCGTGATGGTGACTGGTGATGACGGTGTCTAGTTGATGTCTCAATGACGATGGTAGTTAGTTACTGTTGAAAACAGTGCACTGTAGTTCGTGATAATGGTTTGTTTAAAGTGGGGATAGTGATGGATGATAATGGTAGCTGATGAATATGGTTAGTTTGATGGTGCATGGGATGGGATTTTAGCTCGTGATATAGTGGTTCATTAAATAACGGGGATGGTTATGGGTGATAATGGTAGTTGATCATAATGGTTGGTTTATAATGATGGTGCTGGAATGGTTATTGATGGTGGATGGAGTGGCTTAGTTATGATGGTGGTGGTGGGCAATAATGATGTAGAGTGGTGATAACTGTACCTTATTGTATATAATGGTGGTTGGTGAAAATGACGTTATAATGCTGAAAGACCAAGCAGTAATATGATTGATGATAGTGATATTAATGGTGATATTATTTAAAATAATAATCATACTTGATTGAGTTGGATCACAGAATGAATCGTCGTGTAATGCTTTTTCCAAATCTTCCAATGAGTTATTCGCGCCGATGTTGAACTTTCTTATATACATGTCATAAAACACGTGTGCTTTTGAGACGTCGTCTAGCCGAAGCGCAGAGACAAGGATCGGATTTGGACAGACTAGTTCAACGCGGTCTAAGATGTCCAATTTTGTGATGGTCATCCAGTTACATTTGCATTTTAGCCTTAAATTATAAAATATACTGTATGAGGGTAAATGAGAACATTGAGCCTGGGCAAATTTTTACTGATTCTTCAAAAGTGTGTAAGATAACAATGAAAGTACGCGAGTGTTGATTAGTAAATGTGTCTATTTATATTACATTTTATCCATGTGTAAATATCAAATGCAGCACTCAGCAGACACAGCTTGGCCTCTCAGTCTTGGTCTAATATACCTTCACAGTGTTTTACGTGAACTTTTCTCCCCTATTTTTTATTCCTTTTTATTTGAGATTGGTGAGTTGGGGGGAGGCATTCAAATGTCTTGGAACCATCTTTTTATACGTATATTTAAAAGCGACGCTTAATTCTCTGAGAAGAATCGTACTGAGTTTATAATTCTTGAAATAGGATAATACAAAAACTTTAACTTTGAAATATGTATGCGCCATTCATGGTCAATATCTTTGTCCTTCTTTTCTATTTAAATTGATCAGGTTTTAAATGGTCGAAAGCCAGAATTTTTCTACATTTGCATGTTACTGGCCAGCAGTAATTCTTTTTACTAGTAATTTTAGTGTCTAGATCGTCAGAAATGGCAATTCTGAGCCACTATAATCGACCAAAGAAACACGGAGACAAACTTTTTACGTAAAATTTATACCGAACAACGTGACGGACAAATAGTTCGAATGAGATTATTTTTTTAGACTGGTTGTTAATTTTGTGGGAGGATCACAACAACCCATCCGCCCTCCTCCCTTTTTTGTGTACCTCTATGGCGAATGTGAATTTCTGAAATGGATAAAAAACAGCTGGGTTTATCAATATGTTATTTTGTTCATTTCCTCTTTTTGTTCTCACGGGAACAATTAACTTGAGACCACAAAATTGGTGAGCAAAAAAGAGATTTAGTTTTAGGCTAACTCTAAAGAAATGGACGGGTTTAAGATCCGTTTGAAATCCGTCTGTCACGGGCGTCAACGCAAATATACTCTCTAGAAGAAACACTGCATTGTTTCCACACTGCTTATATAAACATCTGTGACACGTTTAGTTAATCGCTTGAAATTTTAAACCCTGGTAATTTTTCTGTATAGCGTGGACTCCAACGAGAATTTCAGCAATTAAGGCACAAATATTCCGAGCTTAACTGACATTCACAGACGTTGACGAAAATTTCTTCATTTTCACACAAATTATAAGGAAAATCGTGGGATATAAAGATATACAGAATAAAAAGCCATAGCAACAATAATATTGTTTTTCAATAACATAGAAATCACTGTTTAGTCTTCCAGAATCTGTCCATCTCGCTTTTTTTAACCTTTCTTACGACTTAACTGACGAAAAATTAAACCATTTTAACTATTTTCTGCAGATTTTTGGATTATTTGACCTAATCGATTATCATAACAACCGTAAAATAATATTCCCAAATTTATAACATTTTAAAATGAATATCAACTCTTGACTATATTTCAAAGAATTTGGAACAACTTTAAGTTGCTACATTTTATAACTGCGAATTTCAGAAAATATGAGAACAATAAGTACTAGCTCTTCAGTAATCATATTACAAAACAATAGTAATTTAAACTAAAATGGCAATCTTTTTTATTTCAATTTCTGATGGGGAAGCTTTAACAGGCCTCACATAACCTATTTTCTAATTCCCTTTCTTTGGTCAATATATAAGTGCCAACATGTAAAATTATTAAGACAATGCACGATTGACGATAACAATGATACAGAAGCACAAGTGAAAACTGAAACGCCTTGGACGTCAGTGTAAACTGTAAAGGTCTTTAATATCCGTGGATACTGGATGCTGGATACAATGTTTATCATGATATTGATTGAAGAAGAATATACAGTGAGATTAGGAATATAGAACATACTTCGATTATAAACTATTGATTACAAACTAAGTGAATCGATTTTATACTATCTACGCCATCCGCCCAAAAGTCAATGTGTCTTTCAAAATAGCGGAAGTAAAAGATATCGTCCTAGTTAATTGGTACATAGCCAAGCGTTCTAAATTGAAATTCATACTTACATTGGGTTGAATTTTTCCCAGATGATCGACGGTTGATATCGTGTTCCAGCGAAAACATTTTGCAATTCGCACATCAACACAACAAGAATGATATATTTGAATAAGGAAGAAGCCATTTTAATGCTTTCGAATGCCAACTGCTGTTGTAGTTTGATCTAATCCCTAAAATAACACTTTGAACCTCCAAAATATTCAAGAAATTAGAAACGCCCGCCAAATACACTCCTTTGGCTTTAACAAAGTAAATAACACCCAAGCAGCTTGCCTATGTTTTTATAATATATTAAACGTGTCAAAAACCTAGATGTAGGATTACACTGTTCGTCTGAGGTGAAGTTTTATCCCCACAGTGTGGGCTGCTTCCGTTGATTTGTGCGACGAGTGCTATAGGAGTGTGATGTCACGTCCTCTTCGTTTACATTTCCAATCTCCTCTTCGGCATTTCCAACTGTACTTGGCGTCCTTCATTTTTGCATATTCATCCTTTCTATAATTCTATTACCCCCATCACGTACCATTGAATCAATATTTGAATTAACCCACCAAGGAAACAACTACATGACAAGCGATGGGTTTTGGTTTAACTCTTGCAAAATCGAAAAAAATATAATCAAGAGCCAACACCTTCAATTTTCTCCGCATTGGATCATTCGTATTCTCTCATTCTCTTTGAAGTGGAGTTTAGAGAGGTGTAGTAGTTCTCAACATGTTTTGTCTCCGACTCTCCGTTCTAACAAGTCCAGTATCCAAATGTTTTGACATGCTGAAGTAAAAGTGCATCGACACGCCCAAGATAGGCGCATCGAAGCACTTAAACTGACAATAAAAAACTAACGTAATGCAACAAGAGCAAACTCAGACAGGACATCTTATGATCTTAAGTTAAGAGTACAAGATGTGCAGGTTCAATATCTGTGTCACGTTTTAAATTGTATATTGTATTCGCATCTGGCTTGATTATTCAGAATTTGCTTTTTCCTTTATTTACAACGTCTTTTCTACATTTAATACGATTTGAAAATGAAAATTAAAGTGCAACAAATGACCTTAATTTTCATTTTAAAATTACGCTTCCGCCTAGTGTTTCAATCGCCACTGTTTTAATACGATTTAGTTACCAAACACCGAACAAAACCGTTGTGTTATGTAGTGAAAAACGAGAGCGATTAAATTGAATGGTAGGGGTTGGATATTTTTTCCTCAGTTTCCTATTATTTCCCCTTTATTCATCGCCTCCTGTAAGTCCTGTTCCCGGAATCCCACTTTGAAAATCTTCAATGGATGGGAGGCGGAAATTACCGACGCCTGCACGATTATCATGCTAGCGTATGGGATTTTAAGGATTGGGGTTAAAAATTTAAAATGGGATTTAAATTTTGGAATGAAAGATTATTTCTTTTCCAAAATTTGCTTTTTAATAAAACTTTAAGCGAATAAGAGAGACTTTATTACCAAAAATCTGCGATGCAATTCAGGAAGAAGATATGGGATCTTTAGCTGAATCACGATCGCTCGAATCAAGACAGAGATCGCCAGTTAAATTTGTTAACAGAACCGACAGAAACATTGAAATATTTTGGCTAAATTTCTCTGGCCAACAAATATCTTACGGTACGCTTGGTGCAGCAGGTAGTAGGCTGTCAGCAAAGGCGATAGACACTTTTGTATCTCATCCGTGGATCGCCGTAGATTGTGAAAATAAGCAGAGATTGTGGTGTGATAAAAAAGAAGTGTTCTTTCCACCAGAGCCTAATCTTGTGAGGGTTGCAGTTGGTCCTAATAGGGAGGAAGTTAGAGTCAAACGATTGAACATTTTTATCACGAAACCAGGTATAAAAACTGCTATATTCCTCTTAATCACACTTTCTGGTCACAATCTATTCTCTTCCTATTCACCCCAATATGAATATTTCTACTGTTTTATAGTTTTCAATGCAGACAGTCTTATGGATATATGTTGCTGTTTTGTGTCCAAAACATTGCCACATGAAGACATTGACACATTACCATTACCAGATTTCATAAAAGCACATATAAGGAGCAAAAATCAGTAGTTTTTATGCCTTTTCCAAAATGCATTATTTTAAAAAGGACAAGAACTGTAACTGTCAAAGCAATAGTATTTTTCATGGCCAAATATTTGAAATGGTTGCATTTCATCATGCTATGTAATGTAAAGTCAAAACGTCTGTATGAATATTATATGTGTAAAACACAAAGGAATAGAATTTTTGCACTTGAAAAGTTATATCATGAGTAACACTTCAAAAGTGATTCCACAATGCGTCAAATGACAAATTTTCCAATACATCAATGTGCTTCATATTACCAATAAAAAAGCAATCTTTACTTGTTCTCCTTTTATTCTTAACTACTTCAAATTTGCTTTATTACAAATGATTAAAATTTTATCAAAAGCTATAAAAAATAAACTAATGGATTTTTAGTTAACATATCTCATAAAATACATTATAAAATCATTATTTTAAGAAACACACAATAGGATGTAATTTATTTTTTAACTGTGCCAATCGTTTCTACCAACAAATAAACATTGTCTTTTTTATTGACATAGATTTGAGGCTATATATCAAGTTAACTTTTTGTATTTTTATGATTGATCCATTCCATTATTTGCCTGGTCTCCTCCGCTTCCCTCGTAAAATGTTGGCTACAAAAAATACACATCACATATAATTTTATTACTGTCACCAAACTCCATACTATTCATTTCTTTACTTCAATTTCATAAGAAAAACCACAATTGTAAAGCTTACCTTTGTTTCAACTTCTATGTTTTCTTGATCTTGATCATCATCACTCTCCTCTCCAGATGAACCACTGTCCTCTGGATCTTGGGGCTTGTCATTACTTTTAGGTGGTGGTGGTCTGCCTGGTTTCTTCACTAAAAAACATTGTAATAAAACATGTTTTGCCCTCAGATCTCAGTTTCTGGTTTTAGTCTTGCTGAGGTGCCCGCCTGACTTTGTTTCAATTTAATGCATGTTGTATATTGTATTTTATTACTTGCTTCTACCCACCTGACCCAGAGGTTGGCGTGGCAATATCACGGCTCTTTTCTTCATTTGTTAACTCGCTGTAACACTTGTCACAAATGCGAAGCGGCTTCGATGACTGCTGTGGCAGAAGGAATCTTTTCGTTGAGCATGCCCCACAAACCACCCCACCACATTTTCGACAATGGTGCTGCAAATTATGAAAAGAGATATGGTACAAAATTGTTTGATTACTAAAGCAATAGCTTCATGAACTACTAAAAGTGCAAATCACATTTACCCGTCTGTTTAGGGTTGTAAATTTTGTCCTTCTACAATGCATACATAATGTCGCTTCATTATCTGGTATCCAGACTGCTGCATGTTCTGTCAACGGTTGTTTTCCGGCTGAAGGAAGGATATAAAAAAAGTTGGACAGGAAGAAAGGAAATGTAGGAGGAGACTGGCAAAGATATAAAGGAATAGGCCAGATATAACTTACTCTTAGATAAAAGATCAGTTATACATTTATTGATATGGGCCATCCACTCTGCCTTTTCTGTGGCTGTTGCAGCATACACAGCAAATGACTTCTTCGGACTAATAATTTGCCAACCATTTTTCAAAGCTATTTTAGGAAAAGAGAGCAAAGCCTTGATTTCATTGTATAGTGCAATCTAACCTTAAAAAGAATGACTGATTTTTGTTTAATATTTAGTACCTCCATCGTCTTCAATTGCCAGTAATTGCACTCCCTCTAATGGCAGTACATGTTGCTTATTGTACTAAATGAGAAAAACTGGTCAAAACCAATGTTGTATTAACAAAGAACTTCATCAGTTTTGAGATTTCTCAGTTTGGCCATCCACATTTTGGCAAGGTTGATCTTTTACAATTTAATAATTTTAAGTAGAAAGCTATCCATTTAGTAGTAAATTTCATTAAATTGTAAAACAATGAGACAGCAAGCATGCTTTTACTACCTTTTTCTTGTTGATAACAATGTTGCCATAAACCAAAATATCATTAAACAGGTAAAACTAAAGGAAATTATTCGAATATAAAATTACAGAAACAACCAAATGCATTATGAATAGAGTATTTACTCAATAAAAAAGACCCTTACTTGTCTAGGTTTTGGTTTCTTGCGGCACAACTTTGTGAGAACACCTTCGCCCACAAGAACTCTGCCAGATACACCTAGAGGTTGGCCAGAAGCTCCGAAACATTTTTCAACATTATTGATTCTTCTTGCATTAGCTTCACTGTTCACTGAAAATAACAAACAATTTGCCATCATCTTGACAATGCCACTATTAGAATGACCACTACCATCACCACACATTCATGGCATCACCCAGCATCTGATTATCATATCACCTGACTACCATTGTTACCACTATTGTTGTTACATCTCTATCATCACCATTATAAAAGTTCAGACCAATATCATCAAGTGATATCAATACCATAATTGGTTTTAATCAACAATTACTCTACTGAAATTACTCTCCTTTTAAACAATGGTGGAGTTTTTGCCAAGAAAATCATTGCAATTTCATACAATATTGACTGAAATAGTTTGCCAAAATTACTCTAATAGATGTATGTTCCTGAACTTTTAAAATTAGAAAGTTAAATGTGCATCCTGCTAATTTTAAACACAATAGGATATATTCATCTAATGGCATTACGTATGTGTAAAAGCATAATGCATTAAAACTTAGAAATTTGTAATTAGCCAAAAAGCATCATGTTTAAAAGCTTTGGTGGTTGTTCTAAAAAGGAAATTTCTAAATGTAAACCTCGTGAATCTTTAGCGTTTATAATACTGAAATATTTGCTAACAAAATATACCCAATACCGATCATTTGTCTCGGTTTATAGAATACAGACCACAAATCTTTCAATTAAGCATACATTGTTGAAATAAATGTTTCAAATTAAACAATAAAATGTAGAAAGCAATTATATATACAACACCACGGGAGTAGTCGTTAGTCGTTACTTCTTTTTCAAGTGAACATCAATGATCAATGTAATTTGCATACGGTAAATAAACGTTTTCCTGGTTTAGAGTACGAAGAAACTCGCTTCCATGAATGTCGGTAATTCATGGCTAAAAAGTAAGTTGTATATTTTCTCATTCCTAGAATGGATGTAGTATTTATTCAACAGCGATTTAGTGATTGAAATGTGGGAATCATGCCGATATTTCAAAAGCAACCCGACAACGCCGCACATTTCAAACACACTTTTCCGAAGTGCATTAAAATTCGATTCTTTGGTTTTAAACTTACCTAACCGATCCACCATATCGAAGTCTAACCTCCGCAGCGATTGTTAAGGAAATCGCTTAAAAAACTGGGCGTAAAACAGGAAAATTTCAAGATTGTTTTGGCCAAAAGGTTGGAAAGCATAGAATCGAATTAAATTTTCATAGCTTCGATCATAACCCCCCGGAAGGGGCATATTAACCTTCGACACAGGCCGGAAATTACGAGGGAAGCCGAACGTAACAATTATAGACCAAACGGAAGTGTTCGGAAACTGTCGGGCTTTTTTATGACCACTGTTTCTTTATACGGTATACCGAGCTAACATAAAGTATCCCATATGAAGACAATAATTTATTGATTTGGAAAAAATAAAAATGGAGGGAAATGGCCATCATTTTAATCACTTTTTCACCTTCAATCAAACGTATTTTTAACAAAACGTTTTAATAATTCACCTATACTTCTTTGTGGAGAGGAATTCTGTATAATTCTGCGAACCATGGCTGCTTTGCCGGCGCAAGTTTCTGGCGCTCCAAAGCGGAAAGAAATATATAAGTATGATGCCCCTTGGACATTGTATAGTTTAAGTTGGAGCGTACGACAGGATAAAAGATTTCGATTGGCACTTGGTAGCTTCGTGGAGGAGTATAATAATAAGGTGAAGACAGGAAAACCCAGTTGGAAATTGTGTCTTTTGGTGGCTTACCAGTCAAAACGGCCCCAAGTCAAAACGGCCCCAAGTTAAAATGGCTCATGCTCAAGCGATTGTAGACGGCGGACAATAATATGGGGGATAAAAATATTTACGTGTGATATAAATAACTGCAATTATACTTTATATATACGTTTTCCTATAACCCTTACTAATAAGCTTTTGCTACTTATTAACTAATACTAATAACATAAATTCTCATCAACATCATGGATACATGTGTTCGCAAAATGCTTAAATAAAGAATTTTTTAAACATATTTGTAACATATTTAGAACACATATATATATTTGTTTCGAATAAATAAGATATTCATTCAATTAAACTGAAGCAGCTCGATAAGCGCGCGGCCGTTTTGACTAGCAGTAGTGGGGCCGTTTTAACTTGGGGCCGTTTTGACTGGACACCTTTTGGTGAATTTACCCTGGATAATGTTTATATATTTCATGTATATTAATGTCAAATTGTTCAATATGGCATTGCCATGAGTGTTTTTAATGATAAGCGGCCATACCTTGTTGACTGAATTACCTAATGATATAAAGAGATTTTCAATAGGGTCTACAGCAGGGTATATAAGGTATAGGGTATATAAATCCATGATTTTTTGATAACATCTGCTTTGACTTCCATCAATCACCCCTAAAATCTTCACACATGCTTTGAATGCAGGCCATTTCTCTGGATACTCTTTGCTGTAGAAACTTTGAACAGCTGTCCTTTGCCTAATAAAAACAATTTTAATTTTAAACCATTAATCATTCCACATCTTTTTCAAGTTTGATATTTAGTTGTTTTAATTAACATCAAAACCCTCGCCAGAGAAAACTAAAGTCTCAGTATGAACAGTCCACAGACATAGTGAATAACAAGTCCAAAGACAGTTCATTCGTAATGATTACAATTTTTCAATAAAAACATTTCTGAATGAAGTATGATTTTTTTAGGTCCAGGTTGTTCAACTTGATGAAGAAACTGGAGAATTTTCTGTGAAAGGACAGTTTGACCATCCATACCCAACCACTAGGATACTCTGGATTCCAGATAGTGTTAGTATAAAGAGTGCTCATTACCAACACAATTGCAGATAATTGTCAATATCTTATTTTAACTAAAACCAGGATATGTTTATCTCCTGTAGAAAGCTATCTATCCAGATCTGGTGGCAACATCAGGTGATTATCTGAGGGTCTGGCGTGTTAGTGACAGTGATGTAAGATTGGAATGTCTGCTAAATAATGTAAGTACAGAATCTAGTGGAAACCCTTGTTATGTACTCACAGCATGTGTTTTAGTAATAGTTTAAGAGATTTTTCTTAGGTTTGTACTAGAGTTCCACACATCATATATTGTGTACTGTATCAGTTAATAAATCAAAAAAAAATTATACATATTTTCTTCTCAGAACAAGAATTCAGATTTTTGTGCCCCTCTGACATCTTTTGATTGGAATGAGATTGACCCAAACTTAATTGGAACATCAAGTATTGACACAACATGCACTATCTGGGGTTTAGAAGTGAGTTCCATAACAGATGGTTCTGCCATCTTTCCATTAAACCTTCTATTTTCATAGTTTTCATCATTTCATTCCCAGAGTTTCCCACATTTAATTATGATATTTTCATCTGTTTAGACTGGTCAGGTTCTTGGTAGGGTAAACATGGTCTCAGGACATGTCAAAACCCAATTAATTGCTCACGACAAGGAGGTAAACGAAAGTAAAATGCTTATGAAAACATTTTTTACAAGAGGAAACAAGGACTAACTTTGTTGACCGTTGTCATTTGCAGGTATATGATATTGCATTCAGTAGAGCTGGGGGTGGAAAAGACATGTTTGCATCAGTTGGAGCAGATGGTTCCGTTCGTATGTTTGATCTCAGGTTGGTCCACTCTCTGTGGTAGAAAGCAAGCCTTGCAAGGGAAATTAGCAACATTATCTATGTTACTACAGCTAAAAGCAAGTTTTGAGTAAGCTAAAATCATCAAGTTGAAAATTTGTTTTCCCTAAGAAAAATATAGCCATATCTGGGATTTGTCTGTAACCACTATTCCCAAATAATTTTTTTAATTTTCATACGTTTAAAGACACTTGGAGCATTCCACGATCATCTACGAAGACCCTCAGAGGGATCCATTATTACGGCTTGGTTGGAATAAACAAGATCCGAACTATTTGGCGACGTTTGCAATGGATGCAATTGAAGTAGGGAAATAAACTAATTCTTTATACAAAGGTCGCGATATAAACGACTAACTAATCAGTTTCCTCGTTTTTAGGTTATAATTTTAGATGTCCGCGTTCCCTGTACACCTGTGGCCAGGCTGAGCAACCATCGAGGTTGCGTGAATGGTATAGCCTGGGCTCCACATTCGTCGTGTCATATTTGCACAGCAGGTATGGATGCATTTATTTTGGTTCAATCCATATCAATCCTAGATGGCCCTTAGTGTTGGAACAGTTTGAAAATCAAAACTAACAAAGTTGCATTCCCATCTATTATATAAGAAAGATTTTGAAGGCTTGGTGCGCCCTAAGCGCACTTGCAATTTATGACTTTTAACAAATAACCACTTCGGGACCAACCTCCAAGAATTGGAGCACAGCTGTTCAATAAGCGAAACGTGTTTTATCAGATCTAGGAAGAGTTTTCATATTCAGATTATAACTTATAAGGTAGGGTATGTCCATCATGCAGGTATAAAATCATTGCGAGTGACACATTATGGTTAATTTGATTGGTTTTTGAATGGTTTATGAGAGTTCGAACAACTCTAGATAAGAACGGTGTAGAACTGGAGAAATTTATTTGTGTTTGTCACAGGTGATGACCACCAGGCCCTGATTTGGGATATTCAGCACATGCCACGCGCCGTGGAAGACCCTATACTGGCCTATAAAGCGGACGGAGAAATTAATCAAATACAGTGGGCAAGTACTCAACCAGACTGGATTGGTATATGTTATAACAACTCTTTAGAAATACTCCGTGTTTAGACACGAAATGAGCGTTGGGGTCGTCTCTGGGTGCATTTGCCTGCGAGCAGGCTCGTCATCTTAGAGGACGCGTGTTTTGGCAAATTTGAGTAGTTGTAGTACATGAAGTATTAGTCTCGGATCGGTAGGAATTGGCTCAGTCTAGGCTCAGGATAGCTTAAACTAGCAAAGGAACTGTACTATAGTGTAGTATTTCTCACACAAACTATGTCTGGACTTGCATCATTGTCTTCATCGCTAGCGATGTAATTCAATGAACAGCTTTAACCAGCACATCATCAAGTCCTTTAAAAAAAACTATCTTGTCTGTACCCAGCTAATAAGCTTATCAATGAGCGATTGTATATAAAATTATAAATATTAGCTAAGAGCAGCATCAGCTCTTAGTTTAAAAGCAAAAAATTGTTCCTTATAGCATTTCAGCACTGTGTGTAATTATTTTCTTGAAGGTGGTGCATGTGATATCACGTTTTACTGGTGCAGGAAAATTGTGGGATTCTATGATTTTTCGTGACCACATTTTTTTGTTGATCTGCTAAATAATAGTAAAAGAGTTAACGCCTAAACCATTCTGACAAAATTGTACAAAAATTTGACACATCTTGAAAGATATTTACCTATTTGAAAACTGATTTTTATTCAGATAACTATTCCCAGTCCTTTCTGTACTATCTGGTCGCCTACTCACAGTCACCTTTAAAAAGTGTAGACGTCTAGTCCACATTCAGTCGCATAAGATAAAGTATAGGACAACATATAGCCACTGACGCAAATATTACCCATACCGTGGCTCCGACGACCACAAGCCTTGAAGTCAAATCATGCAAAAATGACAGGCCTTGTCCTGCTATTGGGAAATACCTATAAATCAAAACAAACATGGCTGGTGTAAAGGTCACAACGCAGTAGATCAGACCAAAGACTATAGACGCGCTTGCACGAATATAGTACAAGTTGAAATCTTTGAACCGACTCAAACGATAAAAACCAGAGACTCCTTTCCAGAACGAATTGATCAGCATTACAGTGTAGTAAAAATATAGTAGTGTTCTTCCCAAATTTAGGGAATCTTCAACGTAATCCTCCTGCCTGCATTTGCCCGCGAATATACACGCAACACACGCGAGACCTTTGCTGCCCGAGCGCAACACGAGAAGTTCCAAGTTCAAACAAGACAGCGGAACATCGCGAAAAATCGCCGTCATCAACGAAAGCAGGCTGTTGCGGGTTAGGCGGGTAATGCGGGTAGTCGAGTCTAGTCCTTCTTGAAACGCAAATCTTAATGATGCTATCCAGAAAGCAAGGTGGGTAAGAAAGGCAACGAATGAGACTGCATTAAAGAATGCTGTTAAACCAAAGATGGATTTATATTCCGAGATCTTTTTGGATACAGCGTCACTGCTCCATGCCCCGACTTCTTCGCATTCTGATATTGTGTCGATGTTGTCCTTAAAATCGACACTACGACGTTTGATAGCTCGATGTTCATTTCCCCGGGGCATTCTTTTTACAGGATCGATTTCCCAAGAAACCTTTTTTCGGATGACGTCTTTTCGAGGCTCAAATATCGTAGGGTTTGTATTTCGATGATCGACCGATTTCAGAAGAGGGTTTTTTCGCCGAGGGTGCAAATTCTGCTGATTCGAGTTCCGAGAAGGAGGATTTCGAATTTGGTCGTGAAGAGATTTTCCTCCGATATGTGAAGGTAAACTGCTAGGCACATTGGGATTTTCAAGGATAGAACGTCGATTTTTGTTTCTCCCAGCGACAGCTGTTGTTAGGTTGGAACTTTGTTGGTGTACACTGCAGGTTTTAACCGTTGGTAGGTTCAAATTCGTGTTTTTTTCAGGATCAAGGAGCGTATAATTTACGTTCGCCCAGTCAGCGGAATGGGTCCAAGCATTCCTTAACACAGCAACGGAGGCAGCAATATCGATTGATCTTAGGATTAAGAAAATGATAAATTGTGCTAACAAACCACGATATTTTTTATGACGAATTTCGTCTCTCTTTGCCTTTACTTGTCGAGTCATCGTCAGGAACACAAGAACTCTTCTCTTTTATTTCCCAGTTGGCGATATTCTGTTTGACAAAAGGTTGTTCGGCAACGATTTATCTCACCAAAAACACTTCTAGTTTATTTCAGAGTTTCACCCTCTGAGGCTAGTCTAGAAATATTTAAATGAGAACTTTGGTTTCACGAGCAAATGATTCACTTACAAAATGAAGCAGTTTTGAAAATCTTGATAAACAGCTATCAAGGAGATGTATAGATGATAATACATCAATCATATACAACAAATATTCATCGTTTTTCAAACACTAGATTTGAGTTATTAAGAAAAATCACAAAATACTGGTTATTATTCGTCATGACAAACCACCTGCATAAGTAAAGTCAAATATCACGAGAGTTTTAATTCTGCCTTATATCTTATTAATGCAGTTCAATTCGTTAGTTTGGAAGGATGATAGCATCAAAAATATTCACATTTTATTAAATTGTCTGCTGCGTTTGAGAAAGGATTTATAAATGATGTACTTGAAATCTTGAATAACTTTAGAACGTTTTTGAGCACTTTTCACTCAGAATAATATGGGCATAGATAATTCAAATGATCTGTTTTTTATTTGACAGTATAAAACTCTTAACTCCGTATATAACAACTGAGAAACGTCGTAATGTCACAAGAGGGAAAAGTACCAATGCCTAAAATCTATGTTTCAAAGACAAGTACTTACAATTATGCCAACGATCAAGTATTTCACTGTCCACCTGTTGTAACATCTATATTTATAGTATACAAGGAAGATCTTTTATACTATAATCTGAGGGAGGTATATTTTTTCTTGTGAGAATGCATACCTGAGAATCAACTAGTCACAATCCTTTCCCCTGATATCTCTGTTTCCAATGTTCTTCACTTCTTGTTACAAAACGACTTTGTTGACGGTTTGAGCATTTGAGTATTAGATATTCTGACGTCTATATATTGCTGCATGATCATTACATACGTCATTTGGATCTTTGATATTCGATTCTCTTTTTATGATATTGCATATATAATGTTCAACATTTTGCGTTACTTGCTCGTAAAGCTTGATTACGCGTAAATAAAGTATACTTTACATTAGTCATATATGGCTAAGCTAAGACCACAAGACATATTCAAGTACAATATGGTATCGGTATATCTTGATTGGCTTGAGAAGCATGTCTATCGCCCGCTATACTATAGCTTTCTAATTTTTGCTTGGTTTTGCTGTTTTGGCAAACCACCAGTTGACGTTTTTGACAGGAACCTGTCCTGTATTGTGAAGCAAGCTCATTTAATATACGTAGAATATAATATCTGGGATAAAAGCTTATCTTGATGCGTGCATGGGTTTATGGCTTTTTATGATGTACAGCATTTTTTCCCGTGCGATAAATCGACAAATCTGTATGCAAATACATCAGCTGAGTGCTGACATGTTTTGCTGATGATCAGCTGGTTAACAATTGAGATGAGTGTTCCAATATCCCATTGGCGGGTACAAGTTGAGAATGACTAGAGGGGTGGACAGAAGAGAGTCTATAATCAGGGGTCTATAATCAGGTTCTATATTCATCTGTGTGAACATGCAAATATATTCCAATTCAGGTAATTTAGCTTGTAATTACTACAAGCTAAATTACTTATTTACTGTCACCATGCAAAGATACAAGAATATTATGTTCTAATATCTTATTATATTTTGTCTAGTTAACCCCAAACCCACACGATTCGGATTTTATAACGATAAACAGAGTCGTAAAAAAACCCTACGGGAATTTTATTAAACAACTACACAGTATTTCTCTCGGCCAAAAAATTGCTTCTACTAAAAACAGCTTTCTATTTGTAATAGTATGAACAATGGCCTTGCCGCATCGATAATTGGGAGGGGGCATATTCATGAATCCATGTTCTCATTGGCAAGTTCTTCTGAGTCTGCAGTCTGTTAACATGAATATATGAATATGCCCGACCTCCCTCCTAATCATTGATGCTACTAGCTACGCCACTGGGTATTAAGAACGTTAAAATGACTGATGTTCAAGAAAGAAAAATCGTGAAGAAATCCAAAGTACGTGGGCGATGGATTGAGGTGTAACGTATGCCTCGAGTTTATTTTGGATTTACATCAAGATTTGTTTTCCACAATCGGTAAACAGTTCGTCGATATCTCTTGCAACGTGTCGTCCCGTTTCGCTAGTCTGTAACTCGTCCACCAATGAACACCTAGCTGTACGAGAGCACACGTGATCATTACCACAATGCTTTGGGTGCATTGCAAAAATATCGCTAGCATACATGCATAAAGTACCACGATTGTGTCCAGTACTATAGGGTTGATATTCTTCTGCAACACCTTGGGTAAGCCCTCGACTTTGATGAAGTTCGTTTCTTTTACGATTATGAAGGCTTGTATCGCCATCATCAACACTGGTAATGCGATGTATCGACATGACAACAATATTGCGGTCAGTGGTAATCCCAGGAAGAAAAACATCGGCGAAAATACGAATCCTAAATCCAGAGATTCCTTTTCGGCGCTGCTAATGATCTCCTGTAGTTCTTTAGTAACATGATTCTCCTTTGAATTTATCTCTTGATGTCTCATTGTGTTCTCTTCTGCCTCCATAGAGGTAAACCCTTGTTGTACCTTACTAACCCCGGTCAACCCGTGTGTTCCTTGCTTACCGGCTTTGTCCATTAATGGATTGTTATTTCCGTTGATGACTGGGCCCAGTCTTTGGTTATTATTATTCCCCTCTCCGTTGTTCAAACTCTCAGTTATCCCCTTACGTTCATCGTGTTCATCGGTATCCAAGAGTTCCTTCAGATCCTCCAGTTTCCCCTTATATTTCAGTTTCTTCAGCAGAATGTTCCTTTGCTTGATTCTCTTTTCAAACTCTTTACGTAGTCGTTTCTCCAGGACTTTCATTGCTTCGCGTTGCGTCGTGACGAGCTCGTGCTCCTTCTCGATAATGTGATTTAGTTCATTAATCTCGTGTTCTAGTTCCATCTCGCGTGTGGTCGCGCATGGCTCCTCGTGTTTAGTGGTTTCCACGCAAATTGTTTCGTAGAAATACGAGAAAGCGATCAAGCTCAGTACGTATGAAAACAAATTTACGGCATTAGGAAGGAAATATAGTCCACGAATGTATAACACCTCACAAAGTAAAGTGATTACGAGAGATTTTCCTAGAATTGTTGCCGCTTTGTTCCACTTGGGTGATAAAGGACTGTCATTCCTAGAAATTTCATCATTTTCCGGCTCTGAATTCATCATGTTCATTTGTAAACGTTCTGTCCTCATATCTTCGACGTACTCTTTTAGTTTCTCGTATTTTTCGTACAATTCCTGAATCGGCATCGTATCTTTGCTGGAATTCTCAACGGCTTCTAGGAACTTTTCGTGAAGTTCTTGAAACGAGGACCTGATCTTTGCGTAACGATAAATTTCATCACATTGTATCGTAACCCCGCCGCCACAATTGTCACACGGCAGAGTAACTTGTGAAGACTTGTTACGATCCTTTTGACCCGAAAACATTTCCACGGCTTTGTATTTCTTATTCTTATGAAGTTCATTTACCCAAAGTGCAAAGAAGATCAATGTTATGAAAGTATTTGCGAAAACGAAAAGATATTTTCTAGAAATGATAGGGATGTTTGTACATCCGAGACTAAAGACGAGAATTAAGAATATCAGAACAAGAATAACGTTCTCAGGAATCTTCACAGCGAAAATTTTTCTGTAAATCTTTTTCAAAAATTCAAGTGCTGTTTGGGAGGTTGGGGTTGTGTCATCGTCGTTAGAAGTTTGAGCCGAAACAGCATCGCTTGTGTTTCCTTCAGCTGATGCACAACCAAGACTTGCGGTCTCACTTTTTTGTGAATCACTTTCACGTTCCTTGATTTTATTATTTTTGACAATTTTTTCGGGTAAAACGGTTGCCAATGTGTTGTTTCTTAAACCTGGTGTCTCTCGAGGCTCACTTTGGGTCCCATTTTCTTTCAAATCGCTTTCACCTTCCAGCTTTTGAACACCTTCAACTGTATCTTCAACGCTCTTTTTCTCCCGTTCCACCACTTCTTGTAAAGAGGTTTTAAATCCCTGAACCAGGACATCCATGTCGTGAATATGTTCTGTTAAGGTGGCAACTTCTCGTTCGTGGTTTTTCAAATGTCGGATTTGTGCTTGTGACTGGGAAACATATTCTTCCAGAGTATAACGAAGGTTCACATTAGTTGCTTGTGCTTCACGTAATTTTTGTTCACTTTCTAACCATTTGTCTGTCAAGGTTTCAACTTGATGTTTTAGTTCCTTGTTTTCACAACTAACCGTTTCATTTAAAGCCTGAAGTTCTTTCACGGATATTTTTAACTTGTCTCTCTTCTCCAGTATTTGCCTCCTTTCCTGCCTGAGTTCGTCTAACTCTGATATCAAACTTTGTGTTTCGTTTTGCAGTTCGTTTATAAGCTGTTGTTTGTTATCAAAATCCAGTCCACTGTTGTCTAGATCAGCTCTTTCCACACTCTGACCTTCACGTTCATTTTGATATACTTCGCTCAACAGTAAATCCTCGTTACTCACAACAACTTCAAGTTCTGGGACATTTTGTTCGCTCTGCAGTTGGTTTACCATCGTAGGATTGATTTCTCCGTCCACCTCAGAGCGTTCTGTCAAACTTTGATAACTCAATTCATCCTGATGAAGAGAATTGTCATCAGTAACAACTTGCTCTCTTTCAATTTCATTTTGGTCGCTCACATCGATTACTTGCATTCTCACGTCTCCCACAGATTCCTCTCTTTGTCTCATTCTTTCATTCTCGTGCTTCAACTCTTCCATTTCCTTGTATAGTTTTTCCAATTTTTGTTTTGCAGCCACTAGTTCGTTTTCATTGTTCTCTTCTAATGCCTCGAGCAGTTGATACTTCGTATTCAACGCGGTCAAATCGACCTGCAGTAAAGTTACTTTGGTGTTAGATTCATCAACACTTTGCTGGCTTGAGATCAACTCCTCTCTCACCCTTGCTAATTCCGTATTAGCAATGCATAGTTCCTCGTTCGTGCTCGTTAACTTCTCATTCGTGTCGCCGAGCTCTTTACTCGTTTCCTCTTGCCTGCTTTCGTGTTCTTTAATTTCATTCCGGGCAGATTCAAGCGCCTTGGTTCGTTCTTCAACTACCGCGGTCGATTTATCAAAACTCTCCTTAATTTCACTAACTTCGTTTTCTAGAAATGAGATTTGTTTTCTTAGAATTTCAGAAAGAACTCGTTCTTGTTCTAGGAAATCATTAACTTCTTCCATTTCCGATTCTGTGTAGACAAGTTCAGGTTTATCGTTCAAGGGTGTTGGATTATCATCACAAATTCTCCGAAGTCTTTCAATTTCCTTCTCGTAACCTTCGAGGATTTCTCTCTGGTGCGCTATAGTTGCTTCACGGTCCAAAACATCACCTTCTTTCTCGGAAATCGTTTCTCTCAAACATTTGCATACCTCTTGGAGTTCCTTGTATTTTTCCAAGGCTTCAGCTAAGTGTTTATCTCGTTTCTTCAATTCGTCTCTTGATTTCTTGATCTCCTCTTCTAATGTCAGTCTTCCCTCCTCCATCTGAAATTCCATCTTCTGGACATCGGCCGAAAGTAGCAGAACATTCTCCTGTAGCTTTTCAATCACCTGTTGATGAAAATGTATCGTAAGTCATGGAGGATCGAAGTACAGCTTACCTCCACCGCGAAGATACACCCATTACACGAATTACTTTGTGTGCGAATTAAAGTCCCCCCCACTTACCTCGTCTTTCCCTTTGCTCGTAAACTGTTTGTCTTCTAAATCATCCGATAATTTTTTCACTTCGGTTTCTTGTCTGGTCAAGAAGTTCTCTTTATCAGCTTCTACCGCCTCCAAACAACCATTCACCCGCTCCAAATCTTCCTCCAAATTGCGCTTTGATTTCTTCAAATTATCATTATCCAATCGCAAGTTCTTATTTTCTGACGTCAGGTTGCTAATGGTAACCGCATCTTTGTCATTCTGATCGCAAAACTCCCTAATCCTCTTCTCAGAATCTTCGAGTTTCTTTCGCAAATCTTTACAAATCTCTTGGAAATCTTCAGCCTCTTTCTGAGAAACGATTAATTTTTCAAGTAATTCTTCACAACGCTTATCCTCGAAATCCAATTGCTCTTGTAATTCTCGGACTATCTTTTCCCGCGCCCACAGGCAGTCTTGGAATTCCTCAATGCGGTCGTCTTTTTTGGCGCTAGAATTTAGTTCCCACTCGTAACTCCGCTGCATTTCTCGGTTCCACTTTTCCTCCCGTTGACAGTTCGCACGGATTTCCTCGATCAGCTCTTCATCTTCAACAACCTTTTCCCGCAATTCTTCGATGAGGGCTTCATCTTCATCAAGTTTTTCTTGCAGTTCCTGAATTTTGCTTTCCTTTGATTCCAAGGAACTTTGAACTAGACGCGATCTCTCTCCCGAAATCTCATCGCCATGCGTGTCGAACTTCTCCGCGATTTCCGAAAGTCTTCCAAGAAGTCCCTCATTCTGTGCTCGGAGTTCTTCGTTCCGAACTTGGAGACTGTCGACGTCTTCCGTTTTACTCTCGAGTGATTTGATAGAGTTCAGATAGTCATTATTTAGTTCTTCAACTTCAAGGAACCGCTCCATCAAATTTTCATTTATCATTTTTTCCTTCTGCAATTCATCTTTCAAAGTTTTCAGATTTTGAGCCAAGCTGGTCATCTCGGTCGAACTTGAATTATCCGTGGTACAAATATCCGGTTCCTTCGGAGTGAGATAATCAAGGGTGTTATCTCGTAGGTTTTTGTTTTCTCCGGGAGTCGATTCACGTAGGAAAACATCTCGGACAGCCGCATCTCCCAGTTCGGGAATAGACTGTACTTGTTGAATAGGTTCCTGCGAGAATTGTTCTTCAAATATACGTCTTTGCTGTGTCTTATTTTTGTCCAATTCTTTTAGCTTATTACAGTTTTCTAAACACCTCATTAGTTTCTCCTCCAGCATGCTAACGACGAGCTCATTTTCCTGTAATTTACTCTCGATACCATCTTGGAATTTGTAGAGCATTGATGGAATTTCGTGGAATGTTTGTTTACCCCTTGCCCTTGTTTCATTTTCCGAAGCAGCTTCGTAGGATTTCAAGCGCTCTTCAAGCAGATTGACTTTCTTCTCCAATTCACCTTTTTCTTTTCTCAATTCTAATATTTTCAACACATTTTGTGAGCCTTGGCTAAGGTCTAGTGAGTTTCTACCTTTTCTTTCCTCTGTTTGACGCATTTCATTTAACTTCTGTTCAAGCGCTAGTATTTGTGACTCGCGTTCTTCTAATATCCATTCATACTCCTCCCTGTTTTTCCTCATGTGTTCCTGAAGTTCTTCTACTCTCCTATCGCGTTGCTCAATTGATCCTTGACAGCCATATCTGTCATTTGTTTTGACATAACCCTCTTCATCACCTGTTATCACCTGATACTGCTCATGCGGTATCATTTGTGTGTGACCAGCGATCCTGTCGCGATCCTTAAGTGTCCCGACATAGTGCTCAATATCCTGGCTAAGCTTACGGTTGACTTTACTAAGATTGTCAATTACTAAATCTTTATCAGCTATCGTTAGCTCAAGTTCCCTAACAGCTTTTTCCCAGAGCTGCCTCTCTTCAATAAACGAAGGACTACCTGATGTTTTCCTTTGCTCCGATAGTTTTGTTACCGCAGCCTTGTTCGTTGTTCCTGAAATATTGTTTATTTCCATATCTTTGGTTTGTGCTGTTCTTCCTTCCCCCTCATTCCTTACCCCACCATAAGGTGTTTTGCTCTCGCTTTTCCCTGTATTTTCCGACGGTTTTTCAAAGGGAATCTCGCGACTTTTTTTTAACATTTTCGGTGATTGTCTTGCGTCAGTTTTTGCTGCAATTTCAGGCTTTTTGTTTTTTAATTTTCCTGTGTCTGATGTATTTTTCGTCTTCGTATCACCGTCCTGTTTGTTTTTCATGTTCACACCATCTGGAGGCTTTCTCGTCACAGCTTTCGACGCCATTCTTTCTGAAATCTTTTCCTTCAACTCCTTGAACGTGTTCTCCCAGGTTACAGCATGCCTTTCCTCTGCTGATGGCTTCCTCTGTAAGTCGAGTTTGGCTCCTGATTTAGCGTTTTTCTGAAGTTTTGTTTGTTGTTCGCCTACTGCAGCCTCTCTTGGGATTTCCAAACTTTTAAACATGGAACTGTCGGATTTTGCTTCTGATTTTTGTCTCTTTGGCTTTGGTGGAACCACAGGTGGTAACCTGGCTCCTGTTTTATTCACACCTCCTTGTTTCCTCTCCTCATAAAGTGACGCACTTCTTTCATCATTTTTCTCAATATAATCCTTTCTGCCAGTCTTACTTGGATCATCATCATTTGTCTTTCTCTTTCCACCCGCCTGATCTAAATCTTTGACAATATTCGCCACCACCCCCCTGGTAGGCTTAGCCCAGTTTTTCCCGCGATGGCCACGTCCGCTTGGGTCATGCGATACCACGGTCGGGTAACGTCGGAAGCTGTCGAAATCATTATTCGTAGTGGCTACGGAAGTGTTCATAGGTTGAACCACCTTTTGCTGTATGGTGACTTTCCTTACAGGCAGTTGATCCCTGTTCCTTGACATTATTAACAACTTATCTAAAATCAGAAACACATCAATTGTAATTTTGGTTTGGGGTGTTACTAGAATGTATGATGGTGACATTGATTGGAAGTTATGAACTCGTGGTAACAATGGTAATGATGATGTCTTCCCTAGCAATGTTCGATGACATTTATTTAGTATTTATTCAAGCATGGGTTATGTCTAGCTAGAGCTGTATACGGATTTGGAGGTTGTAGTTAACTGAAATAATAGTCTGCTGCATCGCAACTAATTGGAAATCATTTCTTATGTAACGGAGAAGCAACAAAGTGATTCACTGTACGTTTTCAGGGCTAAAGTTCCTGGCGAAAAGTGGCTTTACTTTAGCTAAAAATTAAATGAACACCGCAGCCAGTTTGTCTATTTGTTATTTAAATATAATATTAATTTCAACATATTTTCTTTTTATCCACACCGTTTATCTGTCTAACGCCTTAGTACAGATCACTACAGTACAGATTACATTCTTTTGTGCATTATACAATATACATTTATTTAAAGTCAACAATTGTTATTTATTTGAGGTGACAAACTACACCAAACTACACCAGTTTCTACTACATAATAAAACGGCATGCAAATGATGGTTTTTAGGCATAGGCGGATCTAGGGTTAACCCTGAATCCGCCTCTGTTTTTAGGGTAGAGATCTTGACCGAAATTGTTCCCGAGTGTTCGTGAACATATCACTTCATTGTGGAGGTATCTCGTTTTCGTGGGCGCTTCGTGTATACCGCGCGTGTGTTATGGTTTTCTTTGTATTTGTCCCTGGAATGCTCATAACTAATCCAACTTTATCATACTCATCAGAGGACAACAACAGCCGCCCATCAATACGATAACCCACATTAGTGCGCCGATGATCATAACCCGATCAATGATATCGGAGAAAAATCCCTTCTGAACACCGGGTAACGTGTAATACCGGTATTTCAGCAGCACCATTGCGGGAGTTAATATTACGATGTTGTAAATACCGGCCGCAAATAAAGAGACCAGAGCACGGATGATGAAAATATCGAGCACGCCTGTGCGTGTAAAACGAAACATGAAGGTTAAGCCTTTCCATGTGGTTGTTAGCGCTACGGCAAATAGCAGGAAGCTTAGTTTACCCGAGGAATCGCTTAGCAGTTCGTTCAGATGGTCGGTTTTTGTGCAAGTTGGTATATGAGTGCACAAATAGCATATCAACCCGTCTCTGCCTCGCCGTAAGAGGTACAATTCGATAGCTATGCATGTTATTGGAATGTCCTGGAAGAAGCTTTCGGTTATAGCAAAGATTGCTTTTCCTTTCACAAGCTGAGGCATGTGTTCCGTCATAAAGTCGATTTTTGTCAAAGAAAGAATTATCGCGATTAGCCACATGCAGAAGTGTAGAAAAAAGATTAGCCCTGCTAATGCGAGGAATACAAGATAGATCATGAGCACCGAGTTGAACAGGTCGTAAAGCTCTCTTAATTTCTCCATATCCCATTCCGTTGTCGTACAGTAGCTCACTGCTTTGGGAGTATATGGTTTGCTTGTGTTTGTAGTATTCTTGAAGTTTATAATTTTTCCATATTCGTCGTAGGCCTTTCTTCCCTCAATCCAGATGTTAAATGCGGATCCAATATCCATTCCTTGTAAAAACATGAAGAAAAGCATTTCGTAAAGAAGTCCTTTACGGAGCTCTGGTTCAGGATCTGGTTGCTTCGGTTTTCCCATAGCGAGACGATCGTTAGCTTGGCGTTTGAAAAAGGATTGTTCTTCAATGGAAATTAAGTTGACGATTCGTTGCCTCGAAAACCTGTTCACTCCTGTGTTCTCTGTTTTGTAAAAGAGAGCGGCTTATAAGTATTAGAAAAAGATTTGTGGTTTTCTAGCCAAGAATTCCTCTTCTGTTTACGAGATCATTACGTCCCGTGGATGATTTGCCGAACTATTTCGCCCGAAGGTAAAGTTGCAGAGGTAGCTAGGTTTGATTGAGTTATTAGCAAGAATGGTTAATTTGATAGCAGGTAGTTAAATCTTGTGGTTTTTTGTTTTTTTTCCATTCCTGTCATGCTAATATTAAAGATGTCTCATTTAGTCATTCTTTCGGATGTGTACGCCGAGACGTCTTTTAATTGCTTCTAGATGCTCTGAAGAAAGTTAAGAGCAAGTCTTTTGTTGAATATGTAGAGAGATTTTGACGACAGACGTATGTAGAGAGACGTTGATTTGCGCTACTATTTGAAGATGCAGGTGGCGCTAGATCTTGTGGTTTTTCCTTCTGTTTTGTCACTTTTATAGTTGGCCGAGTGCGGATGGTGAGGTTGTCTTTAGCTGCTTCGAGAAATATTGAGGAAAATCGAAAGATTGGAGAAGATTTCCTCTGCTTAAATTTGCTTAAAGAAAGTTTATTTATCGTACACAACGAAATTTATCTGCAGGTGGCCGAGAATACGTTATCGGCTTTTCTTTTTTTAGTTCCGCATAGGATAAAAACTTTTACTTACAAGCTATATAGATATAGATATATTTAAATATATGATATTTTAGTTGACTTCATAAGTTCCTAACGTTATCTGACATCTTAAAAGCAATGTTTATTTGAAATATATGGCGTCATCTATAGAATTAATGATTCAAGCATATTATCTGCATGGCCATAATATTATGCGCTATGTATATTAAAATAGTTTTTGTATCTAACTGGTTCGTACTGGTGGCATTATCCAGATCCCAATTCTTTGGAAACCCTGTGTACTAGTCGTGTATTCATATATTTACCTGCTCGCGGGTGACGCATCCCCACATTCTGCGGGCTAAACAAAAGATTGTGATGCCGTCTGGGAATATCCTGTAGCGTTAGTTCAAATATGTGAAACCCGTTTGTGCCTGTTATCGAACTGAAAGAGCAGTGGACGAATGACCTTCACCCGCTTAAAATAATCACCTACAAGTGTGAATTGACCTCCAACTTGGACACGAAAGCCCAACAAATTAGGTAGTACTATATAATGTCTTCAAGACAGATTCCAAGTTCAACTGTCGGTTTCGTTTCTCGAGCCTGCGAATCTTCCAGGGGATTAAGTCGAATTTGACCCGTAATACAAGAAGCGTGAGAGCACACCAAAATGGAAACTTCCTCAAGATAAGGACTTCAATCAAGTCTAGACAAAAAATTTGAGTGCACTTTGGCGGCTAACTTCATAGCCTTTTGTCAATGAAGTAAAAACTCATTTTGCCTGCTTCTAAAAGGATAATCCTGTGGGCTTACAGACCAGAGGCGAACAAGAATGCCGCCCATCAGAGGTGTAATAATCAGCTTTTTACTCTCAACTTTCATAGGTCATCAGTCATGGAATAGTATTTACCCTCCTCATCGTTCAGGCTGAAACTTAGAATGAGGTTAACGTTTAGCGAGAGTTTTCAGTTATTCTTTTGGTAAAAGGTGCGCTCTGCATCGGTTCATTATTTTCGTTCAGCGCTCGTTTTCATCTGAATAAGACACGTGCATAAAAGAGTTGCATGAGAAACTTCTCTTTATCTCGCTGGCTAATTCCCACGAACACTCTGGCGTTGTTTCTTCAACCCGAGCTTATCTTGTTTGGAAACATTGAATCATGCGTAGTCGACAGAGATAGGAAAAGTTCTGCCTTGCCATATATAGACTTCGGAAGATAGATTGCCGTAGGTGTATGAATGATAAAGGAGTGTAGATCATAATTATTCACAGCAAAGTATCCAACTTTTTTCAATCGAATGTCACTTAAACAACGAACTTTTTAATGTGTACATTTGTGCATCTTCAAACATCGTATAATATTTCCAAATAATTCTCATAAGCGGCGCCTTTAGGAATATGGTCGATCAGTTATTGGCTGGTGATAATCGTTGCCAAAATCGTCAGTATTCTTCGATGTCGTAGTGACTAACTATGCCTAACTACCACAAATTATGTATTCATTGCTAGCATTGATATGTACTGTTGTGTATATTATATAAAACAGTTTGACACTATTTATATGCATTTCCAGCATTTGAATTCTACTCAATCCTTCTCAAATTTCCCCTTCCTCAATCCTCGACAAACTATTCAAATTTACACAAGGAATTTAATACTTAACTACTGAGAAAACTTACCTCGAAATATTAAGAAGTCCCTTTTAGACTATGCCATCTTTTTGTCGGCAAATATTTTCCGTACAATAACTCACGTTACACGTATGCAAATTTCAAAGCATTAAAACCGTCGCGTGTCTTGAAATCTTCTTAAACGCAAGAATCGGTAAAAAATTTCACCGGATTTCGATGTGGTTAGTAGCCCACACGTCTGGATGTTGTTTATGTTCGAAATTGTTTCGACAGTACATCGGTTAACCGCGCGTTTTGAAGTTTGTTATTACAGCCAGGGAAACATGCTTTCATGTTTGTATACTCTGGACAAACTTTCGAGCGCATTAGCCGTAAGCCATCTCATTATTTATTCATCTCAAGTTTAGCTTAGCTTTACCCAAGCATTTACGTGTTTCTGTTAAGAGGAAACTAATCTCAACAAGCCTAAAAGAAAAAAAAGGGACGGATAATGATAAAATGCGTATGGAGGCAGGTGAACTTTTGCAAATTTTTTAAAATCGGGAATTGGTTTTTCATACGCCTCGTGCTTTATCTTTCATGTATAATTAGATATGATTTGTCATCACGGGATATTTTTGGACTTTTCCAACCTGCAAACTCCTGATTTAAAATGTTGAACTTTGTTGAAATATTATCGGGTCTATCTAACAACTTTACCCTTAAACATACTTGTTTATAAAAGAAGTAATGTTGGTAATTCACAGTTGGTTCAAACTATTAGGCCGTTTTTTAACAAGTAATCATAGGTCATTATCTTTTTGGATGAGCTGAGGTCTTGTGAAAGTCTGTGCTTGCGGGCAGATTTAGCCTGCACGACCCGCGAGTATCAAATGCAATGACGGTAAGAGTATTGGTAAGCATAAGCCATATAAATTATGTTTGTTTAACAACAATACTCTCGCTAATACTTTAAAACTTAGCAGGAAACCGGAGGATTATCCAAATAGCACCAAAAGCTATTCTCTTTTATTTACACCTAAGATCTTCAACTGACATAATTGCCGCATATAAACCTTGGTGAATTTAGTGACTGGCATTTAAAGCGGCCATTCTCAGGCCGAGTGCTTTGGCGTTGAATGCAAGGCTGAAACTTGTTATGTAAACAGGACGCTCTTTGCCTGCCACCTGCTTCATCCTGAGCATGCGTAGGCTATGCACGGAAATAATGGCCTGGGTTAAAGTAATTGGCCTGTGTACAAGCAGGAAGACGATGAATGAATAATTCAAGTCACTAGCTCTCAAAGCGAACCACGTTTATTCCTCCTATGTGGCTTTTTTATACTGATTATTTTTACTATATAAACAAGAATACGTCATTTTTCTAATTCAATTTCACAATCTGCGGATGCTCGGAGTGTTTATGCAGGAAAAAGAGCGGAAATTAAAGTCGCGCAAGCCTAAGAATAAAAAATCAGTCGGGAATTGCGCCCGTAACGTTCTATATTCTTTAGAACAGGCAAAGTAACAATCGAACACTTTAAAACGTTCCAAAATGTTTAAAGAAAATTCTAAATTGTTGCAAAGATAATTGTTGCAAAGGATGTAGCAAAAAATGTTGCAAGCGTGAGAAAAATTAATTAGAACTTTTCTCGTGTGAGTAAGAACTTTTTCGTGGGAAAAAGAACATTTTTCTTGGGAAGAGAACTTCTTTGTGCGGAAAGAACGTTTTTCGTGGGAATATTTCAGTTATAACGCAGCGTAAGAAGAGGACTAAGAATAAATAAGAAATATGAGGTTTAAGACTATAACACTTAAGCAATAGCTAGCGTTATTTTGGCCTTGATGTTAATTGACATTGCACATAAAATTTTGCTAAATATCTGGTAAATTCGCGAGTATAACTAGACATAAAGAGCTAGTTTTCCCTCTAGATAGCACAGTGTATTGATGTTTTTTTTCGAAAAGTTAGAGGGTAGCGTTGTGTCCTGGCCAACAGTTTTCAAAGAAAATTATTCGATGACAGTAACTCATTGTATATCCGTGCATGGAAATAACCGGGGAAATATGTATACCAAGATAGAAATTTGCTTCCGAAACGGAAACAATGTTTTCGTGTTTATCTCAAGCCTAAATTTTCATGACAATAACAATATACTACTTTTCAGGGGTATTTCAGATAAAGCGCTTTTTAAAGAGCTTAAAAGTCGGACTATATAGTATACACATCTCCATCTAGTAACGCTTTTAAATATTTATAATCATTCCACCAGCTAACCGCGGGTTTATATATGCAAAGCATTGCGACCGCATGAGAGATCTTGACTGCTTGGTGCTTGCAGCCCAACGCGCTTTTCAATTCAACATACTTTCATTCTAAACTCAAATTAGAAAAGAAGTTAACTCAAGTTCCCTAACTGAGTATCCCGTCGATATTTTTCTCGGAAAAACAGTTTTTGAAGGTAAACAACTTAATATATATTATAGCTGAGTAAATAGCATGCATGCAGGTATAATATAAATTGATATCAGCGTTGCATGGACACGAATACTAGACTTCTATAGCAAACCGTTAGGCGAGATTGATGAGGCTATATTATGTTGTAGATACAGCATGACTCTTGCTGCATCTCAATGATGGAGAATAATAACTTATGAAATAACAACCTAAAAAACGTATACAGTGTATAATTTAGTATAGAAATATAACGTAGGCGTTTATGCACCTTAATTTTTCGGCTGCACTGACACTTTCAGTATAATTGCGGTCTCTGTTGGGCTCCAAAGATAATAGTTTAGAACTGATTAAACCCGTTGGCATCCGTTTTTTTTTATATCCGGCTAATTGCCATATTTTAGTTATATTTAAAATTAAGGAATAATCCGTTGTAAAATCCACAGATGAGCAATGCGACGAGTTTGCCAGAATCGCCCCGAAAACTTCTGCGTTGGACGGACAGCTCGGAGCTGGAAGATGTTTCCAAAGAGCAGTCGGGTACGGACGATGCATCGCAGGGAGCTGAGTCCGAGTCTAACGGTGCGGGCCCTGTTAGACGCGAGGACTGGTACGCAACTAAAATGGTACGTCTAAAGGAAAGTGTTATAAATCTGCGAAAGGAGTTGCAGGGGAAAGAACGGGATTATATCCGGTTGAAAAATAAATATAATGTTTCGAAACGCCGTCAAGTGCAATTGCAAGAAGATTTACAGAAATACACGGAAGGAAAGCTAGACTTGGATTCGGAACTCGAGTATCTTCGCCTTCAGTTGCTCGAAAAAGACAAAGAAATCGCAAAACTGATCGAGAACTACAGTCGTGTTGAATCGAATGACGATGATGCAAAACCCGAATCCGAGGATCTTGAAGAATTTGAAATAGAAAATGATTTTGCTGATGAATCGGTTTTGAGTAAAAAATATTTGAATTTGCACAAAGAAAATCGGAAACTTTTGACATATATGTTGCTGTCTCTTAGTATTTGTTTGAGTCTGATTTCCATCCTCGCACGTTCGGCTTTTCTATCTACAATTGTGGTCGGATTGTGGACATTAGGTCTTTCCTGCCTCTGGCTCGAACGAAAGCAATTATTCAGAGTATTTAAGCTCAGGTATTTGACGAAGATCCGCGATATTTCTATGGAAAATTCCCGCCTTAAGGAGAAGGAATCGAAATTCGAGTTCAAGGTAACCGAGCTCGGCGAGGAATTGGCCAATGAGAGGCGAGAGCGGGAGGTCGTCAATTCGAAATTGAAGTCAACCGATGGCAAATTATGCGAAGAATTGTCGAAAAATGAAGAGTTGGTGAAGCTCGAGAAAAGTACGTTTGAAGAACTGCAAAGCGAGAGAGTTCGACGACGGCGCGCGGAAGAGCAACTGGAAGAGGTCTCGACGCAAGTCTTGTTAGCGCAGGAGAAAGACGAGGTAAGAGTCTGGGGTTTAGTTTCAGATACAAAACAATTCAAATATTTTTTCCCCGCCTAAATACAAACTGCCAGTAGTGAACTGTATATAATGAGAAACGTGGACTGGTTGCACTTCGCCGTGATAACGATATAAATCTGATATATTTGACAGCTTGCATCGTGCGGAGATGTCTGCCAAGAACTACGAAACAATTTGAAAATAGAAAGAGAATCGAAAGAAAAACTCAGCAGAGAAAATGAACGCCTGATTAAAGAAATAGTTGAAATGAATATGAGCCAGGAAAAAGCACGATTGAAACAAGAAAGTCAACAAGAAGGTAAGTTTGAAATATTTCTAATCTCAACTCTGACTATTGATTTTAAAATGAAGACATTTTCATAAGGTTTACCATATCATGGGCCCCTCTTGTTTTCTGGTTTTCAGGTTCTCAACAATAGTAAGCTAAAGCGCTTTTCTTTCCTCAAGTGACTTAGGTGTAACATTACAATTATTTTATAAGTTATAATCAAACAACGGTATGTTTCAAACGTCACAGCTGCTGGCGAGAGATACGTGCAATAATGCATGAATATTCGTTTCCATTTTCACACACAAAAATCGAATTCAAAATTTTATAGTGGGAACGAAAATGGTAGATAAAGAAGAAGACAAGCTGTCAGAAGTAAGCGACCAAGTCGACGGCAAAGGAAATGAAGTAAGCGTGAAGTATATCAATGGTAAAACTGCGGGGAATCTCGGTCAGAAGCTGATCACAGAGAACGTGATTGAGGAGGAGGGTTCGAAGAAAAGAGCGTCGATTTCTGGCCAAGACATCACAAGTTTTGACTCAAAAGAATCCGAGTCCGAAAACGAAAAAGCATCCATAGATTCCCAAACCAATAAAGAATCATCTCAGACTGGAGACGTCGCTCAAATGGCCTCGTCCGAGAGTCAATCAACCACCAAAGATTGTTGGCTTTGCGCCTGGAATATACCAAACGAAACTAGCTTGGCTTTGTTGATCATCATTGTTGCGTGTTTGGCATTAGCGCTGAAAGTCGTGTTGACCAGTAATGGTTATATGCTTGTTGTTTTGATGGCCGTAGTAGTCTGCTTCACCTATTATCAGGTGTCTAGAAATTTTGAACAATAAAGTTGTTTAAATATTTCTACACGTAGGAAACTTATTCTTTATCTGCCAGGGTGACCATAGAAGCACTATCTGTTACCAATGTATCATCGATAAATAAATTCAATTCACCTATGGTTAGTACAAAAGTTCATCACAATTCACAAGCAAGAATTCTAGAGTTATTATATTTAACTTTACTAATATTTTATTAGTTTTATTATAGATTAACAATTGATAAACAATGCATGCAATCCAATATCAACTCTGTAATACAATTTCGTACATACATATACATGGCTATTATTTATAATAAATATATATGAAAGTTAGTTAACATTTCGTTCATGACTCCAATGTTCTTGTAATATGTAAATATCCAAGCTTATACTGAATACATATTTACTTTATTTTATGTTTTGCTTTACCTTTTGTGAAGAGTTACTATGGTCGCTTTACTTTAAGCGGCCAAAATGGAAAGCACCCTATGTTAATATAGTTTCACATTCACGTTAATATTGTTTCAGATTATGTTTTCACCTCGTTCATTTTATCACCGCGCTTGCTGTTCTTGATATCATTATTTGAAAATCGTGTTTGTATCATTGGTCTGATAATCCACACTACTATACCAAGAACCAGGACGACAACAGAAGTAGAGAGAAGAGCTATTACGAGACTCGTCGTTAATTCATCCTCCATTAATTTCAGAGAATGTTGTTTAATAATATTCGCATCAATTGCCGAGTAATCAATGTGGTTGTGCTGAATTAAAAAGCAAGTGTCGATGTTGTAAGTCGTAAGACTAAAACAAACTAGTTTTTCGACAGGTAAAACTACACAGCACTAGACGTTCTTCTCAGGATAGAAGTAAACAAGAGATATATCGTTTGCTTTTAAGTTTTAATCAAGACTTTTTGGGCCAGAGGAACCTAAATATATATAGGTTGCCTGTATCAGGACCAGAAAGCCCAGAATTACAGCAGCTTTTCAATAAAAATTCGATACTGAGAAACACCGACAGGTTAATACAAATTCTTTTATCTTCACATCACAGCTTCACTATAGCTCAAACTCCTGCCTAATACGTTCAGGGTTTAAAACATTAAGTACATTCATAAGAAACACAAGCTAGCATGGCATTTTACGCCTAATCAATCGCATGTTATAATTATGCTTACCATAATGTAGGATGACTTCAACCACATCCTCAGACATCCCAAAAACTGAGTATTCAATTCCTGCCCAGACCAAACGGTTATTCCAAATGAGTAAGGATGTTTTATGGTTTCCACGATACGAATGTTTTTATGAAAATAGAAACTACGACTTGTGGTCAGGTAATACATCGCTTCCAGGAAGTCTGGCAGTAAAATTCTGGAGACGTTTCCTTCAAGCAAAGCGCTGAATATTTGGTCTTCTTTGTACTCTATCGAGAGTTATATAAAAATGGTATGAATTTTTTTATAATAATTTATTAGTATGCTACTATTTTTAAATGCTGTTATAAAGTAAACGTTTTACCGGAAATCGCTGCTCCAAAATTGATTTCATTTTCAAAGAAAAGGCGAGTACCTTTAATCACACCAAGCTAAAAAATATAAACTCCCTCTTATAGTCCTGAAAATAGCACTTCGCGAATCGCGAAGACTCAAATTTTATTTTTGTTTCAAAATGATCTTTGTTATCCTCACAAGAATTCACGCTTGTGTCTATGATTCAATGAATGTTTCTTTAAAAATCCTATGTTTGAACTTTATTGAAATGTTTTTAACCACATGAACTATCTTTTGATATCAAGGTATTTACCTTTTTTCCCAAAAGACTTTGTTTTTCGTCCAGATACTTGCTAGTCATTGCGCTCGATACGTTTGCCGTGAAGAGAGATGTAATGGACATAGCAGTTATCATCCAAATTATGGCGTAAACCTTCCCCAGTGTATATTTTGGAACCAAGTCACCATAGCTGAATGATAAGATTAGTGCTTTAATTTCTGGTATAAAGATTTAAAATGCTGTAAACTATACCAAATGGAGGTAGTGCCCTCGTGTAGTGGGAGACCTCTAAATCCCCCTCTAATTCTGCTTGCATGGGCATTGGCTTCGGGACAGGCTTCCTGAGCACATATATAGCTACATACCCAACTGTTGACATGGTAACTATGGTCAACCAGATGCTATCTCCAATTTCCCGGATGAAATTTTGAAATGAATATCTGGGTTTTTTCTCAGTATCTCGAAATTCCTATATATGAAGATCGTTTTAAGCGGGCGGTTAATTCTAGCAATGTGTCTAAGCAAAATTACAAATCACTTTTGAAATACATATATATATATATATATATATATATATATATATATATATATATATATATATATATATATATATATATATATATATATTTTGCTTCTTAACTTTCATTTGAGACAAATTTATTACTTAAACAACAGGGGCCGGTTGTATGACCGGATAGTGTTTTTTTCAATCGCTTTAAAATCGCCTGTTGTTTGCTAAAATTTTGATTAAATCTTAGTATTCCTAAATCGAGGATCCCCTCCAATAATTGTCTGTTCCAAAGATGAAATTTTATCGCTTTTCGAGAAAAAAATCACTATCCGCGGTGGATAGCGCTATTCGGCTTTCATACAACCGGCCCCAGGAGCATTGCATGCAACATGTTTGTTTAGAAGGGGCCTACATACCAAAACCCAGAAGAAAACCGCGGTACAAATAGCCAATGCCAACATCAAAAAGAACACAGGATTTAATATCATTGAGAACATCCATATTGAATCACTCGAGTCGTGAAGTGAAGTTGTAGTCGCGAGGACCATAGGCCCAGGGGAAGTTTTTATCGGTACAAATTGAAACAGTGTGAAAGCTGATGAATCTCCCTGACTCGCTAGAACAGGGAAAAAGACAAATATGGTATCATTCATCACTCCGCTTTCAATAGTTTCCCAGGTTTTTGTGTCAAGTTTCATTGACGGATCGTAATCGACTTTCATGAAAGAATGATTCAGCCGGGCGCAGCATTTCTTCAACGCTATTTTCAGTATCCGAGGAAAGATTCCTGTTACTGAGCCATTATTCTCCTGCTTGATGTAAAACTCTGCGTAATCTGACCACAATATTTTCACATTTTTGTGCACATCGCTTGGACAATTTTTTACCGATGAAACCAGACTGGATGAGAAAAGTGTTATAAAAAAAAGGAAAATTTTCATTATCGCGATACTTGTAGTCAAACTTTGAATGAAGGTCTCTTTAACTTTGCACAACAGCACAAGAGTAATATCAGCGGGCAATAATGGCATAAACATCAGTTGATGCCAAACGCTATAGATGGATCTAGCTGTTTTTTTCATCAAATAAAGAATATTAAAAACGTTGTTATAAATTTTCCCTTTTCTAATTGGTCAGACAAGTTCTTTAATCTATGAAGACGCGAGAAGCCGGTATAATCAATTAAAAATCTATCAAAGCTTCTTCGTAAAAACGTCAGATTCATATTAAATAAAACTTTCATGTCCATATTTCACGGCGGTGTCTTTAAGGCCGGTGGTAATATTCATATAATTTGAATGCAGTTAAGACAGGAGGGTATCTATTATTAATATAATTAAACTAACTCTTAGAATCTTTTTCTTTCAGTGTAATTTTTATAACACATATATAATTCATAAGTTGCATCTTCATCTACGAACTTCAAACAATCGTTGCATGCTATAATGTTGTAACTGGTGTGAACGAAATCATGTTTGCCGATTAGGAAAAACATAATGGTGATGTACTTTATGAAAGTATAAGCTTTTTTAAAGTCATTCCTTCAGTTAAGTCATTCCCTTCATCTTGACTTGTTCACGAATGTGATGGTTCATTGGCAACTAGTTTCTTTTCTTCAGCAAGCAATAGGATAACCTCGGCTACTCCTTCCATGGCCATGCCATCGGCATCAGAAATTGAACGTTTGAGATCCTTGCCTTTGGAAATGCTTAGTTTTGGTCATCTCGATTTCTGACGAAAGAAAATATACAAGGACTTCACTATGTTTCATTGAGCATTCTTATGGATAAGTTATTGTGGACTATATCGAAGAAATTTGAAGGTTGCTATATGCACATATTGTTAGATCATTTACGTTAAATGTGTTCTCAATGTTTTTTTGGGTAGAACTCACACAAATCAGATGGTTGACCTATTTTTGCGTTGCTTATCCTAATACCTGAGGGTTCCATTGTGTCCATACTCTTTGATCTTTCGGTGTGTTTCCATATTTCCCACGTAGAACCCAGCACAAGAAAGATAAATAGCAATCCAAGACAGCCATAGATCGTATACAAGATGCTGGACTGATTCAACAAGCTCCGCGCGTCCTCGGCTGTATGATAAAGACTGAGATCTATCTCTGAGTAATCCAGGCCGCTCTAAATAGCAAAGGAAATAATGTGAGATGAGTACGTTTTCCCCGAGAGAGGGAAGGGAAGGGAGCAACTTTGTACGAGAAAGAGGGAGAAAGAAATGGAGGGAAGAGAGGGAAAGAATTTTCGCCCTGGGCCCTACATTTCTTTGAAAGGATCTTTCAAGATGAATTATACGCTATAATCGTTTGAACAAAATATAATGATTGGATAAAAGATAACTGACTGTAAAAATGATAATCACTCCACATCTCATGCGCTATCATCACATCGCTGACGATACAAACCCACGTACTTCTTCGAAATTATTGACAATTGTCCATTCCCAACATCTTAGGAACTCTTTCATCTCCTCGTGATCATCAAGATTTCTTATATTGTTGACGAGGCCGAGTCCAACCGAGAAAGGATGTTTCACAACGCTCGCAATTACAAAGTCATTAACCTTAGATCCAGGGTTGGTTGTAGAGAAATAGAGATGGTCCAAGTAGTTTGGTACTAATATTCGAGTTATTTCTTTGTCACGGAAAGCTTTCTCCATGCTCTTCTCATCCACATATTCTGGAAGAATATAAAGGATAAAAAACATAAATAAAACGCGTGAACTTCATTTCAGTGGATAACTACTTTTCTCACTAATATCTTGGGTCACAGCTCATTTCTCAAAGAGAAAGTTTTACCACACATTGATCACGCTTTTTTCATTCTAGATAGCAACCGATATTATCGCGAAGTTGATGTATAGTCCTGGACATGCCAAATAAGTATTAATATAAAAAATCAAGAAGCTTTTTCACATACATTATTCAAAAAAAGACCCGAGTAATGCCTAGCATTGTAGGACGGTGAAAATGGCTTGTTCGTCGAAAACACTTTGCACTAGAAGCGAACTTCTTAATGGTTGTGAAATTACTTACCTATAAAACTTGCCCCTTCATTGATCTGACGTTGAAAAAAATGCTTGCTACTCAAGACACCTACCTGCAAATACACAATGTAAAGGCCTATTTACACTATGGGATTTGTCGTATACGATTCTTATCCTGGCGTATGTGAACGTGTGAACACACGTGATGCAAATTCCAACCTGAACAATATGAATGACGGTTGTGGCATAGGCCCTCTTTTGCATTCGTCAGAATGATAATTGCATACAACTTATCGTGCAGTCTAAATAGGCCTTAAGAGTTGCTAAAAAAACCGAATTCACTGATTGCAATCTGATGCATCAGATCTTTGAGCAGGCGCGATGAAAAGATTAGTTAAAGTATGAGATACGAAAATACCTTTTGTCCAAGGACATTTTGTAAAGCGGCGACGTTCTTAGTTGTTAGCACAGTGGTGACGTTGGCAGTGAATAATGACGTCACAATCGTTCCCGTGATCATCCAGAGGACTGTGAGAAGACGGGCCGGGAACGACTTCGGTGTTTTGTCACCGTACCTAAAGATAAGAGATTGGTGCTTGAATCAGTGCTAGTTATCACTGTAATATCCGTTATCGTCAATATGCATTATCCATCATTATCTTTTATCATCAACATGCATCTCATCATAACCGCCATCATCATTATCCATTATCATCACCATAAACCCCATCATCACCACAATTCATCATCATCCTCATTACCACAATCTTATGCAAAAAAACTTACCCGACCGTTGTCATTGTAACAACGGCCCACCAAAATCCTACCCAAGATCCTCTATAAAAATTATCCGGGAACTGTTGCTGGTTCTTCTTTCGATCCTACACAATACCAATAAGACAATTCATAAACCTGCAATTTGATCGGACCGTGGAACTGAAATGGGTTGGACAAAGAATCTTCGAGAATAGACTAGTGACGTTTGGATATTCTCTGGTAACTAAGGATAACTGGATGCTTGGCTGAAAGCCGAAGGGGGAATCAAAGAGTCTTCGAGAATAGACTAGTGACGTTTGGATATTCTCTAGTAAGTAGTAACTAAGGATAACTGGATGCTTGGGTGAAAGCCGAAGGGGGAACAGTTTTAGGCCTATTATAGAGTTTTCTCCTTGCCTAAATGAAGAGGTCTGTGACTGTGAAGTTCTGTCTCCAATCGCGTTTTACTAAACGTAGTCATACTGCACGGAATATTGTTCGATAGTTTCTGGATTACACACAATCACGATTAACGCCGACGTGTAAAAGACGTCACGGCGTCCCGAAAATTCATCGCTCACACCGCACACGTTGCGGATTTCAACATTTTAAATTTGTTCTCAATCTACGCTTTACGCTTACTGGGAAAAACCCGGCAAACCACGCTCATATAGTCAAATAATCAGGCTCCTAGCTAGCATATCAATGCAAAACAACTCGACAAACTTTAAGATCACTAAAGCGATCAATCAAAAACAGTATCACCTTGAGGTGGCAAGCTAGTGCCACAATAAAAACGGTTCGATGCCTCGATCTTTACTATGGCATGTCATTCTTATAGACATAATTAGACAGATGAAACTGGTTCGCCTTGTAAACTGCCGGTGTATTCCCGTCAAACAAACGAAGTCGGGAACTGTTTATTTACGTCAATTAAATTTCCGTGCGTACCGGATACCCCTTAGGATCTCAGGTGGCAAGTAAGCACTTCCCATGGTGTTAAAGAAAATTATTTGATTAAAGACAGTGTTTGGCTGTTTATCTATTTGACTTATCATCACAATGATAAGATGATTTTTGTTGTTTCAAATCATAACTAAGTCCATGCATGCTCCATGCACAATGCGAACTTTACACAAAGGAAATCCTTACCAAGAACCAACCAATTATCCCAACCACCCAAGCCATAATCAGTAACAAAACAAATATGGGCCAGCATTCAATAAGAATCATCGATGGATCAGGCGCTTCTTCTATCTCACTTCTAAGCATGATAAACGCAGGCCCGGGACTTTTCATCACTTCGATGAAGTAGAAGTCCTTATAGACCCTGCTTCTTTCGGCGTTTACCGTGAAAGTAGGAAAGAAAACATCTAGCGTGGTATTGTCAAACTTCCCATACTCGCGTTTCTCCTGTTCTACAAATAGGAGCCTTTGCACAGAAGTTCGGCTGGTTTCGTTTACAAATTTGAACGAGATGTTTTGTCCTTTACAGCACATTGCGGATACATTGTCCATTAGTAGAGGCGGGAATATGCCAGACGTGCTGCCGTTTCCAAAAATCCTCAAATAAGTTGTGAAATACGGTTTGGAACGGATAGTTATCTTCCTTGGACACTTCATCGTCTCTGTAGGTTCATTATTTTCAGTTTGTGTCGAGTTCCTGTCGGCATGAACTCGTTGAATACAACCAATGAGGTATACGAAGTAACTTACTACAAACAAATACCGATGCATTACCAGACCAAGCTCTTTAATTTCCCCACTGACGGAGTAGATAAAATTACTCAGTTGTCTGTCAAGTACAGTTGAATCACTCGCGTGTTGTTCAAATATGACTGTTGAAATTTCGAGTGGTTTGAACGATCCAAGGCCCGGTTACGCCTTAGCAAAATTGATAAAACTTCGACAATATCAAAATCGTGAACCGTAACACATTTGAATCATTTGATAGCCTTATGACCTTTGATTATGTCTTTTGTATTGTTATACTGAATAATATTGTCACAAAATTTGCATATACCTGTGAAACTTTCCAATATTAAAATGAGTTATTGACCTGCTATCAGTAGTCAGAGACAGTACATGTTATAAAAATACACTTAAATAGACCCCAAGCTATTCAATGCATATCATGTATATATAATATATTAAATTTTTACCTAGTTTACCTGAAGATGTCATTTTTGCGCTTAAAATAACAACAGCCTAAGCTGGCTATGTGTTATTCAAAATCGGAAAACTGAGTCGGAACACGACGATACCGTCGTTTATACGTAACTTGACAACTTATACTGCAATCAATATTTGGGGAAATGTAATTAGAAACCCCGACTATCAGAAACTGTTTGCCTCGATTAATTCATAGGATTAATTTAACAAGGGATGCCTAAGCCGTTTTTAATATAAAGGTGAGCAGACAACCGCGGGTAGTAATGTATATCTCAGATGCTTCGTATTGTAAATAAGATCGAGGCGTTTTCTACTTTTTTTGCAGGTAGGCAAAGTTGGCAAACCATCGTATAGGAGGACTGTAGATCATGATACCTTACATTAGCTTACAAGATATGTAAACGCGATGGATGATCTGACCATCCATGGTAGAATAATAGTATTCTGTAAGTGTTTTTGTCATTGTATGCATTGTTATAATAGTTCAGCCTACAGTTTATCAGTCGCGACCGCCGCATTCAACCATTGCGCGACCCTCTCGCGTGGGAGGTTTGCAAATCTCGCGCAAGCTTCCCGCCAAAGCGCGCGTTAATAATTCTGAAATGTAAATTGATGTAGCAAAATAGCTACAAACAACATGGCTGACACTTTGTTGAAAATTCCGAAAGATTTGTTCAAAAATGTGAAGTTTTACCTGGCAGAAGATGGCAAGGATAAGGTTAACGAAAGATTTTAATATTTTCGTACTATAAACTGTGGATCAAAGCGTTTTTTCTCGTAACTTTCGTCTTTATTTAGCATAGATATGGTGCACAATGTTATAGATTAGTGTATAATTTTATAACTGTGATTTATTGTGTATGTTCATTGTAAGCTGTTACGATCTGTAGATGTAGGTTTTTACAAGAGTTCCAGTTGGTTATAAGAGTTTTTTCTCGTTAAAATTATTGTATATGGGGCATGCAAACTTAGTACTCGATCGTGGAAAATAGTGAAAAAATGTGTCAAAAATACATTCGTATTTCATAGTACAGATGATCGTGGTAGAATAAGTACTATTAAATTTACTTGATTCATTCATTCCGCTGTGCATGTGATGTCAAAACATTTAAATTACTGCCGTATGCCAACTTGTTTGACATTAAATTTGTTGTCAAAAATGTAGAGGTATTTTAATGTTTTATTTCCACCTAAATTATCGATTTTTTGTCGTATACATTAATTTGTAATGGTTTTGCCGCTAAACTGGATTCTATGTTTGTTCCTGTTCATTTTAGGTAAAGGATCTCTTGAAACAAGGAGGGGCTACCAGAGAGTTCTTTTTCAGTAACTTGGCAACACATGTCATCTCAAGTACAGTCGATTTCCCTGAGTATGAACAGGCCAAGGAAATTGGAATACCAATTGTTAAGGTTGGAACAATTGATAATCTCTATTGCTGTTGCCATTGGTAGTGTTTTTAGCATGACTATATTTATCACTACCACCTTTATGTGACCATGATCTTCACAATCACCATCTTAGCAAGACTTGATCACCATCTTAGCCACACTCACCATCTTAGCCACATCATCACAGTGTCACCATAATTACAGTCAACAACACCATCTTTACCCCACTCTTATTGTGTAACTAAAAATTCTATCCTTTTAGCCTGAATGGGTAATATATTCTGTCAAGTGTGAAGCTATGATGCCGTATCCTTTTAACGCAATATAAAATGAACTAACAGCACATTTGTAGAGAGATGAATGACATCTGAACATTTACTTCAGTGAAAAATGCACTGAAAAATTGTCCCTGAATTAGCAAATATATAGAGTTGAGATAAAAAATTTTCCTGAGCACTACAGTCTAAATTTGAGCAATACTCTATTCTATATTTGAGATTTTAACCTAGATTAAAATATATTAGAAATCAAAGGTTTAGTTGACTTAACTATTTGCCAGAACAAATGCTTTTTCTGTTGGGAAGAAATTGTTCACGGATGTGGTAGCATGCCCCTCACAGGTGTATATTCTATACGTAACTGTTAGTCCAGGCATTTATATGTAATTATCGTCCTTGTTACCAGGGCATCTCTGGCGATCAAGACATATATTTATGGCCACTTTGAATGTATGTAGATCATGGAAGATTGTTTTATCATTGTTTGGTCATTCTAGGTACCCCCAGCTGACAGAGATGCATTATGGTCGATGATAACATTTTACGGAGGACGTTGTCAAACAACATTTGATCCAAGTTGTACGCATTTGCTGGTGCCAAAACCAGAGGGTGTAAGTTAATTTGGAAGAAATATATGTACCTGTTTTGTCATGTAAAGAACTTATAGGGAGTTGGGCACTTTTTTTGGGGGTAGGGGCTTACCCTGTTGAGAGTTATGTTTGTCAAATTTTTGATAGGTTTCATGTCTCTGTCAATTTCAGGAGAAATACGAAGTTGCTTTGCAGCACAAGGAAAAAGTTAAAATCGTTGTCCCAGAATGGATTCTGGACTGCATCAAAGCAAAGGCACTTTTAGACGAATCTAAGTATGTACCAGTCAGCGATCCTGAAGCGCAAAGTCAGTCCATTCTCACTCCAGACAACCATGGTGAGACCACTGGTGTCGTAGTGAGTACTGGAATCGAGAGAGCCGTGGCCGCTCCGTCGTCACTGCTGAGTCCAGACTCACCAGCTGGTTCAAAATTAAGAAAGTCCTCTGGGACAAGCAAAGGTACTGTTCCAAGCATACCTAATATTTACAAATGATCAAGTGAAATTAAAACGGACGGTGGATAATTCGCATTATGTACATAGGGTCGATCTAAGCCTCATTTTCTTTCGAGAAACAACGGATTCTCTTCGGGAAAGACTCGACTCTCTTCCGAGAACATTCGCCTGGTCTTATGCGTTTTTTTAATCGTGTATTTGGATTTTGGAGACAAACTGTTTATAATCCCTTATTCAGGAAGCGAAAAGAGTTCGGAGTTTGATGCTGCTACTGATAAAGAAAAGCGTCCAAAAGAGGGGATTAAAATCCGGCCCGGGAGACACGCTGCGGAAAACGCGAAACAAGCGTTACGAACTTTGGTCGATCAGGGCGTCCTCGGTGAACTGGATGAGAGCGATGACGTGTACACCCGCAGGAGCAGCGCGAAAGAACTGGGAAAGAGTAGTGGTGTTAGGAAAGAGGTGGAAGTCAAGCAAAACGGATGTGGAGACACAAGTTCGAAAACAACCTCGAACGCTCCTGAAAAAGAGGTCATCGTTTGTAAGTAATACTGACCGCCAAAGTAAACTGGAATCTATTTCAAGCCGGGGGGAATCTCTGGCATCATTGTAAACGATTTTTAGGTGGTGCCTAACAGTGGTTTTTTGTTTTGTTTTTCAGCGAAACTTCTGTCAGGCTGTGTTTTCTTTATCTCTGACTATCAATATACTGTTCCATTTAGCGCGATCGACATGTGGAAAAAAGTAAGCATTAGTTTTCCACCAATCATACTGTATATCGACGACCGAAGTGAAGCAGTGCTCGCACTGGAGTGCGCTCGCATAATAATTATTAACAAACAAGGGTTTAATATTCCCATTTTTTGATGTCATTTTCACCAGGTTATAAAACAAAATGCCGGCGAGGTTGAGGAAGCGTATTCCCAAAATGTCACACATGTTTTGTGTTCCCATCAACATGGAGAGCATTTTCGAAGGGTATGGCGAACATTTGAAAATGTTTAACTCGCTGAACCTTCGTGAAATATTTTTCCTCGTGTTTTCAGGCTATTGCTGACGGCAAGCGTGTGGTCACGTGTCATTGGCTAAATGACGTTATATTGAATCAGAAATTGATCGCACCGCAGACCGCCATTCATCTTCCTGTTGCGTTCAAAGATAAATTTTCCCGTTGTCGAAATATGGTAGGTTGGTCGCCATTTTGTTGATGAATACACAGTACTAGCACATGAAAGAATATAACTAAACGACCCACGGTATCGGCATCACCACAGAACTGAGTTTGTTTTTACCCTTCTCTTGTTTTAGATAATTTCTGTGACGGGTTTTCAGGGAAAAGAGAGGGAAGCATTGAAAAATATGATCTACATGATTGGTGCTAAATACGCAGGATACTTGAGCCGGACCGTTACACATCTTATTTGCCAAAAGTAAGATGTGATGTGTTGACAGTGTAATTTGGTTCTCTGGGTGTAAATCAGAAGTGTTTGAATGTAAAGAGCTAAATGAAAAGATCCTCGCGTTATTTTCGTTATGCGTATATGACAGTGTATGGTTTGTGTAGTCGACGTACAAATTCTCATTCTTCATCTTTAATTTCAACATTTCAGTCAGACGTCTGAAAAATACAAGAAAGCGAACGAGTGGGGCATTACGTGTACAAATGCAAGATGGATTGGTGATATTATGACTGGTTGGTTATCTTCTCGAGTATTTGATTTGGTTTAGTCAACCTTTTCTGAAACTTGCATCGCCTTTTTGGATGCAGGAATTTTAGAAGAATTTTTTTATATCCTTCAAGGTGGTTGTGATTATCCTGTCAACATGAAACGTTATAGAACGTTCGGTAATGAGAATGAATTGGACATCAACGAGATTCTGGCTCGTGAATTGCTGGGTAAGTGAATGTGCACTACATGTATTGCATGCTTACTCACTCATTTCCGCAGTATGCAAACTGTTGTGGAATTTAACCTCGAACCCTATTGTCTTTATCAAAAATAAAATCATTCATATTTCAAAGGCTAGCGATCCAGAGTGAGTACGTGTAAACAAAGGGGTTTATTAGTTTTAATGTTTTTGTATTCTGTTTTTCTTCCAGAGGCGTGGAAGGGTTTTGAAGTAAAAGAAGACGTCAAGGACAATGTATGTATTTCTTTTAACAAGTTTTGCTTATCTCAGTCGAGAAACCAGGTGCAAGTCTTCGCAAATGTTGAATGCAATGTTTGCAGTTATAAAATTTGAAGGACGTTAGTTTTGAGGCACGTAAACCGGACGAAAATCATTTTCTATATTTATGTATTTATCTTTACAGAAACGTAAGCTGGAAATGTTGGAACGAGAGGTAAGCCATGATGAGAAAGAATGCCGGTGTTGCCTTGTGGAAAGGATTGTAAATCAGTAGAGCAGGCCTTAATGGCTTGTTAACGTTTATAATTTATTTATTTCTAGATGCGAGAATGCGAGGAAGCCAATAAAAAACCCAGGTATAATAGTGACCTTAGCTATTATGAAAACTGAAATTTAAAGCCCGAATAAAATTTTATTATTTCACATTTTATGTTATGACATTCAAAATCTCCGATATTTAGACTTGAAGAGACAGCCCGCACACCCGAGCTTATGAATTCAGGCCCAACGACACCCCAGACGTCAGTCCCGAGTATAGCTCGAACGTCAACATCATCCTCCACTGAATTTACAACTGCAACTGTTGTCAGTCGTATCAGGCCACGAGTAGTTTTCACTGGTCTCAATCCCGGCGCTGTACGACGTTTAACTGAAGTGAGTCAACCTCTTAAACGTTTTAATGTTGAAGATCTCGTGAAAGAGAACTCTTGACATTCAAAACAATGATAAACGGTTTCAACTTTGCTAAAGAATTGAATCTATATTCTTTTCTCAGAAACTGAGCGCCATGGGTGGTGACACAGCAACTTCGATCAGATCGTGCACTCATATCGTCGCATCGAAAGTAAGAAATATTTCCAAGAATTTTGTCGCTAAGATTTTCCAGAATTATGTCATTAAGGCATATTGCTAAAGGTTTAACACATGGCTTTCTAAAGCTATAAGTAATGATATTACTAAGAAATCACGGGATTCTGCAATCTTATCTTCAGATAATGCGAACAATAAAGTTCCTCACGGGGATCTCCGTTTGTCGCTACATCGTTAGCCCGCAATGGATTGATAAAAGTCACGCTGCTGGTCACTACTTAGGTTAGTAGCTGTGCACAGCAAAAAATCATTTTCTTATTTCAAGAAAAAAAAAACTCATTTTAAGAAAATTTTCTTAAAATGAGTTCAAATTTTCTTGGGAGAATAATAAGAAAATTTTCTTACTTTTTTTCTTAAGAAATTTTTTCTTAAGAAAATTTTCTTAGAATAAGAAAAGTTGCAAACAAATAATTTCTCAGTTTAAGAAAATTTTCTTGAAATTAGTCCAAAATTTCTTATAGAATGTTCATAATGAGAAAAATTTTCTTAAGAAATTTGTCTTAATATAAGAAATATTTCCAAGAAAATATTTTCTTATAATAAGAAAAGTTAATTCTCAAGAAACCCTAGAAACTCTGATATGATATTTTGTTATAAGTAACTAAGTAAGAATGTAATGTAAATTTACTAAAATATTCATGAGTCATAATATAGAATACACAGCAGACATTAATACATGAGAATTATAGGCCCTACATGATTATATAGAAATACAGAGAAATGCATGATTATATATAATATTGCACCCCGGCTTTGAAGGTTTTGTATTTGTCCAGTGTTTATTTGACATGTTTTCAAATATCAATTATTGCAGTACAGATCAATTATTGCAAAAAGGATTTTTGTGGTTTTTAAAATCAGACGAGACATCATCAGATAAATTTGAGAGTAAATAATTTAAAAATTGGTGTGAAGTAAATCTTAAGTTCACATTTAACTTAAAATAAAACTTTGCAATCATGTTAGGAATGAAGTACATCAAACAAAAAATACTGGTAAATAATAATTTAGCTACTCTGGGGAATTTTAAGCTTTTCTTTAGCTATTCCCTGCTATACCGGCATCTTTAAGAAAACTACTTTAAGACCATTTTTTATCAAATACACCCATCCTTCAACCCATTCTACACTGCTTTTCTACATCCCTATGATAGTTTAAATTCCAATCAATTCACCATGAAAATACATGTAATTAATTAAAACAATATATAGATAGAGCCCTTATCCAATGAAATCAAATGGTGTTAAATCCAAAAATTGTCCCTAACAAAATATGGATGGGTAAATGTATCTGAAGGCAAAATAGAGAGCTTTGTGATCATTTTAATGATATAGGCAGACTCTGATGCACAATTTATACCCTTTGGAACAGTCTCAACCCTACTGTGGAGAAGCACTGTTACATTAACCCCTCTGGATTTAGTAATTAGTATCAATCTGAAAATAGAACTCAACTCCTATCCTTCATTTCAAACAAAGACATTAGAAACACTGTTATATGCTGCTCCTTAAATATATATATCACAACATTGGACTATTCTGTTTTGCTCCTCTGAGGTATTCTAGGCCATAATTGCTGAGAAATTCTAAGATATTGTTTAGCTATCCCTGCTATTAGTGCTATAGCCAATTATTTAACTATATAAACAGATAATAACATGGAAAATCATAGCGCAAATCATTGAACGATGAAAATACAATTCTTGATCTATAATAGGGTGGAATAAAGGCTAACGAAGGCTAACAAATAAAGGCTTATACGTTGTACTGATATAATAACACACTCGATCAGCATGTTGGCATATGACATCATGAAATATCAACTCACCTTATGAAATACCACAAATTTGCGCCGATATAGAGTATATTTTCTCACATCCTAAACGTCCATATCTTTATCGGTAATATATAAAGTTAATAACAAGATACAAATGCCATATTCGCCGTAAAAAAACAATATTTCTTTACTATCCGTTAATAGCGTTATAGGTTGTTTCGCTAAGTATTCAAATTTCCCTCGTGGTCTACGCTCGAAAGGCATAATGGGATAAATGGAATAATCAGGCTCTGCGTCAGGCTGGACCATATAATTATAAGTATTAACTTGGAATGCTTTGAATTATCTCACGCTGGATTTCCGTAAATGAAAACAGCATTTTGCAAACATTATATTATGACTTTGTTCTATTTTAACGGTTCTTGACCGAATATGTCACGCCATGCTTGTAAAGTGCAAGTACGAAAAGCTTCATTGTTGACTCATACTGATGTAGTTAGCTAGCGCTAAATTAATAAAATCATCTAATGATCGGAACTAAAAACAATAAAATATGAAACATATATAACTTTTTGAAATCAACAAACTTCAACAATAAGGAACATTTGAAACACAAGTAATTTTGAAGTTTACTCTTAGCTGAAATTCTTCACATTTAATACGAAGAGCATTTTCTTAGTTTAAGAATATATATTTCTTATAACAAGAAATTGATATCTCAATATTTTCTTAAGAAAACAATTTCTCATTTTAAGAAAAACATTTTCTTATGATAAGAAAGTGATATCTCTGATATTTTCTCGAGAAATAATTTTCTTATTTCAAGAAAATGTTTTCTCAAATTAAGAAGAAAAAAATCTTAAGAAAATATTTTCTCAAAATAAGAAAATTGTTTCTTGAAACAAGTAAATATTTTCTTAAATTAAGAAAATTCAATTTCTTAAGAAATTCATTTTTTGCTGTGTGTACGATAGCAAATTTTGAGTCCTAATCACCGTCTTGGTGTAAAGGAATTTATATTTTACCCAGATGAGAAAGATTACGTGTTACATGATGCGGACGGAGAAAGCCTTTATGGGATGTCTCTTCCCCAGTCCATTGAGCGTGCTCAAGCGAAACCTCTTTTTCAGGTTTGTCAAACCAGTCCCGTGCAATTTATTCTATGTTCTTTAGCAGTCCCCATTATGATGCCAGTGCTCTTTCCCGCCTTTTCATGTCACCTGGAAACTTTATATTTGCTTTACAGGGAATAACAATTTATGTCACTGCAAACGTCCGGCCTGATCAAAAGTCGATGGCAGAGATTCTCGACTGCGCGGGCGGCAAGGTAAGGTACAGCGAAGTTAGTTTAGGTTTCTCTCCGTGGAAACACTGGTCGGGGTATAAAATGATTAGGTTAGTTTAGGTTTCTTTCTGTAACGAGCTTTCCGTACTGAAGAAATATGGATTACATAAGGCGTCGGAAGAGGACAGTTAAAAACTGGAGCAGTGTGCTTTTCAAACGTGTGGACCTCTTGAATTACTACCATGATTTTGTGTGTTAATGTCTTTGTTTATATTACAGCTAATGGCTGAACTTCCACCTAAATCATCGCTGAAGAGCTTGGCTGAAGGCAAAACAGAGGACGTATGTACAGCACTCAGGCTTCGCTTGATAATTATATAAGATCGAGATGAGAGCGTGTTCAGGACGGACAAGTGTTTTAATAAAGTTGGGTTTTCTTAATCCTAGGGCCATCCAGCTTTTGTATGTGTGACCTGTGAAGAAGACACTCATATGTGTAAGGATATGAAGATGGCGGGGATAGGTGAGGAAAGAAGGGACATTGCTTGATGATGATGGTAATGGTAGTGATGGGGATCTCATGGTTGTGTTTGGGCAGTGATAGTTTTAAGAGATGTGTAGATTTACTAATAAACTAACTTGTTTTTCGTATTTTCGCCCGGCAAAGGTGTGCATAATGTCGAGTTTGTTTTGTCTGGAATCTTGAAACAACAGCTGGATTTTTACAGGTATGGCCAAACTATTGAATGAGAGCAATTAATGGAAAATGTTAATAGGTCAATTGATCGGCAGTACATTATTGTTTTCAGATATAAATTTTAATCGAAAACTCTTCGGTGGAGGAAGACTTTGGAAAAAGATGCCCAGATGAGGTTTCATCATATTGTGTTTTTTAAAAAAGTACAGACAACTTGCAATAGGAAATCTTTTTGAGATATAAACTCATTTATGTTTCCAATGTCATGAAGCACTCGCATTACTTTTAAAGCCTGTTTTCATGGTCAAACCAGGAGTTAAGGTATCTAGTTGTATATAAGCATTTGGACTTGTTTACAAATCAGCATTAATCACTGTACGTGTCAGATCAATTTTCACCAATCACAAAATGTATTTTTATTAAATGTATGTATTTAACTTTTTTACACACTGACTGTGAGCAGTTTTGATGCAAAGTACTAACTGTATTAATATTTGTAGAAGATCAATTAAGTATATCTATCGAAATAACTACCTAGATACGAAGTTGTGGCGACGCCAGTGCTTGTCTCAATTCTCTCTTAAGAACTTTGATTAAAATACAGTTTTATTCTTGCCACAGTAAAGCGTTTAGCTAAGATGCGCATGTCCGGAAGTCAAGCATGTCCAGGCCTGCGCGCTAGATTTGATAGAGCGGTCGTTATGCAAATCATCATTACGTGACGTAATGAAATGAAAAAGTAATGGCTTTCAACCTGGTACAATACGCTGCCGAAGGTGATCTGAAAAAACTTAAAAAATTGATCGATTTCGGTGTCCACATTGATGCAAGCAATGTTCGAAAGGAGACGCCGTTGTTTCTATCTTCATTGAACGGCCACGTGAAATGCGCGGAGTTCTTGCTTAGCCATGGGGCTGATCCAAACAGGTTAGTGTGCAAAGGAAAATGGGCCAATCTATTTTTTAGTACTCCGGTAGTTAAACGTTTATGGATTTTATTGTAAGGGTAATGTGTTTTCTCGTAAAAGAAATCGTATTTAATGCCCTTTTTCTGTAGCCTCATAATCTCGTGCGAGTTCTTTGAATTCTTTCATACTTATTTACTTTGTTTTGAAATCCTCTACATCTTAAAGATTAGCGACGTTTGGTCTGTTTATAATTTAATGGGAAGCTGCTGACTTTCCGTTCAATCAATTCCGTTAGAAAGCTTGTTATTTTTCCATTTTAGAGCGTCGCTGGTCGGGATGACGCCGGTTCATGCCGCCATTCAACAGAACCATATCAAATGCGTAGGTTTGCTCCTGCAGTACGGCAGTGACTTGCACAGCACCTTCGCCGAGTATCCGACCGTCGTCGCGTTTGCACGTTACCATGGAAACTCGGAGATATTGCGATTGCTGCACGCCTTCATGGTCGATAGAGGATTGGGCCATCATCAACCAGCACAGAATTACAACGCTATAGTTATGGTAAGCTTTTGATGGAGGTTCTATTGAGTCGATCTTACAACTGTATCATTGGAAAATGACCCCAAATCGGGGTTTGCATTGTAAAACAATAGTGCAACGGTAAAACATCGATCTACAATATTCCTAGAACTCATGTGCATCAGCGTCGTGCATTAATGTAACAGAAGAAAATATGGGCGATTCAATGTTTGGCATACCAATCATCAACCTTGATGACATAAAGAAACCCGAGCACAAGCAATCTTTCAATGGTCCATTCTTTTCGTACGTTGATGGAATGTGGGGTGGTAGCCTTGTCACCTTGAAATTTGCTCCGGATTTTAGTCAAGATGAGTTCTTTCACTTTAGATTGAGGAAGGAGATCAATTTGCTTCGGTGAGAGCTGCGATTAGGAGATTGTTTTAGGTACAACGAGGAGCCATGCTTTGTCACAAAGTTACCCGCGAAGAACTCTCTCAAACGTGTAGTCTAGTGTTAGGCCATAGTCTTTAGTGTAGGTTTACGTCTTGTGTTGGTATAGTAGTCCAGTGTAGTTAGCAGTCAAGTGTTATTACGGTCTGGCTCAGATGATAGATAATCTTATGTATGTAGTAACATGAACCAAGTTTTCGTCTTTCAGGCAATTACGTCATTTTCGATTTCCGGTCGCCATGGCAATATGTCTAGATCCCTTCTGCCTGATAATGGAAAGGTTTTATCATACCACGTTGTCTTTCTATCTTCGCGATCCAAACATGGATATGGAGAAAGATCTTGAATGTCATTTAATGAGGATCATACGAATCATACTGGATGTTGCTCAAGCTTTGTCACATCTTCATCGTAAGAACTGGATCCATTGCCACGTTTCTTCGCGAAGTATTCTAGGTTAGTTTGCAATCGCAAAGTCGCGATTTAATCGTTGTTACCATGAAAATATTTGGCAAGAACCTGCCAGATATATTTCTTGAGACCGAGTTTCGACCCTTAGAAAGACAATATCTCTGACCAACTAATCACAAAACCTGTTCATATAGGGTAGGTGCTTACCCTTATGACCATCCCATACAACCAATTGCTATCTCACCAACTTCATCTTTGCCTCCATCATTTTCCAACACTTACGGTTTTAGTTTGTGATGGCCCCAGAGCAAAACTAGGCAGTTTAGAGTTTTGCGAAAGGCCTGGTGCAGCTATTGAGTTTATGGAGTGTTTCCAAGAGGAACTACCGTGGTTGGCCCCTGAATTACTGGCTGTTGGTGAAGCTCGTTTTCCCGCTGATATTTATAGGTAGGTTACCGCTCTACCCATATTATCAAGCTGGCTGACTTTATTTATATAACTTTCTGTCATTCTGTTTTAGTTTAGCTGCAACTTTCTGGGAGTGTTTAACCCGTAGTGTGCCTTGGTCATGGCTATCCGAAAAACAAATTCCCGCGCACCGTCAATTGCCCATACTCCTGTGCTGGCCTAGCTTGATAAAGCACCTCGTAGCCCAGTGTTTAGATGAAGCGGACAGGCGTCCGACCGCCGACGTCGTTTGCCGAAAGCTTGGCGAGTTCGCGAGGCTTGGAATTTGGTTAGACCGATATCAGCTGGATGATATATTCAAGCGTTGGTTGGCTGAACACCGTAAGAATCCAAGCGAGATGTTGTCTAGTAGGTTAGTATGGATAATGTTACGTGGTTAGTGCATGCACTGACCAATGCCAAGTGATTAAACTTCTTTCCAGAGGTTTAATTTCCTCTCGCAAAAGCTTAACCCGAGACATTCAATTGTAGAACTTCGGCGTCGTCTCGGAGCGATATCGTTACGATAGCTCTGGGGGAAAAGTATTCGTCGTCTGTCCAGGGCAGTCGAACCAGTGAGGAGTATAAAGGTATGCTTTTGTTTGCTGTGGTTTATCGCGACGTAAACGGTTAGACAACGTCGGAGGATCTTATATTTGATATCCTGTTCATTTACAGAACGTGCTTATAATCAAACCAGGCGTCGTTCAGTACTTGCAGGTTGGTGACAGTCTTCCACTATCACTCTCTAAACCAAACCTTTTAAACAAAACCAAAACACTACTATCAGTTGCAAATAAGAATCATCAGCTGCAACAAATATCGCCGTTTTATTTCAGAAACGGGAAAACCGAAATTCCGTCGTCGGTCTGCTGTCGTTACCACTTTAGTGGAAGAAGCTCTCACGACCATAGCACAGGTTGGACGACCAATCCGTGACGTTAGAGAAGCGGATATCTATAAGTTTGGCTTCAAGCTGGCGAGAGAGATCGCCGAATTGAGAGGCATCTGTCAAATCGCCATACAAAGACAAAGAAAGGCTTGGGCAAAAGTCGCGATGGCCACGCGGGACTTGGAAGAAGACATGTTTGATAGTCTCGCGGGATACGAGGAGGTCACGTTCCGCCGTAAACATGCCCACGCAGGTACACATGCTTGTCTTGTTGTAAGTTGTAACAATCCGCGAACAAAGCGATTACAAGTCTGCAAAGTGATTGCAAGCTTAGACTGGTTCTCTGCTCCAGCTTAGGCAATAAGCTTCACGGCTTACCAATAATCACACTCCATTATCGCAGTCCTGTCTCTCGTTTTACGGGTTCACAGGCTAATATCAAGTTCCCTTGCGCCCAATGCATTGCCCCTCCACCACACCGGTTCGGGAGCGCTCATGATTGAAAATTATCCATATTTTCATGCAGCGAACCTAAAGAAACATCATCAAGAAAAAGAGGAGGAAAAGTTGAAGGAATCTTTGGATAGAAAGAAGTCTTTAATCAAAAAACACAAAAGAAAGAATTGGGCGTGTTATACCATTTTACTTTTTGAACTTTATGGTATATTAAGAAGACGGGATACGATTGTTGGTAAGCACTCAATATTATATCAATTAAGCTAATGCGATTGGTAAAAGAATCTTCAGAAAGCACATTACAGTCGAATAATCAATGAAGTTCACAGGTGCGAAATCTGTTTTAGATAATGGTGAGGAAGACATCGAACAAGAAGTTCTGAATCAGTCTATTGCTCGGATCAGTTCACAAATGACAAGATTAAGTAATATTGTCGTTGATACTATGGACGACAACGTTTCTGGAAAGTTTAGTCTCTTTCCTATTGACGTGACGCAACTTGCTCGACAAAGTGATGATAGTGTGAAAGAAGTGATAACGAGTGTTTACGATCACGATGATTTACACGACCATGTGTGTGACCCGACATCTTCCAATGATGGACCGACTGATCCCGAGAATGCTCCGACAGACCTTGAGAATGCTCCGACAGACTATGAGAATGCTCCGACAGACCCTGAGGATGTACCGACAGACCCTGAGAATGCGCCGACTCACCATGAGAATGTTCCGACAGACCCTGAGAACGTACCGACGAACCCCAAGAATGTTCCGACAGACACCGAAAATGTACCGGCAGACCCCGAGAATATTCCGACGTATCCTGACGATACTCCGGCAGATGATTGTGTTGAAACCACTGATACCAAAAAAGAGCCAGCAAGTACCGAAGTCGAGCAAAATGACGTCGAAGTTGGAACAACAAGTGAGGATTATACGGCGACTGGTGCCGATGAATCGCTAAGTGCTTATAACTCGGCGAGAAATAAAGATTACAATCCCCCCAGTCCCGACGGCAGTGCGACTTTTCTCGACGATACCCCGGCTGAAACGAGCACTCCACGAATGAAAAGCAAAACCAGAAGAATAAGGAATATCCTCAAACGAAGAAAGACGAAAAAGCAAGGACGGAAAGGAAAATATATGGAAAGCTCTGTTTAATTAAAATTTAATTTTCATTTTATTACGTTTAGATGACATTTATGGCTTTATTATAGCTTTATCTCGTTAGTAAATAGTAATATATCTTAATGTACAAATGGCGTTTTATCCTGAAAGGTAATTATTATATAAATTTGTGTTTCACATTTCTATTTACAATATTTCTGTTAGTTGTTAAGTTTCAGGTCAGTCATAACAATGAAGATATATTTAACATTGTCTTTGTTAGATTTCCGCTAGGTGCAACAAGAGATAAACACTGGCTAGAATCTAAGTACAGTATAAATGGTGTTTTGCATCTCACTCAGTTGTCATGTACTTGATGTCAGTAGATGCAAAAACTTTCTTGTTTTATCCAGGTTAGAAAATGGTTGCTGAAGGGAACTTGAAGTATAAATTAATTGGGTTCTATTGCTTTGGGTCCTAAGCTGAACGAGATTTGTCACAGAGTTCTACTATAGGTAGTACCTATGGTAGTACAGTATCATGCGTCACCATCAGTAACAGAGAAGAGCTGCCCTGTGACGGGGCATAGAGTTTTATGGCGAGCACAGTGTATATGCGTGACAATGTTGTTTGGATATCTTGCAATGTTACTGTCATGGAAGGGTCGACGACAAACGCGACAACATCTGAAGGAAAAGATAAGTTGAAAATGTTAAACTTATGCCCTGATGCTACTGTGATATGTGTCATTCGTATAAAAACTCACGTTTCCTCGGTGATCGTGACTGGTTTAGTTGTATATGATATGTAACCTTTTTTCATCTATATAACAGTAAATATGATACGAAGTTATGTTTAAAATTATGAGTTTCCCACCATCTATCACTTTGACCACCACTCATGATCATCATCATCCCTAATACGACCATCACTCATCCCCTTGTGATCTTCACTTCGCTAAGGTGCATGATCATAAATCTACATGAACATCCTACATGAACATCACTCGCTCACTTAATATCACCATACATCAGCAAATGTACCTTTATATTTTCAGCCCTCATTAAGTTCTTCTTCAACTTCGTATTTCGGCTGGTGTGTAAACTCTCCCGGGACAAGCCAATCAGAAAAGGTGAGATTAACCTGACCGACCATTCTTCTGGGATTATCTCCATAACCTGTATAAACAAACCCCGTTTAATTATTATCAACTGTTCATTTTCTTTGGAAAAAGCCAAGACTATATAACAATGGCTAGTGTGCTATGTTAACGCTTATTCTATCACCATAAGACTTCTCACGTGCGCCTGAAGCAAAACGTCTGCGGATGTCTTCAAAAAAAACGTGAAAAAAAATGCGACAGACACAGACCTTGACCGGATCAAAATCTTGAATATGAGAATTTAGCAGGGATACGGCAGCCACAACCATGTCGTTTGTTTGTCTCCTGGAAATACACGAAATTATTAAACGAAATTCTCATGTGTGCGGTACAATACAAGCGACTCTCGAACCTACCCTTCCGACTGTAGGTATACCGAAAGCAATAAATAAAACAGTTTTTTTCGGTAGCTGGTTTCACGATTCTGTAGTTGAAAAAACAAAACAAAAACAATTAGAAATATCTGTGCGCGACATGTTCTTCGGTTGCAAATATTTTGACAGCATACCCGTGTAAATTCAAGTTGAGTTCTGAGTGTACCTTTGAGTAAAATTCACAGTGAGCTATTGCCCCGTCAAAATCTGTTAGTTGGTAAACGAAAATTTTCAAGGCTTTCTCGTGGTGCTCCAGCTAAATAAAGAAAGAATTCCCTTCTAACTTATCATAGCTGAAAATATTGTATAGAATTGAAAAATTTGGAAGATTAAAACATGCAATTCCTAGTTCACGTATATATCACCTACCCTGCCATACAACATGGCTGTTTCTAGATCCAGTCCACTATCTTCGGGAATTTTTGATAACAACAGCGAGGCGTTATAAAGTGAGGAGAATTTCAACATGGATTGCAAGGACGCTCTAAAATGTTAAGGTAAGGACGTTTGTTTATGTTGTAATCTAAATATACTGTCCACATGCACCACTCTATGATTATCATTATGACAGGTCACTATTATCACAACCAAACTTGACCATATTAAATCGTCACCATAGTATACCTTGCATTTTTGACGACCTCTTTCGAAGACTTTGGATCTTTCCTCAGATTCTGAACTTGATCCAAATAAAATATCGCCAGTCTACTATGATACTTCTCTTTCTGAAAAAAAGAACGTTGTATCTTTTATATTTTCGCTAAAGTGAAGTAACATAATCATTATTTACTACGGATGTAATGCACATTTCAAAAGATATTTATTGTATTATTTAAATATATTGTACAACATCTCCAATATAACTTACTTCTATCTTTTTTTGAATCACTAAGAATTCCAAATATTTTTGCAATGCAATAGGAAATTTACTAAAATATTCTAAAATATAATCTGGTTGTAGTTTATCAGTTGCCTCGTCTGATGTACTTTCGCTGAATATCTATGAAAATAAATTTAAGACCGTAGTTAGTGCTGTGGATTAATACTATATCTAAATTACTGGGGGTTTTACCGCGCATTACTGGACCCCGAGGCGGGAAAATTTAGAATTGAGATATATCCATGCAGTATTAAGAGGGTCTTTAATATTAATTTAATATTTTCTCACCCTGACAGCTAATGCTTGATCTTTTTCCATTATCCATGGAACGTATCGCCATATCAACTCCTCGCTCTTTACACTAGGACCACAAACCAACGAATCAGAGGTAAGAATATTAAACTTGTATTAATCACGTAAACAACGTTTCAGTTTGTAGTTGTTACAATGTTGTCATATCATTAAAACAAGCATCGCTCACTCGCCTTGATAAAATGTTAATGAAACAAAACTGGTATATATAGCTTCCTGTACATTTGATCACCATGTTGATTATCACTAGCTTTACCTTGTCAGGCATTTGATAATATGATCGATGCCAGTGAAATTTGTGTCCTCCAAATCTTCGTCCACTATTCTACAAGGAAATAGTTCGCATAACAGAAAGTATTGAACTTCGAGCAATATAGTCAACAATCGCTTAATCGTTTTTTTTTACCTTTTCCATGTGTCTAGAGCTTTGGCAGGCTCGTTCCATGATTTATAAAACAACGCCAGACTATGGTATCGCTAGGGTGAAAGAAAATTGTCAACTAAAGTTTCATAATGGAACCACTGTTCAACCTGTTGGGATGAAAGTCAACGTGGATTGAATGTTCTTACTTTGTAAGTACAGACATGCTTCAAAAACACAAATTAACTTTATTTTGTACTTTTTCAAGACAAAAGATACCTTATGTTTCTTCAACCAATCAACGCACTCCTCGTACGCGCATGCGTTATTGCTACATATCAAATCTTCAAGGATAGGCGAGTTTTCCTCGGCGTAAAGTTTTAACAATGCAGTGTCTATATCCTGGCACGGACGAAAACACACTTTTTAAATATTTGCAATGTATATGGCCATCTTCATTCATGTGTTTCTGACATCCTCTACAGATATACTTACATCTTTAAGCATTTTGTAAACGGTATCCTGGCCTTTACTTTGTTCCTGAAAGAAAATACCACGTTTTGAAATACAGCAACGTCTATAAATCAACATCCATCCAACCAATTGCGTACAAACTTACTAAATATTCCAACACATAGATTTTGACACTTTTTCCCGCTTCGTGATCGCTTTTCACTAGCTGTCTGATACTCTCAATTCCAGGCACTTCGGATTTAAAGCGGGAACTTTTCGACAACAGCTCAGGAAAGATTCCAATGAGCTGGGGAAAAAAGAACAGGAATGTTTGTCTCGATGAAAACAGAATGCATGTAAGTACAGTCACGTTCTTAAATGTCCAGTTTTGCTTGTATTTGCAGTAACTACCGCGGTACGTGTCCCAAACTATAGGGACCTTAAGATACGCCAAATCTAGAACGCGGACGTGAAATAGCTAATACTGTCTTCATTTCCACAGTTTCACAACAGGAATAAAAATTATGCACTCTTTTTGGTAAAAACAGAGCTGTATGTAAAACTAATTAAAACTGGGTTTCTAACAACTCCGGCTGATTTCATGTCAGTCCGCGTCGTAGATTTGGTGTATCTTAAGCCGGATCTCTACTATCAATTCGACAACGACATTTTATGCGTGTGGCTAACCTCTCGTATGTCCACGTTACCCTGATGCATCATCTCAGAGGCTTGTCTGTATTTCCCATCGGCCAAATAGAGAAAGCCCGCTTGCTGTTGAACCCGAGTCAGCAGTTGTTTGTCTCTGTTGCTTCCGAGTTCAGTCTGTATCGCAACTTTTGCTAATTCTAATGCCTCTTCAATTTTCCTCGATTCCATCAACATGTTGATCTACATTCGTCGTGAATACGAATGAATGGGACAATGATTGTCGTAAATAAATCATTGCATTCTTTCTCTGAACTCAGAAGTTTTTTATTTAAAGTTTCATTCTACCTGGCGTTTAAAAGGCACTTGAACCAAACAAAAAACTGCCCTTCGTGAACAGACAAACACTTTGTTTTCGACACTGCATGTTAGACATCCTGCCTGGAAGGATTAGTTTATACGCATTTTATCTTTAAAATGAATTTGGAATTGCACAAACTGATGTCTGCATAATGTGACGATTATTTACTCAAACGTGTTCATTGTCATACCTGAAATGGTATCAGCTGTTTTATAGAATTTTGATCCGATTCTAAAATGCTAAATAAATACGACGATCGTATTAAATCATTTTTACGTATTTAAATTAGGCGTTTTTGTAGCATGGGCCTGTTCAAACGTTATACTTTTCATGTGCGGAACTTAATCTTAATGAGCTAAGTTCATTTGGGTTCCATTAATTTGCATTCGTTGTTGGTATACAACTTTTATTTCCAATTATACATATAGCTATATGTCGTTTACTTTTTTCTCGGGAGACGTACCTATATACGGTAATACTACCCCGGCCAACTGCCACTACATACGGGAAGGAATACCCCAGGGAAATCAGACCGTCGGTCCAGCTGAGCGGAGGTCTCAAAGAAGTGCCGTGTGATGTCACAAACATTCCTAAGGTGTCCGTAGGACCGCTGAGAAGAAATTCTTCCTGTAATGAAACGAAAAATTCGTCGTAAAATTCATCATGAAACGGCTCTCGTGCACTCTTCTTACAACATAAATAATATCCCAATTCCCGTGCACTTTCTAAACGCACGATTCTGTTTTGTTTGACATATTCGTCTACATAGTTGTTCTAGATAGTTTGTCGTTTGTTTATACTCAGAATAATGATTTGTCAGACGAATCATCCGTCTCTGGTATTAATCGTGCCATTGTTACTGTACACTCTAAACTTCTAAAAATGCATGGATTTCCATTTTCAACCTTACCACCGCAATCCGGTTGATGATCGGTCTGGTATTTTGTGGTTCGTAGCTGATCAACTCTTGAACCTGGACATAAAAACATCGTAAGATTTAGAGATATTCACGCCGTCACACCGAGCCATATTCCATCAGCAAGTGGTATAGCTTTTTGCCGCGTGAAGACCTCTTACCTTTCCCGATGAAATATCCACATTACAATATACACTGGATAGCGCAACGCATACGGTGCTACCATCAAAGTTCTAAAGCGAAATATCGCAGTCATCAGAGCAAGAAATGTCTGTTTCCACTCTACTTATACTCTAGCAAATATCCTACCAGATGTATGGGTGATTCTGACACAGAAATTTCTCGTGATGGATAAACATTGTCTTCTGTAATCATGACGATATGTATTACTTTCTTTTTTGTTCCGACACACACCTGGGGGAGGATTGTTTTATTATCAACGATCTCGACTTTTTTCAGGGAGATGTATTAAATTTAAATGCACAAATACACTATATCTTTCAGTGTTTGGACTTGAGTTATTCGAGGGGTTTACCTCTACAGCAAACGGATCGAAAGTTGCTGGATTATCGTTGCGTGCTATACAGGTTGCCTAAAAAAAACATAGTAGTTTATTGAAAATTTCGAAAAAGTTTAACAGTTATCATTGCTTGAGTGTTTCTTTACCCCTTTTAGTTTATCTTTGAATCCGGAAATGATCATCTAAAATAAATTAAAAATTAGAATGAAACTGAGATAACCTTGCCATTTTTATTAAACTTCTAATTTTTTCAAACTTATCATCCATTTTTTGTCTTAACATGATAATTGCTATGAATTGTTTTCTGAGCCTCTGACCTCCAAGCCCACCATGCTGAGAAGAAGTAGGACACCTAAAAGATAATGAGTCTGAATGTTGTTATACCCACCACAATGGTCTAATCACAGAAGAAGGTCCTTTATAGAAAAAATTAAATACCATCACAAAGCACAATGAGCCGATTTATTGCAGCTGCTGTGAGTAGCTGTTGCACTGGCTTCCTCTAAAATATGAAAACAAATATCTTTACTGCGCCCTTTTTTCTTTGGCTGGTGAGTGTTGTGAGAATATTGATGGAAAGTGTTCGGTGTTCCTCTATTAGACCATTGTCTATGCTCAAGATCAATTTACCATTCCAAGTTGTTTGTATCCCTGAAGGCTGTATTGAAACACAGCTTTTCCCGAAGGAGAGACATCTTCGGCAACAATGTAGTGGATTATCAAACTGGAAAATATATAGTCAGCTTGTGTGTATATGTGCATAAATTTACCCCTTCCAATAACATACATAACAAATTCTTGTATGTTTGCATGGTGACTTTAATAATTAAATTAATTTAGGTAGGTAGACCATGTAAGTATTATTACGTGGTGTACCTACAACAGGCTGCAAGTTAATTTAACATACATAACCATCATCACCATTGTTTAGGTAATGTCTATCATGTAGGTACAGTATGCAAGGAATGGGATGGAAAGGCTATATGAAATGGTGGGCCATAAATGTTTGGTTGTTCTTACCAGTCTCCTGTTCCAACAAATAAGTTTTGAGCTGCACAGTCCAAACACTGAACCTGGAATTATTCATTAATTTATCAATTGAGCTAATACTACAGAATACTACATCGTGCCAACAATTTTTCACATATATGGTGAGATGGGTAATATGTTAACATTAGTGGAATTAAGTTTTTCTAACAATGGCCAGTTTAAAACTTGGTCTCACATGACACAGAATCGAATTATATTTCAACATAATTTCAAACCATATCTGCTAATACGTCTATTAAACAATATTATTCTAACTTGTTGGTAATAAACATTTAATGACTTTACTCTGACCAAAGTGCAGACAAGTCTAACCTGCCATTCTACATACCTCTGCTTCAACAAAGGTTAATGCTATTCAAAATATGAATCAGGAAATCTATATGTGCAACTTTAATAAATTCCGATCACTTCTAAGTTCAACTCTTGACCATAAATATTAAATACCATCATTATTCCATAAAACCATATAGAAATCCTACCCGACCTACCGTAGTCTTAGGCTTGTCGCCCGTTATTTGAACCCGATCTATCACAGGAACCAACTCAAACGCGGTAAAACTCATTTTCACAGTGCGATCGTCTTTCTATTTCATGTTTTCATCAGTTCCAACCAAAAATATATCACTTCCACTCTTCCACCATTTCACGCCCACGGTGAGTACAATCAGCAGTCTTACCCAATAAAAATAAATAGAACAAATGTTGCAAAGTTGAATGTAACAAAATATTCGTAAATTTCTTGAAATTTAAATTGGTTTTTTTTACATAAATCTTTACAAAACGATAATGATTTAAACTGATATTAGAAAAGGTAGGTTAGTTTGAACTCTAATATTGCTTATTTCACATGATGCAATTGTTGAGTGTTACAAAACTGCAAATAAGTATGCCGCACATTCCAACAAGAAATGAATTTAAGAATTTGCAAAAGTCTGTATTAAGCAACGTGGCAAACGTACTTATTTATACAAAGAAGTTGTAATTTAATACTGTATGTTGACACATATATACATCAGTAGAGCGTGGTTAAGGTTAGTAGATCTTTGAGTAAACTTTGATAAATTTTCTTTTGTGTATACAGGGTGTCAATGGCAAGAGTCTGTATTGATGAGACGAACTGCTAAGATAAGGGATAATTTAAGTCTTAACTTTCAACAACAGGTATAGAGCAATGGCTCTGAAAAACATTTGGGAGAGTTAATGAATTGCTAATCCAGTTTTATGTAGCTGTGAGCAGTTGCACAAAGAATATCTTTGTTTAATACCATGCATGAATATATACCAACAACTAAGACTTTTGTTATTCAAGATCTAACTATATCAACTATTTTGATGAACCATTTTCGGTTTGTAATTGACATTTAGCAACAACATCAACCCAAGTTTGTCTTTTAGATGAACATGGATAGTATTGTTCCAAGACTATCACAGCTTCTACACCGGGATCCCTATCTCCATCCTTATGCGCATGAGATTGAGAGAAGGTGCTTTGATTAAACTTCATAACTTTACACTTAAACCAATTAGCTATAATTAGGTTTATTTTGTGCAACTCACATTTGCTGATAGTGCATATAAAAGCTGGATAGCTGATAGTGCATATAAAAGCTGGATAGCTGATAGTGCATATAAAAGCTGGATAGCTGATATGTGAACATTACACTTTCTTGAAGGTACAAGATTTTCCAAGAAATTCTTAGCAAGATAAATGAAACAGAGGGTGGTATTGACCAATTCTCCAGAGGGTATGAAAGGTTTGGATTGACTAAGGAGGATGATGGCATTATGTACAGAGAATGGGCCCCACAAGCGAAAGCAGTGCATTTGATTGGTGATTTCAGTAAGTTGTTGGAATTACCAGGGAATGTATCACCATTTTCACAATCATCATAGCTGCCATTTTAATTTAATTTTTGCACGATAAACTTTGCTACTACAATCATGACATAACCAAACCATCAAACTAACTAGTCCTTTTACATAACATTTTAGATGACTGGGACCGTGGTTCACATGCATGTTCTGTCAATGAGTTTGGAGTGTGGCAGTTAAAACTTCCAAATAAACCTGATGGCTCTTCACCAATTAATCACAAGTCCAGAGTGAAGGTAAAAGGTTTACTGTCATTAAGTTGCACAGTCAATCAGTTCTTCAAATTCTGACTCCTTCACAGTCCCTTGACAAGACGCATATCAGTGATATTTATAGTGGCTAGGAAGAATCCAAATCCACTTTTTTTATTAAGGTTGCTATCACCAAACATGATGGCAGCCAAGTTGATCGTGTTTCACCCTGGATCACCTACGCTACGCCTGAACCAAGCACAGATCTATACGAAGGGATCCACTGGGATCCACCCCAACCATATCAGTGGCAGAACCCTCGTCCCACGAGGCCAAAAAGTTTAAGGATTTACGAATCACATGTTGGAATTGCATCCAACCAATTGGAGGTCGCATCGTATGATAATTTTTCGCAGAACGTAATTCCACGTATTAAGGGACTGGGTTATAACTGCGTTGAACTCATGGCGATTATGGAGCATGCGTATTACGCTTCGTTTGGGTATCAAGTGACCAACTTCTTTGCTGCATCAAGGTGGGTTCAGCCGACAAGACGTGTCGGTAGGTTACTAACACTAGTTTCTAAGTACGGTCAAGGTAATTAGCACTCACATTTGTACGAGATGAGAGTTTGAATTCAGGCAGTGCTGTTTAGGAAGAATAGAGCTGTATAAATATAAAGGTAGTTTAATTTACATCACTCGTTAGCTTAGAAAACGCCTTTAATGGAGACTCTTTCTGAACAACAGCCTAAAACATTGATGATCGGAGTTAGTTTAGTTTAATAGTCTGACCTTATTTTTCCTTTAAGCCGTTATGGTACGCCAGATGAGCTGAAGCATCTGATTGACACAGCTCATGGTCATGGTATGCTGGTTATCCTGGATGTCGTACACAGTCACGCCAGCAAGAACACCATGGATGGTCTCAACGAGTTTGATGGTACCACTGGATGTTATTTCCATGACAACCCGAGGGGATACCATGATCTTTGGGATAGCAGATTATTTGATTACACGAAGTAAGCAGATGACATTGACCGCATCTCAATCGCAGTAACTATCTCTGACCAATTCTCCCCAGTGGTGAACTTAAAACTTAAAAGGGAGGGGATGCACAGAGGTGTACACCCAGCAGACCTTGGTCACCAAGGTGTATTTGTAATGATATAGATTGTACTAAGCTTTGGGCACGACATAACAAGATATCGCTCAACCAGCACCTCCTTAAAAATTTTGAAGATCTCCAAGACTCCAACTGGTTGTCTTTCATCTCCACGGATATAAGTGCATATGTCGTGTTCTTACCCCACGACGTACTTTCTTTTTAGATGGGAAGTGTTGCGGTTTCTGTTATCAAACTTAAGGTGGTATTTAGAGGAATACAGATTCGATGGCTTTCGGTTCGACGGTGTGACGTCGATGATTTATCACGACCACGGACTGGGACATGGTTTCGGGGGCGATTATCCGAATTTCTTTGACATGGGCGTCGATACGGAATCGATTACGTACCTGCAGCTCGCTAATCACATGATGCACACTCTTCATCCTCAGGCAGTCTCCATCGCTGAGGTAACAGGGAGTCTAAGCGTGTAGAACCAATTCTTAGAGAGCCAATTCTAGTTTTACAATGGAAGAAAACTAAACTAAACTGACTATGTGTTGAACTCGGCGTTTCACTAAAAGTCACCTCAGAGTGACTGTATTGCTATAGCTCTGATTTAACTAAAGAGACCGACGTATTTTTTTCATCTGTACATTTCAGGATGTTTCAGGAATGCCCGCACTATGTCGGCCTATCGACGAAGGTGGCATTGGTTTTGACTACCGTCTTGGAATGGCCATACCGGACAAATGGATAGAGGTAGACACGCCCTACCCATATGTACCATCGTACTCCCAAGTGTCCTTGTTTGATGCTTACGAAACTCATTGTCTTGATTTCTGTTCTAGTTATTAAAGAAATATAAAGATGAAGATTGGGACCTGCAAGAGATTTTCCACACAATGACCAACAGGCGATATATGGAAAACACGATCGCTTACGCCGAGAGTCACGACCAGGCTTTGGTAGGAGACAAAACAATCGCGTTTTGGTTGATGGATAAAGAGATGTATGATTTCATGTCGGTGACGGCGTATCTGACACCAATCATCGATAGAGGGCTAGCTTTGCATAAAATGATCAGGTAGGTGGTATTGATGATAATGGTGATGGTGGTATTGATGATGGTGGTATTGATGATGGTGGTAAGATTCTGCTTATGATAGTGGTAAAGAAATTATCTTGATTGATGATATTGGTGAACAAATTTATTTGATTATAATATTGGTGGAGAAATTATTTTGATAATGAACTTGATGGAGAAGTGTTGGATGATGATATTGGTGGAAAAAAAGTATTTTTAACAGTAGTGATTGTGGATGAAGTACAAAACTTTTCACGAAACGAATCTTTCCTTGCCAGATTACTAACTCATGGTCTTGGGGGCGAGGCGTACATGAACTTTATTGGCAACGAATTTGGTCATCCTGAATGGTTAGACTTTCCAAGGGCAGGGAACAACTCAAGCTACCATTATGCCAGAAGGCAGTTCAACCTCGCTGACGATCCATTGTTGAGATATAAGTTTTTAAACGAATTTGACAAGAGGATGAATCATTTGGAAGAGGAGTACGGTTGGCTGCACGCCCCACAAGTAAGATGTGTGTTTAAATACCGGTTACCTCTGAGATAGGAACATCGCTAAGGACTAACTCTCTGCATGAATGTCCGGTTTCATGCATCATTGGAGGAAACATATCCTGTTGAAATGTGTTTTTATTAATTTCAGGCTTTTGTGAGTACCAAACATCAATCAGACAAGATCATGGTTTTCGACAGAGCTGGAGTGGTTTTCATTTTTAATTTTCATGCTACAAAAAGTTATCCTGATTATAGAATAGCTGTTCCTGCAACTGGAAAGTATCCACTATATTCCACTTAAAAGGAGTGACCTGGAGAGGCCAACTCACAAAATCGATTCCATCTAAAAGTATTGATCATATACCTTACGAAATTCATTGTACTTCTGCTGTATTGTGTGAGTTGTATGTGTGTGTGTGTGGAGAAACAGTTTTTCCCTTGACAATTCTTTTAGATATAAATTAGTCTTGGATTCTGACGCAGAAGAGTTTGGAGGTCACAAGAGAGTGACTTCTGGATGTGAATATGCTGTGGATGAAATGAGTTACAACGACCGACCGTATTCCACTTTGGTAAGAAAACAATGGTAGTTAGTGATGTCAGTCAGTTCATGAAGAAAGTTTCTTAAAATAGTATGCAACATTAGCAATGATATTTAGCGCAACCAACAAACAATATTGAAATGTTTTTATTCTATGTTATTTATATAGGTCTATATTCCATGCCGTACAGCGTTGGTACTGGCTCATGTTGAATGATTTAAGCAAAAAAGATATGGCTGGTTAAAAGTCTTCCTGCACATGAGAGTGAACGAATTGAAGAGCTTCAGTAAGCGTTTTGGGAGAAAGGTCAAGCCAGCGATATGAAAACGTTAGCTTTATACAGCTTGGGTCAATGACTTTGCTTTCCAGATCGCTGTAGATAAGTTGGAAGAGAAGGCCGTATTACTTACCTACTTTTTAAAGTCTCAAATTTGGATATTCAGACGATCAGCAAGATGGATATATAATAATAAGTTATTAATTTACTTTTCATGTGGCGAATAACGAAGTTAGAAATTCATTTTCTTACAAACATTGACGATCTATGTATAATATCCTAATTAATTTTTTTCCCTTAGAATAATGTGATAATGATTGATAATGATAATTTTTTAGAAAAGCCTGATTGATCTTCGACCTTCTTTCGGTGGGATTTCGCAATCTCCTTTTGGTGTATGTAGTTATGGGATTATTTCAGGGTTCTGCCGAATGTTTCTGCTTGAATCACCACCGTGCAATGGCGGCGGAAGAATTAATTAAAAACTTGGAATTGATTCCCTATCCAGGCTCTGTTTGCAAGAATGTTTACTTTAAGGAGGTATATCGCTCCGACTTGAAGGTCAAGCCATTATCAGACGACCGGTCAGAACGAAACGCTTCCACAACGATATACGTCTTGGCTAAGCAGGGTAAAATAGGTTCTTGGAGGAGGCTGAAGTCAGACGAAACTTTTTTCTACCACAAAGGAAACTGTCTGCGCATCGCTGTTATAAAACCAAACGGGAAGTTAGAGACAGTTCTTGTTGGAGACAAATTGAAGAACGATGAAGCGAGATATAATTACACTATTGTGGCCAATTCATGGTTTAATTATTGTATGGAGGCGGGTGATGATGACTATGTGCTGTTTAGCGCTGCAGTTGCCCCTGGGTTTGACCCGAACGACGTGGAAAGTTCAGACAAGGCCAAACTGGCTGAAGATTATCCACAGCATGCAAAAACAATCAGTGAATTCGTAAACAAATGACTCATTTACAGTTACATTGTTGTCATGTTTTTCTCTAATTAAAAATTGTTTTCAATTTTGGCTAAATGCATTCAGTTGTAACAAATTATGCATAGTTGTATCAAATAAGTATATTTTGCAACATTCTTTGTAGGAATTTGCGCGTAGTACTAACTTTACGGTCATGTTTTTAAAAAAAAATACGAGTTAACACTTAACAGTTTTTTATCTGTATTCTTCACAATCTCTCATTTATTGGCCCACCGAAACCTGTTAATAGGTGCAACTTTATTTTTCCCATATTTCTGGTAAATTTTAAAAGTCCCCTGACTTCCTTCTTCTCCTGGCGATGATCATTTGCCCCATCTCGCGAAAGATTTCAGCCGTTTGTAAATAATAAGACGCCTGCAAAATCAGAATATGACAACATAAAAAATTTGCATATTAATATGTCAACAGCAAGTCGGTGAAGTCACCTGTCTGCGATGTAAGATAAAATGAAAATGCTAACTAGCGAAGATTTTTACTGTGTTTAGCTCAGTTTTCACGGGCTTCGGTTAGCAATATGCCTAACTACAATACTATGAAATCGGAGTCCGAGTAAGTAGCCTTTCCATATCTGTTAAGATCCTTTAAAGATCATGCATATTTTGGACGCCATGTTGGGTTGATAGCCAACGATAGTGATAGTCGAAAGAGATAAATTTAGGCGCTTTTTTCTGTAGTATCAATAAAACATAACATGTATTTATTTTAGTGAAATGTAGTTTTTTCTATAGTTGTTTTCTTAACGCCAGAATAGCGAATATCTTTATCCTGTTAGACCTTGTTTGTTGATTTAAATGAAGGTTATGGCTAGAACTGCTTTTATTATTATGAAATACTATCTTGATACACTAATTTTACTATGAGCGACTATTATAGAGTGAGTGGGATATCTAACTCTGAGGTAATTTATTGCAAGGATAAACCTCGGGTTACATCATTTTGATTATAAGGCACTTCATCGACAGTTATCTTTGAAAAACTGGAGTGAAAAAAGCTATTTAATGTTACACCCAATTTAGTAATTGATACAAAATTTTAAAAAAATTGGTCATCTTTTCCATACTAAGCCCACATAGCAGCCCAGGTGAGCCCCTTCAAACAAGACATGATATGGAATAGACAGACAAACATTTTTTATTTGGTGTGAATTAACTAGAGCAGTTGTTAAGAGGCTTGGGTTGGGCATGATTTGAGCAGCCTATCAACTGCCCTCATTAGCTAGTCTTTGATGACAAAATCAAAAAGATTTTCACTTGTTAGTTTGGATTACAACTGCAGTTTGAGGCATGGGTAATTTATATTACATGGTTACAGTTACTCAACATTTCAGGTTGATCAAAATGAGCTAAGGTGTATTGGCATTTGTGACATGATTTATTGTTAGGATTATCACATTTCTGTTATATTTCTGTCGGGATATTTTTGTCTTAAATTTAAAGTTTTTCATTGATATTGGGTAATTTGGGTTGGCTAAAAAGTCAGGTCAATCAGCAAACGTCTTTTGGTGTATGGTTTTATGCTAAGTTCTGGTGACATCACAGCATGTGATGTGACAACATTCAGGTAGAGTGAAATCGTGAAATGGTTCTTTAACAAAAACATTGTGAAATACGTGCTCAGTCTTTGACAAATTATGGAGCCAGAATAGTTACGATTTTGACGAAATGCCGCCTACAGAAGGCGAGAAGGGTACTTTTGTCAATGGCGAAAAAGAAACCGTCGAATCTATGTAAGTTTATGTGTATTTCACGCGTGAAAGACGATGAAACGAACTCATGTTATGGTTTACTTCGAAGATTTGATTTCGATTCGCATGTCTGCTTTTATTTTTATGAATTCTAGGGTTCTATCCTTAATATACATACCTGATTTATAAGCTCAGATAATTCCTTTAGTTTAACATAATTAATGTAAGTTACATATACTTTCTCTAGACATAAAATCGCAGATCTTAATAACAATGAGTTTCTGTGATTTATCTTCGGAAATCGTTTATTTCAATTTGCTAATATTGCATGACAAATCGGCTGAGTTTGTACATTGTAGCAACTGGCATTTCTTCGTCATTGTAAAGTTAAGCCTCGGAAAGTGTGTTTAAAACCTGTTTAAGTTGACAGAAGGGTAATATAGTTAAAGTCCCGCGTTATTGTTTTCATAAATATTTATAATCGGTTGCGAATTATTTGATAATTTTACAGGTTATGGGTTCATCTTGGGGTTTTTCGGCCTCTGTGTGCCATTAAGGGAGTCTTGTTTGCTTATTGGGATTTGATTGAAATTTGCATGTGTTCTAGACTTTTTCTTTTCAATATGATGTTGTTTTGAGTTGTTTGTTTATCTCATTCTTGATCTAAAGTGCTTTGAATATGGGGTCGAATTCACTAGTTTATCTAGATAGTCCACTTGTGGGGCTGTCAAAATGAACCAGCCTTCCCAAAATTGAATTTTAAACCTCGGCACTCATCAATGAAAATAATCAAGTGAAATGTGGATGCAACTCTTCATTCTGTCCAATAGACAAGCAATCTAATAATTTTCTGAAATTTTTTGAGTGGATTTGAGAATTTGGTCGTTTGCCCAGATTTAAGAATCAATGCTTAACACTCTAGCTTACTCATCATGCTCAAAAAAACAATGTTTACTGGTTTTCTCATCTTTATGAATAAACATGAACATGTGTTCATATTTCCTGTTTTGCATGTGTTGTTTGTGGGCAACATACTTGTTGGGAATTTTGAGAATTTGCCAAAACTTGGCTAGGAAACTGTTTTTCACACCTTCAATATCTGAGCCAAATTCATTTTCTTTTTCTAGGCAACAGAAGGATTTATATGAAACTCTAGCAGTCGATAGAGATGCAACTCCTGAGGAGATCAAGAAAGCTTACCGAAGGGTAATAAATGTTTTTGCTAGGGACTACGGATGATATTGTTTTTCAATCCAAAACTGCCAGATTCTAAGCTAAACATTGGTTAGTCTTTTCTTCCCTATTACCTTTCAATCAAAATTCACTAAAATTTCCACATTATGTTTGATTCAAATCATAGTAAAATGTAAGTTATCTTGACCTATTGGAAGGGCATTTGTTAGGCAAGGAGGTAATGTGAAATTCATGTCAAATTTGAATTGTCTTTAGATGGCTCTCCTTCACCATCCTGATAAGAATCCAGATGACCCCATGGCAGCAGATAGGGTGAGTATTCTTCAATCACTGAAACACTTCTGTTTTTTTCTGTTAACAATCATAGATCTGTTTATTTGACCCAAATGCTATATTCTGTTTTAGTTTAAAATAATTAGTCATGCAAATACAATTTTATCAAATCCAAGCAAAAGGCAGATCTATGATGAATATGGAAATATGGGCTTGTACATAGCTGAACAATTTGGAGATGAGGTCAGTGTTTTGTGTGGCTTTTTAATGATTCCTCATTAAAATATGGGTTACTTCATTAACTGCTGTTGTGCTTGGCAGATAGATGATTTCACTTTCCAACAGACAAATACTGTCAATTAACAAATTTCCTTGAAATAATATCACAGATGTAGCATTAATTTAAGAATGTGTTTATCAGTGGACAGTATTTATTCAAGAGCAACTAAGAATTTACTTACACAAGTCAAATTCAAAACCATGGCTTTGTTGGTGGTTTGTCCCAACATAGTTTGACCCAAGACTTCTCTCTTTTTCCAACCAATCATATTGCATCCCTAGTTATTAGGGTCCAGGCTCCCAGGCATGATAAGCTCAGACATTTTTTCAAAAGATTGTAAGGCTAATTTATATGAAAATTGACAGACGCGATTTCTAGACTCATACAACCTGTCATAGACCTTCAAGATATGGTTTTTGCGTAATTATCACTCATAGCCATTTAACTTGCTCTATTTTCAAAGATATGTCCAATCTAAATTATTCATAACTACGACAGGTCGTAATAGTAAACAAATTTCTTGAGGTAGCCGCAAGAGCTATTATTAGCCAAAGTTATCTATTTTATTATCTTTAATATAAAAAAGGTATTGGAAAAAATGAATGTGGGAATTACGGTTTCACTGCTATACTGTGTGCGATATCTTTGAAAATGAAAGCATATTTGTACGTCTTTTTGTATTGTGCACAGAAATATATCAAAGGAAAGGTTTTAACGGATAAAGTCGAGGGCAGTCGAGACTGTTCAGCGATATGACTGCTTAGATTGTTTTGTTTGCATTTCCTCTGCTTTCCATTTATCAACAGCAACATATTTGTAAATTGTTTGTAAGAATAACGAAGTGTCAGGATAATACAATACTCGTGCAGCGAGGCGGCGCCAGGAACGTTGCGAAAGACGCATGTCGGCTCCTTCCCACAGGCGTGGGCTTTTAGATTCTTGTCGTAAGGACCGAAGTTTCCTTTTTCCGCATCACCTTCGGTATATGTTGTGCAAAATCCCATGCATGTTTTCAATCATTGCATTGCATTACTACAATGTTCCTAATCTACAAACTTCTAGAACTACCCTTTGCATATCACAGACATGAGACCGGAGCTATAACATGATTAAATTATCACCGCATATATTAATTTCAATATATTTGAGCAAACAAAAACGAAAAAAGTGCACTTTCATATCGAAATTATCTTGTGCAATTTTTGCAGACGGAACACTGTCTATTCAACACGAGCACACTACAATATCGAAACGAAACATGGTTTTTGGAAAAATGCTTACTTGCGTGTTGAATTCTCTTTATTGTATCCTAATAGTTTTATAACTGCTTAACTAATTGCATAAGAAAAGATTAGTATTTAACCACCTGTCTTAATGAATATTAACGTGAAATTTATCACCTCGCTTATATATTAAAACGATTCTGCCAATATGGGGCGATTCAATTCAATAAACAAGATACGATTCAACTTAGTTATCGGGAAAGATTCATTTCTATGGGGTTTTTTTGGATATTGAACCGATAGCGTTGAAGTGCGTGTGGCCTTTTTTAAAGAAATGTTTGGTCAGTCGCCTAGGAGATCAGCGCTCGGTCAGAATATATACATGCATGTGTGTATATACGAAAATTTGAATCGAAAGCCATTTAGTATATAGGAACGGCTTTAGAATAAGGCATTCGTACATTTCCCAATTGTCAAGGAAAATGTACAATATTTCAAATGGCACGTCGAACAATGGGCATACGAGTTCGCCGAAGCGCCGTTTGTCCGTTCGGACACGAATGATGATAGCTGCACGACAAAAAATTGAACTGCACGAAAAATTGGCGCTTGAGAAGGACAAAGATAGCGAGGAAAACGTCGAGATAACATCAGATGTAAACATGGAGAAAAGTCTTCCTTATCCGACGTCGCAAGGGCTTGATTCCCAACTCTCCGATGAGCTGAAAACTAAAATAACTAGAATCGTTGAGGCAAATTGTGCGATGGAGGATATTAGAGCTTCCAAGTCATCATTAATCATCGAAACGGGCAAGAAATCTGGCTCGAAGTCCCAGAGAGACGGCGTGCTCGATTTCTGTGGCTATAATCTAGGCTACGGTGGTGTGCTGCATGTTCTGAACGAGATACACGACTGGGACAGCTCGCATATCGTGAAAATGGACTTCAGCGGATGCGCTTTGGAGGAACGAGGGATGAACGTCGTTTATAAAATCGTCAAACTGTGTAAGAATGTCAAGGAACTGAATTTGTCGAGGAACAACCTCGGACGGTCTGGGATAACGTGGGTTGCACGACTGATGCAGAGCACTGCGATTTCGTGCTTGAAGTTAGCTCATAACGGCCTAAACGGCAACGACATGGAAGTATTCTTGGCCGCCTTGCCGGACTCCGACGCCATCGTTACACTGGACCTGAGTTACAACATCCTAGGTCCTTACGTCGGGGAGTTGATCACGAAATACTTGCCCATCAGTTCAGTACAGTGCTTGAATTTAGGCCACAACGAGATAGGATCGGAAGGAATCAGGAACATGGTGGAAGGTTTGCAAGAAAATGACTCCTTGAGGGAAATTGATCTGTCCTGGAATTATCTTTACGATAAGGGTATGAGCTCTATCGCTGATGTCATTCTCACGGCCCCTTTCATTCGAAGGATCTTTTTGAACGGGAATTTTATCACTGAAGTGGGCGCTCAGCAGATAGCTCACGGGCTACGAGAGAACTCCACGCTCGAAGTTCTCAACCTTGCTCAAAATTTTATACGATCACAAGGGGCGTGCGCCTTAGTGAGAGCTGTCAGGAGCAACATGAGCTCAAGGTTGAGGCTCTTGGATATCAACGGCACCCTGGTGTCGAACGAATTTATGGTGATGTACCGAAGGATACAGATGGATAAAGAGGGTTTTGAAGTGACTGGGTTTTGTGCAGTCGGTGGGGAAGGAAATGGATTCAGGAGACGAAAGAGCTCCAAATATCAGTAAAATGACATTAAATAAATGACACAGTGATAGCTTCAAAAATCCATAACTCCGTTTTATTTGACCACACAATGTGTATTATAATGAGAAGAGGGGGGGGGAATAACTTTATATATATATGGAACGGGGGGACGGCCTCAGTAAATTATATACACAATACTTCTAGAAATTTTTGCTTCTATGAATTTTGTTTGTAATCAATTAGTGTTTGTACGTGTACTTAGTGTATGTACTTCAGCTAATTATGGGTCTTTGTAATGAAAAAGACTTGTAAAGTATTATTTATTAAGACGGTGCAAAAATGTAAGGAACCGATCACCTTACTTTGGATTATTGGGCGATTTAGGGAGGGGTCTTAGTTAATGATATAGTATTTTGTTGTTTGCTTCAAGAAACACCATGAAAACTCTTGCCTTCGTCATTGATTATAGTCTGTTGGATTTACGGGGTTCATTCACCTTGGCTTTGGAGCCTATAAAATAGATATCCGCAGTATTTAAACTGCTTAACTGAATCTTGACATATCCTAAACGAGATATTGAGAAGAGTATATGTTCGATACAATACTCGTGCATTTTGGGTTTTTTTGTAAGCCAACCGCGATACCTACGCGTGGTAAGCAATATTGTACTTAAAAGAATGCATCAAGTGGAACACTCGGATATTTTTGTGGGAAAATGATACGTAATATACTTGCTTCTCCAGCAATGCACGTCTTTTTTCTGCTATAGTTGCAGTGCTGTATCAGTATCACTGCTTGTTTGTAACACCATTTCGTCAAAAAGAAATTGTTGTAAACGATGTTTTGAGTGATATAATGAGAAATAAAAGATTGGTCGGCAAGTCGAATAGCCCACAACAGTTTGATGAATTATTTTAAACTTTAAAAACACTTCAAATCATATACGGTTTGTATCTTTTACAGAACGTGAAATTGTATTTCCGCTTGAACAGTGTTTGGTGCAAGGTAAGTGTAAATACAATTAAATATTTCTTCCTACGTCAGTACTTCGAATATATCAAACGTGCCTGTTAATCCCTCTACATATGCATGAGTGTTGTCCGGTTATGGGGAAATCCTTCCGCTCAGAAAAACTTCTCTTGTCGGCTCGCAAGGAAAAGTGAATGATGTCAAAACAACTTGGAATGTCGTTTTGCGCGGAGGATTCCGTGAAGACTAGTGTGAGAAACCGCCTGAAGCGATCAGTTTGCACTCTGCTGAGCTCATGACCACACGTGCATGTCGGTAGATTTGCCGATAGCTCACGTCTGCGGGCTCTGCTGTGGAATTTGAAACACGTTGCTGCGAGGGATAATTTTATCGTGTTTGTTTTTTTTGTCTGCGCGTGGTAAAAGTCCCACGCGTGCGGATCATTTGTTTTTGATGATGCATTTTGTTTGAGGATGGAATTCAGCAATGTGTCTATGCAGTAGCCAATAAAAGTGCGTGCTTCTCTCACGTGGGGGAGGTGAGGGGGGTGAGAGTTCAGCCCTTTCCGTGTATTCGTGAGAATTTCCTTAAAATTGTGGAAGTTCGGGGGTGGCTGAATGATGATGAATGCTATAGGTGAATAACCGCGTAGTGTAGTAACTCAAATATTTTCTTATCTTAACAAGGCTGCGTTCATATTCTGTGGGTTGATTACCGGATGCTACTTCTGCTGCTGTCTTTGTTGTTGTTGCGGTTGCTGTTGTGGCAAATGTAAACCTGCCCCCCCTGAGGAAGATTGCGAAGATTTCCCCCCCGGCGAAGACGAAGAAGACACAATCACGACTCAACCAACATCGGCTACCTCCCCCGTCTCTGGAGGGGAAAATGGTAAAAATGAACCAATCGTGCTGGGTCCGCCACCTTCCGAGAAACCTTCACCCGCTCCTCCGGACGAAAAGACGGGTCTGAATAGCAGTTAAGTTTAGAATAGTTATGAAAATGAAATTGTTTGATAAAAAAAACCCGAACAAGTGTGGTGTTTTTTATCAAACGATGGGAATGCCAATTGTCTTCAGAAGAAGCGAAACATAATAATGTCGGTCTACGCCGCTCTCAAAGTTATCAAATTTTCTCACTACAGCAGGCTCAGTTTTTTCAGTGAATCACAGCGAAGAATCTGAAGCTCTCTTTTTCTTCTCACTAAAACCGCTGGCCTTAATTTTGCAAAAGATACCGGCTGACAATATGAGCCTGCACGTTTGGGAAAATTACCGTTTCCCCGCTCCTTCCACTGCTGCATCCATCCCAGTGAATGACGAATATAAAATATCTCACCGACATTATTATATTCCATTTTATGCAACCGAAGTGTTTGTCAAAACGTGATGACAAGGCAATTGCTTCTAGGATGCTAAAACCCCCATTCCTAATCAGTTTTCTGATTAACATAGTCTAAATTAATAGCTTAGCTTCTGTGAGCTGACTTGGCTTCAAACTCGAAACGCGAGATGTTACACGTATTTTGATTGAACTTGAAATTGAGACAAGTTGTTGCCACGCCATGCAACTTCATGCAACATTAGTTTTTCAGCATTTGATCTCGGTTGGATAGGGCAGTCGTGCAGTCATCTCGACAATAGCATGAGCTTGTTTGGTGTCTTAAAGACTTATTTCAATACCTCAAAGTCATCTCACACTTCGTTGAATCTCGGCTAAGCGGGATTATGTAAACAGCCCCTTACAAACACGATACCTTCTCCTTAGTATTTTTATCACACGACTATTCTTATTAGATAAAAAAAATACTTCCGCTATCATTCAAGCAAGCCTACGGCGGACACGATATACAATGTATTTAATTAATGATTATATTTTTGTTGAACAATTTTGTGTCAAAATTCAACTGTCAATTATAGTATTAGCTATGATTGATGTTCTCTAGAAACAATGATGAAACAGCTGTCATATCAATTAAATGTATATGAATTTGTATGCCTTTTGATATTAATTCTTCTTACGCAAATCTTAGCATTGGGATTAACGGTTTCCGAAGTTACATGCTGAAGGCTTAACTTTTTCCCATTCCCTTTTTGTCATTGGATAAATCCCACTAGTAAATAGCCTGCGCGCGCAGCTTGAAGATTATGTATACATGGTATATTACCGGTGATTTTACGTCTGCGATTTCACATAGGTTACTGATAAGGAAAAAAGGTCAAATTAAGTCGGACCAGAGGGTCAGGGATTCCCGGTTACACCCAAACGTTCGAATTCAAATAAGTTGGAATTTTTTATCGGTGAATACCAGGATGAAATAGCTTATTGTCAATCACTCTTTTTAGAGTTCTTTAAATACTTCTAGTATATTCCTTCTTAAAACGCAGGAATTAGGCCAAATTCCAACTGTGATCGCAGGAAAGGGTAAAAAGGTTCTGGTACGGCGAGGTGTTTCATTTACGTTGGAAACCTAGGCTTACACCACAATGAACTTCTGTAAATAAAGTCTCCTTCTTCTCTTCAATTCGTACACTTCCGAAGCTCACGTTGAAACTTTGGGTTTTCAATTATCTTCGTCTTATTTCAAATGAAGAGTCGAAAACATTGTCTTTGATAGTCAGGAATAACCTCGTGAGATTCTAATATTAAAAACTATTGAAATCTCCTTGACCCAAGCTCCCGTAGAGCACGCAGTCATTGTATAATAAGCGTCCTTGACTACATTGATTGGAATTGGTCCTACTTATAGACTTTCCCACGCTAAAATGGTTCACTAAACACGCATGTGAGGCAAGAATCTCTTGCATTTCAACCCCAAATTTTATATAATTAAGTCTTTTAGACACGTTCTCGTCAGTAGCAAAACTTGAAAGCGATCTAGAAGTCCTGTAGAATTTAAAGATCTTTCTAGCGGATTTTATCCCTCTTAGCAATGACGAAGCTCGTCGTCGTCATCCACACCTCATTTGCATTCTTATAGAAAGGGTAGGTCGTTTAAAAAACATCCACTGTATGGCGTTTGCGTGATTCGAGCTTTGTTGGTGTCAATACAAACCAATATTTTATATATTAACCATCTCGGAATCACGTTGAATAGAGACCACTTTTATAGACGGATTCTATCAATGCAATGTCCTATAAAAGTTGTTGTAATGGTGGATAATTTACAAATTACTTGTGCCATGAGATATCACCGCGTTGTTTGATGGCAATAAATAAATACTACAGGTCAATTAAGAAAATTCGAAACTGAATCACCATATGAATTCATACATACACCCATACACCTGACGCGAGTTTCCTCCCCAAGGCGGAATTTTTCCCTGAATTTTCATTACATGTAAGTCAACTCGAAGAAAATCATGTGTGATAAGCCGTAAGCAGCCACTATAAACTAAATGCGTTTTCCCGGCTACAGTACATTCACAGTCAGTTAAAATTGAAAAATCGCTACCTTTCAAGAGAGGTTTATATTATCTATAAATCACAATTTAATCATTGTAAAATATTTGATCGTCTGATACTGAGGCAGGAAGTATACCAACCACTGAACTTGCTAGAACAAAAGCCGGAATTGTCTTTTTGAGTGATGTTTTCTAACAACTCCCCCGCGGTCATATATATTGTCCTGAAACGAGTTTCCTTATTTGGTATTCGATTGGAATGTCTCTTGAGCAAGTATACAGTCATTTAGCTTGTCGAAGAGTACGAAATTCTCGATTGTGAGCGTTTCAGATATTTTTAACACTCGGATAGTTTATAGAAGTGTTTAACATGAATGGAGATATAGCACATAGCGATCCAGGACCGCCATCTTTGCCAAGAAAGGTTACAATTCAACGAGGAAGCGAGGGGTATGGCTTTAACTTGCATGGCGAGAAAGGTATACATGGGCAATTTATAAGCGCGATTGATGTTGGCAGTCCAGCTCAGAAGAATGATTTAAGAGTTGGAGACAGAGTAATCGCTGTAAATAATGGTGATGTCGAGGACATGCCTCATTCGAAAGTTGTGGAGCGAATTCGAGCTGGCGGAAATCAAGTGACACTTTTGGTTGTTGACGAACTCTGTGACCAATACTATAAGAACTTAGGACAAAAAATACCACAAGATAAATTCGAAACATCAGGCCAGGAAGCAGCCGTAGCTTTGCCTTCAGTTGAAGAGAATCGTGTAGTTAATGAGGGTGAAGCCAGTGAGAAACCAGCTGAAACGGCAGCGGTGAATCACGAAGAAGAAAATGTGCAAAACATCCAAGTGGAGTCGCCTGAACCTGAAGTTGTAGAAGAGCCTGGCAATGCTCCTGAAGATTCAAAAGACGACGCAGACGATGATGGCTACGAAGAAGTTATTCCGAAATCGAAACCTGAGCCGCAACCTCAACAAATCGAAACAGAGAAGCCAGCTGAAATATTACAAGAGACGAAGCCGGCTGAACAAGTCGTAACAACTCCACCAGCCGATCGAATTTCCAATGGCTCTTCTTCGGACGCGAGCAGTCTTTCGCCAAAGCTCGATATGGCCGCTGCTAGACCGAAACCGAAACGACACGATGTTAAACGAGCCACGCAGAATTGGAAACAAAAATACGATGATTTCAATAAACTATGATGTGATGAAACAATGAAACGTTTTGTATTGTGAGGTATAAGAAATGTGTACATTGACTTTGAAAACATACACAGGCCCAACGCACACATTTAGGTTTTAGAGTAAGGTTCTACTTGTGATCAATCTATTTTGTTGGAGTGATGATTCAGAAAAGCATGAAAATATTGTGAATTCGAAGATTCGAGACGGCAATCGATTATAAAATCAGACGAATTACATGTAATGCGCTTATTTTTCCAACGTCAATATCAGTGCCTCACTGGTCTCATGGTCTAGTTTAGTATCTAAATGTCTCGGCTCGTATCTTTTGTAGTTGTGTTTAAAAAGAATAATACAATATATATATATATATAGTTCTTTCATAAAAATGATTTAGAAGTGTTGCAATTAGTACATTGTAGAGGAGTTGCAATTAGTGGCGCAGTTGCATTAGGACGTTTTATTAGTATATTTTACAAATATTTTACAAAAATATAAACATTGTGGATATTCTTAGGAAATTCTTATCTTTTCCTGCTCTTTTGGGGTCAAAGAATATTTCCAGAATGAACCATTTGATTTCAAAACAGTGAATAGCCCACTCCATGCAGGACAAACAAAGCGATCTATTTTTCAGCTTGTTGCTAGGGCCTTAATTCGCATTTCCGAATATGAATCTAATGACTTATTCAGAAATATAGGAACGTCGCAAATAAGGATTAGAAAGTCCTGTAGAACACACTTTGTGACAGGATTAGCAAGTGTTGAATGCAATTTAGTTTAATTTAAAGCTACGATTAACTTCTAAATCTAAATGCAGTTTATATTTTTGTCTGCAGCTGTGCGCACAAGCGTTCATTTGCATGTATAAGTTTTGATCATTTGTGACAAGCACACGAACAACACCCGTTTGAACTTGAATTGATTACAAACGAGAATTTGAATTGGTTTCCGTTATCGTTTGACTCTTGCGTAAACTCAGTATGTGGCAAAAGGATAGTTGGGCCGGGGGAATAAGAAGTTATCTAAGTTTTGTAACAAACTATGCATGCCAGGTGTAAATGGGAATGAAATAGAAAAATAATAAACATAAAACATATAGATAGCTTCATGAAATGTGATTAATTCATGGTATGCAAAATATGTAGCAATATGCATATAGTGTTCCCAAAGTTTGTCTTGTTGATATTTTGAGAAAATATAACAAGGATTATCATACTAATTATAAATTTTGTGATTTTGCAGTTAAATTACAAGGCCATTCAATAACCTGCCCTAATATTAAAAACAACAAAGTATATAGTTACAATGTTGTATTAATAAAATGGAAAACTAATGCTGGTTAGACTGCCCAAAAGTACAACAATTGTTTAATTAAATAAATACAAATTTATTTTTCTAGCTTTCAGATCTAGATTACATTTTCAGCTTGTAGGTCTTACGTTTTGCTCTTTTTAAATTTAGCAATGTCTTTTTGTTTAAGTTTTCGAACACCTTTCTTCAACTTTCCACTATCAAGGCCCTTGCTTTGGTCTACCCAACGACCAGTTCTAAACAATATGAAATGCATTCAGTTTAGTCATTGAACATTGGGTATATGGAGGGCAGGTGTACTATTAGGGTAAAAATAGGTATTTCACAGATAAAGTATCACACAACAGTAGTTAATAATAGATAATAGGTATCTTGAAGATTGTTAAAAGACATAGATTTTACCCTTTAAGAATTTGTTTGGTTCTGTCATCTGATTTCTTTTTCCTTTTGAATATACCCATCGCAGCTTCCTATATTCATAGTCAAAGTTTCATTGTTGGTTTTTGTTTAGTTAATAACATTGTATGGTTCAAAAAGAAAAGTTACTATTGATTCAATACATCATGTCTATTACTGAATAATACAAAATCAAAATTTTATATGAAATGTAGAGCTGTATGATGCTTTACCAAATCTTGCTGTTTCCTTTCTCTTTCATCTTTTTTCTTCCTGCATTTCATTAGCAGAGGATATGGCATTTTTTGCTGCTTTGGAGCCTTTTGAAATAGCATTATGTGAGTCAGTATAGACAGTCAGTGATGCAATCAGTATTAGCACCACTTGGGACATTCATAATTATATAAACGGTTATATTTTTTCTTGTAAATTATGTCTCTATTAACCTTTGCACCCAAAGCTTGAGCTTCTTGTTGCTTATACTTTTTCTGTTCTTTTTTTTCAAACCCTGATAAACCTGAATAAAGACGCAGGTAGGATTGCTATACTGTTGTAAATATGCTCGACATTCACGCTGCTGGTTTACAAACCTAACTCTTTCACTTCCTGTGCAATTTCTTTAAAACTAATATTTCCCATATCTATTTCGTTATTTGGACGCGTCTCTCGTTTCTAAAGAAATCGGACGGAAATGAAAACATTACGGGAGAGTAGTTGTTTCTAGTGATTTTTTAATGGCGTGGGTTTTTAGCCTTTCTATAAATGACCATGAAAAGATGCGGTTATGCAGTATGCCCTTTTACCAGTGTTTTTTTTCTTTGTTTTCGAGCTGGTTCTTCGAAAACAACTACTTCAGGCTTTTTTTTCCTTGATGCTTTCATTTTAATATTTCAAGATCTAGCAAACACGTAAAAATAATAGATTAACAGTACATTATATATAGTTCAATTCAAAAATTCACTCCTTGACGGCGGCCATTTTGCTTTTATATAAAATTTTTCTTAGCAAAATACATACGCTAGGAGTTGTTTACGTCGCTCCTCGTTTCGAAATGTAGTCGGATTTAGACTGTATCTTAACATTTTTTGTATTTTTTATACTTTTTTGTTTTGGAATTCGTCTTTTTTTAATAAATAAAACATAATGTTGCAGCATACTTAGTTTTGGTTTAATGTAGGGCAGTAAAATAATCTTATTATTTTAACTTTTAAAGTTCCTCAACAATTCCGACAGTTTACGATGAACTACGATCTCGAGTTTCGGAAAATTTAAAGGGCAAAATGGCTAGCGAACGTGCTTTATTTTTGTTATTTTCCTTGGCATATTTTTTGTTATTTTTATTTGTGATCGTGGTTGCTTTTGGGATCTTAAAACTGAAACTTCATTACAGATTCCTCTTTAAAGTAAGTTCAGTGTTTTTAATGAACCTATGTTCATCATTAGCATGTCTGACAGAGTTTGCAAAATAGCAAGGGTCAAAGTCTAGATATTGTAGTATAAAAGAGCCATTTTCATGGATCAAGCTGATCATAGTCGACTAAGTCTTCGTTCTTTCCTTTTCTTGCTATGCTATTCAATCTTTTCCATGGCCTATGCAAAGTTTTGCATGGTGATTACAATTATTCATGAATTATTGTTTTATAATTGGGCAAATATCCCATGACATCACTATCCCCTGAATTACTAAACAGTCTATCTCACTGTTCATATGTCCAATGTATCATATGAGCATCTATAGATGCTCAAATTTTAAAACAATTTGTGAACAGCAAAGCCATCTAAATATCAAAACTTTGCTAACTATAAATGACATGAAATTTGCCAAACTTCCAGATCAACTTTAATAATAGTATATGCATAAATATATATACGTTCATTTTAAAACTGTACCACTAATTTTGATAGCTGAATGAGAAGTCGAAGCATCATGGTGGTGAACTAGTTGCCAATGTTTTGCAGGCAAGCTATGAATATATTATATACTATATATAACAATATAACCTGTATACATACACCTGGGAATGTTAGTTTAGCTGTCTTTTCTGGCTAGACCTGTCTACTAAAAAAAATTATACATGTCTTAATTTAGAGGAGTACCATAACAAATAGACAAGTTTTGAAGTTTGTTTAACTCAAAAGTTCAGAGCCTATCATATTTTAAAGTGAAAGTCAAGTCCGTATGTAATCAATCGGTTTGTTTACATTTTGATCTTCACTATATTTTTTAAAATACGATGTGCTGTCTGAATATCTAACACTATTTAGGTTCGTTGTGCTTGTAAATTGATATGAACTAGAGTTTATGTTAAGAAAAAATAAGAAACATGCGAAATTTAGAGAATTTTCTCATCAGAGGGCCCACACTTGTTATGAGCAGAACCTATGTGCAGAAAGGACTTGACTTCCACTTTAATGTTTGTATATGAGCGCCAAACATGCTGGAAACTTTACATTGGACAAGCATTTGACCATTAAAACAGCGTGGTTATCCATTTCAAAATATTTGACGTCATAACCAAAGCATGGTTACATTGTTTAATGTTTGTTATGAACGCCAAACATGCTGGAAACTTTACATTGGACAAGCATTTGACCATTAAAACAGCGTGGTTATCCATTTCAAAATATTTGACGTCATAACCAAAGCATGGTTACATTGTTTAATGTTTGTTATGAACGCCAAACATGCTGGAAACTTTACATAGGACAAGCATTTGACCATTAAAACAGCGTGGTTATCCATTTCAAAAAATCTGACATCATAACCAAAGCATGGTTATATTAAGCTTCCTCCCAAACTTAAAAGATATAGGAATTTCAAATTCAAGTAAAATTTTGTGGTTTTTTTAGGCTCATGGTGTAAAATATGTGTTTACACTATGTGGTGGGCACATTTCACCAATACTAGTTGCGTGTGAAAAATTGGGAATTAGAATTATTGACACAAGGCATGAGGTCACAGCTGTATTCGCTGCCGATGCTGTGGCACGGCTGTCAGGCGTGGTAGGTGTGGTAGCTGTTACAGCGGGTCCAGGTCTGACAAACACTGTCACTGCTGTTAAGAATGCTCAAATGGCTGAATCACCTCTACTCTTGATTGGTGGAGCTGCCGCTACATTGTTGAAGGTAGGAGACTGGTAACTGGTTAGGTTGCACAGATCTGGTTCACCATAATTGTGTCATCATTATTACCATTATATACACCAAAATTAAGCATCTACCAAAAGTTGTATTTCGCACCAAATACTACGATTATCAAAAGCATGGTGATGCCTATCATATTATTTGCAATTTAAGACATTTTAAAACATAATGCACCAAAAAATCATGTTTTCCTACTGTGCCCCTCATTTTAGCTAGCTTAGTTAGGAAACTCCGGTGTTTAGTAGAGTCAAACTGGAAGCACTCCATATTGATAATTCGTTATGGGAATTTTTTCTCATTCCTGTCTTTTAATTCACAGGGCGAAATTTAGTTTATAAATTGTCAATATTTTTAAAGCTCCATAGCGTCTTCACACACGTTTCTTAAAGGTGCCACGTGGGCTGTGGCATATTTGCGCATGACCCTGGCTTCTACACTGACATGCTCAGCGGATTCGGTTGTAAGGAACTAAGGCCCCATTACTGCGTTACGTCAACTTAAACCATGATATTTTTTCTGTTTTTTTTCAGGATAGAGGAGCTCTTCAGGACATCGATCAAATGTCCCTCTTCAGACCTCTTTGTAAATATTGCGTCACAATAAAAAGGTAACGTCTCCTGCAGATCGTCTTGAAGCTTCAGTTCATCAAATCCTGCGAAGACAACCCTACCGTTATCTTCTTTCTTTTCCGCAGAGTGCGCGACATTCCCCGGCTTGTACGGAAAGCAATGCAGAAGGCTCAATCAGGAACGCCTGGGCCGGTTTTTGTTGAGTTTCCTATCGATACACTTTATCCCTACCCTCTTGTGAAGAAAGAAGTTGGATTAAAGGCGAGTATTCAAGATTGCGAGTTGTATTACAACTTTAAATTAAACTGATTTTCATGGCACGTCTTCCGGATTTTGTCAATTTCAATTGAAAAGCGAAGGTTGAAGGGAAATTGAAACTGATCCCGTCACTTGTGTTTCTGGACCCGGCGGAGTGACTAAATGCAGCAGATACTTCAGTTTGACAGAATTGCAGACAATATCAATATATTAACTTTTTGTTTAGGAAAATCCTTCTGGATTAGGACAAAAAATTGTAAACTGGTAAACTTTGTATTTTCGATATTTTGATTGAGCAAGTTGTACATTGTATGTTGCACATTGTAAGTTGCACATTGTAAGTTGCACACAACTACAATTATTTGCTTTTCTGTAGGTACATTGAGAATCATCTGTTTAGCCTCTTTGCCGGAGCATGGGACCCACAACCAGTCGAACCATTATCCGTATCTCTACCCCAAGCTTCGGACGGAGAGAGTAAGTCACATGATCCGTGTATACTTTCTAGTAGTATTGTTGTACTGCACCTAGGTAGTATTCTTCCATATCTGAAAGTGAAAGTGTAACGTATTGTTGTTTTTAAACAACTATTTATGCAGTTGCCGCGGCCGTACAACTAGTTTCCAAGGCAAAGAAACCTCTGGTGATACTCGGAAGTCAGTCTACTTTACCTCCCGTTCCTGCTGAAAAACTTAAATCAGCTCTAGAGGTAACTAGCAATAGACAACAAGGAATAAATTTATAAGGCTTCACTTTGGTGAACGTGTACTTATTGCACTAAAGTATTGCATAAAAGTTGTTGTAATGCCACTCGTGAATAAAAATATCGATACCCTCTCTTATGTCATATGCCTGGGTTGATCTCTAGCCGTTCGTCACCAGTCTTTAGGTATCCCATGTTTCCTTGGCGGAATGTCGCGAGGCCTGCTGGGAAGAAGTAGTCCTATTCACATCAGACAACGACGTCGTGACGCTCTCAAGGAAGCGGATGTCGTCATCTTAGCTGGTAGGCACAACACACTGCGAATTATAAGACAAATTCCAATTAAATTTTGATGCGAAATTGCTGGCATCTGATTTCGCGTTCGTAGTTTCCAGAACGTCGAAAGTTCTGTCACTTATGATGGACAAAGACGAGGAATCTAAAACATAACCAACAAAATAGTAGCTTGATAACTGTGGATTGTAAGAGCGCATAGCACGTGGCACGCATTCCAGGTCATCAATCACTGACCGCTCTTCCGTTTTAATCCAGGCACTGTCTGTGACTTCCGTCTTTCGTACGGGAGAGTTTTAAACAAACGGAGTAGAGTCGTGGCAGTTAACAGGAATAAGGAACAGTTGTATAAGGTACGAGAGGTCTAAATTTTAATTCCAGTCAAAAATACCCAAAGTATAACTCACATTCTGATTCTGCTGTGAATTCCAACTCAAATCCTTGATCGTAACTCAAAAACTTTATTCCAACTCAAATCCTAACTTGATCTTTGATCTGATTTTTGAATAGCTAACTCAAATTCTAACTCTTCCTCCGACTTGGATCTTCACTCGAATCCTAACTCATGTTTAAACTCGAATAGCTGATTCAATTTCTAATCCAATCTTTCTTTCCTTTCTTCCTTCCTTACAGAACTCGGACATGTTTTGGAAGCCGACTTTAGCAATTCAAGGTACGCCTCATTCAAGTCTAATAATTCTGACTGATTTTCGACCGTGTTTATCCACATTTGACACTATTTCTATCTCAAGGTGATCCTGCCTCGCTGGTGTTATCCCTTAGTCAACAGTTGAAAGGTTACAAATGTCCTGAAGAATGGCCGCAAATGTTGAAAGAAAGGGACGAACAGAAAGAAAAGGAGAACAGGTTTGTTTAGAGATATGAGGGCAAGGTGATTCTAGTCTGACTCTGTACTAAAGCCAACAGATTTCCTTCTGTTGCTGGCCCCAGGAAGGACAGTTTTTAGGCATTATGAAATGAAATAGTTTCGTCTCTGTTATGTAGTGTAAAAGCAGATGAAATGGTGGACAAGCACTTGAATCCCCTTAAGATCCTACATTGCCTTGAAGAGGTTATGAGTGAGGACAGTGTGATAGTTGCGGATGGCGGAGACTTTGTTGGATCTGCTGCATACATATTGCGGTAAGAGGGGTCACTAATGGATCACAACGCTCGGTTGTAGTTCCGGCTTTTACCGAACGCTGACGTATTAGTTCCTATTCTATTGCACAGGCCTCGTGGTCCTTTACGATGGTTGGATCCGGGTGCATTCGGTACCCTGGGTGTTGGTGGGGGGTTCGCCCTGGGTGCCAAATTATGTCGACCCGAGTCTGAAATCTGGATAATCTATGGTGATGGTAGCTGTGGTTACAGTATCGCTGAGTTTGATACATTTACAAGACACAGGGTAGGTGCTTAGGACAGGACATTACGCACGGTTTTGACCAAGGGCAGAGGAAACGGGGAATTTTTATCTATGGTGTTACAATCAATGAATACGTTAACAGTCTTCCCAACTTGTATTTAAGGTCCGGGTTTGGCGTTGGGTCTCCAGTATATAAGTTAATAGAAACTCAAGATACTGTTTCGTTTTAGTTGCCTGTGATAGCTTTGGTTGGTAATGATGCTTGTTGGAGCCAGATTGCTCGAGAGCAAGTGCCTATGTTTGGAAGCAGTGTCGGCTGTGATTTATCGGTTAGTGATCTGTCCTGTTATATATAGATCTGTTTCGTTAGATATTTCTTGTTATCATTCCCAAGTCTAGTAGTTTCTTATCATTGGGTTCTATCTCTCTTGTAGTTCACGGACTACAATGTGGTTGCTGAGGGTTACGGCGGAAAAGGCCTTGCTCTGAATGAGCAACATTCCGCTGACATTGCAAGTATACTACAGAAGGCTCAGATGCTGTCACGTGACGGTCACGCGGTTTTGATAAATGCCCTGATTGGTAAAACTGACTTTCGAAAAGGATCAATCTCAGTTTGACCTCAAGTTTGACGCAAAATAACGTTAATTTTTTTCAATTACTGTGCTAATCAAACACGAGAGTACATTCAAAGGTTGAATTGATTATTTTGCCAATTTTTAATTGCATAAAAATGGTGCACACCATTTCTGGACAAAATTAATTATGTGAACTGAACGTTCGACTAACGAATGATCTTGAACTGGAAACTAGGAAGTTGATGTCAGTGTGAAAAATCCAGATGTAATTCATAATCATAATTGCTGATATTTTAGCCAGCGATCAGGCTCATAATTTTCAACATACGCACAATTTTCAACTATTACTCCTAATGCATTATGACCTGCTCGCAGTCTATTAACGGTAGAAGATAAATTGATAATAGAATGAAATTAAAGAATATCTAGAATTTATTACAATTTTACTGGATAATATATTTTTATTATACATTCCACTTGACGCATTAGGTTTCTTTAGCGTTGACCACCACGAGTATATCACGGAGTACATGTTTATTACCTCAAGTGAGTCCGAGTGTAATGCGCAATTTATTCCCCTAAAGAAAGTGCCCCCCATCCCCCCCCAGGAACAAGATCTTGTACGCATGCTGTTTGTTTGCGCACGCTTGTTCTTGGAAAAGTAAACCTAATTACGCTACGCAACAATTCATTACATCATCAATTGGCTGAATTCCACCAGATTTATTATCCAAATCTACAGACAAAGATGTATTATAATATATTTGCACCTTTTGTTCTCACTTTATCATTTTTCAACAATGGCGCTCTTTGGATGGGCGAAACGTTTCTTCCTTTGTATTTCTACACCACTGAAAAGGTTTTTATTCCGCCATTACAAAATTCTGTGAATTATAACAAGATTTGGCCGTTCATTGAAATGGTGACGTATCCTGAATTGCATTTGGATCATGACTTAATTGATTTCTCCAACGACTTTGCTCGAAGTGTTCCCGATTTTAAATCCTGCTTTCCAGAGGTGACGTATTCCTTGTTTTTGCTAGAGTAACCTTGTTACCAGTTCTGCGAACACAGAAAGCCGGCGTTAAAGTACAAACTGGCGTTACTGGCTTCAGCGGATTGATGACGCACGAAGAATTTTGACCCAGCGACAAATCGCTGACTGAATTTTTTGTTCCAATCTTAGGTCCGGAAAGATATCGTAGATCTTTGTTCTGGCGATTCAACTTTCACAAGTGAATATCAATATTCTGTGATGGCCTTACGCATCTTAAACTGTTTACATCATCGATCACTTGGAATTGAAGAAATCGATTTTCAATTCATTGATCAGGTTTGATTAACCTCTCACTCTGCATGCACTACTCCGCCGGGTCGATTTGCCCAAGAAATATTACTAATTATGTAGCCACACATACTTTTGTTCCAAGGACTACATGATGTATTTAGCAATGATGACTCCGAAGGAGAGAATCCTGTATCAAAAGATGTACAATGTCGCACGGGGTTTGTGTCTTAACGAGAAACGTGATACAGCGATCACAGATGTTTATAATAGTGCTCTAAGTATTGACAATACTGTAGAAAGATACTTGAATCAGGTGCAAGCGATAAAGGTACAGTTGACTTGATACTATATGTGGGCTATCAGTTTGTTATCACTATCTTCCTCAACATAACCACCATATGCCATCAGTACCACATAGTCATCGTCATTGCGGTAATTGTAACCATCATTATCATAATTACCAACTTCACCACTATCCTACATCAGCATCACCATGCATCACTTCATCATTACCTCTATCCTCCTTGTTTAAACCACCTTTAAACCTTCATTACCACCACATCATCACCATTATCACACCACTATCCTCGCGATCATTATCTTCATCGCCATCATCAAACCATCAATCATCTTACATAAATCACTCACAAAAACACCATTTTTTAGTCCACTTCTTCACCATGCACCTGCAGCAAACAACTTTCATTGCTTCGGCTTGTGTTTCTGTTCTGTAGACTTATTTTGCTTCCCTGACAAAAGCAAATATTCGAAAGACAAAGAAAAATAAACACGCGCAGGACGCTTTTATAAACGAAACGCAAAGGTTGTTGCAAAGAGTTCAACAAAAATATGAAGAGAAAAATACAAAGTCTATACAAGTCATAAAAAACGTTACTGAAGAAAGCAATTCCTGCAGGAAGAGCGTCAAAACTAGTTTGAATGTCGTTGCAAAGAACTTCAAAGAGATAGGTAACTGATGACAACTTTTATCTTTATTGTTGATAGAAACATTTCTCATTGCTTCATTCATCATTAGTTTAATAACTTTGAAGGTATGAATAAGGGGCTGGAAGAAAGTTTCAAACAGCTGTGGTATAATTTTGCTCGAGAGTACGGCAGAAAAAACGAGGACATGGAACGCAAAATTGCTTCAATTAAAATGAAATTAGGTGAGCGCTAGCATATGAATAATCATAGATACGTATGGATAAATATAGCTATTTGTATATTCAATTTTTTAACTGATCTCTTGAATACGCATGTGGAAAACGCAACGATGGAATCATGCAGCCATTATATAGGCCTGTGGCTCTGTACCAAGTGTTTAACATTATTTTGTGCCGAATTCAAAAATAAATGGGTAATATAGGCAGAATTTTTTGATGATCTGTCCCCGACAATTACTGATGTTAGTCAATTGACTAACTTCGCTGCCTATGTAGCTTTTCGCTTAACAGGGCTCCAAAAACCGAGAACTGATAGGGAGATTTAGCACGAGGACGGGAACCTCAAAGATGACGTGAAAATGGCGAATAAATGGCGTGGCATGTCCATATATACACACGTAAAAACGCACGAGTTGTAACAAGCCTGCAGCAAGCTTGTCGCAAGCTCGTTTCAACAAGCTTGTTGCAAGATTTATTCGCACCGCTTGTCCCAAGTTGTTGTGACGGACGTGTAGCAAGTTGTTGTCAGACTTGTAGCAAGTTTGTTGTGACAATGCTGTACCAAGGTTGTTGCCAACAAGCTTGCTACAAGTCTGACAACAACTTGCTACAAGCTTGTTGAACCGTTACAAGCTTGTCGCGACAAGCCGTTGCTGCAAACATGGCCGCGCATTAAATCTCGCTTGAAAACACGCGTGTTTTCCCGGAGATTGTGAAACAAAGAACAAACAACACAAAGTTTGATGTAAAAATCATATTATTTTAAAAACAAATTCAAAGGTTAGCAATTAAATAGAAACTTCACATTTGAAGTACCAAGATTACTAAAGGCTCAGTACAAGAACATATGTATTTTCCTTTCTGAGTATATAGCCTAATAATCAGTTCGTAAGAAAAGTTTCTTTGCATTCATATGGTAAAAATTAACTGGTGCATGAATATTCTTGTATAATACCAGTATTTCAGTCACTTGTTGAATTGACTTCGTCGTCCCAAGAATCAACAGCTAGCTGCACCTCATTCCTATAATTCACTTTGTTTGATACGACTTTCCGGCCAATACCTCAGTTTAGCTCCAGTTTGATAATCAAATTCCTATAAAGTATAATATACAATGGCTTCAGGAATCAGTTACTTTAAAAAATATGCAAATATTTTTGAGGAAACTGGTTTGCAAATACGTTGAGGAAACTCCATCCTGTCTCCTGTGGCGAGGGTCTTGCTTGCCATCCAAGTCTAATGTCAAATAAGTAATGTACAAATACTTTATTACCATAATACGTAAATATATATTATTATTTCTAATCAGAGCATGCTAAAAACATACGCACAGATATTAAAAATAGGAAATTTTGCACTTTACCGTACACCTACTCGTCATTAAAAATATTTGAATTATTGAATACAAAAAACCGGCAAAGTTTCGATTTTTATAAATATCCACAGAAACTAACAGTTCAATGTTTATAAAAAGCAATAAATTCAACAAATATTTTAAAAACTATATAGTTTTAAAAGGCTAGCTTGTGTACTATAATATTAAAATTGTGTTGCCGGCGTTGTGTACGCCATATCAAATATTTGGATGAATTAAACGCACATACCTTTATTAAAACGTCGAACTGTAGTATTCTTCAAACTTTTTTAAGTTGCCCATCCGTTTTAACTGATATTTCAACGTTTATTAAACTTTTAAAGGCTTAAAAAATCAAAGGTTTTGGCACAAAGATAGCTCAATGACCAGGTGAATCAGTGAACTCTTGAAAAGAGCAGGGAAATTTGCAAATATACTGACGTATATTTCAACCAATAAGATCACTTAGTTACATAGTTTAAACAGAGTCTGAACCAATGAGATTACTCCGTTGAAATCGTCACTTCCTCAACGGTTCAACGGTTATAGATATCCTTGAAACAAGGAAATGTTCATCTGTAATGTTTTCAAGGAATTCGGATTCTTTTCAAATCTTATTATTAAAAGAAGTTATGAACTTCGTTGCAGAGTGTTAAAGTGTTTAAAAGCTCGTTGATCTTGCTTTTGCCATTTGATGAATGGCAATGATCAATAAAATCATATTTGGCCCAGTTCAAATTGATTTTGTTGTTATCGGAAAACTTTTGCCGTTAACAATGTCGCTACAACTTGTTGGAACTGTCTTGTTACAGCATTGTCACGCGCAGCCTTCGTACAAGCTTGTTGTGACAGGCTTGTTACAACTTGATGACTATAACAACTTGTCAACAAGTTGTTCCAACAAGCTTGGTACAGCTTGTTGTCGACAAGCTTGGAACAAGTTGTTCCAACAACTTGCTACAAGTCTGCAAGCCAACAAGTTGTAGCAAGCTTGATGTCAACAAGCTTGCTACAACCTGTTGTCTCAACAAGCTTGTTACAACTTGTCAACAAGCTTGCTACAAGCTTGTTGAGCCAACAAGTTGTCAACAAGATGTGAGATTTTTAGGTGTGTAGACGCATCAAGTCCTCGTGCTAAATCTCCATATAGTATAAATTTGATGGCCCGCCTTCTCATGTGATCGTTTCTTTATTCTGAAATTGTAAACTATATTTCCTGTTTCACTTAACTTTAGAAAAAATATACAAAAACATATTCAAATGAGAATTCCTATGTTCACCATTTCCTATGGAGGTTAATGACTGCGTGATGTTTACAAACTCGCTGAGTTGAAGACAATGAGTTCTTGATAAATCAACCAGAAGTTCTCATCATTTGACAACCACCACTGTCCAAAAAGTTTATGATTCACTGCTATATATTGTTAAAAATAGAAACTAGATATAGGCAATTTTCTTACTTAAAGGATGATAGGAAAATGTAGTCGGTAGATCTTGCAATTTATCAGGAAGTTGAAGGGCCGCTGTACTATATATAGCCTCAGGTAATTAAATTTGTTGACATGAAAACATTTCTCAGCTTGGATACTAACGTAGAATATAAACAGTCCTGACTTTATTTGCGTGCACAAATGAATGACTGCTTGTTAGCTTTTTAAAATATGAATAAAAGTTGTGCTAAGATGGTCTATTTGAGACGTGGAGTTTTTCCGAAGTTCCTAAAAGAGGTGCGCATTTGGTAATGGCTATCAGATTGTGAAAATACCAGTTCTCTGTAAAGGCGTTAATCGTGTCATATGACATGTCCGCCTTACCATGATACATTGCGAGCATCAAGTACGAACTACGGGAAAAGGATGACCGAGTCGGAGATAAAAAACTATTTCTTGGAAAGACAACGATTTGCTTCCCATTTATTCTCGGTCACTTTTCAATTATAGTAACGCTGTGCAATATGGTGGCGGGGGAGTATTGGGGGAACAGTGATTGCTTTAGATCACGTTCACCTAGTTCACGCAATTGGTAGTGTTTGAACGCGGAATAAAATTCTTATTGTGTGTGGTGGGGATTTACGCCAAGTGTTAATCGTTGGAGTGAAAACGGAAAATATTCTGCCCTAACGAGCAAAGGAAATATTACCTCTCTGTAATGTAGTATGACAACTGCGTAAACTAAACACTTCTCGACCTACTTTCCTCAGGAGTGAGGAGAGTTAGTATAACATACAAAAAAATACAAATATTTTCTATAAAGCAGGTTAGAACAACTTAAATGCACATTTTAATTATGAGTGGAATGAGTGGAAAATTATACACGGAAAAGACATTACAAGACCAAACAAAAGAACAAGGAAGTAAGAATATTGAGATTTAGCAAATAAAAAAATTGGGAGTAGGTCATTTTTAGGAGCCTACGTGTTTTAGTTCTTCCGCGTGCGACAAACTATATTCTTGGAGCTGTCGCATTGCCATTTTTCCTGAATTCAGTTTTTTGGCCTTGACAGAGACAAGCTGGTTTCTTGATTTCTAAGAATTTCACGTAATCTCATTCATCTTTCATTTGGAAAGACGTCCTTAGATTGGTGCGGTGTATGCTTCCCTTTGTCAACACCGAACTCAGACAAGAGTCATAATGATTGGACTGCAGAATTTCAGTGTATTTGATAACACCATATTTTCATTGTTTTGATAAAAATCCCATATGCAGTAATGAAACTGAGCTTCTAGGTGATATTAAAGGCAAACTCGAAACCGGAACGGAAGGTAACAAAATTTTTAGCCGATATCCTGTGAACGGCGGCGAACCGCAATCAGGCTCTTTGGCGGCATCGCACAAAACAAGTTGAGACCGATTGAAAGGGACGCTTCCACAATTCCACTCTGCGGTCAGACCGGACGTGACTCTGAATGAAACACAAAACGTTTGGAATACATTTAGATAATTGCATAACAGAAGGGGGAGCAGGGGTTTTTGTGTTTAATAAGACGGAATCCGGAAACGCTGTGAACATGCAACTCAGTCAGCAGAAACACCAACCATGTCGACCGACTAAATTTAGCAAATTTCGACCAATCAGTACATATTTTAGTACTTCCCTTTTAGCTGAAGTCTTGAAATTCGCTCGAGTACTTCTGCTCAAACAACCCGGAAAGGTCATTGGCTTTCATCCTCCGCTCCCCCCCCCCCCGTTGAGTTATCGTTCCAGTTGCATTAGAGTTCCACCGGTGGAACTCTGCCCGAGCCCTGAGAAAGAAGGAGGAAGCCCCTCGAACGACTTCCGGTTAAAAAGCCAAAGTGCTTACCGTTTCGAAGTTCGACAAAACCTAACTACAACCAAGAAATTGGGACATTTACCGAAGACATACAGGAATTGTAGCTTCTCGACGTATCGATGGATTAATCTCACGTATGTTGTCAAGGGATCGTCTTTACATAAAGACATGAATTCGACGAATCTACAGAATTATCGGTAAGCCTATTCTAGACTCGAACGCGTCAATGTCAGTCGAAATAATTGTAACACCGTGATGCGTCGCGTGTTGTGGACTTGCGATGATCGTTGAAATCTATGCTTGTTCAATTTTTAGATGGTACCATGGGCAAGTAAACCGTGGTAACACGGAGCAACTGCTCATGGGAAAAGAACCGGGGATATACCTCGTTCGAGACAGCAAGACCTCGACAGGAGATTTTGTGTTGAGTGTGAGGTAGGACTAATTTCACTTTGCGATATAAAGCATGCTGTGTTTTGGTGCTACACTTTTCATTTCGCAAATGCTGTTATGAAACTGACATACACTGTAGCTAATGAATTATTGTTGTTCCTTCTTGATATTGTTGCGTAAAATGTCATAATGTTTTTATAAGATCATTTTGATTTCACAACAGCACACAAACTCGTACAGCCTTTGCTACGTCAACGAACATTCGGTTTCCAACATAATTTCGGTAAAATATCGGCATGAATTCTTTTGTAAACTGTCAGTGCTTTTGTTTACAAGAATATGTCGGAAGTTTTTAAGGTTTTAAAGCACTCAAAAAGATCTATCCCCAATACGATTCGATAGTTCATAAATCTAACCGAAACAAAGTTGAAGCTCTGGGAAATATGCATGTAATCAAATTGTCGACATTGATGCTTTTGGTATTCAAGATGATTTTAAAACATTTGCGATTGGTGGGATTTAAAATATACATGATTTTTTATATAAATATATTTTTATGTCATAATTGCAGTTCTTCATTGTAATCTGACTCTAATTTGACTGCTTGGCTTTTAATTTGTTGTTCGATTATAAAAGCATGCGTGCTTGTTTGTTATGTCTGTGTGGTCGCCAAAATACACTGGTTTATTAATAAGTATGTAGCTAGCGTCAACTCTATTTTAGAATAAGGTTCATAGTAAAGTCTGTTTTCATGCGAAGTCAATGTGCAGTCAATGATGGGTAAATGCGGTTCAAATCTATGTTGTGACAGCCATTAATTTCCACTGTTTGTCAAAAAAAGACATGCCATGACTGAAGTATAAACACGTCTTTATATGACAAGTGGCATTCGTATAACTTCTTGTCTGAGTATATTTTGATGTCCCTTTGAAGAGGATGGGTTTTTCTCCCAATTACAACTTTTCTGAAGACAGTTTGAGCACAAAGTTTAACTAACCACACATTTAATAATTAAACATTGACCACATGAGAACTTCTGGAGAGTATATATTCTTATACTGTGCATATCATTGTATACAATGTGCATAGCCATTAATATCAAGAAAACAATATCTATGTAATTTTGACAACATTTATTAATAAAGTGATTTAATAAAGTTCTAATCTACAAAGGTCAACTTTGTTTATGATTGCTAAGTCTGCTATTTTACCTGAGATGTTTCACACATCTCCCCAAGTAGATGACCTTCTTTCCTTTGCTTAAAACTAGGAAGTGTTCAGATACAAACCAAGACAGTTTTGTGTTATTAAATTAAAAAAGAATTAACTGTCTTAAGAGCTGTCAAGTATTATTCACACTTTGGCATTATTGTTTGAGCAATTTGCTAAAAACCATGATAATACTAAGTGCTCATTTGTACTAATACAATGTTATACAACTCTAGTTTGTGTACTTCCAATAACAGTGCCTGGTGGTTTATTTCTAGTGAGAATCACAAAGTTAGTCATTACATTATAAACAACAATGGTAATCATTACAAGATTGGTGACCAGACATTTGCTGACATACCCTCCATCATCAGCTTCTACAAAAACCATTTTCTGGATACGACGACATTAACAGGAGCGGTGAGTAGATGATTTCAAATAACTAGCATTGAGTATTGGTCACAGTTGAAACACATAGTGTGCTGTGATGCATTAACAATTGTAATATAATTATGTATGTAAAATGTTTAGGTTGAAAGGGATTTGAAAGTTAGAGCAATTTACAACTTCGAAGGCAGGGTGAGTTGAACTGCTAATCTTTATAATAAAAAAGTGGTTTCACACAATTCAGTTTCAGGGTTGCCATGTAGTTTTTAATAAATATCTATCTGTCATAGTATTAAGTGCCTGATCTTGATTTTCCTGACTTATTTTTATTCCTTTATGCACCATACTTATTATCATTCAATATTCTACATTTTAAAGGATCCAGATGACCTGCCATTTCAGAAAGGTGATATTTTAACTATTGTTAGCCAAGATGAGGAATCCTGGTGGACTGCTGAGAATCGAATCGGTCAGCGAGGCTCAATACCGGTTCCATATGTGCAAATTGTAAGTAAAGAAAGAAAACACAATCATGATCTATACCTAACCCCCACTTCATGTGCTATATAGTATATCAATAATGCCTGCTTAACTGTTTTATTTTGTACTTTTACCGCATTTACCAATATTTAGATAAACAACGACCAGCCATCAAATCCCAGAACTCCGATACGACCCCCGTCAACACCAGTACAAACAGGTGTTGTTAATCCACCAATCAACACGTATGTTGACCCATACAGAGGAGGGCGTGGTGGTTCTCAACACAGAAATTCTGCCCCAGAACCTATCAGGCCTGTGAGTAGAACTTCCATGTCTTGTATTGGACTTAAAAGCTGGATTTAGGAGTGAAATTCAGCATTTTGGACAGTTTTGTAATGGCACCAAATAATGCAATGCCACATACAAAAATCTTTGTCCCAGCATGGTCTGCACCAGATAATGAACATGTAGGTACAAAGGATCGTTTGTATTTATACCGACTTAATAATTGTTTTGCAGGCAGAGATACCTCCAAGACCTACTATGCCTAAGGTGAGGTCATCCTAACTAATTTTTTGAAATTTTCTTTTCCTAAAGAATAATGGTTTTCTCTAACTAAAACTCTTATTCTCCTTAGCCGACTTCGGGGCCACTGCTTGCAAGAGCAGTAATTGATCGAGTTTGTACACCATATGATACAAACCAAATCGCCTTCAAGGTAAGGTCTATCACCAGCTTTAGGAGCCTTATTTATCGGTAGTGTAGAGTATGGTTGTGGTGCATGTTTTTCATTGCGGGCCAGATCTAATTACAGTGTAATGTTCTACAACTTCCCAGTGCTAAATTCACATAAAGAATACCAGCAGAATCTTAGCGCATTGAACTTTATTTGAAAGTGTAAATGGACGGAAATCTCGAGTGATAATATCAGATGTTTGGGACAGGATTAGTTGCGGCAGCTTGCCTGGCACTTGCCTTGGAAATTGCTTTCCTATGACATAATCCGTTTAAATCTTAATCCTGGATATCAATCGTGTCCGATCGATGTGAGAGATAAATCCTAATGTTTACCGTTTTTTACGATGTAGAAAGGTGATTTGATAAAAGTTACAAAACAAAACGACAATGGGATCTGGGAAGGCGAGTTAAACGGGAAAACAGGAGAGTTCCCAATGTCTCACGTTGACTTAATCGACCCAAATACGATGGAGCCCTTCTCAAATGGCTATTAGGCCGAATCAGGTCGGAGTTGAAGTGTATATACACAAATACAGAAGAATGATAGCCATTTGATCCATACTGTGACACTGTAAGACCTTGATAAACAAGAAACGCTGAACGTTTTTGTAGCAGCCTAGTGGAAACCAGCCAGGGATGGAACATTTGCGTGATGCCTGATGGACAGAGAAAATACTATAGCATTAATAATTACCAACTAATTTCTATCCTGCGTATTGATTATATGTAAATAAAAGTAATATCCGATGGTTTTTGAACAAAATTTTGCGAACCTTTTGACAGGATACATATACTGTGTATAAGTTAATCCCCGACAGCGAGAACGACTGACCTGCTGTGTTTATACTGGACAACGAACGAATGGTGGTGAAATTTAGACTATTACATAATATTTTTTATATAGTAGAGTTAAAGTGCGTGTCAGACGGGTCTATCTCCTTATTTGAAAGAACAGTTTATATGAAATCGAGTGTTGAATCAGATGATTTCTTGCATTTTCATATTTCATCTTGGTCACGAGATACTTAGACTGGAGAGGTATTGAAATGAGGTAATTTTTGGCACCAATTTTTCCAATTAGCATATTTGAAAGTGTTTAGTTTCCTATTGGTTTTTGACAGGATTAAACGAAACTTTCCTATTCATACACTAAAAATAAACACTACCTGCAAATTGCAAAAGACTTTTTCCCCCGTTTCATTATTGGTAACCAGAAACGAGATGCTTTGATATGGTAAATAAGGGAGAACGATGCCAAATTTTATCGCATTTGCCAGTTTCTGTGACACGGGTCTAAATATCTCAGTCTGTATCAAAGAGATATGAAGAGCAATAATTTGACTAGCCAATCAGGATTCTGTTCACTTCAAGTATGTGGATGAACAGTTTCGTATCATGCACACTTTAAGAGCCGTTGTATTTGAAACGAAATAAACCTGACCATAATTTCTAGCTTGGTACATGTAATCCTTTTTATGCTAATTGCTTCATTTACTCAAATTTACTGTAGTCCCAAGTTCATTTTGCTTCCTTAGACTAAGTCGAGTGAGCTGTAAAACGTTACATTGCGTCATGTATGCCTACATTTTACAAAACTCTTTCGAGTAAGTTATTCGTGTTGTAAACTTATTTACTCTGGATATCGTTTTTGACAAATGGATGTTCTTTGGTATGCTCTTTATCAAGTCGAAATGTGGACGTGCAAAACTGATCTCAGCAAATGACGAATGAAATCATCTTTTGTAGATTTTAACAATATTTTTTACATGGGACGGTACAGCATAAAGAAACTTCATTTGCAACTGAAAATGAATTGAATGAATAAAAAAGTCTTGCCATCCGAAGTGAGTGGACGAGTGGTCCAACGTATGTCAGCCACTTTAAGCAAGATGGCGGACGAAGGACAACAAAATGAACTGATAACACAATTTACTGCTGTGACGGGAGCAGACTCTGGAACAAGTAGATTTTATCTCGAGCAAGTAGAATGGGATCTTCAGGTAGTAAAACTCTCAGTTTTCTCCTATTCGTTTGTCTTGATTGTTATACTATTGATGTGATTGTCACTTCAATGTATGTATTCGTACTTGACTTATAGTCTTATATAAACATTTATAATACAGGTTGATATACCATGTCAGTGGATGGGTTCTTAAAGTGCAGTGTATAATACAAACTATGTAATTGTACAATTTGTGAAAGTGCTAGTATTGTAATAAAGGTTTCTACGTAATAGATCACATATTTAATTATATACGTTGAATTAAGTCATTAAAGTCAACTTATAGAAACAAACGTAGACCCGTTAGAGTTATTACTTATTACAGACGGTAATCTAAACAAACACTGAACTTCGTTTACATTTTCAACTGCTATATTTCTTCAACTTCAATATGTACTACATATGTAACAGAATTTATTCAATTGTTATCCACAAAATATTAACATATTCACTACAAGGATATATTCTATAGATTCATCTATTGCATGAGTAGTATAAAATATGCTTTTTTTTGTTTGATCTGTTAGTTTGCTTTGAGTAATTTCTTTGATGATGGTCCGGGTGATGGGATGCAGGAGGCGGATGTGCAGCCATCCGTTCAACCTGAGCCACCTGTCAGTCAGCATGGTGGGATTACTAGAGATAGTAGCAACCAGAGGTACACATGGTTAATGTTTGTAAAATTTGACTATTATTGTAATAGTTGTTTTGGTGGTAGCACTGCTGGCAGTATGCACTGTATCTTTATAAATTGAAGGTTTGGTACCATCGCTGGTTTAAATGTGGCAGCTCAGGAGAGTGAGGAAAGTGATGAAGAGGGGCAAGCTTTTTATGCTGGTGGCTCTGAGACTAGGTGATTATCACCACACATTGCTCATCACCAACATCATCACCACCATTGCCAACCACCATCATAATAACCTTGCTTACCATCACCTAGCTATCAACATCACCACCACCACCTTCATCATAATCACCATCAATAAAAACACCACCATCACCCATCAACATCACAACCATAACGACCGTCATAGTCACCATCATCATATTCACCATCATCATATTCACCATCATCATGTTCACCATCATCATATTCACCATCATCATATTCACCATCATCATATTCACCATCATCATATTCACCATCATCATATTCACCATCATCATATTCACCATCATCATATTCACATCATCATGTTCACCATCATCATATTCACCATCATCATATTCACCATCATCATATTCACCATCATCATATTCACCATCATCATATTCACCATCATCATATTCACCAACACCATCATCTTGTGATGATCGTCACTACCAGCATCTTCACCATCATTTCGACACTACCATTCACCCTTCTCACATCACAACTTTTTCCGTTGTCAACAGTGGACAACAGATTGTTGGTCCCCCCAGAAAAAAGAAAGAAAAATCCAATAAAGAAATGACTCAGAGTCTTTTTGATGCAGCAAAAAGGTTTGAAAGATCCTTGTCAAAGTACTTTCATTCAGGTTCCCAAACTGCGGCAGTATGTACAAGTACACGGGGCTTGAAAGCATTCATTGTATATTCATGTTTTTAAGTTTCTGTGTGAGCATACTGCAGCTGTGTTTATGTTTTCTGTTATCTTAGACATGGAGCAGAAGTGGTTGATAAGTCACAAGAGTCAAGCAGTAAACAGAAAGCGCCAGCATTTCGTGGTTCGGGTACGTAGCCTGCCCGATATTACTGTCGGAAGTTTAGACAATAGGAGGCGTGGAAAGTGGTACGGTGCTGGCTATATTGTGATAATTGTGTTTCAGGCTTCCGTCTTGGTGATACTGAAGGTGCTTCAGATCCAATAGGAGCAAATCCTAGCGACACAGGTCCTCCTGAACCGGTGGGTGGTTTTAGACATGCAAGACGTTTCATGTGGTATAACAACGGCCTAAAATAGACAAAAACACTTCTCGACGTTTCGACCTAAGGGCCTTCGTCAGGAATAGGGGGGGGGGGTCAGCCATGCTATCCCCTGGTCCTATCAATAAACTTCTCAATGTTTGAAATTTCTGTATATGAGATATCACGGGTTTATCACGAGAACTAGTTACTAAAGTTTGATAATTTTGCTGTAGTTGGAAGTAAACTTAAATTTCTGGTCAAATGGATTTTCTGTTGGCGATGGTCCACTCAGGGATATGAATGATCCAGAGAATGCCCAGTTCCTCGACTCTGTTGGCCGAGGGTGAGTCCTTTTTAACGAATAGATGTAAAGATGGTTATTTTCTAAGCGAAAAGAAACGGTTAAATAGTTATCCAGGACGAATACAGTATCGTGTAGAATACAGCATGATGTAGTGTTCACATGGCAACTATTATTACTAGACAAATGCCCTTTCAGGACTTTCCATGCCTGCGTCAAAAAATTTATGGATCTTATTTGTTGTTCAGAGAAATACCCCGAGAACTACATCACCTCAATCGTGGTGGGGAAGTTCACGTAAACATGGTGGACAAGAGAAATGAAGAATATGTTAAGCCGAAAGAAACTATGAAAGCTTTCACTGGCGCAGGCCATATGCTTGGCAGGTATAAGGTTTTGAGCAATAGGACGCTTTTTGAGAAATGCTGAATTTGAACTTAGCTGTATCCTATTTTTAGTCCTACCCCGAAGGTAGTAACTTCCCGTGTGGCACCGCAACAATCATCTGACTCAAGTCAAACTCCAATGATTGATGATTCTCAACCTGTGACGAATTTACAGATACGGTTGGCCGATGGCACAAGGTACAGTACAGACCTAATCTGATATTTTTCAATCGTCTTCGGTAATTTTCTACACAGATCGACCTTTGAATGCATGTTTACGTCTTTTTCACATCAGCTCCATCGAATGGTTTGCTGTTGTCCTCGTATTTGCCATCTAGAGTTTTTTTCTGTCATGATTAATGACTTTTTCATAATCTCGCCAAGGTTGGTAGCGAAGTTTAATCACTCAAACACAATCAGCGATATCAGAAACTTTGTAAATGCGTATCCTTTGAGAATTCAATCATAAAATGTATAACCCACATGGCAGAGTGACAATCCCTCCCCCCTTGCCCCATAATGAAATTTTGATCCCTCCTGGAAGGAGATCTCACCTGTGTGTATCTTCCCCCCAGCAAGAAATTCCCGGCTATGACCTTTTCACATGTGAAACTACCAAGTGACATTACATTCACGTTGTTCCGTTATCTCCTTGACATCTCACTCAGATCCAGGCCTCACGCGGCCGGCCGTGATTACGTCCTCATGACGACATTCCCAAATAAGGAACTAACAGATGAAACGCTAACTCTAGCCGAAGCTAAATTGCTAAATGCTGTGGTTGTACAGAAATACAAGTAGTGAATATCTATTGATAATTAAGAACTTTTAACTTCATTATTAATTATATAATAAGTTCTAACGTGGTTTATTTAACAATTTCCGTGTGTTTATTCACGTTTGAACGAATAGTCACTTCTCGATGTTCTTGTGTCTCAGCAATGCACTGAAAATATTCAACAGAACATGTAAAGTGACGTGAGCGTGGTCAAAAGTGAATAAACTTTAAAAATACACTCTGTGTTTCGTGTCCGGCATATTGCTCCGGGTAGCTTAATATTGACAATATAAGAGAGATCTATTTCAAGAATATTGATCCCGTATTGGAACCGTTTATCCAACATGTTAACTATGATAAATAATGTCCAAAGTACGAATGCACTTTTAGTGCTACTTTAACGAAGTAATCTAACTTATCTTTTTATGTGTTTAATTCTCTGTGCTGTGTTACAACAGAAACCAGCCAGCCCCTTGCGTGTTTTATAAAGCACATAAGCCCCTTTTACACTACACTCAATTTATCGACACGGCACGGCACGACTAAAATGGGTACCCGTGCCCAATTTTATTAGTGTTCAGGCTACCAAAACAAAGGCCGAGCACAGATGAAATGGACCCATTTTAGCCGTGCCATGCAATGCCAATGAATCGAGTGTAGTGTAAATGGGGCTATAGTCAGCTGTACACTATGTTTCTCACATCACAGTTCTCATAACTTATACATATTCAATCTATTAGAGAGAGAAAGTGCTCTTGTTGCCATATCATCAAATGGTATTTTAGGTGTCTGTGGGTGTTTGTTTTTTCTTCGTTCTCCTCTCATGACCTGCAAGAGATACGGCGAGGAAGTTTTTAGCAAATTTGTCCGCTCAGTCATTTCGTGTTAAAAGATCTGTTACGTTTACCTCGTAGAGTGCGTGGTTTGGGCACGTAATTGAGTCTTGCGTGAAACGAAGCAACCTTTCGTTCTCTCAGTTTGATTCGAGTCTTGATGCTTGGTGATCGCTCTCTGAACTGTTGCTGAACCTCTTCGGTTGTCACTAAACGTAAAGAAATATTGAGTATGTGTAAAAAATGGCCGTTAGCCGAAGCTGTTAGCAAGTTTCTCTTCTTTGAAACAAAACGATATCCTGACATAAATTTTCGCAGAATATTTCAATGCCCAGTACGATCGGAGTTGGTAGATATGCAAATATTTGAGGTCAAATTGTCATTAGTGCTATTATCAAGAAAACAAAAGGCAAAGACAAAGGAAACAAAGAACTAGTGTGGTGTTGTTTGGCCTCAAATATGCAGCTATCTACCAACCCTGTACGATACAGTTGATGTGGGACCACTGTGAAACACTGCTGAGCTCAGTCATTTGCTTGCTGGTTGAAATTATCCTCATTTCGGATTCATATTTCAAAACGTTTTAGTGCAAAAGTGAAACGCATGGGCGATTGAACACGTTTTAGTCGGCCAAGAAGGAATAGAAGCGGCGATATTCTGATCGAACAACCGTTGAAGTACCAGTGGAACGTCACAAAAGAGCAACTATCGTATGGGCAAACGGTGAAAGATTGTTTGGTCAACGTGGATACCTTACTGGACTTTCTTATTCATCGCATTGTGCTGGGACATTATTGATCGCCGTGGCACAAACATGCAGGTACTGCTTCATATCTAAGGATGTGATCTTGAAACGTATCGATGTAAATATTTGTTATTTGAGGGCATCACCACGTAGAGCTGTCACTACCTACATTGCGGCCATTTACAGCAAACCAACGTGCCATTTTGGGTGTAAATATTGTCTTGGGTATAAAATCGCCGACGTCAACTTGATGAATATGTATATTTGTAATTTTTGTGCGTACGTTCCACACTAAGTTTTTCATATGCTCCAAATGATGCTAGATAGTTTGCAAAGTTTATGACAGTATGGAACTGCGTGCGGTTTGCTAGATGTTTGTTTGATAGGCTTGTTTGATAGATGGTAAATAGCGCTGACCAACCCTTAATCCGTGCCATATGCTCTCGGTTTACAGACCAGGGGCCGGTTGTTCGAAAGCTTTTCGGTGGATAAGTTAAAAATGGATCGGAAAACCAAATTATCTATTCATTGAACAACAGAGCTGAAATATTTCGATGTAAATAGTTTAATTTTCAGTGGAGGTAAATTTTAAATGCGTAAGATGCAGGTTCAGTCATTCACAAAATCTATGAAGGGCGTTTCGAAAAGCGTTTGGCTTAAATGGTGAATAAGCCAAAGTTTAAAAATACCTACTTTCGTACATCTTGTGAATGACTGAACTTGCATCTTATGCATTTAATATGTACTTCCATTGAAAATTGAACTATTTACATCGAAATATTTCAGCTCGATTGTTCAATAAATAGATAATTTTGTTTTCCATTTTGAACTTATTCATCGTTTAAGCTAAACGCCTTTCGAGCAACCGGCCCCAAGATCTTTGCGATGATAGACTTACATGGTGGTTCATTGCAGACTAAATATCGTTTCTTCGTCGACAGATAGCGCGTAAGTTGTTGACCTAGGGCCGGTGGTATAAACCTCTTAGCCGATTTTAGATAGATAAATCGTAGTTAACTTCAAAATAAAATGATCTAATTGGTTAATTCTGCCACTAACTATGGCAAAAAGATAACATAAACTGCAGCCGGGCCGGCTATGTCAAGTAGTGAAAAACTAGTGCACGTCAACTACTTTCAGTAAGAACATCTGCGTCATAGCGCTACGCCAGCCTGCACGCAGGCAGCCTGACTAGTGTCATGCGTTGTTGCGTTTTAACTTACTTACTTGAACTGCTATCGTGGTCTTCTAAAGTCGCTTGTAGATGTGCTATGTATTTGATAGCTTCTTCGATTACCTCTATCTAAAAATGAAGATTTTCAATTTTTCTCGATTTTCTTCTTGCGCAATAGTCTCCACTACTTGGAACGTATTCTTCACCCGGATAAAAGACCCTTAGCGGTGAAAGGTCTCTACCGGCAATAAAACACTTCACGGAGAAAGCAACCCACCGGAGAATTTGTGGTACTCACCGGCGAAGTGTATCTCCCCGCGGTAATGGATGGCAGGACAGACCTAAGCTGTGAAAATTCATCTTCTCTTATCTGAGTGGGTCTCCCTTGCGTTGAAACAGTTTTTCGCGCCTCTTCCATTTCGTTAATGATATATCACTAAACAGTATAGAGGAAATATTTTAGTTTAACTGCATGTAATGTTAAGAAATCTGTCTTTATATTCGAATTTACGATGTTCTACTCAAAAACATTTAGCATGACCGGGATATTCCAAGCTCGCCTGTTTTACGAGGGCAGTATAACCAAATCTCGCGAAAGCTTTTCAGTGCCTATATCATCTTAATCCTGACGCATGCGAGTTTGGCCTATGGATGGCTTATATTGCCTAAGAAATTCTTAGATCGTGCAGGATAGCTGCCTTTAAGATTGGCAAGCGATTTTACAGATCCCATGCGCGAACAAGCGAACAGAAACTTCATAATTGTTGCGCGATACATTTTGGATTTAAAATATGGTATAGCTCCCGTTCAATGTAAGCTCGCCGAAGCGTATACCGTGTTCTGTACCTCTCTGAGTATTACACGGTAGCCTATTCCATGCGTTAACTGCAATAAAATGCTTTAAAAATATGCTCTCACCTTTACGTTCCGGTCATAAGCTTTGAAATGAGAAAATTGTTTAAATTTTGTCTGCTTCTAACGCTTTTCTATGCTTTGCCGTCAGCAGCCGGTTTAAACTAAATTTTTCCAAACTTTCAACATATACACAGGTGCAGTTTACCGCGGGAAAACAGCATCTGAAGGCCTCGTGAAAGCAGCCAATCGCGGCGCGGCGATGAAAACAGTCACCTGTAGCTCGGCCAATCAGCGTGCGCGCAACGCTAGCAAAACAAAGCCACCGGGAAAGCGCTTGAAATCAAAAAGCGTGGCGGGCATAAGATTTCGTTTTCCATTTCGTATTTTATTCTGTTTAGGAAGAGAAAGGCATTGAAACCACGCCGTTGTCAAGGAAAGAACATGTTTTACGACTTTCCTTTTCTTTATCAACATTATGCCGTGTATATTCTGTGATGTTTTCGGTAAAAATAAGCAAATTCAGGCAGCTGCCAGGGAAAAATTTTCATAACAGCTGAAACGCTTCGCTTTTGCACGTGTTCCTGTAGATATGAGTGCGCCCAGCCAATGGGCATGAAGCCTAAATTTATAAAAACATATTTAGAGTGAGTTAGCCATCTCCATGGCTCTGCGGTTATATGCTGTAAAATTGACGAAGTTTAAATGATAGTTTTGTGTTTCGCAGCTGCCGTGTGCAGTTTCGCGCCATTGTTTCTAAGCAAACGCGAGAGGGCGAATAAAATTTGAAACTTGCAACCTAGCAGCACCATTACGCAGCGAAGAATTTTTCGGTATCATCGTTATAAAAGAGAATTAAAGGGAGGACTTTTGAACGTGGACATATTAAAATTTCATTTGTATATTGATGATATAGTTGGACAGCTGTAAGCTGCTGTATCTTAGCGCTTTCTTCTGTCTTTTCCACATTAAACTAAATTTTAACGATATTTAGCTAAGATGTATCAGTTGTCTGGATTTTCTTTAGCCTACCTTTAATTATAGGTTTCAATTCAGGAAGCTGGCGTGTGAAGCCTTTCTGTTACTAGTAATTTTGCATGGATATATAACATACTAATATATATAAATATATATATATATATTTGTTTTATATTTTTGCCGTAATTATATATAGACTAGTTGTAGCGGCTGATAATCCTCTCATGGCATTGGGAAGATAAAATTATAACGTTTTAAAATTCGTCGCGCAATAATCCATCGTTTTCGAATCAAACATTCATTCATTGACATATGGGACGGTAAATATATAAAACTGTCATTTATCATTTTGAAATGTTTTCTAGGCTGCAAACTCGAGGGGATTTAATTGAGTGCATGCATGGTGTGGTAGTATATATACGTGCGAATTTTGTCCTTCGAGTAAGTTTTTAAAGTATAACACTTCTACTTCTAATATTTATAATGATAGTTACATAATCTTTACATGGTCAGACAAGGCAACACTTAAATTTATTCCAAAACATGTTTCTTTGTTCTAGATATTAGATAATGGCTGTATTTATACTTAATACGTTGTAATCATGCATGTGGTTGCATTTACACTTTGTAAAATCAGTATATTGATAAGCGCATGTATACGACACAAATTAACTGGACCAGTTTCATTCGTGCATGTATATACGACTTGAGCAATTCTGTAGGATTTGTTAGGTGAGCACGTGTGATTATATGATTAATACGAATCATCATTAATTCTACGCCTACGATATATTGAAATTAAAGTCGGAAATGATAAGATGATACAATTCGTTCCATGACCGTTGTCCTGTGTCTTCTGACAGATATTCGGACAAACGCTATCAACAAATATAATGATCTCTTTCTATTCCATCGTTTCGTATTAAACCTAGAACTGTGGCTCTCTCAGCCTCGTTCTTCTATACACAGCTTATTCAAAGCGGTATTCTTTTTTCTTGAATCGCAGGGCTGTTTGCCTAAAAAACGTTTACGTAGTTACGCTTCTTCAGTCCTAAATTTGCCGTTGTCGGTTTCAGACTGGCAAAAAAAGCAAACGTTTAAATTTAATCCCATGCAATCTTGCTTCCAGGGAGGCAAAACGTAGGACTGTCTCTCGGGCTATTTTGAGTTGCTTTTTGACAGTCGACTCGCTCTGGGTTGGTTAACAAACCTTCTTGCACTGCATACCTATGAAATCTCCTGCGGATATCTACCTCCCAGAGTCAATTCAGTGTTAGAAGTTAAACGGTAACAACAACTTGGCTATAAATTAATGTGTATACTGCAAACAAAATTATATTTACATATTACATTTGCCTTTTGAATCTGTGCATGGATATAACAACTCTTACGCGGAAACTTTATAAATTGATTGTAAAACTATAACTATGTTTGAAAGACAATTCAAATTAATAAATAGTTTGATGAAACTTTGTGCAGAAACTGCGTGCAGAATATTGATATAATGTCTGAGCAACATCGGGTAATATCGCTCAAATTTATTCAAAATCTAATCGTTTAAAACCAGTTGTCCATACACTTCGAGCCCGCTCAGTCTCAACGAGTCCTTTCCTGCCTCGTTTTTTCCCGTTTGACGTACACGCAGAAAGCGGTATGCTGTGCTGACGTCATCGATCTTCCAGGTTGCGGCAGCGTATCCTTTGTCCAGCGTATCGTCGTTCACGTGGTTTGCGAGAATATGCCATACCTTGCCGTCACGTGACCCTTCTAGCACCCAGTTTCTCAGTGCACCGGATACTCCACTCCAACCATGCTACAATGGAAAAGAAACGATGTATCGATATGTTGCCCTAAGCTAGAGTAGGATCATTCTTAGGTGAACATTATGTCTAACCGCTATGGTTAGGCCTCCTTTTCACCGGAGATTGACAGCCTCCTTTTCACCGGAGATTGACAAACCATACACCGGCCAAATATCGGACACGTGTAAACAGCCCACCACCATATCAGGTAAAACACCTAAGGAAGTTACCATCGTACCAATCACATTGCCTAAACAAACCACTTACCTACCAGTCATTGGGCCAGAATCAATTCCCGCCTTTCCATGTACACCACCCACAGCAGTCAACTCTGAGCCAACGTCCCCAATCACCCATTTACAAACAATACTTCCGCCAAGCCTACCAACCCATCAATCGTACTGTAGACCAGAATGGAACATGGGTCTAGATAACGATGCATGCCACGTCGATCCCTCACGAAATTCTGATAAAGTCTATCCGATACCTGTGAGGATTACGAATCACAATGTTAAATTAATTAACAAACGAAATACCAAGCAAAACAAGCTTTTACGAAATCCCAATATGATCGACATTCCTACCACTGAAGGCAGGTCTTGGAATGAACACTCGACCCTGAAAGACCTTAGTATAGAACGGGACACTCCGCAAAATTATAACATTCAAAGTCCCCCCATTTCCGTCTGGTACACTTAAATATAAGGTCTCTACGAAATACCTCCCATTGGATCCAATTCGCCGAATTTGTTTCAAAGACAAGGATTGAGGCAATAACATTATCAGAGACTTGGTTAAACACAACCATACCAAATGCCGAGATCAACTTGGAGGGCTATAAAATTTACCGCCAAGACCGCCTTCACAAAAGAGGAGGAGGGGTAGCTGCGTACATTCGGAGTGATATTAAGGTCACCGTACTGAAGGAAATATCATCAGTTTCCACCGATTACTTCCAGCAGCTTTGGCTCAAACTTCAGACTAAAAAGTTAAGATCTATCCTGCTCTGTGTATTATAGACCACCAGACTGCCCGCCGTCCTGCCTAGAAAACAACCTAAAAGCAAGTTATATGCAAGCCGCCATGCAGGACAAACCCATATTTATTTTGGGAGACCTCAATTGCAACACCATGAAGGTCACCGCTGAGACCACAGCATTGGAAAACTTCATGTACGAGATGAACTTAAAGCAATTGATCACTTCACCAACCAGGATCACAAACACTTGTGAATCACTAATCGACGTAATCATAACTTCATCACCCAACCTTGTCCATCAAAGTGGTGTTATGGACACACTCATAAGCGACCACCTACCAGTATACACCGCGTTAAACATGAAACTTCCTAAGCCATCAGTACAGAGCATCCTGACGCGAAGCTATAAAAGCTATGATAGTTCAAAGTTCATTACCCATCTTGGTACAAGATCACAAGAACTCATTTCTATCTTTTTCGATTCCAATGTCAATTCAAAACTCAGAAAACTTAATGATGTCCTCTCTACTACTTTGGCTGTCCATGCTCCAATTAAAGAGGTCAAGATTCGACGTCGCTCCTGTCCATTTGTTACTGCTGACATCAAAAAACAAATGATCTACAGAGACCAGCTACATCGTCGATACAAACAGACACGAGAAATGGAGGACTGGAAGAACTTTAAAACAGTCCAAAAATCAATCAAATCCACCTTAAAAGTCGCAGAGAAAGACTACGTCCGCACTGAAGTTAATACACATAAAGACAAACCTGGGTCACTTTGGAAAGTAATTCATAGCCGCATTCCGTCTAGAGACAAAACAACCCCTAATATACAGCAAAAACCAGGAAGAGGTTGCCAACGATTTTAACAGTTTTTTCCAGTCAGTAGGGATAACAGCCGCCGAAACAGCTACGCAACTGGCCTTAGATAATAACATCAATATATCTTCCATGTCTGCCTGTGAAATCAAGAACCTACAATGTCCGATCGAAGAGTCATTCCACTTCATACCTGTTACCTGTGCGGAAATTGAATGCATACTAACATCTATGCCATCAAATAAATCACCAGGTCCCGACAAAATCAGTATGAGAACTATTAAAGACTGCCTCCAAGTAATCTTAGGCCCCCTGACGGATATCATCAACAGTTCATTTACAACTAATACGTTTCCAGAAGCCTGGAAAATAGCAGAAATCATACCAATATTAAAAGAAGGGGATCACGAAATAGCCTCCAACAACCGTCCCCTCTCAATGCTCAATGTAATCTCGAAGGTATGTGAGAAAGCGGCCTTAAATCAATTCACGAGTTTTTTAAATCGGACCGGCCACCTTACGGCACACCAGAGTGGAAACAGAAAGTACCATTCAACGGAAACCCTCAATATATTAGTAAACGATTTTTTCCTGAACGCAATGGATAACAAAGAGCTATCTGCCCTTATTCTGTTAGATCTGTCCAAAGCCTTCGATAGCATCGACCACACAATATTGCTTCAAAAACTAAGCAATATTGGAGTATCTCGTAAGGCTCTAAATTGGTTTAGAAGCTACCTTTCAGACAGAAAGCAATACGTACGCATTGGCTCTTCAGTATCAGAAACTCTTTCAATCACTCATGGCGTCCCACAAGGGGCAATATTGTCACCTCTGTTATTTTGCATCTACATAAACGACCTTCCAACAGCACCAAAAACAGCTAAGTTAGAATCATTTGTGGATGATTCGAAAATATTCATGTCCTTTCCAATCACGAATATAATCGATGCAAAAAGTAACATAGAAGAGGATCTTAAGAGGATTGCAACATGGTGTTTCACAAATAAGCTGTTAATTAACCCTGAAAAGACAAAATTAATGCTAATAGGCACTCGACAGTTAATCGGAAACCTTACTGAAGGACTGGTTATCTCGTTCCTAGGAAAAGAGATCACACCTTCCTCTTACGCCAAAGACCTAGGGCTATTCATGGACAGTTATTTAAGTTATGATCATCATATACGACGCGTCATATCATCTTCAATGGCAAAACTGTACCAAATAAATAGAGTAAAGGACAGCTTCGATAGCGAAACCCTCCACACGATTGTCAATGCCCTAGTGATGAGCAGATTGTATTACTGCTCTACGGTGTGGTCGAATACATCGGCAACAAACATAAAAAAACTCGAAAAAGTACAAAATTTTGCTTGTAGGATTATAACAAATACAAGGAAATACGACCACATAACACCAGTACTACAGGCGATCGGTTGGCTCCCAGTCAAGGAACATTTACAGTACAGAGATACACTAATGGCTTATAAATGCATGAACGAACTTGCACCGCCGTACTTATGCGACCAGTTTTCAAAACGAAATGCAGTTCACAACAAGAACACCCGGAATAAAGACGACCTTGACATTCCCCCATGCAAAACAACATCAGGTCAAAGAAGTTTTCGCTATAGAGCAATAAAAATCTGGAACATTCTAGATAAAGATTTTAAAAAACTACCTTTTAAAACATTTAAGAAGCACTTAAAGAAAAATATGTTAACAAATAACGTTAACGGAAACCTATCTTAGTTAAAGTATTAAAATCTTAGTATAACTATACAACTAGGATTTCTCTTAATTGTAAACATATTTTATAAACATAGCATAGTCAATAACGTAATTGTAGATAGAAATATACCTATTTTTAGCCTTGTTAGTACATACTGAAAAGCCCTATTGGGAGTATGTTTTATGTATAATAATAATAATAATAATAATAATAATAATAATATATAGTTGTTTCATAGTTTCAAACTAAAATCTATTCTACCGTGCATATCCGTCTTCTTCTAAACCAATTGTCACTAACTTTGGTATATCCTGGTAATGCTGTATTGTATGCAAAGGTTTAATAAAAACCTCAAATCTAGTCACAGACACGTCAAATAGAGTAGTATAGCTTCCACTTTATCTCCTTTTTGATCGCCCTTTTTTAATGTTATAGCCTAAACGATATAAGCGCCATGCACGGGGACCTCATAATAAAAACATACGATGCCTACCTGTAGAGTGTACGCTGATGGTAAAACTGATCGTTTTTCACCGAAGTCAATTTTCCACCACTGGTTAGTTTTGTTACTTGTACTACACCAAGATCCCTTGCGTTCGGCAACATCTGATGCTTTTCCATGACCGTATGAGGAACGGGTTATCTTCATAAGTCCTGATTCCGCAGGGTTTTTCCATTCTTCCGTGCCCCCGCCTGTGCCGAGCCAGTATAGTATGCCCTGCGTGTCCTTGTGGTCGAAATCTGCTGGCACTGTAAGAAATGAATATTGCTAAGTTGAACTAACTTGCTTGAGCACTGTGGTGAACTTGTGCAAAATGGAGTCTTGTTTCGTTTCAGGTGTTTAAACAGAACAGTTTATAGGAACAAACCTCCTCGTTTAGTGGTATCTTTGCCTTCGATGTAATCTTCATTTTCCGACACTTCTGCCAACTCAGCAATGGCAATGTCTGAAAGATGATTACCGAGTATTTAGGCTCCAAGTACAAACGAACTGAGCGTGAGGGAAAACCATTTCTTGAGAGTTTAGTAACCTTACTTACTTTCACTTCTGCTTGTATCTAGTCCCCCATTCACTGGTACCGTTTCTTCATCCTTTTTGCTCGGTTGTTCATCTTTCTTCTCATCTTCTCCTCTTCTATCCACACCCTGCCTCCGTCCATCCTTATCCTCATGTACCACCTCGGATTTCACAACCCTAGCTCCCAGGCTGCTCTCGAGCAACGCAGAATCCAGTTTCGTCTTCAGTCTTTCGTTTTCTCGGCTGAGCTTGTCCACAGAGGTTTTCAACTCTTTAATCTCCTTTTGTTTCCGTTGCATAGTTCTGCAAACCCAACGATAAATAAATATAACTGATACCACCTAGTACCCCTTAATGTCAACAGGAATCCACGGTATTACCTATGATCCTGGTTTGATTTTTCCTGCACCGCGCTCAGATCTTTCAACAATTTACCCTGACGATCCCTCATGTCTTGCAAATCATTCATCGTACTCTTTTCCTGCTGACGAAGCTCCTCTATTGTTTTAGTTGCCATAGACAGGCGGTGCTGAAGTTCTGAGATTTGCTTCTCCTGGATATTGTAAAGCGACTGGGATTTCTCTTTCTTGGAACTGTCGACATTGTCCTCCAGTTCTCGAGTGACCGTTTCCAAGGTTGCCTTCTGCTTTGCGAGCTGATTTTGCAGGTCATCGATTTGATCTAATAAAACCTAAAATAAAAATTGCTCTTGAGTTCACCAGTTAAAGTTTGCGTGTTGTACTTTTAAAAATAATAAAAAAGCTCTAATCCTATGAATATTTCTCATAGAGATCTCAAATGTTCTTATGAAATACCAGCACGAATACGATTCAAACTATCATTGTAATATATTGAATAAATCAACCACTTTAATTTAACCTTTAAGGAGATATGCATTTATACCTTCTCTCTGTCTTGCCGTATTTTGTTGATTTCCTGGAAACGTTTTCTAAGATCTTCCCTTGTTCCTCTCTCATGTTCTATTTGTGACTTCATCTCGGTTATTTCACTATTCATCTTTTCGTTTTTGGCGAGTTCGGAGTCGACCTGTTCCAGAAAATCTTTGGCTACCTTTCTTTCGTCGCCTAGCTTTTGTTCAAGTTCCTTGACCTGGGGAACATAATAGATTGGTTTAGGTTTATCAAGTGGTAATGGTAATGGTGACAGTTCGGGATAATGAAGACGACTTTGAGGATAACTGGGATGATGATGACTTGATAATGTTGGTGGTAATGATCATGATAACGGTGATGATGACAAGGGTAAATTAAACTAGGGGGAAGATGCTAATGGTAGTTATCAATTAGAGATGATGCAATCTTTAGCGATGAAGATGTTTATGACAATTACCTTCTCAGTCAGTTCCTTTCTCTCTTGATTCATCTTCGAAGTCGTCTCGTGTTTGACTTGCTGTTTCTCCTTCTCCACATTCCTCATAATCTCCTCGCGAGATTTCTTCTCTTCCTCCAGAGCAACACTCAGTTCCTCTTTCTCGTATTTATTTAGCTCCTTGAGAACATCAATTTCCCTTGATCCTTGCTTCTGCCTTTTCTCCAGCTCCTTGATCACCCTATTCAATTCCTCCATCTGTCGTCGTTGCTTGGAACAGTGAGTCGTGGATTTCTTCAATTCCCTTTCCAATTCGTCGACGTGTTCTAAACGCTCGCGTTTTTCTTTCCGCAGTCTCTCGATTTCCCTTCTCACCTAAATAGATTTTGGATCACTGATGAATTTGGTCCTGATTCTTCGAGTAATACTCGTTTCAACAAAACTATCTTCACTATCTTCGCTGTTGAGTTTGTTCATGCGATTTAAGAGACATTCTATCACGTTAATCTATCATGTTTTTTGCTTCAGTCTTCAGTTCAAAGGCAATGAGAGTTGGTATTACCTCACGTTGCGCTCTTTGTTCCAGCTCTCTGACTTCAGTGATGACATCATCTGATTCTTTATTGTACGACCTCTCAACCTCCAACAGTCGTTTCCAAGTTTCCATCTGCTCGGTCATCCTCTGCTGTCTCCTCACCTAAAGTGATACGCATTTAGCATGTGAGATTAGCGTGTCTTACCGCTGGTCAATTGCAGGATGAGAGCATAGTATTTGGTACTTGTGCTGCGCGACGTCTCTGTCAGTTTAAATTGTCGTGACTTACGCATAGGTCTCACCTCTTCCCCAACCCTCTCTTGCAAGTCCTCAATTTCTTGAGATTTCTGCAGACTCAACGCCGACTCATCACTCGTTACCAGTTTTTTAAACAAGACTCTTACTCCAGCCGTTGCTAGGACGGTGATGAACGCCATCTCCTTTAGTAAGCCGTTGCTATGCACTAAACTGACGGTTGATATGGCGATACACACGAATAGTATATCCATAATGAGACACCTTTATTACAGGGAAATAAGATATCTTATTGTCTAAACAAAGTCATTTCGTTTATTGTCCAATATTGTCGAATATTTCAGTAATACTTATTATCAGATCTGATCAGATACCTTATCGATGTATCGCATCTTCTATTACTTTCCGTACCAGTCTTCTTTAACACGACAAAAGTAGCGCAGCCAATCAGAGGCATTAGAGACATGCCAAAATATTCTGCGTAGAATAGCCACAGGAAAGCCAAAAAGCAACTCAAAAATACTGCACCAATTTTCCAGAATTGCTTCAACTCCTTGATCGTACATTCGCCCACTTTCTGAGGGACACTTGGGAGTGACTTAGTGATATCCCTGGTCGCCTGTTTCAGATCTTGTAAGATCCATCTTTTCTCCTCGTTATCCACGTCATCTTCGGCAAGATGTGCGCGCATGGTTTTGAACAGATCAATCTTTTCCTTGACGTGATTTTCTGCCATGGTTTTCAAGGCTTGCTCCAATGCCTTCTTGTCTTGGCCGCGATAAGAACCTGATCTTCCCAGCAAGTTTTCGATATCTTTTCCTTCCTGAATGGTCCATGTGAGCTTAGCGATGATTAGTTTCTGATTCTCGTTTCTAAAAATTCGTTACAATAAACAATTTTAAGTAAGATTAAAGAGCATAGTGCGCCCGGCCAATGTGCAATAGTCTCTTACCTTCCATATTCGACTTTAAGTTGTCTCTCGAGAGCAGATATTGCCCGTTTCTGCTTCGTCACCACTTCCAAGTGTTTCTCCACCAGTGTTGACAATTCTTGTATTTCTTTGCTGCTTTCAAGACTTCGTTCCGCCTCCACGTTCAACTCCTCCGCCAGTTTTGCCACCTATAATGACGAATGCGCACAAATCAGAGCAAAAGCTAACAAAATCAAACGCGATACAACACACATGACATACCTCATCGCGCGATTTCATAATAAACCAAGACACCAATAATATAACTACACACAGCAAGGCAAGGAAACTTGAACTGAACAGCAACGAGCTCTTACATACAGCTAGAAACACAACTCCTACAACAACAAGCACAGCAAACATTGCTCCTAAGGTTCTCTCATCTTTTGCATTTTTCATCACAGAAGCCGTCAGTTGCTGGAACCGTTCGAGTGCTTCTCTTTTTTTCGCGTCTTTTTGTTCGTCATCTTGACGGATTTCTTGCACAATCTTTTCCGTGGATAAATCGACACCTTCCCCGTCCATCAAATCACGCAGTTTCTGCTCCAGTTTCTTGATAACTTTATCTTTCTGTTGTAAAACTCCTTCGTTCGCTCTTAACCTTGCCTTTAGTTGTTTCCCCTCCTCGGTCAACTTTCTCCGCATTTCTTTTAAGGTGTCAATCGTTTTAGACTTTTCTGCCAATTCTCGCCCCATATCCTTCGCAGTCACAGAATCTCGTCCCTGGCCGTCAACCGCACCCGTTTCAGACCCTTCTCCATTCCCTCCAGTTCTTTTTGCCAGCTCGTTTTTCTCGACGGTTTCCGATGCAACCCGAACGATCAATTGTTCGACAGTTTTTCTCAAGCTTTGATTCTCTTCGTAAATATCACTGACCGCCTTCGACAATGTTTCGTTCGCTTCTCCCGGTTTCAGGAGCTTCCTGCACCCCGCTGTTTCCTTCCACACCAGGTACCCCAAGGTGGATAGGTATAATAGGACGCATGTCATAACTACATGAGTTGGGAATTGGGCGAAAAGTACTGGAACTGAGACAAGAATTAACACCAATGATAACCAACTATAGGTCCAAATATTGTCCTGTTTCGTCTGCTTCTTGTTGGTACTTCTACCGAAAATCGCTTCCTTGGGCTGCGTGCTTGTTCCTTGCATAAGTTTTAGATATTCCGCCTCAATTTCGTGGTCATTTTCAACGTTCTTTTCTTCTCTGCCAATGTTGTATTCTAGTTCAATGAGACGACGCATTTCCTCCACACTACCGTTCACCCCATGTTGGCTATCAATCGCAGGCTCGTTTATTAGTTTGCCCTTGAGTTGTTGCACCTCATTCTTGTACATGGCTATGACCTCCTCGCCTAAAGGAAAATGGAAACTTTTAGTGCAGATGTTTGAATTCCAGTCGTCTTAAAGCGTTCAAGCCAATTGTCATTAAAAATTAAGAACTTCAGTTTCTGCGGGAAACACTTAATCCTCTTAAATCTGTGTCCCTTTGAGACCGCCCAAACCATTTCATAATAGACCTATCTCATTTGGCTCCGCAAAATACTAACGACCAATCAAACATCGTGTCGTTTTAGACTTTCTGCGTTGACGTTATTATGGGAAACGTCTGTTGTACGACACACAAGTAAAGTTTGAAACTAATTGCTTTTCCTATTGAGCGTGTCAAAGCAAAGCCTTCCAACTAGACAAATTTCTTGCCGAAAAGAAAAATTGCATCGTAGCTTTTCAGTGAAAAAGCCACTAGAAAAAAAATTCACTTGCAGATAACAGATATGTAGATAACTCTCCCATTTGCTGCTGTCACTCGTAATAAAACAAAGATTTCTCTACCTTCAGATATTAGTTTTCTCATCATATCTTTTTCTTCCTTTTTTGCTTGCAAAACTTCATCCAGTTCCACCTTGAGATCTTCCACCTGTCTTGTCTTTTCCTCAAGATTTTCTCTCACACCTTCTAAAACTTCCAGATCTTCCTTCAAACTTTCATTTTCGTGTTTCATCTTCTCGCGCGACAATTCGATGGCGCGAATTTCCTCAACGTATCGTTCCTCTTCGCTCCAAAATTTCTGCTCAATGTCTTCGCTCAATTTCTTGTCATTCAACCTGAAAAATTTGAAAGCAGCATAAGTGTGGGCCGGAAATGTTGTTATAATACTACAGGCAATGATACGCATTGCGCACGGTCTCAGCAACTATAAATAGTGAAATGGCAATGAAAATCTAAACTGGTTATTTCGTTTCTCCTTGCGCTTCTGTTCACTTCAAACCTTCCTGGATCAAATTGTGGTATACCACAGACCAGGTCTCTACGGATCCTACCTTGCCTTCTTCTGCGATTCCAGCTTTCCACTCAGCTCCTTAACCGCTCCATCGAGCATTTCTTTTTCTTCAACGAGCTTGTTAATACGAGCTTCGTTCTCCTTCCTCTCTCCTTCTTTCTGAGATCTCTCATCTTTCAAATTCTCTTCCAGTTCGAGTATTCTCTGCTTCAATTTTTTGCTCTCCTGTTCGTGGCGTCGTTTCTCCTTCATGAGGTCGGCCTGGTGGTGTTTACGAGCCATCTCGCGAATGCTTTTGGGATCGTTTGTTTTGTTTACATGCTTCTCTCGTTTTAGTTCGTCTTTGAGGTCCTCCATTTCTTTGTCCTTCTCTGCCACTAGCTTGGCTTCCTCTTCGATGTATTCTTTGACCTGAAGTTAATTCGAAGTTAAACCGTATAAATTTATATCAATGGATAACTCTTTCGGTTCTAAAGGTCATCTCGCGGTTTGTTTAACATAAAAACCTTTCCAAATCTTTATTTGAACAAATGATCAATGCCTGAATGTATTGTATCACAAGCAGTAAAAAAATAATGCAATGCATTGTGATTTGGCCAGTTTTTGGAGATCGTTTTTCAGTTGATGCTCATAGATTCAAAGATAATCTTTTTACCTCCATCAAATCCGAATTGAGACTCTCAATCTTCGCATCTTTCTCTACCATTTTCTCTTTCATTGCCGTAAGTTCCATCAGAATTTCGCTTTCGCGTTCTTCAACCTCGTTCTCACGTCTTTTCATTTCGTTTTCCATCAAATCCAACTGTTTTCGTTGCAAAGAGATGTCTTCTTCAACACCCTGCACCTTCTTCTCTTTCCATTCAACCTTGTACGAAAACATTTCAGTTATTATCTTTGACAAAGTTCAAAACTCTCTTTTTGGCAGCTTAAATGCATGTACAAGTTTGCTTTCTTTTCTGAGCTGCCTATTCCCGCTGTTAGACTGTTGAAAAACCTTTGTTCAACTTGACTGAGGCCTCTGAACATTCCAAAGCATGTATTCGTCAATCTCTAACAAGTGCACAGTTTTTCTCATTCAAATTTGATTTTCCATTACGGCATGTTCAAAGTTTAGGATTAATGAAGCTATGCAACAGAAAATCAAATCACAGAACTTACCTCCTTCCGTACGTCATCTTTCTCTCGCTTGTGTCGTTTAATTTCCTTGTCTTTCTGATCAATGGTCTTGCAATGGCTATCAATCTCATCCTTAAGGTCTTGTACCAGCTTGTTTTTTTCGCCCACTTGACGCACGTAAGATTCCAGGTCATACATTTGGGATTCAAGGAGAATCTGTTGGAGTTCAAAAAGAATAAATCTTTAAGTGACTACTTACATGACTGACTGCACGATCAAAACGTCACTTTTTTAATGGAACAGATGACATTACTTTGTGTTCTTCAACGGCTTTCTGAAGACTTGCCAACTGATCGTCTTTGAAAGCAATCTGGGTTCGCAGATCGCTGTTCAAAGCTTCCAGTTTGGTAACCTTTGACAAAAGTAAAAACAATTGAATCTTTATTACTGGCGAATTAATAAATACATATAGAAGGCATTTAATTATGAATTTTTACTCGCGAGTATATCGCTAAACATTTAACTTGATTTCACGTGTTGACGCTTTATATGAACTTAAATAATACTTGTTTACCAACCTCGTATTCCTTCTCTTCTAAGCTATTGGCTATAAACTGAAGATCTTCGCTCGCTTTTTTCAGATATTGCAGTTCCTCTTCTCTTCTTTCCAATTTATTCTTAGCCAGATTTAATTCACCTCCCAACTCTCTTATTTTGGCGTCCCTCGCCTCCAGTTCTCTGCGAAGCTCATCCGTATTGGCTTTAGCCAATTCAGCTTTCATTTCAGCAACAAGCCGTTTCAAGCCATCAATCCTTTCGCCCTGGCTCTGCGCGTCTTCAGTCTTCTCCTCCAGGCTTCTGTCCAACTCCGCAGCTCGCTCGATTGCTTCCTCTGCGTTTACTTTAAAATCGTTCATGACTTTGTCCTTCAACCAAACTTTCTCTTGGAATTCCTTCAGCACCTGCAATAAGATGAGAATGTACTGTTTGATGAAATGTTCCTTGATTATTCCCTTACATATGGTACAGTGATTTATTGGCTGGTTATTTCTTATTTCTTTGATTCAGTTTAAACTAACAGGGAACTATTTATCCCAGGTTAGGTATGAGGACCCAATACCATTAACACACTTGCCTTGTCTTTCTCTATCAGCTCATTTTCTTTTTCATCCATTCTATCTTTCAGTCTGTTGTGCATCTCGGTCAGTTCACGATATTTTCTTTCCAGGTCTTTGAAATGTCTGTTCTGGCGTGAATATTGATGAGTCTTGACGCGCAATTCCTCTTTCGTCTCTCCCAACTCCCGTTTCACTTGGTCGTGTTTCACCTTGATTTCATCGTACCCTGAAAATAAGATGGCGAAAAGATTTTAGGGGAAAAAACGACTGTTCTTTGACTGTTCGAGAGGCTGGAGAAAGCAGAATAAACCGAGATTAATACCTCTGCGATATTCATCAAATTTCTCTTTCATTTTATCATGATCTTCCTTAAACTTGTTTGCGTTTTTTCTCTCTTTATCGAACTGGGATTTGACATCAACTGCTTCCTTCTTTTGTTCTTCTGCTTTAATCCGAGCCAGTTCCTGTTCGCTTTTCACGTTTTTCAACTGTAACTTCACATCAGAAAGGAGTCGCTTGCTCACGTCAGCGTCTCTCTTCATTCGCTGGTAGTCCTGCCTGATAGAAAGAAAATTTTGTTAATCCGACCGGTCTTTGTCGGAATTTGACTATGAATATATTGAACAGTTTTCGTGAAAATACTAACTTTAGTTTCTCTTTCTGTTCTTTAAGCTGTTCCAACTCTCGTTCGCATTCTCCAAGGTTGAACCTCCACATGTCGATGTCCGTTTCCAATTTTTCTCGTTTTTTCCTCTCCTGCTGTAACTCGTCACTCAGTTCATTATTTCTTCTGCTTTGGATATCAATCGTCGCCTTGAGGGACTGCAATTCCGTGTCCCGCGGGGATATGACGTCATGCGCGGGTTTCACGTCGCCACCGCTCTCGTTTGAAGCGTCCTTCAACTTGGCAGACAGGAAATTCAGCTCGGCCGTTTGTTCGTTCATCTGTCGGATGAGGTTCCGTATGGTATCTTCCTGCCTCGATACCAACTCGTCCCTATTGGATTAGTATAAAGCGGTTATCTATTAGCAGAAATGTTCGAGTGCCCGGCATCCAGGGTGTGGTCGTGGAGCCTTCCGTGAAATCGCATGAGCAGCCAGCTATAAATTTTACGCAAAGTTTTGTGTACGGTGCATGGAAAATTTCAGATGAGCACTTTTGAATTTGCTACTTGCTAGTGGAATCTTTTCTCATCCTTCTTCAATGTATCAAATACCCTTTGGAATGCTATATATTAAAAAGTATCAGAGGCCGGGTTTTGTGTAAAACGAACTTATCTTCTTAGAACAGCACTAACAAAAGTAATTGCACCTGTATGATATGGGCTGACTGTTTTGCGTGGGGAAAATTCTTCGTAAAGATCCGCGTTCTAGACACACTTTTTATTTTAAAATGTCAAGGAAATGAAGGATTATCATGATTAAACTGATCTAAACATTACCTCTCCTCATCGCGTTTTTGAAGCTCAGATATCTTAATATCTTTATCAGACAAGACATCTTTAAGCAGCGAGTTTTTCTTCTGATATTTCGCCAAAGTCCATCTCAATCTTTTGTTTTCACGCAATAAAGGCTCAATCAACTCGTTGTCACTGGATTCGTATTCTGAATCTGTATCGGACATCTTGGGGGATGCAGGATACCCCCGGCTTCACTAAAGAAACCACACTCGTAATATCACTAATATGTGTCTTTTTCTTGTTCCTTTGCAGTTCCTCGTTCCTGTGCAGTTCCTAGAGGAAAAATTGTCTTTGATATGGAAACTTCAAAGTTAAACGTAATGTACATAACTTATAACCTTTCTTTCAACTTAATGTAATTTATGGATATATCCATTGGGGTTAAACGTAGTTGTTCTTCTTGAAGCTTCAGTTAGAATATTTTTTCTACCCTGATATATTGATATACGTATACAAATCTATGGGGAAAAAATAATTATTTTGTTTTCTCATGTTTTCATATACGTATATTGCTGTTGACTATTGTTATCCCTGACATGCGAGACCAATTCCCTTACAGTCTCAGTGTTATTTCTGATCAGATTCTAAGGCTGAAGTAACTCTATTGAATTGGAACATACAGTTTATGCAGTTCTTCAAGTTTTCCAGCATTTCAGATTTACATCAACAACATGTTTTAGTCCTATGAAGAACTTTAGGTCTCCGGTACCTGTTTGCTTCATACTTTTGCGGTGAAGTTGTTGACAGTCTTTTATAAAAAGAATTAGTTGAATTCCGTGCAAACTCGCCTAGTAGTGATACTCGCGTAGTCGAGTTAACTTTCTAGCCTTTTTAATTAGACAAGCTAGTTTTTCGTAGTAATTTCAACCCGGATATGGATGCGGGAAGACAATATTTGTAACACTTCTTTATCAGTTTGGAGAAAAATTAAGAAATGTTAGACGAAACGTCTATAGAACGACGAATTATAACTGATGGAGTCTTCTTAGTGTTGGTTTCACATGCGTGTATTATTAAACTGTTGTTGGAGTCTAACGCAAACACACTGTACTGAGACGATAGACTATTATCGTTGCTATGTTAAGCGATAGAGCAACAGGTTGATTTTGTTTGTGGTATAACCTTTGATACCGCACATTGCTATTCAAGACAAATCACTTTTGTGAATAATCAGTTTTCAGTTTGCATCTCAAAAATAATTTCTCGTGTATCAGCTTGCCTGGATCACTGACATTTTTTTCTCAGCTTTAATCAGAATGGCTGGAAACACTGTTTTCTTGTTTGCCTACTTTAGAAACAATGTCCTATTTCACCTAAATTTTACTGGAAACAATAAACCTTTAGCAAGTGTTTCCCAGTTTGTCGAGAACCTAAGCTATAGCCTGGCGAACGAGAATGACACACCTCAATCAGACTCAGCAAGTACCTAGATTAATCACCCTTGACATAGCACAAAAGGAGCTGATGAGATTTCTTCATTCTTTTCGAAGCGCTTTCTTGTTCACACTTGTTAACTATCATCTTCATTTAACAATAGACGTGTCTTACAAAATGAAACGGAACGCGTGGATGTTTCGCTCTGGCTCTAAATCTCTTCTGATTTACGATTAACGTACACGTAAAGACCAGTCTACTGTCCGGCTTTTGAAATGGTGTCATGCATGTTCGTGAAATCATATGTGATAGTCTCGTTTACCTAGCGGTTGAATATCGGCTTGAAATAAGAAAAACTATCACATTGTCCTAAGATGATATATTTACGATCTTTCAAAATCTAGACATTCCATTTCTTCAAATGATTTTTACATACCTGTAGTGTATAACTCTTAGTTTTTTCTTGCAATTCTCCGTTAATCCATGTTTAAACGATATCGATGTTTTGAAGTCATCTTCGTGAGTCCAAGCGCGTCCAGGTTAAAGACAAGTGCGCGTGAATAATTGATTAGCGTCCTCCTGTGGTTGGAAGAGATTGAAATGGAACTTGCCTGCAGGGACTAGTGTTTGGGTAGCTAAGCAAGAAGCCATGGCTCTTGTCTGACAACCTGAAAAAAATTTCGTATCACCTCGCTAGACCTCATCTGTAAAAGAAATTGAGAGGATTTGGTAACCAAACCCTTTCAATTTCTAACAAACTCCGATAGAGAGAGGCGATATTCTAGAGCGTGCAATATTTGTTATCAGTTTTTTCATTCGTTCATTCTATCATTTCATCTTCATTGAAACAGGTTAAAACAGGCAGAAAATGTTAAAACAGACAGAAATATAAAACAGAAAGAGTGTATTGAAACAAACAGTTTCATGGTTTTTTCAGGCATCGCATGTACAGTTTCAGTGTTTCAGATTTTAAAACATGTTTTTACATGACGTATTTTTTGGGTGAAATTCAAAATGGCGACAAAATTGTTACAATGGCACACACTATTCTTTGCGTTATATTTCAGCCATTTCACTTCACAAAATCAAGTTCAAAGTAAACCCAAACATCGCGTAAACATTATACTTTTTGGCGCAACCGGCGATTTAGCAAAGCGATATCTATGGAACGGATTTTTTAACCTTTATTTATCTGTGAGAGGCAATTCCGAGAACACAATGCTACGGTTTTATGGCGCTACGAGGGTGGACGCTGAAACGGGAAGCAAGGCTCTTGTTGACATTTTAAACACTTCTATTCGATGTTCTAATGTTGAGTGCGAAAAACAAAAGATTGAGTTTATGAAAGTATGTATGTACTACAGGTTAAAGCATTCGGTTGACTTTGAAAAGTTTCAGAATTTTTTGCAAAGCAGCTTAACCGAGGAAGAAATTGAAGTAGGGCGCATATATTATCTTTCTGTACCGCCTTTTGCATATGCAGAAATCAGCAAGAACATTGCGGAAAACTGTCGGCCAAAGTCACCAAATACGTGGATTCGTGTCGTCTTGGAGAAACCGTTTGGGAGCGACCTGAAGACTGCAACTGAGCTTTCTGAGAAAATGTCAAAATATTGGAAAGAAGTCGAGATATACAGAATTGATCATTATTTAGGAAAAGCTGGTGTAGCGCAAATCATGGAATTCAAGAAAGAAAATCTGGAATTTTTTTCGACACCATGTGGAATCGAGATTATATTGAACAGGTGAATATTGTCGTGAAGGAACGCTTGGATGCAAAGGGTAGGATGAGCTTCTATGATCAATATGGTGTGATAAGAGATGTTTTTCAAAACCATTTAACTGAAATTCTTGTTTTGGTTGCTTTGGAAATGTCTCAGGATAATTCTGAGAAATCATTTCCAAATTCTAAGAAATATCCTGAGAACACATTTAAGAGTGATGAGAAAAATTTTCCAAAATTATCAGGAAATTCTGAGAAATTAAGATTGTTGGAAGCTGTAAAAGCAGTTACTATACATGATGCAGTATTTGGGCAGTATAAAGGTTATAATACCCAGCTGAAGAACGAGGTTCCTAGCGTTGAATATGATAGGAATACACCTACGTTCTCTGCAGTTGTGATGAATATTCAAAACCAGCGTTGGGCTGGAGTACCATTTGTCCTAGTTTCAGGAAAAAGTTTAGATACCAGACTTGCTTATGTACAAGTCAAATTTAAACAGCAGAAATTCTGTATAGAAAACAACTTGGACAATGAGCCTGAAAATTGTAAACCAAGAGAGCTAACTTTTTACATTCAAGGTGAACATATTGACTATCCAGTAACAATGTTTTCAAGTGCAATGTCAAATATGAAATTTGGCAAAAATTGGAAGAATGTACTTTTTCAGACAGAAATTCCACCAAATCTTAAAAGTGATTATATAATTATGAAACCACCTCATACTGACCGTGATGCTTACAGTTCACTAATTCAGGAGCTTTTTCTTGGAAATAGGGATATGTTTGTAAGCATTGAAGATTTATTGCTATCATGGAAAATTTGGGACCCATTAATCAAGGCATCCACATATATTCAACCTAGATTATATACTAAAGAGGACATTGAAAGTTTGGATTTTGAACTTGTGAAAGGAAAAATAAAGTTTGTTTCAGAAGCTAGAAGTGATTGCCAGATGTCAGGGGATACAAAGTATTTAAGGATGGAAATGGAAGATGATCAATCACATAGTTTCCGTGGCAATAAACTAGTTTCGGGGCATTTAACAAATGTTGTTCAACAACTTGCAAAAGATATAGCAAGTGCAATACAAGTGAGGGTCGAATCTGGTGGCACATTTAATTTGGCTTTATCAGGTGGTTCAACTGCTAAGCATCTTTTTCATGCATTGGCATATATGAAATATTTCTCTTGGGACAAGGTACATGTTTGGTTGGTTGATGAACGATGTGTTAGTCTAAACCATAAAGAATCAAATTTTCAAAATATGTATGAGTACTTTCTCAAACACATCCATATTCCCTATTGGAATATCCATTCAATGCCTGTTGATAATGCTGGACAGTATTGCCATTCAAGTAACTTGGGTGAAAAACAGTATGAAAAACTCCTGAGATATCACCTTGTTAATGGCTCATTAGATTTTGTTGTGTTAGGTGTTGGTAATGATGGACATACTGCATCATTATTCCCAGGTATCAAGTTACTAACAAGTACTAATTGGGTTGAGTTGACAACCTCATTCGGAGGCTATACCAGGATGACAATGACATTATCATTACTCAACCAAAGTAAAAATATTGCAGTGCTTATACTAGGGCAAAGGAAACATGATATTGTCCAAAAGTTATTACAGGCTAGAGAAGACACTCAAAATTTACCAATAACTGCAATCAATCCAGTTTATGGTACATTAGTCTGGTATATTGAGGATAGCCTGTTATATTAAGATAGCATGGTATATTGAAGGTAGTTAGTTTTTGTCTTGAGAATAAGCACCTGTCAGGTTTGTTAAAAGTGTGGTAAATTTTGTATGGATTTCCTAGGTGGTACTTTGCAGTGCAAATCATTGGTTAAGGTTTAGAACTGGGGTGACCTAGCACTGACAAGTGCGGGGGTGTTTTCCCGGAAATTGAAATACAAATACATAATTACTATGGAATTTATGGAATCTCCAATAACTGTTGTTGTTGTATATGGCCCAACGCCAATCTTCCAGTCTCCCAGAGTCCCGGTCACACGTGAAGTGAATGTGTATTCGTGGCAATCGTTTATTAAAATTCAAAAACAACGGTATATCACTGCATATATAGAAAAGAAGTATTTGCTCGTTCATTTAAACGTTTTGTGATACATTTTAGTTGTCATTTAAAGCCGAAATATGTTTATATTCAGCTTACTGCAGTGTTTTTGCGTAGCGACTTTGTCTACACAACTAACACAAGCACAGGTGATTCACGTGGAAGTCGAAAAGAATCACAAAATTGTCGTTCGAAGCACGCCATCGCTAGATCCAGCTGAAGAAATTTTAGAAGCATTTGGCAATGACAACAAAATTAATCTTACAGACATGGAGGCTTTGTTTAGGAGTATTCGTTTGGCTGTTTTGAATGACAAAGATTCACAGGGGAAAGGTGCAAGTGATCCACAAGTAAGTTTTCCTATAGAAATATATATGTATGTTTATTGCTAAATTAATTTAATAGATCTGAAAGGAATGTAAATGTTTACTATAAAACTTTGGTAAATAAATGGTATTGAATAAATGGTAGTGCTGTTTTATTTAGCCCGTTAAGATAATGTACATGTATGTATTCCAATTTTTAAGTGGCCATGCAGACATTGTTGCCAATTTTTTTTACAAGGACAAATTGAAATATTTGTCATCTTCCAGTATATTAAAAGTGTGCCTTCCTGCATGTTCACATGTTCAAATTTAGGTGAAAAATTTAACGTGGCAACTTGAGTATTTATAATTATTCTTAAAAATGAGAAAGACACAGATGAGATAAGGATGAAGGTCAATTATAGTAATAATATATAAGTAGTATTGGCAAGAATTTACTTAGCCTTAGGCCAGCCAGTTGTGAGAAGGCTCTGGGGATGTACAAGATAACACTGTTCCTCGCTATCTGCTTAGGTGTGTTTTACAAGTCAACATTTCTATGGTATGTACTCACGGAATGATGGTACCATCAACAGGACAGACTTATTGGAACTATGTCCTGCTGTATTGTACCAATTGACTAAAAAACCGTGTCACGCTAAAGAGACAGAAGTTGTAGAAAAAGAGGAAGATACTGGGAAAGAAAATCCTACCAGAGGTATGCTTTTTAGGGTTTTATATCACCTTGATAGTCTAACATTTAGACATATTTGTATTAATGCATCAGCTTGTCAATTGTGACAGTATCTGTTGCACTATGTTGATTGCAACATGATCTGTTGCTGAGAGAGGACATGCTTTGATTCATGCCGTATTGATTGGGTGAAACAAAAACCTTCTTTACCCACTTTGTTATATAATTACAGTGTGTGTCAGAGTGATTTTTTACATTATTCTCTATTTTTATCTAGCATGGGGATTCGGATTTCTTTTTGTGACAATTATCAGTTTTGGCTCTTTAATTGGAGCATTTGTTGTCCCTATGATGGGCAAACCCTTTTATAAAAAGACATTGATGTGTATGGTGTCATTGGCTGTTGGTGTTTTGGGTGGTAGTGGTATCTTCCATCTCATACCAAGTGTAAGACTGTAAAACATGAATTTTTTTAACTTCTCGTGCCTGGATGTCACATTTCCTCTGTGTAACTTTTTCAGGCGTTGGGCTTTCCTTTTGATGACAATGACAACAGTTATCTGTGGAAATGTGCCATGATATTTGCTGGATTATACTTGTTTCTTATCCTTGAGTGTTCAATGAAACTTTTCATCAGATTTAAAGACATAAGAAAGATGAAGGTGAATAGTGATACTAACATTTTGCTTGTTAGCTTACAATCACAAGTTCTAAACAGGTTTATAGCAGGGATCCAATAAACACTACTGCTTATTAAATAATTGTTCCCAAATATATAAGTTATGTAAAACTATAATTTTTATTTTAGCATGCTGCATCAGAGATTGAGACTGTACCCAGTGATGAAAAGCCTGCTTTAAATGATAGTGAATTGCATTCCATTGGTATAAACAGTGGTCTAAATGGGCATGGACATAGTCACCACAATGGTGGGCCTATATTTCCTACTGTTGAGATAAAAAGACAATCCACTGTCCTAATGAACGAAAGCAGCCAAACTGAGCTGGCCAATGTTTCAACAGAGGAGATAAAAAACTCTGGGAAAACTGAGAAACCAGCAATAGCAACTGTTGCATGGATGATAATTATTGGAGATGGACTACATAATTTTATTGATGGACTCGCAATTGGGGCATCTTTTAGTGGTTCTGTTGTGATTGGTATTAGCACTTCCCTTGCTGTTATTTGTGAAGAACTGCCGCATGAATTGGGTAAGTCTATACACGTTCTCTTTATCAACGGCCTTCAGATTAGTTTATGTTGTTGTTTACATGGGCCCACTTATATTGTCATACAGTAATCATTGCCCTTTGAAATAGCCCTGGTCAACATGCAAAAACTATTTATAAGATCAAATAAACCTTGCAGTCTGAGGGTTGCCAAATCACCTTAATAAATTTGCTATGAACTATGCTATTTTAGATTCCAAGACTGCATATTTCTTGTCCATTAACTTCATTTTATTTTTTCTAGGTGATTTTGCAATTTTACTGAAATCTGGTCTAAACTATAAGCAAGCTATGTTAGCAAACTTTTTATCAGCTTGTCTTTGTTATGTTGGCCTGGTGATTGGTCTTGTATTGGGATATGCTACTCATGCTGTGAAATATATTTATGGTATTGCAGGAGGCATGTTTATATACATCTCTTTAGTTGATATGGTAAGTCTATGTTCATCTTCCAATTTTGCCAGTTCATCACCACCACATTGACAATACCAGCCTAAGTTAAAACAATTGATCATTATTTCTTCATCTAGTTGCCAGAAGCTCTCGAAATGGCACATGCATTGAGTGGAAATTCCAAATCTAAGTCAATCAAGATGTTGTTAATTGTAAATTTTGCCATAACTTTAGGATTCTGTGTCATGCTTATTATTGCCTTGTATGGAACTTCAATTGAGCTATAGGCAATTGTTGTTTGGCTAATTTTTGCCAATCAAACTGATGAAAAACTAGGGGTGTACCCAACCCATACATATTAGGCCGTCATTACCGTCAGTTTGATGGTAGATGAAACTTGTTTTTTGGTGGAATTTCGAACTTCTGTACTTGTGATGAGGAAAGGTTGAAAATAGTTTCAGCTTGAAAATCAAAGGCCCTTCTTGATATACATGTTTTAAAATTCTACTGTCAGGCATTCTGTGATGCTAATACTGTAGGTATGTGTATTGTTCTGTGTAAATATTTTATACTGCACTAAGATGTTTATAATTATTATAATTTGTGCAGTTTTTCTACATTCAAGGTGGAAAGTTTGTGGATTTGAAATGATTTTGGTGTTACAGACTGGTCAAGTTAAAATTCTAACAACTTTTTTAATTCTGACATTCATAAAGTGTACTAATATTTGAAATAAATTTGAATGGAGATTAAACATCAACCAAATAAACTGGAAAGCTGTTTATAGATTGCAATGATCAAATCAATGGATGCCACTCCGCGCAGTCCACGAAGTCCCACGCATTGCTCCAGCAAGTGTTTCTCGTCGAATAGTATAGAAAAATAGGTACGCAATGCGTACATGTGGGTAGGTGAGGTGTCCTGTCGGCATGAAAGCCGCGCAGCGATTTACTTCCGAAATTCGACAGGGAACATTATTTCAAATTTCATTTTGTTTACTTTTATTAATTTTGGTCAAAAATTAAATCTTATTTGTTGTTTTTTATCTTAGTTTGTGCATTAGTATCTTTTCCATAAAAAAATCTGATAATAGCCGTCAGCCACCATAGACTTGCTCTCGGCCAGACCGTGTCGCCAAAAAGACGGCGGATTTTGAGCTTTGCTCACGCCAAATGGTTTCTTCAGTAAGCTCCACATATATCCAACAATATTTGAAATTTTGTCGTTTTGTATGTGGCATCTAGAAGAGTAAGTGGAGCCGCCTCTTATTCTCGGTCTGATTCACGAATAACAGTCCGTTTTTCGTATTCGGTAAAACTGCGTTGCATCATCATCGTCATTTTTATCGTTGTCAATATCCTCATTATTTTCTTCGACGGAAGACGACTCTTTTGAATATTTGACGAGCGTACGGAAGAAAAACATCCCATCAGGGCATTTCAATTGCAAGCACTCGATCTTTTGAAGATTTTCGTGATCGAATTTTGAAAATCTTTCTATGACGACTGCCTTGTAAATATGGCTGCGTACGGTCGTTTTGGAAGGATAAAATCTCTAATTGGATTTAGGAGGCGCCTTTGTCCCTTTTTAGAGCTCTTGTTCAACGTCGACCTTAAGATGCCTCCTCACTTCCTTAACCGAGCGAGTCCCAGCAATGACCAATTCTTGGATCTTGGTGACAAGCGTCTTATCGACTCCTTGATGAAGTCCACCAGCCTATTATAAAACAGTACGAAACACAATATAAGCTTGTATTGTACATAGATTTAAAGATTTTTAGCTCCCAGAAAGACAAGGTAACTGAATATGGACTCAACGTTCTCCACTGCCACCTTCTTTTATATAATCTCAGTTTTTTTGACATCGTCTTTTGTCGCCATACCGTTTTCTCCGCGACCTAAAAGGCGTAAAGATTTTGATAAGCAACTCTCTTAATTTAGGTCCAGTGATTAAAGGATAACGACATGGGGGGATTGTATTACACATTGAATATTTGAACAAAGCCATCCTTACTTTGATGAAATGGACACAAGTAAAATTCCTAAAGTAATTTTAATTAATTATAAATAATTAATTATAATTAAAATCATGGTGCAAGATTGATCATGCGTGGCTTCGCGTTCCATGCGACAGATCGCGATTAAACTTCGGCAGTCGGAAAATTATCGGAAGTCACCTACTTTTGCTAAGCAGTGTTGATGGATGTTCGAGTGCGCATCACTGGTGCGCACCCCATGGCCCCACCACCAATAGCTCCTTCAATTTCCGCCATCTTTGGCTTCACCTTTAGCTCTGTGCCTTTAGCAACCAAGTGCAACCACAATTTACTGCTCCATATATATATAGAGCTCACTGGTTTGGTCGCTCATTTTTTAAAATTAATTTTTGTCATTTAAAGCCGAAATATGTTTATATATTTCGTCTTACTGCAGTGTTTTTGCGTAGCAATTTTGTCTGCACAAGCACAGGTGATTCACGTAGAAATCGAAAAGACTGACCACAAGATTGTCGTTCGAAGCACGCCATTGCTAGATCCAGCTGAAGAAATTTTAGAAGCATTTGGCAATGACAACAAAATGAATCTTACGGACATGGAGGCTTTGTTTAGAAGTGTTCGTTTGGCTGTTTTGAATGACAGACTTTCACAGGGGAAAGGTTCAAATGATCCCCAGGTAAAATTTCAAATTGTCGGATGAAGTATATAATGAACCTCGAGATATTAATTGTTGCGTTACGCCGTTACCGCAGCGAACTGAGCGAGGCGCGGAGTTCGAAAATTGTGGTGATGACTGTGTTTTCAATATATATTTTATTCCTTTTGGTGCTGGTTATTCAGAAGGCGCGGCGGATCCAGCCTCAATAAAATCTTAGCATTTTATAAGCTGCGTTAATCACCACGAGAAAATATTCGCGAACAGGTCATGCAAATTTTAACAATAGGTGACTTCAATACTTTGGAGGTTTTTGGGGGACACCCTTAGTCACCTTAGTTTAGTTTGGTGTTCCAGAGGGTGTTCGTAGCGTTTTTTTGGTCGAGAGCAGTTGAACTCAAATAAGACTGGAACGCTCACCGAGTTATACTATAATTCCTCAGTACAGTCAGTGAGTACAATATATAGCTCAGTCACAGATTTTTATACACAGATGTCTCTCTTCTGATCTGATTAAAAAAGCAAGTGACTAGAGACATTCCGCATTCGCCCCCCCGAAATTACAAAATTGAGCCGAACTCAGTGCTTCCACTTTCAAATTTGAAATTTCCATTTAGTTAAGCTGAAATTTCCATAAATTTAACAAAAATTCCATATACAAGATGTTTAAATTTCCATAAAATTTCGACGAAAACTAAATCAAGAAAACACAGTATTTAAAGCATTAAAATTGTTTTCTTTCAGTTTATAATATCAGATTATCAATATCAATAGTATTCTAATCAACTTTTCAACTATCAAGATTCAAGAACAAGTTGCTTATGCTCAACATGCTTCAATCCAATCTTTAAATTTTCCTTCTTTAAAGAAGGAAAATTTATCCAACTATCTATCCAATTTAGCCAACTATCGCAAAACTAACTTCTTCTCGTATTTTTTTTAACATTTTGTGTAATCCTCTGGGATTCTTTATCACTGGAATGATCATCGCTTGACTGCCGATCAGCTTCGTACATAAAGCTATTTATGTAAATCCACCTTTGACTACAGACTACAGACTCACAAGTTACAAAACATAATGGCTTAACGCTTGATCTTATTTTGGCAATCCCCAAAAGTCCCTTTATGTCCTTAGAAATATTGAATTTTAAACACTAAGCTCTATGAGTTTAAGTCAGTTTAAATGGGGAAAGAAAATATTGAAATTTCCATAGAATTTCCATAGGTTTTTCATTTCCATGAAAAATTCCTTTTCATTCGGCAAAATAATAAAATTTCCATGAAATATGGAAATTTCCATCAAAGTGGAAACCCTGGCCGAACTAACCGAACTATTTTATACATGGAAATAAACTCCTCTCATTTGCTAAAGAAAGGGACTGTGTGGTTAGTTTGTGTCTGAATCCATCATCATTTATACGCGTTTTGGAAAAGTGAGTTAAGACTACCTCGTTTTCAAACTTGTACGAGTGTTATATCTTTTTTCGATTGTCGTAGGAGCGGAAAATTATAAGCAGTAGAAATCCCTGTTCGACGGTATATTTTCAAACATATTTCATTTAAAACGTGTGTGAATATCTTTACATTGAATGGCATTTCCTGTACAAATCAATCAATGTACATATATTCCGCTTCATTTGAACACATCGTGCAGTTTTTCACTCCAATTCAGTTATGAAAGGCTATTATATTATATTCTATTATATTATATTTTTCAAAATGTTTACTTTGTACGAAGTTTCTATTGTTTATATTTTAGTAAGGAAAAGTAAATTGCACTTTCCTGGTCCCTTGTTCCTGGTTCCTTGATTCCTTGTTCCAAATTGTTATTGTTCCATCAAAAAACATTTGTACTATGTGATGATTGGGCGAGGCCTTGGGAAATGGGAATATATCATCCTTAGGGAATACTCAGCACGGACAATCATATCAATCAATGAGCAATCATACTATGAAAAATATTGAGGTCATAAAAATTAGATAAGGTTGAAGGTCAATTTTAATTGCCATCTGCTTAGGTGTGTTATACAAGTCAACATTTCTATGGTGTGTACTCACAGAATGATGGTACCATCAACAGGACAGACTTATTGGAACTATGTCCTGCTGTATTGTACCAATTGACTAAAAAGCAGTGTCATGCCAAAGAGACAGAAGTTGTAGAAAAAGAGGAGGATACTGGGAAAGAAAATCCTACCAGAGGTACTTTTGGGTGTTTTATACTCTTGTATACTTATTAAATGCACCAGCTTGTGCATTGAAACACCGTCAATTGCAACATAAAGAAAAGAACATGCTTTGATTCATCCCATATTAATTGGATGAAACACAGCTGTCACTTAATTTACCTACTTTATTATATGATTACAGTCACATGTGTACCAGAATGATCTTTTACATTACCAGTTTTCTTTATGTTTATGCAGCATGGGGATTCGGTTTTCTTTTTGTGACAATCATAAGTTTTGGCTCTTTAATTGGAGCAATTGTTATACCTATGATGGGGAAACCTTTTTATAAAAAGACATTGATGTTTATGGTGTCATTGGCTGTTGGTGTTTTGGGTGGTAGTGGTTTCTTTCATCTCATACCAAAGGCAAGCATAATGACACTTGCTGTCAAACATAAATTTGTTTCATTTCTCATGCCTGGATAATATATGTATCTCATTAGGCTTACATTAACACATTTTCTCTGTGAAATTTTTTCAGGCATTGGGTTTTCCTTTTTATAAAAACGACAAAAGTCATCTGTGGAAATGTGCTATGATATTTGTTGGGTTATACTTGTTTCTTATCCTTGAATGTTCAATGAAACTGTTTATCAAATTTAAAGACATAAGAAAGATGAAGGTGAATAGTGATACTAACTTTTTGCTTGATAGCTTACAATCACAAGTTCTAAATAGGTTATAGGAGAGATCCGGCCAATAAACACCAGTGCTTATTAATTAATTGTTCCTGAATATATAAGGTATGTAAAATTACAATTGATTTTTATTCTAGCATGTTGCATCAGGGGTTGAGGCTGTACCCAGTGATGAAAAGCCTGCTTTAAATGATAGTGAATTGCATTCAATTGGTATAAGCAGTGGTCTAAATCGACACGGGCAAGGCCACCACTATGGTACCCCCATATTTCCTACTGTTGAAGGAATGAAGGAAAGCAGCCAAAGTCAAGCAGCTCATGTTTTGATAGAGGAGACAAATAACTCTGAAAAAACTGGGAAACCAGCAATAGCAACTGTTGCATGGATGATAATTATTGGAGATGGACTACATAATTTCATGGATGGCCTTGCAATTGGGGCATCTTTCAGTGGTTCAGTTGTGACTGGTATAAGCACTTCCCTTGCTGTTATTTGCGAAGAACTGCCACATGAATTGGGTAAGTCTATCTCTTTATCAATGGTCTTCAGATTAGTTTATGTTGTTGTTTAAATAGGCTCAATTAAATTGTCATTAAGTAAACATTAGCCTTTGGACTATAGCTCTAGTCACCAAAAATGACCTTAAAAAATTGCTATGAACAATGCTATCCTAGGTTCCAAACTTTGCCTTTCTTGTCTATGAACTCATTTTACTTTTTCCAGGTGATTTTGCAATTTTACTGAATTCTGGTCTGAGCTACAAGAAAGCCATGTTAGCAAACTTCTTATCAGCTTGTCTCTGTTACATCGGCCTGGTGATGGGACTTGTATTGGGATATGCTACTCATGCTGTGAAATATATTTTTGGTATTGCTGGAGGCATGTTTATATACATTTCTTTAGTTGATATGGTAAGTGTGGTGTGTGCTAGCTATATTAGCTATTTTAAATTTAGCTTCCAATTTTGCCAACTGGTTCATCGCCACCCCACCAACTATACCAACCGAAGTAAAAACAATTCATAAATATTTTTTTCATCTAGTTGCCAGAGGCTCTCAATATGGCACATGCATTAAGTGGAAACTCCAAATCCAAGTCAGTCAAGATGCTTTTAGTTGTAAATTTTGCCTTAATCATAGGATTTTTTGTCATGTTTATACTTGCCTTGTATGGATCTTATATTAAGCTATAATTATGCAGCTTTTGTACCTTTAAAAACCACTTTTTTAATTCTGATACATAACTGGAAAGCTGTTTGTAGACTGTAACCAATGGTTATTTTCCATTTAATGTAAACAAATGGTCACCATAATATTGGGAAGAGAGGTCTCTTTTACTGCCTGTAGCTTTAATTGAGGTTTGGCTTTTTGATTGCTTTGGCTGGCCTTTCTGTTGACTTGTGGCATCACTGGCATGTGATGATGATGATCTGAAAACAAAATATTTAGTCACAAAGAGTTGCAAGTGAATGCATGGTTTAATTGATACAATTTCACATGCTTCAAGTTAAGAGATTATTAAAAGAACAATTTATCTGAATTCCTATTCCATCTCTTACACATCTTACAGAGCTTTAATTTAGAAGAAGACAAATGCAAAGACCACCTTGTTTTTACAGGTGTTTTGAATATAACTCTTTCTTCGAGCTTAATGTTCTTTTCAACTTCAGAAGGCTGATGCTTCAAGTCATATTCTGCTTGTGCTTTTTGCTTCACACAATATGGACACTTTATTTCACTGTTGACTAAAAATAAAGTCAAGGATACAGGTTACCATAAAACAGTTGGCTTGTTAAAAGAGAGGAATAAAGTTTGCAGTTGCTATTGTTATATAATGAGGAATGGAGTTAGCAGTTGTTTTGGAGTGAAATTTGGAAGAAAAAAATGCCATGGTGAATATGAATACTGTCTCCATGTCATTACCTGCTTTTTGGTAAGCCTGTGTGTGACCATGTTTTCTGGACAACATATCTGGTGTGTCACCCTGATGGTTTGTTACTGTGGTATCAGTACCATGATTTATCAGACAGTTCATTGCTGCCATATGTCCTGGTGCTGCACAATGGGCTGGAGTGTTGCCCATACCTAAAAATATTAATAACACACTATATTAATAATTAACTGCAATAGCTTTAATGAAATTTAACTGTCCAAATATGGTTGGTTGCCTAGCACTTCACAGTTCCTAATCATGTTGGCAAGTGTTGTGAGGACTAAAGTCAACCTCACCATCAACAGAACTTGAGTTTGCTCCTTGTTCTAGTAACCAGTGTAGACATTCTGATGATCCTCTTTGAGCAGCCTGAAACATAAAGTGACCATGCATGTTGATATATAATGATATAAATTGTTAGACAAGGTAGGTTTGGTCTTGATTTGTTGGTTAATGTATACCAAACACATGATTTCACAGCAATTATGCATTGATATAACATTCATTATTGGAATCATTTGATATTCTTACATAATGAGCACTTGTCTTTCCAAAGCTATCCTTCCAATCAATTGTAATCCCAACTTTTGTGAGAAATTGCAAGCACTCCAAGTGGCCTCCAGCAGCAGCATGGTGTGCAGTTGTTGCACCATTATTATCAGTTGCTTTCAAGTCAACTTTAAATTTCCTAAAAACTTTCAGGCAATTTATGCTGCCATAGATTGCTGCATAGTGAACTGAGGTCCTGCTTTGCTTGTCTGCTTTTAGAATGTCCATTTTGTCTGTCTCCAGTAAACATCTAAAGTAGATAATAACAGAGTGATAAAATATAGCCTGCGTAGCAGGCCCTCTGTTGTTGTTATAAGCAAGCTTCTTGTGTCGGGCAGCGCGTGCCTGTGCGATAGGGGATATAAAATATTGACTATCTAACAAACAACTAGTCAGGACTTATTTTCTGATATTGAGTATATATGATTACACCTGTATGTCATACAGGTGTTGGGAATAATATTTACTTACTGTAGTGTTTCAAAATGTTTTTTTTTCACAGCAAGATGAGCTGGTGTGCACATTTCAGCATCTTGAAAGTTTATATCACAACCATTATCAATAAGTACTTTCAAACACTTTGTTTCACCATGATAGGCTGCACTGTGTGCTGCCGTCTGTCCATGGGAGTCTTGGTGATCAATGTCTTTAGTATATTTCACTAACTGCAATAATGTCTCTACATGACCACCCATGCATGCTTCATGCAGCGCAGTTCGCTGAACACTACTAGCCTTGTCCGGCTCAGCACCAGCCTAGATATTAAGAAAAATCATGTGGAGATTTATCTTCCAGCAGTGGTTCCAATTTAAACCAGACACCCTCAGCAATGATGTTGAAGCAATTCAACCAACCTTTAATAATAATCTAACTACATCAGTATGACCATAGGATGATGCTTTATGCAAGGCTGTCCTCAAAGCCCTATGACCTGCAATTAATGCATTCAAATCTGCTCTTCCTTCGCTAAGAATATCCCTAACTTCCGATACATCCCCACTCTGACATGCTTCATGCAAAGCCAGGGTACATTGATCATGTTTTTCTTCATTTTGGTTAGTATAACCACTTCGCCAAATCTCCCCTATATCCTCTGAAATTCCACTATTAATTAGTTCGTCTGATATTGATAGCTTCTGTAGATCTGCTAATCCAGCCATTTATTATTAATAGGTTTAAACACCACGGTGCCGAATCAATTTGATTTTGATTTAAATGCCATTCGACATAATAATAATAATTGTTACTTTTATATTGTTTTTTTGTACATTGTATTTAAATCTTCGTAACTTAGCAACGCTTACGCCACCATATTAACCGGAAATCAAAGTTGCTTCACTTCCAACCGTTTTCTTTTGCACTGTATACAAAACATGCTAAATTCTCGTCAATTTTAGTAATAAAATGTACTTAAAGGGGACAATTTCATGCACACGAGTTTTCGTATTTAAAAATAACCACTGATAAAGTGATAATAACTATCAAACCTGATCTCTCGCGTATGGCGTACCTGGATTGAGAACGTAACTGTCAAGTTGATCTCTGTGGGAAACACTGGATGAGGGCTCACAACGTCGTTTTTATCGCGACAAGGATTGCCGTATTTTGACGTGGCAAAGAATCAAAACAAAAAACATGGCTACGAATAACGAAGCACTGCCTCCCACTGGCAATGGTTTCGACGAATGGCAAAGTATCGATGAAAGAAACGGCTCTGATAAGAGCTCAAATAGTGGCAGTCAGAATTCATCCAGTTGGTATTTGGTTCAGGTTAGTTTTAGCCTGTCAAGCGATGTTATTTTTTTATCAATTTCTTATATGTATTTATACTAGAAAGGGGATTTAAATATATTAAATGTATAAATTAGCACTTACTATGAAATTATATATGTTGATGCAGTTTAATTGTTCAATTTTGATTTGTATACAAATGATTTATTATTTGTGAATAAAACATGGCATGGCAGTGTTTATGAAGGATTACATTTTGGGCACTAAAACCCTGAAATACGTGTCAAATATAATAATCATTAGTCAATGCGTGTTCTAAGGATTCCTCTTCAGTGGTGGATATGGGTGATACTGATGAGCTGCAGTCTGAAACAGTTATCGACATTGAAAGGTAATGATTTGCAGCTTTGTGTCATAATTGTGTTGTTGGTTGCATTCTCTTAGTAGATTAATATCTAATTGTTACATTGATGTATGCCTGATTATAAGTATTTGTTGTATCAAGCCATCAATGTAAATCAATTTATCTATCAATCACAAACAATTTCCATAAAAATATTAACACAGTAACACCATCCCTTTATGAAATTCTTAGCTCTGATGAGCAAGCAAGACCACAGTCATCAATGTCTGAAAATGAATTTATTAACCGAATGAGGGACCATATGGCGGAGGAAGTTGGTGGATATGTATGTCTCCCGTCATCATGATTACTACAAATTATATATTGATCAGACTGTATTTCAGCTGATCTGTTTGTAACTTTTATTTCAAATGTTTACATTTCCGTTAGTTATAGTGGTGTAGTTATATTCTTGTATTTACTTCTCTATATATACAGGTCTGGAATGCTAGTAAACAGACAGCCAAACGAGCTTTTGATCTCTACGCAAATATTGACATTCTACGTCCTTATTTTCATGTTGAACCTCATGAAGTAAGAGAAAGGTATGCTAAAGAAATAACTTTTCTTTCATCATCCAGTTAATCATCTTTCAAATTCGGAACTTTTAGTTTCTGAACATTTATTCGCATTCTCTAGGTTAATTGCATCAATGATGCCACAAGTTCCCAAACAGACATCTCCTGTAGTAAGATACACTTTTACATTCATATAATGATTTTTAACATTTTTTTCATCTAATGATAGTCCACACCTACTTCACCTGATTAGGCTGTCTATTAAAAAAACACTTGTATAATATGGTGCTGTGATTTTTATAAGTAATATATCTTTCAAGCTATAATTTATGTATATATAATTTCCCTCTTGTCCAGACTGTAAATGGTGAGCTTTATGGTCCATTGATGTTGGTTTTTACTCTGATTGCTATTCTTCTGTTTTCAATGAAATCATCTGGCCACACAGTGGTGAGTTTAAATCTTGGAACAATGATCTTTTCTATAATTTAATTTGCTTGAATATATTTTCAAATTTCACTACTAGGATTTTCTATACACTGCTTACATCCTTTAAAATTTCAGCAAGAGGGAACTTTGATTGGAACAGCGTTTATTGCTTGTTTTGGCTACTGGCTTGGTGCTTCATGTATTTTTAAGATTGTCGCTCACGTTTGCAACACACATCTTACTTCATTACAGATTCTCTCGCTTACGGTATGGTTGCTATTTATTGGTTCTGACTGACCTTTTTTAAATTTTAATTTATTGTTTCTAACTGACCCTTACATTTTAAATCCCGTAAATACTCACTTTCAGGGTTATGCACTATCTGGACCATGTATCTGTTTATTTATCACAACATTTATCCAGCATGATACACATATTTCCTTCTATCTTTTGTGGGTAATCTTTGGTGGTTTGCCTTCTCTAAGAATGGTAAGTAAAAATATGCTTTTGATAAAAAAAGTCATGAACTTAGCCTATTAACTGCATCCTAATGATTATTAGTTATGAAGAGATAACATGATTTGATCCGTAGGTGAGTGTATTTGTCAGCAGAACATGGCAGAAGAAACAGGGCCTGATTGCTGGTGGCATTGTGGCTGCAATTCACATGTTATTTTTACTCTATCTCCATTTTGCTTTTCATGAAGTGAATGCAGGTATGCTATGTCAACTATACTCAAAGTTCCATTCAAAAACAATAGGCAAACTGAGTCCCCAGTAAATATAAAGATTTTCAAGGGATTTGTGTAAACTGTGTTTGAGTATTCCATTCTGTTGTACTGTGGACACTTATAGGTGCAAAGAATGGAATGTCTTGGTGAGTTAATAAGGATTTTTATTTGGCTTCCTATAGTTTTGTCATTTGAACAAGATCAAATAATAATTGGACATAAATATACAACTCAAGTTATTGTCGGTGAAAACTTTCTGCCCGTTGAAGGAGGGAGGCCCCATCTTAGAGTGGCTAGGAGTCTCAACTCAAGTAAGATACTAGGAGGAGCAATCAGAGAACTTCTGTATAATATTTTCACTGCTTTCTCCCACCTTGTGTAATATTTTAATTGTGTAAGCGGAGGTTGTTTTTCATGGAGCAATATTGTGTTTGCTCATACTGTCGACATGACAAAATTCACAGAAATATTCCCACAGTTACAATTTTCTGTAAATCGTACATTCATATGTCTGTTGCAAAAAAATTGTAATATAGCCTTCACCTATGTTTTATCTGTTATATATATATTAAATTTGTCTAATTTGCAGGTCTTCCTAATTCAATGGCATCTTAACAATGATCAGCTTAATTTCATATTAACTGGGAATGAGGTCGTAATGATGGATACGCTTCCTTGAGTTGGGATTTTTATTATGCAAATATGACTGAAAGATGAAAAGTATATTTAAAAATTCGAGCTCTAACAAATGGCAACGCAGCTTCAGCCTTCTTAGAAAGATGGGATCTTAGAAGGATGAGATAACAGCTGACAATTTCTACCAGCCAAGATTCAGTAATGTTATGGTCATGCAGGTTTGCAAAATATCTTGTGCCCATTGGACAAATTTGAAGAGGTCTTCACAAGCCTAAATAAATATTCTGTATAATATGTGACTAATATTAAATTGAGCCTCAGTATAAAATAGTTTAGTCATTTAAAAGATTTTAGAGGAAATAGTAAGAATGAGTTAGACATTCATGAAATTATCAAGCAGGGAGGGAAGGGAGAGTTTTTAGATATGAAAGAATACAATATGAATATACTGGGTGGTTTATGGATAAATTGTAAATGGATAAACTGCATGAATGTTTGATTATTATAATGCCAGCCCATGGTCAGTGGTGTACAATATGACAGCAAAAAGTTGAAGGTATACATAGCAAAGAGACAACAGTACATATTCATTGTTTTGTGAAAGGTTAAAATATTCTTTTTGAACTATTAAATTTTGGCTCAAGTTCTGTACATGCTGCTCCAACTTTCAATCATACACATACGGGTCGGTGTTTGCACCCCGGAGCAGAAAGCCCAGGGGAACAAAAACCCCGTCTATTCGACAGGAATATTCTCCCGCGGTTCACACATCACACCGGAAGTAATTGCGCAGTGGAAACGAGGTTTGGCGCCAAATTCGAGACAATGAGTTGACAGAATATTTTGAAGAAAAACAAACAAGGATCTGGTATTCGCTTCCTTTAAAATTTAAACAGAATTTCGACTATTTGAAACTGGAAACTTATTAAAAAGATGAGTGAGAGTCTAAAGAGTCCTATACCAACACCGGTGTTCATGAATGAAGGAGTTTTTAGCCACAAAAGCGCGAAAATTCGCAGTCGTCTGGACGAGTTTCACGAGCCACCTCGACCACCTGTTAAATCTGCACCGCCAGTTAGCCGGATTTTTAAACACACGCGAAAATATTCTGAAGGGCCACAACGAGTAAGCTTTGGGGGAAAGCAAGACAGTATCCTTTTGTGAATATTTGAAGATTTTTGAGTTTATTTTCAAGATGAAATGTGATCAAGTAGTAGTCACAATTTTGTTACATTTACTATTAATATTTTTCTACAAAGTTAATATATTGGCCGAAATAATATGGTTTAGCTTCTGATATGCCAAAGGGTGTATGTGTGTGTAGTGTATGTATATATTATTAGCTTGGAAAATATCCTTGTGCGGATATTTTTCAGCAATAATACTATTTACTTTAAGATAAAAATCATAAACGTCTTTTGTAATACCATTATAGTCTTTATAGATGGGACTAGGATATAAACAATATATCCCTTATGTACTTATAAAGTCCAGTGAAGCAATGTTCAAAATGACAATGAACTGAAGAGTTATTTTGGTCTTTGGTTCCTTGACGTTATTGTAGCTTTACAGAGTCCTTTTTACAATTCAACCTCTCATGTTCCATATTTTGAACAGGTATGTGTCAGTGACTGGTCTGTGTAATAAAGCCAGGCATTAAATATTTCAATGATTTACCAAGCCATTCTGTATACATGTTGTATTAAGCTATTATTTTACGTAATCTTCAATCAATGCAGTGCTTCAAAATTGTTGGTAAACTTGGTCAAGGATCATTTGGAGAAGTAAGTTGGATTCCTGAAAATGAACTTTTTATATTTTATTTGGACCACTTAACCTGTGCATATCCAATACCCAGGTATTTAAAGTTGAAAGTAAAGAGGATGGATGTTTGTATGCCGTGAAGAAATCAAGAGTTAGGTTCCGAGGAGAGTTTGACAGGTACTTGTTTGACTGCAATATATGCTAGCTGCATTTACTTTGATCAACCTTGGGGGCGAATATGGACAAAACATGTCCCATCAAAGTCACCACACAGCTACACTATAGGACGTTCAGTTTCTATAATAAATTGAATGCTTTCAGACAACAAAGACTGGATGAAGTAAAGAGACATGAGAGATTACGACAGCATTCTAATTGTGTGAAGTTGATAAAGGCCTGGGAAGAGAGGTACCAATTTTTATTTACAAAATTAAAGCAAATTACATTACACTATTACATGTTAAGTGTTAGCCTAAAAACATTTTTTATCTTTTCAGACAGCAACTCTATATTCAAACAGAACTTTGTAACATGAAGTGAGAAATTAGATTTTCTAATTGTTACATTGAGATTATCATAGAAAATAATCCATATAAAGCTTAAGTAATGTTGAACCACTCAAATCACAATTATTATGTTTCAGTTTAACAGATTTTTGTGAAAATAATAATATAAATGAAAAAAATGTTTGGGATATCCTGGTTGACTTAACCCAGGTAAAGTGTGCCACATGTAACTTATTTTCCAATGTATGCATGACATACCACCTGTCTTATATATTTAGCACAGGTGTGCCTACTTATACATATTGTTTTTTCTCAGGGCCTGAAACATCTCCATGACAATAATATGATACATATGGATATAAAACCATCAAACGTTTTGATTGGCTTAGATGGACTGTATAAAATTGCTGACTTTGGTCTAGTACTTGACATTTCTGGGGTGAGTATGGTACGACCTGATTGCCCCAGTTCAAGTCTGAAGAATTTTTTCTCAAATGTGGAAGTAGTATTCTTTAGCTGTATTTCATGATTAATTACCCTGGGGGTGAGGATGTTCTAAATATGTGGGTAACAGCACCCGGCGACGGGCAGTTGCACGAATGCTATCCAGCGGTACCAGATAGTGATTTTTTCAACTGCTGTAAAATGTCTGAAAAGCAATTAAACTACAGGTTCACAGCTCACAGTTATCAAAGAGAATTCTCAACTTAGAAATGCTAAGGTTTAATTAAGTTCGTTTTTACCCTCAATAACGGGTAATTTTTGGAACGACTGAAAAAAACCACTGTCCGGTGGACATACATAGCTTTCCTACAACCCCCTAGTTATTGTATTGTTTTGGGAAGGGTGTAGTGGTTTATGGTTAGTAGACTTCCATCACTGTTTCAGTTGAGAAAGTACATGAAGTTGCAGTGATAACCTGAAGTTCCTCGCAATATTTTAGCGTCATTTTAACGAAGCGCAAGAGGGTGATCCTAAGTATCTCGCTCCTGAACTTCTGGAAGGAAGATTTTCTAAAGCAGCTGATATCTTCAGTCTGGGCATCAGTATCTTGGAGGTTGCTTGTGATTTGGATCTTCCTCGTGGTGGGGATACCTGGCAACAGTTGAGACACCAACAGATCCCCAACGCCTTCTTACAAGGTACACATATGCTGGTTTCATGTAAAGACTCTGTAAAGAATCTCTTCTCCAGAGCTCGAGTCGATCTTGGCGTTTTAGAAATTAGTAGCATCCCTCATTTTAAAGACAAAAACAGCCTCATCGAAACCATTTTTTTCCTGTTTAAATTTTCAGGTCTGTCGCCGGAACTATCATGCCTTATAAGAAGAATGATGAGCCCGTTATCTCAAAATAGGTTATTGTTACATTCTTTTGATTGCTGAATATCGATCGCTTCTCTATTGTGTAAACTGTCCAAAGTTTTCAAATAAAAGCCGATTGTAGAAAAAACTTTGTTCTCTTTGATAAAGACCAACTGTCGATGATATTCTTGCTGAACCGTGCGTAATGAAGGTACCAAATACATGATATAGAGAATCTGGGATGTATTTCTCAACTTTCTGAGCTGTTTCTATAAATGCACAGTATCTTCTTAGTTGTTGTTTAAGTTTTTTAAATAACTGATGAAACAAATCCCATGTCATGATCTCACTTTAGGCAAACAGTAGACGAAAACGCTTGAAGACATTCAATGCAGTGGTCAGTTTTAATAGTCCTATTTGTGGCTTTTCTATACTACAGGGTGTCCCAAAAAAAAAGCAACCACTTAAATATGCAGAACATTAATACAGCTCTAAAGCGCAATAGATAAGCACCTCTGGGAATTGAAAATGGCTCTTAATCCTTCATTTACAATGCTAAAAGTCATTTTAGCTGAACTATGGTGCAAACCCGAACAATATTATTCTTGCATATTTAAGTGGTTGCGTTTTTTTTGGGACACCCTGTATAAATCCTCCTTAATTCCCCAGAAACTTAATTTCCTTTTCTCTCGTAGTGTTCTGGCTTGAGAAGAATGATTTATCCACTCACCTTTATAATATTCTGGATTCTGCAAATTTTTGTAATAAAGCCTTTCAAACTGCTTTGTAGTAAGTTTCCGTCATTTTTCACATAACGACCTATTTATACGTTATTTCATTGTTTTAAAGCTCTAGGCAGTCACATATTTTTTTGTCGTGACGCTGTGTTCGAATCGTGAGTATTGTCATTGATGAATATTTTTTGCATTTTATTTATAGATTCCAATAAATTTCGCGTATCCAGCACAACAGAACTGCTAAATGAAAACATGTTCGATTCTAGTCTCTCCTCAGAAGGTATTAAATTTATAAAGTAATATACTACCTTTTTGTTTCAGCTGGTTGTGCAAAGCCCGTTTAGCTCTGCTAGTTTAAACGGTCTTTGAACGGTGTTTGAACTCGGAGTTTGCGATTTTTAATCATTTAGATAGTGTGTTTGGAATGACGTCTTTCTCCAGTTCTGTTGATGAAACTTTTTGCCTGAAAAACAGTTTATCACCCAGGAGCATATCAAGATCCTACATACAGAGGTTGGTACATTATGTTTATCAGATCAGGTGCGATGCTCTTCATCGATGGATGCAAAAGAGTGAACAAATCTCTGTACACACAAGTCTAAGCATTCGTAACTGTTCCTCCTGTTTCATGTGTAAGCTGCCCTATATATCATTTCTTGATGACTAAAACTGACTAACCTGAAAACGTTTTAATTGATGATGTAACATAGCGATGATGGTTCTCAATCACCGAAAGGAAGCTCTCCGTTCCACACATGTTTGTCAAAACACTCCCCTTGGTTGGACAGGAAGAGCGGTGGAAGGTATGTATGTAAAAGATTGGCCAGTTTACATGGATAGAAAAATTTTGGGAAAAGAATCGTTCTTGTTTGAAAGAAAATATTTTAAACCATCTTCCAATGGTCTTGTAGAACGCTTTTGACACAAGCTGCATGCCAAAGAGAAGTATAAAGAACTGAACTGTTCTGTTTATTCTGTAGTGTAACACCACCTCTGGCTAACAGCAGTCCTCATCTCAACTATACCCCGCCCTCCGAGTCGACAAAAGGACCTGGTGGCATTGATTCTTTTCTCAAGACGCATATTGGACCTAAGAATCTACTCGAGGTAAACTAAACTGTTTATGATTTATTATAATAATACTATGGTATAGCTGGTTTCCCAAAGTAGCTAAATATTTTTCTATGCGCGACAATCAAACAAATATAGTTGCCATCATTGCAAAATATTTCACAAAATTCCCCATCGAAAGTTCATCTTTTTTGAACCAACGCTTTTACGCGAATATCCGGTCCAGCTAGTGTAAACATGTAATCTATGTAATATATTGTATGTAGTGGCTAATATGTACGGGAAAACGATTACCTTTATGAATAGCATGCATACTATATTGAAAAAAAAGTTAGTTTACTATACTGTGACTTCTAGACTTGGTACACACCATTATATAATAACACCGATATCATTAAGGTTAGCGTTGCCACCATCATCATCATCATCATCGCCATCATCAGTCTCACCAAGATCAACGTCATCATCGTCAAAATCATCATGCATGCACCTTTTTAACGTCGCCATCATTATCATCATCTTTGACATCAACCCAACCTTTGGCAACGAAAAACGGCATAATATTCATCACAATCGAGATTAAATTCTTAGCAATGAAAATTGCTGCCTCGCGCTTGTAGGACAGCCACATGATCATACGTAGGATAAAGAATGATAAATTCAAGCCGATTTGAAAAACCGTGTTTACTACGTGAGTTACCCCCCACATTTTCTTTCTTCTCTCTTCGTCGTCGTTCTGTGTATTGCTGTTTCCATTCGCTTCGTCATCTTTGCATCGAAATGCTAAATGCAGAAGCTCGAGGAATGAAAGGAAATAAAAAAGACAAACGCAAACCAAAATAGCTGTTTCAAGGCGTAACGGAACGTCAATTCCTTGTGTTCCATGTTCTAAGAGTTCTTCAAGCATTTCTATTCCATCGAAGAGATTCAAAGTCGCTCTGAAGTACAAAACCTTCAGGTCTTCGTCTTCAATTGGGTCTTCAGGTTCGACGTTCTGATTACCACCTGCAATTGTAATGCAATTCATTTATTGATGTACAATTTTGATATAGGTGCATTCTATGATTATTACCACTTACATTTAATGTATATAATAATGAAAACAGAAATACGAATTGGACAGAAACTGACATACTTTTCTTCATAAAAATTAGGCTACATGGGCACTATAAAAATCTTATTGAATATTATTGCTACATGGGCACTATAAAAATCTTATTGAATATTATTGCTACATGGGCACTATAAAAATCTTATTGAATATTGTAAGGAATTTGCATTGCATTACCATTAAACCCAATGAAATACCCTGGTAGGTAGACGGGATACATGCCCAGAGGAATAAGTTATTTGGAATTTCCACGATTATATATACCTGTTTGATCTTGGGATTGCGTCGTTTTATTGTCACGTTTCGGAGCTCTGGCAGATTTCAAGAGTAGAAGCATTAACACTGGAGTCGCGCACAAGGTTGTTTTTAGTATGTTCGGTCCAAAGAACTCGTCCGTTGGAAGTAAGCCGATCTTTCTACTCTTCCAACAGAACATCTTGCTAGTTTCATTGGATGCACAGATCTTTCCAGTCTTCAGAAGTAATTCCTTATCTTTCGTGCGACAAAATTTCACATCCTTGAAAATTTCTGAGAAATTGCCGTTTGCATCAGCGCATGGTTGTTCGTGATTAGCTTTTATCACGCCATTGAAAATTACGGCAACGGTCACCATTAGACCCAGACTATACACAAGCCAAACGCACCATAGCGCACTCTTCATATCCCATTGATAACCGTTTTCTTGAATCCATTTGAAGCGGTCGCGTATAGTTTTCTGAAACCGGAGATATATTGCCATGAAGGATGCGGTAATAAAACATACGAGGAATAGAAACACCCAACAGTAGTCGAGATATTTGCATGGATAGATGCAAAGAAACACGCCTTGTAGTATGCAAAGAACGAAAAAAAGCACAGAACTCATGTGCACGATTTTAGGCGCTCTCATCTTCTTCCAACGAGCAAATATTTGCGAACACATTTTCAATTTCTTGAAATAACGGGTAGATCAGACACGCAATTCCAATAGCCGTGACGCCAGGTCAAATTACTAATGAAATTCCAAACATTCCAAACCCATAGGTTTACGTTTACCAATGTAATGAATGACTTTCAAGCTATGTGTTATTAATGTGTACAGGGAGGCTTTTTGTACTAGGTTGTTCTCTTCCAAGTTATCGTTTTTATTTTGTATTAGTAATTTATTTAATATATAATAATATATTGCCTCGATCTTTGATGGTGTTTGAATCCTCTCTTTTTGCGTGAAATTGCTCGAAAACGTTTCATCCTGCCTCCTTGAGAAAATAATCCCCGATATGATATCTGCCAAATAGGATTTTTGAAATAGACCTGAACGCATAAATTTGTTTTTTCTCCAAGGTTTTCGAAGACGCTGCCAAAGACCAGAAGACAAAAGATTTATAGATCATTGAAGTAGGGTGTTATTGATCTAACCACGTATGGTAACGTGTAGCAAACCATTGTATCATTCGGCAAACCAAGTACTAAGTACACAATCATAGTGAAACACTAAATCCAAAGCCAAAATGTGAACAAATAGAAACAACAAACGTCCCCTCAAACAAGATGAGTTTTCTCCAACTAATGTGACGCAGTGTTGGAGAATTCAATATAGAAATACACAATAAACGAGAAAAAAAGATAGTTCTCAGATCCTAAAAAATGAACGCAATAACTAAGTATTGTGAGTTGTATGTACAATTGTATTTTGCTCCAAGATTATAGAAGTATACAATTGAAACTTGCCTGTTCTGAAGTTTTTTTGGTAGTGGCATATTGTAGAATACTATAGTGTATAGTATACTATCATTTTTCAATACTCCAGAAACATTCAATTGTTTTATTTAGTAGTACTACTACCTATGTACAACAACCATTGCAGGACTAATTTATTTACCAGCGTTACCTGGTTATACTAACAGAAACCAATGATGGACTATGTTCTGTTGAAGTAAAGGTTCTCATGCTAAACAAGTCTACATTTTCTACCATGCAACCATACTCTTGCCGAAAATTGAAGAACTGGACACTGGCTTTATACCACCAACAGAATGCTATGACTATAATAATATGCCAACATTGGTGGCTAGCTCCAATGAAGTTCAAACGACCTGAAATTTAAGGAGTGAAAAAGAGGTCAGTAGTGGAATAGAGTAATAATCTAAACTGTCAAGGGCTTTTGAAATCTGGTTTTATGGCCATTAAATTACCTGGGAAAACACATTCAGGAAACTTGAATGCATAGATTACAATAGCTAGGCCACCTAATATATACATAGTCACAACTTTAGGGAAAAATACCTAAAAATAGAAAAACCTAGTTTCTGTAGATGATCTTGTTAAGTTTGTATGATGGTGACAGAAGCAGGCAATGGTACTATGTACACTTTACCTGTACAATAATCTGTGTAAAACCACCATGTATGCAAATCCAGTGAAGTGATGGTATCATTCCAAACATTCCTATCACTCCAAAGGATGTTAACCTTTTATTGGCCCAGAGTGAAGTGAAATATTGCGGATGAAATTGAAGCAATAAAGCAACAAGGGACATTGCTCCCACTATGGTCATGTATATTGCTTGGAGATTCTATAGGATATAACTTCACATAAATACTTGTATAATTTTGTTGGCATTGAATATCAAAGGTATATATTGAATAAAATTAAGGAATTAAGTGATGTTATTTTTTAAAACCTACAGGTTGACAGTAGAAAGCATAATATACACTGGGTATATAACATCCACAGAGAGCTAATGATATCCCAGCTAGATCCAAAGATAGCCAAATATGATATATCTTCTCAGAATGACAGTTGAACATGTGGTAACCTGCTGAGCACAGCATACAAAACTACAAAAAAAAGTATATTTCTGAAATGACCCACAGTTAAGGCACTGAATGCCCTAAATGCTCATTGACCTGAACCTAACAGAACAATTGATGGCAAAGGTTTACCTGATAGAAGAGCAGGAAACATGTGAATACCGCATGATCAATATATCCTCCGTGGGAACTGGGGATTGTCACAGAATTGGAGTAAATGAAAAGAATGAAGAAAATGACGAAACCAAGAAGGTGAGTCCAAATATTCATTGTTTCATTGTTTAACTGAAATAAACTGTAAAAGTAAACAAATGAATTTTCTGGGAGTTCATTCTTAATTTCTCTTGAAGAGGGAAGATTGGTCTGATTAGCCTCGCTTCCATGTCTTGGAGTATAACCTTGCAACATATTATATAGGTATATGTATAAACACACAGTACTAACTACTAAACACTCACCTTGTCAAACATTTTCTAAAAGATAGATATGCTCGGTAGCCAGACGTAATGTAAGGATTTCCTCTCAAAAAATACGGCGTCTCCCCATAATCTAACAAAATTATATCTTTGGACTTTGTTTGTTTAAAAAACGGATCGTCGGTCCAGCCCTGTTCTATGTCCTTCATTTTAAAAGCTTTCTGATTGTCTGTACAATTTACTAATCATATGTATATATATATAGATACAGTTGTTTATTGTGACCATAAACTGTCAAATGCATTTATAATACGGTATATTTATAAACAACAGCGATATATAAAACAACGGTTACAGTGCATGTCCATTTGACGCGCTTGTCTTTTGCAAGATTCGTTAAAACTGTTTTGGCGAACTCAAAATTATTTCCCGAAGATCAAATGAAGTCCACACGGCAAATATTTTTCAAAAAAAATTACTTGAAAAATTTAAAACGAACACTTGATGAACTTTTGAAGTCTCAAATTTCACATCTCTCAAACGAAGAAAACTACCGGTCGGGTCTTTCCGATGCAATTAATATTAATGATTAATTATTAAATTTACTAACATTATGTCTGTGTTCTAATTACCGTTCTAATTATTATAAAAATTAATCCAGTTGCTGCAAATTTTAAAATTGTCTATATTTTGGATTTTTCTGGATGCAGACTCTTGCTCAGATTCATTTAAACGCAAGCCCGTTTCAGAAAATATAACAGTCCAAATTATAACTTATAAGAAAAGCGTTTGTTTACATTATACGATTGGACATAACCTTTTCAGTTATCAACCGCAAATTCAAATAAGTTATATTTTTGAATTTCTGCCAAATGATCTTAGATCTTTGAACAGTGATATCAGTTTCAAAGACAATGTGTTTCTTTACGATTTCAAGTAGTACTTAAAAACCTGTCATAATTTTGACATATTTATTAATAAAAAAGTGCTTCACCTTTCAATGTAGCATGTAGGGAAAATGCCCTTATGATATGGTTCGCAACTTTACATTTAATGGTCACTATTGTTGAATGAAAGTGACTTGGGTCCGCAGGAAATGTCTGACTACGCTCGGAAATCATCCAATATTGGCTCATTTTTATTGTCTATTTTATCATGTCGCATAAATTGCTACAGATATGAGGGGCATCCGGAAAATTGAAAATGAATACCGATATATTGAGGCTTTTAAAACGAAAAACCCCTTGATTACTGCATATAGTGTAGTAAAATAATACAATAAATTTTCATGTTGAACAAACAATTGGTCTTGGTTCAAAATATGAATTTTTGTATTGTTTTCGTCGCAATTAATAAGTTAAATTTTTCCATGTTTTAACAAATTGCTACAATAGTTAATACATAACCAAAATATATTTGGCCATATATGGTCAACCTCTCCTTATAGGGATTATACTTAAGGAAGTAATCAACATACAGGATCGTTTTAATATTTGAAGAGTAAATAATACGTATTTCAAAACGAAAAGAAACAGTTTTTAAGCTATGAACGAGGCGGAGTTTTCTCTCAGGGATTTGCCCCATCGATCCCTCAACGAATCGTTGAAGAGCAGTGTTTTTACTACGATAAAACAAATACGTACAGGTCAGTATTATTGCCCGAAAAGCCCAAACTAAAAACAAGGTGTATATAACTATATATCGATCAGACTGTTTTTGATAGTTTTATTAGCTTTGTACTTTATGCGATTGTTGAGCATTGCTAGTAGAGGTTTCAGCCTTGTATTATCGGAAAGTATCGCAGTAAATTGCTCAGACAGCATTTGCTGTATTAAATATTAATACACTAGCAGTCTAAGCTGAACATTTAATATTCAGCTAGTATATAGCAGATGATTTTTAGCCATTGAAATAATTGAACATGTGGTTGGCTGGCAGCGTATTTACATATTAGATACTAGCTGATCTTTCGCACACAGCAAAAAAGGTTTAAGTTTTAAAAGAAACAATATCGAAACCGAGGTTCCAATGTTTCAACTCACATATTTTATGAAGGGAGTCATGTGGATGTTTTTATTGGTGTCATATGGAGAATACCTATAAACAATAAAACAAACAATTGTAGCATATTTTGTAAATTATAGCTATTATTCTGAGAACATTTTATCCTCTGAATTCATCAGGGAAATTTAGATAATAACATGGCTTTCTGTAGACAAACTTATCTGCATATATACATAACAAAATTTTGTGTATCTTATTTAACAAATTGTCCCAGTGGAAATTGAAAAGAAACTATATATAGCCTTGCCTGACATGAACCTTAAATTGACAGCAGGATTAATTTAAAGACTCATTGAGCATTTTGGGACTTTATGTTAAGCTGTCAAGACTCAAGGTTTCATTTTTAGTCTCAATTACAATAAAAGCGTCATCCTAACTGATTCAAAGCTAACAAATTCATCTGTTTACATTATCCAGTTGCAGAGTTTATAAACAAAGTATGCTTGATAAAAGAGCATGCTGCAACACAACTTCTTGCTGCTGTTGAGACATTTCGAAAAAAAGGCAATGAAATAAAGAAGGAAAGGTAGTTAAGATGTTCAAGTGTTGAGATTGATTACCAAAACCTATTATGGTACCTGCACTAGTGCTTATGAGAACTTAACAGTTGAAAAACAGTGTTAAATTTTGAAAATCCCCCTTGCGTAGATTTTTAGTGAAGGGGATATACAATGTATTAAACTTTCATTGCCCTACTGGTCTTGTAACTCTTGTATTCAAATTCTGGTTTGTCTGTTGTAGCCAAGGAGCATTGGGTAGTATATCAAAGACATGGGAAGATTTACTCACTGATACAGAGGAAGAAGCAAAGGTGAGGATTGCAAGAATTTATTTACCCTTTTTAACTTTACAAATATCTAAGATATGTAATCTAAGTAATATGGATTTAAAGATGAAATTAAAGTTTCTTCCAATTCATTATTTTTCTAGGAATTATTGGAACTTTCACAGAAACTTGTCAACAGCATCAGTGTGCCTTTATTTGATCGTGCCTCAAAGAAAAAAACTCTTCTTAAAAAGGTATGCATCATTGTCTTAAATTTAAAATTTCATACTTGAATGAGCTCACTAGGTGCTGAGTTTGAACTAATCTAATTATGTGTTAAAATATTCAGGTGTTTTCTCATCGTGAAAGTCTTGAGGCCCAAGTTGATAAAAAAGAAGAAGCTCTCACAAAGGTACAATATCACATTTGCAATAAAGGATGTTTTTGTTGTTTTTAAAAAGAGAAATTACAGTATTGAAAATGTTTTTGTCTCCTTTAATCTTTTAGCAGTGTACTAAAATTAGAAATACTTTTTCACTTAGTGTTTTAAAGATTATGCTGATTCATGGGGAAAATATAAATTATATTCTAAAGATCCACAAAAGGTTTGTCATTATAATAGGTTAATGATCCTTACTTTGACTATTGTAGTCTTTATATAAAAAAGCTTGTGGGTGGGTAATATAATGTATTGTAGTAATATCATCCTTTGCAAATTTTATACTTTTAGCATGTATATACTTACACTTCAAAGTAATTTCATACTTTTAACACCTATATAGGAGCAACATGTGTCTACCATCTGTTTCAACTGTCACAATGATTATGTCTGGCAACTTTCTGGTTTCAATAAAACAAATGAAGCCTTGTATGATACAATGATTCCTGAGTTGCTAACTGTATGTCAATTATTGTACCAAGTTGTGTCCAACATTCGTTTTTAATTGTTAACATTTACTGTTTGTTATCAATTGGTCAATTGATCAATTGTTTGTTATTAATAAAGGCCTTAGGTGTCCAAGTTAAGGATTGAAACAGGCACATTTCTCTTCTAGGATGCACAAGATATTTTGAATGAGGTTGGCAGTTCATATTCAACTCTCATGAGACAGCTGACACAAACACACCAGGAAAAAGTATGGTACATTTAGTGCTTACATGAAAAATGAACGAAAATACTAAAATCTAGACAACAAGCCTACATCATTACTTTAATGTCTCAAACTATCACTAACAAGACAACCACATGAGCATACCTATTTGTAATGGTGTTTATGGTAATTTTCAGCTGAGCAACAGGATTCAGAAACTACAATCTTTGGAAGAAATGTTCAGTTTGGTTGATGTAAATCATGATCTATGTCAGTATGTTCAGTCGCTTGGAGCAGGAAAAGTCAAAATTCCCACAAAATCACATGATAACCCAGACGAATCAACCACTTCGGTAAATTACATTTAATGTCAGTTTTCTAAATTTGATATAGACTAAGATTCAGTGCTGATAGCTTTGCATTTGCTACATTACATGGTCAGCTCCTCATTATTAATTAATCTCAAAGTGAAGTAAATATGCTTTTTTCAGGACGTTCTAGGGGTGAAAATGTTGCTCAATCCTTTGACGGAACCAGCTTTGAAGAGAAAGTATTACCAGATGAATCAAAGGGTAAACAATACTTAAAGTTCTGCCCTTCCTTATTAAAGACATTATTGCATAAAGTCTGGGTCTAAACACAAACGCCTACTCGTCCGCCCACCTTTTGGGTCAAACAAGGGGATTTCGCCTACGAATGTCTGTGGTAGTGGTACGGTTGTGCTTCATTCGTACAATTAAAAATCCAAAAAATGTAACTCGGTCCACAGGCATCGACTACAGCGAGGGTTAACTCGAAATGTGTTGACTTCGTTCCGAAGTTGCGAAGCCGAAAGTGTACAATTTCACATTCCGTGACCCACTAATACATTGTTCTCGTAAACATCGCAAGTTTTGCTATTAAATAATTAATGTCTAATGATGGAAATTTAAAAAAGGAAATTCCTAAAAAGTTTTTTGGTTTGATAAATAACGGAGATTTGAGTTATCTACTATCGTGACCGCTTTCACGTAATGCAAAAGCTATCAATTTATGCATTGGTCGTGCTCGAGAAATCGTCTCAGCCCTCTTTATCTATAAACACTTTTAACAACACCGTAAAAATCTCATTTGCTTTTAAATCATGGAGCGGATGATAGTAAGCTTGTAGGTGGTTTGGGTGTCGGACATCCGTTTTACGTGGGTGAAACCCTGAGATTAATCCTGTCTCATGCCATGGCCTCTGTTTATCAGGCGGCGCTTCAATGATCCGCCCCTTCGGAAACGCAATTCAAAATATCTCCTTTTTTTCTGGATTGCCGTCTAGATGTCAGACTTTGTAAACCAAGTCGATAAGGATCAAACAGCTTTGAAATCACTGAGACAATTGAAAAATAGGTAAGAGGTGTCTGTTAGATAGATTTATCCATAGATGGCATTAAAACGACGGCCAGAGGCAAAAAATATGATCACGCGTTATGCGTTCTGCAGTGGCTATCTTCATCAATTTTCCAAAAAGGTCAAACAATATTGAACAGACCAAGCTAACTTATTGAATATTGAAATGATATAACCATTCTTCAAACGAAGGCGGGAGATTTTATGGGCTCAGTGGTTCTTAAAATGAGTGAAAATGTTAAAGTATTTGACCTTAATTCATAATCATAATTCATTCTGATGATTTAGTTATCTCGACAATCCCTCGTATGGAAACGCAGAAGGAATGTCTGAAGATATCATGAAAAGTGATTTTGAATTGAAGCAAAAGCGAGTGCACCTCGCTGTTCTCACCGCACAGGTACCGTGTCACCTACTATTGTCTAAACCTTTTATAAGTGTTTTGCTGCTGTCTTTGGGGCTGGAATAATTATCTCGATTAGCCGGGATTCAAAGAACATGATCCTGGTCGAAATAACCAACGCCTAACTGTAGATTACGTTGTCAAATATCATCGAAGAATCTGGTTCAATTCAAACACAGATTGTTTTTTAATGCTTGTACTGTTCTAAACCTTATATCAAACTTTGCAGTTAAATTTGTTTACGAAAGACATGATACAAGACATGGGTCCAATGGAGAGCCAAGATGTTGAAGATAACGACAGCGATGGTTATACGACAGTTGAAAGAGACAATAATGAAAAAGCTGCTCACCAATTTGTTACCCATATCACGAAAAAGCCAGCTTTGTGTGCTTACTGCAAAGGCGTTCTAATTGGTAATTTCTAGTGTTCTAATAGATGGGACCCCTTCAGTAACACCAACTCTGGCAATAGCTGCTCTATCTATTGATGCAATAGGTCATCTATCAATAAATATTATAATACTGTTTAGTGGTCATAAGTTTTATGTAACTCACAGAGATGATATTTGATTTTCAGGAATCGTCAAGCCAACAGTTCGCTGCAAAGTTTGTAAATTGATTGTGCATCAGAGGTGTGAAATGAATGTACCTTATTGTTCTGGAGCACCACAACAGGTACGATAACTAGGAGAATGTTTGTTGAATTACTACTCGGTTTTTCTTATTCACTTTTCTTTCCAAAGTTCCGTTATAAATAAGCCCCATTAGAACCATAAACCACATTAAACGTACCCGTCTAAATCCTCTTTATTGTTTTCAGCGTCCGCAGTCAAGAATTTTCGCAATCAGATCAAAATCTATCGACTCGAGAACTTCCTGCAATGGCGAGGAAGATGACGAGGACAGTCACGTCTATTCAGATATTGATATTGCAAAACCTGCGCCCAAAGCTCGTAGAAGGCGGCACAGCGGTAGTTCGGCTGAAGGACGAGCCATCTTTGTTAATGGCAGTTATGGTACGAACGAGGGTTTAGCCATTTTAATACACAACCCTTTGCTATCAATCACTATCACACAATCACTATAACTATCATCCTTACACCACCCTTATACCACTACTATCATCCCTACATCACCACAATTATCTCTCCGACCACCACTACTCCCTACATCATTACTACTATCAACCTAAAGTCATTCGTATTCAATCAATTCTTTAGGCTCATCACCAAGTATCGTGCCTTCTCCTCCAGAGGTATGCAATTTTATATATTTACGGCCATTATGGGCTGATGTTGGTATCAAAAAGTTCAAATTCCTCCACTCGTCTTAGATTCCGACCAAACCAGCTCTAAAGAAAAAACCAGAACAGTGTGTTATTCTCTACGACTACGATGGTAATTCACCAGGGGACCTAACAATCAGAACTGGCCAAAGAGTAACATTATTAAACAGTTCATCAATTGACTGGTGGGAGGTTAGTCCAATAGTATATTGCAGTAAATCGGAGTTTTTGAGGCGTGCTGCATAAAATAGTGTTCATTCACTTTGGCAAATTCAAATTGCACGTTGAATTTTCACAGGGTTCGTACAAAGGAAAAGCTGGCTTCTTCCCGGCGTCTTACGCCTTGGTAAGTGCTGCTAACAATCAATTCAGCCTCTGTCCTCTCCTACTCTTCTCAATTTACTGAAAGCTTCTCGGAAGTTCATCTAAATTCATATACTGCATTTCACAGAAAATGAAAGACGGAGATATCGTCGTCAAATGCTTGTATGACTTTGTGGGCGAGGAGGACGACGAGTTGTCTATATCCGAAGGACAGGTATGTTTCAAATTAGGAATGCTTGAATAGGATAGCTACAGGGTAAATCCCTCACATTCCTCCCTAGAAGTCAACTTTGCATAATTTGATTCAGTGTTACTACAGCAGCAATCATAACTGAATCAGGTTTAGAAAGAGCAATCTCTTGTTGTTGAAACCGTGCAGTGTTATTACAAGAAGAAACTTCATTGCTTGATAATATCCACCATTATATTTCAAGGGAACCTAATGCCTAAACCAAGCAAATGATCTAATATGATTGCTTGAATGATAGCTGTATCTGTTTTTAACTGTTTCGCCGTCCCCCCGTGTAGATTCTAATATTGGTCGAGGACGAAGGTAATGGATGGATGGTTGGACGGGGGATCGACGGAGAAGGAATATTTCCTTCAACGTATGTCGAGAAGTTTGTAGGAAGATAATCATGTGAGACAGGTCTTCGATAAAGTGTCGCTGCTAGACGCCCCCTAAAGCTTTAGTGGTTGTAAACTAGTATTACGCCTGTTAATCTAAAACGTGGTCGTAAATGTCCCTTTGGACCAAAAAGGCATCTGAACAGCAGGAACTGGAACAAAAGGAAGTCATGGGCAACCAGACTTTGTGGTGTAATTTCGCAAGTGAATTTGGACAAATGACGATGCTTTTGATAAAGCTTGTTATTTACATATCCTGGTTTTACAGTGAGGCCAGCTTTAAGCGAGATGCAAGAAGAATTGCCCATTAAATAAATTATTCTTGTAGTTGTACAAAATTGAGACATTATAGTTATAGAAATAGCAATTTTAGATGTATATATAAAATATATGATATAAAGGGTTGCAAACGATAGTATGGTAGCAATATGTTGCCGTTAAATATTGTCGACAACATGTCTTTGGATTAAGAAGATTATTTTGATAATCTTCTATTATTTTAATGATATTTTTTTTAATTTTATTTTTAAAAGAAGACAAGCCATAATCCACCTAGTATTTCACTCTCCAGAGAATTACTATGCGCACTCCGACAAATAGCCGAAATAGACCTAGGGCGAGCAGAAACAAACATGGCGGGATTTTTTGATAAATTTTGATTAAAAAACGAATTGTTTTAGTAATCAGCTACTTGTATTTTGGCTTGTTTTTAACCTCGAACGGACAGTATTTCTCCAACGGTGGTTGTTTTTATCGCTTTATTTCTACAGCAGCAAATTATCCGCACGGAATAAATAAATATGGCAACAGAGCCCGCGGATGATGACAGTAGAGGAAGTATGGAAAATCCTGAAAAATGGTACGGAGATGCTCAAGAATTTTGGAAGGTATGGTTGAATAAAAGGCACTTTGAACTATAATTCGTACAAGTACGATGTGGTCATTCCCTCTAGGCAGAGAGACCATAGTTAGACTCAGACATAGCACCCAGAATAATTTAAGAATTCTTTCCCAAAAAGCATGCCCAAAAATACCCTTTTTTTAAATCAAAAAGCTGTCTTCATTTACTGATGTGTAAATCTTCCATTTGGCCAGAATGTCTCGCCCACAGTAGATGGGATGCTTGGTGGTCATGCGTATGTTTCACCAACAGACATTTATGGTTCCAATGAATTTATCAATGATTTTTTAGAGGTAATGCAATATTAGATAACATGCATATTGTTTTGCCAATATGTGCTCAATATAATCATTTATTGCCCAATTTGCCTTTAGAAGAATGGTGGGTTTTTGAACAACAGTTATGCTCTAGGTTAGTACTAGTACATGGATGGTATTATATTCACATGTTTGTTTGGTACGTCCATAATCCATATACCTTGCACCATAAACCTATATCATACCATGCATTATCTTTCCTTTGTCAGCATGCTCACAAATTTACTATTTCTTTGGTAGATTGTGGAGCAGGTATTGGCAGGGTCACTAAACATTTTTTGTTGCCATTGTTCCAAAAAGTTGACATGGTAGAACAGGATAAAACATTTGTTGATCAAGCACCAGCATTTCTGGTAAATATATTTGCTCATTCGCATCACAAGAATGTCAAGTTTAGATAATTTGTCATTGCTGTATTGAAACTAGATGTGTTATGACTGTCACCTTTTTAGGGTGAGAAGAACTATCAAAAAATTGGAGAAATCTTTTGCAGTGGCCTGCAGGTATGAAAATTAGGTCCAACTTACACAATCTGGAAATGTTACACATGCCTAGTTCAGTTCCTGAATTAAATTGCCTTAGATGATTTCAGGGTAACGGAATTCTTGCCTGTCTCACTTTACAGGATTTTACACCTGCAGCCAAACGCTACAGTTTGATTTGGATTCAATGGGTCCTACTATATTTGACTGATGGTGGGTAATTGTATTGTTTAATTGGCTTCAGTAAGCGTAATAATTTTGAGAAAGTTATAAAAGTTTAGATGAGCCAATATTCACTATTTTCTCCATTAAGGTCTGATCACCATTATAATTTTTAAACCTTACATTACACCTTTCACAAGTCAATATTTTGCACTATAAACTTTTACAGATGATTTAGTGGAGTTTCTACAAAAATGTCAAACAGCCTTGCTTCCCAATGGCCTAATATGTCTAAAAGAGAATGTTGCATCTAAGAGGTCTGTGACGGACAGGGAAGATAGCAGCATCACAAGGTAATATAAAAGACAATATGAATATTCAGTATTGAGATCAATAAAATGCACCAGTAGTTGGAGTAACTAGTATAACTCTGCTCTTAGGACGGACAAAAGATTAAAGAAACTTTTTGTAAAAGCGGGCCTTAATGTGATAAAACAAGACGTCCAAAAAGGATTTCCTAAAGGACTCTTTAAAGTGAAAATGTAAGTCCCTGTATTTTTAAAGTTTGGTTTTCATATAAATGCAAGAACTGAAGGTAAGAATTTCCAAACAGATAAATACGATATCTAGGTCGTATATATACGGTTGTCTGTTTATGGTAATAAGCCATGAATATAATCCAGAATCCACGAATATAATCCTAACTTTTAATCCTAACCTGACCCTAACCCAACTACTTATACTAAAGGATTAGAATCAAGGATTATATTCGTGGATTCTGGACATGAAATTATCACCCTGTTTATCATCTCACTGGGTTATAATTCCAGGCACGAGACTGCTTTTATTTGATGCTACCAAACACCAGATTTTCCCTTGGTATTCATGTGGAGTTCAAGTGTAATTCATAAAGCATGTCTTATGTTCCCCAAGGTATGCATTGCGTCCGTAAGAAGCCGGGAATCTCCAGAGGTTGCGTTCTGTTTGACGGGAATTATGTTTCACTGGACGAACAATGATACCATTGCAAGTATTGCTGACAGTGTTTGGGTAGCTCTTTACCCCAGGCTGTACCTGGAGATAAATGGTACTAATTTTGCAGGAAGCAACAGATGCAGTGACATATGATTCTTAACCAAATCTATTTGGGAATACTTGAAATTTTATCAATTTTTCAAACTATTTGAAGAATACATAGGCGAGCATAATATTGGTTAATTATCACGTTTATTCATCAAAGAAAACTTTTTTCATAAGTTCTTTGACAACTAAAATATTTAAACTATTTCCAAGGAGACGATATCTCTGTCTCGTAGTCACGTTCTTAGGAAAGCCTGTAAAACAAAGAATATTCTTGCACTTCACTCTTTTAGAAAAAAATACCGCTAGCTTTACCTTGGCTGGCTTTGCCTAACATGAAATTTAGTTAATTGAAAAATCACTATCCGCTGGATAGCGCTATTCGCCTTCGTACAACCGACCCCTTCTATAGCGTGATTGATTCGTCACTGACTATCATTAGACGTGAAAATACACCAATTGTAATTTATAAAGCATATATATCTTACCAAATTCGGCTGGAAAGCAAAGGATATTTGCTATCTCTCTTGGTGTGAAGTATCTAAGACCTAATGGAGCCAAAATTCTTATCCTCTCTTCCTCCCTGGCATCCTTGTATCTCTCGAATATTGAGCTGGACTGCTAGAAACAAGCGGTGAAAAAGTCGATTCACAATACAGATTTTTCAATGATGAAAAGCTATAATCAAGCGTTTACTTATTACCACTTACAGTTACATCTGAAAATGACATCTGTAATATGGATCCAGTCCCCTCTGCGTAATGACCATACCTATGATATACTGTAGTTAAATTAACAAGTTATGTCATAGTCTTTCTATTAAAAACTGAAAATTTGGCGATGTTTTGTGCTTTGACAGGCATTACCCTTTTGTAAAACAGCAGGAATGATTGCACTTCGTCTGAACGATATCTAGAAAAAGTTTGTTAATTGGTTTGTTTCCTTCGTATAATTGAGCACGCACGGTTAACTCCAATCCTTCGATCACCCCTAATTCAATTAGTATTTCCTGCGGTGGGCATAATGAAATAAATCACATCATTCACATGCATGATTCTTACCCATTAAAAGAACTTTCTTTTTTAGAATATTTTCAGGCAATGAAAATTCTTCATAATGATCTCTCTTATCTTCTAAAAAGTGTTGGATATTTTTTATTCTAGCCCACATTCGGTCACAATCGTTCATATCGTTATGGCATAATTCCTCATCGACTTTCTCGCTCGGTAAAGTTGATTCTAATCCTCGTTTTTTCTCTGTAGAACTTGTTCGTTCACACTTGACGTCGATTAAAGTTGAGCAAGGATTCTCTTCTTTTGCATCCTGGATTTTCGAATTCGTTGTTTCAGTTGATGAAGGTATCGAGTGTCTTAAAAGTTCATTAGATTGTTGGTTGCAAACTGGGCAGTGCAGCCTGGGATTGTCTTTGATGAGCAACGAAGAGGTTGGGTCAAAAGATAAGGAACTCGAGCCGAGAGATGTTGAAAGGTGCTCCATTATCTAATTCAAGAAAAAGCATTTGCTTGTGTTTCTTGCGTCACCCAATATTCCTTCCTACGCAAATCCATCTTTAGGGATTTAGGTTGCGAAATTTCATTCAGGCTTCTCCTATTTTCTCAGAGGGTTGAACACAACAAACTCAAGTGAGGCATTCGAGTGACTCTGATATTCCAAAACTGATCTTTCGGAACAGTTCTGTTCAGTGCGGATGAGCGAAATGATATGCAGGGTAGTTAGTAATAAAGAAATAAATCAGTTTCAATGCCACATACTGAATCACTTTCTTTGAAAGGAAATTGTAATGGTTTGTGCACAGCAATCAGAAAGTATCTTAGTCTTGAATTCGGCACTCCGAACTGTAGAAAAGGAAGAAAAACCATCATATATTTATGTCATATATAGTAACATAAAAAAACTATCAGCGTACTGTAACCTACAACAGTTTACCTGCATTGGGCTCAACAAAAATTCCTGTAATACACAGAAGAATGGAATTAATAGCCGTGCATGCATGCCGAACATTTTGTGTATTCCTTGAATAAACGCCTACGCGGCGTTTACTCAAGGAAATACCAAAGTAACATCAAATTCTCGTACCTGGAAAGCATAGTTAGTTTCACGTAAGGTTCTTATAAATTCTTCTCTAGAAACCGATATCAATTTTGAGTTAAAGCAGTTTCCTGATTTTTGATTATGTTCACAATCATTTCGTTACCTGGTTTCAGAGACCTCGAAGCCTTTCACGTTTTCCATCAGAATGTACGATGGAGGTTTTGGTAAACTGGATTGAGATAATAATATTTCGATATCCGTTAGAATATTCACATTGCAAAGTTTCAATGGATTATGGATAAACGCCATGAAGTTATGTACCTTCTAAGAACTTTCATGATATGTAAGAAACTCTTGGTTCTCGGGTCATCCGACGCCTTCTTATTGCCTTGCCTTGGAAAAATAGACCATGGAAAATTCTCAATTCTTTGTTCATATTTCAACGTTCTTTGCTCAATTCAAATGTTCGTATTTCATGTCCAAAGCTGAACTGAAAGTTTTCACGAAAGTTGTATAAACCTCAAGACTGTTTTATGAAAACTGCAACCTCTTGCACAAACGTTTTCTGACCTTGTGAACGGCTGGCATGGAGGTGACATGGTGAAAATGTCCGCATCGAATTTCTTGAATTCTTCCAGTTTGATTCCCTGCAGTGTGAATGCATGTTTATATATATAGTGGTTGTGGGTTGATCTGATAGAAATAACAGTAATGTATAATGGACCGCGTGTGAACACCGGTATTATTCCCCGCGATAATTTTTTGTCAGAAAAAAGCATTTTATCTCGAGGAAAACATTTCTGCCTGACGGTGTGACCTAAAAAGTACGTAAGTTTTGAACTAACAAGGTCAGTGATGTTCTCATGGGAGAGAAAAGGTGTCTTGTCAGTTAGAAGGAAAGATCAGACCAACTATACTTCAGGGGTCAGGACAATCAAGAAAATTCCATAGCTGACTCGCCCAGAGATATTTTTACTAAGTTACGCTAGTGGTATTTCTGACCTCTATATTTCGATTTAATAGAACTGTGTTAGGAAAGTTGTGTGCGTAGACTTCATTAGCGATGGTATTTATATCGATAGCGGCTACGACATTTACAGCAACACCACAAGCTGCAAATGAAAATGGATGAATTAAACTCGAAGACAAAGACAAAAGTGAGGTTAAGATTGGCCAGCAGCGGTCAGCCAACTTCAGAAGCATACTAATGCTCGATCATATTACGAGGTTTCCTGTTGTAAACCCTTTTTACACCATTAAACATTTAAACCGGCTTCTAACTTACATTTTAAGGCGTAATGCATTCCTCCTATACCGCTATAAAATTCCACCGCTCTTAAGGTCGACGCCATCTTTAAATTTTTGTTGCCGTATCCCGCGAGAGCCACGCGCGATGACGACATTTAATTCAAAATGGCGGCAGATTTTAAAAAATAAAGTAGCAAATTAATTTAAAGAACACTTTAAAATTTAAAGGGAACTTTGCAACATTGGTTTCGAACGTTTTTAAATTAAAGTTCCTTGGTAGATTTGGTAGTACTTAAAGTGGACTAGTTCTTGTGAAATTCATCGGAATCCGTCTGGATTAAATCATGTATTGAAGACCGTAAGTTTTATTATTTTATTTATTTATAATGTTCGTCAGTCGTCACAGTGGCTCGTCATTCTTAACAAAAAGGCCCCACAGAGTTCGAGCTCCAATGGGGTCCCTTGCTTACAATACAATATTAAATAGTAATACAATATTTACATGCTAGACATTATTACAATTAAATTACATATTTACATTCAAACAAGTCTATTTCACAATATTTATATGAAACATGGATAACTCTAAAAAGCATAACTTTACAGTAAGGCTACAACGAACGAAAAAAGTTTATTTACTAGAATAAATAGATATTTTATTATAGTGGAATTGTAGTGGATTCTGTAAATACTTATATATATATTGTTCATTCTATTAAGCAGGCAGCTTAGATGGGGGCAAAACAATTGGGAGCCAATACACGATAAAAATTGGCCGTAATAAATACTATTATGATTAACGTCATATAAATATTCCCTGTTCTATTCACAAAATTTCGAGAGTTAGTTCGAAGTAGGGGGGCTTCAAGCATAATAATGATATACCGATAATTTCGCCGTCATTTTTTCCACAAAAGAACCGACTTTTGGGATATATGACAATATCAGTTAATTTTAACTGGCTGTATCTAACAGTTATGCGATCTAAACGATACTAGACTACGCGTGTTTGCCAACAGCGATATGGATCCGCTAAACACGAACTTTTAGTTTACGGCGACAGTTGAATACCCAGCTTTCTCAAGAATCAAGATTGTCCTAATTTCAAACAAAAATGTCTCTTGTTCTATTGTCAATGATCATTCTTCATTTTGCTCAATGATTCATTTTTCTATTGCCAATGATCATTCTTCGATTTCTGCTCCAGCTACACCGCTCTTGTCACCGATATCAGCCACGCCTATGTTTATCTGAGAGTCAACGATAATATTACCAAATTCCTTTTTTAACACTTCCTTCAAAACATCAGGAATATTCATACTTTCTAAGAAAGCCGCAGACACAGTTAATATAACCTCAGAATTCGATGAATCCTTCATTTCATGAATCCCATCCAATACATTCAAACAGGTTTGCCGATTACCATTTAGGTTCGCGTCATTTCTGTCCGAATTGGTGGTGTCTTCATTTCTACCAAAAGCTGATTTTTCAGTTAAACTTTTAAACTTGTTAATATTTTTAAAACTTTCATACTCATTGGGAGGGTTCTGCATTACTGCATTGGCCAAGTTGATAGTGATAGTCTTGTCCAAACTGTCAACGCTGTTGCGGTTTGTAACAGAATCCTTAGTACTTAACATGTTCTCCGAACTTTCGGACACAACGGCAGCCTTACCAACTGCTACAGTTCTTTTGTCCCTTCCAGAATGTAGGTTGAACCCATCACTCAGTGACGAGGATGTCGTGGTGGCAGGTGCATCCCCCAACCCCCACTTTCTTATTGCGACAAGTTTTCGTATTAAAACGGCTTTGACTTTGTTGTTTCTGTAACAGCACAAATACGGATCTATACACGCGCTCGTTTGCTGGATAGTTAAAAGCATGTAGAAATACTTCTGAAACGATTTCGGATCGTGGTAGTTTGTGACGGAACGCCACAGTTGGAATATGGTCATCGGTAGCCATGTTAGCAGGTATAGAATTCCAAATATCATTACAGTTCGCACGTTGCGTTTTGCCTGGACGATAGCGTTGCTGGTGATGCTATAGTTATGCTTTAGCGATTGTTCTTGGTTGGCTACTTGACTGCGATGCATGGACGCCAAGCGATATATCGCATAGTGCAGTATGAAAAAGATCAGCATTGGTAACGCCACCAAAACAATCTTTAGGTACTGCGATTTGATCATATCGTAATAGGCGTAGAACCCAACGAATAATGATATTCCATAAATTATGATAATTGCCATGGTTACCGCTCTCTTACGCAACCAAAGTGTGTACCTTAGAGGCCTGTAGAAGTATATGAGCCGATCAATGGTCAGCATTAGTAGATTTAAACTTACGCACACGATGGCAGACTGACCGATGGCGCGTCTTGATTGGTTCATCGTCGTGGGCAGCTTTTCGTTGGTGTTCAACCTTACGATGAGCAGGGGTAGGTACACCCCGCACGATATAAAATCAGCCAGGGCTAGAGACACCAGTAATATCTCTGAAGCACCGTGAAGTTGTCTGTGCAGTAAGATGATCGCGATAAGAGCTAGATTACCGAGACTACCAAACGCACACGAGAAGCCGTTGACCGCGGTCAACGTTCTAGACATGGCTCCATCAATCGGCATAAAATCTGCCCTGCTTATTTCTTTCATCGTTCAACCCGCAGTTAATCTCCTGGACGCTTTTCTCACAGTACCTTCGTTAACGTCTTTGAAGTTCTCTGAAACTTTGGAATAAGGATCGTTTCGCTCATCTAAAGGCTTGCTGAAGTCTTTGAGTTGGATAAGAGTTGCTCGCTTTTAGTCCTGATTACGCTGAGTCGACGCAATTAGTCTTTAAAAAAAATGACTTGTTCTCTTTCAGTAACACCTGTAGGAAAAGCAGAAATTCGTTATATTACAACGATAGCCCGTCAGAAGTGTATGTGTCTGCATGCAGCAACAAATGTTTGATAGCAATGAAGTTTACGATAATATCAGAGCGCGTAGGATCGTCGAGCCATTTTGGGAAACAGTGGTCATAGGAGGCAGCTGGAGAGCACTTATTGTTCATAGAAAAGTATAGTGGTTACTAGGCATATGGACTATCATATGACTGTCGAGTGGGGCGACTAACAAAAAGGCCCGGTCACCGTTAGAGCGATATTTCGGTGTTTAAGCTTAAAGGTCGTGGGCAACGGCAAACCACAAGCTAAGTAGCTTCTGTTGGCATTAGTTCCTCAACTTAGAATTATGTTGCATCATTGAGTTTACATATCAAGAAAGTTTCCTTTTTATTTCCTCGTTTAGCGTCAAAATTTCAATGTCTATGCTCTATAGCTTATATATGGCCTACGTCCAGGCAAAACACATGCATTTAATGCTTCAGACATTGCTTTCTACACTCGTATGCGTCGTCATTGCATGGTAGCGTTAGATTAGCTTTGAGTTGTCATTGAAAAGAAAGTAAGTGAATACACTCGAAACGTTTCGAAGAAATGCTGTGCTGTCTTTAAGTGCGTCGCGCCCGATACATTTAGTATTGTTTAATTACTTTGCAAAAGAGCTTATTTCAATTTATTTTTGTATCAGCGCCTGTGCCACAAAGATTCTTTATAAAACCTAAAGCACGCGTGCTTGATTTGAAGGCCAATATTTCTCGCATCCTGTCAATTGTCAATTTATATTTTCTTCTTTATATTCAGTTGCTTGGCGTATAATGATGGCAACTTGTGTACTTCACATGATAAAGAGGAAATTGGCAACATATTACAATGGCGGGCGTAACCAGCCTGGAGCTGGGGGGGGGGGCGTGCACCCCTTGCATATCTTTCGTTTGCATATGACGTCATAATCTGTCATTCGGCGCCATCTTGGTTGATTCTACAAAGTTTACTTTTGCTTTTCAAGAGAACAAACTGCGTTGATTTACTTTTTCCTTGTTTATTTTGTAACTGCTTATCATTTCTGTCGTATTATTTATTGGATGGGTATTTAGATACAGAAACGAAAAAAATATTTGTGCACATGTTTTGAAAAATCAACCAATATGGCGGCAATTGCAAACCAGCTATTGAATTTAAATTTATGCCACCACCCCCTCCCCCCTTTCTAAGCACACAAAATTTTATCCGGTTTTATTTTATATGATCTTGCATCAAAGCTTTAGTATGCCCTCAAGAGATTAAACGACAGCCCTGGGATTGGGTTGTTTTGAATGGAAGAGCATTTACTAAAGCATTTACTAATATTACACGTGTATGAAATAGTTCTATGAATGGGTCTTGGGTTTGGTTGACGACGTTTTGAAACGGTTCGAGTGTAGCTTTTCCTGTGCAGAACCAAATTTGGGATGCTCCATATGTTTGCCCCAAAGATTCAAGGAATTCAAACTATTAATCTAAAAGACCTTATAAGAATCCAAAGGAATTTATCCACGAGATGCGAGAAGCAGATAAATCCGCTTCATGAAAATGAGCCTGTTTTTATTTTACTCGAAGGATTTTCGATGAGAACGACGCTTATTTGGCAACTTAATAAACATTAATCGACAACTTAATGGGAAATCGCTAAGCCGCAAATAGCACTGAAATCGCACTTGAAAGAAAGATCTTACAGCATTTCGTACAGCTTAGTAGATTGGGCGAAAGATCTAGGAATGTTGATGGACAAACACCTAAGTTATGACAAACATATCTCTAAAGTAGTATCATCTTGCCTCCACAAATTGTGCCAGATAAACCGAGTTAAAAACAACTTCGATAAGAGCACACTCACCATGATAATATCCTCGTTAGTGATCAATAAAATGTTATATTGCTCCACAGTGTGGTCAAATACAACAAATGCTAACATAAAGAAACTTCAATCGGTTCAAAATTTTGCAAGTAAAATAATCACAGGATCTAAGAAATATGATCATGTAACCCCATTACTTAAAGATCTGGAGTGGCTGACTGTCGACAAATTGCTCTATTTCCGTGATGCGGTTATGACTTATAAATGCATGAACACTTTAGCGCCAAAATACCTCTGTGATATGTTCGAGAAGAGAACTTCTATTCATAATAGGTCAACTAGGTATTGCAACTTAGTACAAATACCCCGGTTCAAAACAAGTACAGGTCAACGGTCATTTGCGTATAGAGGAGCTGTGATTTGGAACAACCTAGATAGTAAACTGAAGGAATGTACATCACTTAAGACTTTTAAAACTCATTTGAAAGATCATTTACTGTCATTTTAGCCTGTTATCGACATTGTAAATACTATTAGCTTTTTAACATTCTATTAAACATAGTTTAGTTTTAATTGTAAATTATCCAGTATAATATAATTATTTCTTAAATATTGCATGTAAATAGGTTCTGAAAAACCCTTCTGGGAGAAACTATTAAAATTATCTATCTATCTATCTATATTTTATTCTCCAACTTGCATGAGCCAGTTGTTGACTAAAGAATAAGTTGTTGACTAAAGAATAAAAATCGAGTCTCCACTGCCTTTCAAATTTTTCTTGGTGACGTACGTGACGTGACGTTCAGTTCACAAACACAGTTAGGATTGAAGTTTTCACAAACAGCTGTAAGTCAAGTATCATGCAGTTGATTGAAGTTATTACAATTTGTTGATGAAAACTGAAGCATAAAACGTGGACTATAAGCTCTCGAAAACCAAATGATTTACTTCAAATCCGTTTCAAAGTTTCCATGTCAATCTCGAAGTGTCTATGGTATCATCTACTTCATTCATCCGATGCTACCTAAGTCAATCTCTTGACACATGTGGTTTTAGACACCCATTGATTGCCCACAACATTCAGAGCTAGAGTCACGTATTCTCTTATGTTTCTTATAAGTTATAACATCCCCAAAAGTCAGTCAGGGTGAGAATGGTTACGTATATATCAGGCATAATTCAACCATATATACCGGTGCTATTCCAATCTCATATGATCGTGGATAAATCAATTGTGCTGCGCCCTACCGCCAGTGTTGCCAACGGAAGTTACAACAACGCGCTTCAAGCATTCGTATTGTAAACAACGTTACTGACAAGCACGCGTTTGTGGGGTGGAGATTAACGTTGTTCAGAACTGTAGTCATCTGAGAACAATTTGTGCGTTCCCATCTCATCTGTGTTTACTGCTATCAAGGCTGCTTTCCACTTGCGCGTTTTTTATACGCACGTACACGTACGGAAAATTTTAAATGCTTTGAACTTTTTATTATTTAACATCTAGGTCAACTAATGCATACTAAAATAAGCAGAAAACTAAGTTCCTTCGATTTATTCACTTCGTTTTTTCAAAGGTAACAGGTGTAAGGATTTAGACTTTTACGTGCGTGTACGCGTGCGTATGAAAAACGCGTAAGTGGAAAACAGCCTTTACAATGAATTAACGTGGCTGGACTATATATACACTAGATAATACTTCTGATATGACTTACTAGCCGTAGAGGCGTAGTAATACAATCCATGCAGTGTGTGGAGCGATTGCAGAATACCCCGCAATTTTTCAAGCCACGCTTTTTAAATATAACGGATACGTGGATACGCAGTCAGCTAATGCATATGATTGTAAGGCATAAGAAATACATGACGTAAAAGACAGACGTAATATAAACGTAGGTATTAGTTTTAAGTGGATACGCGGATACGTGGATACGCAGTCATTTAAGATTTTAAAGAACGAGGCATACAGTATAGTTTAAAGAGATCAGATTCTCAAGCTAGAGGTAGCTTTATTTTTAGTGGATACGCGGATACGTGGATACGCAGTCGTTTAATATTTTAAAGAACGAGGCATACAGTTTGTTTAAAGAGATCAGATTCTCAAGCTAGAGGTAGCTTTATTTTTTAGTAGATACGCGGATACGTGGATATGCAGTCGTTTAATATTTTAAAGAACGAGGCATACAGTATAATTTAAAGAGATCAGATTCTCAAGCTAGAGGTAGCTTTATTTTTTAGTAGATACGCGGATACGTGGATATGCAGTCGTTTAAGATTTTAAAGAACGAGGCATACAGTATAGTTTAAAGAGATCAGATTCTCAAGCTAGAGGTAGCTTTATTTTTTAGTGGATACGCGGATACGTGGATACGAAGTCGTTTAAGATTTTAAAGAACGAGGCATACAGTATAGTTTAAAGAGATCAGATTCTCAAGCTAGAGGTAGCTTTATTTTTTAGTGGATACGCGGATACGTGGATACGCAGTCGTTTAATATTTTAAAGAACGAGGCATACAG